GCCGTCGGTGTCATCAAGTCTGTTGACAAGACTGCTGCTGGTGCCGGAAAGGTCACCAAGGCTGCTCAAAAGGCTGCCAAGAAATAAGTAAGCTAACTTTGAGTATTTTCATGTTCAGCGAGCTATATAGTTCCAATGCTTAGTTTGGTCTTTGTCAAGAGCTCATTGCCGATGAAAATTTGTAGATTTAAAGTTGCCCAAAATTACATAGCTGTTCGCTTGTCGCCATTATATCAGCAGATCCCAAACATTATAAGCAATTACTAGGTATTTGTCCCAAACCTCTGGCAGAGTTAATATTGTCGAGAATAGTCTTGTTAGTGCGGTTGTTAGTCTTTGATCCCAATGGCAGACTGGTGGCCGAGGAACTCGAAGAGGCAGAGGAATTTGAATTTACTGTTTTCGGGGGTTCGTTGATATTATCATCGCAAGAAAATGATGATTGTATTTTTCTAGGGGCTGTAGGCACCACCGAATATGCACGCTCCCTGAATGAAATACCAACTTGCCTCATCCTTTTGCTGTTTTGTAAATTTTTTGGATCTAGTTCGATGAACCAATTTGTCTTTTCGTCAAACTCATATATATGGTAATCCACGCCAAATGGTTTAGGCTCAAACATGTAGACTGTATGCAAAGGCACATCTAAGTCTCCCACAGAGTTTTTGTTTAGGTTCAAAAAGTATGCAATCAAAACCCTCGCAACAACCCGGTGTGTAATAATCAGTATGTGATTGGTAGTCCTTTCGAGCTCGGTTATCAGGGGTTTGAGCCGTGCAATCACATCCAAATATGATTCGCCACCGACTCCGGGATACCTATAGGCCATTTTGTTTTCCAACCTAGACTTAAATTCGTCTGGAAAACGCCTTTGAATTTCTTCATATGTCATGCCGTCAAACTTGCCGCTTCCCAGCTCGTCTAGCATACGCATTTCTTTGATATCATAAAAATCGTCCGAGAAATACTTAGCCGTTTGTACGCTGCGACGTAGCATTGACGTGAAAACCGAAAATGAAGGCTCCTCAGGTGTGGTTTTCTTGAGTTGAGAGTTGGATATTAGACTGGCATTCCTTACATTGAATCCTTTTAACTGATTTTCTCTAAACTGACGCTTCTTGAAGTCCATGAATTTTGCCAGGGCTTTAGCAAAAGCATGTCCTCTCGGAGTTAGGTTTGAATCCCCACCAATTCTCCCTTTCACATTATCCTCTGATTCCCCATGTCTTGTGATGAATATTTGTCTAGGATTGAGATTGAAATTCAAGAAATAGTAAATGATTTGTGACGCCAGAAATCCCCGTATATTACACGCAATAACCTTGCGGCCCACATCGATCATCTTGACGTATTGAAAGTTTCTATTCTGCTCTTCCTCTTCATCAATAGTTTCATACGCGAGTTCGTAGTTTTTCAATCTTCCAAGAAAGTCTTTGATTGCAAGTTCGGGGTTCATATTCCGGTAATCAGGTCCTTGTAATTTGAGCTGAATATTATCCTCCAGTATTGTCCTGTCATTACAGATACTCTCTAAAAATAGAACTTTGAGTTGTCCTTTGCTTTTCTCCATGATCATATCAAGGACATTCTTGCGCCTTAGCTTAGTTGAATTCGTGGCATCAAAAACTCCAACACATCCGTCTCCCTCCAAAAGATAATGTAGTAAATTGTCCAAGGTTTCTTTGGCCCACTGCTCTCTCAGAATGATGTTGGATTTGTTATCAGGGGAAAAGAAACTTGCGTCGTGTAAAGTGCCAGCCTTCTTGTCGGGTAAGGGTGAGTTTTCTGGTCCTAAATTAGCAGCCTTTGCTCTTCGTGTAGATCCAACGTTAAAGATTTTGGCGTTGATCTGAAGCCAGTTCAAGTATCTGACCAACTTGTTGCTAAGATAGGACTTGCCTCTGGCCGGTAATCCAATCATGACCACCACAACCCTTTCACTTGTATTAACGATTGTTCCATCCGGGGATATCTTTGACTTAGTCTGGCCAGGGATATCAAGAGTCGTTTTGGTAGGCTTGTATGAGCTAGATCCTATTTTATAGGGTTCTATCTTTAGACTGCGATCAATACTGCATTTTGTAGTGTCATCAATCGTGTTTTTGTTGGTTATATCATCCTCATCTTCACTCAAATCGAGAGGAGACATTGCCATGCCTGCACGAGGTGAGGCGGTACCACTAACTATAGGGGTATCATTTAATGGTCTTTTGTTAAATTCAGTAATAAGGTTAGGCCCTACTCCTTTTGAGCTTTGTGCAAGATCATATCTCTGAAGTTTTTGATTTAGCAAGTCCAGTTCAGGGTTACTTTGATCATCCGCTCGAGTAAAGCTGTCGCCATTTTCCTCCTCATCACTGATTAGTGCTGATTCTTTCTCATTAGTCTCAAAATTTGAGTTGTCTTCCATATTTGATAAGATTCTGTCATTTTTAGATGGGAGAAATAAAGGCGAGGTGGAGCGGTTGCCTGCCATACTAACGCCAGTGAGTCAATTAAATATAGTATCTTTAACTATCTGAATCAGCCTTGTGTATCTCTTTGCCCTTGAGATTTTTTATCTATGGCTAGATTATTAACAGATTGTGGAAGAAAAGGGGTAAGTGAGGCGATTATTATTGAATTGAGTTTGCCCGCGAACTCAAATCGACTTTTTTTTAATTATAGATATTTTCGGACCCCAGTCGAACGTAAGAAATCGCTTTCGATATTTAATTGTTAGGATTCGTTTGCCTATCAGTCTAAAAGCCTCAAAACATACTCAACAGTTGTGAATGTTGCGGCACTACAAGGTATTGCTCTTAGCAGGGTAGGGCCGATTCCTTTCCAAAAGCCTAAAGGTCCTTCGTGTCTCATAATGTGCTTAGCGACTTCGACAACAGAGCCCTTGTACCGCGAGGTCCTTCCGAATCCGTCACTTTGTAGCCGACTCTTCACAACATCTAATGGATAAGAGCTAATCCACAAAGCATCCCCAGCAACAGCGCCGCAAACAAGAAGTTCCATTGTTGAAATGTTGTGACGTTCAGTTTTATGGAATTGGATGAATTTGCTGATCAGAAACTCGTACGTCAGGAACCAAACACCATACGCTTGTGCTTCTCGCAAAAAGGTCACCATGCTCCCTCTGAAAATCCCTTTTAATAGGCCAGCTTGTTTGTAAATTTTTGATATCGCATCTCTGGGGCCATTGTACAGTTTTAGATTGTCTTTTTGCACCTGTAACAAAATCCTGATTTGCTCAACAGGGGAGGTTATTGGAGCGTTGACAATGCCAGCAAATGCTCCAGCAACATAGAATTGCCCCAAAGTCAAGTCGTGCTGTTTGGGATTATGTTTCAATATTTGTCTTTTTGCCTCATGAAAACCGTAAAACTGAACAGAAACGCAAGCTCCAACTCCAATCAAAGGAGCTAAAGTTCCTTTATAAAATGCTTTCAAGCCTTCGTTTCTGAGGGTGTCAGAAAGTGCAGAAATGGGTGAGCTGTACTGTCCGGTCTGAACTCGAACCTTGATTAAATCAAATGGCTGACCGACTAAAACCTGTACTCCTCCACCAGCAAAACCTGCAAGCTTATCAGGTCAGTAAGGTCACTTGCTGCGAGGATATCAGCCTTACCGTATCTTTCACTTTACGAGACCAGCTATGGTCCACATTCGTGATTAGGTCGGACATTAAATACTTTGCTGTTCAAAAGAAGTAGCAGAGTTAGGTTTCTCAACTGTAATCTCGCTCAGTACCTACAAAGCTGCAAAATGATGAACGATCACGTGACAAACGGTCTCAAAATTACAGAAAAACATGAAAAGGTAAACAAACGTAGCTATAATGATTTCCCTTAGCTTGATGCAAGTTTGATCATTTTCGATCCCTGTCATGCAGCATTCTAGAGACAAGTTCGTCGAGAGGGCCATAATCCTTGGAAGTTAGAATTTGAAACTCAGAGCAAAATAACACAAAATGTTTCAGCGATGTATTCAAATGAGTTTGCAGCCCAAGCTCATTTATCTCATCAAAATGGTGGCAGTACATATGGGCGTAGACACGAAATAATCGTTTCATAATGGTTCGCACCAGGGACGGAAACTGTTTGGGAAATCCCACTCCCATTTTCGTTGGAAAGATACTATCATCATCCAGGAAACCTTGTATCCAGACCATAAGAGCTTCCACATAATCTGGAGCGGACATAGATGTTGGTTTGTTGCTATTCCTGTTCATTGGGTCTTGCCACAAATATTCATACTCTTGGGTAGCTATCATTCGAGGACAAGTGACTGGTGAGCAAAACTCGGTGATTGTTCCGTATAGCATATTGACCTGGTTGTAGAAGTCAACAACATGTACGGCCAACCATTCGTTAAGATCTTCGTCTCGTGGTAGTTTGACGGCTTGTGCCAAGGCAGATCCTGATCCAAGGGTTTGCTCGGCATATGAGCGTATTTCTTTGTGATTTGAAACTTGATGCTGGGTCTGCTGCGGCTGGGACACATAGCTAGCTGGCTGAGCTTTTATTTTTGCCGCGTTTGGAGAAGACGAACCACTCTCGGGATTTCTTCTGAATACTCTACCGGACCTTATCGTAGGAATATTCGAGGAATTAAAGTGATTGTGAATAAAAGACATCTGGAGTCAAATGTGATGTGATGTGGGCGGAATCACCGGATTTAAATGAAAGAAACAACTAGATATCGTTTTTGACTCTGCGCCAAATGACAAGATAAATTAGCCTGTTTACTTTTTCCCAAAAAAACAAAAAATCTCAGTAGAATTTACAGAATGCGGCAATCAAACCAACAAAACAATATAAATATTTAAAAACCAATTGTGTCGAGTGGTGCAAGGGTGCATGATTTTTGAGCGAAAGTCTGGTCGATTTGAGATTCATCACTTGGTTTCTCTACAAATAAACATTTAAACTGGAAAACTTAGCATTATGTCAGATTTGATCAAAGTCACACAGTGTGATGTAGAAGATGCTCATGCAAATTGCGAACAAGAAGCGATATATAGAGATCTGATATCCGAAGCTAGATATCAACGGGATCCCGAGACTGGAAAGATTCTTAGACCTTGGAGGTTTGAAGTTGTTCAGGGCTTCTTCAAGCAATCAGATGAATCCACCGATGAATTGAGCTTTGACCTAGTGAAAGAGAACTTTGGGCTGGCTTTGAGCTCTTGGACTGCGCTCAAAAACAAACTCGATGAATTGAATCTTAACAGAAACCCGCATGAGTCATACAAGCTTCTTATATGTGCCCGGCATGGTCAGGGTTATCACAACCAAGCAGTGTCGATCTTTGGGATTGAAGAGTGGAATAATCACTGGTCTCATTGCACGGGGACCACTTTACCAGATGGAAGAGAGATTGTATGGGGACCAGACCCAATGTTAACACCCTTAGGTGAAAAACAGGCAGACGAATTGAATAGAGCATGGAGAAGACAAATTGAGGAAGGGGCACCAATTCCAACCAGATACTTTAGCTCTCCATTTACCCGATCTTGCATGACACTGGTTCGCACTTGGAAAGGCATTTCTCTCTGTGAAGAAAATGAAGATCAGGATACACTTCTCTCTTCCAAAAGACATTTGCCTATCATCACGGAAAATCTGAGAGAAACCATAGGCTCTCATTTGTGTGATAAGAGGTCTTCAAAAGAAATCATTGCTCAAAGATTTTCTAGATTTGGCTTCACTTTTGAAAGAGGATTTGAGGAAGAAGACATTTATTATAGAGACGACTGGAGAGAATCTTTGAGCGAACAGAGCCTTCGAGCTGATGCGTTTTTGCAAGATGTATTTGAAAATTATCCTGACGATATATATATCAGTTCAACTTCACATGCCGGGGAAATTCGTGCTATTATCACAGCCCTGGGCCATAGAAAGTTTGCAATTCCCACAGCGGGTACTATACCCATAGTCATCAAAGGAACTCGAATCCAAAAAGATTCGATTGCTTGAAAGAAAAGAATAGAAGAGTTTGTTTCTCAAATATGTAGCTTCCAAAATGTCTTCCATCTTGCTTTGGAAGGTATCAATTTTCAGTCTTCGGATGATTTACGCTGAGAATCAAGTACAAACGACTCACGTCAAACAAACCATCCTATTTTCCCAATAACTCATTGACCGACTGCAGACTGCTTTCAGCAAAGTATTTGACATCAGTATCTTCGTCTGAACAAAGGAGCTCAAGTGTAGGTTTAATCTTGCTTACAACGAACTCACGATTGATTGAAATCACCTTCTGCGCCAAAACAAGCAACGACTTGGCGACATTGAACCTGATATTCGGCACATGATCATCTTTTAGTTCATCAATAAGTGGATAAAGTTCTGAAACAACCGTGTCGCTTGACACGACTGGAATCAGCTTTGTGTAGGCAAATAAACATGTGATTCTGCATATGAAATTCTCAAAATCCTTGGTTTGTTTCTTAGTTTCAATTCTCTTGATCAGTTCCTCTTTACACCATTCTTCACCAAAATTTTTTGTCAAACTTTGTAGATTTATAACTGCCGCTTCCCTGATAGAGTAAACTGGATCCCATAACCACTCCATACAAAGTTGCCCTAAAGCTTCATCAAAAAAAGCAACCCCGAGTTGTTCAGCCAAAAGAGGAATTTGTTCAATGATAGCTAGCCTGACTCTCCATAGTTTATCGTTGGCCAATGCCGTGATGGCTGGTAGTAGGGATTCCGACAAGAGCTGTATACCTATGACCTCGTTAACAAGCTGAAGATTAGAAATGATATTCAGTCTGACTTCACTGTAGTCATCTTTGAGCATCTCAACAAAGATTGGCAGCAAGTGGTCTATAGTAGCATCTTTGCCTAAAATAGGGGCTAATCCTGTAACTTCGCTTGCTAACGCGCTTCTCACCGTTTCTGATTCATCCATACTGAGCTGAGAAACAACAGGAACAATGCTCCTCAGCACAATGGAGCGGTCGCAAGTGTTGGCTAATTTACAAACACCAGGAAGCTGTTTTGCAATCGCTTTTCTAACCTCAGCTTCATTGTCTTTCATCAGGGAAATCAAGTTTGAAACTAACTTTATCGTGTACTGCGCATCATTGAAACTAGTCACCAATTTCTCGAATCTATCTGCAACCATGTATCTGACTCTCCAGCTAGGGTCACTGGCTAGTGTAATCAGGCTTTTGAAGAGATCCTCATTGTGAGACGTTTCATTTATCTCGCTCAAAAATTCTAGGATAGCTATCAACACATCAACTGATAAAAATTTCACAGAATCTTGATTGTCGTTCACCAAAGATTCATACATGGAAGTGATAAGGTCCCAGTGAAACTCATTAATGTTCTCCGGCGACTTGAAATGTTTCGCCAAAATATCAATCAGTCTAGGCAGATGCGATGCTGCAGCCTTCCTCACCATAGGAGAATCATCTTGAATCAGCTCGTGATAAAGATTTAGTAATTCTAGTCTAGTTTCGGAAGGGACTTTCACAATAACACTTTTGAAAAGACCAGTTGCGGCTATATGTAAGGAGAACCATCTTTCCTTCGCTAACCTCTGGATCAATGGGATAAAGTCCTGTAAAACTTGAGCTTCATCCAATTCCTCACTGATTGAATTCAAGGAGTCGACTGCTTTGTCTCTGACTATTGGCTCCTCACATGCAGCAATTTTTTCAAGGACAGGCATCAGTATAATGGCATGTTCGCGGCCTCCGACATATGGTACAAACTTTCCCAACTCTTCCGCAGCAACAGCAATGACTTCATCTTCGTCCTCTGGGATAACATCATCCAAAAATGGAATCAGCTCTTTACGAGTCCTCTCTTGTCCTAGTGCAATGGCAATCGTATCCAATCGTCTCATAGCCTGCACTCTGCTGGCAACGTCATCATGCCTAAGCTCATCCATTAATAAGGCAATTGGGTAGAGCTCTTCTGATGTAGGCTTAAGAGTTTCGTGATTTGTTGAGTCCATGGTTCCACAAATTGAGTAAAGCTTTCGTGTTTTTTTTTTTTTCAAACTTTGATTTTGGCAGGTATGAAACCTTTACAGCTTGGGATGTAGAGTTTGATGTCAGATGTTAGGATACACAATGAATCTTCAATTTTGATTGTAAAGGAAAATTAATTGAAAACAGGATTAAACTTATCGTTGAGGTTATTTCAAGGCAACCCAAACTTGCTTAGTGTATGTCGGAATGTAATGAGAGAAATCTTATGTTACGGTGTACAGGTGTGAAAGAATGCTTTTGAAACTAAAAATCTCACTAAAGATAAGTGATTTTCAGGGCCATTCCCAGCGTCTGTTTGACTTTGATAAAAAGCCATAACAATCGACCTCTAATCTGGGAATACTTCTGACTGGAAAGTATAATGACACCTAAAATAAACGTTAGAAAGGTTCCACGGATGAACACTCTCTTGAAATTGCGTAACCCATGTCCATGCATCGATAGTGCACTCTTCAAAAATCGATATATAACATTTCTCTCATTTGCAGTCATATGAGATTCATCATCGAGAGGCTGTTCAATCCTTTTACCACGTCTTTTCTTACGAGCCTTGGGCCTTTCCTCATCAAACTCAGTTGATGATGCTACCTTTTTGATGCCCGCCTTGTTAGTGAATACCACTTCATTCAGTATCGAAAGACAGTGATCTTTTCGGTAATCGTCTTCAGCAAAGATCCGCCTTATGAGCTTCTCAGATTTCCTAAAATCATTAAATTTTGGGAGAATATGTAAAAGGTAAAACTCGGCAATTCTTGTCATTCCTGGCGACCTCACTGTTTGCTTCATTTCGTGTGAGAACACACCATTGAAATTCAGGTACATTTCCAGTTGGGCTCTCAGTTCAATCAAAGGAAATCCGTTTGAAAGTTCGACTATGAAGCACAGAAGTAATAAATCAGGATCTATGCAATCGTATTCGTCATGGTATATATTTCGAATTTGAATGAATAACTCCCCTCGCTGAAGCCGTTTGGAGTATTTGGAATTCAAGGGATCTTGAGAGTTTCCAATCTCTCGTTTAAGTTTCAAATCAATTAGCGACAGATACAGTTTGTATATTTTCACGAGAAGCGGCTTTTCGATCCCAGTCCTACCATTGTTTGTTTCAGGTAGACTGTCCACGATCGGGGCGATCAGCAACCAGGCTTTGTCAAAGTTTCGATTGAGATATAATTTAATAGCTAGTTCATATTGTTTGCGGTAATTGTGATTATCACTAGTGTACTGAGACTGCACAGCATCAGTCGCTAGGTTGTCTGATTTTGATTTCCTATCCAATAGTCGTGATCCGTTAACCGTAATCTGAGACATTTGGTTACAAGCAGCTTCGAAAGAATTACTTTTCTTCTTGATTGTACCTTCAGTAAACTTTAGGCTAACTAGTGTCTGATTTTAAATAATTTTGCTAGTCAAAATCGAATTAGAGAGTACATACATATCAATAAGAGTCTGAACAAAAATTTATGATGCTCAAGAGTAATTTGGAAAACTTGCTTGATTGGTCCAAGTCACATGGTGCGTACTTTGAAAACGTTGAGTTTGCTTTCGATAAAGATAGAGGCGTCTACGGTATTTTGAAACATGAAGTCAACCTCGATGAGCCTCTCATTATAGTACCTGAAGCTCTTTTCATTACTCCAGAAATGGCGACCAAAGTTTTTGGCCTTGACGAACCCGTCGAGGCTCTCAGCTTACTGCTATTAGCAAAGCTCAAATTTGACAGGAAAGAGACGCTGATTAACGGTTACAGCCTGTCAAAAATGTTTGAGCCATACATCGCATTTCTTCCGAATTCCTGCTCAGAAATTGGGCTTCCGCTTTTCTGGACTGATCGTGAGCAAGAACTGCTAAAAGGTACAGATGCCTACCCAAGATTAGAGCAAAAACGAAAAGAGCTTCACAAAGAATGGAGTTCTCTCATGTCACTGTTAGATGAACATAACAAACTGGATTTAGTCACGAAAGAAACCACGCAAGGCAAGGGAATTGTGTCATGGAAGAGCTTTGAAGCATATGCATGGGCACACTCTATTTATTGTACGAGAGCCTTTCCCAATTTTTTGCGTGAACAGAGTGAGAGAAATCTCAATATAGGTTTCTTATGCCCTATAGTTGACCTTCTTAACCATAAAAACGGTGAGAAAGTTACCTGGACTTGCGCGGATAACAGTTTTGTGTTCAGAGCCTCACCTAAATGTATCAGGCGTGGAGAAGAGGTTTACAATAATTATGGCGACAAATCTAATACTGAATTGCTTCTCAATTATGGGTTTGTACTCGACGACAACGAGTCGGAAACGACAGCGTTAACATTGAAGGTTGAGGAAAAAGTAATTGAAGCGGGGATCAATTTTGGCCTCAAATTGCCTTTGGGTGCGTCCGCCAATGGCATCAGTTTCAACATTTCACTCGCCACTCCTCTTCCGAATGAGTTGTTACGATTTATGGGTTTCTTGCATCAGCTAAAAAGCGAAAAAAATCAGTATACTTTGAGGATGCACCTTGAAGGAATATCGAAGCTAAGAGACATTCTAGTTTCTCGTATAGCCACTTTTAAAACCTGGAAAGCTGAGGAGCATGCCAATACCAATAAAAAGGTCATAGAACTCGTCAAAAGATATCGATCCTCCCAGAAATCACTATTTCAAAGAGCGTGTCAGTCATGTGATTCCACAGAAAAATCATTGATACAAAAATACAAACCACTTACACTGCAAAGAGCTCTCAAATCAGACTCTGAATTCGAGAAGTGCCTGACCCTCATTTTTGGAACTAACAAAGTCAACGAAATCGAAAAGAAAGGCCTCTCAGACCAAGTTTTATTATTATTCATAGTAAGATGCAAAAATCGGGAACTCTCCAGAGATTCTCCGCTGCGATTCATCCGTGAAACGTATGAGAATGTCAGCACAACTATCGAGATAACCAGGGAAGACGTTGTGGAATACTCTGATCTTTATCACTCACTTTTCCCTTATCTCAGCCAGAAAATCCCTGAAGTATTTGCAGCCGGGGATTATAGTGCCAAATCCATGATCATTGCGGGCACGGTGGTAGACAGAATTGTGTTCAAAAGGAATGTGAACGGGGAGCTCTACCTACTACAAAAGATTATATTGGACTAAACTGTCCTATTTTCTGCATGATGATTTCTGCCAACTCTTGAGCTGGTACGTGGATATAGAAAAATTATAAGCTTTTACTCATTACCCTTTGCCATATATTTTTTTTAGACGTTAGGCCATGACTAGCGCAACAAGTAATAATACTGCTCGGATACCTACATCTCACACATTATGGTCACCGTATGACACTGTGAGAGACGCGGCCGAAAGTTTAGGTATTTCAAGTCAACTAACTGAGGACGTGGCAAAGAATTTGGCCATGGACGTCGAGTACCGTATTCATGAAATCTTGGAGCAAGCATTGAAATTCATGAGGCATGGCAAAAGGAAGATACTCACAGTATCGGATGTTGACAGAGCTATGAAAGTTTTAAATCTAGAACCATTGTACGGCTATGACGTTTCGAGACCTCTTGTGTTCAAAGAAGCAATGGTTGGTCCTGGTCAAACACTGTATTATGTTGACGATGACGACGTGGAATTTGAAAAACTTATCAATCAGTCACTTCCTAAAGTTCCGAGATTTACATCATTCACTGCCCATTGGCTTGCAATTGAGGGTGTGCAGCCAACAATCCCTCAAAACCCAAACCCTGGCGAGATCAAACAACTACCCCCTAATCAAAGGGGTTCGGTTGATAACATACTGAGTCTGAACAATGATGATATTTCTTTGTCTACCAACCCTTCTAACGGATTAACAACAGTTGAGCAAAACTCACAAGGAAGAAAGAAAGATCTTGATGTGAAACCTCTTGTCAAACATATGCTCTCTAAAGAGCTTCAGCTGTACTTTGACAAAGCTGTTGCTGCACTACTTGATGAGACCAATGAAAGCCTTCGTGCGGCTGCTTTGGAATCATTAGAAGCTGATCCTGGACTACACCAACTTGTCCCCTATTTCATTCAATTCGTCGCCGAAACAATTACACATAATTTGAAAAACCCAACGACCTTGACAACAATGTTAATGGTGATATACTCTCTACTATCCAACAAATCTATATTTCTTGACCCATACATTCACGCTATAATGCCGTGCATACTCACTCTTCTCCTTGCCAAAAATTTAGGAACACGGTCAGAATCAGAAGATGATAGAGAACAGTTCAGAATTAGGGAGCTGGCTGCTTCTCTTCTCCAGAGAATCATCCGAGAATATGGATCCTCCTACACAACTCTTAAACCCAGAATAACGAGAACTCTTTTGAGGGCATTCCTTAGCAGCGCCACGAAGAATTCAGTTGGAACGCAGTTTGGTGCAATGAAGGGCATGAAATCTTTGGGGAAAGAAGTGATTCGAATCATCATGGTTGGGAATCTCAAGAGTTGGTCCACCTCCATTTTAGAAGGCCTTGATGAAAATTCTACTAGCTATAGAATACTTACTGAAAATGTGATGGATTGCCTCAGTACGATGACCGACGATGGCAAGCTTAGCAAGCCATCGACAATCGAAAGTCACAATGCGAGCAACCCCCACGGCCTAGGGGATGACGAATTGCAGAAACTGAGGGAGCGTATAGGTGATATTCTCGCTAGGGAGGTCGCTTCCCAACCTAACGCACAAGAGATATACGGCGGGATATTTTTCGGGGAATCATGAGGTGGTGGTAAGACCTAATCAAGCCTGAAATAACTTTGAATCATACCTTTTGGCACAGAATTACCGAGCTCAGCTGAAGGTCAACTTTCTTTTAGTAGTACAGTGCTCGTTGGCACTTGAGATTTCTGATTGGCGTTGCAAGCTAGATTTGTGTTTTGTTAATGAGTGAGGCAGAGGAGGGCCTAATTCGGGCAATAGACATGGTGCAAAGCTGTCACGTATTTCGTTTGCAAAGATGCCCCTTGATGTTTCAGCGCATTTCGAGGGTGAAGCTGTGGACAGATTTTCAATAGTTTGTATGATGTTTTCGTTTTCCTGTGCATTAATTTTCAGGGGGGTACCACTGACGTAAGTATCGGAAATCTTGTTAGTGTGTATTGGAGAGATATCATTCATAGTTGTCTTGAGGTCACAGGGAGATGCATAAACTTCCAGGGAAGCATGTGGTTTTTTCACAGGTGTGGCTTCCACCTCTGTATACGAGTTAGTTTGCACTTCCGTATTGTCATAATGTTTTGAAGGTATGTGTCGTTTTCTATGACTGAAAATTGCAGACTTCTCGAATGTGGATATTCTGCTGATGCGCGTCTTACTTGAATTTGATGCAGTTTGCAACAGAGGCTGTGATTCAATTCCAGTTTGCGAAGTGGACAATTGTTGAGTGATTGAAGTACTTTTGATCATATCAAATGTCTTCTTTGATAGGTTTTGCGTCATTCCTAAATTGGATGCTTTACGTTTTAGCTTCAAATCGGAAAACTCTAATGAGTTACCAAGAATTGATGTGTCCGAACGATTGGCGCTTTTGGGTTTCGGCGGTGGAGAGTGAATGGTCTTCAAATGCCCTTCATGAGAGTATCTTGATTTCTTAGAGACTGAAGGTCCTTTGGATTTATTTAGTAGCTCTCTGACTAGCTTTGGATGTGACTTTTGAAAAAATGGAGCAACAGAATTCACTAAGAACCTATAGGTTGAATCATCCTCAATCGATGATAGTCCAATTATCGCATCGTGAACGCATAATTTATCCATCAAAGCGTTGATGTTTGTCATTAGGAGATCCGAAGTAAGTTCATTGCTTGAGTCATCTTGAAATTTTCTTAGGTCCGTCGTAAATCTTGCGTGAACAGGGATCGCGGTTCCAATTAACGTCGGTATCAGTCTTTTTTTGCGACCCACCAAAGATCGTTTTGTATATACAACGCCCAATTTCCTGATTGTTGGCTTTTGATGGTACTTTCCGCCATCCAGCAGCCTTAGCAGTTCCAAGTTAAGGATTACTTGTAGTTTGGCCTCTCTTAGTTTGAGATCTTCCAATGACGCTCGAAATTGTTCATCAGAATCGCCGCTGGAATTACGAAAAAAGTCAACACGATAGCTGAGTTCATCATCGTTTAGTAGGTTCAATGAGGATGTACATGATGATCGGGAAAACTCAAACCGCTGATTGAAGCTCGTCATTGAACGAATAATAAACGAAGAGATCGTCTCGCGAGCTAAATGAATATTTGAGTGGGATAGCACATGGACTCTTGGAAGGGCAGTTTTGGCAAAAAATTGTAGGGGAATTGTGCGCTGGTAAAGGGTTGAATAATACCTTTCTGCCAGGAACGCATGGGGATCAATTTGGGAAAGTTTTGAAGGGGAACTAAAACTTGCTGATAGTTTGATGTTCGGAGGACTCATGCGTAAAGAGAGGCGACAACTGGAACTCTTGATTGCCAAACCGCTCTTTTTGATTCTGGGGAAATCATAAGATGATGATGGGGCCTCTGATACCAAAGGATTGCCACCACGCATCTTTATCATGCTCTCACCTATGCGAGCACCATCTGCCAATTTATATAGTGTCCAAATATTATGCTGAGTTCCTGGGGACAAAATACCAAAGACCGGCCTTGAGGCTAAAAATTGATTTGACGAATGAATAACCACGAATGCGGAAGAATAACCGTTCCTTACCTTGAAGCAATCAAAGTCTTTTATCAGAGCTGCCCCCAATATCAAATCCGATGAGCTCTCTACTTTGAAAAAACCTAATCCCGCATTGACGCTAGTTATTGCGCAAATAACTTCCACTAGGGTCTCAGCCGAATTTATATCGGTGCCTTTCACAGGCCCAACTCGAAATCTAAACATTGACTGAGATATAGGAGGAGAGGAAGAAAGCTCCATCCCTAAACTCACAAATTCTTTTTGAGATGATGAAAAAGATAGCTGACTTTTTACGCGTTGCCTAGCTGGAAAAAAATATGTGAATCAAATATATGATTTAATATTAATTAAGGGTGTTTCAAATCCATAATGCTGGTTTTACCATTCGACTAGATTATATTTTTCCGGCATTTGATTATTGGACACCCACTTCTATTCAGCAGAGCTTTCGGTAATCAGTGCTTTTTGCAATCCAGCTAAAATCCTAGATAATATCTCAGTATTATAAGTGGTGTCATATTCACTACTAAAATATATTATTCTATACAGTTTTAGTTAACAGTGGGGGCAGCAATTAGTGCGTAGTGTACTGGCGTCGTAATACCAACCGAAAAGCTTCAAGGGGCAAGACACTCTCAGTTGCATGAATGATTGGGTTTTCAGACGACGGAAAACCTTCTTTCCAAATTCTTATCTGAACCTTGAAGTGTAAGAGAGACTTGTCTAACTGGAAGAACTCGACATCAACCCAACAGTCTACAGGTAATCAAAGGATCCAAGCCGATTCGACAGCCTTATACTGTAGCAAGAATAGTTGCAGTTGTGGCTCGTTGAAACCGAGCAAGTCACGGATCTAGCTTGAGTGAAAAATTAGTACCCTTATTGAGGTTTTCAACCACTCTCCCAATCTTTTTTTTAGAGTATGTAGACTTGTGGGTAGTGACTTCATCCCAGCAAATAACAGCCAGTAGTAGTTTGTTAAAGCCATACATAAGCACAAGTGACAATAAGTATAATTCATTGTACTTATTGCAAGTGAGCTTTTGACAACTACGAAGATCAAAAAAGTGTAGGTGCCTATATTTTTGTTAGTTCACATTCAGAGATAGTGGCCTTGTCCAGTGCAATTGATCATAGCTAGCAATTATTCTCCGTGACTATATTGGCCATCCAATCCTCCTAACAGGATAAAGACATCAATAGGCTTGCCATCATATAACGTGTTGGCTGGAAGATCAAAACTGAGTAAGCAACCATTGGAGCTGACCCAAACTATCAGCCTTGATTTTAAAGAAGCATAACAAAGTCGTACAACGCATTAAAAAAGCTGAGAGCTAACGCAAACCGTTCACTGAATTAGTGCCCTTGGCTGATGAATTCGAGAAAACTGGCCTTTGAAGGGACCCTCAACAGACGTGATCGGAAATTGGCAATTTCACTGGCCTGGATATGCACCAGCTCTCATGACTTTGTGTAATTTCAACGGAGAGTTTTCAAAGTGGTTATTATGTTTCCTATGGAACTTGTTTACAGAGAGGTTTACCGAGGTGGCATAAATATGTTCTTACTACCTTGTTGACACCTCCGTCTCACATTTCTTGCAATTTTTGGCTTTGAAATTCAATAGGTATGATAGTCCATGAAGCGCTTGCTCGAAGTTGAATGATTTTATTCAAATAGCAGCTCTAAGTCATTTTCGAAAACAAAGTGTATTCATTGTTCTCGATTATAGTTCTAGTGGAACTAAGCAATTACATAAAACGTAAAACCAACCCCGTCGATCGACGTCATTTTATGCACACGGTTTTTTTTTGATATATACTGAACAAATCGGCTTGAGAGTCGACCTTGATCTAAGATTGACAAATGGTACCCTTCAGACCTTTCCCGTTCACATCAAAAGCTGTATCAGTAAAGAAAATCAAGAAGCTTGTTGAAGGAAGATCTTACGGGTATTTCACTACTAATGATGCACTGGGCGCACTGGAAACTTCTCAATACCTTAATTTAAGAAATGATCTCAAGCTTTTATACAACACCACAATGAGGATGATTGAGAAGAAAGCCGTCAAAGCTGCCCGAATAAGAAGAAGCTATGACGAGATAGGAACAATTCCGCCAGTATTGCATCTGTCAAGAGACGAAAAGCCTTTAAACGAATCTGCAATTTGGTCCCATTTTTCTAATCTCAATTTGAGGGCGACACAGGAGGTCCCATACTCTTTACAGAATCTGTCCGGGGCCGGCAAAAACAGTTCAAAATTGCCGTCGATGCCGGGAGGTACAGCCTCAGCGATAGAATGGAATGAATTTATTCAAAAGCTAGTATCTTACAATAACTTGAATACTCATTTATCCCAAAACCGAATAGACCAGGCTATTGAGTCAGCACTCAATGCCGCGGGACACAAACTTACTCTTGCATCTTTCAACAAGATCTTACTCCATTTCTCTTGGAAATATGACTTGACGACTATGACGGAAATACTTCGCTCTCTGACCACAGTTTATGATTTAAAGCCCGACATCCAAACTTACAACATTTTTCTCGACACCATCCTGCGGTCTCGTGCGAAACATAGAGTCAGAAGATGCGTAACGATTTTGAAGATGATGAAACAGCAAGGTATAACTCCAAACAAGTATACCTGGAATATTATATGTGGAGGATTGAAAGATGTCCATGAAATCTTACATTTTCTTCGCCAATTCTACAAGTTTCAGATTCCCTTACTGTGTCAAAGAAATCTCGCAAAAGCTGGCATTCAATTCCCGATAATTAGAGAGATATTTGATCCGGCATCTAGAATTGACTACAATACCGCATATGATTTGCTGTCATTAGGTATCAAGGTTAAACTTTTGGAAGACGGCCAGTTAAGAGACGCACTCACTTACATGCGAAACGTTTGCAGTCAAAGCCAAAATAGTGATAATTCTGCATTTGTGCTGACTCCTAAATTCAACATCCTCAAGCTTTTCATGAATTACATTTTGTTTGAACTGCAAAATCTACCATATGCAATAGCATTCCTGCAGTATTTTGAAAACTCTTACCCGAATGTTATGGACTCGGATGATAACAGAAATCAGCTATATGCAATATTACTGACCTCAATGAAGCAATTCAAAGATTCGCCAATGTGGGAACCTTTAGTAAGATACTTCTTCCAGAGGACAATCGACGATCATGGAAGAACCATTTTACCTACAAGCACAATCATCCAACTCACAGAATTAGGAGAGCAAAAATTGAAAGATCAATCGCAAAGGGAAACCGCTGATACCTTCAATATAGCCGACAGTCCCACTTTGCTAGAAAGAACGACCATCAACAAAATCTTCAAGCAACTACGATGGCCTGGGTCTGCATACGGGGAACAGCCAATATGGGAGCTAGAAAGTAATGCCCCCTCATTTCGCCAAGCTTGCAAGATGTTGGGGTACTTTGGAAACACAAAAGTCGACGGCCCGGAGGAGAAAACTTCAAACACACAAAGGTTTGATATTTGGCACAGTTTCGAACTCCCTACAAGAGAGGCTTTTTATGATTCGCTACCATTTGACGTTGCAATGCCGGAAGGTTTTGACAATAGCGATAGCTAAATTTCGTTGCTTAGATGTCCCAATATCGAATAGAGAACGAATTAAAAGTAGCAAAATTGCCTTCAAGGTGATTGATTACACGATCCAGTCACCAGCGAATGGTATTGATATTTATCTACTATCTTCCAAAGTTGTGAGTGCTAAACGCGTTTAGTCACATCTCATTGTAGTTTATCGGTATGGATCACCGGTGAGAATCCACTATGATAAGAATTGAAACGGTATTGTATGTATAATAACAATATTGTATTCATGTTGCACACTCTTGTCTGAATTTGTAGACGTTATGGATTTTTATCGAGAACTCCATAAAACCGGTGCGGTGCAAGTAAGATACACACAATATAGTTAGTACGGTTCGAATATGATGAATTGTATGAGAATTCGCCTCATTAATCAATTAATCCAATCAAATTTATTTTCAGTATTTATCTTGATCGATGATTATATGCGACGCGCTTTAAATTTTTGGTTTAAATTCGTGCAACGCACAAAAATTCCACGCGTTGCTGTGAAGGGAGCATTAAAATCAAAAAGTAAACAAGCTTGTTTTCCATTTGAAGATTGCTCAGTAGTGTCAAACTCTGTATGAAGGACAACCTAAAGAATTACACAGATTGATTGCGAACACCGAACAAGCTCACGCACAAACAACTAGTCACACTTCACCAGTCATCTTTGAGGCTCTCAGAATGCAACAGGATAGCCCGTTGAGTCCCAAAAGGCTTTTCAACAATCAACAAAAACAATTCCAGCTTAACGATGCAAGCGATCTCAATTCCCCAATGATGAACTTGACCGGATTTCCTCTGAATACCAAAAAACGGACACTATATTCTCCATCGAGCGATTCCTCAACGCCTCAACCATCGGAGAGACTCAAATCTTCACTCGACAAAACTAACAGCCCTTCTAACAAAAACAGCCGTGAATCACTTTTGAAGAGCTTCAAAGACCCATCACCTCCATTTGCAACGAAAAAAGCAGCTTTGCGGAGGAGCGCTGGCGTTCTGAATTTATCCATCGAAACCAGTCCTCGAAAACAATTACAGAAAGAGCATGAAATCACCAAATCCATAAGTGATCTGGATTTCGGAAGTGATGTCACTAGCCCTTCTGGACATGCGAAGATTGCACAAGGTATCAAACATCTCCGACAGAGAGAGCCTAAATACTCACCAAGTGAACGCAAACCTGAAGAGTTTGAAAACGTCAGGTCTACGGGAGGAGGTCACTGGTCGCCAAACTCACCATCTCCATTCTTAAATCCATCAGTGGTCAAAAAAATGACCGCCACTTCCCGTTTCAAGAAAATATTCACTAATAATCACTCTAACGACATAACTGACTCTCCCATGTGCGACGCGAACAATAAACCCTCGATGGATAATACAAACACTCCTGTTAATCTGCACATGAAAATTGCTGCTTGCGGAGCTACTAAGGGTTTCCCCTCCGACTCGCCCTCAAAACCTGTTAAGATTGGGTACGAGCCCAAAAAACCAGAGGCGCTTCAAGTACACTTCACTCCAAGAAACACCGATGGTTTTGTGACACCGGCATCTTTCAAATCGGTGAAACCGCTACAAACAGCTTTTACTTCTACTGGATTACAGAGCAAAAAATCCATTAGTTTGGCCACCAAATTTAAAGCCATGCCTGAAACACCTTGTAAGAGACCACCTCTGAGTACAGTCAATGTTAACGGGCCTCTTGAGAGCGCAATAGCTAACAACTCATTTGGATCATCCAATGCATCAACTGTACTGAATTGTTCAGCTAACACAATAGCGACTTCGTCGGCGGCCAAATCGACAAGAACTGGGAGCAGCCCATCGGAGATAATATCCCCAAACTCGTCCAAAATGACGCCAATCTCAATTGACGGGATCACCAGAGCTCCCCGGAGTAGTGGTGGTACTAATGGTAGTGGGCGCCCGTTGTCAAGAAGTCAGAAAGCAATAAACACATCGGATCTGGAAAGCTGTATTTTGAGATTCACCAACGAATTTGATGATTTATATGATGATGAGAGTCATCATAGTACAAGCATTTTTCGAGATACAAGTGAGGCACAGGCCCATTCACCAGTCACTGGAATAGGGAAGGCTTTGCCTGAGAGCTGCCGCAGACCATTGCAAGACTTGAGTAATACAACCAAGGCTTTTGGCGAGTTTGAAACTCACAGTAATTTTCATAAAGGACGAGCTTTATTTAACCCACATAAGCTGTCTGATGCATCATCGCATCAAGATTTCATGGATGAGGACCTTGATTTGGAGAATATCGATGAAATGAATTTTGATGGATTTTCTGAATTTGAATCGCTGGAGACTTTACCTCCAACTCCTACTCGTTTGGGTGCGACACACAATCAACATGGGGGAAGAGGACCACACAACTACCTAGATGGAAGTACACCCACGAAGCACAATCCAAGCTTGAGAACTACATACTCTAATTGCTCTACACATAATATGTTCATCTCGGGAAAAACGGGAGATTGCATCAATATGGGTCCTCCAAAATTGTCATCCATGACTGCCCATAGTCCCAAAACCCCTGTTGATCCGTCATTCACACAAACTTTTCAAAATACACAGAACTCGGACTCGCATGCTGATTCAACGTTGGATACCTCATCCACGTTCTCACTTCCGAACCACATATCTCACAAACAATCACTACCCTTCGATGAACCTTTGGAAAAGAAAGACCAAATTGATTACCATTTGATGTCAAAGTTTGGAAATTGTAGTTTGATAGGGTCCGGCGAATTTTCTGTGGTGTACGAAATACAATACGAAGGTATCAAATATGCGGTCAAGAGAACAAAGAATCCTTTGGGGGGACCGAAAACCAGATTGCGCAAATTGGAAGAGGTTGAAATATTGAAGACCCTTCAAGCAAAATTCAGGTCTTCAGCAATGGAAGCAGACGATGAGAATCATCCGGATACCGGTGATAATCACGAAAACATTTTGAACCTCATAAACTATTGGGAACACAACTCATTTTTATACATAATGACCGACTGCTGCGAAAACGGATCACTGGACAAGTTTTTAGTAGAGAACGGAAAGGTTTCGAAGCTAGATGAGTGGAGAGTATGGAAGATATTGAATGAAATATTGATGGGATTGAAATTCATTCATAAATGTGGAATATTGCACCTTGACTTGAAACCGGCTAATATATTCATCACCTTCGAAGGATCTCTTAAAATTGGGGATTTTGGTGTTGCTTCCAAACTTCCCATACCTCCTTATTTTGACCGTGAAGGCGACCGCGAATATATTGCCCCAGAAGTGATTTCGAAACACATATATGGGAAACCAGCCGATATATTCTCATGTGGTCTCATCATGGTCGAAATTGCGGCTAACATAGTTTTACCAGACAACGGGACATCATGGCAAAAACTTAGATCTGGCGACCTAACAGATGCAGGGAAGTTGTCGTCTAGTGACTTGACCGACTTGGAAGGATCCATTTTTTCCAGTGCAAACACTTATTCATCGAATCTTACGAATACAACAGTTACCACAGGCATTTCAGCATCACCTACAGAACTGAGTAAAGCGAATCACTTGAGAAGACTGGGAGTCCCTAGTTGGGCACCATCTTGGTTTTGTGATGGTAGTTCTGCCCTTGATAAATTGGTGACATGGATGATCGATCCAAACCCTACAAATAGACCAACTGCGGAAGAGATATTGAGAAGTTACGAATGCACTGTCGTGGAATCTAGAAGGAAAAGTGGCGCAACAATATATGAGGGGGACTTTGGGCCCCAGCCTGATCATGAGGATCTACTTTTAGAGAAGGAAGTGATGACTTCCCCATCCACATATAAAATTGCCAACATATGTGGCAAGTGGAACAGAAAATCCTCGATTGATATGATCCTAGAATGAGCGGGAGCTTACGAATGTAACGATAATGTACAATTATGAGTAATCCAGTAATTTTCGTGATCACAAGTCTTTCTTAAACAAAAAACCATGCCCCAACAATAGACATATCCCGTTACTTTTTAATTTTTCATTGAGCCTAATTAATGATATCTAGTTAAGAAAATTTCGCAGATCATCATGATAGTTAGTAACCAAAAAATCTTGCATTAATATAAACTCTAGTAATTTTTATCCGCAACATAATAATGAACGCGGCTTTAATCATTTAAGTAACAATTTGTGAATCTTGAAATTTAGATGTCCGAAAAGCATATAAATATGGCCAGTTCCGAGGACATGAGTCCCGAGATTAATGAGTCTTCAGTGACAAAAAATCTTGACACGATCTTAATAAACAAAAACCAAATGGAGTCGACTATGAAATCTCAAAAAAGGCGAAACAGGCCATCCTTTGTTTGTATCAACTGCAAGAAAAAAAAGATCAAGTGTGATAAGAGATTACCATGTTCCAATTGCTTGAAGTCACACCTGGCAGAATCATGCCATTACCGTCATTCCCCTGCCAAACACCTTCCTTTGAAAAATAATGTAGGCCGTGGCACGTCCTTTGAAGGACAAGCCGCGCTCCAGAGCGGAGCTTTAACCCAGCAATTGCCTTTGTTTTCAAGTTATTCGAGCAATCGTTCATCCAATGGCTCATCAGACTTCGAGGTTCTTAGAGAACCCAGAAGCCTAACGACTAGCCAAAGAGAGGGGCCCTCTTTGCAGATTGATGTTGAAGAGCTGAAGACTAAAGTGGATTTCCTTGAGGAAGCCTTACGTAACAAGAATGAGCAAATGCGCCCCGACAATCTAGCTCTGGACAACGAAACTGACGGATCGAGTTCTGTTTTTTCAATGAAGTCAAGAAAATTGAAGCTAAACTGCATTTATGCGAAGAAATCTCGATTTCTTGTTTTTGGATTTGCTTCCTTCAGAACTTCCATCGCCCACCAGAAAGAATTGACCTTTTTTCTACATCAATTTGTCGACAGGTTAACCCAGGAGAGAAAACATTGGAAGAATAGCCGCAAAATACCATCGAAGTCTACAATATTTGGTTTGAAGGGAGACGAAGAGAGATTTGCTCAGGAAATTGAGGCTAAGGTACTGTGTCATTATACCGCTATGCTTGATTTGATTGATTACTTCGACCAGCATCTAAACAATTTTTTGATGAACCAGCTAATTGACATTATTCAAGTAAAGTCCCATTTTCACACAATGTTTGTTCGTGATGAGCATGGCAAAGTGCATTACGTGAAACCGGAAAAACCTTATCAGTACTCCAATTTAGCCATGATCTTCGCAATAGTTAAAATTTCAGTAATTTTCATCGACTACAAGGAATTAAGTGAACAGAAAGATAAGCCCATATTCGATCTTAAAGAGTCCTTCACTATATTGGATGAGTGTTGTCAAGCTGCCCTAAATCTTTCGCGGTTCGACAAGAAGCAAACTATCAACGTCATACTGGCACTGCTTTTACGGAGAATATCTCTTCTATATAGTGCAGTCGATGGCGATGGTGGCGATGGTGCAAACTTGCTCCCTGTTATTCACACCGCAGTGTCTACTGCTTTACAGATGGGATTGCACAGGTCTTTGGATTCCATCAACGCAATAACCGGAAAAGCATCATCTGCCACTGGATTTTCACAATCACCGAACATATGGTGCAAAATTTGGGCGCAATTGAAGTTTCTTGATGCTTTTGGCTCATTGTCTGTTGGAACTCCGCTTTTAGTGAATGACGACTTTGCTGATAATAGGGATGCACAGGATGAGCACCAAAACTATTTCATGCCGGAGAGGGACAAGATTACTCGTGATCTTACTGAGTTGTATCGAGAAGCTTCTTTGGTCTTCAATTCGAACCGACCCGCATCTCTGAATGATATGGTACTAACGATAACGAAAATAATTGAATTTGGCAAATCAATTGGCTCCTTTTTAGACTTGATCATGGTTCCAACCGAGGATTCGGACATTGTGGCCTGGAAAGTGAATACCAAATTTTATATCTTGGAGCTCGTGCAAGGTCTATGCACAAATCTGAGACTGGTTATATCAAATCAAAAACTGCTCAAGCAGGAGCTGCAAGGACGGGATCTACACTATAATGAAATCAAATTGTTGGAATTGTTGAATCAAAGATTACTCACCATCTCACTTAAGTGTGCGCTTTTGTCGTCTGTTCTCATGAACAAGATATTACGAGGTGAATCGGAAATTTCAAAACCCAAATACGTGGTTTACTTCAAGCCTCAAATGACCGCCCTCCTGCTGCGTACTTCGTTGACCTTTGCCGCCTCGATTTTCAGCAATAGCACCCAGTCTGACCAGAACATTGACGCGTCTGATCTGATTAGATTTGACAGCATTGACTATAATGCTCTTGAGTTGAGCCTGACAGATACAATGCACGAAGATTCATTGATCAACGATATCATGGCAAAATTTAAACATCCAAAACAGCTTGTGAAATGTCTTTGTGAATTCTATCAAAGCGTTTCGGACCTTGACGAGCTCAGTACAGATTATGGTTTCTTCTGCTGCTTCAAGCTCACTTTGATGCTTTGTTTCGTCATTGACTCGACTAACAAATTGTATATTGAACAGGAAAAAAGCAAAAAGTCACAGGAGAATTTTAAAGTCAACATAACAAGTATCGCAAAGAAGACCAGAGAGATGATTGATACCAATCTGACTTTGGGAGCCACCGAAAGAAACTTACCATTCTTTCAAAGTCAAGAAAGTCTCGACACATATATTAACAACTTATTCAGCTCAGACGTCAACCTGAATTGGTCCCGGGTTGATGCAGGCCAGGAACTTTACGGATTGCCCTGGAATGGAATTACTGATGATGATGCTCAGAAAACCGCTACTAATACGGGAGACCCAATTGGAAACATCTACGGTCAAAATGTAGACGATGTTGAGCTCAGTAATAGATCATACCAGGTATTCTTTTGAAAGATTCGCTTGAATCTGTACCATACTAGCATCAATAAGATACAGAACATTGGATCGAGATTCAATCATTGTGATGAGAGTTTTTCGTATTTCAAAGCAAGCAAATGTTTGTTTCTAGTCAACGATACTCAAGCTGTACAGCAAATGGGATCACCTAAGCACCATATGTGCATTACTAGTATGATGATTTGAAAGCGGTTGAATCAACGATACTAGTCACGGTCTGCTGAAATGGAAAGGTTTGTCTGCATCGAGATCCACTTTGACCCCGGTAGGCCCCATGAGTTTAGAAATGTGCGACGAGCCTCAAAACTCCTCCTAAAATTATACTAGAATTCTACTACATATGAAGAACAGATAATGACGCGATCATGGATATGTGTATTGCCAACATTAATAGAGAGCAAATACAAGCTGACTGCAGCAGATTTCGCAATGAAGAAGATGAGAGGCTGCCGGATCGTGAATGACATTTTTCAGCGGGAAAACCAAGGACGCTTTTTATTCAACAGAAAAGTCTTTTTTTCAAAGACTTGTCGGTGGTGAAGATTACGATATTGATGGATGGTGCTTTTCGGGCAACCGATTCAAAAAGAGGGGAAGGTTTGTGATACAATAGTAAGCTACCAAATCTCGCCTATATAAAATTGCTGCGTTTTGAAACTCGGAGATAAGTGATGATTTTACGATGGACCTGATAATCTACTTGCAATTGGAAAATTGTGGAGGAATGAATGCTTGCAGCTAAAACATTGATGATGTCTACACCTTGAATAATACTAATCTTCAATATAGTTCTCACGTGGCTGTGAATTTGACTACTGCTACAATTGGGGACACAGGAACAATGAATTGCTGCTGACCATCAATGTTGTGACAATGTATCCTAAAGAACATGGGATGTTTTGATGGCTCATTTTTGAAAACTGGCAATCACGGGGTTTACGAGCATTAAGATTTAATTCACATGGGTTTCACATGAAGTAGAGCACTAAAAAGTTTGGGTTGCTTCATTTATTATTGAATAAAAGCCTGTACCCCGTAAGAAAGTGCACATCGACATCATATAGGCTTTATCTACTATCCATGATGATCACACGCTGCATTAAGGTTTTTTGCGAGTTGTACTCGATTATCGGGATTTAATCTCTCACCAAAAGTACCAAGACTGATGACTAGCCAAGACCTGAAGCGATGCCTGAAATTTCGAGACTATATATTGAAGTTGCTTCATGTCGAGTCTCCCTCGTAGCTTGGAGGAAAAAGAGAGTAGTTCTGGATCTGTTTTCGCCAAAGAGCGATTGGCCCAAACGATGCTATGCATTTGTAGTGGCAAATGAACTGATATCATAAACCAAACGGCCTACAATGTGCTTACTAGCGTGCCTGTTGATAAATCTGCCCGGAAATTATTTTGCCCGTTAACCATAACCTAGCTAATAAAGCTAATGTCAATCTAAATTGGCCACAAAATAGTATTCTGGATGGCACATCTCGAGATATGAAAAGAGATGACAAGTATCCCGGCACCATGCCAAACGAGTCTAAATAGATAACGTACAGTCACGGCGAGTAGAGAAAATATTTGATCATTTCCACACGTTGCTTCGACTTGGTTTTACAGGACAGATATATCGAAGTTGACAAACCAGGCTAGCTCTGTAGATATCATTGCCCCATATTTCCTCTCCTGGGAACAGGTCCTAAGTAGAGTGACCGCTTCCTAAAAAATGAACACTTTTCTCCAGTCCAAAGGTATAGACAGGTTTTGAAGGCTCATAAAAGTTTCATCATTTATTGAGCAATAGATGCAAGGCTACGTTGTATTCTTGGCTTCCTTTACAGCATCCTTTATGACAAATCGCTGATTAGCGTATCAGTATTGGTATTAAATCATATCCTCCAATTCAAGTTTTGTCCCGAAGATTGATGTGTAGCTGTAAATCAGTTTAGGAAATTTGTGCACAGTAAATACATGTTGTATTTCTTGAACGTGACGTCAAAGTTTATTTTTCATTCAAAATGGGAAGTATAATTAAAAATCCCGCAACCAAATAATACATCCGGTAGCAACAGCTGTTGTTTCGGCTACAACCGTTCGAGTCTTGGAAAGAGTGTATTGCCACTAGAAAGGAGATCATTCGCAGTGAGGGGATTCTTGTGCCTAGTACTTGGGGAGGAATGTGATTTTTCTTAGGACGTTTAATCCATTTGTACGCCGGCTTTACCGCAGAGAGGGGAGTGGGTCTGTGCGCGGCGCATTTATTCGAACGCTCCCTGATGCTCTTCTGGAAATTTTTTTAGAAAATTCTTATTTAAGATACTGATCGCCTAAAGAGTCAGGTCACCATATACAAAATATAGGGTAATAATCTGTGATTCCGCTTGTAACTTATTGCAATCATTTGGTGAATGAAAACCATTCACAAACGAACAGGTAATAAATTACACTCTCTTCTTGTTGATAGCGCATAAGCAGAGGAAATTCATAGATTATTGCCACCAAGCGCCTAGAGCTCACAAAATATGTCAGAAGATTATGAAAACTCTAATCATTTAGTGGGGAAATTGCCACAGGACGAATTGAAGATGACAAGTTCGACAACCTATGAGAGCACAGATGCTGTGACAGCATCGAAGAAACTGAAGTCGAAGCCAACATCCAAACGATTGAATGATGATAATTCGCCAGCAGTCATTGCAATGTCCAATTTGAGATGTCCCTCCCCTCCGCCTATTCTTCAGCATCCCGCTTTTCCGTCACAAGCACATCAATCAGTACGGCCATCTGCCAAAGAAGGCGAACCTTTTTCTGGAGCGACGTCGAACTCTTCACAGCAAGACTCGGTGGACTCCTTGCCTCCGTCTGATACCGCGTCTCCGGCAGTCGACTCTTCAGTTGGTAGAAATGGGGCTTTAGGAGTAGGTGGGTCTGCTAAATTCCAGGAGCAAGGATTAAATGTATCCAGATTAACGGAGTCTCTCAGGAAGACTTCTGCCAAACACGAAGGGCCGCGTTCTAACTCACCTATAGTGAGACATGAGGAAGATGATATTCTTGCAATGCCAGCTCCACAACATCAGCGAACCACATCTATGCATGCTCACTTTTCTGTTGAAGATATCATGAAACATCCTAATGCTCGATCGAGATCTGGTTCAGCATCTACTAATGATTTAGAGGCTCCGCATCATATTGTTCCACCATTGCCTCAGATAAAGCCCAACGAAATTGCACACCCGGCAACATCTGTTCCGACGACCTCAACAGATGTGCACTTGAGATTACCTCAGGATGATGGCAAATTACATATCCTTTTCGGTGCTTGCGGGTCTGTTTCAATCAAGAAAACGCGACTGATCATCAACAAACTCGAACAAATTTACAAAGACAATGTATCTATTCAATTAATCCTGACGAAAGCTGCGGAGCATTTTGTATCAAGGGGTGAATTTCCAGCCAATGTACAGATATGGAGAGACAAAGATGAATGGTCCGTTTGGAATAGCAGGACAGATCCCGTTCTTCATATTGAACTAAGGCGATGGGCAGATGTTTTGATTATAGCTCCTCTGAGCGCTAATACCATGTCCAAGATTGCCATGGGTTTATGCGACAATCTTTTGACGAACGTTGTTAGGGCATGGAATACCCAATATCCAATTATCCTTGCACCAGCTATGGTCTCCTTCGCGTACACATCGCCTGTCACCAAAAGACATGCAAAAACAATCAAAGAAGATATGAAGTGGATAGAAATTTTGAAGCCGACAGAAAAGGTTGTCAGCAGCTATGGAGAAATAGGGATGGGTGGAATGATGGACTGGAATGAGATTGTCGATAAAATTGTTCAGAAATTGGGAGGATATCCTGAAGATGAAGATGACGAGGACGATGAGGGCGAGGAAGATGTAAAACGCGGTGAAGACGAAGAAGATGAAGGAGACGAAGAAGATGAAGAAAAAGATGAAGAAGAAGAAGAAGACGACGATGATGACGACGATGATGGTGAGAATGCAGGGGAGTCAGGAGAGCAGAACGAGCCGCCGTTGATAAGTGGTATAAGGAAGTTAACTGTTGCGGAAGAGGATGAACTTAGCGAAGCGATAGAAAAAGGCAAATACTCGGGTTCATCAAACAACAAGATCATTCAATGAATGGCATTTGGGTTAATATTATCGTTCTCGTGTCCATGTATTGCTAGCCAGCAGGCAATATGTTGGCTTTTTATATTGTATAATAGATAAGTATAGTCGGTCGGGTTATACGTTTGATTACATAACATTGATAAAATTCTGCCCAAAGGAAAAATTAAATAAAGGAGAAGCTCGAGAAAAAGGATCTTTAAAGGCATATGAAACAAAGCAGGCCTAATTGAGAGAATTATTAATATTGGCAGAGACAGATATAAGTGCGAAAAGCATAAATCACCAAGAACTTTTACCAACATCTAATAACATAACTGAACTACTTCGAACTTTGACTGGTAATGATTCAAATATCAACATGTTTTCCATCGTCGTCGTTCGGTACACATCAGGCTTCAACGAAAAGTCTCATCGTGATGCTCTTAAAGCTCAGCACACACACCATTCACAGTGGAAATCATATGTACGCTTTTACGAATCATAAAGACGAACCAATTTCTATAGCTAGCAAGATTATGGAGCTTCTACCTCTTAGCATTCAGGTGCTATTCTCTTTGCTACGAGGGCCATATGAAGAGTCAATGATCTATTCCATGAAGAAGTCTTTAGAAAATATAAGTGAAATACGGCTTGTCGATCACCGTGATACTGAAGATAGTGAAATTGATCTTCGTTCTGATGCGTTCAGGATCTTAAAGCATTTTTTATTAAAGGATAGAAGATATGAAAGCTTTAGATTTGAAGAGGTTTACATCTCAGAATTTGATGATATTGTGAATCTTAGCTGTTGGAAGAGGCTGAAAATAGATTTCTCGAAAGTTAGACAGTTTTCGCACGTTTGGCACAAGGTATCAACTCTTGTGATTGATAGTGATACAAACTTTGAACTAGTTGAAAATCATGATCTATCATCCGTGCTGAAACTTGAAATCGCTGGACCATTGATATCTTTTACGGACATTCACAAGATACTAAAGATTTGCACCCAGGTTCGAAAACTGGTTTACAAAGATCTTAGATTGGATGAAGTTTTACAAGAGGGCAATATTCTATGCCCAAATAATGGACAGACAGAGTTTGATTTGCTGCTCAATAACTCGAGCAGTATCGAATTCTTGAATGAACTCGGTATGCGCAACATCAAAAAATTGAACCTCACTATGACTGACGAAGACACTAAAACATTCGATTTTAATCAGCTTTTAGCTAGTTTGGATTCAGTGGAGGCGGTCACTGTTAACTCTCTATTCAGTCTCTCGTACCTGCGAATAACTGTCGACTCAACGAGCTCAGAAGTACAGTATCTAAATTTTTCACATTGTGAGTTTGAAAACTGCGACTTCTCAAGCTTGTATCGGCTACGGGAGCTGATTTTGCTAGACTGCAATATTGATTCGAGACAGCTAAACACTCTGAAAAACCTATCTAAAGTATCGTCTTTGATACTCATCAATTGCCAAATAAAGTGGAATTCTTTTTGGGAGCTTCCTCCAAACTTGGCCAGCATAATTATTCACAATAATGACTACGAAACTTGCAAAGATCTGATATTTTTGAGTCAAAGTCAACAAAGTAACACCGAAGTGAACTGTTATAAACGGACCTTGAGCATTGACTTGAATTCTGTTAAATTTCAAATTCACTCCCAACTGGAGGGCGTCTTATCAATGGCAAAACTCGACACAGTCAGCATGGTAATGCCGCAAGTTGAAACAGCCGATATTGAGCTGGCTTCGATTCCAAACTTTTACGGCTTTGACTTTAGCTTCTTTGATTCTGGAGACATTCAAATTTCCAGTATGGTCATTAAATTATATTCATTTGGTAACACTTTTCACAAACCAAGGAATGTTCCGGCCAATCTTCGCTGTGAATACGAATACTACAATTTCAACCTGCTGGATTTCACTCCACTCAAGCGGCCGGTAGACTCGAAGTTAAAATTGGAAGATGCAGACATCAATGAGATATCTGATTATGATTCTGACGGACAGCGCGCTGACAACGGATTTTACGTTTCTTCTGACTTTTCGGATAGTGAAAGTGAAGAAAACCGTGACCAAAATAACTCTCGTCAGATAAGATCGAGAAGACTGCGCGCTGCCCGGAATCATAAAAAGCCCGATTCCGAAGAGGAAGTCACTGAAGACAGTGAAGAAGAAGAGAAGAGAAGAAGCAAACTAATCAATACTGTTATATCGTCGAAAAACATTAAACCCTCAATCAATCCTAAGGACCCTGACAAACCATTTGAGTGTGAATTTTGCTCTAGGGCCTTCAAAAGAAAGGAACACTTGAGAAGACACTCGTTGACTCATACCAATTATAGGCCTCATGTGTGTTCTAACTGCAAGCGTGGATTCAGAAGATCGGACAACTTGAAAAATCACGAAAAACGTTGCCTGACCTCAGGAAAAGCTGGTGGTACTGGTTATAGGTTACGAAATGATCCAAATCGACTTGATGCCGAGGAGATCGAAAGAGTCAAGAGTATTGAATATGCCAAGAAAGAAAAACTCAAAAAGCTGAAAGAAATGGGCAGGAGCATCAAACTGGCAGAATTCTACGAGTCCGATAGGTACCAGAGCCCAGTGAGTCAATGCAGATCTGACTCGCTTTCTTCCATCTCCGATAATATGGACAACCAGTCTGATGAGTACGAGGAGAAACATGACATTGACTCCAATGCCTTTGAGGGAGACATATATCGTCGTAAGTCCAAAGTTTTCAAACCTGCTCGGGGAAGCCTCCTTGATAGCGCGTCCTTACAAACCCCACCTGCGACAGCAAATGAGCCGGCCCTACAATCTGGAGATTTGTCAACAACTGAGTCCAGCTACAGAGTAGGACACACGCTGAATCCCAAAAGGCCGTATTCGTCGATTCAAAGCTCAAATCCAGCTATGTTGAACTCACTCGCAGATAGTGATGCAACGAACGATGACCCAAACGAGCAAATGGAGCCCAAGACGGAAGACAGCGAAAAAAAAGTACTGGGGGATGATATAGCTGATGAGGAATCAGACGATGATTCAATCTTCACAAACCCAAGAATTGATAGTAGTGATCCAATCAGATTGTCAATTAAGCAGCAAGTGAGCCAAGAGTTTGCACGCTGCGAACTGATGCCCAACAACACTTACAAATGCTCCAAGTGCTTCCAGTTGTTTACCAAAAGGGGCAATCTGAGAAGACATTTGGTAATCCATTTCAATTTAAGACCCTATGTTTGCGAATGCGGTAAATCGTTCAAAAGATCTGACAATTATAAGAAACATGCTAGCCGGTGTAAGACAATTATTTGCAAACGTCAGAGGGTTGGAGAATCGAAAGAAACAACTGTGAGAACACAATCAATCAGATGTACCAAAACAATAGATCCGACGCAAGCAAAGAGCAATCACGACTTAAGCTCGCTATCTTTGCTACCAAATTCGAGCAACCCAGACATAGGAGAAGTGAATATAGGAAAAGACAAGCTTGCCCTTCAAAACGACGTTTCAGAAGAGAGTGATAACGATAATCATGTTTCTGCAAAGGCCAATGAAAGGAAATTCGAGTGCAATTTTTGTCAAAAGAAGTTCAAACGAAAATATCATTTAAACAGGCACTTGATTGTTCATCAGAACAATAATTTGCGACCATTCAGCTGCCTCAGATGTGGCACTGCGTTCAAGCGAAATGACCTGTTGGAGAAACATATTCTTTACAACAAGTGTAGACAAGCGGCTACATAATGTTAATTTTCAATATGTACACTACCGATCTCTTCCTCCGAATAAAAAAGCAAGCATTTGTCATCTGAATATGCTAAAATCGTTTTTGAGAGCATCAAGTCTTTCTTCTCGAGTACTTCAATTTTCGCGGAACATGCATGTTGATTACTTGCCAATGAGATGGAAATCTGGCGATAATTACTGCTATATCCTCTCAGACGACGAAACCAAAAGATCATGGTTGATTGACCCTGCATATCCATCTGAGATATCGTCGTATCTGTCAAATCAGAACAAAACAGACGTTGTTGCAATTGTCAACACACATCACCATTATGATCACTCAGGTGGTAACGAGGAACTGCTCAAATCTATCTATCCTGGTGTTGACGTTATTGCAGGAAAAGATTCCCCGCATGTTAGTCAAATTCCGAAAGATGGTGAAATTATGGAATTAGGCAAGAATATCAAAATCAAAGCTATCCATACTCCTTGTCACACTCAAGACTCTATTTGTTATTATGCTGAAGACCAGAAGACTGGTCAAAAAGGTGTTTTCACCGGAGACACGTTATTCATTTCGGGCTGTGGTCGCTTCTTTGAGGGTGATGGTGCACAAATGAAAGCAGCTTTCGAAAAGCTACTTGAGCTCCCAGAAGACACTAAAGTCTATCCTGGACATGAATACACCAAGTCAAATGTGAAATTCTCAAAAATAGTTCTGGGACCTAAGAATGAGGCATTGAACGACTTAGAGGAGTATTGCTCTAAGCACGAGGTCACAACTGGAGTGTTCACTATCGGAGATGAAAAACGCTTCAATCCTTTTGCTAGACTCTCTGATCCTGAAGTTCAGCGCTCAACTCAGGAGACAGATCCGGTCAAGATAATGGACAAGCTTCGTCTAATGAAGAACAACTTATGAGTATATAATTACAACGTTTGGATCACACCTAATAAGTTTTTGACACCAGTTAATATGGATTCATCATTGCCTTTTCCAGGAGTGTATTTCGTGTGAGCAAAATCGATTAATCTCAGCAAACTCAATGCTCGGGGAAGATATTCCTCGCTGGAGTCTTCATCAATTTCGATCTCATTTATTAGTATATCTTGATTATCAAGCTCTTCCCAACGCCCTTCGTCATTTTCATAAATCATCAGTAGGGATGCACTAACCATCCTGATCTCGTAATCGAGCAAACAGTTATAAAGAAGTTGCAAACGACGTATGGTATTCTCGAGAACAATCTCTTGTCTCTTTGGTGAAAGATTGTTTCCTCTGAAGAATAGCAACAAAGCATCTTTGACAGAGTTAGGAGTCAATCCTTTTCCAAAGTTTTTATCAAACACCAGGTGATTGTGATCTTTGCGAGCCGCTTTTTTCATATCTGGGCCCTCAAAATTTGTTAAAGATTTGCCTGAATCGACAATTCTCATTCCACAAATACGATAATGTAGAGACCCTGAAGTTGTAGAGCTTGAAACTTTCTTCATTCGTTCGACCTTATCTTCGGTTGCATTTTCGTCATAAAGAACGTTTCCAAGCTTAATGTCAATAACACTCGGGTTTTTGAAACCGTATACCAAATTCTCGAGAACCAAGTATTGTTGACCGCTGTCTGGCTGGGAATCCAGCGAGTCTTGAAGTTCTTTGTTTACTTCCGGATTTTTCTCACGGAGTTCTTCACTTACTCCTGGAGACATTGTTCCATAAAAGATAGGCACCCAATGGAACAACTTTGATCCTAGCTCAATTTCATCGTCAACGTTTTGCATCTGAGCTTGCATTGTGGTATAGAACTCTAGCTCTTGTTTACTAACTGGTTTTATAAACAGTGAACCGTCAACGGATTGCATCGCTCCCTCATGGCCTGCAGCCTTGTGCTCCAGGGGTATGAAAGACATAGTAAATTAAATTACTTTTAAAGCACAGCCTTATATTTTGTTATCATTTAAAATTACATATTACAATACTTATCTTCTTCTTCTAGATGAATTTACGAACCTTCCTCTTCCCACTCTAACGTTGACCGGTTTAATATGCTCAGTTCCAGTGAAAAATGGAGAGACGAAATTATCTGCCGATCCACCACCCACATATTCTTGCATTGCTTTCTCGTTCTGTCGGAGCTGCCACTTAGCATTTTTCAGCGCCTGTTGGTATTCCTTCTGGTCTTCGCGCAAGTAAATATTGTCGAGGTTCGGATTTCCACGATGCTGGTAACCCTGTTTGCCATATTTTTTGGTGTAATTCTTGGATAGTGGAGACGGCAAAGAATACCTGTCACCCTTTCTGTGCCATTCAAAATTTTTCTTCAAATGAGGAACAACCTCTCCCCTGGAATTGACTGAAACCGCACATCTCAGCAAAGTTGCCCCTCCACAGGAAGAACAAAAATGTTTTGGTGTGCCATCTTTCGGTAATGGAATCATGGTAAAACACGCATGACATCTGAGCATGTAGTTTCTCACTCTTTGAATTTGAAGTCCTGACATTGCATTCATCAAATTCAAGCCTATTTGAAGCGAGACATTCTGAACAGCGAAATCGCCGGTTACCAAGGCGACTTTAATCTTGGACATGCTTTTCTCTGCTTCGACTCGTTCATTTTCGTCTTTGAGCATCTCCTCTACTATATTGTCAGGGGTAATCCATTCTCCTTCGTCTTCTGAATCCGAATACGCCTGTGAAAGCTGGCCATCAGTAGATAGATGTCCTAGTTTTTCTGTGATCTGTTGCACTGCCGCATCTCCACTATCATCAACTTCAGCCTGATCCTCGAAGTCTGCCACAGATTCCTTTCCGCCGTCTATCGGCTTCTTTCTGTGCCGTTTTCCACCTCTTCTTGTTTTCTTTTTTGTCTTTTCTGTTGTATTCGGAACTTCCTCATGTTCTCGTGACGCTTCCTCGTTTTTTTCCTCCAAAATTGATTCTATAGCCTTAGTTCCTTCTTGTTCGTTTGGATCCTCATTTCGCTTCTTTTGACGTTCCTTTTTCTCTCCTGGATACGATCTGAGTCTCCAAGGACCGTTATTCAGTTCGCATTCAAGCTCATAAGCAAGAGCCAATATATGGATATCGTTTTGCGACAGCACCATATGATCACCCGTGAGTTTAGCAAAATCAGCCACCGCTTTGATAGCATCGGATTTAGGTTGTCTTATTAATAATCTCTCGCCCCATAAAGCAGCCTGCTTTCGAGCATGCTCATCTTTCAATTCGTTGAAAACTCCTGGAGTTGTGAAAAAGTTTTCAGCATGCTTTTGTAAAGTAGACGCCGACTGCGTGATCAAAGGTCCTGCATCCAACACTAGCGTGTTGACTTTGGACATGGTATCAAAATGCAAAAAAAATTAGATATTAAAAAATATTTTTCTACGGCTGTGCCTGAAGATTTCAAAAGAATTTCGTCCCTTGAATCATCATGCCAATTGGTACCCGAATTAGAGAGGGAGAACTAGCTTATGAGAAAGACGATTTAGCCACTGCATTACTGAAGGCTAATGCTGCTCTCCAAGAGAACCATAACTCATTCAAAGCACTTTTACTTAGAAGCCGCGTTTATTTGAGGTCCAAAAAATACGATTCTGCTTTTGAGGATGCGAACAAACTGGTTCAAATTGCCCAAAGTAGCGGCAAACGGGAAGATCTCGCTACTTCCTATAAACAAAAAGCAATTGTATTGTATAGACAGAAACGAGTTTCAGAGGCTATGGAAGAGATATCTAAAGCTCACACCCTCAATAACAAGGATTCTGAGTGCCTGATGTTCAAATCCATGATCGAGAAAAAGCTTCAAACTGATGCTCAGATTTCTGTGAACGGGCCTGTCTCTGATAAAGAAAAGTCCTTGCTCCAACAAGCCTCGAAACAAAAACCCAAAGTGGATTGGTATGATTCCAAAGACATGGTTAACATCTCAATCTACGTCAAAAATATACCTCCCACAACTTTGAAGATAGATTTCCAAAAGACATCTGTGAGTGTGGATTTTAAAACAAACGAGAACACCGACTTTAGTTATGTTTTGGATCCGCTGTATGGCTCAATTATCCCCTCCAAATCATCGTTTAAGGTTTTTGGAACTAAATTGGAATTATATCTTGCCAAGGAAACCGAGGAGACTTGGAAGGCACTGGAAAAAATGGAAACTAGTACAATTTCACAGGAGACTTGTCCTAGTACTCTTGATTATCCAAGTTCTTCTGCAAAGAAAATAAATTGGTCGAAGTTCAAGGTAGATGATGCCGAAGAAGATTCTAGCCAAGACCCCGACGTCTTCTTCAGGAAACTCTATGAAGGAGCAGATGATGATACGAAAAGAGCCATGATGAAAAGCTACTTGGAGAGCAATGGTACGAGTCTCAGCACAGACTGGAAGGAGGTTAGTCAGAAAAAGGTTGATATTGCTCCTCCTGATGGAGTGGATATCAAGAATTGGTAAGCTTGTTGTTTCATATATCATACACAACAGGTATCTAAAAGGTTTCGGTATCCCAGTTCATGGAAACGTCATTCAATAAGGTTTGCTGAGCTCTTCCGGGAGATTTGTAAGATCTTGGACTGATATTCTCTTTGATCTCCTCACTATAATCAATCATCGAGTCGCTTAGTTCAGCAACAGGTATAATGTTCGGTGAAGCAGGGCTGTAGGATGGTCTCACTATGCTTTCATTAACGCGTTCATGAATTAAAGATGAGGACGGGGAAGAGCCCTTGAGGTGAAAATTCCGTGGCTTAAGATCAGTGCTTTCAGCTGGTCTTTGGATGGTTGCTTTTGAAGGTGGGACTCTTGTGGGTGGAGACAAACTAGGCATCTTCAAATGCGAGCGGGCGTGCAATTGAGATTCAGAGTTTTGTCTGATGGGAGATCCACCTTTTATTACAATTGGCTTGTTGGATATAGTCGAACCTGACATGAAATGACTTGATCTGACTAGTGACTGGCTGGCGGGACTAGAGAACACCGGAGGCTCAACTGGAGACATAAATCTCAAATCTGGTGTTATATTTTGAAGTTGTGAAGCCTTCACGTACTGACGAGAATGAAGGGGTTTTTTCAAAGGAGAGCTTTCCCTGGAATTGAATGGATTTGTCATATTGTCGGTGTTCTGTCTCCTGATAACTGATCCGAAACTGGCCGGAGAATTATAAGTGTTTGAAGTCACGGATCGCGATGATCGCTGAACTGTCAATGGCAACCTTGATTGTATGTTGTTATGGGGTTTTCTACGCGCGGCAGCGGTCGTTGGTTCCCGCTTGTATACTCTGCAAGAATTGTTGGCAGGCACAGTTTTGATGGGGGACCTTCGAAAAGTGCGTTTCCGACAAATTTCAGATTCAATCTCCTCCAATCTTGAGATGTATGGTTCTCCGTTTACTTTGAATGCGCGGCCTTTTTCGATTTCAAAAGTGCTTAGCTGCACTTTCAGATCTCGAATTGTTGATGGTAAATGTCTAGCCAGTTTTTCCCTTATTTTTTCTTCATGCCTCAGTATCTTGAATGAGTCTCTTTTCAATAGTCTATTTGGATCCTTAACAGCCTCATCTAAGTAACTTTTCTCTCTGAGAAGGTCGTCTAATTTGGTGATAGATTGAAGAAGGGGCTTAAGTTTTTCAACCTCTTCTCTCAATCTCGCAATTTCTTGATTATGTCGCTCAAGCAAGTCCTCGTTAAACTGGTCAATGTCTTCGTTGTAAAATGCTTCAAACTTCAAGCGGTCTTCCTCGTCATACATCAAAAGGTTCCAATACCCAAGAATCCTCAAACGGCTTGTTTCAATGAATTTTGAAATATTCTTTTTCTTCTCCTGTTCGAGCTCTTCCACAAGAGCCTCAAAATTACTGATCGACTCACGCTTTATGTTTCGGTTCACTTTCAAAAATTCCTGTATGGAGTTATCTTTTGGTCTGAGGACAGCCCACAAATCTTCCAGTTTTTCCATTAGATCACCGAGCCGTCGCTCCCTATTGCATTTTTCGTCCATCAGGATTTTCAGTTGATCATCGTACTGTTCAAAGCTCGCTTTTTTGATACCTATACGCTGTATCAGTTCTTCATCAGAATAATGCTGAAGGTCCAGACTAACTTTTTCTTCTAACTCATTTTCAAGAAGTCTTAGTTTCTCCATGGTAGTTCTCAACAATGAACACTTCTGGCTGATAAAGTTCTCAAGCTTCTGCGTCTCTCTTTTTATCTTCTCTTCAAGCGCGGGGCTCGAGCGACTGAACTTCGTTGACATGATACCTTTGATGTCATCGACTTCCTCTATTGTAGAGTATTTTAGGCTTTCCTCTGGAGACGGAAGTTGCTCAAGGAATTTCTTATTATCGTAGTCATCCACAATCTCTAACCTTGAGTAGAATCCTCTTATTTCCTTTGAAATCCCCACAATCTTTTCCACAAGAATCGGTTTAAGTTTGAGAATTCCGTTTTCGACCTCTCTATTGATTTGAGTCATTGGTTCTGCCTCATTACAATACTGCGCCAGATTCACAAATCTATTTTGTCTGTAGTCGTCGATCAGCTTTTGAACCCTGCAACTCAATAGGGAGCCGTCCTGTGTCTCGTTCTGGTAGTTCCTTAGAACTTGAAAGATCCTCGCTATTGTGTCTAGCGAGTTTATGAATTCCTGATTCAAGCGACTTTCCTCCTGTTTAAGCTCGGATTGGTAATTTGTAAGGATTACGTGAATAGACTCAAACCATCGCTCTAATTTACCTTCCTGCTCTCCAATAATTAGACCTAGTGTTTGAATATCATGTGAAACCTTAATGATCTCTTCGATGTGCAAATGCAACAATGGTTTCGGTTTGCTTATTAGCACGTCGTTGTTCGTTTCTTGAATAATTCTGGCTATAGACCCTAGCTGATCTTCAGACAGATCATCCAAAGCGCGAACCATGTCCCTTTTGAGTTTCATATTGTCACTGGTGTTAACATTCATACATTAAGCAACGGTTTATTTATCAAACAATCCTGTGAGCCGTCGTGTTTTAAATGTTTATAATAAAATTACCTGGAATTTTTGTTTACAAAGTTCCTAAATGGGTAAATGAATTACATCCAAAATTTGCAAAAAAATTGTATTTTAGCTGGATTATGGTCATACTTCCTACCCAAGCTATTGATCGCACAACAATCTTGCAAAACGATGAACTGAATTCGGAGCCATGAAACAATTCCGTTCACATTTAGCATTGTTTTGTGCAAAAGCTCACAATCTGTGTTAATCGAAGAACAGCTGAACATGCTATTTAGTTTTTCCGTCGAGTAACTGTCGAACGTAAGCTCATCGCGTGTTTGGAATCTACTAAAAGGTTATCATATCGCTTAACGCAAGAGCGAAGAGTCTATTTAAGCAGGATGCCTCTCTTCGAATGAAGGATTTCCATTTCTATCCTCCCTGTGGATTGTACATATCTTGCAAATGACAGTACGCTTTAAACTAGTTCGTTACGAGATCGCCATCGGTTCTCTCATTGTTGACATCATCTACTGTTCGCTCCATTTATTGGTGAGATCCGATATATTACAATGTCGATGGTTGTATAGTGTAGTGGTTATCACTTTCGGTTTTGATCCGAACAACCCCGGTTCGAATCCGGGTACGACCTTATTTTTTGGCAAACTCTAGTACCTTTCTTCCCTTGATATACTGGAGCATAAACAATTATACCCTATTTTTGAGATAGTATATAACGTCATCGTATAATCCGTAGTGCATTTCGTCGTCATCATAAAGATATGCCACACTGGCAATATTCAAAGCAGATTCCAGTGGTAGAGTTCGGCCAAGTTTGAGCAGAGCGGTCCTGCAGAGTACAGCCAACTCTTCAAATACCCTGCTTTCAAAGTTGGTGGTAGTGCTAGTTTTGTTCACTATGCCTTTCACTGGATTCTCTTTCCGCCTTCTATAAATTGATTCATGCTTTTTTATTAGCTCATGATATTTCGTGATCAGGTGCTTTGACAAGTCACAAAACCTGTTTGTTAGAAACACATTGGCATAACTTATCAACGTATGAATAACGCTCAATGCCGAAATTGCCAACTTGGGATCATCGTTAGTGGCAAAACTGGCTGCTGTAGGCCAAATGGAAGCAGCAATGGGAAGGAATTTTGAGTTCTCAGTAGCCAGTATCGGAATTAGTCTATTCATCAAGCCTAATGCAGTTCCTGATACTCTGATAGAACGGTGTTTGGACAACCGCTCGCTGTACTGCAAAATATCCGATAGGGTTTTATACATTTTTGGTGAGATTGGCGATGTCCACTTTGTGTCCTCTTCCGGAGACGGAACAACTGAGATCATCTCGGCGTCCGATTCATCGTCGCTATCAACCTCAAGAATTTTATCTTTCTTTATTGGTTCCTCAATTATTTCACTCTCAGCCTCTTGATCGTAGTCCATGATTTCAGCTTGCTTTTCAACAAAATTGAAAACCTGCTCAAGATTACTCAAGCCCCATGGTTCTGGATAAAGCACGCTCACAGTTTCGGAATTCTGTTCGAAATTTCTCAAGCTCACACCCGAAAGGACATTCGCATAGATCTGATCAATAATCTGATTGAACACAAAAAAAAACCCCTCACAGAGAGCGGTATATTGATGATAGAGATCAAGCAGTGTGAATATAGTAGTTATTATATCATCCATTTGCGACACAAGCTCTGTCCCTCCAATTTTTATGAGGACGCCCACGATCATGGGCGTTCGAGGCGTAATGGTTTCGCTAGTCATGTTGATTGATAACTTGTCCGCTAGATAATCGCAGTTTTCCGAAATGAGTTTTTCGACAGAGCCTTCGTACAATTGATCCGCAATTCTCAATATCACTTTCTGAGCTTGCAAACGAATTAAGTCATTGGGGGATGCAAGACTGTCTACCACTGGATAAAGGTAGTCGACAAGTTCCGAACGAAAATCATCTCCAAGAATGTCGCACGCCTTCTCGATACATTGCAACCCAACAATTGTTGCCTTGGTCAGAGCAGGATCTTCATGGATGGCAGCAAAACTTAAAAGCTCTCCAGCTTTCTCCAAGAGGCTGTAGGTAACCTGTGTAGAGCTGCTGTCTTCGTTGTCTTTGTAGTCATCTGTAAAATATTCATCGTGATCCAGACTCGTCTTCTGTACTGAACTCATGACAAGCCATAAGCTCATGGATTCTGCCAGCGCCAAATCAACCGAGTCAGTAGGTGGCAAATCAATTAAGATGTACTGTAAGGATTTTGATCCCCTTTGTCCTAAATAGGAGAGCATGCTCATCAAAGATTTCTCAACTTCCACGTCGAGTATGTCGTCTAAAGGCCACACTTTTTCAGACACCTCGAAATTGGATGTCAGGACTATTGAAAGCAATTCATCACCATAAGACACTTCAATTGGTTTTCGGTGTTTCTTTTTTCTATTGAGTAGTATCAGCTCGTTTCGGAGAGTAGAAATCAATTTTTCAGCCAGCACTAAGTAATCCCAATCAAAACCTGAAAGAACCGAGAAGTAGAAACAAAATTTGTTGAATAGTCCAACTCCTTTAGAAGAGTCGGGTGATCTCAGAGTCACGCTTATCATCCCAATTCCCTTCTCCAATTCAAGTTCAATCAATTTGAGAATTTCTGGAACATGAGAATTGAAAGCTAACACGTCTGTAAACTTTGAATAATAATCCTCGTTGTGGCATACTTGCGCCAAACAGTCAAGGATTTGCGGTATCAGTGTCGAACAAGATAGAAAACAGCGGCTGATTATTGAAGAACACAGTTTGAAATACTGTTCCTTCACATCAACTCGGTCGTCTTGGTTTAAAATAATTCTGAACGCTTTTTGAAGCTGATATATGGTAGCCTTCAACCAGCTAGTGGTTCTGTGCAGTTTTTTATCACCAGAGACAGCAATTGTAATTTGAACGCTATGCTCAACGCCCATGTCGTGTTCTTTGACATCGTCAAGGGTCTCCACTTTATGGATTGTCTCAATTCCTAGATCAAAGTCATCAAAAACAAAGCATATCGCGGTGGTCAACAGTTCGAGCGACTTTGCAACCACCTTCTGACGCTTCTTCTGCTTCAACACTTTGCTGATCGCAGAAACTACCCCAGGTAGCATAAATGATAGAATTTCACCATCATGGAACATGTCGAATAGATCATTCAAAGTCTCCAAGCTTTGAACTTGAATTTTCACAGATTGTCCTTTTTGTATAAACATCAACAGCACGGTGACCATATGTCCCATAGAAGGCATAATTTTGGGATCGTTCAGGAAGTCGCCTGAGTATTTGGAGCCTTGATTTTTGATCCCAACCAGCAGATTCTGCAGACAGCCAATTCCATTCAAAATCGTCTCATCATCATGCTCAGGAAGTTCGTTCAAATTCAAGTTTGGCTTTCCCCCTATCAAAAATGTGATCAATGGCATAAGCTGCTGTGCCATCTCCATTTGAAGAGAGCCTGGAAATGCCCAACATCGTTTGATAAGCGTATTTATAATTGACAAAGTATATTCCAATTCCGTCTCCTCAATCATGGGACGCTTCAACAAGTACGCTATTGGTACGAAAATGTAATCTGCAAGACTTGTGGGGATCCCGTAAGATATTGCATCCGGTGAGCTATCAATGACCCGGGTTAGTTCGGAATCAAGTTGTTTTATGGCAGCCACCAGTTTCCCCGAAGTGAATGTTCCTGGTGGTGCAAACGTGACTTGTGAAAGATCTACACAACTTTGCTTGATTTCCCTGAAAATGAAAACCCCTATATCATCTGGACATGCAGAGCCAGAAGGCATGTTCAAGAGATTATAATATAGTTTTTCGTTTGCATCTCTACACCGATAACTGTTAATAGAATTTCTCGCCGAAAAAATTTTCAACAATTATCTTTCCATCAAAGAAGCAAGTAAAGAGTACGTACACTATCTCTTATTTGCAAGTGTTCAAATTGGTTTTACATCAAGGCAAAAAAGCAAGCTGGTTCAGAAATTATGGTTTCTTTTGAGTTCAAACATTGGGTGTGCTGAAAGGAAAGGTTCAGTGCTTTTAATGTAAGTGCGAAAAAGAACCACAATACTCTGAAGCAGAAAGACGTGTAGTTGGTGATTCAACTACATTGAGATGCTCATGAATCCACAGGGACACTCATGCAGCTTTTATTGGGTTTTTGCCTGGCACTAACTATTTTAGAAAATGACTAGAACCTCCGTTTTGGCCGACGCTCTCAATGCTATCAACAACGCTGAAAAAACAGGAAAAAGGCAGGTCCTTATCAGACCATCATCCAAAGTCATTCTCAAATTTCTCCAGGTTATGCAAAAGCATGGTAAGTACCTTCCACCGGAATGATAACTGGATGGCTTGTCGGTCTCAGTCCCTCGCTGTCTTTTAAGTTTCCGGAAGATCGATGCAGGAAATGCTTCTTACACAGCATCGATATCTGATTATCGGTGACTGTTTACTTTTCCTCGACATTCAACCTTCTTTAAATTCTAACAAGTTTAGGTTACATTGGAGAATTCGAGTACATCGATGACCATAGATCGGGAAAGATTGTCATTCAATTGAATGGTAGACTGAACAAATGTGGTGTTATCAGCCCAAGATATAACGTCAAGATCAACGACATTGAAAAGTGGACTGACAGCTTGCTTCCAGCCAGACAGTTCGGTTATGTAATTCTCACAACTTCCGCTGGTATTATGGACCATGACGAAGCTAAGAGAAAACATGTTGCTGGTAAGATTTTGGGATTTGTGTATTAGGCTAGATAGCTTTTGTACCTAGTATACCTTCATATATGATTGTTTTGTTACAATATTGGCTGTGCAGAAAGTTTTGTGATCAAAGAGGATCAGCGGTTATCCTTTTTTTATTCTTTGAGACCCATATCATACTCTCTTGAATATCTGATGTTTTCTACTCCTAAAATAGTGTTTGCATTCTTGCTTGCAACCACTGTGTTTTGTGCAGTTCATCCCATTGAGATTAGAGAAAGGCACTTTTATGATTCGGTTACTGGAAAGCCTGTGAGTATTCCCGCTCATTATTATATCTAATCAGCCAGTTTTTTATCAAAGGAGTTGATTATCAGCCCGGTGGATCCTCAGCTGTCAACCAGATGAGCGATCCCCTATCAGATGTCAGTAAATGTGCCAGGGATATTGTTTTGTTTCAGATGTTGGGAATAAATACCATTAGAGTGTACTCTATCAATCCTGATTTGGATCATGATAAGTGCATGACACTATTGGCTGCAGCCGGTATTTATCTTGTGCTGGATGTGAACTCACCGCTTCCGAGCCAACACCTAAACAGGTATGAGCCTTGGTCCACTTATAACACCGATTACCTTTCTCATATTTTTAGAACCGTGGAAGTTTTCTCAGGATACAATAATACTTTGGCGTTTTTTGCTGGGAACGAAATTGTCAACGACAAACTATCTGCAAAAGTTTCTCCAGCTTACATCAAAGCTGTTGTCAGAGATCTCAAAGATTACATCAGCTACCAGTTGCCTCGTAAAATTCCAGTTGGCTATTCCGCAGCAGACGACTTGAGCTACAGAGTATCGCTTGCCAAATACTTGGAATGCTACGAAAACAGCCCCTCCGAGAGTGTTGATTTTTATGGAGTTAACACTTACCAATGGTGTGGAGAGCAGACTTTCCAGTCAAGTGGCTACAACATTCTGGTTAGCGATTACCAAGATTACAGCATTCCAATCTTCTTCTCCGAATATGGATGTAACGAAGTTCTTCCAAGACAATTCACTGAAGTATCCAGCATCTACTCAAGCCAGATGTCCTCTGTTTTCTCTGGTGGTCTTGTATATGAATTTGCTCAGGAGCCTAATAATTATGGCTTGGTTGATTACGATAAGGATGGTAACGTTCTTCTCTTAAGCGACTTCCACGCTTTCAAAGAGCAAATGTCCAAAGCACCTGACCCGCCAGCGCCTAAAAGGCCTACGCTGCAAACCCAAGGCAAAAGTGATAGTGGACCATTTGGCAAAGGGAGCCGCAACAGACATCAAAAGAGTAAAGTTTGTGAGGTGCAATATCAAAACCTTGACATCACAAGTGGTGTTCCTCGGTCACTTGGGGCTGACCTTATCAGCAGTGGTGTGAGGAAGGCATCAAAGGGCAAGTATGTGTCAGTCACAGAAGAAGACATGACATCCAAGTATAAAATCTTTGATGTGGATGGCAAGCTAATCCTGGAGAACGCGAAAATCAAGGTGGTGCCCGAACCAAGGGTGGAAAGCAGTCCTATTATCTGGAATAACCGTAAGTTGAAACTATTAAGACCAAAGTATGACGATTGAGAAAGCTTATTGGCTATCCTTATAGTACTTAATCGCATATACTAACTTTCTCAGGGGCTTCTAAAACTAAACTGTCGTTGCTTCTAAACGCCGTTTGTGTTTGTCTGATGGGATTCTTTGGGAACTATCTATGATGTTCGCTATTTGAAGATGGATGATAGAGATCTATGTCACCGCTTTTACCCCCTGATTTCTTGACAACTCGACAATCGCTAATCCTCATCATCTTGTCGACAGCTTTGCACATATCATAAACGGTAAGCAGCGAAACTGTTGCACCTGTTAATGCTTCCATCTCAACCCCAGTTTTTCCATCACAGTGGACCTCACAACGTACTTTGACAGAAATTTCTTTCTTGTTGGGAGTCAAGTCAACCTTGATTCCAGTGATGCTGATTGGATGACAGAGCGGAATCAATTCAGCGGTTTTCTTCACAGCCATGATACCTGCAATCCTCGCGATTGAGATCACATCTCCCTTCTTGTTGCTTTCCAATAGCAGCGAGTTCATCGATTCTGGGTTGCTGAATATGATAAATCCCTCTGCAATAGCACTCCTATGTGTGACTTCTTTTCCATGAATCGCAACCATTCGGGCTTCGCCTTTTGAGTTGAGATGGGTTAATTTGCGAGAAGTAGAGTAGTATCGTTTGGCGTTCAGGCATGGTTTTGAGACTTGACATGTTAGTATTTGTTAACGAGCGAGCAGTCAGCAGCAATAAATAACTCTTAATAATTCATTCACCCTCCAATCAAAATCATCGGTCTATTGGGTTGGTCTCCTAATTCATCAATTCCTGCATGTTTCTCCTTTTTATTTCTCACTGCTTCGCCAATGCGCTGCATTAGCTTATCATCGCTATATCCAGCACGAAGCATATCTCGCAACGATAATTCTGTGTTATCAAACAGACAGACTTTCAAGTTTCCGTCAGAAGTGATTCTCAAACGCGTGCAAGTACTGCAAAAGTCCGAGGTCATGGATGTTATGAAACCTATTTTCCCTTTGAATCCAGGGATTCGGTAGACTTTGGCCGTGTCGCCGTGTTTATGGGGAAGTCTTTCGATATTCGGATGTCTGACCTTGATATTGGAAAGTATGTCTTCGTATGAGACCAGCTTATTTGAAGACCATTTGTTTCCGTCGAAAGGCATGTATTCTATAAATCGGACCTCGACTTTATCCTTCTTGCTGAGCTCGACAAAATCCAAAATCTCATCTTCGTTCAAATTCTTCATCACTACCACATTGATCTTCACCTTGGGAATGTCCAATTCAAGAGCTGTTTTCAAACTTCGCATTACTGCGCTGAGTCCATTGCGTCGCGTTATCAAAAGAAACTTACCATTGATAAGAGTGTCAAGACTCAAATTGAGCGATGTGAGCCCATGCTTGAAGAGATCTGGTAATTTTCGATGGAGTGCTAGACCATTAGATGTCATACAAATCTCCTCGATACCTTTGATTTGATTGAGTTTGGACACAAGCTCAACGATATCTTTTCTCACCGTTGGCTCTCCGCCAGTCAATCTTATCTTCCGTACTCCGTGCTGTGCAAAAAGACTGGCCAGTTTGACTATCTCCTCTGTTGTGAGCATATGTTCCGGTGGCGACAAGTCAACGCCTTGCTCAGGCATACAATAAACGCAGCGGAGATTACATCGTTCGGTGATCGAGATGCGAAGATAATCGTGCTTGCGTCCATACGTGTCGGTCAAAAAGTCTTTCAGATGCCTTACAGGCATGCGCCTCAGTCTTTCAAGCCGTGACAGGTGCTGCGAAGCTCCCGTCGAATGGAACCGCCTCAGCAGTCTTGATGTTATCATTGACAAAAAAAATATTTTCCCAACCTAAGAAGATAAACGAAATGACTCGACGTCCGTCACGGCTGACTCTGCTGGAGACTTCCGGACAAAAGCTTGACATCAGAGCTCATCAGCGTACGTACCAAGGAGCATATATTCGTACCTGTCTTGGATGTCTATCGTTTTCGCTGATTGTGCTCAAGCTATTTACTGCACAGTTTTACCATATCGGGTTAGTGTTTAACTGCTATGGACTGCTTATCTGTGGCATCGCATATCTAAGATCGAAAAACATGGACCTGTACTTCCACGGACCCACAAGAGAAATTGAATGTTTCAAAACAAGTGGAAATGTTGTTCTATGGTTAACAGCAATAAGTTTGGGATGTTATATAACTCTACTTACGCTCATCTCCAGATTGTAATGCAATCCGCTTCAGCTATTCCAATTACTTATTCTTCTTTGATTCCACCAGTGCCGCTGATTTCAGCCTTTTCGATGGATTCCTTGTCCGTTTTTTGTTGAGGTGCACCAAGTCCGCCAAACAATCCAGCACCGGCTTTGAATGGTCTCTTGAGATCCCCGGTTGCAGGCTTGCCGAAAACGTGGATCTGGACCAAGTTGGACTCGAAGGCACTCTTAAGAGGTGAAATAGATTGCATAAGCAATGGGTTGGCATATTTCATGTACAAGTGCATGAATGCCATCATAGCCACACCAGTGAAAACACCTTTGACGGCACTTTGAAGTTGCTTCAAATCGTAATCCTTAACGGTGGTAACGATGAGCTTAGACTCGCTCTCTCCTTGCAACGTGCTAGGAGGCTCCAAGTACTTCAAGGTGGTGAGGTCGTTTTTCTTGATGATGATGGATCTCGTATAGAGATAAACACCCAGTGTCAAGAGCGTACAGGTAATGTACAAAGCTCTGACGTAAAAAAGAATGTTTGGGTCTTCGAAGTCAAGTCTACGAGAGACTTGCATCATACCTAGCATGAGAACAAGGTTGGACACGGCGGGATTCATTCTGAAGGCGAAATGTCGAGGTGGACAAAAAAAACAAAATTTTCAAAGGCTGTGAAAGATAAGAGAGAACAAACGCAGATGGGAGAACAGAGAAGCACCGTAAACAATCTTTAATAATAGCTTTTTAGTTTGTACTACGTAGCAGAGCACTATTTACCGGTAACATTGTAAGAACAGCCGTGAGACATATCCCCAGCTTGAAATCTGTGTCTTGTGCGTCGCGCACTCGACGGCTGTGTATCTGCCAAACAGCGTGCCACTAATGATCAAGCATTTTTTAACCAAGAGGGCAAGATAGGGTTTCAAGTTTTGTACTCTTTTTGGAATCCGCACTAAACTCAACTTATTGGCCCTACCAGGAACTGCTGACTGGACAAGGCCACGAGAAGGTGTGATCGATTCGAGGAGCTTTCGGATTTTTTTCGTTGTTCGCAAAAAACATCAGTGCTTAGACGCTACCTTGTTAACAAAACTAGATTTGAGGTTGTTCTGATCTGAACTCAGCATCATTTTTACTCATTATGGGAGACTCTGCACCTTCAAAAATCGCTTCAGCAGCTCCTGAAGTGTCAAATTTGCATCCAGCCCCGCCTCCAGAGGTGAATCCTTGGAAGAAGTCATTGAGCTCGCCACAGTTAGCTCCACAAAAAGAAAGCATCAAATTACCAGATTCGTTGACCGTGCCAGCAAATGGAAAGCCGCAAGTCCAACCTGCTGTTGCAAAGGCCAAAAAGACGGGGAAACAAAAGTGGGTACCTTTGGAGGCCGAAATTTCAGTCTCGTCCCCTACCAAAACGAAAAATAAATCAGCCAATGGCAACTCCAAGAAAAAAGACACAAAGCAAAACCAGAGCAAACGTACGAATCGCAAGAAGCCCGCATTGCCTTCTGATCAGCAAGAGGAGAAGAATGTGGGGCACGATACAACCACGATAACGACAATTTCAGATATGTCCAGTGCCACAACCGAGGGTACAGATACTTCAGACGAAAAGACATTGGCGAAGCTTGCTTCCCAGCTTACAATAAGCTCCTCCGAAAGGCCTGAGACAGCACCTCCAACTTCTGGGTCGGAAGCCACGTTGGACAATGGTTTCACGGAAATTGCCGCCACTACTCAAGACCAAGATTCAGAACAGTACAGAGATCCGCATATCCAAAGGCATCAAAGGAGCAAAAGCTTCAATGGCAATAACATGAGATACGACAAAAAAAATAGAAACCTTTATTCTCGTTCATCGGCCAACTTACCTTCGCTTCCTCCATATCCAATTCTTTCCTCGACGCCCTACTACGTGCCCTATTACATGCCGCCTGTACCACCATATGGAGTTTCTATGTCGCCCACTTCATCGCGGAGGAACAGTCAAATGAATTCGCAAGCTTCTTCTAGGAGCTCGCCCAAGTCCACCAATGATTTGAGAACATCGACCACAGGCGAGCGTAGTTCGCATCATGCAAGCCCTAGCCGGAGCCCAGAAACTGTTTCTCCATCAATATATGGAGATCCAAACTTATACTATGGTGTGATGCCTGGAATTCCTCCTCATGCCGGATCCCCCGATCCAGGTTCCCCAGTTCCATACTTCCATCCATACTATATGCCTCCTCCAACACCTGGGTTCCCACTGTACTCCTCGCAAGCCCCCTATTCACCGACGTATCCAGGAACTGCTGAGAACTATGGCGATGATAAGGTTGGACGCCTAATTAAACAGCTGGAGTACTATTTCTCCATGGAGAATTTACTGAAGGATATCTATCTCAGAAAACATATGAACTCCGAGGGGTATGTGAGTGTTGCGTTTATAGCGGGGTTTTCCAGAGTGAAAATCTTATCTGAAGGAGACTCCATTTTGATACTACAAGCATTGAAGAGAACGAATTTATTAGAAATGTCTGGCCCAGAGAAATCTGAGGTGGTCAGGTTGAAAGAAGGCTGGGAACGGTGGGTTCTCCCTCAAGATCAGCGAGAACTATGATGGTAAAAATCACGAAAATGCTTATGTGCTGTTTAATAAATTACATGCGAGTCAAGAGAAAATTCTCTTGTTCAAAAGTCGAAGTTCTGTCAAGCGACGGTAGTGGAAGTCTCGAAAGTTTCGTGATTTCAAGATTCTAGCGTCTTCATCGGCTTCCAATAAGTATTGATATTTTGGTTTCGACTTATCAATTCTACTTTTCAACAGAACCAACTCCTCGTTTCGAAGGACATCCAAATCAAAAACTCCATTCAGTTTCTTGAAGAGAAAAAAGCTTTTGGAGCTGGCTAATATCTCAAAGTTGATGTGCACCAACTGGTCCTCGTTGTTTGTTGATGTTTGAAATGTTTCCCTGTTAATTTTCGAATATATGCTTTTGAAGCTTTCAATGTTGAGAAACTGGGCGTGTTTGAAAATATCGCTGTAAGTGCTGCTTAGTGATATCAATGTTTCCGACACCGACGATTTCAGATTAGAGAGCATTGAGTTTCTGAAACAACTGCTGGAGACTGAGCCGACCGTGAAGTTCACAAGTCGCCTTGTATTGAACAACTCCTCAAGAACCTCAAGCAATCTGTGATGGTGGTGTATAAGGACAAGCAAGAAGGATGTATTTGAAAGGGAATCCATGAGCTGAAGATTAAAGTTGTACCAGGTTTTCAGCTTCAGTTCACATAAGGAAAACTGATCGGCCAAAGGTGACTTGCCACCAAAGTGTGCAACAGACTGGAAGGCACTCGGTTGCACACTCGGCGGACAGTCTAACTGGCTGGTGAGGGACATTGTGAGAATTGAAGCGAAAACAAAATGTCTTCAAGCGCAAACAAAACTTTTCAGATGACTCACGGATATTTAAAGAGCACGGCCCAAAAAACAGAACACTCATTTATTTTAGGGTTTTTTTTAGTCAAGCCGCCCCGCCACTTGGCTGTCATGTACCAACGGGTTCACACGATTTAAATTGGATTTCTGTAATCTGACGTTAAAATGGAGCTGCCCACGTGAACCAAATAAGGGGAACATTTTGAACACAGCCTGAATGTGCCCTTCAAAGATAAGAAGTGTGAGATCGTAGGTTTGTAGCTTGATTATGGAACTGGACAGTGAGGATAGCAAGGCGGGACAGACTGTTGTCGTTTCCAAAAGTAGAGGTAGCTCTCTGAGCAACACCACCAATCCATTTCTGGACCCTTTTGTGGCCAGCTACTGGACCAAGGTCTACAAGGATTGTCAGTATGAATGCAGAGAACGGTTTGATCCTGAGTTCACGTGGACTCCCGAAGAGGAGCGTAATTTAGGGTGGAAGCTTGATATGAAGGTGACTGCGCTTGCCTGCTTCATGTTTGTTGCGTTGCAAGTTGATAGGGGCAATTTGGCCCAGGCCGTTGCAGACAACCTCCTGGAAGACTTGGGCCTCACCACAGACATGTACAACAACGGGAACACCATTTTTTTTATCACTTTCATTGTCAGTGAGGTCCCCTCGTCGTTGATTTGCAAGAAATTGGGTGTCGACCGGTGGGTGCCATTTCTGATGGTTTCATGGTCTCTGGTGGCGATTTTGCAATGCAAAATGACCAACAAGCATTCTTTCTACGTGACCAGAGCGTTCCTAGGACTTCTGGAAGGCGGGTTCACTCCTGAACTGGTCCTGTGGATGTCATATTTTTTCACTTCCAGCGAGCTGTCGATCAAGCTGTCCTACTTCTGGACAGCTTTGTCTCTGACTCAAATCGGAACGGCACTGATGGCTTACGGGATTCTGCGGATGCGCGGTATTCTGGGAATGGCAGGCTGGCAGTGGCTTTTCATCATTGAAGGAGTTTTCACGCTTCTCATTGCGTTGGTGTCTGCCCTGGTGATGGCTCCCTCTGTAGTGCAGACCAGACGGTTCTGGAACAAGAAAGGGTGGTTCTCTGAGCGAGAGGAGAAAATCATCGTCAACAAGGTTCTGAGAGACGATCCGTCGAAGGGCGACATGAACAACAGACAAGGAGTCACCGTCTCGAACCTGGTGTACGCTCTTTTGGACTACAACATGTACCCTCTTTACATTATTGGAATCCTGGCGTACATTCCGCTGAATCTGCTGACAAGCTACATGACTTTGGTGCTAAAGAATCTTGGTTTTACTACCCTGAACGCCGTCTTGCTCACCGTCCCCTACAGTATTATACACATTATTTTACTGATTGCAATCACCTGGCTGAGCGAGAAGGTGAACGAGAGATCGCTTGTGTGCTGTCTATTTGCGCTCTATGAGATCCCTCTTGTCGGCGTGCTGGCCTTTTGGAAAGACTCGATGGTGAACAAATGGGGAACATGGACGGTGTGTACGCTCATTCTGGGGCTACCATATATCCACGCCATTTGCCTGAGCTGGGTGTCGCGCAACTCGTGGTCCCTGAAGACCAGGTCTGTCTCCACGTCCCTCTACTACATGTGTGCACAGATCGGGTCTCTGATCTCGGCCAACATCTACCACGAAAGCGATGCTCCGCTGTACAGAAAAGGAAACACGGTTCTGTTTTGGCTCTCGCTGGCCATGTTGCCCGTTCTGCTTCTCACCAAGGCATACTACATGTATGTGAACCATGCAAGAGAGCGGCAGTGGCAGATGATGGATCCGGCAGAGCGCGAAAATTATATATTGAATACCACCGACGTGGGGTCTAAACGTTTGGATTTTAGACTCGCGCATTAATTTAGCTGCTCCCTAAAAGGGTAATTATTATTAGCACCATGTGGGAGCATCACGGGAATTAAGGCACATGGCTACTAACAGGTTGTGGATAGACTTAGCTGAATACGTGTTTTCCTGATGGTCACAGGGGTGACAGACTACCAGCCGCCGTTCTATATACCGCATGTTTTACGGGCACGAACGAGGCAGTTTTACCTAACGTACAACGGCTGCAACTTTCGGTGCATCACGTTGGAACCACCGCAGGATGTCAAGTACAAGGGACGGTGCCTGTTTGTCCATGGCTACAGAGAGTCCAGCGAGCTACATCTTCGCATGATGGATGCTCTTGCTCTTCACGGCTACGCGTGCTTTATATTTGACCAGCGCCGCAACGGGCTTTCGAGGCCCCGGGGATTTCTTGATTACACCAACGACTACTACACATTCCGGGACCTTGAGTTCTTTGTCAGCTACAACCTGGCCATCGAAAGCGACAACCTGTGTCTGGTCGGCCACTCGATGGGAGGAGCCATTGTCCTTGATTACATGATGAACGGTGCTAGCAGACACAGAATCCGGACGGTTGTGACGTCTTCGCCGCTGCTGCTGCACCGCGACAACAACTCGCTGTGGAAGTTTCTGCTCCTGCTGGTTCTGAGCTACGTTCCGCTGCTCAACTTGTTGACGCTGCAAAAGACGGACGTCGACGTCGTCAGAAAGCAACAGGTGCTGCAAAAAGCTTTGGAAGAGGAGGAGTTCAGAAAGCTGGCTACGAGAAACAGACTGACTAACGACATGAAGTGGCTAAAGGCAGTCAACGAGGTGCGTCTGATCTCAAAGCCAGGGACGATCGAGGAGGTCATACATATTTTGAGGCGCGGCATATACCTGTTGGACAACTGCGATAGGGCCCGTGAGAGGTACGCGGAGCTCAAACGTTGCAAATTCCTGGTGTGCCAGACCTATGACGACCCCCTAGCAGATACTCGTGGCGTGCACAGCTTTGTGAAGGCTATTCCAAAAATCCGGATCCGGTGGTACGACAACTGCAAACACGCCCTGTTCATTGAGCGGAACAGGGTGTTTGAGCGGGTGCTTAGTGACATTTTGCAGACTTTGAATGAGTAGGTCACGCGTACAGACGACATGACTAAATTATCCTTACTGAGCTGTCTGAAATCGTGTATCTTTAACTCGTCTTTCGATCATTGGTAAGCCAATCTGGTTGAGAGGTCTGATCAGTGGTGTCGTTTGAGAGCGCCTGCATAGACAGATCAAATGTGTCTCCATTTGCTCCTGTAGCACGACTGCTCTCCCATGCTCAAATCAGGCACAGATTGAAGCAGAGAGAAGTGTAAGTTCGCTGGAACAATGTGCTAGGTAACTTCAATATAGCTACTATGATCATATATAATTCCTCGTAATTATCTAAGCATAATTTACCTAATCCATTTTTTTCACATTATTCATGTCCTCGATATCTATTCCCGCGACAGATGTCGAATTGACACTCGAACAGCTGGTGAATGTGAGTCTGAAGAAGAACTACACGCCCAGTGCATTTGGGAAGCTGTTTCGCGAGTTCAAGCACCGCGTGGCGGCCAACAGCGACGAGGAGGTCGACCTGCAGTGTCTTCTGACAAATTGCGCTCAATCCCCCCAGAAACTCCGCTACGTGCACGAAATCCTCGTGGAAAATGACTTTACAGGCGCCGTGGATGGGCTCGCCGCGCTATTTGGCAAATACATGGCGCGGATCGGAGAGAACGACGAGCTCGCTATTCTTATCTGGCTGAGCCAGATCTCGGCTAAAGTGCCGTGGAAACAGGCCGTCGACAGTCCTGAATTTGTTGCGCAATTGACTGCCTTTGTCAGGGGCAGCATGCAGCCACAAACCAGCCCCAAAAAGGCCCTGATGATTGCGAAGCTGTTGGTGCAGGTGCTAAAGAGTTGTCCGGGCCCAGACAATTCTTGCACCTCCTTGGTGCAGCAGTATCTCGAGTATCTGGAGAAACACCACGACACGGCCTACCGCTTTCTGAGCAGCTTCTTCCAGAGTTACAATCTGTCCACCATGCAGAAAGACTACACTATGCCCGCGCAGGAGCAGACGGGCCGTGTGTCGAGAAATATTATCAAGGTGTCGAGACTCAAGAAAATCGTCTGGCTGTCGCACCAGGTCACTGTGGCGTTTTCTCCCGTGAGCGAGGCTTTCTTGCAAAGTTTCAAGGGTCTGCTGAACCTGTCTTCGGTGGCCACGTCCACGACAAACGTTTCGATCGCGTTCGAGCTCACGGTGTCTCTATTCGACGGCCTTGTTCTGAGCACTTACAAAACCCAGCACATATGGGAACACTTTATTGTGTCGAAACTGCCGGAGGTGTTTAAGCTGCTGACCATCAGCCAGCAAAACCTCAGAGATACACTAACGAACGCGTTTGAGACTATTAAAAATCACGACGAGCTTAAACAGAAGCTGATGGCTGTTCTGGCCGAGTGCGAGCTCGTGGCTGACGTGGGGGCCGTGCCGTCCGCACAGGACGACCTAGCGCGATTTCAGACGGTGTTTGAGGACGCCAATCCGGAGTTTGTGTCGCTGGAAGAGTCCGGAGCGTGCGAGCTCGTGAGCTCTGTGAGCACGCTGGCCGGCGAGCGGCAGCTGGCGCAGCTGGTGACGGATACTATAGCCCGTTTTGTCCAGGAGGATGACCACGCACGACTGAAACGGCTACTTGTGGCGCTGACAAGCGTCCCGCGCGTGCTGGACGGCGTGGTGCTGCACAGAAACCCGTACAGCTTTGTGCAACCTCTGGTGAAATACCTCGACGCGTCGATCGACCGCGGTTTCGACCAGGATGCGATGGACGTCGACGGCGACTCGTCCAACCTGCAGGACACGCACGCGAACCTGGGAGCGCTGCTGCTGTTTGTGGCCTACTGCGGTTTCCGGTACTCGCTGAATCTCAAGCGTGAGCACGCCGGCTCTGAGGCCGTCAGAATAATGGCAGACTGGGACCCTTTGCTGGATACGGCGCTCATGAAGCAACTGCAGGATCCTCAGTCGAGCATCAACACAGTCATGAGCGACTGGGTAGCCTCGCTCTTCGATACCAACAACACAGACGGCGTTTCCGACGAGCTGCTCAAGAAATCTGCGTCGGTGCGCGAATACTACGTGGCGATCCCGTGCGTGGTGGGCCAGGCCGTGCGCGCGTGCCAGCTGGGGATGATCGGATTTGACGACCTTGTCAGCGGGCTCGAGTACTGCCACCAGCCGTTCTTGCTGCCGACGTTTCTGAACGTCGTGCGGCACCTGACTGCGCTCACGTGGACAGAGCCCAGTCTCGAAGTGTCGGTGTGTGGGCAGGTTTTAGACAAGCTTGTGGGCGCCGAGCTGGCGGGGGAGCTGCGCGTGCTGCACGGGATGGTGGTGGAGATTGCGAACGACGACCTATACAATTGTGGCATCAGGTCTTCCGCGGTGCGACCACCAGCACCGGCCACGAGACTCGAGGCTCTTATCGCGTTTGCGATCGACTCCGACGCCTCGCAGACGTTCGAGCTTGTCGACGTGTACCGGAGCGCTGCCGGACAGCAGCTGGATTTTTTCCACCGCGAGCTGGGCCGTCTGCTGCAGGAACAGACGCAGTACCAGCCGTCATTATTTGAGCCGTTGAGCTACGAGCTGGTGGCCACGTTGATGATAAACTACGCGTCGTGGTGCGTGCCGGAAACACTGCAGAAGTGGATGGCAGCGTCCACGGACCCAATGGCCATTTACAATCGCACAGGCCGCGCGAGAGTCAAGATCGAGCAGTCTCCAGCAGAGGACGAGATGAACGACTCGAACGACTCGAACGACAAACTGGGCGACATGACGTTTGACGCAAATCTGTTTGGCTTTATCGAGGAGGCGAAGCTAGACGAGTCCGAGCCGCAGGAGACGCCCGAACAGCACGGCCCGGACCTGTTCCAGGCCAACATAGCGGCCATTGCGCAGGAGTCCAGCACGCTGGTTGCAACCGTGATGAAAAACCTGGCTGTGCGGTACACGCACGACCGGGAATAAATAGGCTAGCGAAAAGAAAATCAAGATAAACTAATGGCTGTTGCTGCGATCGCATTCCCAGAAGACGCAGGGCCTGTGTCGCCGGTGAGGCCGCACGGGACGCTGCGGTATGTGCTGCGGCTGCTTGCGTCGTCGGGCTACGGGCTCGCCGCGTTCTATGCTGTTGTTTTGCTGGTCATCAAGCCGATGCTCAGGCTGAGCTTCGAACGGCGGCGGGATCTGGCTAACCACTGTTTTGGCCATCTGCGCGCTCTGTACGGGAACCTTGTGGACAAGGTCAAGTTTGTGCCGTCGGTAGAGCTGAACTACCGCGGCCTGCTGTATAAGGACAGCATGTGCTCGACAGAGACGGACGAAGACGACGTGGTGGTGCAGGAGGAGCACACTCGCGGGGTGCGTTTTGACGACGAGGTCGCCAGGAGGGACTACAACGAGCTCAACTTGTCGCAAACGGTGATTTTGGGCCAGAACCTTGACAGACTAAAAGATACACTCAACAAGATACGAGTGAGCAGCTACCACCACAAAAATAGTGTCCCCTCATTTGGCGGCCGACTCGGGGCCAGCGATGTGAGCGAGATGCAGCCGCTGATTTTTCAGGTTAAGCAGCTGAAGAATTGCGTCGAAATGGTGAGCACAGACCACCCCCGCGAGTATTTATTCAAAAGAAGCCTCAGCTACGCCCGGGGCCCCAACAAACTGAATCTCGTGGATGATCTGCGCGACGAGCTGGCCGATCTGCGCAGAGTCGTCCAGCAGGCTAAAAATAGGTAGGTTATTGATGATTGATATGTACACGCGCGCTCTATATATCGTCCTCCAACTTTAGTGCCGGAGCTTCTTTTTCTCTCTTGACTCTTATCTCATTCAGATGGTAAAACTGGTCCTCTAGGTCGTTGAATCCGTGCAGATTGGCAAAATCCCGCAGCTCCTGCTTGAAGAAATACGGCAGCTCTAAACCCAGCTCTTGCTCCTTGGCCTCAAAGAATTTTTCCAGCTGATTTTCCAAAAAGATCTTGCGTCGCAGCTCTTTTCCACGCTCTTCCCATTTTCTCTCCTTCGCGGCTCTCTCGTGGGGCTTAGGAGTCCATTTCGACTTCAGGATCTTGGCCACCGCAAGAACAGGCACTTGGAAAAACTCTGCTAGCTTGTAGCTCGGCAGCTCGTCAGGGTACTTGGAATGCAACACCCGGATTCCCTCAATAGCTTGTCTGGACAGCTTCTTCGTTTTTGTGAGGTCCATCTGCGCCGCTTTTTCTTTCAAAGCATACTTCTGTCTCATATACAGCGGCAACGACTTGTCCTTGCGCCATCCCGGTGGAGGCAGCTTAATTTGTGGTTTCGGTTTCTGGGCCTCTTCTTTGGCGAATATATCTGTGTTCCTGGATATGTGCTCTTTCCAGTCTCGACGGTTGTACACTTTTCCTCGAAACCCACCAGGGAGCTTCTCCAGATCTGGGAGATCCCACTTGTCAGCCCGCTTCAAGGGCGCCGTAAAGCTGCTAAAACGGCGTAGAAACATTTATGGGCAGGGAATTTTTTTATCTTGAAAAATATCTTTTGACATATCTGGTGCAAGGATGGAGGTATGAAAGCGACCGGAGCAACCTGGCTAGTACTCAAAGATCGACCTCCGCTCAAAAATCTTCCTTGGGCCGAAAAATCGTCAGCAACCTGCTTTGTCCTACTGGATCCTATCCACCCCGTAGACGTGGCACTGTTCTGTCAAAATAGCTCTATCGGTGTATGGGTGTCTTGATAAGGTCGCCTTCAGAAAAAAAAAAATAAACAATCTTTTGTTCCATGAATATCATCAAAAGGCTGCTGTCCAACGCGAATCAGGCCTCAGCAGACGAGCTGATTCTGATTCCTTCTGGTCAGCTATATTTAATTCGGTCTCCAAAGTCACCCAAGTCGGAAAACGAATGTCTTTTTAGTGACGTAGTCGTTGCAATTAGGGAGACCTCCTTGCCCTTCAACTACCAATTAAGCATCAACAAGACCGGAGAGGAGGGCCAGGGGCTTTTGGATGATGATGAATTGGATGCCTCAGATAACGAGGAGGAATTTGAAACAGACTCCAGTTCACTGAAGTCGTTCCTGATTGACGAGAAACTCAAAATCTGTTTGTTCCAGAAACACGGTACCTACGTCATTGCGTGGAAGGATCTGGATGGCGATATTGGCGACATGTTTGAGTTTCGTGTTGATCCGTCCGTTTCGGTTGAAAGTATTAACCAGTTCATGTTGGCAGTGTACAAATGCGAGTACGAGAGAAAGTATAAGAAGTCGAGCCTAAATCTCAAACTGGAGGATCTGCAGGAATTTGTTTTCGATAGAGAGTCACTGTTTGATGACGATCCCGACTTATTGTCTACTCTGCGCACGTCTGCCAATATTCACTCCGGCAAAGCCGTAGACGATTCTGACTCCGATGACAACTTCGAGGACGCTCTCGAGGTTACTGACCCAAAGCTCTTGTTTTACACCAACGCAGACCTTTTGCTGTACGATGAGGTCAAGGATGACTACCAGCTGAAGGCGCCCGCCGCGTTCGCCAGAATATTGCAGAAGGATGCCTGGAGCTACGATATAGAAGTGAAATCACCAGAAACGAAGAAAACCCTGGTGGATGTGAGCATCACCAACTCAATTGACGCGGCTTTTGACTTTGATTCGCTCTCGCTCACATTCAACGTGGACTCAGACTCATTAGTGCTCACGTGGGCGCTTCAGTTCCCCAGCAGGGAAAGCTACGAAGATTTCCAGCAGGCGTTCATGAAGTGTCTGTACGAAACTAACAACAAGACCAGCTGGGTGAAGTTAAAAGATGACGAGCAGCAGTTCATGATTGACGCGATCAACAACCTCAAAATAGATGAGATGGACGTTGATGAAGACGAATCGGAAGATGAGAGTGATGACGAAAAGCCTTCCTGCATCAGAAACAACAAGCTTTTTGTGGCCGATAGCGACAGCGATGAAGATGATGAAAATGGATTAATGAGGCGGTTCCGTGCGAGCGGAGTGAATAGCGGCATGAAGCTGGCGTACAAAGACGAGTTGGCGTTTGTTTCGCGTGGAGACAAACTGGGAGTTTTCCGAATGGACCAGGAGTCCAAGCCTCAGTTCTCCACAGCGATCGAAAACATATCCAGTGCTACGAAGAAGGGCAAGTCTATCAGCCCAGGAAATATGATGCTGCAAAAAGGCGATACCATTATGATACTACAGGATAAGAACGACAAGGATAAGTTATACAAGATGGATTTAGAGTATGGTAAGGTTGTGGAAGACTGGGAGTTGAAGAAGAACAATTCTGAGCTTCCGGTGGTCAACTTTGCTCCGAATGAAAAGTTTGGAGAGCTTACCGAAGACCAAACGTTTTTGGGACTGTCGCATCAGTCGCTGTTCAGGGTCGATCCTCGTTTGCGCGAAAAAGTGGTTGACAGCGAATTCAAACAGTATAAGACCAAAACCAACTTCACGCAAATCGCAACGACAGAGGACGGATATATTGCTGCATCGACCAAGAACGGAGAAATCAAGCTGTATGACAAATTGGGCAAAAACGCAAAAACCCTTATTCCAGCTCTCGGCGACGAGTTTGTTGGCTTGACGACATCCGACGACGGAAGGTTTGTTTTGGCAACGTGCGACAAATATCTTCTTTTACTGGACGTGAAGATCAAACAGGGCAGAAACAAGAACAGCCTTGGGTTTGAGAAGTCGTTTGATAAGGATTCCAAACCCATTCCCAAGAAACTGTCTCTTAGACCCGAACACCTTGCATATATCCGCAACGCCACTGGTAGCGAACCTCACTTCACCAAGGCCAACTTCAGCATTAATAGAAACACCAAGAAAAAGGAGCCAACTGCGATCGTTACGTCTGTGGGTCCATTTGCCATCATTTGGAATTTTAAGAAAGCATTGCAAAACGATAGCGCTTCTTACAGCATTATGAGATACGATTCCAATATCACTTCTGGAGACTTCAAATTTAACGACTCCAAAAAAGTGGTGTTTGCTCTTCCAAATGATGTCTCAATGGCCAGCAACAGGGCTTTCAAAAAGGCCTCTGAGCAATTCAGCGTAGTGGAGTCACGATTTTAATCGCCCTTGGTTTTTCGTGTATAGTCATTATATAATTCATTAATCGATCCGGAAGCTCAGCGCTTGAATCCAAAGCTGTGCTTCAACTCTTGCCAGAAAAGGCGTCGAAATGCGTTGATTTTGTGTATTGTTGTAGGTGTATAATTCAAAACAGGTTGCGAAGCATGCCGGCGAGGCGGTGGGAGGTTATTTAAATACGCATGAACATTCTGGACAAAGTGGTGAAAGCCTTTGGAATTGATGAGCTGGCGTTAGTCGGCTGAACAGCAGCACTTACCTTTTTGTAAAGCCAATTCTCCAACATGAAGATCAAATAATTTTCCAAAAACATTATCGCGAAAAGCTGGAGTAATTAAACAGAATCTGAGATAATAGATAACATCAAAATGCTCATTGTACCAACACCCAGATATCCGGAAAACTATGAGTATGCGCTAGATTTCCCAAAGTTCCTGCTCATTGGCGACTCGATCACCGAACGATGTGCTAATCCATTCCCTATCTCTGATTTTGTCGCAGACGGATACGATAAGAACGGCAACCACACTGTCGAACATAGCTCGCTTGAGTTTTGTTTCATGGGACAGCTTCAACATGACTACGCTCGACGCATGGATATCATCAATCGCGGATTTTCCGGGTACAATTCTCATTACTGGAGACACATGATTGAAAAGGTGCTGCGCATCGAACACGACCTGTCGTATAGTAAATGCAAGATTGCGACACTGTTTCTGGGGACTAACGACGCTGCGTTGGCAAAACCCGATGGCGTTCCCTATGATGAGTTTTTAGACAATATGGAGTTTATCGTAAAGCAGATCTTAGACAGAGAGATCAGGCTGGTGATCATTGGCCCCGGCCACCATTATCCTGACATCTGGGAATCGCTGAATCCAGGAGATGTGGAGAAGGGCATCCTCCGTAGGAACGAGGCAAACCTGAAATATTCAAATGGTCTGAAGCAACTTGCCGAAAAATACCAAGTCCCATTTGTGGATTTGTATTCGGCACATGAAGATTATGCCAAGAATAGCGCGCAGAAAAACTCCAGAAATTTGATCTTGGACGGAATCCATTTCACAGGAGAAGGGTATCTGCTTTTGTATCAGTTGCTGAAGAACGCGTTAGCAGAAAAATACCCGGAAATGACCGTACCAAACCTGAAAATGAGACTCCCCAGTTGGAACGATTTCGATAGCACCAAAGTGGAAAAGCTTGAAATATGAGATTTTAAGTCAACCTTACCACTATAAAAGAATAGAGAATAGTTACACTCGGCTCAGGTACTCAAGCAACTTAGAAACGAGCAAAGTCATCCCTTTCTTTGGGGGTGGTATTTGTAGTCAGGATAACATTTGGCATGAATTTTCTTCTCAGATTGTGCTAGCGAAATGAATGTCTTCTTCACGCTGTTGAGCTCAGTTGACCACATAACGGCAACTATCTGGATGAGCAGGTGGTGGTTGTATTTGTGGATAACACATTCTTGCCTCAACTCCTGCGCAAGAGACTCGGTAAGGTTGGAATCAATCACCTTGAGATATTCCAGTTCTGCCTGTGGATCATAGGATGAGTATTGCATCTGCAATCTTTTAAAAACGAAGGACGACAATGAGTCTATTAAAGAAAGTAAAACAATTGCTTTCACCATCGATGTCCGATACAACATAAACGAATTTAAAGGTCTCTTGATATGATTTGTGCTTCCACTCTCACTTTCATGTGTCAATCGTGATTTTCCCAGTCTCTGCTTCTTCGCTCCTGCAGAAGGCTTTTTTGATTTCGATCCCGTGTCATTTGGCTGCCTGAAGTAGATAGCAAACTCTTTGATAGTCTTGAAACATGAAATGATAGAATTTTCAATTATCGAGCTACTATCCTCATGACCAGCATAAGTTTTGGCGAGTATGCTCAGGCTTCCATCATTGGATTCAGTCAGGACTAACCCCTTGTCGCTGGTGTGCTCTGGATAGAAAGCATGCTCCTCTCGCCTCTGACCTAGTACCCTGGACAGCAGTTTAAGCTTCAAATCGAAGTTGCGCAACTTGAACAATTTGAGAACATTGTCCACTTGGCCCATATCTAGGTTTTTGTTTACTGCTAACTCAGTAATTTTATCGTATCTTGACTGTGAAAGTGGGGGCAACGGGATTTTGACTGATGACTTGTACTGACTATAAGCCTTATTCTCCAAATCAAACACCAATGAATCGAAAACATGGTCAAATTCTGTTTGTAAGTCTGTTTTGTCATCTCTTTCATCAAAAAGTCTTTTCCTGGAAACCATAGAGTTCGTGGGTGTAACGGGGGCATCGGAACCTGAATTGGATTCCGTGGGAGAACAACTGGCTGGAGTCAACAAAGCTTGTTCATCTTGTTTGGTGGCCCATGAGCCCATATTGTTAGGGGTAAACTTGGAAAATTCCTGGACACTAACATTTTTTGAGCTGCAACCATCATCCGCCTCCAAAATCTCCGGATTGGAATCGTTCATCAGTGGAGGACTCAGGTATTGGGATTGAGCTTCATTCATATCTGTGTTGTCGTTATAGTAATCGTGGTCGTCATCGTCATCGAACTCGTTACTTTCCGGGTCACTCACATCACTGATTTCGTCCAACTCAAAGAAGGAAGAGAATTGGATCTTTGATGTGTCAGTTTCGCTACAGGAACGGGTCTTTAACGAAAAAGGATGCATTGGGGGCGAGGAAAGGGTGTCCAGGCAAGTTGATGAACTGGAATCGTAGAGTGAAGGATATTCCACGATTGGGTCGGAAGCAGGCAAGTTGGGAAGCGAGCAGCGGTTAGCGCTGGAATCCTCATTGGCAAGAGGATGGAACAGATAGTGGCTATGTTGGCTGGGTTTCTGCACACCGGAAGAACCAGGATCAACCGAAGTGGCAAAGTAGTTACTGTTGCTAATCAAGTCATAATTCTGTGACACATCCAATGTATCAAGATCGAAATCCGGGAATACTGAAAAGTTTGTAGGAGAGTAGGAATAGTTATCATAGTTGATCAGCCGGACGGTGCGAGGAGTAGTCTGAGTAGGAGATCTTGCAGGCTGAGATTTTGATTTAGGGCTTTCAGGGCTCTTCGATTTATTGACCAATTGATTCTGTGTGAACAGAGGTCTTATGCCCACGCGGTTGCTGTAGCGGCCTGATTCGGTAATCTGGCTTGACGATGAGGCATCGTCAACTCGAAATTTAGCGGTGGAAGATAGTGGAAGATGAACGGGTGAGGATGCCATTGTTCGATTTGTTTCAGATTGTATCATGTGGCAACAAACAATCGAAACGGACAGTATTCTCAGAAAATCTGGTAATACACTAAGCGGTGTGTACACAACTCAAGTTTAATGGAATAGGGTAGAATAACATGGAACTCTCAGAGCTTCTGATTTTAGATCGAGAGCAGCACCTCAGGAATTTATAGTTTTTTCCACCATGTTCGGTCGTCCAATCATATTGGGTTTTGTGACCTGCCATGCGTTGGTATGCGTCCTGATAGCAACAAACAAAAGATTATAAAAAGCTGGGAGTTGGAACAAGGAATTTGCGATATCATTCACATATCCGGAATACACAAAATTAATAATTTCACAAATCTACACTGGGACGCAAGATGTGCTATGCATTGCATACTGGGCCTACTCTCAATCGTGCAGGCGGAGATTGACTTGTGCAGTGTAATGATCCCATTGGAGAGGAAACGATTTCCGAGTTTCTTGCCTATCGGAAATAGTGCCCTTTTAGCTCACATCCCTCCTTTTTGCGAGCCCTAAGATCCAATATTTATTTATTGCTGAGATCTGCTCAGATCGGGGGGACATTTTTGAGCCTAATTATGTAGGAACTAATACGTAAGAAATGCAGGCTATATGGGAGATCGATCGCGTGTGTATTAAATGCAAGTAATTTGTTCCCTTTTATTATTAGCAACCCAGAGATCAATAAACCGAGAGGTGAATCTACTCCCCACCCTTTCATTCCTGCATTTACCCACATCTAGCGGGAGCCTACCACAAGTTAAAACTGGGCAGATCCATGACTTGCCATATTCACGATTTTCGCAGAACGTTCACTAGCATTCAGTTCACCACAAAACAACCCCCGGATCGGGTTTACAATTTTAACGCCATATTGGCATGTGGGGCGTATCTCGCTACAAAACTAGCAGCGTCTCCGCCTCGTATCTGTGTTGTTGTTTTGCAGGCTTTTCTGTGTATTCCACAACTTCATTACTCTTCCACGGTGGGTTAAGTAATTGTCGATCTAAATAACACAACACAATCTGTTGTCGTGAGCCAAGATTTATATACGTCGTGCACGTGTGCGTTTCTTTTATGCCAACCCAATTAAAAACTGGCCCGCGAATTTTTCCAAAATTACGAAAACTTGTGCAAACACATCGCCACCATGTCCTTTGTTTTCAGAAGAAACTTGACCACGTTGATCCCACCCAAGGTCGCTTCCGCCTCGAACCTGGGCTCCAACCCTGCTGCCAAGAGAATGCAACACATTGTGTCGTTCTACTCCAAACTGCCAAGAGGTGAGGCCTCTTTCCCAAAAGCTAAGAGCCCATTGGGATTGTACAGACAAAAGTACTTCGACACGGGCTCTGGAGCTCCATTGTTGCACGCCTCGCTTTTCTTCCTCGCTGTTGGTTACGGTTTGGAGTACTACTTCCACTTGTCCCACCACAAAGAGCATTAGAATGATTAGACTTTATAGCAATTGAATTCATGAGCCATCGTTACATACCTTCAGCATAGACTGGAAATCTGTGAGCTTGCGGCCTTGCGACCGCTCATACTGCTCGATTCTGACCCAGTCGTCCCAGCGGATCGCTTTCACGTTTCTTTGCGCAAGCAGCTTGGTTATGGCTTCTCTCCCTTTCTTGGCTGTGTCCTCTATTTTAGCAAGGTCGGCTACTATGTGGCCAGCAACCACACTGCTGTCTGCGACTGTAGAATTGATCGATCCGCGGGATGCATTGGCGATCCACCCCACGCAATACGACCGTTCCACACCTTCAATGCGGCCTTCCTTGTTGGGGATTGCTCCACGGTTGGCATCGAATGGGATGTTGAGCTCGTCGAACTCGGCCAGTGGTTCGCCCTTGTAGCCTATGCACAGTATCAGTAGCTGGTTCGACACGGAATTGAGCTCTTCGGCGGGCACGATTTCTCCTGACCCTAAGATTCGGTTTTTCCGGAATATGGTCTCTTTCAACAGAGAAGGCTCTTTTGGGTTGACTTTGATCCCCAGCGGCGTCTGCAGATAGTCAAGCTTCCACGACTTGCCCTCTGCAGCGGGCTGGCAATATTTCTGCACCAATTGTAGCCTCCTTTTTTCGACCCGTCCCAGACTCATTTTTGCCAGAATTGGCCCAAACGTTTCCGCGCCCCACCCAGTGAAGGCAACGCCGTACTTGTTCAGTTCCAAACATTCTCTGAACTCCTTGTTGGAAAACTTGCTCTCCAAAAATCCACGCCGCGCGCTCACTGTGACATTTCGCACGATGGATTTCTGCAGCATGTCAAGTGCATATGGAGCTATATCGGTGTTTTCCCAGTGTTCTGCAGGCGCAAGAAGAATCCTCACTATATCCATTGCCACATTTCCGTTTCCTATGATGGTGACCTGTTCGGCCTTATCTAGCGGCGGATTTAGATCCTGATTTCTCGGGTCTCCGTTGTACCATCCCACAAAATCCTTGGAGTTTATCACTGCAGGGTGGTCCTCACCCGCAATGCCGAGCCTGTTCTCCCTGCTGGACCCATATGCGTAGACGATGCTGTCATAGTTGTCGTAGATCTCCTTGAGCTTGATATCGCGGCCAATTTCGACGTTCCCGAAAAACTGGAACCGCGGGTCCTTGCTGGCATCGTGGAACCGCTCCTGGCAGCTCTTCACCTCCGGGTGGTCGGGAGCAACTCCAAATCGGACTAGTCCAAACGGACACGGCCTTTTTTCAAACATGTCGATCTGCACAGAGATGTCGTATTTGAGGATGTCGAGTGACGTGTAGAACGCTGCAGGGCCGGATCCTATTACGGCAACTCTCGGTGTCGAAAAGAGCCTGATCAGCCGAGGCTGGAATAACCTCATAACCCCGTTCTGATTATATATATAATATATATATATTTTTTTTCTTCAGTTATGTAGTCAGTTTGGCAAACTCGCGCTCGACCTTGACCACCGGCAGTCTTTGCGAACACCAGTTGATGTCGCGCATCATCTTGCGCGGGTCGTTGCCGGTGCATAGACGGAATAACTTGTCGTACTCGAGCTCCTGCTGTTTGAACTCCCGGATAACCAGGTCGTCCTCGAAATCAATGTAGACTCGCGTGTCGCATATTCTTAGTAGAACGTTGTCGACGCGCACAAATAACCGCTGCAACAGGAGCAAGCACGAATGCATAACTCTGATCTTGATGCTCAGCACCGAAATGCCATTATCGCCCAGCTCGTCCTCGTACAGCACCATCTCATCGAAAAACAAAATTGGGTCCTGTCGCTGTAGTTTTTCCAAAGGAATCGTCATTTCGTCGTCACGTGTAAGTGTCGTCCCCGTTACTGTGCCCTTGTACGGCGTTGTGTAGGTCCAGTCGAACGGTTTGTACATCTCGAGCACGACATCCGAATTGTTGTGGTGCTTATGTTGGCGGCTCTTCACCCACTCAGAGGCGTAGCTGACCTGTATCAGGTTTGAAGGGTTCGACTCCACGAGTTTGAGCGCATCCAGCGCGCAAAAATCGATCTCGAGCTTCGGGTGGCTGATACGAACTCGGTTATTTCCAAAGATCATTTCAGGAACGGGCAGGTTGAGGATCGACTCGAACTCGTCGATCTCGGTGGCATTGAGAATCGGGTGGCGTGCGGTATATATCTTAAACTCCCCGACCTTGATACTGGGAGTGTCCTTGATGGGCAGCGTGGCCACAGGGCCCGGGGTTATAACAGTACCACAAGAGGCGCAACTGGGAGAATCTGTTGAGACTGGCAGTTTGGCCTTCTGTTCGGGCGTCCTGCGTACCGGAGGACGTATTGGCACTCTGCTTCTCGTTGTGAGCCGGTGCATCTGGCGCGCGGCGTCGATCTGAAACGAGTCGATGGAGTTATATTTGGGGACTCGATCTGACATAAAAATAAATTAAACCAAAATTAAAATTCCTTAGAAATAATATCAACCACATTACCAATGAATATCTCACGACTTTTGCGCTCGTACAAAAAATCGCCAGGCGTGCTTTTTGGCACCGTGGTGATCTTGGTGATACTAGTTATTGCCGTTGCCAATAACTCTTTATCGGAAAGCCAACTCGATGCCCCCGTGCCGATTTCGCACAAGACACAGCCGGTCGAAGCCAAAAACACGGTGCCTTTCATGCCCAAAATGGCCAACGAGACGCTCAAAGCGGAGCTAGGAAATGCCTCCTGGAAGTTATTCCACACCATTCTGGCCAGATACCCAGAGACGCCGACGCCCGAACAAAAACAGCACCTCGCGGACTACATTCGCTCGTTTGCCCTTGTGTACCCGTGTGGAGACTGCGCCCGCCACTTTGCTGTGCTCTTGGACAAATACCCTCCACAGCTGAGCTCGCGAAAAACCGCTGCTCTATGGGGCTGCCACATTCATAACCAGGTGAATTTGAGACTTCACAAGCAGGAGTACGACTGCTCCAACATTCTAGAGGACTACGACTGCGGTTGCGGCCAGGACGAAGCCGAGGAGGTTCAGGAGAAGGACACTAAAGAGCATCTTGCAAGCATCAAGCTGGAGTCGAAGGAGCAGATGGTGGGGGGATAGAATCGGGTTTTTTTTTTCTCTTTCTTGCGTGGGGCTCTGAATAAATCTATTTCCAATTCTCTGTTATATTAGGTATGGAACTGTAATAGTGGTTACAAATGCTACGGCGCGTTCCCAAAACGGACACACAACAGCCTGGATATGGCAATGCGCAGACATGTGTTGCAACAGTTTGATTCACACTACACCACGCCGCGAGCCGCACAGCCGCACACGGTATTGTTGGGACGCAAACCTGATACAAGCTAATTAGACTTGTTTGAAGCAAATATATTAGGACTTCCAAAGTACGCTACCGTGGCAACGATGGAATTGAACGCGCAAAGAAGCCCATTCAAGGCGTCTGGCAACGCCACAGACCCAGAACACGAGAAGCTGCTGAGAATCGTCCAGCTGAACAAGATGAAGAACATGAAGCTGGAAAGACTGAACCAGTACAACAACCGGCTGAAGCAAGAGCTTGCCCGCGAGCGCATCAATGCGTCCAACAGCTCGCTCATGATCATCAAATACACCGAAACGACACGCGACGGGCTCATTCCGGAGCTGTGGGGGCCCCCACAGAGCAGGTACTCCGAGAAACAGCAGGTCCGCGCCACCAAGCAGGAGGCCCGATGTTGCGCCATCGCCTAGCCAACGAGTGCGAGCACTTCCCGGATTCTCCCCACATCTGTGTCATTTGTGCGGCCCTCCTCCACTATTTGCTCCAGCTTGTTTCTGGCAATAGCTTCCAGCTTCTGGTCCTTTAAGTCTCTCGCAGCCGCCAGCAGACCGCACCAGCTGCGCGTGTGGAGCTCGCAGAGCTCGATCGCGCGCATGAAGGACCTCGTCGCCTGCTGCAGCACCTCTTTACCGCGTCCGTCGCGAAGAAACATCAGGCGACAGAGCTCTCCCGCACGACACCAGACCACGTACGCGGCAGGAACACCCACAAGCACCTCCTGGACGCAGTCGTATGCTTTTTCGTATTCGCCGAGAGCAACGTATTGTTCTGCCAGCTCCATCCACGACTCGTAGTCCAGCGGAGTATCGTTAATATATTCAAGCAGGTTTTTGATGTAGCTGGCGCGCGAGTCGCTTTTGAGCGCCACTTTCCGCTTTTCGATCTGCCGCAGGTCTTTCTCGTGGTGCTGAACAGGCTCTGCCGTTAGACTTGGCCTTGTCTGGATCAACGGCACGGCCGCCTTCTCCAAATATTCGAGGGCGTCCTTCTTGCCGAGGATTTCGACGTAATAGCTCTTGAGAACAACCAGCTTCTCACTATCCTTGGCCTCAAACTTGTCGCTGAACCGGTCCAGCGCCGTCTTTGCCTCGGTGTCCCTTGTCGTCAACAGACAAAGGAAATAGTGCAATTCCAGGAGGGTGTAGTACTCCAGCGGGGCGAGCCGTGACTCATTCAGCCGTAGAAACGTCTTGGAGACCTGGTACACCTTTTCCAGGTCCTCGGGCGCCAACTGGGCGTATTTTCCCGTGCGGAACAGCAGCAGCAGGCGCTCCTTCACTTGTTCGAGCATGAAAAATAATAAATAGTTTATTTGAATTAAGTGAATTTAATTAAGTGTCCTTAGTCATTTAGCAGAGTGGGGGCAGAATAATCACAGGCGCACACTGCGCTGCTACCAGAGCATCAACAAGGAGACAGAGATGTACGGGGACGACGTGGCAGAACCGTGGTAGGCCCGTTAGCTGGCTGAGGAGGCATCGCAGACAGACCTCGCGCTCTCTGTGCCGTTCCAGCTGTAGTATGTGCACTCTCTGGATAGAGCACAAGCTGGCATCGCCTGTCGCTCCCTCCCCCACGCAAATATATATTTCTCTAATATTTCTCCATGTCCAATATCTTTTGTTTATTTATTTTTTATTCGCGTATGAGAAAGAAATACGCCTCCATGAAGGAGCGCGAGGCGTCCTTCGACGGCGTCTACAAGGCCGGCGAGATGGTCTACTGGCACCTGTCGACGCCGTCGGGCGAGACGATGGCCATCAACGGTTTTTACTTCGATCCTACAAAGACCCACATGGACAGGGTCGGGTGCTTCACGTGCAAGGTGAAAGAGTTTGGGTGGGCTCCGGGCGCAACAGAGCCTCCCTCGGTGCGCCATCTGCGGAATTCGCCAGAGTGCCCGTACTCCAGGGTGCTCAGCAGCAGACATTTGCACGAGAGCGAGGGCCTGGACTGGGACGAGAACGACTTGTTTGCCAGCGTGCAGGATTCGGCAGACATACGCCACCAGACGTTCAAGCTGGCGAGCTGGCCGCACGAGCGGAACAAAAAGATGCCGTCTAGTCGAGAGATGGCCGAAAACGGGTTCTACTACGCTTCGTACGAGAAGGGCGACGACACCACCACGTGCATGTACTGCGGCACGAGTCTGGAGGGCTGGGAGGCCGGCGACAACGTCGCGGAGGAGCACCGCAAGCGCAGGCCCGACTGCTATGTGTTTGCAGGGCGAAGACGCAGCGGGGTGTACTCCAGAAGGGCCAGCGATGTGAACATGGACGTGGTGGAGATCTCGGACGTTTCCGTTGAGAGGGTGATACAGGAGCTGCCAGAGGGGGTGGATGTGGGGGAAGAGGAGCAGGAGAAGAAGGCTGAACACCAGTTGGATGATAATGGAGATGTAGAGGCTCGGGATCTCGAGGTGGCAGAACCAAAGGAAGCAGATGACTTACAAGAGACAGAGGCTGCCCAGTCCGTCAAGCGGCCTGCATCGGTGCTGGCCGACGTGCAGCTGGAGGAGGAGATAATAGAAGACGACAGCGTGGAAGGAGAGGCCGAGCCGGTTGAGATCCCGATGTCCACGCTGAACGAGCTGGAGGATCTTTTTTTTGTGGAGGACTCGCGACGGTCGTCCACCTTCTTCAACCGCTCGCGGTCTTCGTTCGGCGAACGGGCGTCAGACGCGGCCGAGAGAAAACTAGAGTCTGTTCCCGAGCCAGTGGAGGAAAAAGTGCCAGAACCGATCAAAGAGGATCTCGAGCAGGCCGAAGACGTGCCGATGGAGAATGTTCCGGACTTTATCGTACCAGAGCTGGAAGTTCCCGACAGTCAGGGCGCGCCCATGGGGATTGAAGAGTCTCTGCGTGAGATCAAACAGCTGGACCCTGTGGGGCCGGCAGACGGCATGGACATGCTTGACGAGAGCACTCGCGATGACATAATCATGAAAGAGACCCCAGAGCCGGAACGGCCGGTTGTGCAGCAGGCAGAGCAACAGGCGGAGCAACAGGTGGAGCAAGAGCCGGAAAAAGAGCTGGCAAAAGAGCTGGAACGACAGCCAGAGCAACAGCCAGAGCAACAGCTAGCTGAGGAACTGTCCTCAAAGAAGCGAAAGAAGCAGGAAGAAAAGCACAAAAAACACCACAAGCGCAGGAAGGCGGAGAAGGAGAAGGAGAAGGAGAAGGAGAAGGAGAAGGAGAAGGAGAAGGAGAAGGAGAAGGAGGGCAAGAGAAAGAGGAAGAAGGAGAGAAAAGAGAAGAAGGAGAAGGAAAAGAAAAAGAAAGAAAAGGCGCTCAGGAAAGAGCTCAAGAAACGTGAGGATGAAGCATCTGTTCTGTCGCCACTTGCAGGCACAGTCTCTGTTCACGAGACTCCAGAGCCTGCTCCACCCACAGAGCCTAAGAAGTATGTGGAGGAGCTCGTGGAGACTGATTTCTCTGAGGAGGAAATAGAGCCGAAAGTTGAACAGAGGATGGAAAGTATCGAAGAGGAGGCGAAAGAGGAGGAAGAGAAAGTGGACGAATTGCAGCCTAATGATGACGACGAAAACGATGTGTTGCTGGACGACGAGAAAGCTGCGCCTGTTCCGGAGATTTCCAGAGTTCCAACTGTTTCCCCAACAGGGCTGGTTGCGAGGGACAGTCGCGTGCGCTCACGGATACTTGACGGGCGCATCATTTCGTCAGACGATCCTCTTTCGTTTGGGAGAAGAGCGAAGCGGAGAGCACGAAAGCTCAAGGAGACCCCAAGCACGGAAAGCAAGGACTCTGAGGGTAAGACTTTTGAGAAAGCAGAGCAGGAACCCGAGAAGGAACCCGAGCGGGAGACGAACGCGGCCCCTGAGCCTAAAGAGGCCGCCGAGACGGCCGAGGCGGTTGCACTATACGAGCGCCATATTTTTCCAGAACGTGTGCAGATCTACGAGCAGCAAAGCACCAAGCATGAAACAAGCACAGAAGAGAAGAAGGACGAAAGAGAGAGCGATTCTGAACCCCACGCAGCGGCCGAGCAGGCGCAGCCGGCTTCTGCAGAGCCCACTCCCCTGCCAACGGCACAGGACATGGACTCGTCGCCCAATCGGGCTGTGTCGGAGGGTCAGGAAAATGTGCACAGAAACAGCCCACAGCGCATTTCCAGCGAGCCTGCCAAGTCTGCCCGCTCCCCGCCAAACCTCTCTCTCAGCATTGAGCATCTATACGAGAACCAGAGCACTCCAGAGTTGAGGAAAGGACCGCTTTGGGAGCCGATCAAGAAGCGCTCGTACACGGAGGAATTCAACGAGGCCATCAAGTATACACAGGAGCTGCTGGACTCGGACTACCAGTCGCTGAACGACGACCTGGAGGGCAAGCTGACGAGCTTTGTGGCGGAGATGCCAGAAGAAGAGCTCGACATGACGCTAAAAGGGTGGATCTGCTACCAGGCGGACCAGGCGGCGAGACTGGTGGCGCAGAAGACAGACGAGATGGTGGGCGGGTTCCGCGAGGACGCCGCGCGCGCGCTGAAGGTTTTGGAGTCTTTGCCGGTGGTGGAGGAGACCGATCAGGATGTAGTGTTCTAGGTAGCTCTAATTTTCGCGTCTGCGGTGTACGGGTGTGTCTTTTCCAAGCTAAAAAAACTCCCGTCTGATGGCGTCAATGATAAATAGAGAATTCGACACAAGGAAGATTGTACTTTGCAGTCGGGATTGAGCGTTTTTGAGGCTATATCCAGCATATATACGCCCGAAAGATACAATTTGATAGCTCAGAGTGCTACACAGCCGACTCCTGATTTGTTGTGACCAGAGAACCTCTCGCAGGCAAAGCTCTCAGCATGTCTGACCAACCAAACACCAACAGCTCGTCGTTGGGGTCCATGTCGTCTTTGGGCTCCAACCCGCTTGGCATCAGTGTCAAAAAGTCGAACGAGCGCGCTCCGGCTCTCGACGGCACGGGCAGCGACGAGGAGATGAACGACCCCGACACAGACAACGAGCAGCACGCGCGCAAGCTGCTTTTGCGGTCGAGGGCGCGGAACGGCTCGATCACGTCGGAGTCGGGCTACACGTCGAGCGCGACTCGCAGTCCGATCGCCGTGCTTCCGCCCGAGATCCTGTGTGTGATATTTTCGTACCTAAACTCCAAGTCGGATCTCATTTCTGTGGCGCTGACGTGCCGGTACTGGGCGAATCTGATCATCGAGCTGATCTGGTTCCGGCCTGGGATTTCCTCGCGCGTGATTTTCGAGCGACTGGGCAAGGTGATGGCTATTCCGCGCACACAGACGGCGTGGGACTATAGAAAATACATCAAGCGACTGAACCTCTCGCTCGTGCCGCATCTGGTGACCAACGAGTACCTGAGCCTGTTTTCCGGGGCCAACCACCTAGAGAGAATCACGCTCGTGAACTGCTCCAACATCTCGCACGAGCACATATCCAAAATTATTCGCGGCTGCCACAGACTGCAGTCGATCGACCTCACGGGCGTCAAGGGCATCCAGGACGACATATACTACGAGCTGGCCAACAACTGCAAGCGGCTCCAGGGCCTGTATGCGCCAGGGTCGTTCCAGGTCTCGAAAGCGGCTGTTCTGGCGCTGATCAGCAGCTGTCCGCTGCTCAAGCGGGTCAAGCTGAGCGACTGCAACAACGTCGACGACGAGGTCGTCGACCAGCTGGTCCAGCACTGTCCGAACCTCGTCGAGATCGATCTGCATGGCTGCGAAAAGGTGACCAACAAGTCGCTGCACAATTTATTCTCTAGACTCGAGTTTCTGAAGGAGTTCAAGATCTCGAAGAACGCAAACATCTCGTACGAGTGCTTCGAGTCCAAGACGGGCGCCCAGCTGTGTCTGGACAAGATGCGGATCCTCGACTTCACGCAATGTCTCAACATCACCGACAGAGCCGTCGAGAAGGTGATCAAGCTGGCCCCGAAGCTGCGGAACGTGGTGCTGTCGAAGTGCACGGCCATCACCGACGCGTCGCTCCGGGCCATCGCGACGCTGGGCAAGAACCTGCACTACGTGCATCTCGGCCATTGCAGCAACATCACAGACTTTGGAGCCAAAGACCTCATAAAAAGCTGCTACCGGTTGCAGTATATCGACCTTGCATGTTGTACACAGCTGACCAACGAGACCGTGTACGAGCTGTCGCAGCTGCCCCGACTGAGGCGGATCGGGCTGGTGAAGTGCGCGCAGATCACCGACGAGGGCATTCTTGCCCTTGCCAACAACGCCAGAAACAGCGACGACACCTTGGAGCGTGTCCATCTCAGTTATTGCATGAATCTAACCATATATCCGATCTACAGGCTGCTCAAGGCCTGTCCGAAACTTACACACATATCGCTCACGGGAGTGTCTCAGTTCCTGCGGCCGGACATCACCCAGTTCTGCCGCGAGCCTCCACAGGAGTTCAATTTGCATCAAAAATCCATCTTTTGCGTTTTCAGCGGTGAGGGAGTCGCCCAGCTGCGCAACCATCTGCTGCAGCTGTTCGAGACTCCCCAGGATCCAGAAAGAGAGGCTGCCGAGCTGCTAGATATCATTGCTGCGGTCATTGAGGGCGTCGACGACGTCAACAGCGCCCTTTTCAGCGCCGACCCTATACAGAGAGAGAGGCTGCGCGTGTTTGTGGACACGCTGGACCGCTTCATCAACGAGTTCCACGGTCTGAACGTGCCGCGCGCGCATCTGGAGCTGTTTGGCCGGTGTGTTTTCACGAGGCTTCCTGCCGAACACGTTCCGCGCATCCAGAGGTTTTTCCAGCTGCTTCAGAACCACCCGCACCATCCACAGCGGGCGCGCCAGGCCAACGCTGGGCTCAGGGGCAGACCCGAGCCCAGGCAGCAGCTGCGGCCGCCGGAGACAGAGCTGTTCCAGACGATCGACGACGACGAGGTGATGGAGGATTTATAACGAAACGGCGGTGTTAATGTCCATATAAACTTTCTACACTGGCCGACGAGGGGATATCTGAAGTACACAGGAGACTGTCCAAGATCGGCTCGAGGCTTGTGCGCAGGAAGTTGAGCTCTGTCCAGATCTCGTTGCAAATGTCCGGGTCCTGCACCATGAGACACGGCTCGGTGTCGCGGCCGTAGTTCTTCTCGAGCGTGTTTTCGAGGTTGAGCAGCCGCAGGCTGTTGATCAGTCTGGCCGTTTGTTTCGCGGTTTCTGCGGCGTTTCTGGGCGGCGGCGTGCCGAACTCGAGCGCCTGCACGTGGTCCTCCACGAGGCGGAGCTCGGTGTGGCGCGCAGGGTCGATTTTGCGCAGCAGGGCGAGGGAGTTGAGGATTCTCGAGTTGGTCCTTTTTTGATAAAAGCTGGAATAAAATATTTTGGCGTATGACAGGTGAGTTTCTGGTGGTTCTGGTGGCTGGGCCGTGAACTTTAGCGTCTTGAGCCGCGGCCTATAGGCCCGCTGCTCTGTGTAGTCGTAAGGCAGCGAGGGCAGCAGCGGCGTCACCTTGAGCAGTCTCCATGCCGTTTTCAGCGTGCACAGCTCGGCCATTGCGGTCAATGGCCCGTCGCACATGCTGGGCGGCGTCCGTTTGGACGGCTCCTCGTAGGGCGTAGCAAAAGTGCCGCTGTAGCGGGCGTAGCAAGAAGAAGAAGACATGAGATCCGGATCAGCTCTGCGCGCGCTTGAATTTTTTTTCCCCACAATTATTCCCGGCAGGGCTGCCCCGGCTTGCGCCGAGAACGGTCGTGCGTCTACGCCACAAAATTTGGCACGGCCGGTAAAGAGAGGGAATTTTGAACAAAAATACATAAAAGAACATTTGGACATTTAGCAAACTATCCTGTTGGCTCCTATAGAATAGTTAGAATCCCACCCCTTTGTCTAGATTTGCGTCCACACAGCCTCAGTCGTCTAGAATTGCCAGCAAGCAGCGTGTTTCCCGAATAAACCGAACCAATGCAACAAGGTCTGCCTTTGTTTGGAGACTTCCAACAAAACCCTAATGTGCTACTGACGCCGCCGCAGGACCCGAAGACGGCCGGGGCGCAGCAGCGGTCGGCCTCGATCGACTTGTCCAGCTTCCTGGGCTCCGACCACGGCCTGCTCGGAACACCGGCACTGGATCCGTTGAACTCGTGTTCTGTCAGTTCCGCGTCGAACGTGGGGATCCGCACAAGACACCGGAGCGGAACACTGCCCACAAAGCTGGTGTCGAGCGCGGGGCAAGTATCGTCGGCCAGCGCGGCCAACACGCCGCTGGTGCCGCCCGAAACAAGCTCGCTCAACGTCAGCATCAGCCCCGGGCTCAACGCAGTGTACGAGGACCCAAACTTCCTCAACCAGCCCGCACAGTCGCGGATCCGGTCGTCGTCCATCCAGAGCAGCATCTGGTCCGACCAGCAGGACGCCGGCTCGACGTTTTTGCAGGTCCCCCAGGAGCCGAACACCAACAACACCTCGCTCCAGGTCCCGCAGCTCAACGTCGACCTCGACTCGATCCTGTCGGCCAGCGCGTCGAGCGCGGTGCCTACGACCCCTCCGATCAACTCCACTAATAGACTGCGGTCGTACTCTGCCAACAACGCCATGTTCAACCCGTCAGAGAAACTGTTTCTGCAGCAGTACACTCCGATCAAAGAGGAGCTGATTTCCCCAGTTCCGTTTGGAATCTTGGACGATCCGGCCTCCAGACCACGCTCCCACACCAGCGCCGTCTTCTCGCATCCCGCACCTATGCCAAAGCTGCAAGACAATCTGCCAGAAGCGTGTATTTCCATCACCTCGACCCACACGAACCCGTCTCTGGGGCCAACAAACACGCTGCTGTTCATCAATATCCCCAGCGACACAAGCTTCACCAACTCCATGAACTTTTACAAGATGCTTAGCCAGTTTGGCCCGATGGTTTCTGTTCGGATCGTGACCTGTACCGAGAACGCCGACCTGGTGGCCATTGCGGAGTTTGCCGACGTCGAAAGCGCCATGAGGTGCAAGTCCAAGATGAACTACCAGGAGCTGATCCCGGGGCTGAGCTGCATAGTATCGTTTGCCAAGATCTTGTCTCTCAACGACAAGCCCAAGTCACCTGTTAACGTGCCAACCATATCTAATGGCGAGAAGGACGAGCTGCTAAACGGGAGCTCAAAAATGACGATTCTGAACGACAAGTTTTTCATCTTCCAGTCGTCGCTGAACGTCCTTCTCCAGAAAATTAATCTCACTCCAAGCGAGAGATTGCATCTTAATATTATCATCAACAAGGCCCTAAATTACCCTAGCGTGCGCAAGTCCGACCTGGGAAAAATGCCCGAGCCCGCTGCTGTCAGACACTTTGATACCCCGAAACTGAGAGAGATCAGAAAACAGCTGGACGGCAACCACCTGTCGAAGCTCGAGATCGAGGAACTAGCCCTGGCAATGCACAACGAACTTCCGGAGCTCGCGTCCGACTACCTGGGCAACACCATTGTGCAAAAGCTGTTCGAGGTCTGCGACGTCCCGATCAGAGACTCCATGATTAAGAAGCTGATGCCGTATTTTGCACAGACCGGCGCGCACAAAAACGGCACCTGGGCGGCGCAGAAAATCATCAACACCATTGCCACAGACAGGGAAAAATGGATGGTTTCGGAGGCCGTCAAGCCGTACTGCACGCAGCTGTTCAACGACCAGTACGCCAACTACGTGATCCACGGAGTGCTCAAGTTTGGTGCTCCGTACAACGACTTCATCTCGGAGGCGATGCTCAGCACGTTTCTGGAGCTGTCCAGGAACCGGTTCGGCGCCCGGGCTGTGCGGACGTGTCTTGAGAGCGAGAGCGTGAGCCGCGAGACGATCGTCGCCATCGCCACGTGCGTTCTGACGTGGTTCTGGGAACTCGTTGGCGACTCCAACGGCTCGATCCTGATCACGTGGTTCCTCGACACGTGCCAGATCATCGACGACCGGCACCTGATGCTGACGAGAATCCTGCTGCAGGAGAAACGGGACGACGGCGTGGATTTCGTCAAGGTGTGCTGCTCGAAAGTCGGCAACCTGAGCGTGCTGAAGCTGCTCAACTACCGGGGCAGTCTGCAGCCGCGGGACCTGATCCTGAGGCGCATTTTCGGCGACGACGTGCTGGAGTATGAGGACGCCGCGCAGCCGCTCGACACGCTGCGCCACATCCTGAGCGACAAGACCTCGATTGGGTCCACGTTCGTGTACAAGGTGTTGTCCACGCCGTCTGTCGACGCCGACCTGCGACGCCACATGACTTCCCGTGTCCGGCACGTTCTGCAGGATCCCAATCTCAGCGGACACCAGTACAAGCGGCTGTACGAAGAGGTTGGGCTGAAGACGCACCAGCGCACGTCGAGCTCTGCGCGCAAGAAGCGGTCGTCGCGGTCGCGGTCCAATTCTGCCAACGACAGGTATCCGACGCCGGCGACGAGCAACAGCAGCAGCGCGGACGTGGACTACGACCTGATCCTGCGGCAGCAGCTCGAGAAGCTGTCTTTGGGGCAGGAGCAGCAGCTCTTTTTTTAGGACTCGTACCATGATACAGTAATGAAACATTATGAATGTTAGCTACGTAGCTGTGAGTTACTCCTCGTCACTTTCCTCCTCGGCCTCGTCGAGCCACTTGAGGAATGGCTTGGCGGCCTTGCGGACCTTCTTGGACGTCTCCTTCGGCACGAACTTCTTGCTCACGTGCGTCCCCCAGTTTCTGATCACCTCCTCGGAAGCCAGGTCGTTGTCGTACAGCACCATCAGCACCTTGGGCACGATTTTGACGAGTTCCGGATGTTTCAGGCCGATCAGTCTCTCGATGCCGCCCAGCAGCGACATCTCGTGCTTGTCTGTGGTCACCAGCTTGCCCAGCAGGCCCTTGTGCTCCTCTATTTCGTCCACGATATCCTCGTCAAACAGCACCTGTGCCAGCACCTCGATCGTCTTGGTGTCGCCGATAATGCCCATTTCGGAGCCCTTCTTGAAGATCTCCACGTCGTCGGGCAGCTCGTCTTGCAGCAGCCACTCGCCAAACTCCTCGTACTTGTCCAGGGCGTCGGAACTCAGCGTCAGTCCCTCCAGCTCTCTGGCCCGCGCCTTGACGGCCTCCTCCGACATGTCGACGGCCCAGTCCTCGTCCTTGACCTCGATCTTCTGCGACGGAGGCGCGTCGCCGTCGAACGGCACCGCGTCGACGTCCTCGTCCTGCGACTGTTTCTGTTTCTCAGCAATCTCGGCGATCTTGGTGCCGCCGCCGCCAACGTTCGCGGACGCGGTTCCGGACTTTTTGCTCTTCTTCGGTGGCGGGTTCTTGAGAATGTACGTCACCAGCTTCTGGCGCGGGTCGCAGCTCGTCACCTTACCGCACGCCTTGCAGTCTCGCATGACATTGTCGTCCTTCGTGATGACCAGCTCTGTCTCCGGGTTCTTGCACGACGGACACAGCACAAACCGGTTGATGAAGTTGTCCAGCACGTCCTGCAGCTTGCCCGCGTCGTGCTGCCCGTTCACCACGAATTTCTCCTTTTCCTCGTCGATGTTGGTGAGCGCACCGAGCTCAAACCCAAAGAACTTGATCACGTACGCCGTTGGTCGCGCCAGCGCCCGCGCAACGTCCGCCGCGTTCAGAACGTTTGTCTTGATACCGTTTCCGCGGCCCTCCGTCTTGGCCTGGATGGCCGGCATCTTGTACCGGTAGAACGGGTCATTGTTCTCTCTACAGATGTTGATTAGAGACATGGCAGGCTGAAAATTTTTATTTTTTTATTATTTTTCATTTAATGTGCACATGTAATTTATTTGGCTATTTTTTTTCCCCACGTCGATCGACGCACCTACAACGAGCGTGCTACCAGCTGCTGCGTCGTGCGCAACGCCTCAAACTTGACGTTGGTGTTTGCGCTGCTCATCAGCGACATGATCTTCGCCTTGGCCCCGATCTTGTCCAGCACCTTCACCACCTCCGGCGCCACCTTGATCAGCTGGCTCACGTCGTAGCACACGATCGCCTGGTTCAGATACGTCTGCTCTGGGTCTGCCGACGCGTCCAGCAGCTGCAGTAGTTCTTTCAGCAGCTTCCAGTTGTTCTCCTTGAACCTGTCCACGTTCTCGATCCAGAACTCCTCCGACTTGTGCGACGGCGACCAGTTGAGCTTCTTGGTCCTGAGCTCGTTCTCGTACTCGTCGAACGTGGTGAGCGTGGTCACCGCCTCGTTCAGGATCTCCAGCAGCGTCTCCAGGTCGGTTTTCAGCTCCTCGTCGGCCCACTTCCGCTCGATGAGCTGTTTTGTGATCTCCAGGCCCTTCACCAGCAGGAACTGTTTCACCAGCTGGTCGCGGCCTTTCTTCAAGCTCAGCAAATTCAGCAGCGAGCCAATCGCAAGCCGCACAATCTTCTCCTTCACGGCGTCCTTGGCCACCACGTACAGCGTGCCCACGAGCTCCCGGTACTGCGTCTCGATGTCCTCGAGCGCCTGCGGGATGAATGTCAATAGCCAGATCGACATTGTCGCGTAGTATTTCATCTGCAGCTCGCCGCGTCTCTCGGTGAACACCTTGAGCAGCGGCGGGAACAGCGTCTCGTGGTTGTCCCAGAAAAACGCTCTATATTGCTTGATGGTGAGAAGCTCCTTCAACAGCTGGATCGAGAAGAAGTTGAGGTCCAGTTTCGTCGAGCTGAGCAGCCTGGCCGACAGAAAATCAAACAGCGGCCGCAGCACCTTTTCCTGGCCGTCGTGAGACTCGCTCTCGTCGATCAGCAGCAGAGTCAGCACGTACGAGGAGCTCAGCTTGATCGACTCGTCGTTCGAGCCCAGCAGCTTGATCAGCGGCTGGTACGGAAGCGACGCGTCCAGGTGCGCGATGCTCAGGATGTTCTTCGAAAACGTCGACTTAGGGGCCACCATCGTGTCTATCAGAGAAACAAGAACAAACCGCACAATGTCGTCGTGCGGCGCCTTTGCAAGCAGCGAGATAATCTTGGTCGAGTAGAAGTCTGCGTTCTTGAGTATGTAGTTCGTTTTGTCCCGCACGTCCGTGAACCCGGCCACCTTCTTGAGACAGTCCGCCTCCTCCACGGTGAGGTAGTCTGCGCGGACACAGCTGTCCCAGCCGATCGCCCGCGTGCGGGCGTTCGAGACGATGTCGTTGATGGTGTCTCCTTCGAGCCTGAACTGCGACTAGCGGTCAGTGGGGAAAAGAATGGCCGACTTACCAATTGAAGCTCCACTGTCATTTACTGTGTTTTACAAATAATATTTGAAATCTTGTTTTGGCTGCACCTCGGCTCTCACGTCCGGGTAACCAGTTTTGGAAACGGCTCCTTCTTGCTCAGCACGGCCACCTTATTGCCGTGCGAGATGTAGCCCTTGACGAGGCCCTGTGCGATCATGTTCGCCAGGCGGCTCTCGGCCTCGGCCGGCGCGTACGCGCGGCCCGCGCTCAGCTCGAGCCCGCGTTGCAGGTCCTCCAATTTCAGCTGGTGGCTCTGTGTCACCGCGAACACCTTGCGTGCGAGCCGCAGCTCGATGAAGGGCCGCAGCCGCAGGTAGATGGAGTAGAGTTTTTTCTTGAGCAGCAGGCCCTGCAGCGTCGCGAGCTCCTCGTCGAAGCCGGCCAAATCGCCCGTCCGGAGGCTGTGGAAGACGTTGTAGAAAACCTGCAATTGCGGGTACCGCGCCCAGAGCTCGGCTCCAGGCAGTCTCTTTTCGATCAGGAACTTGACTGGCAGCAGCACCACGAGTATGAGCTGCTGCTGTCTGACGCTTTCGCTGGGACAGTGGATTAGCGCAGCAGTCATGTGTTTGTTGACGGCGGCGAGATCGTCGTTCATGCAGCACACCAGGCCGTTGTAGTAGTGGAAATTGACCAGGTGAGATTTCGGCGAGCGGTCCAGCGCGGGCAGATTCGGCGCCTTGCCGAGCACTTTGGAGAGATTGGAGGCAGCCTCGTACTTGCCGAACTTGAAGTAGCAGCGCAGCACCTCGTTGGCGAAAAAATACACGTACTGTTTCTTGGACCGCGCAGGCGTGTCGGACTTGTCTGTGAGACACGTTTTGAACGGTTTCTGCAGCACGTCCACGAGTCTTTCGTCGAGCGGCACGGTGTCGTTTTTTAGGGTGATTTCGCCGTTCTTCATGTTCCAGTACATGCACGCAAGCTGGCGCAGCTCCGAGGTGGCCGTCATGAGCGGCACACAGATCCAGCCGTCCTCTTTCTGCGCGATCCGCACCAGCGACAGGACCATGTTGATGGCCTGCTCAATGGCGGCTTCGAGGTCCGAGTCGACCAGAAACGCCTTGATCACGAGCACGTACGCCCTCACAAGGTCGGCCCAGCTGGCCTGCTGGTCGGTGTCTGGCATTAGGAGCATGCTGGCCGGCGGCATCGAGGCGAGAAAAGTGTGGTAGTCGGCCTTTTTCTGGAGCACCTCGGGCTTGAGCAGAAACGAGATCGACGACGCCACGAGCGGCCCGTTGTGGGAGAAAACGGCCGCCCGCAGCAGCCCAAGAAATTCCAGGTACGACATGAACCGTCAGTGCTGGTGATTTATTACTTTCCAGCACAGCCAGCCATACGATTTTTTGAAATATTTCGAATTTTTATTTTGATATTGCCGGTTTGGGAGCATTACTTGCAGAACTTAAAACGAGCGCCGGCCGCAAAAAGCTCCACCATGAGCCAACTGCGCAAAAAACAGTCGCTGTCCATACTGTCTGGATCGCACTTGAACCAGCTGAGCGGAGCGGCAAGCGTCGGCTCCGACAGGCCGGTGAAAGAGCGAGTCATCAGCGAAAGCACGGGGCTAATCAAATTCGCATTGCGCCAGAGCTCTGACAAACACAACCCGGACGACGACGCAGACAAGCAGGGTCTGCCGATCTACATTCCGATCGAGGAAAACGTACGGGAGACCGACGGAAGGACAGAAGAGCTGAACACGTTGATGTTCCAGCTCGCGTCGAAACAGCGCAAGGCGCTCGAGCTGAGGGACGAGCTGGAGTCGGTCGAGTCGGAGGTCAGGATTCTGGAGCAGCAGTGCAGAAACCTGATGGATATCCCTGGAGAACGGAAGCTGGCAAAAAAACAGTCCATCATCAATTTTGCTCCGCGCAGCGAAAAACTCGGCCAGGAGCCGTATACACAGCTGACCAAGACACTCAACACTTTCACAAACAATCTCAGCAGCAACATTCACGCCAACGAGCTGCTGAATAAGGGGAAGACGTTCATCGAGAACCTGAATAAGGAGAACGAGAAATGGATTGCGGATCTGCAGAACAGAGCCTCGAGCTTCAGAAACGAGGAACACCCCATGCTCAAGAAACTCATGAAGCACAAGGCCGACAACTCGCCGCTGATCCCGAGACTCAGGTCGTCCCTCAACCTGTTCCACGCGTCCGGCCCGGACAGCGAGTACTCGGACGACGAGCACTACGGCGGAGAAACCTCGCCATACCCAGCATAGCACATAGAGAGCACACACACACACCCTTGCACCGCAAGCAGCTTATCGGGGCGTAAATTAAATTAAAATTTTTAATCGCGCAGAGTCACTTATTCCTGTATGAAAAAACACCCACGGAAACCGGAAATAACTCTTAATGACTCTTCATTATCTACTTTTATCGTGTACACTATTTCTTTTTCCCCCTCAAGCGGACTGTCTCTGGTACTCCTTGGTCATGTCTGCGTCTGGAATGGAGCCGCAAACAGTCTCCACCATGATACCGGTGACCAGGTAAGGATCGATGTTGGAGGCCGGTCTTCTGTCCTCAAAGTATCCGTAGCCCTCGGCCTGGACCGACCGTGGGATTCTCACAGAGGCCCCTCTGTTGGCAACGCCGTACGAGAAGCTCTCCATGGAGGCGGTCTCGTGGCGACCCGTCAGTCTGAGGTCGTTGTCGGAACCGTAGAGCGCAATGTGCTCCTTGTGTCTCTTGGACAGCTTCTCGATGGCCTCCTCGATGGCCTTCATTCCGCCCGGCTTTCTCATCGACGCGGTGGAGACGTTGGTGTGGCAACCAGCACCGTTCCAGTCTCCCTTCAGTGGCTTTGGATGGAACGTCACCTTGACACCAAACTCCTCCGCAACTCTGTTGAGCAGGTATCTGGCGATCCACAACTCGTCTCCCATCTTGATACCCTCACAAGGCCCGACCTGGAACTCCCACTGGGAAGGCATGACCTCGGCGTTGATACCAGAGATGGTGACGCCGGCGTACAAGCAGGCTCTGTAGTGCGCCTCGATCACGTCTCTGGCGTACACCTTTCCTGTACCCACACCGCAGTAGTATGGGCCCTGTGGGGCTGGGAAACCTCCCTTTGGCCAGCCATAGATAGAGCCGTCCACAGGGTCCAGAAGAGTGTACTCCTGCTCCAGACCGAACCAGATCTCCTCAGAGGCGTGGGCAGTCATGAGCTTGTTGCACTCGTGTCTGTGGTTGAACTTGTTCGGGGTGCCGTCGTTGTTCCAGCACTCACAAAGAACAATGATGTTGTCGCCCTTTCTGAATGGGTCTGGATAGTAAGCGACGGGTCTGAGGTAGACGTCCGAGTTGTCGCCCGGAGCCTGGCCGGTGGAGGAGCCGTCAAAGTTCCACTCTGGCAGCTGGGACACGTCGGTGACTTTCTTGGACAGGGTTCTGCCCTTGGATCTCGTTTCTCCGGAACTGTCGATCCAGACGTATTCGGCGACGATCTTTCCACGCTGGTCCAGGTCCAGATACTTGGACAGGATGTTGGTGTGTTCCAATATCGAGATTTCTTGAACCATTATTGTTTGTTTGAGAAGGGGAAAGTGAGCTAAATTATCTCGTTGTAGCGGATAACAAGTTATTTTTATACGACTGCAAATTTCTGTTAGCTGTTGGAAACAGGTGGCATATGCACACGACCTTTTTTTTGCTTGCGGAAGGGAGAACGGAAATGGGAGAGAGGTCGATCCGGAAACAGGCCCACGAGCTTGCGGCCGTGTAGGCTCCCTATTGGCCGAGAATGGCGTCCTCCTGCCGCCTCTGGCCCTCGCTCCCAGGCTCTCAATATCGTGACCCTATTCTGCACACGCGAAAAAGAAAAGATGATAACGCCCATTTTTTTTGTCATTCGACCGCTGCGCTGGCCTGCTTTCCATCTTGGTTGGGGGGACAGTCCTGTGGTGCAGTGGGCGATTGTAATAGCCCGGCGCCATGCATTCGACTGCCTATTTCGGCGCGTTACATATCTGTGCTTTATCATTGGCGATTACCCCATTTCGCGTCGGCACAGTCGACAAGCCAGTCGCAGACCTCTCTGCGTCGAGAAAAAATTTCAGACACGGCCCGTCGACACTCGTCCCCTTCCCCTTTTTGGCAAGAGAAAAACATTAAACATATATATTTCGAAAAGCCCCTATATTTTACCGTTATGACCTCTACGGACGAGATATTCAAACTGGCCAACCAGTCTGTCGACGAGCTTCTGCGAGAGATCAGCTCGCAGACTGCGCAGAACCCGAACCTATCGTCTTCCCCCACCACCGAGCCACTACAAATTGAGGATGTAAACAAGGACAAAAACAACATCAATTCCAGCACAAAAGAGACCCCTATCTTTAATGGCCCGCGTGCTCTTGAGCAGAGCCCGATCAAAAAGTCAGTGCTTGCCTTTGAGCCGGAAATCCGGCCGGATGAGCTGTTTGACAGACCTCTGCCTGCCTTGAAACCGTCGGAGTCGGACTACTCCGTCAAGTCGATGCCCAATCTGCCGTCGGCGGCGGCCAATCTGTGGGACTCACCGTCGGCGCGGTCCAACGCGTCGGCAGACTCCGAAAGAACCATCGCCGTCGAGGAGAAACGGCCGGGCAGTCCCAATAAGAACCTGCACCAGCAACTGCAGAATGCCACGCCCGAACAACCAGCGTCCTCCCCCACCCACCAGACGAGACCCACCCCACCTAATACCGCTCGCCAGGTCTCGCTGCAGAGCACCGCCTCTCTGAGCGAGAACGATTTTGTTTCTGCCGAGGAGGGCAGCTCGAGCGACCGCATCTCGGAGACTGACAGCGACGCGACGGTCGACATCGCCGCCAGCGCGGCCGACGACACAATGCAGACGCAGGAGAGCAAGCACGATCCTAAGGCCGCCTCGTTTGTGGACGATCTGTACGAGTCGTTCGAAGGCCCAGATATCGCGCTGCCGCAGAAACGCGTCTCTTCTGCCGAGTCGGCGGAACCTGACGACATCCTCGCGATCTGGTCGACGCAGGAGGACTTCCAGAAAGTGCACAAGACGCAGCCGTCGTTCCAGAGCATCTGCGACCCGAAGAAGTACGTGGTGAGCAAGGAGCATTTCAAGGAGATAAGAATCAGAAACCCGCTGCTTGTGAGGGACGACAACGAGGCGGACGACGAGCAGGAGGACCACGAATCCGGCCACGCCAGCCTTGCTGCTCCAGAGGTGTCTCGTGAAAAAACGTTCAGCAACCCGCTAGATTCCGTCCAGGACACCGAGACCTCGAAGATGTCGCTCGACTCCATCCACCTCTCAGACCTGCTTCCAGACGGCGACGACTCGTTCCTCCGGGAAATAGAGGACTGGGAGCCAGAGTCGCGCGAGCAGCCGGTGAGCACGCCTGCTGCCAACGCAGAAACGCTCTCAAACGTGTGGCGGCGCGGAACGCTGAGCAGAAAGCCCGTCTGCGCCAAGGTCGACAACGAGAGCGTCCAGATTCCGCGGATGTCTGCGGACGAGGTGGAGCAGCTCATGATTCTCAAGAAAATGACCAGCGACGAGTTCCAAGTCAAGGAGGCCAACAACAAGCTGACGCTCGAGAGCAACGTGCCGCACCTGGAGCAGCGCGTGCACTTGAGCGACGCACGAAGCGAAGCCACGGACGACAAGGCGTCGGCGATCGTGCCTGACCTGTCGATCGCCACGGGCCAGACAACACACAAGTACGGCGACCTGGTGCCTGTTGTGCGGCGCGGGGTGGCGTGTCGCGCGCCGCTGGGCCAGCTGAGCGACGAGCAGATGAACTCGCGCATCAGCTCGATCCAGTCGGCTGCCAAACGCGTGAGCTCTGCGCTGTCGTCGTCGACGAAAGTCGACGAGCCGGCGACGCTCGTGCTCGGCGAGCAGGGCCGGTTTTTCCTGCGCGTGATGGGGGTGCGGGAGCTGAACTTGCCCGAGCTGGGCCGGCGCAACGCGCAGTTCCAGATCGTGCTCGACAACGCGATCCACCGGCTCACCACAGACCATGTCCCTATCGAGTCCGCGCAGTATGTTCCCGTGAACAAGGAGTTCGAGCTCGTCGTCGGCGCGTCGCTCGAGGTCGTGCTCACGCTCAAGCTCAAGTACGACAAGCCCAAGGACCAGCTGGTGGAGGTGGTGGAGAAGCGCAAGGCAAAGCCGAAGAACACGCTGGCGAAGCTGCTCGGGTTCAAGGACATCGTCACGTCGACGCGGTACGTGACGCGGCCGGCAGAAAAGGACCCGCTTGAGCACACGGTGGCTCCCGACGGCTCGTTTGCAAAGTTCCGGATCTCGTTCGACAACTTCAAGGAGCACGTCACGTGCGAGTCCAAGATAATGAAGCTGGACGGGCTGAACGAGTGGAAGACCGTGGGCGGCAAACCAGCTGCACCGTACAAGGTGTGTGCGGTCGACTTCAACATGCTGTTTGTTCCGCGCACGAGCGAGCACGAAACGCTGCCGACGAGCATCAAGAACGCGTACGAGCAGGTCGAGCAGGTGCGCAGCACGCTCGCGGCGCGCCACGAGGGGTACATGTACCAGGAGGGCGGCGACATCGACGCTTGGACGCGTCGCTACTTCAAGCTCGACGGCTACGACCTGAGCGCGCACCACGAGACCACCAGGAAGTTGCGCGCGCGGATCAACCTGCGGCGCGTCGTGGACGTCGAGTACGCGGGCAAGCCCGTCTCGGACGGCCAGACCACCAGGCGCGTGTACAGCGACCGGCTGCTGCTGAACGACGCTTTCCGGGTGCGGTTTGCGAACGGCGAGACGATCTACTTTGGCTGCGACAGCAAGAACGAGGAGACGGCGTGGGTCGACCTGATGGAGGCCATAGTGGCCCGGAACTGCTTCAGGCGCCAGCCGTGGGTCAAAAAAATGCTCACCAAGTGTACGTAGTATGCAATACAGCCTCCTCTCTCTCCGCGGACAGGGTGCCGACCGGGGGTCCGGTGTGCGGCGCTAGTAAAAATTCGGCCACGCCGAATTGCCATCTAGAGTATCTTATCTTTGCGCGTGCAAGGGTGTGCTTGCGCGTGCATGAGCGGCTGCCAGAGTATATAAACCCCAGATAAGGCCCTGTGGCCGCCCACACACAAGATGCCAGAGCAAACCAGTATTGAATTTGTGCCTTTGGACGGCCAGCCTTTTGGCGCCGAGGTCCGTCTGCCCAGCTACACGACCAACCCTGCCGAGCTGAACGACGCAGACTTCCAGAAGCTCAAGGAGGGCCTGATGACGTACTCCGTGCTTGTTGTGCCAAACCAGGAGAACCTGTCGCCGGAGTCGCAGCACTCGCTGACCGTGCGCTTCGACCCGACCACCAGCAGCGGCTACGGCCACGACCCGAGCCTGTTCCACTCGTCCAAGTCGATTCTGGCCAAGGACGGGCGCTCGGTGCCTACCCGGCCCGAGGTCCAGATGGTGGGCAACGGCTCGTTCGAGGCGGGCCACGAGGGCATGAAGGCGTTCACTCTTGAGCACCCGACCCACCACCATTTCCACAAGGACGTCCTGAGCGACGAGGAGGTTGCGCGCGGCCAGACCCGGTTCTACAGATGGCACATCGACGCGGCGCTGTACGAGCTGGCGCCGCCCGTCGTGACGACGCTGCTGGGGCTGATCGTCCCGTCCAAGAACGAGACGCAACGAGTCGTCTACGAGGACACCAAGGAGGTCAAGGAGCTTGTCAAGGGCGCCACCGCGTTTGCGTCGGGCAAGATCGCGTTCGACCTGCTTTCCGACGAGGACAAACAGTTCGCGCTCAACCACACCGTCGTGTACGCTCCGCATCCATACATCTTCATCAACAGCTGCAAGGCCACCTCCGACGGCCTCACCATCGTTTCCGAAAAGCCACCCAAGGAGGTGCCTCTGGACGAGCTGCCACCATGGGAGCCGTCCAAGGTCAAGAAACTGCCAATGGTCTGGACGAACCCGGTCACCAAAAACCAGCATCTCCAGGTGCACGGCTGCTGCGTGTACCAGCTGGTGAACACCAAGACGGGCGAGGTGGTGGCCGAGCTCGAGCAGGCGCGCGAGATAGTGCACCGGTTCATGCGGCCTGCCATCTCGCCGCAGCACATCTACTGCCACGGCTGGAACAAGGGCGACTTGTGCATCTTCCACAACCGCGGCGTGATCCACACCGTCACCGGCGAGTTCGAGCCGCACGAAAAACGGCTCATGCACCAGTGCAACGTTGCCAGCGGCGAGGACCCTGTCCTGCTTAACTAGGTTTATATGGAGAACTGAATTGATAGTGTACATAAACGAACTAGCGGCGTCTTCGTCTGCCCCCGCCCCCGCCGCCCCTCTCGTCGCGGTCCCTGTAGCTCTGCTGGTGCGAGCCCGTCTCGAAGTCCCTGTCGGCCTGGTCGCGCTGGCTGCCCTGCGCCCTGCCCGACTTGTTGCCCGGCTCGGGCGTCGAGTTCGAGGCCGGCCGCGACGGCAGTTTCGTGCCCTGCTGCTGCTGCGCACCGTCCTTCTTCTGCCCAAACATGTTGGGCATCGCCATGAACGGCGGCATCCCCATCATGAACGGAGGCGGCATCGGCGTCTGGCCGTTCGCGCCAGGCATCCCGCCAGGCATCCCGCCCAGAAGCCCGCTCAGACTTGGCGGAATCGAGCCGCTCGCTATCAGGTCGTTGATCAGCTTCGACGGATTGAACTCGGCCCGCAGTTTGTCCTGTTTCGAGCAGTACGCCAGCCACGACAGCTCGTCAAAGCCGTAGTTGAAGTAGTCCGAGATGTCTGCGCCCGGCAGCCGCCACGGCTTCTCCTTCAGCTCCTCCAGAGACAGCTGTGTGATTGGCTGGCCCTCGTACGACGCCACCTGGTTGATGTCTAGTCCTGTTGTCTGTGTGAAAATCGGAACAGAGGCCTGTTCCGGGCCTGGCGCAGGCTGCTCTTTGGTCTTGTCGTCCACGGCCACCGCCTTCGACTCGGACGACCCAATAATGAACTCCACGTCCGAGTCCGAGTCGGCCTCCTCGCTGCTGGACTCCTCGCTCGCGGCCTTTTGCGCAGGCTCCAGCTCGGCGCCGTCCTTCGCCTCGATCGTCGTCTCCGTCTGCTGCGCGTCCCTGTCCTCCGCGGACCCGTACAAAAACTCGTCGTCGTCCATGAATAAATAAATAAATATTTTACTGGAGGCAAGGGGCAAGAAGGGGCAGCAGAAAGGTGTTATTTTTGGCGAGGAAAAACACCGACCCTGTTGCCGCGAGATGGCGGGTTGACGTGCCGACGGCAACCGGCCCTGCCCGCAAGGTGAACAGGTACGGGCTCGTCCACCACCACGGCACGCGCCACAGAGCCGGCCCCTTGCACCGCCACAGCAACCTACCCGCCTCGTCACGTGCGCGCACACAGGGCTCGAGAATATAAAAAATTTTAAACCATTTTTCAAACTATCCAAACTACAGTACCCGAGATGTAGGTATAACACTTCATACGGTGGACGAAAGCCAGATTGGCTGGCTTGGCTCCGCCATCGTGCCCAGACTAACAAACAGGTCGAAGAGAACTAAGAAGGTTGGAATCACCGGTAAATACGGTGTCAGATACGGTTCTTCTCTGAGAAGACAATGTAAGAAGCTCGAAGTTCAACAACACTCCAAATACGACTGCTCGTTCTGCGGAAAGAAGACCGTCAAGAGAGGAGCTACTGGAATCTGGACTTGCAAGTCTTGCAAGAAGACTGTTGCTGGAGGAGCCTACACCGTTTCGACTGCTGCTGCCGCCACCATCAGATCCACCATCAGACGTCTGAGAGAGTTGGCTGAGGCATAAGTAAGACTAATAGCAGATACAGAATGAGGAAACTAGTAGACAGATGCAGAAACACGAAAGCTCGTGGCGAAGGTAGATGAATGACAAAGTCGGCGACCGCCGTCGATCGACTGTGAAAAAATAAAATCTTTCAAAAAAAAAGTTGGTGCATGCGGGGTTTGAACCCGCGACCATCGCGTAACTTCGTAATGAAACGATGCGTGACGTTAGTATAGACGTCTGTCCGACTATAAGCACGATGCTCTTGACCTCTGAGCTAATGCACCATTTTTTCAAAATTTTTTGCTGAGCAGCATTAGCATAGAATACGAGGAGTATTATTTTTTTACAATGTAGCAGATAGAGGCCGGATTTTGGGGTCTGTTCAAAGCCTATGCGCTGCAAAAGACTCTGGGCAGCCACTGGTAGCTGTAGGAATTTTTTTTCAAGTTATCTGACGGAAAAAAGGCTCTATACGCTTTGGTCTATAGGCTGATCTTGGTCCAAATTGACGAGACTCGTCTGACCAGCACTGCATCGTCGCTAGAAGGAATCCTCTGCACCGACTACTTGATTTGGGCCATTTGAGACCGGCCGGATGCTGCTTTGACTATAGATCAGATCGTACTGATTTTTAATTTTTTTTGATATTTTTCATGAGAGTGCGAGCGTTGCGACTGGTACGGAGACTGAGCTCCCTGCGCGGATCGACGCTTGCAGACTACGTCCAGCCCACCCCACACCCAGACGATCAGATCGTCGTCTCGATGTCGTCGGGCGTCGATTCCTCGGTCGCTGCGCTGATGTATGCCAAAGAGTACAAGAACGTCAAGGGCATATTTATGGCGAACTGGTCGCCCGATTCCAGGGGAGGCGCGTCGAGGTGCACGGTCGAGAGCGACTGGGAGGAGGTGCAGACGATCTGCGACCAGATCGGGATCCCCTGTGAGCGAGTCAATTTTGAAAAAGAATACTGGTCAGACGTCTTTGAGCCCATGCTGGAGATGTATCGCAAGGGCCTGACGCCGAATCCGGACGTCGGGTGCAACAAGTACGTCAAGTTCGGCAAGATGGTCGAGCATCTGTCCAACAAGTTCCCGCAGGACAACTGGTGGCTCGTGACAGGCCACTATGCGCGGATCATGAAACACAGAGCAACGGGCGAGTCGCATCTTTTGAGAGCGTGCTATCTGCCGAAAGACCAGTCGTACTATCTCAGCCAGTTGCCGGAATCCGTTTTGGGCAGGGTTTTGATGCCTATTGGCCATTACACCAAGCCAGAAGTCAGAGAGCTGGCGCAGCGGTACGGGCTGACCTCCAAGGACAAGCGCGACTCGCAAGGGCTGTGTTTCGTCTCGCAGCACGGCAAATTCAAAGACTTTCTCGACGAGTTCCTGCCGCCAAGCCCGGGCGACATCGTCACCGCAGATGGCCGTGTCTGGGGCAGACACAACGGGCTGTGGCACGGCACCATTGGCCAGCGGTCTGGGATCTCGATGCCGCAGGGCGATCCGGAGATGAAAGGCGTGTGGTTTATCTCGGGCAAGAACTACGATAAGAACCAGCTCGTCATCTCCAAGAAGACCGACCGCGCGGCTTTCGAGAAAGACCGCCTCAAGGTGGCCGACTGGCAATGGATAAACTCCTCGGTAAACTTCGAAAATTTTGATCCCGCAGAGCTGACCGTCCAAGTCCGGTCGCTGGAGTCGCCGCGCGCGCTGACGGCGGTGGTGGCCGGCGACGAGCCAGAGTTTCTGCTACACGAAAAAATCGACGGCGTGGCACCCGGCCAAAACCTAGTCCTGTATAAAAACGAGCGCGTTCTCGGCGGCGGAATCATCGCCGAGGCCAACTAATGTACATACCTACTTACCCTGTTTCTGCTCCACCAGCCTTGTGTACCGACGGAGCTTCGTCTCCACGTCCAGATAGAACGTCGCCTGCTCAAACGTATCGACCATGTACATGCGCATAAGACGGCTGGAGCGCAGAACCGCAGCGTAGAACCGCTCTTTCAGCCTCACAAGCGCGTCCATCACCTCGGCCACGTTCCTCTGGTCGAAGCTCATCAGTTTCGCGGCCGCCGTCCGCGTCTTGGCGTCGCGCATCAAATCGTCCCATTGCTCGAGACGCAGCTGTAATTCGTCCAGCTGGTTCACCTGGTGCTCCATCTCGTGCAGAGACGCAACAACGAGCCGGTATTTTTCCTCCACAGACATTGTGTCGTCACGCGACACCGAAGGAACAGCCAGCAGCCCCTGTGTCTGTGTCTGTTCCAGCACACGCATCAGGTTTGCGTGCTCGGCCACGAGGCCCTGCAGCTGCCGCCAAACGCGCTGCAGCTGCCCGTAGACGTCGGAGGCGCCCTCGTAGAGCGTCTCCAGCACCAATATGCGGGACTCGATGGTCTCCAGCAGCTGCCGAATACTCATTAGGAAACTGAAGCAGAATGGAAACGCTGACATAAGCACGAGTATCAGGAGCTTGGTTTTTTTCTGTTGCCATCGCAAAAGCTACGTACTACAAAACAAATAGACAAGTCAAGTTAGATAAAATGGTAAGTTGCGAGTGCCCGAGGCCGGGCGTGCGAGTGCTCTAATACTTCTAGTCAAGATCTGGGTAAGTTAGCAAGAATTGCGTTCGTTTGGAACCGCCTCTAACCGCAGTGTTGCTGTTTCCGACGAGGCCTTGAAGGCTTTCAACGACCTGAAACTCGGAAAGAAGTTCAAGTCGATCATCTACAAGCTCAATGACGCCAAAACCGAGATCGTCGTCGACTCCACCTCCACCGAGGACGCCTACGACGCTTTCGTCGAGGACCTGCCGGAAAACGACTGTAGATTCGCCGTCTACGACTTCGAGTACGAGGTCGGCCAGGGCGACGGCAAGAGAAACAAGATCGTTTTCTACCAGTGGTCTCCAGACACCGCCAGTGTCAGAGCCAAGATGGTGTACGCGTCCTCCAAGGACGCCCTGAGAAGAGCCCTGAACGGTGTTGGAACCGAAATCCAGGGCACAGACTTCAGCGAGGTCGCGTACGAGAGTGTCCTGGAGAAGATCAGCAGAACCACGGGTCTGCATTAGTGTCCATAGCTGGTGTATACTTAACCCCTGTTACCTGTGTTACCCGGCCGACCAGCCCTACGCGGACAGCCAACTCTGAAGCCTGTAATTTCGGGACTGGAATTCTGAGGGTTGTAGGTTTGCGTTCCAGATAACAAGGCCTTCCAGCCCAGCATGTCCCCTGCCGTCAACCGCAAGCTGCCCAGAGCGAACCTGGAGCAGAAGATCATGATCCTGGACCAGTACCACGAATCCAAGCGTCCGCAGAGCGAGATTGTCAACTTCTACCGCAACCAGTTTGCCATTTCCACGTCCAGTCTTTCGGAGTGGCTGAAGCTCGAGGACGACCTGCGCCAGCGCTACCGCGAGTCGCAGCAGGTAGACAGCGCCACGTCCAAGTCCCTGCGCACGTCCAAGCGCAAACTGTCGTTCAAATACGAGCCTATCAACAAGGCCATGTACAAGGTGGTTGAAGAGCGGATGGCCCAGAATCTGCCCATTTCAGAGCCGATCCTGCGCGAGTACTGGGCCAAGTTCGCCAAGCAGTACGGCGTCACCGACCCGAAACGACTGCAGACGTTTAGCCACGGCTGGCTGGCCACTTTCAAGAAACGGCACGGTCTGCAGAATATGATGACCCGGGGAGTGAGACGGCAGAACGAGTCGTCGATGCCCGACGAGACGGCGACGTCGTCGGGCGTCGGGGCGACCAGCACGGCGTCCGAGTCGGAACTCTCGAACGTGATGCGTGCGCCGGAGTACTCGTATTCGAACGCACCGCCACAGAGCTACGACCACCAGCTTGCACCGCCACAGCCGACGTTCAGCAACACGAGGCAGCAGCAGCAGCAGCAGAACCGTCAGAGCCAGGGAGACAACCAGGAGTACCTCATGATGGACTCGAACGGCGCCCAGCAGCACGGCGCGCCGCAAAACGTCCAGAGCGAGAGGTACCACCAGTACGACGTCAGCCACCTGCTGAACAATCCCGGGTCTGGCACCCCCTCGAGGTCGCTTGCTCCGCCGCAAAGCACTCCGGCCGCGCAAAAACACCAGCTCTCGCACACGTCGACCCCACACAACGGCACGGTCAACTCGCCCGTGGCACAGTTCCAGGCTCAGGTGCAGGGATATCTTCCCGTGGACCACCGGTTCCCTACAATGACTCCAAGACAGCCAAGACCAGAACCGGAGCAGGACATCACGGTGGACATCTCCGACATGGAGAAGTTTATTTTCGTCTACTCGGAGCGGTTTTTCCAGCACTACGGCTACCAATTTACCAAGTCGAAGGAAATATTCGACGCGTTCAAGACCAAATTTATGGAGGAGAAATTAGTTTACAACTCCAACGGGCTCAAGCCGGGACAGGCGATGGACGACTTCTTTCTACGCAGAATGAGATGAGATAGATCATATCCTAATTAGAAGCCTCTATTGGGAGCAGAGCCCGCAACCTAGTTCATGTCTCTGACAGGTTGTCCAGCACTCTGCTGATGTTGCTGCTGTATCATTTCTGCCTCATACTGCTCCTGCTGAACGTTGCTGCCGTTCAGAGCCTCAGAGCTCTCGATCTCATGGAAGTCCAGGATCTCGCTGTACATCATTATTCTCCAGGTATCAAGCGGCAGGTCTGCGTCGTTGAAACTCCAGTCGAACTTCTCCTCAGCGGTCGGCTCGTCCGACGGGTCGTGGTACGGGCTCAGGTACGGGTGTTCGAGCGCCTGTTCTGCAGTGACCCGCTTGCGAGGGTCGAAAACAAGCATCTTGGAAAGAAGGTCGACGGCCTCAGGCTCGACACCCTTAAATCGCTCAGACAGCGGGACTGGCTCTTTGTGAGGAAGCGACTGGACGAATCTGAGCGTGTTTTCCGAGCAGATGGTGTCAATGACGTCTGCAGGTGGGGACCCCAAAAGCTCGGTGATGATCGAGAACTGGTGAACGTGGTCTTTGCCGGGGAACAGAGGCTTGCCTTCTATCATTTCCGCGAAGATACATCCTGCAGACCAGATATCCACCTCTGTGTCGTACTTTTGCCATGTGAGCATGATCTCCGGCGCACGATAGTACCGAGTGGAAACGTAGCCCGTCATCTGTGGGTCTTGGATTCTGGCGAGGCCAAAGTCGCATATTTTCAAGTCGCAATTTTCATTAATTAGGATGTTGCTTGGTTTCAAGTCTCTGTGGATAACCCCTGCAGAGTGCACGTACTTGAGTCCACGTAGGATCTGGTATAGGAAGTACTGGATGAACTGTTTTTCCAAAGGCCTTGACGTCAGCAGTCTGTGTAAATCCGTTCCCTGTAGCTCGGTGACAAAATAAATGTCTTCCAGTGGCGACAGGAAAATATCGTCAAGCGAAATCAGGTTCTCATGTCTGAGGTGGTTGAGCAGTTTGAGCTCGCGGTACGTTCTTTTGGCCAACACAGCTGTTGAGAACGGCTTCATAACCTTCTTGATGGCAACGTTCTGTTGCGTCAGCTTATCCTTTGCAGAACACACCAGACCAAACGCACCCATCCCCACAGGGTTCAGGTCCGTGTATCTGGACGTTGTTTCGAATACCGTTCCGAAAATCTGTGTTCTCGTAAACTCTTGTGTCATGGGAACATACAATAATTATTAATGTTTTTTTATGTCGGAAACATCTCTGCACTATTCTTATTATAGAACGTACTCTGTAAACAAGGCGGATATTTACGAGAACCACCCCAGACACTGTTCCAGTGCCCTGGATGTGTGTGCCTGGCGCGCGGCAGAAAGGACACACGGGCACTTGCGAATCCCCGACCATCAAGCGCTCAGCCCCATGCTGGCTACAGTCTGACCTCTATCTGTTGTCGCACCCTTGCACCATACAAGTGTGGTTATCAAATCTTAAATTTTTCTTGTTCTGAACAAGCTAAAGCGATGGTCTCTGACGAAGCTGCCGCCCTGGACGCGGAATACGAGTGCCATGCTGACGAGTTTACCTTCCCAACATTTGAGTCAATGGGACTGGACGGCCCGGCCGACCAGAAAGTGACATATCTCTGCGGGAACTCGCTCGGACTTATGCCCAAGAACCTCCCACGGGCAGTCAATGCTGAGCTGGATGCGTGGGCCGCCCGTGCTGTGGAGTCTCATTTCAGACACCCGCACGAAAAAGATGGAGGCACCCCGTGGATGGATATCGACTTGCCGGTGGTTCCCCTGCTGGCCCCGGTGGTTGGTGCCAAACCAAGCGAGGTGGCGTGTATGGGGACGCTGACAATGAACCTAAATTCGCTCCTGTGTGCGTTCTATAAGCCAACCAAAGAAAAGTACAAAATCGTGTTTGAGAAAGGCGCGTTTCCGTCGGATTACTATGCTCTTCTCAACATGGTCAAATTACATGGCTTCACAGAGTCTGCCTTGATCCAGCTCGAACCGAGACCTAACGAGTTCACGCTGCGGACAGAAGACATCCTCAACACCATTGAACATCAAAGCAAGAGCATTGCGCTGGTTTGCTTGCCGGGTATCCAGTATTACACCGGACAGTATTTTGAGATCGAAAAAATCACAGCCTTCGCTCACGCCAAGAATTGCGTGGTTGGCTGGGATCTTGCCCACGCTGTTGGCAACGTGGACCTGAAATTGCACGACTGGGACGTGGACTTTGCTGCCTGGTGCTCGTACAAGTATCTCAATTCGGGGCCTGGTGCTATTGGAGGCATTTTTGTTCACGAGAAGCACTGCAGGCCGGACGTGCCGCGGTTGGCTGGCTGGTGGGGAAACGATGCGGGCGAGCGGTTCAAGATGCTCGAGCAGTTCAGACCAATCGAAAGCGCGCTCGGATTTAGACAGTCGAATCCGAGTGTACTGGACGTTGTGTCATTAAAGTCATCGTTAGAAACCATGCATAAATGTGGTGGTATCGAAAAATTACGAGCAAAAAGCATACAGTTGACGAACTTCCTAGAGAGGCTGCTGCACGCGTCGCCATACTACCGTGATGTCGGCGAGTCACGCAGCACCACGGATCCGCATTTTATCATTCTGACTCCATCCGAGCCGAATCAGAGAGGAGCGCAGCTGTCGCTGCTGTTCAGGCCTGACGATGCAATGGAAAAAGTGTTCATGTACATGAACTCGCACGGCGTTATCTGCGACGAGAGGCGGCCCAACGTCATCAGATTGGCTCCTGCACCCTCGTATAACACGTTTGCCGATTGCGTGAGGTGCGTTACCCTGCTGAATAAAAGTTTTCAGGCCACTTAGATAACTGTGGTGGTGGCTTCGAGAGTGGCTCGATTGTGCACCCCCGTCAAACAATGCATCGCGGCTCAACGGCTATTGTAAAACGGTGGCACCTTTTTTTAACTGCACGTGACTGGATCTAATTGAGAAAAATTTGGGGAGCTAACGTTTGCTTGGCGTAGGGCATTTTTGAAGGCATCCGTGTCAAACTTTTCTGCGTATAAAACTCCGGACATTTGACAGGAAATTGTTCTTTATTGCAGATCCCGATGTTCCAGTCCAACTTCGAAAGCTCAGTTGAAAACGATCGTCCGGAGATCGAATACCAGACGGCAAGTGTGGCTTCGTCCCGAGAGTCCGTGGCGAATGTTGTCATTGAGGAATACAACGAAGAGCCTGTTCCTGCCTTCGACTACGTCAAAGAGATCGTGGAAAGTCCCCGTTCCAAGGCCACCACCTACGTGAAGTCCCTGTTCCCTATTCTTGGGTGGATTGGCCACTATCCATTCACTCCGTCCTGGGTCTACAGTGACTTTGTGGCTGGTGTCACCGTTGCCATCGTGCTTGTTCCTCAGTCCATGTCGTACGCCCAGCTCGCCGGCTTGTCCTCTGAGTATGGTCTCTATTCGTCGTTTGTTGGTGTGCTGATCTACGCCTTCTTTGCCACTTCCAAGGACGTTTCCATCGGTCCCGTTGCCGTGATGAGTTTGGAAGTTGGTAGATTAATTGCTCGTGTGCAGGAAAAGACAGACAACGCCTACGCGGCTCCGGTCATTGCCACGATGGTGGCCCTGTTGTGCGGTTCGATCGCTCTTGGTTTGGGTCTTCTGAGACTCGGTTTTATCGTCGAGCTCATCTCGCTGCCGGCCGTTCTCGCCTTCATGACCGGCTCGGCGTTCAATATCATTGTCGGCCAAGTCCCTGGTCTCATGGGTTTTGGTAGCTACGTCAACTCCAAGACAGCAACCTACAAAGTCGTCATCAACACCTTGAAAAATTTGCACCGTACCAAAGTGGACGCTGCATTTGGGTTCGTGTCGCTGTTCATTCTCTACGCCTGGAAGTACACCACGTCCTACCTCTACAAGCGCTACCCAAAACAGAAGATCTACTTTTATCTGCAGCAGCTGAGAAGCGCAATTGTGATTATTTTCAGCACCCTCATCAGCTACCTGATTATTAGACACCACAAGACCGAACACAGTTTTAGTGTGAACGGAAACGTGCCTTCTGGACTGAAGCACGTCGGAGTCATGGAGACGCCTCCTGGGCTTGTGGGCCACATCGCCTCGGAGCTGCCGGCTGCTACCATCATTCTAGTTCTCGAACACATCTCCATCTCTAAATCGTTCGGAAGAATCAACGACTACAAAATCAACCCTAACCAGGAACTGATCGCCATCGGTGTGACCAACCTGATCGGTACTTTCTTCAACGCATATCCCGCCACCGGCTCCTTCAGCAGAACCGCCTTGAAGGCCAAGTGTGGTGTCAAGACTCCGTTTGCCGGAATCTTTACTGGAGCCTGTGTGCTGCTCTCCATCTACTGTTTCACGGACGCTTTCTACTACATTCCAAAGGCTTCCTTGTCGGCCATCATCATCCACGCCGTGGGTGATCTTCTCGCGTCGCACAAAATCACCTGGAACCTGTGGAAAATCCAGCCACTGGACTTTGCCATTTTCCTCATTGGCGTGGTCATCACTGTGTTTGCAACCATTGAAGATGGAATCTACTTCGTTGTTTGCGCCTCTGTGGCTGCAGTTCTATGGAGATTGTGCAAGCCAAACGGCACTTTCCTCGGAAGAGTGCGTGTCGTTGAGGTTGTCGACCCAATTGTGGCCCCTGCTGACAACCAGCTAGAAGACGACAGCAACAAGAAGAGCGATGCCAACGTCGAGAGCAGACCTGTCTACAGAACGCACTACAGATGGGTGCCGCTTAGAACCAGTCCTAACAGCTCCACGCCCGTGCACTGTGTCTACGTCAACGAGAGAGTTGCCGTGTCTCCTCCGCCTCCAGGAGTGATTGTGTTCCGCCCGAGCGAGGCGTTCATCTACTCCAACTGTTCTAGACAAATAGACGCCGTTCTAGACGAAGTGAAGAGAGTCACGCGTCCAAAACATGCTAAAGTTGAGAAAACATTCAATAATCCAGGACAACTGAACGTGAAGTGGCTGCACAAAATTACGCGCTACCAAGAGCCTGAGGAAGACAATAGGCCGGTCCTGAAGATCGTCCACTTCGATTTCAGCCAGGTGACGTTTGTCGATGCGACTGCAGTGCAGTCGTTGATCGACCTGAAAAAGAGTCTGGACCTCCATGCGGGCCACGACTACGAGATCCACTTCTCGGGAATAATCAGTCCATGGATCAGACGGGCTCTCATTGGCGGCGGATTCGGCCGCAGCGTGCACGACGAGTCCGACCAGGAGCCAAAGAGCGCAGATTCCTCGGTGGAAGAACTGGAAGAGGACAAGCCCAAGTATGGTGATGTCGAGAGACATACTTTGGATGCTGGTCTTGGCGAAGACTCCTCCCACCTGTATGCGCTTTCGGGAACTAACTACCCATGTTTCCACTTCGATATTCCATCTTACACGTATTTGGACGAGTGACGCTTGTATAGAAAGGTATTTACTGGGAATGAGACTAACGATGCGATAGAAAAAAAAATCATATTTAAATAAATTGTTTTTTTAATATGCATTAATGCATGGAGAAATACTGCTAGTTCGGTTTTCAGAAATCTGCCCGTCTCTCGAGTCGGCTTTGATAGACGTCATCAACAGGGGCTACGACAAGCCCCGATACAGATACGGCGTGATAGACACGCCGCGGATCAAGCACTCGCTGCTCAGGGATCTGAATATCAAGGACCCAGAGCAGTCGTATCTTGCGCTGTTTCTGGCTCCGAAAAGCGATCTATCGATAGAGAAAGACGATAGTGCTGCCGAGGCGACTAGCAAGTTTATCAGCAAATTTCCGGAGGTGTCCTTTTCAGCACACGTCAGCCAGCTAGACGACTACTTGGACATCGAATCACGCATACTAGGAACGGTGGGGGTTAAGAAAATAGACAGGGGCCACGAATTGACCGCGTTCACGTCGTTCTACCCGCAGCTGTCGGGCAAGATGATGGATTTCATCCACGAGGTGGGCAGAAAAATAGGCTCGAAAACAATTGTTGCGGACGTGATTGCAGAGCACAATCTGGTGGAGTTTTACGAAAAACACCAATATAGAGAAATCCGCCGCATTCCGTGCAAGATAGACAAGCATACCAACCTGGTGATTGGGTCTGTGATGGAGGACGGCGTCAGGGCCAAAAGAGACTTCACGATGGTGGAGATGGAAAGAGTGTTGTAGAATGTACAGATGACTCTTCGGGCGGTGCTTACATCAGCCGGACGAAAAAAATTCTATTTAAACGTTGATGTACAAAACCTGGTTTTCAGGCTTTAGAAACTATTCGAAAAAAGTTGTACGCACTCGCAAAGGACTGCAGGTCAAGAAAATGAGCAGCGAATTTAACAGAGAGCAGCTGGAGTCGGTTTTGAAGAGGAGATTCTTCTACGCTCCCGCTTTTGAGATCTACGGAGGTGTGTCTGGGCTCTACGACTACGGTCCGCCAGGCTGTGCTCTCCAGGCCAACATTGTCGATACGTGGAGAAAGCATTTCATTCTGGAGGAGGACATGCTGGAAGTGGACTGCACAATGCTGACTCCGCATGAGGTTCTGAAGACGTCTGGCCACGTTGATAAATTTGCCGATTGGATGTGTCGGGACCTCAAGACCGGCGAGATCTTCAGGGCAGATCATCTTGTCGAGGAGGTTTTGGAGGCCAGACTGAAGGGCGACAAGGAGGCGCGTGGCGAGAAGGTTGAGGACGTTGAGGAGGACGAGCAGAAAAAGAAGAGAAAGAAGAAGGTCAAGGAGATCAAGGCCGTGAAACTTGACGACGAGGTTGTCAAGGAGTACGAGACCATTCTGGCCAAGATCGACGGCTACTCTGGCCCTGAGTTGGGCGAGATCATGGAGAAACACAAGATTGGAAACCCTGCTACTGGCGAGCCTTTGGAGGCTCCTATGGCATTCAATTTGATGTTCGAGACAGCTATTGGTCCGTCCGGCCAGATGAAGGGCTATTTGAGACCAGAGACCGCGCAGGGCCAGTTTTTGAATTTCTCCAAGCTGCTGGACTTCAACAACGAGAAAATGCCATTTGCGTCTGCGTCGATCGGAAAGTCGTTCAGAAACGAGATATCTCCTAGATCCGGGCTCTTGAGAGTGAGAGAGTTCCTGATGGCCGAGATCGAGCACTTTGTCGACCCAGAAAAGAAGTCGCATCCAAACTTCAAGAGCGTCGAGGACGTCGTTCTGAACTTCTTGCCAAGAGAGGTGCAGCAAGAAGGTATCACCCAGACGTCCAAGATCTCTGTTGGCGAGGCTGTCAGGTCGGGAATGGTCGACAACGAGACTCTGGGATACTTCTTGGCCAGAATCTACCAGTTCCTGATCAAGATCGGCGCCAACCCCGACAAAATCAGGTTCAGACAGCACATGGCGAACGAAATGGCGCACTATGCACAGGACTGCTGGGACGCCGAGCTGCAGACGTCGTACGGCTGGATCGAGTGTGTTGGATGCGCCGACAGGTCTGCCTTCGATCTGTCTGTGCACTCTGCCAGAACCAAGGAGAAGCTGTGTGTCAGAGAGCCTTTGCCAGAGCCTAAGATTGTCGAGAGACTCGAGTGCGAGATCGACAAGAAGAAGTTCGGCCCAAAGTTCAGAAAAGATGCTCCAAAGGTCGAGCAATGGCTGCTATCCAGAACAGAGTGCGAGCTCGAGGACCTGGCCAAGGAGCTGGATGAAAAGCTGAAAATCACCGCCAAGATCCCAGAAACAACCGTCCCAGAAGTCGAGATCCCTGCCGAGCTGCTGAAAATCTCCAAGGTCAAGAAGACAGAGCATATCAGAGAGTACACTCCAAACGTGATCGAGCCCTCGTTCGGTATTGGCCGTATCATCTATTCTGTGTTTGAGCACTCGTTCTGGACCAGACCGGAGGACTCAGCCCGGTGCGTTTTGTCGCTGCCGCCATTGGTGGCCCCAACAAAGGTTCTGCTCGTGCCGTTGTCCAACCACGAGACCCTGCTACCAGTGCTGAAACTGGTCAAGGACAAGCTGAAGGTGAAACAGATTCCGTTCAAGGTGGACGACTCGTCTGCGTCGATCGGAAAAAGATACGCCAGAAACGACGAGCTGGGAACTCCGTTCGGCGTGACCATCGACTTCGACTCGCTGAAAGACAACAGCGTCACCTTGAGAGAGAGAGACTCGACGTTGCAGGTGAGAGGCTCGGTCGACGACGTCGTCGACGCCATCGTCAAGCTCACCTACGAGGGTGTCGACTGGAAGGAGGGCACCAAGAACCTGGAGAGCTTTGAGGCCAAGGCTGACGAGTAGTGCCGGCAGCTAGTAGCTACATAAATATAATTTTTTTGCACCCACACCCGTGCACCACCTCCATCAGCAGTAAAGAAAAACAACATAAAACCTGTTTCCAGGCGAAAATACATGAAATTCTCTTGTTGATCAGCCGAACCAACGTACATCACTGGCTGCACAGAAATGGAGACACACGAGATAGGCGAAACAGGCACAGGCCCGGGGATAGCCACGTTGCCGCGGTACAAGGCCACATACAACGTGAGTGCTCTGGCGACCGATTCCGCAGAGAATTTGGATCTGCACAGCACAGAGGCCGCAGGCCGCGTGCAAGACTCTGTGGACGGGTTCGGGCCGCTCCAGGAAGCCCTTGCGACGCCCAATTTCTTCAAGCCCAAGATGGCCACCAATATTCCAAACACCAGCACGGCGTCGTTACCGTCGCAGGTGGGCGAGTACGAGGGGCAGGCGCTGCAACTGGACACAGAGGTGAAGGTGATGTCGATACCAAGCTCGCCCGTGCCGAAACTGCACCACAAACACGGGTCAATTGGAGACATGCTGAGCGAGAAAGAAGATCTCGGAGACAAAGCAGGGCGACAGTCGGTCACCACAGAGAAATCGAACTACTCGCAGATCATCGAGGGATACCAGGAGAGCGTGCACTCTTTGACGAAAACAGAACCGCACACGAGGACAGAGCAGGATCGGGGCTCGAAATCTCGTGACGGGTCGAATCTGGCTGCTCAACAGTCAAATAGCTCTGCCAATGTTACACACGTGCCAGACACACTGCCGAAAAAGAACGTGCAGACTCCGAGCCGGTCTGCGTCGTCGTCGGTGTCGTCGTCGCGCAAGGCGAGCTCGAACGCCACCACGCCGTCGTACGAGGCGAAGAAGACCAAGGCCAAGACCAAGAAGATGTTCGGCAACCTCACGAGCTTCGTGTCGAGTCTTACACCCTCGGGCTCCCGCTCGGCATCGCAGTCCAGAGTGATCTCCGAGCCTTACGACTACGTGCGCCACCAGCACGTCGAGTACGACCCAAACTCGCAAACGTACATTGGGCTTCCCGAAGAGTGGAAACGGGCATTGGCAGCACAGGGCGTCACTGTCGAGGACCAGAAAAAAAATCCCCAAGCTGCCAACCAGGTAATTAATTTCTTCAACTCCAACTACAACGACGAGTCCACCAACAAATTCATGAAGGTCCAGGGTCACGACTCGGAGCGCAGTAACGACAACGATGACAGCCTGAGCGAAAGCGAGTACAGGACACCGAATATCAGCTCCTCCACGCAGTTCGACACCACAGACTATGCCACGCCTTCCAGTCCCGCAAGCTCTGGGTTCCAGCAGACGCCAATCGCGCTCCAAAAGGAGACGTTTCTTACGCCGGACGGGGACAACGAGTTCATTCCTCGGAGACACGCTCCTCCTCCGCCTTCTTCGACTTCCTCCAAGCCTGCTACCACGCTGCCGATGTCTGCCAAAAGCCCGCTGGGCTCGGTGTCGCGGATCTCTTCAGGCTCCAAAAAGCCGGCCTCCTCTCCTTCGTCGCTGATCGGCAGTATATCTCGCCGTTTCGGCTCTAATCATTCCAAGTCGGGCAGCACGCGCTCCGACAGACCACAAATTTTGCATCTGGGCGAGTTTCTCCCTGTGCCGACGAGTCCAAAGCAAATGGCCTTTGAAACACCACCGGAGAAGGAAGATGCAAATGCCCAGCCAGAAGAGAAAGAGATACCCCATGCTGCTCCTCAACGTCAACCGCCTGCTCCACCACCAGTTCCTATAAAGGACGTCCAGCTGCCACAGAAACCGGACGAGTCTGTCAAGCCCCAGGTACCACCAATTCCAAAAGGTAAGCCAAAAAATGCCAAGATACCGTTGACGGAGGACGAGCAGGAGCGCAGACGCGAGCTCCGCAGAGCTAAAGAGAAAAAATATCTGCAGCGTCTGTTGGAGATCTGTTCTTCCGACGACCCTAGCGAAAGATACCACAGCCTTGTCAAAATAGGACAGGGTGCTTCTGGAGGAGTCTACACGGCCACCGAGGTCGAGACCAATACCTGTGTTGCCATTAAGCAGATGGAGTTGGAGAGACAACCCAAGAAGGAGCTGATTATCAACGAGATCCTTGTGATGAAAGGCTCTAAGCACAAAAACATTGTCAATTTCATTGAAGCGTACCTGATGAAAAAAGACCTCTGGGTGGTGATGGAGTATATGGAAGGAGGCTCCCTGACCGACATAGTGACCCACAGCGTCATGACTGAGCGTCAAATGGGCGCCGTTTGCAGGGAGACATTGCAGGGTCTCAAGTTTTTGCACTCCAAAGGCATCATACACAGAGACATCAAATCTGACAACATTCTCCTCTCTTTGCAGGGAGACATCAAACTCACAGACTTTGGGTTCTGTGCACAAATCAAAGACTATTCAGCGAAACGAAACACCATGGTGGGGACGCCGTACTGGATGGCTCCTGAGGTGGTCACCAAGACCGAGTACGGCCCTAAGGTCGATATTTGGTCTTTGGGCATTATGACCATCGAAATGATTGAAGGCGAGCCTCCGTACTTAAACGAGACTCCTTTACGGGCCCTGTACCTCATCACCACGAACGGAAAACCTACATTGAACGACCCTGACTCGCTTTCCGAGGAGCTACAAGAATTTTTGAACTATTGTCTAGAGGTGAATCCAGACAATCGTCTCGACTCTGCACAGCTCCTGGAATTGCCATTCATCAAAACCGCCGACGACAACAGTTCTTTGGCGCCGCTAGTCAAACTGGCCAGAATGCAAAAACTCGCTGAGCTTCCGGATAGCCAGGATCACTCATAGACAAGCATGTACCTTGATTAGGCGTAAGCATACAAAATCTATTGTACAAATAATGTAACACAGGTGATTACGTGGGAGCCGTTCAAATACTCTCATCGTCATCCTCGTCGTCGTCGTCCTCAGGTGAGCTTACCACCACGTACTTGGACTGGACAAAAAAAAGCTTGACAACAGTCTTGCCCTTGTTGTCGAATTGGTAGAAATTACCCATTGGCACTTCAAAAGAGCAACCCGAAACCACCACAAACGGATTGTGCGAGAGCGTCACTTCCAGCACTCCTTGAATCACGAAAAAGATGAAATAGGTGTCGTCGTTCGACTTGATTGCTTTGCGAGAACCAACGGGAATCTCAATTATACCCCCGCCGCTAAACTCGCTGTCCTGATCAAACAGGGTCGCGATTCGAAAGAACTCCTCGCTGTTCTTGATGATGGAAATGTTTTTCGACTTGTTGGGAGCCCAAGCAACCGTTCTTTCGATCTGGTTCTCGGAACCCGGACCCTCAAAAACAGGAATCGTGAGCGAATTCTGTTGCAACCAGTCGCTGCCGTCCAGCTCGCTAGCGATTTCTTGCTCCTTCTCTTTTTCAGGCTGCTCAGCAATTTGCGGTGGAGCCGGTGCTGGCCGTTGCTTTTCAGTCTCTTCACTTTTTGGGGTTCGACTACGTCTTCGAGCTTTTGTCGATGGTGGTGCTGAAGACTGTCTTCTTTTTCTGCTTGGCTCTGCGACGGGACGGTGAAGCACGTCCTTGATTTTTTTCACGTACGTGCCGTTTTCAGTTGTGGTTTCGTAGATGATTTTCTCGTTTCTCCACCAAGCAACAGGGGAAACTCTTCTTCTGGAAGACCTTCTCACTCCGTTTTCTGACATGGGTGTTTCTTCTTTAGGCAGAACCTCCTCCAGCGACACATCATTATCCTTGTCTTCTGCTTTATCTGAGTCTTCAGAAACGCTTACCACTTCATCGTCCTCGCTTTCCACCTCAGGAGCAGAGTCGGTTTCCTCTTCAAAATCATCATCCTCATCCACGTCAGCATTTTCTGGTGCTGACTCTTCTGATTCAGGGGAAGCTGATTTTTTGCCTCGCGATTTTCTTTTCGGACCTGACTTAACTGGCTCTTCATCATCAGAAGTGATCACTTTGTTCTTACTCGATGATTTCCTCTGCAGTGCTATGTTCTTCGTCACAGCCGCAAACTTACGAGAGGCAGCAGAAGACGTAGATTGAGGCTTTCCGGTACGCACTTCTTCTTCGGATTTGTCCTCGCTGTCTAGATGCAGAACGTTCTCTTCAGTGGTTGGCAGGCTTTTCTTCAAAGGGGAAGGCTGTAGTTTCTTGGGCGAGCTTGAAGGTCGGGTTTGCGAGGAGCGAGGAGAGCCATTCAGGGAGGCTCTACGGCGCACATTCGGTTTGATTGGAGAGCCCATTCGCGTGGCTGCATTGATTATTTTGTCTGCGTCCTCAGAGTCACTTGCGTCGGGACTTTCTTCACTGGAGGACACTATTAAACGAGTTCCTTTACTTTGCGGTTGCTTGCTGTGACTAAAGGGCGAGCTTCCCGGGGCTTGTTGGCTTTTCAGCTGTTCGTACCTCATGGAGAGTCTTTTATTGGGGGACGTGTTGACACTCTTGTTATTAGGACTCTCGTACTCCTCGTCTGAAAGAAAGAAGTCTTTGAGATCCTCGAGCCCATTTTCGTTCTTTCTGGGAGTCCTGGTAAGGTAGAACCCTGTTTTGCGGCCCACTTTACCAGGGGGCTCAAATATCTCGCTTTTCCTATAACTCATCCTTGTGTTTTGAGTTTGTGTGTATTAGAAAACCGTGGTACAATTGCAAAGACTAGCGGCACTTCGAATGGTGACCAAATTATCAGCTCAGATGGGTATCTTTGAAGACGCGTTCCGATGGCACAACAAATATATTTCGCACCGCTAGTTTGTAAACATCAACTATAAAACCAAGATTGATTTGTTTATTCTAGATATAAATCGACGCGAGATAGAACTAGTAATTTTTTTTCTATTACGTCGATCGGCCCAATACATTTACATTACAACTGGTAGCTCCCAACGTCCTCAATTCAATGGTATCACCTCTCCAGACTCTCCATCGTGGTAAGCGCGCATCTCGACCCTGAAGTCCGCACACGCCACTCCAAAAGTCTTCAAAATCAAAGCTTGTCTGACGTCCAGCACATCTCCCTTCTCGACCACCTTGTAAGGTTCTGGAAGGGTGATTTTTCCAGACACGATCTTTGTTGGCATCTTGAACTTGTTGCGCAGAGTTGGCTCCATCGAGTGCGACATCGGCACATCCTCCTCCTCGGCAACCTGGCCTCCACGTGAGTAAACGATTCCTTCTGGAATCACGAAAGTGATTGGCGACTTCGACTTGGCTCTGGGGTAGTCGGATTTCACATATGCACTAAAGTATGCCTTGACGGTTTCTGGAGTCTCATCTGTGAACAGTAAACCAATCAGTCCTTCAATGTATTCGCCGAGCTTATGCAAGTTGTCTTTGTATTCCTCCTCAGGCGTTTCACCCAAGGCCTTCTCCAGCACCTTTCTCTTACCCAAAATGAGCTTCGATCCGGTCCAGTCTTTGCGGATATCTTGCAAAACAGGGGTTCTCACATCATCCAATTTGAGGACCCAGACGTATCTGTGGGCATCCAGTGCAGCTCTGACCTCGTCAAATATCCTGGTCTTATTTTCGCGACCTTTTTTGTCGGTCTGAGCAAGGGTAACGAGCTTGGATCTCTTGGAGCGAGGCATGGTTGACCGATCCTAAAATTTTTCAATCTAGATATTTTTTTAAAAATATTTTTTTCGCTCCGTTTTCAGAAACGGGATAGTGAGATTAAATTATTTGAAGGCAAAACGAAATCAAAGGTGATAAAAAGAATTGAAGGTGTTTATCTAGGGTTTAAATTGCAGTGGAAAACCAAGTTTTAAGCATTCTACCATCACGTGGGACATTAAAGACACTTCGAATGACACGGAAAGTCGAACTGAAGAAGTCAAGAAGTCATACCAGAGACTCTCAAGAGTCCTCGGACCCTGAGGTCAACAGGTTTGACGAGGAAATGGCGGACGCAGATTTTGACACTGATGACCGGGAGGAGGAAGACGCTGTCCTGTCCAGGCTCGCGGGGAATTACAGGCGATTTTCAGAGTCTCGGAACAGAATACGCCAGGAGGAGTCTGGCGAAGAGGACTACTCGCATGACCACTACGGTTATGACGAGGAGTCGGAGGCCCACGAGGACGATGAGGACCTGATGCGCTCTCTCCATGGTGTGTTGGGTGCTAACAGAAGCAGAACCGGTGCGCCTTTGCAACTCTCTTTGGCCAATGCCTTAGGCAGCTCTTCTCGTCCGGACGAGTCGCGCGGCAACACAAGGGGCGATAGCGAGGAGAATGACGGAACTCAGCAATACGCAGAGTTTGGCATGTTTAGAAGCGCGTTGGGGAGAATGTTCCCGGGAGCAGGGTTCGGCGAAATGTTTGGAGGCGTCACCCGTATTTCTGAGCTGGCAAATGCTTTAAAAGAACATGAGGATCCATACATGGTGCTGGAGACACTCAACGAGTTATCTGAGCGGCTGCTTATGATTAACGGAATTTTAGCGGAACGCAACCTTCCTACTTACAGACTGGCACAAGCTATTGTCTCGGTGATTGAAAATCCTCTGTACCAAGAAGATCTTGAAGTGCAACTTGTCTCCTGTCGGTGCTTATACAATTTACTCGAGGTGAATGTCGACGCGGTCCATGACGCTGTCGCCGCAGGAGCAATCGAAGCGCTACAGTCCAAGCTTCTGGAAATCAGCTACATTGATCTGGCAGAGCAGGCTCTCCAGACTCTTGAAATGATTTCGCGCGACTGTGGCAGAGACATATTGATGAAAAATTGTCTTCCAGCATGTCTCATGTACTTGGACTTTTTCACTATACATGCCCAACGAAAGGCCCTTTCCATCGCAGCAAACTCGTTGAAATATGTGCCAAAATCCAAGTTTGATGATGTGCGTGAAGTTTTCCCCATCATCGAGCGTGTTGCCATCGAATACTCGGACTCTACAAGCGTGGAAAGCGCGTGGCTAGCCATATCGAGAGTCGTGAAAAGTTTTGAGAAGGAACCATCTCTGTTGGAATCTTTAATTAGCGAAAACTTGCTCAGGAAACTACTTGCTCTTCTTCCAAGCTGTCTAGGTAAAGGTTCACATTCCAACAACCTGATCAGTTTCAATTCCTGCTTGAAACTCATTCAATCGCTTTCCATCATTGCCGATTCTTCTCCGAAATTGTCACTATCGCTGTTGGAGGACGGGGAATTGGGGCGAATCATTTTGGTCTCGTTGGCCGGATTTGATCGAAACACAAACGACACGGCCCCAGAATCTACTATCCCTCAAGTTTCCGTCGAGGCTTTGATGGGCACTCCAAAAGAGCTGATTTTGGCTATGATCAACCTTATTGCACCAATTCTTCCATTTGGTGAACCAGATGGTAACGCACAAGGCAAGATGGACGTCGGGAATTTTCGCGGGACCAATCACTCTCAAGACCGGATAGAAATGAACAAGACAAGGTTGTCACTTTATAAAGATGCTGCTAATATTGGCAAGTTTGAGACATTTGTTAGCGAGATGCTTCCATTGATGATCAACATCTACACATCGACTGTGGATTATAAAGTTAGACGGCTGATATTACTTTGCATGCTTCGCGTGGTGTATGCGTCCACGAAGTCCCAGCTGGCGAATCTTATTCAAAGTTGCAATGCCACATCATTATTAGCATCAATTGTTATTCATGGTATCCACGTATTAAGGAAAAGTGGCCAATCGCGTTCAACGACGTTCGAGATGAGACCATATGTGTTGATCTACGGAGCATTGACAGTTACAGACATTCTTCTGCTCAAAGTGCCAGAGGTGTTTGTAGCAGAATTTGAACGTGAAGGGCTTATAACGCACACTCAACAGTTCATGAAAGATCTTGAACAGGATGAAAGAGTGATCAAAGCACAGGAAAGACAAGAGGATCTTATGGATGAAGACAAAAGCGAGGACGAGAGACCGAAAATTAGCTCCGATGAAAGGACCCAGGAAGAAGACATGCACCATGATGACGAGAATAGCGAGGATGAATCAAACGAAGATGACGACGAACCCGCAGACTCCCAAAGTGACGACGAAGAACAACTGTCATCATGTTTGTCAACACGTTTTGTTCGTGATTACACTCTAGATAGCGACGGAACGTCCTCGATCACAATGGAGTCTTTACTACTAGAATTGGCCAGATTGTGCAAGAATTTTGAGAGAGATTATAAGGCTCTCAAGCAGACAACGCCGTCTCTCAGTTCTTCACAAACCGTTATGCTGGCCCAGATGAAATCTATCTTCGACAACAACCGTAACTTGAATTATCAGGAATGGGCAGAAATTTGGCGCAGGTTTGCAGAAACCTGTGGATTTCTGAACAGCGAACGCCAAGTTTCGAGTTTCGAGCTGATAGCTTCTGGCTTGATTGCGTCTCTTGCTGATTTATTCCGTCGAGAGCTAGCGAAAGAGGAGTCACATTGCGTGAAAGCGTTCCAGGATCTGATTTGCTCGAGTTTCAGCTGTTTGGGAAATGGAGAACATCTTCCGCTCGTATCTTTTGTCAAAAAGCTAGAAGAAGCCTTGAGCAGGACAGAGTCCTTTGAAATTATAAGTTCGGGGGCTAACTGCTACGCCTCTGGCGTAAGTGGCCCCGCTTCTTCAATGGCTAAACAGATCAAGATAAAGCTCATACCTGAGGACCCAGAGCATGGCGGGAGACAGCTCATGCTAATGGTCCATGCTATTGCTACGTTCAAATCGATCAACGGGTTTTTGAAGCAAAGAGCAGATGGAATGAGGGGTCTAATGAGGGCCATAAGCATGCCAGCGCCGTCACCAGAGGGTGACACACCTTACCATATTGAATTCTCGATCAATGGCGAGGTCATTCCTCACGGAACGACCATTTACGGCGCCATCTACCGCTCCTTCCAAAATGAAACAAATGATATAGTGCCCTCTCGGAAGATTTGGACTAGCGCTCCACATGAAGTGCACTATCGCAAGGTAGAGGGCGAGCTGCCCGAATATGAGGAGGATCTTTATCCATCTGACGGATCTGAAGATTCTCTGGAGTCTTTGGGTGACATTTCGACTGCTCAAATACTGGAACTTCTGCAAATGTTGTACACCGTCAATAGTGCCACCCACCATCCGGGTGCCTCGGAGACGCTATTTCTGAACTACAAACTCACTGCCAAACTGAATCGCCAATTAGAAGAGCCTCTGATTGTGGCCAGCGGAACGCTGCCCGACTGGAGCGTGCACATCACTCGACAAATGCCGTTCTTGTTCCCGTTGGATACAAGAGTTTTCTTTCTGCAATCCACCTCTTTTGGTTACTCAAGGCTCATCAATTTGTGGCAAACCCGATCAAACCAAGATGAGGAAGCGTCTGGATCTGGAGGAAACAGTGCCTCACAACTGGGACGTCCTGTTAGACACAAGCTGCGCTTGTCTAGAAAGAAGCTTTTGCAAGGTGCTATCAAGGTAATGGACTGCTACGGCACGATACCGGGAGTCTTAGAGATGGAGTATTTCGATGAAGCTGGAACCGGTCTTGGGCCTACTTTAGAGTTTTACGCCAACGTTTCGAAAGAGTTTGCGAAAGCTAAGCTGAAATTGTGGAGGACGAACGGCCGCACCTATTCCGAGTCTACCTCCTCGTCTGATTCCGAGAGCGAGTATGTGAAGTTCGAAACAGGACTTTTCCCTCGGCCAAGCGCCAAACCAAGCCCAAAGGTACTGCATTTGTTTTCTGTGTTGGGCAAGTTCGTTGCTCGCTCGCTGTTAGATTCGCGGATCATCGACTTTGAGTTCAATCCGCTATTTTTCGAGATTGCCAAAGAGTTGGACACCAAGAGCTGGAAAGAGTTGTCCAGGAAAAACTCCATTGAACGTCTGGGCAGGGTTGATGCCGATCTTGCCAAGTCTCTTGGTCATCTTACCAGATACTTAGACGCTTATGCCGAGACTGAGGAGTCAGAGCGCTCGGAAATCTTGATTGACGGCTGCAAGTTGAGCGACCTCTCTCTAAATTTCACGCTGCCAGGTTACGAGGACGTCGAGTTGTGTCCATACGGAGAAGAAGTGGAAGTTGACCACACGAATCTGGAACTATACGTGGACAGAGTGATTGACCTGACCATCAAATCTGGTGTGCGCTCCCAAATTCACTCTTTTGTGGAAGGATTCTCCGCCGTTTTCCCCTACTCATCCATGACCATTTTCTCCTCTGCCGAGCTTGTGATGCTGCTTGGAAACGGCGAAGAGGACTGGTCGTACGAAACATTGTCTGGCGTCATCCACGCGGATCACGGCTACAGTATGGAATCGCCAAGCGTGCAGCGTCTGATGGAGATCATGAGCGAGTTCACCGCCGACGAACGCCGCAAGTTCCTTCAGTTCCTTACTGGATCGCCGAAACTCCCAATCGGAGGCTTCAAATCCTTGAGCCCCGATTTCACAGTTGTTCTAAAACACCCCGAAAACGGGCTGAAACCGGACAATTACCTGCCGAGCGTGATGACATGCGCCAACTATCTGAAGCTGCCTGACTACTCTTCCAAAAGCGTCATGAAACAGCGCCTACAAACCGCAATGACCGAGGGCGCAAATTCATTTTTACTTTCATAACATGTTAAATCGTATTTAATTTCCACGGACCCATCCGTTCAGCTTCGAGAGCCAGCCTTGGGCGTGCTCGTGAGAGTCGCTCAAACCCTGCTTGGTCTGCTTGATCAACTTCGAGCTTCCGTCCTTCACGTCCTGCTTGGTTTGTGCCAAGTAGTCATTCAGAGTCGATTGAGCAGAATTCTTCTTGCTCAAGAGATCGTCGTACTCTTTCTTGGCGGCGTCCTGGGCCTCTTGGGACTTGGCCTTTCTCCACTTGAGCCAGCTGCTCTGAGTCTCGTCGTACTTCTTCTTGGCCTCCTTCACCTGTTCATCGTAGTAGTCGTACAGTTTTTGAGCCGATTCTCTGGACTTTGCGGCCAGAATGCCGGTCTTGTCGTCCCAAGCACGCTTGTGCTCTTCAGCAACTTCTCCGGCCAGCTGGCCAAAGCCAGCAACAGAGTTGTCGGCCTCCTTGACAAAGTCCCTGTCCTTGAGGTCTCCCTTGAAGTTACCGAGGAATTTTTCCGCATTTTTCTGCTGCGAGTCGGCAAACTGGGATCCTCTCTTTTTCACGCTTTCGGCCCATTCAGAAACACGCTGCTCCGTTTCCTTCACAACGTCAGAGCCCCATTTCGACAGGTTCTCGCGGGCGCCGTCTAGATTCTTCTTGGCTTCGTCCAATTGCTTGCTAGCATCATCCTGCTTGGCTTCACCCCATTGGAACCATCCTTTCTTCTGCTGCTTGGCCTTATCCTCAGCCTCGCGGTACTTCTCCCAGGCAGAGGCGTAGGAACGCTGAGCAGACTCTTTGGACGAGCCGAAGAAAGAACTCAATCTGTCCTTCGAGCTTTCCAAACGGTCAATCACCTGAGAGCCCGCAGAATTGACAGAGTCCTTGAACTGGCTGCCAGCAGTGTTGGCGTTCTCCTGGATGTTGGAGTTCTTCTCATTGATCCAGGAGCTGGCAGAGTTCTTCAACTCTTCGGCACGCTGGACGCCCGAGTTGTACAGCGACTCGCTGAAAGGCTCGATTTTTGGTGGCGGGTTCCAATTGTAGAGACCCCATTGATCAATGGTCTTACCATGGTTGTACTGGACGTCGTAGATATACAGACCAGTCAGACCTGTGGCGAGAGCAAGAATATATTTGTTTGGAATTTTACCTGAAGTCATTTTGCAATGTAGACCTGGGGAATGACACTGCCGTTGCTATATATATTGCTGGGCAGCAACTTTGCTACCACAGACCGCCCCGCCGCCGCACACCTTGCCAGGATGACGTAATACACGTGAGATGGAGCAAAATAGTTTCCAGAAATTACAGCAAAAACACAAAAAATGTAAATACTAGTGGTGCAGGGATGGTGGATTTTGATGGCTACTCCTCGCACCCGGTGCGAGGGGGCGACACGACTCGTGCAAAATACACCAAATCTTTTGTAAACACTCCAACCAGGTCAACAGGCTTGTGTCGCATCTACAAGGGACTCCCGTTTATTGTGACACATTTTGCTAAACAGTCGTATGTACTCTGCCAAATTTCGGCCGGCATCGATACTGTTGAATATAAAAACCTCGCGTCGTGTGTGTGGGAACATTCTTAGAGCACCCTCTATTTTCTCCATCAGATATACCAGTACGCGCAAAATGAGTGACTCCGACTCCGATTTCTCGCTTTCTGCCGCTTCGACGCCGCAGATCCCGAAGCGAAAGCCTCTGTCGAACTCCACCAACACCACTAATGGCAAGAAATCGTCTGCCAGCGACCAATATCAGAAACTCTCCCAGCTGGAGCATATTCTAAAACGTCCAGACACGTATATTGGGTCTGTGGAAAAAATCGAATCTGAGCAGTGGATATACAATGAGCAGACAGAGTCAATGGAAAAGAAGACCGTTAACATTGTCCCTGGTCTATTCAAGATATTCGACGAGATCTTGGTGAACGCGGCCGACAACAAAATCAGAGACCCCAGCATGAAGAAGATTGATGTTAAAATCGACAAGGAAAACAACGTTTTCTCGGTGAAAAACGACGGAAAGGGTATCCCCGTCGAGATACACACCAAAGAGCAGATCTACATTCCAGAACTTATATTTGGTAACCTACTGACTTCCAGTAATTACGACGATGACCAAAAGAAGGTGACTGGTGGTAGGAACGGGTACGGTGCCAAACTATGTAACATTTTCTCCACCGAGTTTACTGTGAGAACCGCAGACAAAAACACCCAGCTGCTGTACACGCAGACTTGGAGAAACAACATGTCTGAAACAGGGAAGCCGAAGATCTCCACAATGAAGAAACAGGAGGAATACACAGAAGTCATCTTCAAGCCTGACTTGACGAAGTTTGGCATGGAGAGTCTCGACGACGACATCTTGGGCGTTCTAAGAAGAAGAGTGTACGATCTTTGTGGATCTGTCCGCGGTGTGAAAGTGAGTTTGAATGGCCAACAACTCAAGGTTCACAATTTCAGGCAATACGTCGAGCTGTACGTCAAGGCTCTCGAAAAAGAGAAGGGGAATCTTCCTGCTCCAGTAAAAACAGAGGATTCAGAGGATGGATCGCTGCCGCCTGCCCCGTTGTCTCAGCCGCTGCCAACCATCGTTCACCAGGTGCTCAACGATAGATGGGAAGTTGCATTCTCGATCTCAGATGGAACTTTCAACCAAGTTTCCTTCGTCAACTCCATTGCAACCACTGCTGGAGGTACTCATGTGGAGCTGATCTCTAACATGCTTGTTACTAAAATCATGGAGCAGATCAAGAAGAAGAGCAAGACTGCCATCATCAAACCAATTCAAATCAAAAACAACATGTTCCTATTTGTCAATTGTCTCATCGAGAACCCGGCTTTTACTTCCCAGACTAAAGAACAACTCACCACCAGAGCGTCTCAATTTGGAGGCAAGAAGCTGGAACTTCCGGACTCGTTCGTGAAGAAAGTGTTGGCATCCGGTATTTTGGAGAGCGTGATGGACATCGCACAAGCGAATGCCGACAAGGCGCTGAAGAAAAACGACGGTAGCAGAAAGAGCAGATTGACGGGATATCCGAAATTGGAAGATGCGAATAAGGCAGGTACAAAAGAAGGTCACAAGTGTACTTTGATTCTGACGGAAGGTGATTCTGCCAAGTCTTTAGCTGTTGCTGGATTGGCTGTGGTGGGACGAGACTACTATGGGTGCTATCCATTAAGGGGTAAGATGTTGAATGTGCGTGAAGCCAGCACTGACCAGATAATGAAAAATGCCGAGATCCAGGCCATCAAACAAATTATGGGTCTTCAGCACAAGAAACGCTACGACTTATCAAACATCAACACTCTGAGATACGGCCACATCATGATCATGTCGGATCAGGATCACGATGGTTCGCACATCAAGGGTTTAATTATAAACTTTCTCGAGACATCTTTTCCTGGTCTCTTGGAAATCCCAGGCTTCCTTATCGAGTTCATCACTCCGATTGTCAAGGTTACTATTTTGACAGGCCCGGACAAGAACAAAAAGATATCATTTTTCAATATGCCTGAGTACGAGGAGTGGAGAGATACAATTGGAAAGACGTGCTCTTACAAGCAGAAATACTACAAGGGTTTGGGTACCTCGCTTCCTACCGAGATGAGAGAATATTTCAGCCAATTGGATCGTCACTTGAAAACGTTCCATACTCTGCAAGAAGAAGATGTGTCACTGATTGATCTGGCTTTCTCCAAGAAAAAGGCCGACGATCGTAAAGAGTGGCTGAGAGGGTTCCAACCGGGTACTTTCCTTGATCCGAATTTGACAGAGATTCCAATATCTGAGTTTATCAATAAAGAGTTAATTCTTTTCTCCATGGCCGACAACATTCGTTCGATTCCTTCTGTCATGGACGGCTTCAAACCAACTCAGAGAAAGGTTTTATATGGTGTCTACAAACGTAACCTAACAAGCGAGATTAAGGTGGCTCAGCTGGTTGGTTACATTGGTGAACATTCTGGCTATCATCATGGTGAGGCATCATTAACTCAAACGATCATCTCTCTTGCCCAAGACTTTGTTGGGTCCAACAACTTGAACATTCTTAAGCCCAATGGTGGTTTTGGTTCTAGAGCGTCTGGTGGTAAAGATGCTTCTGCCGCAAGATATATTTTCACCGAAGTCACTCCGATCACTAGAAAAGTGTATAACACTCTGGACAACCCATTGCTCAACTATTTGCAGGATGACGAGCAAACTGTTGAACCTCAATGGTACGTACCTGTTCTTCCGATGATCCTCGTCAATGGGTCAGAAGGTATTGGGTCTGGATGGAGTACGCAGATTCCTCCATTTAACCCAGTTGATATCGTCAAAAACATCCGCGCACTAATGAATGGTGAAGAAATGGTGGACATGATGCCGTGGTTTAAAGGATGGGAAGGCACCATCAGCAGAATTGGACCTGATAAGTTTAGGATGGAGGGAAATATTGAAGAGATTGACGACAACACAGTCGAAATAACTGAACTTCCCGCTCGCATGTGGACAATCACCATGAAGGAGTTCCTGCTCCAGGCAATTGCAGGTTCCGATAAGCAGAAACCATGGATCAAGGATATGGAGGAGCAGCATGGTGTTGGTATCAAATTCGTTGTGACGTTGTCCAAAGAAGAGATGGAGAAGACCAGAAGAATTGGACTGAAAGAGAGATTCAAGCTGATCTCTATCATCAACACCTCCAACATGGTTGCTTTCGATCCGCAGGGAAGAATCAAGAAGTATGACCATGTCAACCAGATTATCGAGGACTACTATCTGGTCAGATTGGATTACTACCAAAGACGAAAGGACTATATGGCAGATCTGTTTTCCAACCAGTTTGAGAAGCTCTCGTACCAGGCTAAATTTGTGAAGATGATTATCGACAGAGAACTGAACATCAACAACAAAAAGAGAGTCAATTTAGTGAAGGAGCTCAAACAACTTGGGTTCCCTGGATTTGACAAACACAACAAGCCGATCAGACCTGCTGAGTTGAAGGAGGAAGACGACGAGGAAGATATAAACGAGGCGGCTGCCGATCCGACCTTAGTGGTGCAGGAAAAAAAGACAGCAGTTTCAGCGTACGATTACTTATTGGGTATGCCATTGTGGTCTCTAACCTCTGAACGCTATGAGAAGCTGCTGAAGCAGAGAGACGAAAAGGAGGCCGAGCTGAATAATCTGCTCAGAAAGAGCGCTAAGGATCTGTGGAATGAGGATCTGGACGTTTTCCTCGAGGAATGGGACAAATTCCTGAAAGAGGACGAGGAGAGCCGTTCGTCAATGAAGGTGGGAGACCACTCCAAGAAGAAGCGGAAGAGAAGAACCAAAGCAGAGCTTGCTGCCCCTGCTAAAAAGAAAACGGCAGATAAGCCTGCAGCAAATAAACCAGCTGTCAAGAAGGAGGAACCCGAAAAGCCTGTTACCAAAACCGAAGAGCCTGCCTTTAAGAGTGTATTTGGCGGATCGGGCTCTAAGTTCAATGCTGCCACGAGCATTTTCAGTGCAGGGTCAGATACCACCGAGTCTGATGCGTCTGCTCCATCAAAGGCGTCGTCTTTCTTCACCAAGAAGCCCGCCAAGAAGGCCAAGAAAGTGATCGACTCCGACGAGGAAGTTGTTGAGCTCTCTGATGACGACGATGCTCCCACGCCAGTGAGCCGTGCGTCTTCCACACGCAAGAAGACCACGAAGTCGTATGTGCTTGACGATGACTCGTTTGAGGAGCCAACCGACGATGAGGATTATGAGGGATAGATCCGCGTGTGTATTGCTAGAGATATGTTATACGATTTAAACTTTTCTATTTGGTTGCATAGGAGCCCATTTTTCAGTGAGCGACTCTGCGGAAGCACCTTTCAAACTTTTCGGTTTGCTAGGCACGATGGGTGTAATTTTCTCCGGCCGCTGAGGTGCCGGAGGCTGCTCTGACGTTTGCACTTTCCGCGGAGGAGGTGGAGGCGGTGCGGATGAGCCAGTTGGCGCCGGAGAGCTTGTGGCCGAGCGCGTAGGTCTCATTGCCTCAAGTGAGTATTTATGTTCGGTGTCTGCGGACGACGGCCTTGGTTTTAGTGCGGTTTGCACAGACGAGGACAGACCAGGAACCAACATGGCCGTGGACTCGTTTGCGTCGTACGGAGGCGGCACACGACGTCTTTGCGGCGTTGTCAGAGTGTTTTCCTGTGATTGAGGCGGCGAGCGTCTCGGCAACGTAGGAGCAGTGCTGGAGGAGTCTCCAGAGAGATCGATCAACGTTGGAGCCGAGGCTGTTGACCAGTTGGACGAGTTGAACGATTTGGACTCGGAGTCGTCCACGTCGTCGTCTGGCTCGTTCAAGTCCATCAACTCGTCGGACTTGACTGCGGTGGACCTGTATTGAAGATACAGTTTTTTGAGCAGCACCGACTTGGTCTCTTGGTCTACGAGTTTCACCTTTGAGCTGAACACACCGTAGATGGGCTTGTGGTCCGAAAAAACGAGGTCCACAACGGCGTCGTAGTCCAGCTGCGAGATCGACGTGCCTCTATAGAGAATTCTATCGGTCCATGATGGGACACGCTGTTTCTCGCTGGTGTCGTAGTTGGTCGTCCCTTTGTCGAATTTGTACGTGGGGATAAATTTGATGGGCATCTCCTTGAACCCTTTCATTTCTGCGCGCCGTTTGAGCTCGATCTTGAGCTGGTCATATTCGAGCAGAGTCTCGAGATTGTTGGACGACAGCAACGCCCTCACGTCGTCGTTGGCCTTGGATATGCGGTAGTTCAGGTCCCCGAGCCATATGATGTTGTCGTGGTGCTTGATCTGGCGATTTCGCGAGAACCGGATCGCGTTCCAGGTGGTGATGAAATCGTTGTATCTTTCGTCAATATTGGTGGTTCCTGCCGCAAGATGCGAGTTGAAGAAACAGAACGAGGTTGACCCGTAGTCGAAACGGATGGCTGCCGAACCCTTGTTGGCCGTCATTCCTCCAAGACCGGTTTTCTTGGATTTTCCTTCCACCTGTGTAATTTTCGAAACAGCGTCATCCTTCACGTACAATAGCAGGAGCACAGACGACATGTACTCTGCCCGCAACATGACATACTTGTTAGAACCGCCGTCATTCAGCTGGTGCTCAATGGTTGTCTGCCAGTACTGAGAAGGTGAAGAGTCGTTTTTCAGGATATTGGACGCATTCAGCTCGATCACCTCCTGGAAACCAACAATCACTATATCTGGCGAAAAAGAGCGGCCTCCAACCTGGCGTGGGAACAACCACGACGTGAGGTCGCCCGCAATGGTGTTTCCTGCCAGGTTGTATGAACCGACGTAGATTGTGATATCCTCGTGCGAGACAAATCTGCTTTCGTATTTTTTGCACTCCTCGTTCACGTAGTCGGTTATTGGATCGAAAATCAGCACAGGGACCTGGCCCGAGTTTTTGCCCAGCAGCGTGTCCGTCACGGCCTGCTTGCCCTTGTCAACAAAGTTGTTTATATAGATTCTGCTGATGCTCTTTGTGGCGTCCGAAAGCGCACCGGCAAGGCCCATTTTGCCCGACCGAGAAAAACTCGACTTGAGCGCATTTGTGCCGGTGTAGATTTGGGAAATTTGGTCGCCATGGTCGGCCCAAAGCGTGCTGTGCTTCAGATTGAGGTCGTACGTGTCACCTTTGCGGAACGCGTTGACAAACTCCTCCAGAGCAGCCATGGAGATAACCTGCTGGACAACGTTGGTGCGGTCAAGACAGTCGAGACAGTTGACCCTAAACACCCCGTCTTGCTCCAAAAGAACCTCCTTCGTGGGCTTGTTGTAGCAGAAAAAGCCAAACTTGTCCAGCGCCAGCTGGAGATCCGACAAAATTTTGGTAGCATGGGCATACGTCTTTGCGGTCTCCTGGTGGAAATCAAAGTCTGTGAAGTAAACCGAGTCCGGCTTTTTCTTGCTCAGAGCTTTAAAATGACGCTTGTACTCTCTGTTGAGCTCCACTTCGGACGATTTCGTCGATGAAAGCAAGTTCACGATGTTGACGGGACCATACTTGCCGTTGAGGTTCTCAAAGTGTTTTTCGAATACTGGCTGTGTCGCCTCGAAACTTCTTGTAATTTGCACCTTGGGCGAGATCAGCGCCGTGTCCTGCTCCCAAAACACCGGAATGGAGCCGCGGATCTGTGTGTACGCAAACACGTGGGTCTCGTCGTTGTAGATCAGCTCGGTCTCGACGAAATTGGCAACGTTGCCGTCATCGTCGACGCCTCGAACGTTGAACCGCGTTCCCGCCCGTTTCCAGGACTGTTTGGAGATAATCGTCAGTCGTGCACGGCGGCCGCCAACACTCACACGGAGCGTCTCTGCAAACCCGCGAATCACCGTTGTGAGATACTTGTTTTGGTCCAAAATGCGCTTCGGCACCTCGTCGAGGTTGTTGCGGAACTTGATCACCTCCTCCATCATAAACGCATTCCACATGTAGTCGAGATGGTACCTATCCATTGAGAGCGAGTGGGGCGTGTCCATGCCTCTGGTTTGCAGGGTACTAGTGAGATCGAAGTCTGTGCTGTAGAAGAAAGAGCCGTCCGTGAGCAGCTTGCGCAGCTCGTAGCACGGATGCTGTTCGTATTTGGAGGGGTATCCGCCAGGCTGTGACTCGCCCTCGGCCTCCACGGGGAACCCGTTGGCGTTGAGCTCGAGAAAGTCCCAGGTGTCTCTTGTCAGACAGTGGAACTCGACGTCCATGATTTTGTTGATAACTTCGCCGTCTGTCGGGGAAGCGACGTCGACTTTTCCTGTGATGACGGCCAGGAACACGTTGCCGTTCATCTCGATGAGGCCCAGAAACCCAAGAGGCTTGTGTCTGGAGAGAGAGCGGAAACTCCTGTGGTGGAACTGATCCTTGGCGACCAGCTCAATTGCACACTTGCCGGTCGCGGGGATATATCGAAACAGCAGCACGTGCGTCTCGGATGCCAGCGCAAGCGTCCGCTGTGTCTTGTTACTGATTAAAATCCGCATCGCACAACTGACACAGGATTCGACTTTAAACAAATAATCGGATGGAATAATTTTAGCAGAGGCACACGACATGGCCATCATATATAAACGTCACGGAGAGCCCATTTCATGTTCTCGTAGACGGTGAAAGTGACGCATGTGGCCGGCACCACGCGTATGAGGTTGGCAAATAGTCCTTTATAAAAGCCAAAGAAGCCCTCGCGCACAAACACCTCGGTGGCAGCAGAGATCAAACCGTATCGACCTCTGTTGATCTGGAGTCGCGATCGCACCACTTGCAGCGGGTAGAAAACCATCGTCGACACCATTTTCGACACTGCGCTCGCATACAGGTACTGTGCGGCGCTCATGTGCGACGACGTCGTGAGAATGTGGCGTTTCATCGTGTCGTAGATTGAAAATTGCAGAGCACCTTGCGAGACGCTCAGCAGAGCCGGCGACAACCCTCTATAAAATCCAAAAATCCCCTCGTGGCGGTATATCTGCTTGCACCCGTCCACTATCGACATGTAGGCGCCCGGCGACGCCCGCGACGTGGAGATCATTCTCGTCTTGATCACCCAGATCGGGTTGGTGAAGAAAGACGTGGTCCAGCCGGCAGCAAATGCGCAGAGCAAGTACTGCGACGAGCTCAGCGACTGGTCTGCATCGCCAGAACCGCCCACATACATGCTGAAAACCATATTCTTGTACTCTCTGTAGAAGCTGAAATACAGACCCCAGGCGGTGGTGCTCCCTAGCAGGTTCGGCCCGACTCCGCGATAGAGGTTCCGCACTAGCAGGGACTGTCTGAGCTGTCCGTTAACCATGGAATCCTCCAATAGCTTGTTTTTGATCGCTCGGAAGCTCTCTAGCTGGCTCTTGGTGGTAGTGTCCAGCTGCAATCGGAGCTTGAAAAAATCGAGCGGATGCGAGATGAGCGTCGTGATGAACCCGGCCGTCAGCCCAGACATGGTCTCAATGGATCGCGACGTCAGAAGCCGGGGCTCCTTAACGTCGTCCACGAGATTGAGAGACCTGTCAGACATGTAGGGAAGAAGGGTGCGAAAAGTTTTGTTGCGTCGATCGGCGCGTCGAAGAAGGGGTAGGTCGGGTAGAGCATGGCGAGTCGACAGCTTGGGTGGGCGAGCAGACTGCAAAGCGTAGCAGTGCAGAACGGCCACTGTTCATTGTAGCGTGCTGTTTACTAATCAAATTTGAGCCGCCTAATATTGGTCTCTGTTACGTGCTACGCTGTTTCCGAGTCAAATTTTCATCTGCAGAAATTACAGGAATACAGGAAAAATATTGATCCAACTTTTTGTTTAGCACCATGTCGGATTTCAAACGTCTTAAGCTGAACCTTGTGAAGCCAGTTCCCTCGGACTACGAGATCTCCAGAAACCAGACTCCCAAGCACATCAGCCAGGTTGCTGCGGAGTGCGGAATCACTGAGACCGAAATTGAGCCGTACGGAGCTTACAAGGGTAAGGTCAAGCTCGATGTGATCGACAGATTGCACCACCGCAAAAACGGTAAATATATCCTGGTGACCGGTATCACTCCAACTCCGCTTGGAGAGGGTAAATCCACCACCACTGTGGGACTGGCCCAGGCTATTGGTGCTACCCTTGGCAAGAAAGCTTTTGCCAATGTGAGACAGCCATCTATGGGTCCTACGTTTGGTGTCAAAGGTGGAGCTGCTGGAGGCGGGTTTTCGCAGGTGATCCCTATGGACGAGTTCAACATGCACATCACGGGTGACATTCACGCCGTGGGGATGGCCAACAACTTGCTGGCTGCTGCGCTCGACACAAGAATGTTCCACGAGGCCACGCAAAGCGACAAGGCTCTGTGGAAGAGACTTTGTCCCGAGAAGAAGGACGGTTCCAGAGACATTCCCATTGGCTTGCTGCCAAGAGTGAAGAAGCTGGGACTGGACACCAAGGATCCTAAGGAATGGACCGACGAGGAAGTTTCCAAGTTTGTGAGACTCGACGTCGACCCCAAGACGATCACGTGGAAGAGAGTGCTGGATCTGAACGACAGATCGCTCAGAGGCATCACCATCAACCAGGCTCCAACCGAGAAGGGTCTAACCAGAGAGACTGGTTTTGACATCACTGTGGCCTCTGAAGTGATGGCTATCCTCGCTCTGTCGTCTTCCCTGAAAGACATGAGAGAAAGACTCGGAAAAATGGTGGTTGCTTCGTCGAAATCGGGTGAGCCAATCACCTGTGAGGACCTGGGCTGCGCCGGCGCCCTCACGGCCATCATGAAGGATGCCATCAAGCCAAACCTCATGCAAACTCTCGAGGGCACGCCTGTGTTTGTGCACGCGGGTCCGTTCGCCAACATCTCGATCGGTGCCTCTTCCGTTCTGGCCGACAAGATGGCTCTGAAGCTTGCAGGCACAGAGCCAGGCCTCAGCGCCGAGGAGGAGAGAGAGCAGGCCGGCTACGTCATCACAGAGGCCGGTTTCGACTTCACCATGGGAGGCGAGCGGTTCCTGAACATCAAGTGCAGATCGTCCGGGCTGTCGCCAGACGTGATCATCATCGTGGCCACCGTTAGAGCTCTGAAGGTGCACGGTGGAGGAGCCGAGGTCAAGGCGGGTGCTCCGCTGCCATTGGAGTACACCACCGAGAACGTGGAGATGCTCAAGGTCGGCTGTGCCAACTTGCAAAAGCACATCCAGAACGCCAAACAGTACGGTGTCGATGTGATTGTGGCCATCAACAGAATGTCCTCTGACTCCAACAAGGAGCACGAGGTCATCAAGGAGGCTGCTCTTGCTGCCGGTGCTACCGACGCCATTGTCTCTAATCACTGGGAGGAGGGTGGCCAGGGCGCCAAGGATCTTGCCGAGGGTGTGATCAAGTGTGCTCACAAGCTGTACCCTTCGCAAAAGGACTCCACGGAGTCGTTCCACTACCTGTATGCTACAGAGGGCTCGTCGATCGAGGACAAAATCGAGGCCATCGCCAAAAACATGTACGGCGCCGGCTCTGTCGAGTTCCTGCCCCAGGCTCAGGAAAAAATCAAGGAGTACACCTCGCAGGGCTTCTCGAACTTGCCGATCTGTATTGCCAAGACGCAATATTCTCTGTCCCACGACGCGAAGTTGAAGGGTGTGCCAACAGGATTCACCTTCCCAATCAAGGACATCAAGGCCTCCATCGGTGCAGGCTATCTGTATGCTCTTGCCGACCAGATCCAGACGATCCCTGGCCTGGCTACCAAGTGTGGCTTCATGAACGTCGAGGTCAACGACGACGGCGAGATCGAGGGCCTGTTCTAAGTCCGCAAATAATACTGTCTCTGTTCAACACTGTACTAGACTAAAAAATAGATTTCAACAGTTTCTCGATTCTACACCCCCTATGTTGGCGGGCCCCAATTCTCCTTTTCGGACTCTGTAAGAACGGCGTATCTGGACCGTGTCCGCTTCAGCTGCTGCAGCGCGTTCTGGCACTCAGCAAGAGTGGCCTTTGTGTTCTGTTCCTGTATCTTTACGCTGGCCTCCAGTATGTTCAGCGTCTCCTGAATACGGGCCTCTTTTTTTCCGTACGCAGCGGCGAGGTGCTCGCTGCGCGTCCTGGCAACTCTATAACTCTCCTCCAGGGCCACATTGACCTCTCCAATGCTCTCGTTATTTTTTTCCAAGCGTGTGCTACTCTCCTGAATAAATAGCTTCAACTGCCGCCTCAGATCCCCAACTTCCATCTGCGTGCGCAGCTTGTACTCCTTCTGAGACTCTACAATCACGTCGTAGGACGCCCGCAGCCGGTCTGCCTCCACAGTGCTCATGCTCTCCTGCTCCTGCATGGCGGCCAGCTTCCTTCGCAAAGATTCCTCCTCAAACTTCCACCGATCGGTAGCAGAACAGGCCTCCGTGAGCTGTGCCTCCAGATCGAGCACCTTGCGCTCTTTACGATTGAGCAGACTCTCAGACACCTCGTTCTGGTGTCTCGCGTTCGACAGTTTCTCAGTAAGCGTCTCGTTGTGTTTCACAACTGCAGACAGCTTCCGCTTGAACTCGTCCAGCTCCGCCTGCGTATCCTCCAACTTGTCCTTCAGACCGTCGATCTGCATGTGAAGGCTCTCAATGACCTTTGATGTGCCGCCATTCGACCCCGTGAGCCGGCCAGGATACTCTCGAATCATGGCACGGAGATGAAACAATTACAAAAGCTTGTATTTAATCTGCGTCTGCCGCTTAACGAATCAAGGCTGTGCACAGAGAGAGACGAATGCAAACAAAAAAAAAAAAAACAGTGTGACGTATTATCTTTCTGGCTGTGCACCCGGTTTTGTCCTTCGCACTCACTGTTTTCATTAGGGTCCCCGCGAATGGGCAAAACTGGCAGAAGCGTGACAACTTCCATACATATATATATTAAATCGGTGCATTTCCATCACCCAATAATTTTCTTAACCTCTACGTTGAATGTCTTGGCTCTATGATGCCGGAAATTGGCAACGATTCAAAGTCAGACACATCGGCCATATTCGAACGCAACGTTCAGCCTCTCACAGGCTGCCCCCCGCAAACATGCCCGCCCCACTGGATTTCTGACAACTACACCTGTCCCATTCTGGACTCCACCGTCGAACTTCTCAGCGACCAGTCCAGTCTCGAGACCACGGAGATTGTCGAATACCCGCACTCCGTGAACCTCCCCTCCTGTCGCAAGTGTTCCAGGACCAGCATTTCGGAGCAGACGCTCTCGGATTTCCCATCGCAACTACATCTCACGCAGTCTCTTCGCTTTTACTCCTTCTCTGACCTCGTGGAGTATGAGCTCCAGAATCAGAGCGAGGAGCGGGTCTGCTCCGCCACGACACTGCTCATGACAAGACAGAGACAGCTCTCGGAAACGTCGTTCTATATAGCATGCTGAGGCTCTTCTAACGGCTTACGTAACTGTACGAATAATATAACGGGTTTTAGGTGTTGGTGAAAAATAATTCCAATGAGCGAGACTATTGGCGATTCGCAGTCCATGACCAGGTCGCCTGATGCGTGCGCTTATTGCGGCATATTTGAGCCCAACAGCTTGGTGAAGTGCAACTCGTGTAAGAAATGGTTCTGCAACGGTAAGACCTCGGGGGCCGGTTCCCATATAATCACCCATACTGTTCTGTCCAAGCACCAGTCTCTCAGTCTCCATCCGGACTCGGAGCTTGGAGACACCATGCTGGAGTGCTACAACTGCGGGAACCGCAACATATTTGTGCTTGGCTTTGTTTCTGCGAAAACAGACTCCGTGGTTGTGATTTTGTGTCGTCTTCCTTGTGCACAGTCAAAAAACGTGGAATGGAACACAGCAAACTGGCAGTCACTGATCGAAGACCGCGCGTTGCTTCCGTGGGTGGCAAAGCCGCCATCTGAGGAGGAGAAGCTGGAAGCACAGCCGATCACCTCCTTACAGATAACAAAGCTCGAGACCAAGTGGAAGCAGGACAAGGACGCCACTATTGACGACGTGGAGGAGGCCGAGATGGAGGAAGAGCTGGAGCCCATTCTAATGCGCTACAGCGACGCTTTTCAATACCAGCGCTCGTTTGCGCCGCTCGTGCAGTACGAGGCAAATTACGACAAGCAGCTCAAGCAGTCCCAGAGTCTTGAGAGACTCACTGTGACCTGGAGTCTGGGCACCAATGACTTGCATCTAGCCACATTTGCGTTGCAGTCGTACGACACGCTGGGGATGAAGCTGGCCGTCGGAGACCAGATGATTCTGAGATACAGCGGGTCCGAGCTTGCTGAGCCGTGGGAGCAGTCTGGGTTTATTGTGCGGATCCCCAGTGCTACGCGCGAAACTTTCACGTTGGAGCTGATCGACTCAAAAAATAAAAGCGTGCCGACGCATCTCAACACGGGCTTCACTGCCGAGCTTGTGTGGAAGGGGACGTCGTATGCGCGGATGCAGGACGCGCTGAAAAAGCTCGCTGTGAACAAAAAGAGCGTTTCGGAACACATATACTACGCCCTGATGGGGATCGATGCTCCGCCGGTCGAGTTCAGGGTGAAGAAGAAAAAAACGTACTCGATACCGAACTTTGCCAAGCTCAACGCGTCGCAGGAAAACGCCATCCACAACGTCTTATCAAAACCGCTCTCCCTGATCCAAGGTCCGCCGGGAACGGGAAAAACCGTCACCTCTGCCACCATCGTGTATCAGCTGACAAAGCTGCACAAGGGCCAGATTCTGGTGTGCGCGCCTTCCAACATTGCAGTTGACCATCTGGCATCCAAGCTTGAGCAGCTGGGACTCCGTGTTCTGCGTCTGATCGCCAAGAGCCGCGAGGACGTCGAGTCCTCGGTGCAGCACCTCTCGCTCACGGAGCAGATGCGGAAACACGCCTCGAAGGACCTCAGGAAGCTCCTGGCGCTCAAGGAGAAGAACGGCGAGCTTTCTGCGTCCCAGTACAAGCAGATGGCGTCGCTGCTGTACAAAGAAGAGGCGCTGCTGATGGACAAGTGTCAGGTGATCTGCTGCACGTGCGTGGGGGCAGGCGACCGTCGTTTGGCCAAGCGCAAGTTCAGGACGGTGCTGATCGACGAGAGCACGCAGGCGTCGGAGCCCGAGTGTCTGATCCCGATCGTGAAAGGCGCCAACCAGGTCATTCTTGTGGGAGACCACCAGCAGCTGGGCCCAGTGATACTGAGCAGAAAGGCCGGCGACGCAGGGCTCAGACAGTCGCTTTTCGAGCGACTCATCTACCTAGGCCACATGCCGATCAGGCTGGAGGTTCAGTACAGAATGCATCCATGTCTGTCTGAATTTTCTTCCAACGTTTTCTACGACGGCAGTTTGCAGAACGGCGTCACTGCAGAGAGCAGATCTCGCCCCGACAGCACGTTCCCTTGGCCGATCAGAGAGATACCCATGATGTTCTGGGCCGTTTTTGGCCGCGAGGAGCTTAGTGCGTCGGGCACGTCGTACCTGAACCGGACAGAAGCCATGAACTGTGAGAAAATAATTACCAGACTGCTTAGGGAAGGAGTGGATCCGTCCAAGATCGGTGTGATCACGCCATACGCCGGCCAGGCGACGTTCATAGTTCAGTACATGGAGATGAACGGCTTGATAGCGGACAAATCGAGGTACTCGGAGGTGGAGGTTGCGTCGGTCGACGCTTTCCAGGGACGAGAAAAGGACTACATTATTCTTTCGTGTGTGCGTGCCAACGATAACCAGCTGATTGGGTTTCTGAGCGATCCGAGACGGCTGAACGTTGCTCTGACGAGAGCGCGGTTCGGAATGGCAATTCTTGGCAACCCAAAGACGCTGAGCAAAAATACGATGTGGAGCAGGTTGCTTATGCATTTTAGAGAAAGGGGGTGTCTGGTAGACGGGTCGCTTGAGAATCTTAGGCTGTGCAACATTCCGCTCAGCAGAGCAGGCCAAACCGCAAATGGTGAGTTTGGGCTTGCGTCGTCCACAGCAACTGGCAGATCGCAATCTTACGATACAAACAGTTTATTTTCGTACGGCACAGGGTCCAATTTGAGCCAGCAAAATATGCATTTCCAGGACACGGCAAACAGTCTGTGGCCGAAGCTGGGTGGCCGCCACGAACAGCAATCTGTGGCGTCGAGCAGTGCTGCCTCGAGCCGGCGGTCCAGCTTTATCAGTGTGGAAAATGACGAAATTAGAAAACTAGCAAGGCAATTCCGAGGCCAAATTAGATTTTGATTGCGCATTAACTGGAGAAAATTATATAAATACCTGTGTGCGTAACTAGGTTGCATTTTAAGTTTGCTCTATTTGTAATGTCTATTTTGCAAGAGAAAATCCAATTGAACAACGGCACTGCCATTCCGGTCGTGGGACTGGGCACAGTGACTCCAGATGATAAAAAACCCCTACTCCACGACGTTGTCAGAGCAGCAATTCTCGATGCCGGCTACCGTCACATCGACACCGCGTGGTACTACGGCGTGGAGCCAATTCTGGGCGAGGTTCTGGAGGAGATCTTCAATGAGGGCAAGATCAAGAGAGAAGACATTTTCATCACCACCAAGGTCTGGCCTGCTCTGTGGAAGAACCCGCAAAAGTCTCTGGATAAATCACTCAAGGATCTGAGAGTCGACTACGTTGACCTGTGGCTGCAACACTGGCCATTGACTTTCAAATCTGACGAGAACGGCCAGCCACCGGTTCCTCGCGACAGCTCAGGAAAAGTGCTTGAGGACGACGGCGATTTTCTGGACACATACAAGAAGATGGCTGATATCTATAAAAATTCGAATAAGGTGAAGGCCATCGGAGTCTCGAATTATTCCATTGGCAACCTGGAGAGATTGTTGAAGGAAACTGATGTGGTGCCTGTGATCGACCAGATCGAGCTTCACCCACAGCTCCCTCTGAACGATCTGGTGGAGTTCTGTAAAGAGCACAAAATTGTTGTCGAGGCGTACAGTCCGTTCGGATCTAACGGCGCACCGGCCCTGGAACTTCCTTTGGTGAAGCAGTTGGCGGAGAAGTACAACGTCAGACCTGCAGACATCCTTGTGAACTACCACACGGCCTCTGGACGCGTGGCTCTGCCTCGTTCTTTGAACGCAGACAGAATAAAGGAGGGCTATAAAAAGGTGCCTTTGACCAAGGAGGAACTTGCCAAGTTGTACGAGATCGGCGAAAAGGAGCCTAAGCGATACATTAAAGAGGAGTGGGGCCACCACATTGGACTGCCGTTCTGGGATTAAGGACATCTGATGCCCCCGTTCCAGATTTCGAAGACACATTCTCGTTGGCGTGCGCCAGACACCAGAGGACTGAAAACAATGAGCAGCTTTCGCTGAGTCTCAAAATTGTAATTGGCTAGGTAGTCGTTCGACATGAGCACCTCCGCCACAGTCTTGCGCTTGGATTCAGTGCTCGAGTTTTCGTCGTCCTCCTGTGACCGCAAAAACGACGAGTCGATGCCCAGGTCTTCGCTGAACTCCTCTATCATCTGCTCATTAAGTATTGGTTTATAGTCTTTGATCAAAGATATTCGGGCATCGAGAAAATTGAGCCAATCCAGTCCAAGGGCAGGCACAGTCTTGATTTTGGACACTTTGTTCCTGTACTTGGACTCAAACATCTTCTTGCGCTCGGTCTTGAGCTGGTCCCAGATCGGTGTCGAGCTCCTCTGAGACGTTTCCTGCGTGCTCGAATCTTCGGAATAATCTGCGTAGTCGATCTCATCGTAAGTGTCGAAGTCCTGCTTGTTGCGCGAGCACAGCTGGCGATAAACGACCCCGACCTCGTCCCAGCCGTAGCACCAGCCCAGCTGGTAGTCCGCGTTCATCTTAAGAAACACCTCGTCGCTGATAATGTCGCCCAGTGGCTTGTCTGTCATCTGGTTCGCCACAACGACGGTCACGTTGTACTCGTTGCACAGTTTCCGCAGAAAGCGTCCAAGCTTGATAATATACGACCGTCGCTGGGAAATAGGCAGCTCTGCTCGTATATGGTGCGTAACTGAGTCCAAAATCACCACCTTGACATTTTTATTTCGCTGCAGTAGCAATGGTAGCTGGTAGAAAATACATCGGTCCTGGCGCTCGAGGTCGGAGATGGCCACGGACGGAGTAATCACGTTTTCCATCTGTGGGAAAACCGCGCTATCCTGAATCCCGTTCGCTCGAAGAAGCTCCTTGTAATGGCTGGATATCTGGCTGAGTCGTCTTGTGCTCAGCGCGCTCTCGGTGGGTATATACATGGTTTGAACGGGTTTTCGCGTTTGTTCGAATAATGAGGGCCCCAGTCCACCAAACTCAAACGGCAGCTGGCTGGTCATGCTCAATGTCATCAGGAAATTAGACTTTCCCGTCGCAGAGCCTCCGCTGATCTCCACGAGACAGCCGCATGGAATGCCTCCATTGAGGGCTTTATCGAGCTTTTCATCGCCAGTGGTAAAACAAGTCTGCTTTGGAATGCTGTCATCAATAGTTTGTGGTTTGGGGATACTGTTCTGAAGATGCAGCTTCAGATCAGAAACAAACGTCTTCACGTCTTGTTCAGGGTGCCCTGTCTTTTTCGATATGTCTTCCACAGACCACAGCAGAAGCTCTTGGGAAGTTATACCCTGTGTCTCAAAGGCCTTCACAAGTGGATCAAAATATTCATCGTCCAGAAGCGCAAAATGCCCAACCTCCTCAGCAAGATCCATGCTATCCGTGTTTTTTTCCCTAGTTTATTTTTCATCTTGCGCGTCACCCTGCACAGCCTTATTACAATACATATAAGCGAGTATCTACTCTAGTTCTATATCGCCTGCGACTTTCAGAGAGGCCTCGTCTTCGTCTTCGTCCATGTTATCGTAGTCGTCGTCTTCGAACACGTCTTCGTAGATAGCCTCGGACGATCCCTCAAGCGAATATCGCAAATCATACTCTTCTTGCGTCTCGTCAAACTTGCCGGCTTCCTCGTCGAGAGTGCCAACCTTGCTAGTCCTGCGATATGTGATTGCAGGCTCTGCGTCTTGCAACACTGTGGCTGAAAAGCTGATAAAGGCAACGCGCTTCTTCTTCTTGTTGAACGCAAAGTACATGTTGCACCATAATGTGCCCGGCAGGTCATTCAGGAACGACTGCGCCGGCTCGTACTGGAAACATGTGCAGTCATCTAACTCCATATGTGTATTTATCGTCTGCCATATCCAGCCGAGCCCTGATGACTTGCCGAGCGATATAAGAAGCGAGTTTATGCGTTGCACCAGCTCCGCGGACGAAGGTATAAGCGTGAAGTTCGTTGGCTGCACATTCGAAAAATCATGGTCCGGGTACACCGAGTTCAAAATAGCAATGAGGTAGGCAAAGAGCCGTCTCGACGACTGCTGGCTGAGAGGACCGAACGGAGAGTACTGGTCGTCCAACAGGGGTATTTTGTCCAGCTCCTCGTTCAGAAGCTTATCAAAACCATTGGACTTCGGAAGAGACTTTGGAGGAGACATGTATGGCGAATGGAAAGAGCGAGAGCGCGACTTGTTGATTGGGTCTTTCTGAATGAGCGAACGTGCAGTCGGTTTCGGAGTCGGGTGCGAATAGCTGGACGAGCGTTTCTTCAGACGAATAAACTCAGGAGAGATGTAAGACACGTTTTTAGGCGGCGAATTGCTCATCGATACGTCGCTATTAGCCCTGCTTTTCTGCTCCGCTTGTTTATCTTGCTGCTCGCTATTGCAGTACAAGCGGTCGATAGTTTTGTACAGTTTGCGATCCGAGCCAATTGGCTTGGTGGTGAAGAGGTCGACAGTTCCCTGGATGTGCATATCCGTTGTGTCAAAACTGAGTGCTTGGTTGACAAGCTCAATGTCAAACTCGTCAATGTACTGGGCCGTTAGCTGCCGGAAACGCGCACGAAATTGCGTGCACACTTACCTTCATATTGTCAAAGGGTTAGAATCACAGTTATCCAACCACTACGTCCAAATTCGGTTTCCAAATGTCTTAAATTGTTTATCGTGAGAATGGTTATCACTTTATCTGTTTATATTATTCACAAGCACGTTCACTTCAGAAAAAACTCAAACAAGGTTTGGGGGTTGGGCTGTGGCGAAGGTGGCTGGTTGAAAGAGCCGGCAACTCGAGCACCCGAGAAAACATCCAAACACCAACAAACAGATTAACATTCACCTGAAATTCGTGTAAAGAAGCTTAGCTCATCCTGCAAGTGTTAGGTGAGCAAAGAAAACTGGCTTGCACATGGCATTCTTTATCCTGCTGTCGGGTAGCTATGACCCAATTTGACAATAGAACTGGGCTTGGATGCAAACGTCTTTTCGGTTTTGGAACAAGAATAGAAAGTTCTGTGTTCTGGAAGGCGTTCCTGACAGTTGTAGTTTATAGTTTCGCACTTTTCATGCATGCGAAATCTTTTTGAGAACGTATTTCCTTGCATGAATCGAATGGCTATGCAGGAGTGTTGGTGTAAATTGGTGTCCGGGCATGAGGCGACCAGTCCGTTATCTCACATCTTTGTTTGCTGAGCCTGGGAAGCAAGCGAGATACTATCTTCGAATTTCAGAACAAACGTATTGCTGTGTAGCTACTGCATTGTTTCTATTTTAGAGCCATGCAAACCTGCTATTGAGATACTTTGATTTTTAAGAACAATAGAATTTCAGATTTCAATACCGGTGGCTGGTGAGGATTAGCATTCATGTCAAAAAACAATACCTTCCTATATATTTACATACAAATCCAGAGCAATCTTTTTTTCGCTTACTTTAGTTCAACTCATCTCGAACAACTATGGCTTCGCAGACTCAATCGAGTTCGTCCGTGTCGGCCTTTGTGTCTGCACTGATTTTGAACTTGATTATATTCGCTGTTTTCCTCATAGTCTTTGTTGTCTGCAAAGACAGGTTCAAAAGAGTGTATCAGCCAAGATCCACGGTCGACACTGTTCCTAACAGACTCAGGGCAGACCCTCAGCCTAGAGGCGCCTTTGCTTGGATTACCTTCATCCTCTCGAAGCCAGAGTCTTACATAATTGAGAAAGCTGGTGTTGACGGTTACTTTTTCCTGCGCTACATGTTGACCTTTGCTTCGCTAGGAATTGTCGGTGGCTTATTTATTTGGCCAGTGCTATTTGCTGTCAATGCTACCGGGGGTGCTAACCAGAAAGGTTTTGATATCATTTCGTACTCTAATAACGTCGGAAGATGGAGATCCTTTGCTCATGTGTTCTGTTCCTGGTTGTTCTTTGGTTTGGTCATCTACACAATTTACAAGGAGCTGATCTACTACACTAGTTTCAGACACGCTTTGCAGACTACTCCGCTGTACTCGTCGCTGATCTCTTCCAAAACTCTGTTTATCGACAACGTTCCCGATTCCATGTTGGACGAGGACACTTTGCACAGACTGTTTCCAGCTGCTGTGAACGTTTGGTACACTCGAGACACCAAGGAGCTGCAAGACCTTGTCAAAAAGAGGACCAAGCTTTCTGGTAAGCTTGAGAACAGCATTGTGAAGGTTGTTGGTAAGGCCATCAAGCTCAGAGCCAAGGCTGAGAAAAAGAACAAGCCAGTTCCTGAGCCGGCCAACGAAATCACCTCCTACATTCCAGAAAAAAAGCTTCCAACTTACAAGGACTCCTGGATTCCATTTATTGGAAAGAAGAAATCTTTGTTCACTACAGGTATTGACGAGGTTGGTGACTACAACAAGAAAATTAACGAGGAGCAATTGAAGTACCCGGACGGTTTTGAAAAGACTGGGTCTGTTTTCATTGAATTTGCAAACCACTTGGAGTTGCAAAGAGCGTACCAAGGTGTTCCCTACTCGAAAGAGCTCAAATACTCGAGAAGATTCACCTCTATTGGTCCTGACGATGTTGTTTGGGAGAACTCTGGGCTCACCGCCAAGGTGAGAGCTGGTAAGCGGTCGATCGCAATCACGATTTTGACCCTGACCATAATTTTCTGGGCCATTCCGGTTGCCGTTGTCGGTGCCATTTCCAACATTAACTACTTGACAGAAAAAGTGCATTTCTTGCGTTTCATCAACAACATGCCATCTGTCCTTATGGGAATCATCACAGCTCTGCTTCCAACCATCGCTCTTGCTGTGCTGATGATGTTGCTTCCGCCATTCATCAGAAAGATGGGTAAACTCAGTGGATGCATGACAGCTCAATGTGTTGACTTTTGGACTCAGCAATGGTACTACGGGTTCCAGGTGGTTCAGGTCTTCTTGGTTGCTACCTGTACTTCTGCTGCCGCATCCTCTGTCTCTGATGTGATTGAAAACCCATCTAGTGCCATGCCTTTGCTTGGTCAAAAGCTGCCAGCTGCTGCCAACTTCTACATTTCGTACATGTTACTGCAAGGTCTTTCCATCAGCTCTGGTGCTTTGGCCCAAATTGTTGGTCTGATTCTCTCCTTCTTCCTTGGAAGAATCCTTGATAGCACCCCAAGAAAGAAGTGGAACCGCTACAACACCTTGGGAACTCCATCGTGGGGTACCACATATGCTGCTTTCGGTCTTTTCACGGTCATTATGCTTGTTTACTCAATCATCTCGCCAATCATCATTGCGTTCACCACCATCGCCTACTTGCTCATTTATGTTGCATACCTTTACAATCTGAACTACGTTCTCGATCGCAATGTTGACAATAGAGGCCGCAACTACCCATTGGCTCTGTTCGAAGTGTTTGTTGGCTTGTACCTTGCCGAGCTCTGTTTAATTGCCCTCTTCGTGATGCCAAAGAACTGGGCGTGCGTGGTTCTGGAGGCGGTCATGCTGGCAGCTACCGTTGCTGCCCATCTTTACTGCAGATGGAAGTTTGAGCCTCTTCTCGACACCGTGCCTGTCGGTGCCATGAAGGAGGCCAACGGAGGCATTGCCGGTGCTTATCCAATGAGTGACCAAGGTCTGCGTCAGATCCAGGAAGAAGGCCAGAACTACTTTGTTGCTGACGGCTCTGAATCTTCCAAGTTCTCGGAGTACGGCGAAGGTGCTAAGCGGAACTCATTGGCTAGCGACAGCCATACTGCTGCTACCGACCTGGAAAAGATCGGAACCCTGGACAACGAGGAGAGGCCGTTCACCCAGGCCAACGTTACCGAAGAACAGGTCAACAAATTCGATGCCAGACGTTACGCTAGTCCGTCTTTCGTGAAGGGATACGTGAACAGATACTTCAAGCCAAGAACTTACTTGAGCTTCAACTACGTCAGGTCTATACTCCCTGCTTCGTGGCAGGATCCGGTTCCTGATCAGGGTCAGACATTCAAAGATCCAGCTGCCTCGGTGGACGAGCCATACTTGTGGATCGCACGTGACAGCCAGGGCCTGAGCAGAAGCTTTGTGGAGCGCTGCCAAGGAAAGCTGCTGATCAGCGACGAGAACGCCGTTGTGGAGGATAACGGAAAGAATAGGTACACTGGTCCGCCACCAGACTATAAGCCTATTCATAAAGCCTGATGACGCCACAGTTAACTTCTTTTGTGTTGCCGAGATTTAATGTTCCTAATTTCGGTGTGTGTATTAATGGTAGTGAATCAAAGTTGATTTTACTTTCTGCTGGTCTGAGGTGTAGTCTCGTCATCTTGAGGTGGTTGTTCGAGAAAAAGACAAGTTGTAAAATTTCGACACTAAGAATGACTTACTCTGTGAGACAAATTGGTGCTGCCAACACCTTGGACTACAAGGTGTACCTCGAGAAGGACGGAAAGCCAATCTCTCCGTTCCACGACATCCCCCTGTATGCTGACGAGAGCAAGCAAATTCTGAACATGGTTGTTGAGGTTCCAAGATGGACCAACGCCAAACTCGAAATTTCCAAGGAGCAGAAGCTTAACCCAATCATTCAGGACACCAAGAAAGGCAAATTGAGATTTGTCAGAAACTGTTTCCCTCACCACGGTTACATCCACAACTACGGCGCCTTTCCACAAACCTGGGAAGACCCTACTGTGGTCCACCCAGAAACCAGAGCCGCTGGTGACAACGATCCTCTGGACGTTTGCGAGATCGGCGAGGCTGTGTCGTACCCTGGTCAAGTCAAGCAGGTGAAGGTTTTGGGTGTGATGGCTCTGCTTGACGAGGGTGAGACCGACTGGAAGGTGATTGTCATCGACGTCAACGACCCATTGGCTCCTAAACTGAACGACATCGAGGACGTCGAAAAGCACCTGCCAGGTCTGTTGAGAGCCACCAACGAGTGGTTCAGAATCTACAAGATCCCTGACGGAAAGCCAGAGAACCAGTTTGCTTTCTCCGGCGAGTGCAAGAACAAGAAGTACGCCGAGGAGGTCATTGCCGAGTGCAACAACGCCTGGAAGAAGCTGATTGCTGGCGAGAGCACTGTTAAGGACATCGAGCTCACCAACACCACCTTGAGCAACAGTGCTACCACCGCAGACGCTGGTATCCCTGCTGCCGATCCTAAGCCGGCTGCTCCTGTCGACAAGTCTATTGATAAGTGGTTCTTCATCTCTGGTTAGTTACATAATCACTCTATATAGTTGGCAGTGGCAATGAAATGCCTAATTTTGTCGAGATCCTTCACCCCGTCCGTTTCCACTCCGCCGCTCACGTCCACCCCCAGACATCCTTGCACCGACAACGCCTGGCGCACGTTTTCCGGTCTGAGACCGCCTGCCAGCAGGTAAACGCCGTGGTATTGCCTATTGAACTCTTCTGCGTCGTCCCAGTTGATGACCTTGCCTTCGCCTCCGAGCTCCGAGTCCAGCAGGGGAAGTATATGTAGATGCGTTTTGGTGGCCTCTGCTATGTTGGGCTTGTTTAGCACGTATCTGGCAATCACGGGCAGAGTAAGGTGGTTGATGTACAGCGAAAAATCCTCCGACCCGTGTAGTTGCACAAAATCCAGCTCCAGGTCCCGCGACAGCTTCACAACGTCGTCCAGGGGCTGGTTTCTAAACACCCCGACCAAGTACGGCCCGTTTTCGGTGATCAGCCGCGCACAGTACCGAAACCACTCGGGTCCCTCCAAATGTGATTTTCGCAGATGCTCAAGGAGCTTTTTGGGGTCCACAAACTCACGCCCTAGCGATCGCCGTCTCGCCTCGCACAGCTTGCTTATCTGTCTCGCCTGCTCAGGGTCGATGGTTCTTGCTCTATTTGGCACAAGAATCACTCCCAGCAAATGCGCTCCGCTGCTGACTGCGACTTCAGCCTCGGTGAGAGATCTGAGTCCGCAGATCTTGACTACCTGACTCATGAGATTAATTTTGTAGTTCAGGCTGTGTCGAAATATTCACTGAAAATTGCACAGCCGAGTAAGTTCTCTTGCAATGCCACCACCAATTCCACCACGGGACTACCAAAGACGGCAAACAGCGGTGCAAGAGGGTCAAATGGCGTCCGGAAACCTGTTTGGCCCCATTTCGTGCGACCCCCCAGCCGTCCCTGCCGGATCTGTCCATCCAGTCCCGCTCCCCAGCTTCTACAAACAGGACAAGCCAATCCAGACAAATAACTTCTATGGCAACCTGCTGGTTGGCGAGCAGACGCTTCCGGTGTGGACACATCCATACAGTGTGTGGTACAGCAAGGAACCGGACTTTATTGGGCTCGGAATTTCGCACACGGCCAACTCCCAGAAAGTGTTTGGCGACGACCCGAACGCCAACCCTGTCAAGTATTTCTTCAATCCGGTTGGCATATGTTCTTTGATGTTAACCTCACAGCAATTCCAGCATGGCCACCAGCTGCTGGTTGGCGAATGCGAGCGTTTTAGCTGCGGTGTCAAGTTCAGCTGCCCCAACGGAAGCATGACGACCAAGCTGGTTCAGGGAATGGGCTTTGTGACGGCAGTTTACGAGAATATCACCCCTATGGTCAAGAGCAAGGTGGGAATACAGAGCTTCCAGCAAAAACAGGGCTCAAGACTCAGGAAGTATGTTGCTACGCTGTTTGACCAGACCAGCTGGGTGATCTACTCCTTGGGAGACCTGCAACTGGCCGACTCGAACACAGTGGTGGGAACCGCGCCTGGCCTTGTGCAGGTCGCCAAACTCAGCGGCGACGAGCGGCCGTACGACGCCGCAGCAGGCGCCTACGTGGTTGACATGACGCTTTCGGGCAGTGTTCATGAAGTCGGAAGGTATTGTTTCGACTACAAGCTTAACGGTGACTCCGCCAGCGGAAAGACCATCCAGTGGGCTCTTCCGCACCAATACACTGCATTCGACCAATCAACCGCCTCCGAGGCCGTCAACTTGGTTCTGGACTCCACATGCAAGGGCCCGATGAAAGCCTATTTGACGAAGCAGTTTGTCATGAACGAGCAGCCGTACCCGGCGGAGTTACGATTTGAGCCATGGTCTCAGCTGCGCGGCTCTACCGGCTATTCCCAGGACAGGCTGAACCGCATTCGACAGATTGCGAACGAGGAAGTAGAGGCGTTTGACGTCGTCACTGCTTCCAACACAGACTCCATGTACACTGCGGGTAAAATCCTGGACAAGGGAGCGTTTATGCTGTATGTGGTGGCATTCATTCTGAAAGACGCCCAGCTCACCAGAAAACAGCTCGACAAGATGAAACACGCTTTCCATAGGTTTATTTCCAACCAGCAGCAGGCTCCATTGGTCTACGAGACCAATTGGAAGGGAGTGGTATCGACCGGTGGTCTGAACGACGGAAACTTCTATGTCGACTTTGGAAACTGTTTCTACAACGACCATCATTTCCACTACGGATACCATATCCACGCGGCTGCACTCGTGGCTCTGGCTGACAAATCGTACGGAGACGGCTCTTTCCTCAATTTCTCAAAACCGTGGATTGAAACATTGATCAGAGACGTTGCCAACCCAAGCATCGAGGACCGCTACTTCCCCGTGTTTCGCTGTTTTGACTTCTTCAACGGCCACAGCTTTGCCAACGGTCTATTTGCTCACGGAGATGGAAAAGACGAAGAAAGTAGCAGCGAAGACTACCACTGCTACTACGGGATAAAACTCTGGGGTCTGGTTACCGGAAACAGCCAGCTGGACAAACTGGCGTCGCTTATATTGGCAATTGAGAAAAGAGCCATGAACATGTACATGCTGTACAGGTCGGACAATACTATTATTCCTCCGAATTTCAAGGCCAACAAAGTCTCAGGTATACTGTTTGAGAACAAGATCGACCATGCCACGTACTTTGGATTGAACAAGGAGTACATCCACGGCATCCACATGCTCCCAATCACTCCAGTCTCTTCTTATATCCGGGATCCGCAATTTGTCCAGGAAGAATGGAATGAGCAGCTGGGCTCTGTGGTTGGTAGGCTTGACGACGGATGGAAGGGCATTCTGATGCTTAACATGGCATTGTTCGACCCGAAGTCGTCCTACGAGTTCTTTGCAGCCCAGAGCTTCCAGTACAAGTGGCTCGACAATGGAATGTCCCGCCTTTGGGCTGTTGCTTTCAGTGCTGGCATCGGAGGTTGAGCAAGTGTTTTTGATAAGCATTTACATAAGATAAAAAAAATATCAGATCCAAGGGCGATTTTTTTTCGCCGTTTAAGGTATCAGGGATCACCAGCTACTCAAGCTCAAAAAGTGTTCTTGCGCAATTGACGTTCATAAGGTGACTAGTTGCTAGCTCTGGACTTACTCTGTTTTTTCTGCTCATCAATTGCTCGATACCACAAAGTATAGCTTGCAAAATGGCAGACTATAGTAAAATAAGGAGTTATTTGATGAACTCTCCTCGTGCAAGTTCTCCCCTTTCACGATCTGTGTCAGCATCCAACATGACTCGCGTGAACTCCTCTCTGCACCACGTGTTTCCTGACAGCCGGAAGAATGCAAGCGTTTCAGGACTTTCCAAGCCGTACGAGACATCTGAGGAGACAGAAACACTCATTAGTTATGGTCTGGACGTTCCTTACGACGACGACGAGACCATGAGGCTTCAGTTGGATGAAAACTCGCCTTTCTTTGCTACTAGAGTTGAGAAAGATCTCAACCCAAAAAAGCTGCTCCCATACAAGACAGAAAGCATTAGAGATCAGTATCAATATCTGAGCCACATTGTGAAGCATTTGTACATTGCCATTGAGAGCGAAGATCTCAAGGGAAATCTTAGCATCAGTGTCTCCGATCTTGAGAAAGCAAAATCGGTATTACTTAGCCAAAGCACCAACGATGAGGCGACGGAGCACGAAGAAGAATGCTATGAGACTTTGAACCAAACTGAAAGCGAGCGCGAAGATGCAGAGAGCGATGAAGATGAGTTTTACGAGGATTACGATGAAAGCTATCCTTCTGACGCGGAAGGCGAACAGTTCGCATCAACTCCGGTGCCGAATGTGCACATCAAATCTGCGGCTATTATCAGCCTCAAGCATTGGACAAAAGAATTGAAAAACCTACTGAGGATGGGCCTTGTAATTCCTGTGGCTCTCAACACTGCCCTGGTCAAGGTTTTCTACGCCGTGATTCTTTCTCGTGGACAGGAGATCAACATACCGTTTTATGTGAATGTTGTTTTTCTTCTACTGAAAGAGAAAGATGTTCTGTACGAAAGGGGTCTCCGCCTGGATTGGAAACCGTTATATGAGGAACTCAACAGTATCATGCCTGATGCAAGTGGCTCGTCTCATTTTAGTGACGACCGCAGGTTTGGTCACTTGGTCAAGTTTGCCGGTAAGGTCAACATTTTCTTCGACGAGGATAGCGTCCCTCAGATCATGGAGAAGATCATGTCGAGGTACAATAACCAGTCAGTTTCCATTTCGTTTGTTCAAATGGCGGTACTAGTGCCAATTGTGCTCAAGAAGCCTGTCCTCAAAGGGGGGTCTGTCGTCTACGACGAAAGGGATATAAGACACTACTTGCCGTTTTTCTTTTCGTGTTGGACATCTCAACGTCTCACTCCAGAAATTACCTCTCTGTTGAATGTTATTGCCAATATATCAGACAAGGTGTTAAAGGTTCAATCTAGCGACCCCAGTCTCGTTGTCATGGGAAAGTATGGTATATTCACCGAGGAACAATTTAAGTTCATCATGAACCAATTGTTATTAACCTCCAGATCATTTCGAAAAGATGAAAGGAATTCACAGTACATTAAGCTCTTGATAGAGATGATCATCAACTCTATGACCTCCAAACATGCGCTCGAAAAGGATGGTATCATGGACTTGCTCAAAACATTTTGGGGAGCTCTGCATACTTTGGTGCACCCCTCAAACTCGGGTGGATGGTCCGTCCTTTTGTCCCAGGCTGTCAAGAGAATGGTCGTTGTGTACCACATCCGACTGCTGGAGGAAAATGACGACAAATCGCTCAGATACTCATACTTGGACGACTATTCTAGACTTCCAACGGATGTTAAACTCTCGCCTCAGATTACGGAGCAATTTATCGACATGCTCTTGCCACTAATACACTTTGGAGTCCAATCGAAGTCTGTTTCGCAAAGAAAGAGATATATTACTGCTTTGGAAATCCTAGCCTTCATCAACCCAAAGAAAATCCTGGACGACGTTCTACTGGACATTTATAGCTCTTTTGAGTCTGTCAATTCTACACACAGGATCAATGTGGTTCTTCATGAGCTGACAGTTTTGGTAAGGTACATGGCTCAATTACAAGTTTACCGTGTCCACATCCCAAGACTTTTATCCATGCTGGTTCCTGGTATCGACTCCAATGACCCGGAGAAAACAATCCTCACTTTGGAATTTATTAAATCCGTTGCTGCTGTTGTGCCCCTCTCGGATATGAGTCAGGGTCAAGGCGACGGAGGGCTTGTGGCACTAGATTTCACAACGCAGCACCTGGCATATTTGGAGGCAAAGTACTACAGAGGTGCACCACGCCAACTATATTATGGTGAAGATATCCCTGACCATTTTGTTTTTGATCCTGACATTGAGCTGGAAGCTCTCAAATCGAGCTCATCCTCATTTGGAGATTTTATCAGACAGTTTGCTGAGAAATGTTACAAGTATCTGGAGTTTTCACCCAGTCTGGAGGATGATGGACAAGTGGAAACGCGCGCAAGTGTTTACATCTCACAAACTTTTGATTCATTGGTCGAGTCACTGTCTGACGAGATGTACAATATTCTAGCCGACTCTTTCTACGAATATATCAGCAACAATGTTCAGCATGCGGTTGCCATCGTATTTTTCAATATCATTGAACTCATCATCAGAAGAGATCCAAGGAATCAGTTTCCAAGATTCTATCAGTTCTTGGTGGAGCACGTGAATGAGGAAATTGACCACGGTGCTGGTGCCACACGTACGCAGGAAATACTCGCCAAGGATGCTCGGCTGACATGGTATCTTAAACTCCTTTCTGGCTCTCTGCTTGGTGCCAACGGGCTCAACGAAGAAACCTTCAACGAGATGAGGGATCTGATCTCCAACAGACTCATTAAACTTAGAGGCGAGGCCGCGTTTGCTGCTACTACAATTCCTGAGTCAATCCTCGCAGGCACCACATTGACAAGACTTTTGGAACGCAGGCTAATTCCTCAGTCTTGGATTGACAAGAATGGGCCTGTAGATGATCGCTGCTGGGGAGGTTTCCAATTCGAAAAGTCGAGATTCGATTTGGAGCACCTCGACTTTTCCTGGTATGTTCCTTCACCGAAAAGCGTAGATCTGGCTGTTGAGTTTTTCGACTTCACAACTTCCTTGGCTGTTACTGAGATTGATCAATTTGTTCAAGCGTTCAATGCGGACGAGAAAATCTCACTCGCTGTTTCTGACAGGATTGAGTTTAACGTCAACTTGTTAGAAAGCTGTCTTGCTGGCATATGCACTTTGTTCGACCCAAACTTCAGTATGGACTCTTTCAGCGCCAACAAACTGATGTTCAATGGTCTTTCATCTAGTGCTCTTTCATCCTCGGCCTCACTGGTATCATTGTCTAATGAGAAGCCTGACGTCGACATGGAGAATTCTCCAGAACCAATGGAGCTAGGCAGGGATGTTACGGGTGATTTGATGAAAGAGACACTGGATGGTGATATGGACCACGAGTCACATGAAGAAGCTTTGGAGGATACAGATGGCGAGTATCGCTTGAGATCAGATATGGAGCCTAACAGTCCTCCAACAGAGTCTGAGTCTCCAAGCGGACTTGTAACCCCTGCTGCAGTGTCTGATCCTGATTGCCTAGCTGGCTATCTTACTGAAAGACCTCCGGTGCTCTACAGTTTTGGCTACCACTATGAAGGACGCGATCAGCTCACAAATCATTGTGACCCGACATACATGAAGCTGCATCGTGCCCGTGAAAGAATCGGTAAAAGCTTACATGGACTGGTCAAATGCTTAATGCAGCAAGACGGTGCTGTTGAACTTTGTCAGCAGGTTGTCCATTGTATCAAATGTTGGCTAGAAAACTGCGGTAATTTTGGATCCAAGAACCCTATTTTTATTGACCACATCCATTTAGTGGACCTCCTGAGCATTCCGCATGTGAACTCGCCGTACACTAGAACGGTCATTGGTGCTCGTCTGGCTATTTACCATTGCAACAGACTCTCGATCTCGCGCTCGTCAAGGCTACCAGGGAACACGGACAAGCTGTTGATCAAGGATCTTGTTTCCCTGGCTGCTAGCAGGTACAACGAAACTGCACAGAATGCTACCATGGTTCTAGGTTCCGCACTCAACAAGATTTTGAACTGTACAAATCTCGTTTATGGTATCTTCAAAGAGTGGGAAGTGGCTTTGCTGAATGAAGACAGAGAGAGGCTCAAGAATGTGATGAGGTTTTTCCTGGTTAAGAAGTTCAAAGGGTTTGCCGAAAGAAGCCTACACAATTTCGGAAAGTATGAAGATCTTCTGGCTCGTTCTTTGGAAGTCAATGACTCAGAGGTCAACTCGCTGGCAATGAAGCTGTATGGTTCCATGAAAGACCATATTTTGGTCCCAAGTGTTGTCTGCATGATCGATCATAGCCTGGTTGATTCCATAAAACCGGCCTCGTCAACAGTTTCACTTCAGGTTAAAGCTTTAAAGTGTGCCAAGGATCGCAAGAGACATTTGATTATGGACCGTCTTATACGTTTAGAGCTCTCCGTGCTTAAGCGTTCTCAAGCGGATCTCCATTGGAAATTTAGACTCAAGGTCTTAGAGTTGTTAGCTGACGTGCAGTCCAACCTTGAAATACCTTTGGACAGTGAGATCCTTGTTCTTCTTGGGAAGTCGATCAACGGAGTTCATCCAGAGATCACCGAAGACTGCGTTCTCTGGCTATCTTCTATTCTCGATGCAACACGAACAAGGGCTGCCATAAATTATGACTTAAAACAGTTTTTCTCTCCCTCATTCCGTTTGGCCAACGTGTGCGCAATTTCCGATGTTATTGGCATCGACCAGCCAGATGAGTTTTTCAAGGAAATGTCAAATTTCGCAAATCCACGGTTCTTCATCGATAACAAGCTATGGATATCCACTTTGTGCTGGAACGATGAGATGGAGGTTGTCAAAAATGAATCTGTCGAATCGCTGAACCTTACATCACAAGACTCTGAGACAATCAAAGCCTTTGGCCGGCTGGTCACTAAACAATGGATCCTGGAAATAGTGAAGTTGCACATGGATGAAGGAGAAGCTAACGCAGAGTTTCAGCCCGATCTGGTTTACTTCTTCTACTTGATTATCCTCATCTCTTCGTATGGCTACACTCCCTACATGAAATACTCAGAATGGCTTGAAATTTGTGATGAGATCTACAACAAAGAGGAGAAACAATCTCATGTGGCACTAAGTGAAGTGTATTGTTCTCTGCTGCTAGCCAACAAATACAACTCTAAACACTTGGAGGAAACTGATGAGGCAATCTCTGCGAAGCTGGCTGAGATTTTCAAGACCGGCATCACTCAATCCACGCACAAAATCTGGAAAGTGTTTTGCTGGTGGCTCCCTGCTCATTTTGATTGCCGTCGGGCCCCTAAAGTTGTGTCTGTCATATGCGACTTTGAGGTTCCTCTATCGGGTGACACTTCCCCCTTCAATATTTCGTCCAGAATCGGATTCCTCAAGTCGTACATGTCTTCAGCGTTGAACCGCTACCACGACTTTGATGGAGTCACAAGGAGGTTTTTCGGCTCGCTATCGCACCCATACCAGATTGTATCTGAAAGATCTGCTGCTATCCTTTTTGATGCATTATCATACACTTCCATTAAACTGTTCAGCAATAAAGAAAGACTGCTCGAAGCTTCTCACGAGAATCCGAATGGAATGGGTCTCTTACCCTTCGAGACGCCTCCTGTGTTTGCTGAGTGTCTGACTTCATATCTCAACAGGGTGAAACAATTAAGTACCACGATCAAAGGTCTTTCCACTCAGGAAATCGTGGACTCAGAGTACATGTTCCACGTTCGTGGGCTTCATACACTGCTGCTGTATATTTTGAAAACTTCTTATGGAGTTCTGCTTGTTCCATATCTCAAAGACTACATTCTGCCTCATCTTTTTGAGCTCGATACCATGAAAGATGTGTGTCAATTGGCGCATCTGAACACAAATGTGATGTATTTCTTGATTGCCTCCATCCGCTATGACGAAGAACAGACCAAGATGTTCATTGATCTAATTGTGAACGATTTTGGTTTGGAGCATCCAAACATGGTGCAAAAAGAGCACTTGCTGACAATCGTTCAGAGCTACTACACAGTTCGGTACCTGACCATCACCTCTGATCAAAGGGCTCTGCTGATTGAGAAGGTTGTCTCATTTTTGTACTCAAATCCTGTATCCGTGAAGGAACAGGCCGCGGCTGTGTTCTCTGCTATTGTGCATGGTTCCATGTCTTTCGAGATGCAACCGCTGATTGAAAGTTACATTTTCAAGTTTACAAAAATCATCAACACGCACCGTCGTGTGAAGGGTAAGAAGTTGACTTCTGACGAACTTAATCTAGTTCACGGTGCCACACTAGGTTTGGGAGCCCTACTAAACGCATTCCCATACACTTCGCCTCCTCCGAAATGGCTGCCAAATATCCTATGGCTGGTGGCAGGAAGGTGTTCTAGTTACGAGGGTGTCATCTCGAGAACCGCCAAAAGCATTCTGTCAAAGTTCAAGAAGAACCGTCAAGATACCTGGCACATTGACTCAAAATTCTTTACTGATGATCAACTGGAGGAACTCGAGGGTGTTTCGGGAAAATCGTATTATTTATAGTTCTAAAAAGAGAGATGCTGTAATCTATGCTGAAGTTGATCTTCCTCCACTTTTGGAACTGCCTCCGCCGCAATAGCCAATTTTGCCCTGCTTGATTCTAAACCTTGAAGTAATAAACAAGCCTTGCATATTTTGTTGGTAGAAAGATATCCGCACTTTTCGCAACGATTTCCGTCGTTTTGTAGTGACACGGACCCGTCCGAGCGGATCTCAGTTTCTTGGCCTTGGATAGCAGGTTTTTGAGGTCCGGGCCTTTTCTTCCTCTGCTTCAATTTGAAATGCTCTCCCGAGTAGATGATATCCAGAATGCAAGATGGCCGCACGCTTTCGAGATTTTTCATCAGCACTCTAGCAGTCCCTCTGAACGCTTCTGGCGCGTAGGTGCACTCTGTGCTGAAATAGTCGAGTTTCTTATAGTGAGCGTAGAGAACGATTTCCTTTTGGTAGCAGTATTTGAACGGTTTCGATCTCTTGATCGGCGATCCTGTGGACTTCGTCGTGATGTTTGTGGAGCTCTCCAAGCGCGCGGTATCTCCCCTAAGTAAGTTCATGAGCACTGTTTCTGCCATATCGTCTGCGTTGTGGCCCGTCACCACATGATTAATGCCAAGCTTCATTGCTCCTCTATCCAGGGCCTGTCGTCTTAGTACACCGCAGTATGTGCACGACGACTTCATTCCTGAACATGACACAATCTCATCCATCGTCCAATTGTACAAGTCTTTGTAAGAGACGATCTCTAAGGGCATTTCGTACTGCTGCTGGTTTCTCTTCACTGTTGCGAGAGAGTCGTCTCTGTATCCAACGATACCCTCATCAATGCTGAGAAGCACCAAATGAACTCTATAGTTGTATCTTTCGTTCAACGTTTTGAGTATTGAAGCCAAAACCGTGGAATCTTTTCCTCCAGAAGCCCCTATAGCCACTTTCTCTCCCGGATAGAACAGTTTTTCTTTCTCTATGGTGAGATGGATTTCTGTCTCGAAAACATGAAAAAAGCACTCTTTGCACAGTTTCTGTAAGTTTTTGGGCCGACGCATCACGGCCTTGCTGGCCTCGCAGCGCTCGCACATATTAGACGTCCTGGAGGGCATGATAAAAAATACTTGAAATTTATTTATTTTCTAGCACAGCCCAAATCAAACGTTGATTCGTAATGTTTGTCTCGACACTTAGACTTGCGATTTTCCTGTTTCTCACAACGACTCTTGCTTCCGTGCTGGAGCTGGATGCATCCAACTTCAATGACGTGGTGCTGAACTCAGACAAAAACACGCTGGTGAAGTTCTATGCCTCGTGGTGCAGTCATTGTTCCAAGCTAGAACCTGTCTGGGAGGAGTTGGCAACTGCTTACGAAAAAGAGCCAAATGTACAAATCGCTCGTATTAACGCCGACAAACACCAAAAGGTGGGCAAGCAGTATGGGATCAATGGGTACCCGACCATAAAATTGTTCAAGAAGGATGACGTTCAACATCCAATAGAGTTTGAGGGCGCAAGATCTGTGGAGTCCCTCACCAACTTCATTTCTGCCCACACCGGAGTTAACTCTCCTAGCTCTGCGCCTTCTCTAGTGGCTAAACTAAACGATTTGAACATTGAGGATGTTGTTGAGGGCAAAGATGCCTTCATTGCTGTCACAGCAGACTGGTGTGGCCATTGCAAGAAACTCAAGCCAACTTGGCAGAAACTTGCAGAAATTTACCAGGGGGACAGCGATATTGTTGTCATTGGACAAGTCCAGGTCACGGATCCTGAGCCATCGGAGTGGATCAAGGATAAATTTCAGATTCGCTCGTTCCCAACCTTGCTCTACATCAAAAATGGAGACTTGCAAAATGCAGAAATTTATGAAGCTCCAAGAACTCTTTCTGAATTCGTTGAGTTTGTCAACGAGCGAGCTGGTACCACAAGAGCCGAGGATGGCGGCCTTCATCCGGATGCTGGCCTACTACACTCCTTGGACGACCTTGTGTCCAAATTTGTTGGCTCTGCAAAACAAGAGCGCGTGAAGCTAGCTAATAAAGTGACAGAAGCACTTAACGATCTCAAAAAAGAAAACAAATACGCCAAAGAAATCAGATATTACACCAAGCTCATCAACAGTCTTGTTAACGGCCCTTACGACTTCATTCCCCGCGAGATAACAAGACTGGAGAAAATGCTGAGCGAAAATCTTGCTCCTGAGGCCAGAGACTCGGCACTTTTCAGACTAAACATTTTGAGATACTTCAACAGCTGTATTACACCAAATACATATAAATAAGATCACCACGTGACAGCATACTTGCGAGCATTTCTCACCAGCTCCGGGAATACTTTTCCTTTGCCAATCGTTTCTTGTAAAATTGGCTTGACGTTAAGGGGAGTACACCGCCCAAACCACACAAATTCTCCCTCACGATTATAAATAAGCACATTGGCAGCAAACTTGTGGCCTCCCACATGATTCACAAAGATCACTGGAACTCCACCAGGTCTGTCATCTCCGGGATCTCGATATAGCTCAAGCTCACGCAGCTGGGAATCAAATTCTTTCTTCATGATAGGAGCCGTAATGCCACACTTTTTATCTCTTGTACGGTGTGAACAGAGCAGAATGTACGACTTACTGTAGTCTCTCTCAATAGTGCAACCATGCAAAGATTCTGGGAGAGGTTGTTGATTGACGAATGCACTAAGTAAATCTTTCAGGACAGTTTCACAATTTTCTATGGTGATCCCCTTGCACCACACAAAGTATGGCATGAGTAGTACGTCACATTTCTCCTGTTTGCTGTACGCCTCGAAATCATCAGGATTCAGAGCCAAGGAAGTAGTGTTGATTTTCGTGGAGATATTGAATTCCTTGGATATTACGCCATTGACGGTTTGAGAGATTTTATTCAAAACGGTGTTCGGGGCATCGAACGCATCGTGACTCCAGTCAGTTTTACCCGTCGATACCAAAAGATGCAATTCCGGAGCTTTGGCACTCTCCCAAAGTGGCGTAGAGACGGCAGCGGGCGAGAGTTTGAAACAAGAGGCAGAGTAACGGGTGTGACACTCGGAAGCATCGCAAGTTGCGGGTTCGGTTGACACAGGCACGATCTTGGAGACTGCCTCGATTGCTGCGTCGGAGCTATTGAGAAACTTCTTGAGCACAAACATTATGTCGATTTCTTCATTATCCTACTCGCCCTGTATATTTAAAAGAAAAATAATTTCTTATCGTTCTGATCTCCGGCTTTTTCGATTATGGAAAACACCGAATTCCAGCAAAAGCCACACAAAAAATATACGGGCTTAGTCTTCACAGTCCGCTGAAGAAAGGATGTCGTACTCATCCATCAATGAATTATCGTCTGCCGATTGACACGAGTCAGAAAGATCTCCGTCCACCATAACGAACTCCGGCTCCGACTCTTTTAAAGTGCTACCGGTTTCCTCCAAATGTTCCCTAGGCACGGATTTCGGATCGCTGACACCAACAAGCAAAGACAGGGCATTTCCGGAGTTAAAATCTAAGCCACCTTTTGCGACAAGTGCTTGATCCTCCCAAACTTCTAGGTTGAACGCTAGAGTGCCGTTCAAGATCGAATCAGTGCTGGAAAACAGATCACCCCAGTCTGCAGTATCGAGCATCAGATACCGAGTACTTCCATTCTTGAACACATTTGGGGTAATCATGTATGTCTTCTTGACCTCTCCAACAGATGTTCTGAGCTCTGGTCTCAAGATATCGCGCGAGAGGCGATTGGTGAGTGCCAGCTGAAAAATTCTCGAATTCTGCTTCGCGCAAGAAACCTCGATGGCTTTAGTGCCTGCGTTGTAATTCTTCATCATATTGTGATCCTCAATCAGCTGGACAAGCAGAGGGACCTTTCCATCTTCAGGAGCATCCACCATCTCTAAAAGAGAATCGAATTGGGTGCACTTGAAAGTCAGCTCTTTTAGCTTCTCGCCGTTGTTTGCTCCCAAATCCAATAGCTCGTCTGAAACGTTCTTGTCGTAAACATGAGCTGATTCAATTGATAGCAGTGGAGACATGGTGTCCATGTCCATCCTGGATAGCGTCTCATTGACTGGAATCGAACCTGATTGGCCAGCTAGGTCTATTTTCAGTAACTGATGCTGGCTCGTGTGGCCGTTGACCTCCACGTTTTTGGCCTCGCAATTTGAACATAGGTCGAAGTTTGCACACTGAGTACATTTGTACCTGGTTTCAGTAATGTGAGCGTCGCATCCGTCACAAAAAACATTTCTGTAGGCCGACTTGAATTCAGAACTCTTGGAAGGCTCATTCATCTTCAAAATGATTTTGGAAAAGTTGGTGTCCACCAAGCTTCCCAAGAACTTGAGGATGTCCAAGTTGCTCAAATTGTCGGAGATCGAGTTGCTTAGATTTTTAAGATTTCTGTTGTCGTTGCTGCTAAATAAATCCTCAATGCGTTTCAGGATTTTCTGGACCTCTGCAGTGTAATCAATACCTTCTTTTTCCTCAGTAGCGGCGGACTTGATGAACACGTTCAGTTTCAGGTGGCTCTTCACAGTCAGGCTCCTCTTCAAACTGGAAAAATCTTCAACGGAGGCAAGTTCCACATAACGGCCTGATTTCTTACTCTTCCTTTGCAGCTGAATGTTCTCTGTAGAACAAGAGGCTAATGTGCTCTTCAGTTGAGGTGCCGTTGCGTGAGTGCAGATTTCTCTAATGATCTGTTCCTTGGACAGCAATTTGTTTCTGTCAGTGGTAAAAACGAGCTTCCGTGATATACCATCACCGATAATTGTCGCCTTGACGGCAATGTTGATACCTGAAAACAGCCCGTTATTCATATTAGAACCCATAAAACACCGATCCCAAGTCCCTATCCAAGCCTATTCCGTCAAACCGAGCCCTAATTATCACGTCAACCCAAAAGCTTAAAAACCTTGCTATCCCTTAATTATTTGCCTCTTTTGATAAGATTAATAAAATTCCCACCCCGCCGTCGACTGGCTTGTCGACCGTTGCGTGTCTGCGTAGATTCTAAAAAAAGATCTGTTTTTTGATCCAAACAAAAAAAATAAGTGTCTCTTTAGAACGATTTTCGCAGTCTAAAGTCGATCGCTACAAACATGATTTGGTTATCGTTCTTAACGTATCTCCTCTTGAGCTCCGTAAAAGGACTCGATCTGGACACCACTTCACAGGATTCTGTTTGTGATGCAGCCACTTTGATCATGGATGGTATTATGGATTACTACGAAGGAATCCGCTACGGAGGAACCGTGGGTATGTTCCAAGCTCCTTACTATTGGTGGCTTGCTGGAGAAGTTTTTGGTGGTATGATTGACACATGGTACTTTTGCGAAAATGATACTTACGAGACCATCATCTACGACGCCTTACTAGCCCAAATTGGTGCTGATAAAGATTACATGCCTTCAAATCAGACTGCAACTGAAGGTAACGACGATCAAGCATTCTGGGGACTCGCGGCTCTCCAGGCTGCTGAGAGAAACTTCACCAACCCTTCTGGAGAATATGAGGACGTTTCTTGGATGGGACTGGCCCAAGCAGTGTACAACACCATGTGGGCCAGATGGGATACCAGTAACTGTGGTGGAGGTTTAAGATGGCAAATTTTCACATGGAACACAGGTTACGATTACAAGAACTCTGTGTCCAATGCTGGTCTGTTCAACATCGCTGCGAGAATAGCCAGATACACGTCCAACGATACTTATGCCGACACGGCAGAGACCGTTTACAATTGGCTCAGAGATGTGAATTTCATCACCTTGAACGGAGATGGCTACCAAGTGTACGATGGAGCAAAAATTGGAACCGATAACTGTTCTACCCTGTCCAAATCGGAGTGGACCTATAACTATGGTATGTTGATTGGTGGCTGTGCGTACATGTACAATTATACTGAGGACGAAACCTGGTTGACTGAAGTTGGAAGATTTTACGAAGGGATCTCGGCAACTTTCCTCAACAATTCGATCATTTATGAGCGCCAATGTCAAGAATCAGGAACTTGCAACAATGACCAAAGATCGTTCAAGTCGGTGTTCAGTCGTATGCTTGGAGTAACGGCCAAGCTGGTTCCTGATTACCATGACAAGATCATGGACATTATCACTGCCTCTGCTAAAGGAGCAGCTGAGTCCTGTAGCGGAGGAAGTGATGGACACACATGTGGTATGAATTGGGCGTACGGAGGATGGGACGGTTGGTACGGTCTCGGTGAACAAATCTCTGCCCTCGAAGTGATGCAAAATCTGCTCATAGATGAGCACGACGCTCCATATTCTTACTACGGCGGACACCGTACGAACGACACAAGCTCTGCCAGTGGAGGTGGTTCGTCGTCCATAGACAACGAGGCGGGTACCAGTGCTGATGATGACTCTTTGAATGCCAACTCCATGAGTATCAAATCGAAGGATCGTGTTGGGGCCGGAATTATTACAGGAATTGTTTTGGCCATTTTGATTGCGCTCACTGTTTGGATGCTTGTGTGAACCTCAACACTTTTCCAATATCCAAAAGGGAAGAAACAACATAAAACTTCTGATCGATTTGTCGCACCGTTTCGGTTTCACCAAGAAGGCCAGATGTATGGTCTCTGTCGATCAAGATAGAGCCCATGCCGGCTTCAAGTGCACACTTCACATCATTGTCCACGTCTTCGCCAACATGCCACGCTTCATCAACATTTGTAGGATTTCTTCTTTGTACGTGTTCCAATATTAGTTTGAAAAATCTGCTGTTAGGCTTGGATACCCCTAGATCGTAACTAAGGAAGATATCCTCTGGTTTGAGAAAATTACCGAGCTCGAACTCGTCAATGATCAGTCGCACGATTCTCCGATCTGCATTAGAGGCAATACATGTTTTAACTTTCGAGTTCTTGATTGAGTTTAGAAAAGGCTGGACGTCGTCAAATACTTTGTAGGCTTCCCGCGTCTCAAAATGTCTGATTATCTCGTTGATAAAGCCGTAGTCGCCCCCATAAAGCGTAGATAAGACATGATGCCAAAAATTGTCTATCGGCATATCTACTGCTTTGCCATAGTTTGGATATTTCTGCCACACGCTCCTGAATGCGCTTTTAAACTTTTGCTTAAATTCCCCAGGGTCCACGACTGCGTCTGTGTTGTTTGCGCCTGCAATACGATTGTAAGCTATGGCAATTTGCTCCCGAGGTGTATACAAGGTATCATAAGCGTCCAGTGTCAACAAAGAACACCGCGGTAGCCTGAACTTAGTGGCGGTTTTCATTGCGTTCTAATATACAGATAATAATCTATGAATTTTTAGTAGCCTTTGCGTCTGCGTCTCTTTCTTGCGATGCGATTCTTAAATTTCTGTTCGCAGTCAGGACTGCAAAACCAACGTTTATCACCAGGATCTGCGTATAATCCAACACATTTGTAGTGAAACCACTCTATCGGGCACGACGAGTTGTCGCATGCAATCATTTTACCCATACTCGGGCCACGGCATATGCAATATTGCTCGTGAGGCGGTGTTTCGGGGGCTGGCAATGGGGTTGGTGCAACTGGCGACTCTGATCCCAGCTTGATAGAAATGCGAGTGGGCTTCTCATTATTCGCGATCTTCTCATTCCTTTCCTTTCTCTCTTTTATTGTCTTCCTGACCCTACTATCTCCAGCGCTTAGGACTATTTCTTGCTTCTGGGCCAGAGGATCCTCATCGTCAGCATCAGAATCATCGTGAACGGTAGAGACGAAATTGCGTTTGAAGTGAGTAAAGTCTTCCCAGGTTCGCGTGTTTTGTTGGTTTCTCGAATCCTTGAGAATGTCCATGAGGTGGAGTTCGTTGGAGGATAACTTCTGATGGTGGGCCAAGATCTGTGACAGCTGTTCGGCCTCAGCAACAAGTTCCCTGGAGTTGCGTATAAGTAGACCTCTCAAGTGCGCGATTTCTCGCAATGTCTCTACTTTTGTGATCTTGCCTGGTCTTTGATCCCTTAAAAGTGAGTCCAGTTTACTTCGTATTTCCTCGTTCTTCAAGCTCAAAGATTGCGTGATCCACAATGATCGCACTATATCACACGGCAAGTGGTCCAGAAAAGAAATAAATGCATTATTGGCGTTGACGACAGTGCTGACATTTACATCAGCAGTCATGGTCCCTTATGTTTTTTTCCTCGGAAAAATTATTGTACATATGCCTCCTTACACCATGTAGCAAAGGTGGCAGGTTTAACTGATGAGCAGAATGCTGCCTATTGCCATTCACTTCTTGTCGATCACCATGTCTTTGCAATTGGACAAGATGCTCACAATTGTGGCCTGAAAGCTTTGTAGTGGTGCAGTCTACGCAAAAAGGTACTTCGTTTCCGCGATAACCTACTTGAAATATCGACGCTGGTCAAGATAGTCAGTTTAGATAGATATACATAGGTTATAGACAATCAAGAACCAAAGCTCTTCAGAACGGACAATCTCATTAGTCTATAATTTTGAATGCTGACGTTTATTTCTTTGGTGGATGGAAGGTGATCTTTCTGTGCTTGATTGGAGCCCACTTGAACTTCTTCACCCAGATGGACAGGAAGTAGAGGGAGGTGACAATGATTAGTGCCTTGACACCAAGTCTCTTCCTCTCATCGTGTTCAGGCTCAGCGGCCCAGTTCAAGAATGTGGTAACATCCTTGGCCATCTGCGAAGTGGTAGCTGGAGTGCCGTCCTCGTACTCAACAAGGTCATCGAATAAAACTCTACCCATGGCAATAGAACCACCTGGGAAGTATGGGTTGTAGTTAGAACCTGGAGGAAGCTGGACGCCGGCTGGTGGCTCATCTGGGTAACCAGTCAACAGCGAGAAAATGTAATCACAACCACCATGTCTGGCCTTGACAATCAGCGAGAGATCAGGAGGCAGGGCACCCTGGTTGGCAGCTCTGGCAGCCTGTTCATTGGCATAAGGACCCGGAATGTAGTCGGCAAGCTTACCTGGTCTCTTTCTTGGGTTACCTTGGTCATCTGGTTCATCGTCGTATTCGAACTCTTCGGCCATGGCTCTGACTTCGTTCTGAGTGTGCGAAACACCAACAAGCGTTCTCCAAGCAACTCTGTCCAAGGAATGGCATGCTGCACAAACCTCTCTGTAAACTTGGAACCCTCTTCTAATGGAGGCATGGTCAAACGTATCGAACATACCGCCGTGAGACCATCCGTATTCTGGAGCGTGCAAACCGTGCTCGGCAGCAGTCATGGCCTGAGCAGTTTGGGAATCCTGGTAAAGAACATATCCAGAAGCGAGACCGACCGTAGCAATGACACCCTGCACTACTCTCTTGGTGCTGGAAGACACCGGAGTCTTTGCGGTAGAGAAGGCTCTGAGTCTCAATGGTCGCCTCAACGAAGATCCAAGTTGGGAATACATCTTAAAGCTCTATCAAGTGTCTGAATGACAAAAGATATTTTGCAAAAAAGTTTGAGGTTTCCGGCCAACCACCGCTCAGGAATTTTCTCACCACGGCCACTCTCGCACCAAGGCCAGTAAACAATTGTGCACCTACCAAGTCGAAAAAATTTTAAATAGCCAATAGAAGCCGGTATAAAAGTCAAGCTGTATGCGACCCGTTAGGTTGGCAGCTGGTGCAGGGGTGCGTACCTAGGTTTTAGAAAAAAAAATACCTAGTGCCCGCTCCCTCGTCTGTCTGGTGCAGAGATGCTGCGACGCGTTTAACGCGAAATCTTAACGTTTTATTTTCAGTCTTCTCATGACAAATACCGAAGAGCAGGCGTACCTTGATCTGTGCCAGCGCATCATCAGCGAAGGAGAGCACCGTCCGGATCGTACTGGAACAGGTACTTACTCTGTGTTTGCTCCTCCGCAGCTGCGTTTTTCACTGAAAGACAATAAATTTCCCCTATTGACAACCAAAAAGGTGTTTTTCAAAGGTATTCTTCACGAACTCCTCTGGTTTATTGCTGGTGAGACAGATGCCAAGAAATTGACTGAGAAAGGTGTCAAAATATGGGAAGGAAATGGATCTAGAGAGTATCTTGACTCGCTCGGCCTGACACACAGACGGGAAGGAGATCTCGGTCCAGTTTACGGCTTCCAATGGAGACATTTCGGTGCGGAATATGTCGACTGCGACACTGACTACACAGGCAAAGGCTACGATCAGCTAGCAAAAATCATCGATACTCTCAGAACCAACCCTTACGATAGACGAATCATTCTGAGCGCATGGAATCCTCCGGCTTTCAAAGACATGGCCCTGCCACCATGCCATGTTTTCTGCCAATTTTATGTTAGTTTTCCCAAGGATGCCAAACCGCAGCTTAGCTGCATAATGTACCAGCGGTCCTGTGACATGGGCCTTGGCGTGCCCTTTAATATAGCCTCCTATGCTCTTTTGACGCATATGATTGCACACGTCGTGGATATGGAGCCGGGCGAGTTCATTCACACCATGGGCGACTCGCACGTTTATTGCGATCACGTCGATGCCCTCAAGGAGCAGCTCAAGCGGACTCCACGTGAATTTCCAACGCTGAAAATCAATAGAAAAGTCGCCTCCATCGATGATTTCAGATTTGAAGACTTTGATGTGGAAGACTACAATCCATATGGGCCAATCAGGATGCAGATGAGTGTGTAGCGCATTAATTAATTTCTTCTATACCTCTAGCTGTGCGACGGAAATGCATGCTTTTTCTACGCTGTCGATTCAAATTCTCCTGGTCGGCATTAACAGTGGTCTCCATGAACTCGAAAACCGAATCTGTTGGAGTTTCGTCCCGATTCAGTGGTTGAGCGGGAACATTCGAATCCATTTGCGACAATGGCTCTCTTTGCGTTTTGCGGCTTCTTCTGACTCCTATGATGGTGGCACGCCGTGATTTGATGTCTGAGGATTCTCCGATAATAGATTTCCTTCGTAGCTTGCGAATTGAGTGGTGAGGCGAAAAGGACTTGCGCTTGTCTGCACGAGTAGGCATAGAGAGTGGGTCGACGTTGTCTTGGAAAACAACTGGGCGTTTTGGTTTCAAGAGTTGTTCTGGAGACGAGCTCTGAACCTCGATGGCTTTCGATTCTTTTCCTTTCGATTGTGGTGGTGTTGCCAAAAGCTCTGGAGAGACATTAGGGTCTAAGTTTGGACGGTATGACATCTCTTCATGCGGAACTTCTTGGACATCTGCAGGTTCGGACGTTTTTTGAGCGATCTCATTTTGCGCAACTTGGTCGGCTTCCACAGTAGCTGGTGTGCAAAGGTCATTAACTACTGGACGCTCAGGTTCAGGAGTTGGGATCACGACAGGCGTTTGCGGATCGACGGTTTCTGCTCGTATCGAAAGGCTTCTTCTCCTTCGTTTCCAACGTTCTGTGTTTTGCTGTTCTCGATTTCTAATTTCCTGTATCTTTGCTTCTTTCAATTCTCTTAGTCGGCTTTCAGCTATGGTTTCACTGACAGATAATTCGCGGCGCATTCGATTGATCTGTGAAAGTATGCCTTCAAACTTTTCTATGACGTCTATTTCCAGCGAGTCCAGATTCTTCCCAAAATTATCCCTTAGCTTAACCTCAGCATTTCGTAAGGAGAGGTTGTCGCTTTGTGCAGATGCCAGCTGGGCCTCCAAATTACTGATTCTCGCCATGAGTTCTGAATTCTTGGTGGCTAACACCTTATTCTGTTGAAGGAAGCGCCTTTTCACAAAATCCAGTTCAATGAAGTTGGATGAGACTTCTGGGGTTGCACGCGTTGCTGGCTTCGTATTCCCAGAAAGATCTCGGGATACTGCCGGATTATTAGCTAAACGAGCCATCTTAGCAAAACGGTTGGCGAGGTTTATTTTTTTATTTACGTTTCGTTGCAGGTCGATCGACCGTGTCGCGACCATAACACAATCAATATTTTGTAAGATGATAAGATTTAATACGCTCTATGCCCACCTGGCTCCGCAAACCACTCACTTTCTCGTAAAACAAAAAGAACATTCAAATATATACCGTTACTAGGCTCTAAACTCTAACTGACCTCGATCAACCTACCTTCGTATGGTTGCAGCTTGCCCGCGATGTTGTTAGAAATATTAGACAGGAGCAGCTTTCCTTGAGGTATTGGGTACTCGACCTCTCTATCAGTGAAGTTCAAAACAACAGCCATCTTATTTTGGCCCTTGTTGCTGGTCTTGGTGTAATAGAATACCTCCTGGTTATTGTAGTCTTGCACCTCGAAACGGCCAAAAGTCAGCGTCTCAGGATAAAGTTTTCTGGTCTTGATAGCATTTCTGTAGAAGTTTAGCACGGAGTCAGGATCGTTCTTTTGCGACGCAACATTGATGTCTTTGTAGTTGTCGTTGATTCTCATCCAAGGCTTGCCACCGAAACCACCGTACTCAGAGGAGTCCCATTGAACTGGAGTTCTGGCATTGTCTCTAGCCAGCAAATTTATGATCTTGAGCAGCTCGGCCTTCTCCTCATCTGAGTGTTCAGTCTCATTAAACGCGTTCCAGTAGTTAATGGTGTTGATATCCAAATACTCTGAGATATCCCATTTTTGTGGAACGTTAGTCATACCGATCTCTTGACCCTGGTACACAAACAGGGTGCCGGTCAGGGTTGTCTGCAACAGTGCCAGCATCTTTGCAGACCTGCTCCAAAACAGTTTGTTGGAGGTGTTTCCGAATCTTGTGACGCAGCGTGGTTGGTCGTGGTTCTCGATGAAAACAGTGGACCATGCGTCATTTAGTTCACCGGTCTCGTCATCAAAGATAAACTCCGACTGGTTGATGATGGCGTCCTTAAAGTCGGTCAGGTTGAAACCCTTGTATCTGAAACGGTCGCTTTTGTCGGATCCAACATCAACGGTGTCAAACAAAAACATCATGTTCATCTCCTTCTCTTTGGCAGACACGTACTTGAGAGCGTCCGCCTTGGAGCAGTGACCAACTTCACCCACCGTCATGGCATCATATTTAGAAGTCACTTTCTCGTACATTTCTTTGTGGAACTCGTGAATACGTGGACCAGAGTTGATAAGTGGACCAGCCGGCTGGTATTTCTCACCCGGGAAGGTGATTGGCGCATCCTCAAAAGTCTGGACTTTCGAGTAGAGGCCAGCTGTGTCGATTCTGAAACCGGAAACGCCCTTCTCGTACCAGAACTCAAGAGCTGACTTGTAAATGGCTTCGCGAGTCTCTGGGTTCTCCCAGTTCAAATCAGGCTGGGTTTCGGCAAACAGGCGAAGGTAGTATTGCTTGGTCTTTTCGTCGTAAGCCCATGCAGAACCAGAAAAGAAGGAAAGCCAGTTGTTGGTATTGTCCTTCCAAATGTACCAGTCTCTCTTTGGGTTGTCTCTGCTAGATCTAGACTCCTTGAACCAAGCGTGCTCAGACGAGGTGTGATTGATAACGAGGTCCAAAATCAATCTCATGTCTCTCTTCTTGATCTCGGCAAGCAGTCTGTCCATATCCTCCATAGTGCCAAATTGAGGGTTGATGGCATTGTAATCAGAGATATCATATCCCATATCATCCAATGGCGAAGCATAGTGAGGCGAAAGCCAAACCACATCAGTACCAAGAGACTTGATATGGTCGAGCTCGGAAGTGATTCCGTTCAAGTCTCCAATACCGTCTCCATTGGAGTCTTTGAAGGAAGCAGGCCAGACTTGGTATATAACGGCGGATTTCCACCAAGGTTCTTGAGCATCGATAGTCATAAAGAATTTATATTGTCAAGAGGGATAAGATAAAAAAATTGTGGAGGCGGAGGGTCTTTATATGGCTTGAACTAGCTAAAGACATTCTCTTCACTGTTGCGAGCGCGAAGTTCTGCACCCTCCCAGCTTCCCGAAAATAAAAAGAGGATTTCCGTTTGCGTCATGGGCTCCACCTGCTATGCACGTCCATAATCGTGATCTGATTGTTACCTGTACCCCAGGCAAGATCCTGTTTCAGCGAGCATTAAATCACGGCCTAACTGATTTGAGCGAGAATTAAATTGCGCATTTAATTCTCGCTGAAATTACTGCCAACAATTGAGTCTGGGGTACATGAATAGAAGTGACGTAATTTCCCCCACCCTCGCCAGCCACTGCGGAGTCACTTCGACCACATGGAGGCCACTAGGGAAGCTTGAGAAGCCAACATTAGAGGGTTTCAGGTAGACTTGTATAGCCCAAGTGCTTATTACGACGCTGCTAAACTCTTCAGTACACTGGTACGGCTGACTCTGTAGAACATACAAGGCTAACATGTCGCGCAAATGCACAGTGCCTGCTTTCCAGCGCGATACTCCCGAAGATATCCCTATCCGCATACACGGAACTGTAGTCCAAGTTGCCGAGGAATGTGAATGCTTGTCCAACACGCCGCTGCTCTTGTTTAGCCGGGGCTCTTCGTCTAGCTCGACCTGATCTGGCTCTGAACACTGCACGGACAGCGGCGTGCATTGCCAAGTTGTATTGATCCCTGTTGAACCTTCTTTCCAAGCCCCATTCCGACCCCGGAGAATTGCCCGATTATTATTCCCCGCAAATGCGACCTGCCAGAATCTCTCAGCCATGCGTCATAATTTAGATTTCACAAATATTTCGTGGAGCAATGGACCGCGGACGTCCTATTGTGCTGTTGGTTCAAACCTCATGCACAAAGCTGAGAATTTGCGAGAGCTTGTTTCTCCGAGGCGTGGCCAACGCAAATGCTCGCAACCAACCCAGTTCAGCTTAGTACACAGCTTCGTGGTCTTACACTAAAACCGCCTCCTCAACAACGCGGGGCTACATGCTGTGTCCAGAAATTTTCCGTGCGTAATTTGCGATGGTGCTTGCATGCTGCAATAATGCAGATGGGGTAATCAAAACGAGCACTCGCGAGCATTCATCCAAGAAAAAAAGCACCATTCTAAGCTGTTTCTGGAAGCAAACTTGGGTCGCGATCACGCGCCAAAAATGGGCCGGATTAAGAATGGGCAAGCGTCTCCCCACGTCATAGTTGTGTGGCACGAAGACTATATATAGTTGATACATTCTCGACATTCAGGTATCCACCATGACCGAGTTCGTCGAAAACATCGAGAAGCCTGAGGAAGTTGAAGTCATTCCAGACATCACAAAGAAGATAACCACCTTATCTGACAGTGATGACGGAAGCGGCGCTTTCAACGACTACATTGCCAGATTCGTGGAGATTTCGACGAATGCCCAGAATAACGAGCACCAGGAAAAACACATGTCGCTCAAGGAGGGTCTGAAAACTTTTCCGAAAGCCGCGTGTTGGTCGATTGTGCTTTCGACAGCCATCATCATGGAAGGATACGATACCATGCTGCTGAACAGCTTATACTCGATGCAATCCTTCGCGAAAAAGTACGGCCAGTACTACCCTGACATTGACGAGTACCAGGTCCCTGCCAAGTGGCAGACGTCGCTGTCCATGTCGACCTACGTCGGTGAGATTGTTGGACTGTACATTGCTGGTCTTGTTGCCGAGAAATGGGGATACAGACGTACGTTGATATGGTTTATGGCAGCTGTTGTTGGGTTAATCTTTATTCTCTTCTTTGCGGTCAACGTGCAAATGCTGCTTGCGGGCGAGCTGCTATGTGGTATTGTCTGGGGTGCGTTCCAGACTCTTACCGTGTCATACGCCTCGGAAGTGTGTCCCGTTGTCCTGAGAATCTACCTGACCACCTATGTCAACGCCTGCTGGGTTATCGGACAGTTGATTGCTGCTTGTTTGCTGAGAGGCACCATGACCCTGACCAACGAGTGGTCATACAAGATTCCTTTCGCCGTGCAGTGGATCTGGCCGGTGCCCATTATGATCGGAATCTACCTGGCTCCAGAGTCGCCCTGGTGGCTGGTCAAAAAGCATAGGGACGCAGAAGCCAAGAAAAGCATCATGAGACTGCTGAGTCCAAACAAAGAGGTGCCCGACGTTGCTCCGCTAGCCGAGGCAATGTTGAACAAAATGCAACTCACCATCAAGGAAGAGACTGCGCGCGTGTCCAACGTCTCGTACCTTGACTGCTTCAGACACGGTAACTTCAGAAGAACAAGAATTGCCGCCATGATCTGGCTCATCCAGAATATCACGGGATCGGTCTTGATGGGCTATTCGACCTACTTCTACCTCCAGGCAGGACTTGATAGTGGTATGTCTTTCACTTTCTCCATCATCCAGTATGCACTGGGTCTTATTGGAACGATTGCTTCGTGGCTGCTGTCGCAAAAAATGGGCCGCTTTGACATATACTTCCTGGGTCTCAGCATTAACACGTGCATCTTGATCATTGTCGGAGGTTTGGGCTTCGCGTCGTCGAGCAGTGCGTCTTGGGCAATTGGTTCGTTGCTCCTTGTCTTCACTTTCGTCTACGACTCATCCATCGGTCCTATTACCTACTGTATCGTTGCAGAAATCCCTTCATCGACGGTGCGTGCCAAGACAGTCGCTCTTGCTAGAAACTGGTACAACCTGTCTCAAATCCCGCTCTCCATTGTCACTCCTTACATGCTCAATCCGACCGCTTGGAACTGGAAAGCAAAAGCGGCCCTGTTATGGGCAGGTTTGTCTCTTTGCTCACTGGTTTACATCTGGTTCGAGTTCCCAGAAACAAAAGGAAGAACGTATGCTGAGCTGGATATCTTGTTCAAGAACGGCACCAGTGCCCGTAAATTCAAGTCCACTCAGGTGGAAACTTTCAACCCTGAGGAAATGTTGAAAAAAATGAATAATGAGGATATCATACAGGTTGTTGATGGTGACCTGGATGCCGGTGCGGCCACGGCTAAGGTTTAAGTGCTTTAAATGTATAGTTTCAGTTCTGCGATGTTTTTATTTTACATTTGAATATGCTCTCTCGAATATCCTATTAAAATTGTACTTGGCCTCGTTGCATTCAAGGGCTCAAAATATTTGTTTTCCTGAGCATTTTATTTTTGGGGACAATAAGATTTGGGGCGATTTCCCCACAAACTAAACACAAATAAATGTGCAATAATTTTGAGAAATATATTTTCTGGGGATAGTTTTCATGCCTGTCAGTACCGGTGCCAAAAACCATACAATTGGCCAAAAGTCCCATTTCAAAAGGCCATATACCAGGCCTTGTGATGCATGCGCACATAAAAGAGTGCGTTGCGATGTTGAGTTCAAGGTTGATCGAAGGTGCACTAATTGTCTAGTTCATGGAATTGAGTGTACAAACGTCAGAGTCAAACAGAGGTCTGGACCCAGAAAAATTCACAAAAAAACCGAACAGGCTATCAAAAGCCTCGTAGAAGGAAGTGGCGCGTTCAGCAATTTCCGATTAGCTACTCCGGCGGATTACAGATCTGATCTTATCAACCCTGCCACCTGTGAGAAGAGCTCAATTTCGCTAAGTGAGATTCGGCCATACCTCAGAATCTACAAATCCCGATACTATGCGCTCTGGCCGGTCTTGTCGGTAGATGACTGCCTGAATCTTCTCAACGAAAGCGCAGTCCACATAAACGATACGGCATTTTTCATATTGAACGCTAACAACGCGTCGTTGTATGCTCTATCATGTGCCTTGTGCGCAGTTATTGCAAGACATACCACCTTCTGGTCCCAGGAAGAGTTTGATACAATGGCTCATTTAGGGCTCAAAAGCTGCCCTCCGCCAGAAATTTATGTTAGAGAGGCAGAGAGAGCTATATACATGTTTGACCTTGACGGTATACTCACGGAAGATCAGGTGCTTACTAGCTTTTTCTTGCATATATACTTTTCATCTCTTGATGAGGACAACCTGCAGGAGCTGGTCTATCTCCGACAGGCAATCAGCTGCGCACAAATGCTTCACCTTCGAGATAGTGAGGTTTTGGGAGAATCGCCAAAAGACACCTCCCACAGATTCAAAAAAATCTACTACTTGCTTCTCATCACGGAGAGGTATGTTTCGTTCAAGAAACAACTTCCAGTGATTTTGGAGCCGACAATGCCCCTTCCAAGTTTGGAAGACGATGAAGCCCCGGATCTTTTATCTGGATTCATTGAACTTGCCCAAGTGTTCAGTGTTCCTGATTGCGCTTTCTTTAACAAGTACTCGCTCCGTGGCACGACTACTACCCTCGATCCTCTCAGCGAGAGTTTTGACCTGCTGTTCAAAAACGAGTGGATTCAAGACGTGCAAACCAAGCTCTCCAGGTCCGTCGTTCAAGTGCGCAACCAGTCTCAAAAGGTCAACATATTAATTTCACGAACATGGCTGCAATCAATTGCCTGGCTGATGGCTAAAGATCGACTTCTTCTTATGCAAACGACTGATCAAGCGAATTTCTTCGACCCGAGGTATCCTACTCATATCGCAAAAGACTTTCTGATACAGACTAAAGACATGCCGTACGAGGCATTTGAGACGAACGGTAGTGGTGTCATCGTGAAACTAAGTGAGGTCGCCAACGCCTTGCAAACCTTCATCCGATTGGCTCCTCGATCGCCCGAAACAGCTCTAGCGTTAGACGAGCTTGCATACATCCACGGAATTATCATGCGGCAGAACTCCAACAGCTCGCTAGGGCCTCTTATACACCCTATCACTGAAACTTTGGAAGCCCGTAGGTTTGGATTTTATCGAATTGGCTGGGACACTTCATGCCCAAGAATAGAGTCCGTAGATTATGAGGAAACTGCAAATGACCATGCGCCTGAAAACGTTGCCCCCATTCCCGAGAACTTAAGTCTGACACCTCTTCTGAGCGAGTTCGAGTTTCCAAGGTGAGTGAGTATTTCCTGCTCAGGCGTTCGGTGCGGTTCGCAATTAGCTACAAACATCTTCATAACAGGAAGTCATCTAATCATTAAAAGTGCTTATTTGTGTCTACTAAGGCGCTCCAGGTGTGTAGTATGGGGAAACATCAGGCTCTGGCTGTCCGAGGAAAAACGAAGTCACGCCCTTTGGTGGCGCGAGTTCATTATGCGCCGTCAGGGGATTGAATTGACCAGATGATACTCTTTCCAAAGATGCAAATAACGAGGAAGAAACATCCAGTCGGATACCGTATGTCTGCCTAGGCTGCAGACTGGCTCTTGATCCGGAGAAAGAATTGTTGAAAATGGCACTGTCTTGTCTTGTATTGCATCGTACGAGTGACCCTGAGCTTGTCAATGAAGGTTCACAACTGGAAAATTCAGAAGGAACATTGTGACCTGCTTCTTGTAAGCCATTCATTTTCCAATATTCAAGAAACTTAGATATTTTCGTGAAAAGGGCTCGAGGCAAATCTAATCCAGCTTTGTACTTCAGCACCATATCAAATACAGTAGCCATCCGTTCGTAGGCTAGCTCTGAGGTTTCCGGGTCAACATAGCTTTTAATTAGAATGTAAAGAGAGTCTGCTATCTCCAGTAGTTTCATTGATATATCGGGTCCGTTGCACCTGAAGGCATGATCAGGGAGATTCTGCAGACTGGCGAGTAGCTCATTTGCGACTTTCAAAGGAAAGCGGACACTGAAACATTCGTGTTCAACTGGAAGGTTCTCATCAAAGCTAACTAAAAAATTTGCAGACGCTATCAACCAGCCCAGAGACTGGAGCCAAGCTTTTGAAACGGTAACATTCACTTTCTGGGCACTTGTTGCAATTCGATCCATATCAATTCTAATCTGGAGCTTCTGTTGTAGCTCAAGAAGCCATAGTCTTTTCTGTTCCGTGGACCCGTTTAAGGTGAACTCCTGAAATAAGTTGGTTACCGGAATTTGGAACATGTTGTGAGTGCGCCCTGTCTCAAGCACCTTGGTATGAAGTTCGACGTAGAATTGCTTATCTGTTGCGCTGAAAATCCCACAGAGAGTGGTGAACCCGTAAAGTGAGTTTGAGGATCTTTCGAAATCTGCCTCAGGGAGTGGAATTGAAGGCTCGAGAAGAACGGGCAAATTAGTTTTGAAGCTGACATATCTTTCCGTGACGACGAGCAGGTAGTAGATTTTTTTCTGTCTATGAGCCTCAAAGGGTGAAAGATGAAGCAGTGACTGGGGTTCATGCATTCTCAAAACGTCCGCAAGAGATACGGCTTCACGGAGGTAGATAAGACCTTTGTGCTGTTGGCCAGGCGCAATAGCATAAAACTTATGTAGGAAAAAGGATGTGAGAAGGAGATCAATATTTGGCCTGCTTTTCAATCTGTACTCATATACTATTCTTCTTGCCTCTTGAGCGTATAAGCCAGCACTTTTGCGATCACTTTTGGCTGGAGTGTATGTAACAAAACTGTGATACTGTGCTATCGTTGCGCACAATGCGCAACAGAGAGCATACTCTTGAGCGTTGTCCTCGGCGATGGTAATACGAAAGTCATCCAAAACATTTGCCAGTTGAAACACCTGCTCCACATTCTCTAAGGGACTTGCTCGCGTCAACATAGAAACTGTACTTTGAATTGATACCACCGGCCAGATGTCATAGAAATTCGAATAATATATTTCGAGATAGGGAATGATTTGCTTCAATGAAAATGCGCACACATGAGCAGGTAGTCTAGACTGGATAAAAGTGCCGTAATTTGGATCCTCTGTACTCTTATTTGATCTAGTGTATTTCTTTGGACCAGATTTGTGCCTCACGCGGAGGTTAGTGCAAGGTACGTTGTGAGTGAGACAGTTCGAGCAAATCTCCCTGGGGCAAGAATCGATATCACATCTCACACGGCGGATGGCGCACGCGTCGCACGGTCTCGGGCGGTGATTTCTTTTGGTCGACGGCTGCGACATATGATATTCAGATAAGCTCGTACTTGTCTTCAACTTGGGGCTAAAAAGGAGGCGTTTCCTCGTGATATAAGCGAAGTACCGAAATTGATAATTCGCATACCAAGCTTCAATTATGGACCAGCGTGTAAGATTGATATTTACACAAAAACCCCGTTCGAGTAATAATGACCATAGCAGTGGTCTTTTATATGCACTAGGCTCCGTCGATCGACCGCATCGAAACTCCGTAAAAAAAAAAACATGGGTCGCGCGTTCTTATTATCATATGAAGATGGATTCCCTAAACGTGAAAGTGCAACAGAAACTCAAAGAACTCGAAAGCCTTCAGCAGATAAGAGACTTGACGAAACACCTGAATGTCTCACTTGAAGAGTTCGCTGGCCAAATAGAGCTTCTGGGTGAAGAAGCAGGAAGCATTGAAACCGTGACACAAAATTGGATGAGAATCATCAGAGCAGTGAGCCTGGCCTCTAACTCGTTGTCGAACTACAAGGAAGAGGACTATGAAACAGAGAGACCAATGACAGAGCGCCTTGTGAGATGCAAAATAGATGAGAGTCAAAAAATCATCACCAAAAATTAACTCAATTCGATCTATTTAACCATTGTTCTAGATTAAGCTTATTGTTCAATTCCAACAACAAATGGTTCTCCTTCAACAGATCATCACGGAGGTCTTCATCAGCTTCTAGGTAACTAATATCGTCCGGATCTATCATCAGATCTTGGACCTTAGAGGGAGGTTCCATTTTGATCGTCGATAACCCGGTCATCATTTTGAAGTACTCATCAGTATGCACGTCAGACCCATTAAAGAGCCCATCCCAATCCGTTGTCAAAAACAACCTTTTCCATACCAAGGTTTCTAGAATCTCGTGATAATGCGAATATCCACTCAGACTGCTTAGCACTCTCGATGGATTCGAGTGTTTGATAACACTCAACAACTTGAACAAGTTGGCGAAATTGTTGTGATTGAACTCATCGAATGTCACTAGTGTTAGTAACTGGACCATCTCAAACAATCCCAGCTGTTGATGCCGATCCAATTTTGTCACGATATCGCCAATTTGATTTTCAAAACGCGTAAACTTGTTATCGACCAAATATCTTGAGTCTTGTATAAATCTGTCTTTAGTTTTGGAATCAATCAGTCTCGCATAATTTGATTGAAGCTCAATCATTTGCAAGTGTATTTCTATCTCGTCCAGCAGATTGTCATGGTCCTCATTTAGCGATATTAGAGAAAGCTTGGCAATATTCAGCTCAAACTTCTTCTTTTCAATCTCCTCTGACTTTGCAGTGGAAACATATGCAATCAGCTTTTCTGCTGCCTTGAAATACTCGTCGTTTTCCACGTCGAGTATCCACGCAAATTTGTAGTTATCAATGTTTGAGTTCAGAAACTTTCGCACATAATCTGGATAACGAGAGAGGTAGTTGAGGATCAAACGAATCTTTTTGGTTCTAGCGTATAATTTAAAAAGCACTTCTGCAAAACTGTATCCGTAACGCTGAAAACACTCCTCAAACTTGAGTGTAATCAAAGCATCCCCTTCTGGAGCATGCTCTCTCTCGGAGTCAAGAATTTCGCATAAGCTTTCCAAATCGTTGTTCTTTTCTGCGAGCTGTATTATTTCTTGTTGCTGCCCTAGAACAACAAACAATCTGATCCATCCTTCTCTATTTTTGGCCAAAAGTTCCCCGTGCACGGTGATCTCGGTATAATAAAGGAAATATGCTAGAGTCAAAACTGTTTTGCTCACGCGTGTCTTCAGCTCGCTCTCTTCAACAGCTTCCAAGGTTTCGGCGTAGGTAATGGTGATATTTTTCAACATCTCATTCACGCTCGACAAAAACTCCCTTGCTCCTAGGAAAATGTTGGAGGATCGGTTTTCATTGATTTCAGCTTCCAAATAACCTTCTTTGAGCACATTGGCAAGCATTTCACCAAAAAGTAACAAGTCTCCAGGATCTTCAAGATCCGTGTTTGTTACCAGGAGTCCTAAAAAGCCGATTATTGACGAAGTCTGGTCGCTGAAATATTCATCAAGGCTTTTGTACTCCATCTTTTTTCTGACGAGCTTTTCCGCGATCAATCTCAATGGCTCGATATTGCTAAGCTTTTCGTAAAGTTTGCTCGAGAGCTCGACTTCCTCAACATGTCTCATGAGCTGAATCCATGTAGCCTCTTGCAAGTCAAAATTTTCGTTGCAAAAATGGCCAAGCTTCTTTAAACGATCGCCTCTTTTGTGAAGGTTCACCTGCAAATATGTGAAATCGGCTAGATCCTTGAACTTGTTTGATATTATCTCTTGAGCAATACCCAAGACTGCATTCTCAATATCCTCGTTGCTGACAGCCAACTTCAAGTTTGTGAGGTTGAAATCGAGCAGTTTCAGGCTACTGCTGTATTGCAACGCCTGTCTTATATGATTTTTCAAAAAAGCAACACTGGCAAACCTATCGACTGTCTTCTCAAGTTTGATTTGAAAAATACCCTCCTCAGTCAAGACAACTATGTGATCATGTTCGTCAGTGTCATGTCCGTAAAGTGCAACATCTTTGTTGAAATTGATAAAATCTTCCCACCTTTCACTCAAGCCAGAGCCCATATCTGTCATGATGATGGAAGAATCAGTAATTATACTTGCAATTTTGTTTGTCGCAGACAACTTTGGAAAATTATCTGTTGTGGTGATGCTAGTTATCTCATGAATATGAATCACAGAAGGATTATTTTCTATGTGCACCATGGATAATTGTAATTTGTTTCCAGTTCTTCCTTCACAAGATGTGAGGACAATATAGTCATTGTTTCCCATCAGTGCAATGTCCTTTATTTTGAGATTGTCAGAGTCCAGTATTTGTTCGGCCAGGAGTGCTTTAAGGTTATATTGTGAGCTGATGTTAATTGACCCATTCACCCAATCTGCAATGATCAGTTTTCCGTCTTCCTCTTGAATGCACAATTGACTTGTGACTGTATTCCTATTAGTACACTTGATAGCTATTACTTTGTTTGCATTTTCGTAGCCCGCACCGATATGCGAGGTCAGTCCAAGAAATATATTCATCAATGACTTTGGCGCATAGACTTCGTTGACAACAAAATTTGTTTTCCCAAGGTGATCATTCACAGACAATGTCAGCACGCGCCTATTGCTGGTAGCAATGACTAAGCCAATTCCGGTAAAGTATTCAACAATCGTCACAATTTCATTTCCTGAAAGTTTGACGGTGGTTGTTAAAACACCATCAAAGATATCGAGAGATGGTGCCAGACTCAATGACTCCACATATCTGATCTCCCCTGTAACAGTATCCACTATGACGACACTAGTGTCGTTATTAGTCGAGTTGGGGATGAGTTTGACTTGGGGCAGAATACCTTGCTCGTTCTTCTCGTAGTTGAACTCAAAGAATACCGGGTGGATATCTCCTGATTTGTAGTTATAGATGAGTATTCTCTCGCTCGTCACCAAAACAGCTTTCTCAGTTGCAGAATCGAGGGATCCATAGCATATGGTTTCGTCATTTTTGAGTTGGGGAAGCTCACAAGGGTACTTCGAGATAACAAATGAGTCTGTGTGCACAATTTCTATCAGTCTCACTGTATGTACCGGCTGGCTGGAATTTGCCGGTGTGGAACTCCTCAATCTTTCAAGGTTGAAACTGAACATGAACGAAGACTGATAGATTTGTTTGGTAAATAAAAAAAATACCCAGCCCGGGTAACGCTTTCCAATCTGGGATCTAAAAAAATATTTTAAAATATTTTTCGTAGAAAAAAATAATTTAGCTACTATGATTAGGACAATCAAGCCCAAGAACGCGCGTTCGAAAAGAGCTCTGGATAAAAGACAGCCTAAAATAGTTGAGAATGTGAAGACAGCCTTGTTTGTTCCGGGGATTACTTCGAACAAAGCCCTTCATGATGTCACCGTGGACTTGGCTGCTCTAAAAAAACCAGACATTAAACGGTTTACCAAAAAGAACGAAGTGCTACCATTTGAAGATGCATCGAAATTAGAGTTTTTCAGCGAGAAGAATGATGCTTCATTACTTGTTTTCATGAGCAGCAACAAGAAGAGACCAAATAATCTAACCTTTGTGCGCACATTTAATTATAAAATATACGATATGGTCGAGCTTCTCGTGCTGAATAACTACAAGCTATTGGAAGATTTCAAGAAGGCAACATTTCAAGTCGGTTTGAAACCGATGTTTGTGTTCAACGGCCCAATTTTTGATACTCATCCTCTTTTCAAGCAGATCAAATCCCTGTTCTTGGACTTTTTCAGAGGAGAAGTTACCAAACTACAAGACGTTTCGGGACTACAACATGTAATTTCGGTGTCAGCAATTGAAGAGGACGACAACGATGAGAGTATTTCTAAGCTACCCCTGGTTCATTTTCGCGTATACAAATTGAAGACTTACAAGTCTGCTGAGCCAAAGCTGCCAAGGGTGGAGCTTGAAGAGACAGGTCCTAGACTTGATTTCAAAATTGGTAGACATCAGTATCCTGACGCTGAGATGGAGAAGGAGGCACTCAAGGTGCCTAAGCAATTGCAACCAACTCAAAAGAAGAACGTTGATGTGGATAGAATGGGTGACAAGATTGCCAAGGTTCACGTTGGTGCCCAAGACTTGAGCAAATTACAGACCAGAAAAATGAAAGGTTTGAAGAGCAAGTACGATCAGTTGAGCGACAGCGAAGACGACGTGAGTGGGGATGAAGATGGAAGCAGTGAGGGTGAGGACCAAGATGAGGTTATCGACTCCAGCGCTGAACAAGAAGAAGGTGACACAGAATTCATGGATGCCGAAGAGGAGCTGCCAGAAAGAAAGAAAAGAAAGGTTTAATCGATTATAATTGGCAGTATATAGGAAGTATTAAGCGAACAGTGGGTAAGCGATGATGGCGATTATAGTACACCAAATAGTGAATGAATGCTTTTGCTAATAGAAATTGTGGCCAAATTTGTTGTCAACTTGTGACTTCTCATTAGCGTTGTTATCGTTCAAAAATGAAGACACAGTGGAGGGGCTTTGAAAAAAGCAGTAGTTCTCTAGTAATTGTTGATATGACTTTGAATTGATCTCCGGCTTACGCGAGTGGTTGGCGACGCCTGTATATTCGGATACTGGTGGGATTTCACTTTCAGGCACTTTTGTCGTTGGCGATATTTCCCTATCGTCTTGGTTAGGTTTGTTATCATTCTTGACTTTCAAAGGGAGAGACGGCGACATCAAGTCCGTGAATGTAGGGGCAGCACTCACATTTTGAAATATCAATGGGGTTCCCGGAGAGTTCATGCTGCTATCTAGGACTGTTTCTTGGTGGAAATCATAAGGTATTTGCTGACTAAGTTCAGCTTTAGAAGGTGCTGGCAAATCTAAGTCTCTGAGAGCGTTCTCCAGCTCAGGGAATGACCTGGGGTTTGAAGCGTTTGTGGAACCCAGCCTGGAGGAGACATCTTCAAAACTGGCGCTTTTGCGAAGGAACTTCGATGAATACAGGTTTTCACGGTGGGGGTTCTTTCTAGGTCCCTTGGCGCGAGATGCCTCTGTGAAAAACCGCAACTCGTAATTTTTTTGATAGTTGTTATCCCAAAATACTTGATTATTAGAAACGTATCGGACACAAAGAAAAAAGTATGGATTCAGGTCAACCAACGGTTGGTGGCTAGAATAGAACTGTGAAAACAGAGTTGGAACTGATAGTTTGAAAACAAATCTGTCGTAATTGGCACGTCTTAGTAGCCTTGGAATGTCTGGAACATAAGAAGCTTCCATATTGATGGCTGTCTCCCAGTCGTTAAAAGTGTATCGAACCGTCACTGATTTTTGGAAGGACAGGTTTTTCACGGCAATTTGTCCTATCAGTTCGGTCTTATCCACGCTCAAAAAACACCGTTCTAGGAAAACAGGTGTTTCTTTATCAATTTGATCTCTGTAGGACACTTTTCGGAATTGATCCGAATTGAGGTCCCATACTTTGATCAACTTTTTAAACTTTTCAATTGACCTGCGGCTTCCGCATTCAACATATTCTTTTGAAACGCTGTAGATAGTATCTTGGGAGCCAAAATAATCATCGTTATCAGATTCGAACTCTGAGTCGTATTCGTCATCAGAAACAAAAGGGGAGTTGCCTGCGCTTATTGAATTGGGCTTATCTGCCTCATCAAAATACTTGACAGCTATGCTTCCGCCAAAATGCACTTGTTTGTAGGTTGGAGTGGTAGGCAGAGACTTGGAGCTACCACCCAGAGTATTGAGCTTGAGGGACGATTTGACAAGCTCCCCTGACTTCTTGCGCACCAATGGAGACATTAGCTCATATTTGGAGTCCGGCAGTGACACCGGGCTACCTATCGGCTCTGGAGTGAGCTCGTTATCTATTTCCGCTATAGGCACTTCCTGGGAGGGCGGTGGAGGTGGAGAGTGTGTTTTTGAGTTCAGGATAGTGTTGTGTTTCATGATTTCATCGCTCTCTCCTGAGAAGCTGGATCTAGATGGCCTCTTCATGAAGCTTATCGATAACGGTAAGTCATCATTTGAGATTGTATCACTTGAACGTCTTCGGTATTTTTGTTCGGGACTACTTGATGTGCTCTCGGAAGATGAGGCAAGGCCTGTATTTGTGACTTTACGGGAACGCACAAAGGGCATTTTAAGCTAGCTGTCCCAAGGAATGTATGTCTGAGTTTTCCTAAAAGTATGGCACAACTGTTTTATTCTCTAAAAGATTAATGATCTGACCATAAGGTGATGTTTAGTAATTAGAGCGTCACGGGATTGGAACATTCGCCAGAAGCTTCCAGTTGATTCGTTAGACGCAAAACCTTAGATGGCTTGGGGCTCCTAATATCCCTTCACTAGCCTGTTGGACCGACTGCACACCGTTCCTACCAAGCCAAATTAGTTTGCGGTCCTAAAATAATATCCCTCTAAAATTAAGATAGAAGAACGCGGAAATAAATACGACGTCTATGTAAAGTCCGAAAGAAAATACTGCGCACTTTCTATTTGAGTTTGGCCTGGCCCTTGTTGTTTCAGATTGATGAACTTCACTGGTCTTTATGTACTAAAAAGATCTGGTTGAGCTACAGGTCTCAGAAACTTGTCAGCCTATTACCCTTTTGACATGTATTTAATCTAATCTCCCTTGTCCATAAATAAGCTTAGCTGCCAGCGGAGGGGACCCGAGCTATCCGGCATAGAGAAGCCTTTAATATTCAGTCAGATTTATGCATGCATTGCCTACCATTCGGCTTTCGCCCAATGAAGAAACAGTTGACGCTGGATGTAGCACAATTGGCCGTTCTTGACCCAAAACGCTCCTCCAAAAAAATAACCCCAACTGCCTGTCTAAAAATTTAATTCGGTAATATTCTTCAGTGCAGATGTCCACCCAGTATAATTTTTCGCTGTGGAACATTTGGGTGGCTTCTACGCTGCTTAAAATTCTGCTGTTTCCAGCCTATTACTCCACAGATTTTGATGTGCATCGCAATTGGCTCTCAATCACTAAACTTCTGCCCCTAAACAAGTGGTATTTAGAAAACACGAGCGAGTGGACTCTTGATTACCCCCCATTCTTTGCCTACTTCGAGTGGTTTTTGTCGCTTTTTGTTCCTACCAGCGTATCAGAGGATGGTTGTATCAGCCTTGTGGCTAAAGGGAACTTTGGAATGCCAACAGTTATTTTCCAAAGAAGCACAGTCATAGTGAGTGAAATAGTGCTCTTCATGTCTCTTCAGTATTATGTTAACAGATCGTCTAATCTGAAAGAGAAAAAACGCAATTTTGTGGTTGCATCCTCTATTGTCCTTTCGCCAGGCTTATTCATGGTGGATCACATTCATTTCCAATACAATGGATTCTTGATGGGCATTCTAATTTTGTCCATAGTCAACGCCAAGCTCGGTAATTATCTTCAGTGCGGATTTTGGTTTGCCACGTTGTTGTGCTTCAAACATATCTTCCTTTATATTGCCCCTTGCTACTTCGTTTACCTTCTGTCTGCCTACTGTTTGAATCCACAGGCCAAATTTCCGACCACTATCAGCGATTTGTTCAATTACGTAAAATGGAAGAATCTATTCAAGTTGGCTTTGGTTGTGTTGGGAGTGTTTGCAGCGGCGTTTGGCCCTTTCATCTATTATGGGCAATTACATATTGTATTTCAGCGTCTCTTCCCCTTTTCACGAGGACTAACGCATGCCTATTGGGCTCCCAATATATGGGCCATATATTCTTTGATTGATAGGGTCTTGATTCAGGTGGCATTGAGAGTACCCGGTTCAGCCCCAATCCTTTCGCTGATCTTCAAACAATTAGACCTCGAGAAACTGGAAACTGCCAATACTTTGACTCGAGGACTGGTCGGGGACGTTGAGTTCTTCGTTCTGCCCAATATACAGCCAAATCACACCTTCCTATTGACGTTGTTCTATCAGTCGTTGTCCCTGGTGCCATTGTTCCTGAGCCCAACTTTTGAGCGGTTAATCGGATCCATGACCTTGTGTGCATGGGCATCCTTCTTATTTGGTTGGCATGTTCACGAGAAAGCTATCATGCTGGTCATTATACCCTTCACTTTTTTGATTCCACGCGATCGTAAACTGCTTCCACTTTACGAAACCCTCACTGCCTCTGGCTATATTTCGTTATTCCCGCTTCTTTTTGGTTCTGCTGAATGGCTTTTCAAAGCACTGCTCACATTTGTGTGGTTTGTGATATTTTCTAACAGTTTCAATGAGGTTTGCGATTTCAGTTCCACATTGTCACGTCGTGTCTTCATATTGGATAGGCTCAACTTCCTCTACAGAGTGGGGCTTATTCCGTTGTCATGTGTGATACAGCTGCTTGACATACAGTCTAGGAATTTTAAAGTGTTACAGAGATTTGAGTTTTTGAGACTCATGGCATATAGCACCTACTGCGCTATTGGTGTGATCAGCTCCTGGAACATGTTCAGCTGGCTATATTTTCTCGATGATAGTTTGTGGGAGGGAAGAGAAGCCAAACAAAAAGCGCACTGAGTCGATATTTGCATTAATCATTTTATTATTCTATCAGGAACCATTTTCAAACTTGTGGTTGATGAAATCTTGAATTTTCGACAAACAGTCATAGTTCTCGTCAATCAACCTTGTCCAAAGCAGCATGTTCCTAATTGCATTCGCATCCTGACACTGAAGCGCACGCCATATATACATGAACACATAATCGGATATAGTAACCAATTGCATCTGGCTAGTAAAAGTGTCTTCCAACTTGTCCAAGTCGCTCAGGAAAAACAGTATTTCAGGACGTTTTTTCGGATAGTATTGGCCAAAGTTCAAGAGCAGGTCCAACAACACAGTGCCTTCATCTTTGAAAAGTTTCAACAGAAGCAATGCACCCAATTTGGGGCCGTCCTGCTCCACTTCGGGAATGCGAACCAGATCTGTGGTCAATTTTTTTGGCTCCTCTTCGACGGCTAGAGTTTCTTTCTGGCTATCAAAGAACAGCTCGCGCGCTTCAGGAAACTTTCCTAGTCCTCCAGATTGAATCAACCAACTCTGGAGCTCGATTCTGAATTTCTGGATGCTGCGCACACAAACCCCCTTGATCTTAAGTGACTTGAGCATTATGCAAATGACTTTTAAAGGAATCGCATATGAATTCTTGTCATCGCCCACCTCTCTCAACTGGTCAAACTGGTTTGACAAAAAGGTGTCGACAACAACGCTCTTCTCATGATCGGTCAAGATCAAAGGCCCTTTTCGACTGAAGGGGTATTCTGTTCGTCCCAAAGGAGAGTTCTTATCATTTTGTCTTCTTCCACGCTCCTCAATGAGTAAGTCGTGAAGATACGTGACCTGCCAGTGGTGATACTGTTGCATGCAAAGATGGCGTAGAAGTTTTAGTCTTGCGCCAGGGGTCATCAGAAGCTCGTCCATCATGGCAAAATAAAGACTTGGGTTTCGTTTTACCAAGACTTTGTAGTTGACCGAGTCGCAGACAACGTTGATTAGCTCCTCGGTTGAGATGGCGGGGTCATTCTCCTTCTGTAACAACTCATCTTCCGTCATCAAGCTCGCCTCATATTCGTACATGACGATCCATGCTACACTGCGCACCACCTTTTCGCAAGGACAAACGCGGTCTGTGTCGTCAAACACATAGTCGAGGTGGTCAAGCAATTCGTCCGGAGATGTGAAGAATATGTCCACGTCGTCTTGGGACCTATGCAAAAGCTCAACGAATTCGTCGGTCAGCTGTGTATTGGGTCCCCGCGGGATTTCTCGCAGGTCGTTTCCTAGCTCATCGAACTGGAGGGGAATTGGCGAATAATGAGGCTGGAGAATATCATCTGGCAAGAATGGATCTTTTTCATTTGACATGCCCTTGGAAGGATCGCCCAATGACTTTATGATAGCCTGTTGCCGTCTTCTACTCTCCATGTCGCAGGGGCAGCTTGGATGGAACTCGCAGTCGATATCAAAGTCAGAATCATTATCCGGATGGTGGGCAAAATATGGATCGTCCTTCACGTCTCTCGTCAGACTCAGCTCAAACATGTACATAACATCTTCGTCGTATCTATCATTCAGAATCAATTTTAGCGGCAGATTCTCGAAATCAATGCTACCAACGCGGGCCGGCAAGGTGTGGATGTCGTTCTTTTTCGCCAATGACCCGGTAATTGCTCGACGCCCAAGAGGTCGCATGAACGTGAACAGCGAGCTGTGTTCAAGATCGTGCTCATAGCGATCGTCTTTCGCTGTTATTGCGGCAGCCGTGACTGATCTCAAAGCAGCACATCCTTTGATCACTTGTCGCACAATCGGCGGATATCCTGGAAAGTTGAGCTTTTCGTCTCTGCGATCGACCTCCAAACCGTATATGATAACCTGGGTGATGTTTTCCCACAGTTGGAAGAAGAAGTCTGCGAACGGGTTATATGAGCCGTTGTCTGACCAGTGGTCGAGATCTTTGTATAGGAGATATATGCAGTAAACCGAAACTGTGGCGATGTTGTAGAGCAGTTTCAAGTCATGGAACCCATCCGCGAGGCTCGTTACACCAGAAAGTGTCTTATGCGGCGTCCAAATATGTAAGTTTTCCTGCCAGTGAGTATCGTCGTTGTTGACTTCTGCGAGTCTCTGGTAGTCCGAGCAGTTCAGTAAAACCGTTATCTTTTCAACTATGTTGGCTAATGAATAGGCAAGATCAAATCGAGGGGTCTTGGAGCGGGAGTGTGTGTTGTAGTTCAGCGCAATTACTGCGTCGGCAATCCGTTTGAGTGATAGTACGTGTTGGTAATTGTAGTCCATGTCGGAGGGCTGAGTATACACATCGCAAAAGCCTGCTAGCGACGCGAAAAGAGGCCAATGATCATATTGCGAGGGCCTCTTCGGGTTGTGGATCCGCAAAAGCTTGAACAAGGCAGAGTGTACTTTCACCGGGTCGAAGTTTACCACTTGGTGAGAAAAATCAAAATCGAACGTGTATTCTTCCTCGAAGAAATCATCGTATTCTTCGCCATCTGATGACTGTGATCCAGCGCTTGGTGATTCAGGTTCGTTGTGCCCCGTATTGGGAACAAACGACCGTGTAGATTTCTTACGTTTAGGCGGAATGGTGAATAAAAATGGTAGAAAAAATATTCACTCAAAATATTAATAATGATATAAACTTAATGTTGAATTAGAATATATATGTGTATATATATTTGTATGACCTAGTCTTTCTTATCAATGATATCCCGTTTTATAGCATCCAAAAATTCGCCGATGTCGCCCTTGTCCAACTGCTTGAGACCGCGTTTGGCCAGCTCGAAGTTCTCCTGGACCCGTCTATTGATCTCTTGCTGTTGCTTGAGGTTGCGCTCCTCTATTTCAAGCTTTCGGACATAAATAATATCGTCCCTGTAAGCCTCATTCCCTGGACTTGGGGGAGCCTTGAATGGCTTAAGTGACTGTAAGTAGCTTGTAGGTAAATTCAGCATCTCCAGATTGTGCTCCTGAGTGTCCAGAGAGCTGTGGGTCAAGATCCCCGCCGACTGACTTTTTTTATGAGCACTGTAGAATGGGTGGTAATTATCATCCAACTTCTTGCGTTTCAAGTCTTTATACTTCTTCAGATTATCCAAGATCGATGAGTTCTGGACCTTGGATTTCTTATATGCGTTCGGAGAAAATGACAAGGAAGGCGTGGCTGGGTGGTTGTGCTCTATAGGTTTCGTAAGCGGAAGGTGTCCGTTGAAAAACTGCTCCAGCAGCAGATCTTTCTCGCGGATGTTGTTGGTGCTTGGCACGCGTGGGAAGGTGGAAATGTAGTTTTTGCGAGTCTTCTTGGGGCGTTGCACGTCACCAGAGGACTCCTGGTCCACTGCATGCTCTGGCGCAGACTCTGGCGCGTTGGAGGCGCTGGAGGCGTTCCGGATGACCCAAGGACGAACGGATGACTTGAGGGTAAAAGATTTGCGGCTTGCAACTTTGAACATGGAAACAACTCAAAATGGTGTCAAAGGTGATATAATATATATATGATTTAGCTTTTGACCGATAAGAACCGGTGTGGGGAGGGAGGTAGGATAAATTTTACATTTCTTACAGTCAAGGTCGATCGACGCAAATAGTTTCCTCCCCTCATGTCTTCTACAGAAAAGCGACTTCTGAAGGAATACCGTTCTGTTCAGAAAGAGCTGGCCGACAAAAGGTCGTCAATTCACGACACGGGGATTGTCGACCTACATCCTTCCCAAGATGGGCTTTTCAAGTGGAGCGCTCTGATCAGAGGCCCAGATCAGTCGCCATTCGAAGACGCATTGTGGCGACTAGAAATCGATATCCCTACAAACTATCCCCTGGACCCTCCACAAATCAGGTTTGTGGTGTTTGGGGACGAGAAAATTGGACAGCTGCAGGCAAAAGCTGGTGCCGGTGCGCGCAAAGTATGCTATAAGATGCCCCATCCAAATATCAACTTCAAGACAGGAGAGATCTGTCTTGACATATTACAAAAGAAATGGTCGCCCGCATGGACTTTGCAAAGCGCACTGGTAGCGATAGTTGTATTGCTTGCAGATCCAGAGCCTTTAAGTCCACTCAACATTGACATGGCTAACCTGCTAAAATGTGATGACACGATAGCCTACAGAGACCTTGTGCGCTACTACATTGCCAAATACTCAGCATACGAATCGAATGATGTATAATTCACAGTGACATTTTAATTTGATTAACCTATTTCTTAGACTTTTCTTTCTCAGCTTGGTCCTTCAACACCTTCTTGACAATCTTTTGTTCTTCAATCAAGAAAGCTCTAATGATTCTCTCCTTGACACAGTTAGCACATCTGGAACCACCGTAAGATCTCGAGACAGTCTTGTGGGTCTTAGAAATGGAAGCGTATTGTCTTGGTCTGAGGGCAGCGACACCAGGAAGAGCAATTCCACAGTCACCACACTTTGGTCTGGTGCCGGACTTTTTCTGGTGTTGTGCGACAAGCTTTCCACCAGGAGTCTTGACCACCTTGATCTGGTTAGATCTGGTGTTGTATGGGTTTCTTCTTCTAAAAGTCACTCTCTGGGCCATGGCTGATGTTTAGAAAGAATTTTTGAAAAGTTTGAAAATTTTAATATACGTGAAACCCGGGTTTGTATCACGTGATGGCGCTTCTTAATTTTGGAGCCAGAGATTTTATTCGGCTATATACTTAGTTCTCCAACGCAACAACCTCCATCTCCACCTCGACGCCCAGTGGTAGCTGTTTCACAGCAACACAAGATCTAGCTGGCTTGTGAGAACTGAAATACTTGGAGTAGACCTCGTTGAAAGCTCCAAAGTTCTCCATGTCGGTAAGGAAGACGGTGACCTTGACGATCTTCTCGAGGGAAGAGTTGCTGTCCTTCAAAACACCCAGAACGTTTTGGATAACACGGTCGGACTTCTCCTGGAAGGTTCCTTCGACCCTTTTACCCTCAGGGGTGAATGGGATTTGACCGGAGACGTAGACAGTTCCGTTGGCTTTAATTGCATGCGAGTAGGAGGCAGCGGCTGGCGGAGCATTAGTAGAGATCACTGGAGTCAACGTAGAAGACATTCTTAGGAATTGGCTGGTATAAACAGGTTTAGTGGCAATTCTGGCAATGCTTGCAAATCTGTACATGGTTAAAAAGCTATTGGCTGCCAGAGATTACCATATGGCTATATCGGTACTGACACGACCGTCGATTTACTTGGATTCGACTCCTTCGACGATCTCGCCAGAGAGCGGCTGGCTAGCCTCGAGCTGCTGTCTGAGCAGTTTCTGTGCCTCGAAGTCCCGAGCGTTGGCTTGCTGCTTGGCATTCAGCTCTCTTTCGCGACGCCTCTGCATACGCTCCGCGTCCTTCACGGGGCCGTATTTCAGGTTCTGGAATTAGTAAACGCACGGTTTGTACTTACATCGTTCTCCTCCTCTGCAAACAAGTACACGCCGACGGTTGTGGCTGCGCAGAGCAGCGATGTCACTCCGAGCGTTATTTTGGAAGCTCTCGACATTATTGAAATTTTTTAGCACAGCCAGATACAGGCTTTTATATGGCCGATTGCAAGCGACGTTGCAACGATAACGGCCCATCGGCGCATTAACGGCTGTATTTTGGGACGTTGACGGTAGCACGGCTTTCTGCACGCTTTTCTGATCAAAGTAGCCAAACGTTTCCCTTATCGACCACGCGTTGCAAACTCCGCCGTGTCGAATGTTTACACCTGTATATGTAGTAGCCACGGGCAGGTCCGACTCCCAACCTCTAAGCTCCTTCAAGTAGCCCTCAGAGCCACAAAATGCTCGAGACACTCTGGCAGCGTGTATTTCTATTCTGTGCGTATATCGTCCGCATTGAGGAATTTGTCCATTTCTCTCATACCCAATAATATTAATTAATAACAGAATAAGCGTACGAATCTCATTTGCTTATGTTGAATAATTACAACAATCCCACGCCGCAGCCCATCGAGCAATACCAGGACCAGGCGCAGCACCAATACCACCAGGATGTCCAGTCGTCCTCGTATACAAGCATCACATCGCCGTCCAACTTCGTCAGCTATCACAGTCCGTCAGCGAACCCGCCCCCAGCGTTTGTTCACCGCAACTCGTTTTCCAGCAGGTCCAACTCGACAGACGGGTCGTCCTTGAATATCCGTCAGGGATCTGTAGGCTCGATTTCCGGACTGCCTCAATCTTCGTTCCTGGCGTCCTCTTCCTCTCACATTGCCCCGGCAGGACGCAGATCGCTGCTCACTACCAAACTACAGCAACAGCAAGACCAATCCTCTCCTTCTGCGCAACAGCTCACTCATTTCGGACAGCACGCGTCAAACCTCCCTTCTCACGTGAGCTCCTCCTACCACGACAAGTTCACGCCTACCTCATTACAGATGAGCCAGCTAGGGTCTATGCCGCAGCACATGTCCACCCAATTTGGGTCGTTTGGGAACTCGGGCTTCCCTCCTCATCCAGCCCCGGCCACTGCAACTACCACCATCTCTAAAGACATTGCGTTTTCCACTAATTCTTCCTCTAGCACCTTATATCAAGACGCACAACAGTCTATCAACACACCCACCAACGATCCCCACAGGCCGCACTTCATCTCTGCATCGGCCCCCACTCAAACATACTTCCCATCGTCCTCCTTCCCTAGAAGCTCAATTGATCACCATCACCAACAGTTCCAGCAGAACCTGCCTCACTCTCAGTTTTCCTCAACTTCACTTTCGAGGCATCCGGATCACGTGCCACTGAACCCAATGTCCCATGTCAGAAACGACGACCATCTGGACATTCCTAATCACCCGGTGAACGACCTCCTGCTAATGCTGTCTGCGCTGTTACAGAAAATTGTGGAAGCCAACGACTCGCTCCATCCCGATCACTACAACAGCCAGGATAACCAGATACAGACCGGGGGTGAGCAGAACAAGTACACCACGAACGTGCTGGCGTTCCACGGCCGCAACATTCCTGCCATCTCGCTTCACGCCTATCTCACGAGAATATCTAAATACTGTCCCGTGACAAACGAGGTTTTTCTGAGCTTACTGGTATACTTTGATCGGATCGCCAAGCGCGCAAACAACGGCGACTTTAATTCAACTTTCACTTCTTCTCCAAAGGCGGGCTTTGAGGATCCAAATGCTAAACAGCAGCTGTTTGTCATGGACAGCTACAACATCCACAGACTCATCATTTCTGGGATCACAGTGGCATCCAAGTTCTTTAGCGATGTCTTCTACAAAAACTCTAGATACGCAAAAGTCGGCGGCCTGCCCCTCGAGGAACTAAACCATTTGGAGCTGCAGTTCTTGCTACTGCTGGATTTCAAGCTCATGATCCAGGTAGAAGAAATGCATCGGTACGGTGACCTGCTGATGAAGTTCTGGAAGCGCGAACAGCTGAAGTTGTCACAACTACGCGAGCAATGATTATCCAAACAGTCCGTATAATATTGGTCGTGCACGGCCTCGTGCAACGGTGACTAAATAAGAAAAAATTTTGGAATTTTCACCGTAGCTCCAACCGTTATGGATTTAGTTAATCACCTCACGGACAGACTGCTGTTTGCGGTCCCAAAGAGTAAGTCAGGCCAACATAGCGAGGCTACTAACACCACTAGAGGGAAGACTGTACGAGAAATGTGTTAATTTACTCAAAGGATCCGACATCCAATTTAATAGATCTAGCAGACTCGACATCGCTCTGTGCACAAACCTCCCAATTGCGCTCATATTTCTACCAGCAGCTGACATACCCACCTTCGTTGGAGAAGGTCGCTGTTCGATTGGAATCACAGGCGTCGATCAAGTGAAGGAGAGCGACGTTGACGTCGACATCGCCATGGATCTCTTGTTCGGAAGATGCAAGTTACAAGTCCAGGTCCCGGAAAACGGGCCGTACGAGAAACCTGAACAACTTATTGGAAAGACCATTGTTTCCTCGTTTACAAACCTCACTAGACAGTATTTCGAGGAGCTGGAAGGTGTCAGACCAGGAGAGCCACTCAAAACCAAAATCAAGTTTGTTGGCGGCTCTGTCGAGGCAAGTTGCGCTTTGGGTGTTGGTGACGCCATTGTTGACCTTGTTGAGAGCGGCGAGACCATGAAAGCTGCAGGGTTGCACGCAATTGGTACCATTTTGAACACATCCGCACACCTGATCATCTCTAGAAACCCATCCCACCCTGAGCTTGTCGAAGTGATTAAATCGCGTCTCGAAGGTGTTTTGGCTGCTCAGCGCTACGTGCTGTGCAATTACAACGCTCCAAGATCGATGCTTCCAAGCCTGCTCAAGTTGACTCCGGGAAGACGTGCTGCCACCGTTTCTCCCCTCGACGACGGTGAATGGGTTGCTGTCTCATCGATGGTGGAACGTAAGGACATGGGAAACATCATGGACAAGCTCAAAGAGCTGGGAGCGTCGGATATCCTTGTCTTCGAGATCTCCAACTGTAGAGTTTAGAGCTATGTGGTGTAGAGGTGTTAGATTAATTTACTATTGAATGAATTGGGCTGAGCCAGTTTCTACAAATTATATTAGCCAGATTTACACCAAGTTTGTTTGCGACAGCGAACTGAAGCATGACCATACGCCGAGAGGCTCTCTGATAAAGATACGCAACCTCTATTTGATAATCATACTCTCAATTAGAAGTTCTTTTACAAAACCATAAGCTTTCGGAATTAATCTCTCTGGAGTTCGATGAGCATCCCTAACTCTGGAGATACGTCTAGGACTAATTCAATTATTGATTTTGCCAAAACTAGGATTCCAAGCGGCAGAACAGAAGCTACCACATCTGGTCCCAGCTCAGCACGCCATCAATCAAGACAACAAAGTTTGAACCAGTACACGCTGGACAAGGACTTTGAGGACACGTTGAATGTTGCATTAGAAAACATCGATTTGAACCCCTTTATAGACAAAAGTGTCCACCAAGCAACAGATAATACAGACGCATATTCGCTCAAAAGCCTGAATAAAATGAATACGCACTCATATGGTTACGGACTTGACGACGGCGATATCCCGTTGATCCCATCCAATGACTCCAATTCTGATCCTCACAGCTCCCGCCCTTCTTCTAAAGCAGACTCGAGAACCATCTGGAGCAAAGGAGTCCAGTCACTGATTCATTCATCCAACCGACTCGTCCTAGGATCCGGGAATAAGAAAAAGGGCATCCATCTGCCCTCGGAAGATTCGACCACCAACAGCATCAATCTTGGCGACGAACGCACTATCATACCGCATATGGACGGCGGATACTCTTCCAACGCGGTTTCGAATGCCAAATACAATGCATTCTCGTTCTTCCCAATGATCCTTTATGAGCAGTTCAAATTCTTTTTCAACCTGTATTTCCTGCTCGTTGCGCTCTCGCAGGCTATTCCCGCGCTCCGAATCGGCTATTTATCTTCTTATATTGTTCCGTTAGCATTTGTGTTGGCTGTGACGATGTTGAAGGAAGCCATTGACGACATACAAAGACGTCGCCGAGATATGGAGCAAAATAATGAGCTTTACGAGGTGCTCGGATCCATGAAAAAAGTCCCTGCCAAAAATCTCAAATGCGGAGATCTGGTCAAGCTCTACAAGGACAGAAGAGTGCCCGCAGATATGATCCTTCTCCAATCGTCTGAATCTAATGGGGAATCCTTCATCAAAACAGATCAGCTGGACGGTGAAACCGATTGGAAGTTGAGAATCGCATGTCCCTTGACTCAGAATCTCTCTGAAGACGATCTGGAGCTTATCAAGGTTACCGCATCTCCACCGTCAAAACACATCCACTCGTTTTTGGGCAAGCTCACGTTTGGCGACCACACCTCGGCATTAAACATTGACAACACAATGTGGGCAAACACTGTTCTTGCGTCTGGAACGGCCATAGGTTTTGTTGTGTACACCGGCAAAGATACACGTCAATCGATGAATACTTCTGTTGCTGGCGTCAAAACTGGCCTACTTGAATTGGAGATCAATAATTTGTCCAAGATTCTGTGTGCGTGCGTGTTTATATTGTCCTTTGTATTGGTTGCTTGTCAAGGTTTTGCAAGCGACTGGTATGTGGACGTGATGCGCTTCTTGATCCTGTTTTCCACAATTATTCCGGTGTCGCTAAGAGTGAATCTTGATCTGGGAAAATCTGTGTATGCATACCAAATCGAGCACGACAAGTCAATTCCAGAAACTGTGGTTCGTACTAGCACCATTCCGGAGGATCTTGGGCGCATTGAATATTTGTTGAGCGACAAGACAGGTACTTTGACCCAAAATGATATGGAGCTGAAAAAGCTGCACTTGGGAACAGTCTCCTACGCGGGAGACAGTATGGATTTGGTTGCAGATTATGTTCGCAACGCAAACGAGCACGCCAAAACATCGAGAAGGGATCTTGGCTCAAGAATCAGAGACCTGATTACCACCCTCGCAATTTGTCACAATGTCACTCCTACATATGAAGACGGAGAGCTTGACTACCAGGCTGCCTCTCCCGATGAGATTGCCATTGTCAAGTACACAAAGAGCGTCGGACTATCTCTGGTGAAACGTGACCGCACAAGCCTCTCCATTTTGCACGAGGCCACCAACAAAACGTTCGATTATGATATCCTTCAAGTATTCCCATTCAGTTCAGAGACTAAACGGATGGGGATCATTGTGCATGATAAAAACCGAGAGGAGCTCTGGTTTTTGGAAAAGGGCGCAGACACCGTGATGACGAAGATTGTGCAGCAGAATGACTGGCTGGAAGAAGAAACGGGAAACATGGCACGTGAGGGCTTGCGGACTCTAGTCATTGCTCGTAAACGACTCACCACGAATGTCTACGAGGAATTCAAGGCTAAATACGAAGACGCAAGCTTGTCTATGTTGAATAGAGACCAGGCTATGTCTAAAGTTCTTGCACAGTACTTGGAACGTGACCTGGAATTGCTTGGACTCACAGGCGTGGAAGATAAATTGCAGAAGGATGTCAAGGCCTCGATTGAGCTTTTGAGAAACGCTGGTGTCAAGATCTGGATGCTCACGGGTGACAAGGTCGAGACTGCCCGTTGTGTTGCTGTGAGCGCAAAGCTAATTTCCAGAGGACAGTACATCCACACCATAACTAAGCTCAGCCGCCCTGAATACGCTCTTCAACAAATCGAATATCTTCGCACAAACAAAGATGCATGCTTATTGATCGACGGAGAATCACTTGGCGTGTATTTGACATATTTCAAGCAGGAATTTTTCGACATCGTTGTCCATCTACCGGCTGTGGTAGCCTGTCGTTGCTCGCCTCAGCAAAAGGCCGATGTGGCTTTGCTGATTCGCGATGCCACCAAGAAAAGAGTCTGCTGTATTGGTGATGGAGGCAACGACGTTAGTATGATCCAGTGTGCCGATGTGGGTGTCGGAATTGTTGGAAAGGAGGGAAAACAGGCATCACTAGCTGCTGACTTCTCAGTGACTCAATTCTGCCACCTGACAAAGCTACTCCTTTGGCATGGCAGAAACTCGTACAAGCGCAGTGCGAAGCTGGCACAATTTGTGATTCACAGAGGACTCATCATTTCTGTTTGTCAGGCAGTTTATTCCATCAGCTCCTCGTTCGAGCCTCTTGCACTCTACCAAGGATTTCTCATGGTTGGGTATGCCACCTGCTACACCATGGCTCCGGTTTTCTCTTTGGTTTTAGACTCTGATGTGAGTGAGAATTTGGTGTCGTTGTACCCGGAGCTCTATAAAGAGCTGACCGCTGGACGCTCGCTGTCATATCGCACCTTCTTCGTTTGGGTGTTTGTGTCCCTGTACCAGGGAGTAGTGATCCAAGGGTCTTCTCAAACATATGTTGGACTGAGCACAGATGTGTTCACCAAAATGGTGGCTGTCAGTTTCACTGCTTTAGTGCTGAATGAGCTGGCCATGGTTGCTATTGAAATCAATAAATGGAACAAAGTGATGATGTTCAGCGAGATCATTACTTTGGCGATCTACATCGGGTCTATCCCTTTCTTGTCCGATTACTACGATATGAATTATGTTAAAAGCGTCTCGTTCCTCTGGCAGACTTCCTCAATTTTGGCCATATCGTTGCTTCCTATTTGGGCAGCCAAAGCCATCAATAGGAAACTGAGACCGCCAAACTACGCCAAAGTGCAACAGACATAAACTCCTCACTGTGCATCCTCATCATCGCTGTCGTCCTCATCTTTCCATTGTTTGGATGTCTTCCTTCTCTGGAAATCTTTGATGTGCGCGCTATTGAGCATTCTGGAGATTTGGCCGATAACAGTGTTTCTGCGAAGAGATTCTGCGGCAGCTTCATCTACGCGTTCTGCTTCTGCAGCCGTCGGTTCGCTAGGAGCTGTGGCCTTTCTAACAATAATAGGATACGGCAGCGGCAATTCCCTCGATGCCCTAGCAAGATGAACGTTTGTGGCATGCTCATTTTCCATTCTGAAGAATATCCAGATAAAACGTCTAATGATCTCTGCCAGAGCAATGAAAAAACTAGTCACTGCTGACTGTTGGATCTGTGTCTTGAAGAAAGCATAGAAGATCCACTGAAAACGCAGAATAACATCCGTCACCATGGCCGTATAATAATACCATTTGTTCTCAAAGATCAAATGATCTCTGAGTAGATAATTGTGCGAGTCAAATTGTAAAAGTGACCAGTCCATGAAGATATCCCACATGGACGAGTAAACGGAATTGATTGTCGCGAACGTGATCAATAATGCTCTGTACTTGGTCACGGTCTCGATACGATACAGACTCAGGGACATGTAGTAGAGAATTGAGCCGGTATATTTCGCCATGTTGGCTAAATGAGGGAACCACTCGCCAGTATCCGCGTATCTCCTGAAGCACTGTAAAAATCTCCAAATGCTAGGCAAAGTTGACAAAAACCCAAGCAATCTTGATCTTGAAGAGCCGCACTTTGTCGTTCCAGAACCGTCCAAGCACCCTTGCCAGTGAGTGGCGTACAAGCAGAAAAACATCGACAAATTGGAAATCGAGTACGTTAGGGAGCACAAAACGTCTCCAAGAAAAAAGTCTCTAAATTCCACCGGGTAGAGTCCTGAAAGGATAAGTCTGAAAAATGAGGATAGTAGCCATGTGCGAGAATTCAAAAACAGGATGTCGAATGGGCACACAAGAATGAGTGCACAGACTCCAAGATAGATCCAGGGCCAATTCCTGCCATCAAATGTATTGCTCCAGAAATTCTCAAAACTGAACCAGGCTAAAACGCATCCGAGAAAGAAGAAGACAGATGACATAGCAAAAAACTGACGGTAGTCCAGAGCATCTCTTGGATTGAACTCAAATATGAATTTATAGTTCACTTTGTAAATACTCCAAACGTAGCAGTTAATGGAAAACAACAGGCCCATCAGGCAGCAAAAAAAGAAGCCACCCCAGATCTGCAACAAAAACCTTCCTTCTGGTAGTTCACCTATCTTCATCTTATGCAATGCCAAATAAATAGTGTAAGCGAATACAGGTATGGCAAACCCAAGCAAGAAAGACCCTGAGAACGTGGAGATGTAGTACTGTTTCTCAGCTTCGTTGGATCGCAATTTTGTCAAAGCCACCTTGCGGTTCCCATTTTCAAAGACATCCGTAAATATTGTTTCTATCTTTGCCATCAGATTGTCTAAGAGGTCGGAAGTGACAAAATAAGAGCTGTCGACCTTGCGCATGTATATTGGAAGAATGTTGTCATCTGTTGCCTTGTCATATTTCTTGATGAGCTTGCGGAAAGCGGTACGGTTCAACACTTTGTACGATTTGAGGAGCTCCATTGAACGGTAAAGCTCATAAATAGCCTTTTTGAGTGTCTTTCTTGCTGAATAGTATGGTATTGCCGGCTGTGCGGATTGGCGTCGTCTATAATCGCGCCTGTTGTCGTAAACCTGTTCTCTGTCTTCGTCATAATACTGCTTTTCAGCGGACCCATTTTCTCTGAGCCATTCGAACTTTGGAAGGGAAGGAGTGTCAAATTTGTTGATTATTCTGAATTTGCGTTTGGTCAAGTAAGCAACAAACCAGAAATTGCTATGTATGGCACGAGTCATAGCACCCTCCTCATCAGACGATTCCTCGTAAGAGTGCATCGTGCTAGTATCTGACGAATGGCGTCCTTCGATCGGAACTGACGATACTGTGGACACCACGTTGTTATCAGGGCCTTTGCGTTTTTTACGCAGGTCACGGAGTCTGGAAAGCTTGTGGGTTGATCTTTGTTTCTGCTGGTTGAGTTGAACAACTTGATCCTGCAAAACAAGAAACCGGTCCAAGCATGCATCCTCCCGTTCCCTATAGAACCTCTCAACTTTATCAAACTCCGAATTGACCCACCCAATGAAATCCTCGCGAGCAGACCGTGCCAATCCCTCCATTTCGGTACCAGTAGCAGGACTTGTATTGAGTGAGTGAACTCTCTTGAGGTTCACAATGAAACGCGATACCGTCGATTGGTGCCTCGAAATTTGTCCTGCAAGTTTCGGTGATTCCTTTATACTACCTGTGCTAAGTTTTGGGTCATCACTGGATAACAACGGAGTGGTATCGCTAACTTTACGAGGAAGCGTCTCTGGAGAAGATGATTTGCGGTCTGAGGGAAGCAAAGCTGGAGAGGGCAATTTGAAGGACTGCAAACGCTCAATTCCTGGATCTTCAGTATGGAGAGCGCTACTATAAACAGGCTTTTGCGCATCAGAGGATGGAGACTCTGCCCATGTGCCCTGATCTCGATGTTCAGATGCATTGTTTCTGCCTTGCGTCAGAGAGCTTTTCAATATGCTTGGTTTCTTGCTAAGCTTCTTGAGCTTCTTCTTCCCCTTTTTGTAATCCAGGTACTGAGATTGCCACTCAGGCACCCGGTGCTCTGCAAGATCTTGCCCAAACTTCATGCAATTAATTATTAAATAAGCAATAATATTAAATTACATAGCCATACATCCCTGCACCTTTTGATGGATCACATTACAGCTGCCTACCGTTACTATCGTGTATAAGGTTTTTGAACAAAGTACTCTCTGTAGAGGCCACATCGCGCGTCCTTCCCACGTCTTTTATCTCGCCTTCAGGTGTATATATCCAGCTGGCCGTTTTGGCAATACAGACTTTCCCCTGGCAACCGCACTTTGAGCTGCGCGTCAGATCTGAGACGTGGTCGGCGAGTATAAGAGACGGGTGGGATGGTGGAAGGCGAGGCGGGGCCTTATTCTCTTCTGGAGGAATGTATATGTTATCCTTGATATACCGGATCTTAGTTGCTTCCATGCTATCAGTGATAAAATCTCAAAACAGTCGTTCGACTGACTATATATTAAAAAAAGACGCTCTGCGGCGCTGCGGCGGCGCGCTTTTTTTTATACTATTCCTCAAAAGAGAAATCGCGACCAAACACTGCTGCGGCACATCAGTTACTGATTCACCGCTTCAGCCATAGTCACCAGACGTCTCACACCCACCATCCAGTCACCGCACTCGCCAACGTGCTCCAGGGCTATTTGATTTTGCAAGGCTGCTGCCGTCGCGTAATCGGATTTGGCCATGGCCTCACATAGTGACACTAGCTCTTGGATCGTTTGCTGGCTCAGCAAGTCCTCGTTATTCAGATGATCGAACAGAATATTGATTCTCTTTTCGGAGTCAGCCAGATGCTTAGAAAATTTGTCTGGAATTTTGGTTTTCAGCTTCTCCAGCTCACTCGTCAAGACCTGGTAGATAGGCTGCGCCGACTCAGGAATATGTGATCTATCTCCCGGAGGGTATTTGGGCGCTGGTGGTGCTGGTGGTGCTGGAGACGCTGCCGGGGTTTGTGCTTTGAGTGAAGGTGGAGGTGGCGGCACGGATTCTGTGTGGCTGTAAGCCGAAGGCACAGTCTGACCGGCAGCAGGAGGGATGATGTTGGTCACCGGGGGTGGGATTATGTTGCTGGCGGCAGACGGAATTCCTGGAGCCGGAGCCGCAACCTCTGTCTGCTTTGGAGCATATGGGTTCCTTGGGGGTGGGGGCATAGCAGCACTCATACCAGGGGAAGCAACTGCAGGTAGTCCTGCGTAAATCTTAGGAGAAGCCTGAGGAATTTTAGCAGGTTCCGCAGCCTGGTTGTTCACTTTGGGTGCGTATGGGTTAAAAGGAGTATTTCTGCCACTTGATGGGGTAGATAGCTCGGCCTTTCCTGCTAGCTGAGGTGATTGCACGGCAGAGCTCGCTGGTCCGTATTTATTGGATCTAGGAGGCTGATGCACGTTGCTTGCAGGGGGTGGTGGAGTGGTCTTGGTCACCGAGGTACTGCTCAGAGTACGAGGAGGAGGTGGCACTCCAAATTGCTGAGACGGGGTTCTCGAGATAGGAGGCGTGTTGTTCTGTTCCTGCATGGCATGGAAGTTGTATGCTGAAGGAACGGACGGAACAGAAGTCTTCCTGGCCGGTTGCGAGCTCAGAGTACTAGGCAAGTCATTCCAGCCTCCAACGTCTTTTCTAATGGTCGTCTTAGGAGGAGGTGGTGGAGTCATGGATGATGCCAGAGACGGATGTCCGGGCTGTGGAGACTTTTGCAGTTTCAGTGAGTCTAGTGCTGTTCTTGGTGCGTATGGATTAGTTGCCAGACCCGCTGGCGCCGCTGCGGGCACCTTAGAGGGAACTGGAGTTGCAACCGATCCAGAACGCGATGCGGCAGCACTATATGGATTGAATGGTGTAGCCTGGCTGGCTGGGTTGGTGTGCGGACTGACACCAGTACCATTCGCTGGAACAGCGGGTGTACCAGGGGTGTACCCTTGTGCTTGAGGAGCAGCATAAGGAGATGCTTGTGAAATGCCGCCATATGCCTTTGGTTTAACGGCGTTTTGCTTTTTGCTGAGAGACTTTGAAATACGCTCCTTCTCCAGCTTCATGCCAGGTACAGTGTCTGGTATTTTTCCCAAAATCTTGCAGGCCAAATCAAAGTGTCCGTTGTTTACAAGAGCCTCGGCGTATTCTCTGTAGGCATAACCCAAACCTTCCAGGCTTTCTGGCGAGGAGCGGATTGTGGCAAGATTGGTGGATTGGTATGCCAAAACTTTCTCAATGGTTTCCTCTAAAGCTTTGAAACGAGCATCTGCCGGAGTGCTTGTATCATCCTTTAGCTTCAAGAAGAAAGACTCCAGATCTTCCAACTCGGAGACCCAGAAAGCCGAAACTTTATCTAATGCGTCACCGGCAATGTAGCATGCGATAGCATTGTCTCGGGCATCTGGGCTCTTGGACGCTAAGAGTCTATCTCCCAACTTGACAAAATTATCGCTGAACTCTGGTTTTCCTTCAGAATGAGCCAAAACAGAACTTGCTATCGCCTTCCAAGAAGAAATGTCTGCGTTTTGAACAATGTCTCCGACGTTTCCGTTCGACACACTGTACAGCACTCTAGCCAATGTTGACTTGGACGAGTACTTGGAGAAATACGCATTTTTCACCTTCTTTTTCATGCTTTCAGAGCCATTGAGTGCAATAACAAGCGCCTCCAGTATGTGGTCGTCTTCGATACATTGCTCGAGAGCTTCTTCGTTCTTTCCTGCCAGTAGTTTTTCTGCTGTCTGGCCCTCAAATGATCCATCATTAGCCAATGTAAACTCGCCACTTGGAACAAAATCGGCCACGATGTTCTTTTCTTTTCCAAGCGAGGCAAAGAAATCCTCATCATCGACAGAGGTCTCGTCAGCTGTTCTTTTGTCCTCGTCATTCTTCTCTTCGGGAACCAGTTTTCTTATAAGAGAAAGTTTTCCATTGTCGATTAGATCACGCAAGGCAATCCAGTCATTGCTTCCTGTGTATTTCTCGGCTGCCTCGGCTCTTGCTTCACAAAGTTGTTTAAAGTCACTATTTTGGATTGCGGAATCCAACTTCTCGGCAGCTTCCTCGACTGCTTTGCTTGCTTTGAACTCGGAAATCTTGATATACGATCCTTTCTGTTCGTTCTTGGTAATAACTACCTTTCCTCCGAAACCAAATGTTGCAGAAACTGGTCTCTGTAACCAGGTAGGGGCCTGTTTCACCTCAAAAACAGGCTGTTGAGTGTCAGTAGAGGACAGCTGGTTCCAGAAGTCATCCTCGTTAGCAGAGTTAACTTTAGCAGACACAGGTGGTGAAGTGTCTTGCAACGACTGCACTAGTATTTTTTTGTCTAACGATGCACTAGCAAACACTTCAGGAAGTTGGGGAGCGAACTTGGTCTCATGAACCCAGTTAGGCAGCGATGGATATTCGCAAAGTTTTTGGCCAGTAAGAGGGTTCCACAAAATGGTAGAATCGTCTTTTCCACTCGAAAGCAGTAAGCTGGGATCCTGTTTACACCAGTCAAGTGACAAAACACCCTTTCTATGTCCTTTCAAAACCAGCTCAGGAGTTGTATGTTTTCTAAGGTCCCATGTCAAAATAACCGGGGCGCCGTCGGAGTCAGAGGCAGTAACAAGTTTTGTACTCTCTGTTGGGTGCCATTCAACCACCGACAAGTTTGATCCAGAGTAACTCAGTTGAAGCACTTCTCTTTTGGCTTTGAGTTCCCAAATCGATGTGTAGCTGGTATTTCCCGCAGATGCAAAAATGTGCGATTGGCTGTTGTTCCACGAGAACGAGGAAATTTTGTCCATTGGCGACATTGCCTGTCCGGGCGAAACCGACGACCCTTTGTTTGTATCCCAGATAAAAATTTCGCCCTTGGTTCCAGAAGAACCAAGGATGTGGCCTTGTAAGGGATTGAATTTCACCTGTAGAGTAGATTCGGTGTGTTTCTGATATTCAGCCACTGAGCTTGCTGCAAGGTCTGAATTGTCAAGCAAAGAGCCAGAGTTCCAAAGCTGGATACTTCCATTCTCAAAGGCACCAGCAAGAAGCCCTCTTTCGTACTTTTCAGACGGTTTGCTCCATGCCAGCGAAGTGAACTTGTTGTCAAGAGAGAATTTGGCCAATGGTACGTCCTTGCTGAAAACATCCCATATTTGCAATGCGGATTCCGAAGAGAATGTTTCGTCCATGGCACCTGCCAATGTTCCAGTGGCTATCAACGGCATTGAATCATATGACCAGGCAAAAGTTGCCGTTTCGGCGACTTCCCTCAATTTGACCATGGTTGGAGATCAAAATCAGTTGGAAGTGTGAAATAAACAGGGTCTAGAGGCAATTGTACAGAAAATTATAGCGGGTGACAATGCAGTGCGTGAAGTAGAGTCTGAGAGGATGAAATGCCGAATATGGAGGGTGTATTTCAGATTCGGTTAGGAGGCCTCGCTTTTGATGATCTTAAAATCGTGTTTACAATTTTTCGAACAACTCATCCGCACACGCCTGGAGATTATTTGTTGGCGCACGATCGATCTTGTGGCTAGTGGAAAGTTTTCAAACTTCGTTGAGGATCAAATATGGAGAAGCCCGAACAAAGACCGCTCGACGACGACGAGCCAGACGAATGGTATGGATGCCATCTGGTGCTACTAACTACAGGGACAAACGGATTATCAAAACTGGCTGCGCAGGTAAGTACGAATCGTTTCAATTGCTGACAATCAGAGGAGAACTTAAAATTGCAGCTTTGCCATGCTGACACAAATGATTGGAGACAGTGTGTGAAGGAGGTACGTGTCGCTGATAAAGTACTAACAACTAGATGGCAGCATTCCGTAAATGCTGGGAAGCAAACATGAACAACGAAAGAACCAGAACCGTGAACAATACTGAAGGCTGGGATACAAAATGAACATAGCTCGTATAAGATAAAGAAGCTCTGTATATAGTAATCAGAATATTTTGGGATTTTTTTTATTTTTTTCCCTTTTATTTATTTTATATGGAGGAAGTGCAAGACCTCGCAGCGGCGAGAGTCCGATCTCTGGCGAAGGTCAAGCGCGTATGGCACAACATCATTCAAAAGTATTCCTCGCTGGGCGAGGACGAACAGGGTGATGTTTTGGATATGAGGACAGGGGACATTGTCCAGGATGTTGGCCACCTCCGATCCATGCGCGATTCCACCACAGTCAAAGGTGAAGTGTGGAATAGTCTCATCGAGTTGGAACGCAATAGGAGCCCCAAGAGTGAGAAAATACGTCGCAACTCAGGAGACTTGATACCGTCAAGTCCTTCTAAAAAAGCAAGGAACTCAAGTGGTAATTCCGCATTCACATCAATACTCATAGCAAGCGATTCTGAGGACGACGTGACGCAGTTTTTCGACTCTTATAGGAGCTCACCGCGTCGCACAACGCGTTCCTCCATCGCTCAAAAGGACAATCTTTCGGTCGTGCCGTGTCCCGATACGAACGCGTCTCCGCTTACGCCAATTCGCAAAATGAGACGACCCAAATCCATTGGTGAAGACCCGCTGCGCTTATCCCCACCGGCATACAATCTTGACGAAAACTACAAAATGTCGAGAAGATCGCTATTCAAGACCAAACCTGAAAATTCCGAAGGCCCGCTCATAACTCCGTCCAAAGTGCGTCGGTTCAAGGCTGCGCTTGCTCGCAAATCTGATGAGTCCGGAAACACTCGCTTGAAACGTTTGCTTTGGCTAAACAAACAAAGAAAAGTGTGAACGCATCACAACAACCAAGGTGTCGCGCGACACGGCATGGCATTTGCACAGCCCTTGAAGCTAAAATAATTTCTAGAAAAACTGGGGACCTCAAAATAAATAGTCCCAATCAACTCTTTACATTCACACGAAAATGAGCCGCTCCCAGGTGTACTTCGACGTTTCTATCGGAGGTGAAACCGCAGGTCGTATTGTCTTCGAGCTTTTCAATGACATTGTTCCGAAGACGGCTGAGAACTTCAGAGCACTCGCTACTGGAGAACCAGGCTTTGGTTACAAGGGATCTATTTTCCACCGTGTGATCAAAAGCTTCATGATCCAGGGTGGAGATTTCACAAACTTTGATGGCACGGGCGGTAAGTCAATATATGGCGAAAAGTTCGAAGACGAGAATTTCGAACTGAAACATGACAAACCATTCTTGCTTTCCATGGCCAATGCTGGAAAGAACACCAACGGATCACAATTCTTCATCACTACAGTTCCAACACCGCATTTAGATGGTAAGCATGTGGTGTTTGGTAAGGTGATAGCAGGAAAATCTGTGGTTAGGATGATCGAAAACACAGAAACAGACTCTGGTGACAAACCTCAACTCGAATGTAAGATCGAAGCATGCGGAGAACTCAAGCCTGGCGAACCACTGAAACTTGACGATGGCACGGGTGATCCATACGATGAGTTTTTAGAGGACGAGGAATCAGTTGATATCAACAACCCTGAATCCGTTTTCAAGGCTATTGAGGATATCAAGGCTATTGGTACCAAATTTTTCAAAGAAGGGGATATGAGTACCGCTTTCAAGAAGTACAAGAAAGCAGTCTCTTATCTCGAATCCTACTTCCCTGATGATTTGCCTGAATCAGAGATCGAGAAGCTGAACAGACTCAAATGTTCCTGCTATTTGAACGCTTCTCTAGCTGCATTGAAATTGAAAAAGGTTCAAGAATGTATCAAGTATTCTACTGAAGCATTCGAGGCGGAGAATGCTGACGTTCAATCCAAAGCTAAAGCTCTTTTCCGTCGCGGAAGCGCAAAACTGATTGGCCATAACCAAGAGGATGCTATCGCTGATTTCGAGGAAGCAAGCAATCTTGCACCAGAGGATGGGGCTATAAAGAAGGCTATTGTGGATGCAAAGAAGAGCCTAAAAGAAAGACTAGCCAAGGAGAGAGCTGCATATAGCAAGTTCTTCAAATAAATAGATAGATAATAATGGATAATGACTTTAACGTCGGTGCAAGGGCGCGTTGTGAGCCCGTGGATTTTTCGAAAGTTCGCCACTTTTCATCGAAAGGGAAAAAATAATTGAAAACATAACCTACTACTTTATTACTTCCTTTTGGCAAAACGTTAGGGCCAACTGGGTTATAATAGCGGCGGATTCAGAACATTGGTAACATATCGCCTTTAATCACTATATTGCACTCATTCAGTTGATCGTTGCAATAGATACAAGTAATAAAAAATTTCAATTTTCCGGTCGCCATCTTGATAGGAAATTGAACAACGGACAATCAGTGGGTTTCAAATACACGAACTAGTGGTATTTGTCCATTTTCTTTTCACTACCCTGTATTATACGTTAGCTAACTCAAAACACAACAAAAACATATTAATAAAACCAAAAAACAACATCGTCATATAAAAATGAGTAAGTTTCCTTATTCGAGCGCTCCTTTGCGCACTGTTCAAGAAGTCCAGTTTGGCTTGTTGTCGCCAGAGGAAATTCGGGCTATTTCTGTTGCCAAAATAGAATATCCAGAGATTATGGATCCGACCACTAATAAACCTAGGGAAAATGGCTTAAACGATCCTCGACTCGGTTCAATAGATAGGAACTTCAGATGTCAGACATGCTCGGAGGACATGCAGGAGTGTCCTGGACATTTTGGCCATATTGAGCTTGCCAAGCCTGTGTTTCACATTGGTTTTGTGTCTAGGATCAAGAAAGTCTGCGAGTGTGTTTGCATGAACTGTGGTAAAATCTTGCTGGACGAGGCCACAAATCCGCAGTTTGCGGCTGCTATTAAAATCAGAGACCCTAAAAAGCGTTTCAATGCCGTTTGGAGTCTTTGCAAAACGAAGATGGTGTGTGAGGTGGACCAACCAATTGATGACGAGTCTGGACGTACTCAACATCTGCGGGGAGGCTGTGGGGCCAGCCAACCAACTATCAGAAGAGATGGTCTCAAACTTTGGGGTTCGTGGAAAAAATCTAACAGTGATGATGATGGAGATCAGGCAGAAAGGAGGCAAATCAGCGCGGCAGAAGTTCTCAACATCTTCAAGCATATTTCTCCCGAAGACTGCCATAAACTCGGTTTTAATGAAGATTACGCAAGACCGGAGTGGATGCTTATTACAGTTCTTCCTGTTCCTCCTCCTCCTGTTAGACCATCCGTTGCCTTCACCGATTCTAAGAGATCAGAAGATGACTTGACGTATAAATTGGCCGATATTTTGAAGGCCAATATAAATGTTCAAAGATTCGAAATGGATGGTTCCCCTCAGCATGTGATCAGCGAGTTCGAAGCGCTATTACAATACCATGTGGCTACTTATATGGACAATGACATTGCTGGTCAGCCGCAGGCTTTGCAAAAGAGCGGAAGACCAATCAAATCTATCAGAGCTCGTTTGAAGGGTAAAGAAGGTAGACTCAGAGGTAACTTGATGGGTAAAAGAGTGGACTTTTCTGCCAGAACAGTTATTTCTGGTGACCCAAACCTGGATTTGGATCAAGTCGGTGTTCCGAAATCTATTGCCAAAGTTCTGTCCTACCCAGAAATTGTCACTCCATATAATATTCAAAAGCTCACGGAGCTGGTTCGTAATGGACCAAATGAGCATCCAGGAGCAAAGTATGTGATTAGAGATTCGGGGGATAGAATCGATCTTCGGTACAACAAAAGGGCGGGCGATATTCAATTGCAATATGGGTGGAAAGTTGAGCGCCATTTGATGGATGACGATCCCGTCTTGTTCAACCGTCAACCCTCTTTGCATAAAATGTCCATGATGGCTCACCGAGTGAAAGTCATGCCCTACTCCACATTTAGAATGAATTTGTCTGTGACCTCGCCTTATAACGCCGATTTCGATGGTGATGAGATGAACCTGCACGTTCCGCAGTCTTACGAAACTAGAGCAGAACTCGAGCAGATTTGCGCGGTTCCCCTGCAAATTGTGTCTCCCCAATCTAACAAACCTGTCATGGGAATCGTGCAAGATACTCTTTGTGGTATTAGAAAGATGACTTTGAGGGATACCTTTATTGAATATGACCAGGTGATGAACATGTGTTTTTGGATTCCTAATTGGGACGGTGTTGTTCCACAGCCGGCAATTCTAAAACCGAAACCATTATGGTCAGGGAAGCAGGTGCTTTCGATGTGTATTCCTCAGGGTATCTTCTTACAGAGACTGGACGGCTCACTCTTGTCTCCTAAAGACTCAGGAATGCTCATTGTGAATGGTGAAGTCATGTTCGGTGTGGTCAATAAGGCCACTGTCGGATCGAGTGCGGGTGGTCTTATTCACACCGTTATGCGTGAGAAGGGGCCTAAAGTGTGCGCACAATTGTTTGGAAACATTCAGAAGGTTGTGAACTACTGGCTCCTTCATAACGGATTCTCTATTGGTATTGGTGATGCCATTGCAGACTCTGAGACGATGAAGACCATTACGGAGACTATCGCTATTGCCAAGGAAAAAGTGCAGGAGGTTATCATGGATGCACAGAAAAACCTGTTGGAAGCCGAACCCGGAATGACCGTTAGAGAGTCTTTTGAACAGAAAGTTTCCAAACTGCTGAATGAGGCAAGAGACTCTGCCGGTAAATCTGCAGAAACCTCCTTGAAAGACTCAAATAACGTGAAACAGATGGTCACAGCCGGATCGAAAGGTTCTTATATTAATATCTCCCAGATGTCTGCCTGTGTCGGTCAACAGATTGTGGAAGGTAAGCGTATCAACTTTGGTTTTGCAGATCGTTCTTTGCCTCATTTCACGAAGGATGATTATTCTGCCGAGTCCAAAGGTTTTGTTGAAAACTCTTATTTGAGAGGTCTTACGCCACAAGAATTTTTCTTTCACGCGATGGCAGGAAGAGAGGGTTTGATTGATACGGCTGTGAAGACTGCCGAAACAGGTTATATCCAACGTCGTTTGCTGAAAGCACTGGAAGATATTATGGTTCATTATGATGGAACGACCAGAAATTCTTTGGGAGATGTTATTCAGTTCATTTACGGTGAAGATGGTCTTGATGGTACTCAGGTGGAGAAGCAGACCGTGGATACCATACCTGGCTCAACGGAGGCCTTCGAGAAGAGGTACCGCGTTGATTTGATGAGTCCAGAGACCTCGATTCGTCCCGACTTGATTGAATATGGCGCAGAGATCATTGGTGACATTGAGCTTCAGAAGTATCTGGACGAAGAATATGAGCAGCTTTTGGCTGACAGGGAATATTTGAGAACCAAATGTTTCACTACGGGTGAAAATAACTGGCCACTCCCGGTGAATATTCGCAGAGTCATTCAAAACGCTCAGCAAATCTTCCATGTCGATCAAACAAAGGCAAGCGATTTGCCGATCAAGGACATTGTGGTTGGTGTGCAGGAGCTTTCTAAGAAATTCAAAGTTATTCGTGGAAAGGGTGAGATTTTGGCAGAAGCTCAAGAAAATGCCACTTTGCTATTCCAGTGCCTTGTTCGTTCCAGGTTGGCAACCAGAAGGGTTCTCGAAGAATTTAGACTCAATAAAGACGCATTCGAGTGGGTTCTGGGAACCATCGAGCAACAGTTCTTGAAATCGCTTGTGAATCCAGGTGAAATGGTGGGTGTCATTGCCGCGCAATCCATTGGTGAGCCTGCCACCCAAATGACGTTGAATACCTTCCATTATGCTGGTGTTTCGTCCAAGAATGTCACTTTGGGAGTCCCAAGACTGAAGGAAATTCTTAACGTCGCTAAGAATGTCAAGACGCCTGCATTGACGGTTTACCTGAAGGAAGAATACGCATCGGACATTGAAAAGGCAAAATCTATTCAATCCGCTATTGAACACACGACTCTGAAGAATGTTACTGCATCCACCGAGATTTACTATGATCCAGATCCACGGAGTACTGTTGTTGATGACGATATTGACACTGTGGAAGCCTACTTCGCCATCCCTGATGAGAAGGTGGAGGAGAATATTCACAAGCAATCTCCATGGCTTTTGAGATTGGAGCTCGACAGAGCGAAGATGTTAGATAAACAGTTGACCATGAGTCAAGTTGCAGGTCAAATCATGGATAACTTTGGTGATGATTTGTTTGTCATCTGGTCGGAAGATAATGCCGAGAAACTTGTGATCAGATGTAGAATTGTTCGTGAAGAAAAGGCTTTGGATGAAGAAGAGGAAGAGACCGAGGATGGACTCCTCAAAGCTCTCGAAGCTCAAATGCTCGAATCGATCTCTCTGAGAGGTATCAGTGGTATATCAAGAGTCTTCATGATGAAGTATGACAAAACATATATCGATGAAACGGGAGATTTCGCCAAAAAGGAAGAGTGGGTTCTGGAAACTGATGGTGTCAACCTTGCCGATGTTTTGGCAGTAGAGGGTGTTGACACCACAAGAACTTACTCCAATTCCTTCGTGGAAATTCTGTTTGTTCTGGGTATTGAGGCCGCGAGAAGTGCGTTGTACAAGGAAATCTTGAACGTTATTGCGTTCGATGGTTCCTATGTCAACTACAGACATTTGGCATTGCTTGTTGATTTGATGACATACAGAGGTCACTTGGTTGCTATTTCGAGACACGGTTTCAACAGAAACGATACCGGAGCCCTCATGAGATGTTCTTTCGAAGAGACTGTTGAAATTCTGTTCGATGCAGGTGCATCTGCTGAACTTGATACTTGTGAAGGTGTTTCTCAAAATGTGATTCTTGGTCAGCTTGCACCATTTGGAACTGGCTCCTTTGAAGTGTACTTAGACGAGGAGAAATTGTCTATGCTACCCTCGGATGCCACAGTTCATGCATCCAATGTTCTTCAAACCAAGAACGTTGATGGTGGTGCTACACCTTACGAGGAGGACAATTTGAAGGATGACTTTATTGATGCTGAGATGGAGGATGATAAGGTTGCATTTTCTCCGATGATCACATCGGGCGTGAATGATGACCGTAGCGGAGGATTCACAGAGTATGGTGGTATGAGCTCTTATGCTCCTACCTCACCTTTTTCTGGATTTGCCCCAACTTCTCCAAGCTATGGTGCCACCTCCCCGTCCTACGCTCCAACATCCCCATCTTACTCCCCTACCTCACCTTCCTACTCTCCTACCTCACCATCATACTCACCAACATCCCCATCTTATTCACCAACCTCCCCATCATACTCTCCGACATCCCCATCCTACTCACCAACATCCCCATCCTACTCTCCAACCTCACCTTCCTATTCTCCAACGTCCCCATCCTATTCGCCGACCTCCCCATCCTATTCTCCGACCTCCCCATCTTACTCACCAACCTCACCTTCCTATTCTCCAACTTCACCTTCCTATTCACCAACATCCCCACAATACTCTCCAACCTCTCCATCTTACTCTCCAACATCCCCACAATACTCCCCGACGTCCCCACAATACTCTCCTACATCACCCCAATATTCACCTACATCACCCCAATATTCTCCTACCTCTCCTCAATACTCTCCTACCTCTCCTCAATATTCTCCAACATCTCCTCAATATTCTCCTACATCTCCACAATACTCCCCAACGTCTCCTCAATACTCTCCAACGTCTCCACAGTACTCTCCAACATCTCCAACATACTCATCAAATAACAACCGAAACTAAGGATTTCGTTTTATGCCTTTGCGTTGTGTATATGTAAAAAAGATAATAAAGTCGAACGGTTATATATAATAATAGGCCAGTAACATTTTCTAAAGTTTTTTGCTAATTAGGCCTCTGAACATATCGAAACCATTTCCGTCCGGTTGCAGTTCGTAAGTGTTCCCGGTGAAGTTCCCGTATCTGTCCACTTCTTTAGCCGTCAGGAGTCCAAACTCTTTACTGATTCCAGTGATAACTGCTTTGGGGCTTCCTGGATGGTCGAGAGTGACTTTCTGGCCTGTGTGCAACCACTGTTTGTAGTACAGATCCATAAATGGTTCCATTCCGTCCACTTTAAATCTCTCGAGCATAGTGTAGAGAATCGAGAGATACTTGGCCGTCAGCTTCTCTGTTGCTATCGGTTTGAGTTTCGTACCAAGCGTCTCATTCATCTCGCTGATCACAATATTCAGAGAGGTCGTGGGTCCCTGGTTGAAAAGGTTCAGGCCTGTTCCGATGGCGACGAGGAACTGATTTTCATAAACAGCCGTCTCCACGAGAACACCACCTATTTTGGTGTAGGAATCGAGATCCGTCTTGTTCAAGCAATCAGGACGTAAAATGTAGACGTCGTTAGGCCACTTCAGGCGAACTGGAATTTTCTCATAGCCGGGACCGTATGTTTGGACGGCCTGGACCATCGACATGCTAACGAGGTACTGGAGTAGAACCACAGGCGTGGAAAGCGGCATCCTCAAGAACAATGTCATGGCGAAAACTCCCTTTGGATTCACCCAGACATTGCCTGTCCGTCCTCGACCTGCCACTTGCATGGTACCGATGATAGCGAACCCGTGAGGAAGGATACGCATGAAGGGAGTGTTGTACATCATCAGAGAGCTACTTGAGGTCAGCACCTCGCCGTAGAGAATGGTGGATCCTAGCTCTCCAACAGTGGAATATCCCAGCTCCTTATACGCGTCCTCGAGATCATTCAAATACTGGTGGGTGTTGAAGTACGGTGTTAATTCTGGCTTTGGGAGCGCTGTGTCGCAGATATAGACATCTTTGATAGCAGTTTCTGGGTCAGATAGATCACTCTGCTCGAATTTATCCAAAGTCTTGTGGACGCGGATTTTGTCTTTTCCAAGATCGATGATGTTTTCAGATTCGTAGCCCAGCTTGTGTTCCATGTCGTACACAAGTTTGGCAAGCTGCTCCTTTTGCCTCGAGACAAGCACCAGAGGTGTCAATGATGGACGAGTCGACTCCTTGTTGACTTTGAGACCCAAGCTGCGGAGACAATGGCGCATGAACTCCAATCTTGCGACATCGTTTTCTTTCAGCACCTTAATAGATTTTTCAAAATCAGTTCCTGGCTCTGCCTCGAGCAGAGTAGGATTGTACTCCGGGTGGGTGCCGGTCAGCAGAACCTTTCCCTGGCCAACAGAGCAAAGGATCACCGCAGCCTGGGGGCCTGGACACTCGACCTCGACGGGTTCCTCGTATTCTGCCAGGATTTGGGTGTTTGGGTGCTTATCAGCATCAATGAAAACGGCACCCCCATTGTAGTAGTTGTAGAGGGGCTGTTGCAATGCAAGGTCCGTCTTCAGCTTTACAGGACGAGTTCCTTCTTCAGTGCCGTATTGGAAACCCTTGAAACAGGCACCGCGAGCAACTCCTGGGAAGAACTTGAGCTCTCTGGCACCACTGACTTCCATGTCGGGATTTCCAACCTCGAACTCGCAACGAGCAGAACCGTAGTAGCCACCCGAGCAAAAACCAATATACTTGCCCCCTCCTGAGACGAACTGGCGGATCTTTTGGTTCCCCATACCGTTGAGATTGGAGCCCACCGCCAAGTCAGCACCTCCAGGAATGACGATCATGGCAGTTTTGGCCTGCCACGGCTGAGAAAGCAGGGTTCTGGGCTCGACGGGTCCCACTGCGTAGTAGGGAGACAGCAGCAGCCTCAGCGTGTCGAGACAATGCTTGACACTGTCTGAAGCTGCTCCAGGGCCATTATAGACAAGAACGTTCATGGAAATATTTTTTGTTGAGAAATGTTGATCAGGGCCGGTATTGGAAATATTGCGCTTGTTGGGAGACCTTTCAAATTGGCCCCCTTGCGCGGCCCAATTGGCAGAAAGTTAATTTTCGGGTTCCCGCCCAGCGCAACCGCTAGCATATTTGTGCGAGCGAAGTGTGACAAAAAGCACACCACAATTCCTACTCTGTCCGAAATTCGTGAAAGTCTATACACCGTCCCCAATGCGTTGACTTTCACCAGACTCGTTGCTGCGCCCGTGGTCGGGTATTTGGTGGTTTCTGGACACACCACGTGGGCCCTGGGTCTTTTTGCATATTCCTGTGTGACAGATTTCGTTGACGGCTTCATTGCCAGGCGTTACAACTGGCGATCGAAAGTCGGTTCCATTATTGATCCAATGGCAGATAAGGCACTAATGGTGATATGTACTGCCTGTCTGTCCCACATTGGCGCGGTGCCGTTGTATTTGGCAGCACTTATACTCGGCAGAGACATAATGCTGCTACTGGCCGGCATCGTGATTCGATACATATCGCTGCCTGCTCCAAGAACATTTCGACGGTACTGGGACTTTTCGCTTATCACAGTCGAAGTGCGCCCAACAACGATTAGCAAGATCAATACCGCTCTCCAGATGGCATATCTGGGAGGCCTGATGCTGAGTCCACTTATAGACCTGGGTGCGGGCCGTTTGGAATACCTCGTGGCTGCCACCACTGTGCTGAGCGGGTTGTCCTACATATTCAGCAAAACCGCAGTGCGCAGAATTGCCAAAAACTAGTATATATACTCAACACTGAATTACCTATATATTCACCTACTGAAGCAAATGTCATCGATACGCAGAATCGATTTCACGGTCTCTGCAGCAAGAGTAATGGCACTGGTGTTGACAAGGACAGGCTGGAGCACGTGCTCGTCAAAGGTGTTGGTAGCTCCAGACCGTCTCACACTGATTCCGGCGTTCTTCTCGCCCAGCTCGTGTTTGTTTCTGAGATCCGTGACGATCTCGATCGGGTTCATTCCGGCGTTCTCTGCTAGTGTCGTTGGAATGACTTCCAATGCCAGCGCAAACTCCTGGAAACACAACTGCTCGACACCGGAGAACTGGTTCGACTCCTTGAGTAACGTACGCGACACCTCGATCTCTGGAGCACCGCCTCCGGCAATCAATGCTCTTTCCTTCACCAAACAGCGAACCACACACAAAGCATCGTGCAACGACCGTTCTGTCTCGTCAAGAATTTGGTTGTTGGCACCGCGACACACGACAGAAACAGTTGGCTGCGTAACGTTCTTCACGCCAGTGATTTTGATGATCTTGGAGCCAGAAGACTCGACTTCCTCCACCAGGTCTGCGGTCCCCAGACGAGACTCCACAAATGAGTCGACATCTGCAATAGGCTTGCATCCCAGACTCTTGCTGATGAACTCGATTTCGTCTCTCTCGATGTCCTTCACGACCAAAATGTTGAGCTTTGCCAGAAAGTGCAAGGCAAGGTCATTAACAGCGTCTCTAAGAATAGACTTTTGGATCAACAGCACATTGCACTTTGCCTTCTTGATTTTCTTGCAAATATTGAGCAGATACGCCCTTTCCTCTTTCAGTATTTTATCCATTTGTCTGTAATCATTAACCACGATATTGTTTTCCATGTCTGGTTTTGGAGGAGAGAGCTGGAACTGAATCAGTCCGATCTTGGCCTTCTCCATTCTCGTTGGTCCGCCAGCGCTCTTGATAACGTTTTGTGTCAAAACGACGCCTTCCACTGTTTCTGTGTCATCAATAGTGCCTCCGATCTTCTTAATCAATCTGATATCGTTCAAATCCACATTCTTGGCCTCAGGGCCAACAACCTTCAGGACTGCATCGACGGCCAAGGGACCCAATAAGGAGGAGTGCTGAGAAACAATTTTCGAGGATAATGACGTGTTGGCTGCCCGAATCAACGCGTCTCTGTCGTCCAAGGAGATTTTGTGAGACATCTCAAGCAGGATCTCCACACCCCGTCCAGCCGCTTTGGTGAATGCCTCTGAGATGATCGTTGGGTGGATCCCTTTGTTCAGGAGCTTCTCTGCCGCTCCAAGCAGGGCACCCGTGATCACAACCACTGAGGTGGTACCGTCTCCGGCTTCAACGTCCTGTGCACCTGACAAATCGACCAGCATTTTGGCCGCCGGATGCAAAACAGCCATGTGTTTGAGAATCGTGTGGCCATCGTTGGAGATGATCACCTCGCCACGTCCGGTCTTGATCATCTTGTCCATACCCTTTGGGCCCAAAGAAGTTCTGATTGCATCTGCCACGGCTCTTGCAGCCAGTATGTTCGCTTTGCGCACCTCCTGTGGCTTTTCTTTGTTCTTAAATGTCGCGTTTGACGGAAGAACCTTGGACATGTCGAAAATAAATTGAAAAAATATCCGGGAAAAATATATAAATTTCTAGTAACTAATGCCTGAGAACTCGCACAAGCCAGCGGTGTTCCACGATATAATTGTCACCAAAAATGATATACTCAACTGCTCGTATGAGAGCTGGTACTCGCTTTTTGGAGCGCACGCCTACTCGCGAGCTGTGATATTGCCTGCACCCCAGGAGTTCATAGACTATCTGGAGAGTGATGATTTCACGATCCCGGGTGAAAAGTCAAATCCAAATCCACCGAATGATTCTGATTGGGACTATACGCCTCCAAGTCGGCCTGATCCAGCTTCCCGTTTTTTGGAATTCCACAGTAAGATCCAGGAAACGTTCAAGTCATTCAAATACATTGCCCCAAAACTCAATTGGTCAGCCCCTCAGGATTCCGTATGGATGCTCCCTGGCCGAACGATGAAATGTTCCTCACCCTCAGATATTTACCTACTGCTCAAATCCTCCGATTACATCAATCACGACCTGAGCCACGCATTTGATGAAGCTGATTCTGTGCCCGACAAACTACAGTATAATCTGATTCTACGAGAGTGGAAAGAGATCAATCCTTCGCTGGAGTTCAGATGCTTTGTGCGCGATCGACAATTGTTGGGAATCTCCCAGCGAGACCTGAACTATTATCCTTTCTTGGAGGAACTTCACGATACCATAATTGAGAGAATAGCAACCTTCTTTGACGATGTTCTCCTCCCCAAGTTTGGATCCAACAGCTTTGCCTTTGACGTTTATCTCCCAAAGCCATTCACAAAAGTGTATTTAATTGACATCAATCCATTCGCGAGAAAAACGGATTCATTGTTGTTCACCTGGAACGAACTGGCGACAATGGCTCCTCATGACGATGACGTTGTTGTTCGTCTTGTGACACAACATAATTCAGGAAGGTTTGCTACCAAAGCTCATTCACAAAACCATGTGCCCAGGGACGTGCTTGATGCTTCGATGGATTCGTCAAAAATGGTGGAAATGCTTCAAAACTGGTCTGCTATGCTATCAAAGGAGAATGACGAAACAGAGGAAGGCGAGTAAAGCAACTTAGTCATCCAGGAGAGCCCCCCGTTTTGTGGGAGGTGGAAACCTGATTTCAGCTCCTTTCAGTGGTCCGTCTGTGTGATACAGCCTTGGCCGATAACCAGGGTTTTCTCCCATAATTTTCGAGTTTCTGAACTTGTCTATCAGTTTTGCTTTGCCCTGCACTTTCGCATACGACATCTCGCAAACTTTTTCTGAGTTGAACTTGTTCCATTTCTTTCCGGCTCGCTCAATATAGAACCTGATAATGTGTCTTGGCTCAACGAAAGAAATGAAGGCGTATCCAACGTTGCAATGGTTCTCAAAATCAATGCGCAAGTAGAGGAAGTCATATAAATCTTTGCTCGTCAGGTCTATGAACTCCTTGAGCTCATTGTGGTTAACTTTGTTCGGAACGTTCCTTATCATGATGGTTCTGCGTGGATCTTGTCCCAAACGGATCCTTGTAATGTCTATTTGATTTTCGTGCGGGACGTAATTAGTCCTGAGAGAGCCTGAAAGCGGCCGCCGTGTTTTCAGATGCTGACTCTTTCTCCACTCATCATTACTCTGTTCTGTGTGCTCGCTTTCCATGCGTTTGATGTCTCCTGTCATCCAATTAATGACTTGCAAGTTTGGTTGGCTTTTTGTGTCTCTGATTGCGGGTTTTTCGCAAAGCTCTTGTAAAGATGAACGCATGTGTATTAGAGTGTTGCTGATGTATGATTGGGGAACCGCGCGTGCTTTGAAGGACGCTCTGATGTCATCAAACGTACACTTGAATGTATTTTTCAGATGAGCAACTGTTTCGAAACTAATAATGGCACCGAACTTGCCAAGATATCCTGCGAGCTGATCTCGAAATCTGTTCACGTCGACCTCTTGGTCACAGGAGACATAAACGGTTGCATAGCTATCCTCCAGATACTTAAACTCGTGATTCGAAATGACGTTTGCCAGAGTGGTCGGGTCTGTGATGAAGCAAGGTTCGAGAGTCTCTGCGGCAGCGTTCCCAAAAAGCTGTTGTAATTGTCTTAAGTGCTCGGGCACTTTTTGAGCCTCGAACCAGCCAACTGCAAGCACTGTCTCGTTCTGAAGTGCGAGCGGCTTATATGCTAATATGTCGCAGAGATCCTGGAAGTCGCGCAGAACCGCGCTGAGTACTGCGAGTCGCCGACAGCGAAAAAGCACTATACGCGAGTTTAGCACGCCCGTGGGAAATGGCAAAGCAATAAAAGTTGTCTGGTAGGCGCTGTCTCTAAGAGATGACGAGCAATTTCCAGGGAACATGTTAGTGAAAGTGTGCTCATGTGGATGCACCCCAGGGTTCATAAGAAGAAGGGATAATTAGCTAAATATTTATTTTATAATAAGTTTTGGGCTTTCGAATTTAAGGATCGGGCTTTATAAATTTGCGGAACTGATAAAACTATATCCCAATTTAAATGCATTGCCTTTACATACATAGTGCTCTTTTCATTGCAGTTTGACGCTCTTCGAGAGGTTTTTCTTGATACCAGTTGTTTCACCAACATAGGGACCGTGGTCTTTATTGTACACTGCGCGCACAGACTTGAGTTTCTTCTGTGCCTTGGCATACTTCTTCCTCTTTTTGACACGAGCATTACGGTTGTCCTTGTTCCTGTGGGGAGTAAGACCGCGATTTTTGAGGATCTGATAGTTGAGCGCGCGCTTCCCGCTTTCTCCAATGGTCTCCTGTATCTCTGCCAGTTTTCCATCCCTTGCAGCTTTCTTAGCCAGTTCATGTGCTTCTTTTCTTTCCTGTTTGGATTGTTGCTTTTTGGACTTCACCTCGTCATAATAATCCGTATCAGGCTTTTCTGTAAATCGTTCCTCCGAGTCTTCTTCTCCAAGAGCCAGCCCAGGAGCCGAGGCGTTAGCTCGATCTCCTCGTTTCTGTGCCTCTTCCAAAAGACGCTGTCTTCTCTCAAATAGTCGCTCTTTATATGGAACGTCCTGGTCACCCTGGTACTTGGCATCTTTCTTCTTTTCCTGCTGGTCGATCTTGGAAGTATAGAACCGCAATGTGCGTCTGCGGCCCTTCTTTTCCTCGAGATCCACTTCGTCGATATCCTCTGGTCCCACGGCGCGGAGTTTGCGCACCTTCCGTTCTGCAAAAACATCTGGCTCTTCGTCCTCAGCCTCAGAAACTTCGTTTTCATCCTCTTCGTCTGACAGGCGATCATCGTATTGGTCTATTAGTTCTTCCTCTGGTACGCTTGACTCTTCGATTTCAGCCTCGGAAACCGTCCTTGCCCTCTTTTTCTGTGCCTGTCGCCAAACCTCTCTAGCGCTCAATAGACCCGTCATGATAGGTTCTTCACGCATACTGAACGGCTCACCGCTTTTCAAAAACGATCCAAATAGAGCGAAATATGTCGCGATCGTGCCCAGGTACGCACTGAGGGCATTAAAACGAAGCTCTGCAACAGGGTCAGTATTTTTCTCTTTCGAGAGATCATCTAGGACCGGTTTGAGCTCCCGCACCTCCTTTGTCAGCGGAATGAATTCAGGATATTGATTTTCCATCACTTCAGAAAAGCCGGCTTCATCAAGCTTATTCAGGTCCAGTTTCTGATCATTGGATTCCTCTGTCTCTTCCTCCCCTTTGGCCCAGTCTCCCACAGTGTCATCCATCATATAGTCATCCATATTCAATTCCTGTAAATGTTTCTTTTGTATTCTCAGTGCTTCCTCTTCGAGCAGCTTTGCGTCCTCCTCTTCCTCCAGTTCGTCTCCTCCATAATAATCATTTCGACCACCCCAGCCTTCTTCTTCGTCCTCTTGTTCTTGTTCCTGTTCAGAACCAAAATACTCCTCCTCGTCTTCATCTACATGGCCTGTGAGCTTTCGTTTGTACCGTTCGATTTCTTCTTCACTATCTTCCTCCTCATCAAGACCCAGGACTTCTTGTTCGCTATCTTCACTCTCTGGCTCTTCAAAATTTGCCTGATCAAGCAATATCTTCTCTCTGCCTGCGTGGAACTCATCCACCTCGTCTAATCCGGGATCCTGTTGCATGAGGGTGAATCTAAATATTTTTTTAAATTTTTTTGAAAAATTTCTTAGATTATTAAATTTTTTTTGATCGAGGAATTATAATAATCAACCATGTCCAACAATCGATTGGACTCTCTATCTAGGCCATCTGGCAATGTTGCCGGAGGAGGCTCTTCCAAACAAAGCTTGAAATTCAAGCCTAAGGTGGTTGCGAGACGAACGAAGGAGGAGCGAGACTCGAATGTTCCAGTGGCCACCCCAGGCGTGAGCAAAAAACCGGGATCGCTAGCCAAAAACCTGCAGAGAAATCCTCGAACTCCCGGGATGCGGCATCTTCAAAACACAAAAGTCGTGATGGCAGGCCCTCTTGCCATGGGAACCGTTTCGCTAGCCAATTCGGGGCAGAGCAAGGGAACAAAAATGGTGAAGAAATCTGCTGATACATATGATCTGGCACAGAGTCTCAAAGCACAGACCGCCAAAAAGGCTAAAGGAATCACGGAATCGGATGATGAGGGCACCGATGATATGACTACGCGAATCGACCTAGGACAGGCGTACGATTGGAAAGATGTTGATACGCAGTATTTTCCTGTGAGAGCTGAAAGGCAGCAGCATTACGAGTACGGTGAAGAGCCTATTCCAGACAGTACAATCAAAACCGAGATTCATCGTGAGGTTTCCGTGCCTGTTGACTCAGAGCCGACATCTAGAGAACAGAGTGTGGAGATCAAACAGGAGGAAGATGCTACGCTCAAATTCATTCCTGACGAGCAAGCAAATGTAGACGATTCTATTATTGACTATCAAGGCAAGCAAGAAGCCGCGCGATTAGCGGATGACTATAGAGCAATAATCACCAAGTTGGATGACATACAACTTGAGGAAAATGCAGAGGAGATGCTATTTTTGCAACTTCCGAAACAATTGAACGTGGAGAGCGCTTCTCACGATGTAAAATTGGAAGATGACGGTGACCTTTCTCAAAAAGTAGATACGACATCGGATGTGGTCGGTACACTGCGCGTGCATGAGTCAGGAAAAGTGACAATTAAAATGGGCGATACGGTGCTGGACGTGACCAGAGGAGCTGCGACTCACCTTGTCCAGTGCATAGTGCAACTGGACGAGGACGCGAAAGAATGCGTGGAATTGGGAACCGTGAACGAAAAGATCATTGCAAGCCTCAGCTTGTCTGACGAGATATAAATCATCTGTAATTTTATTCGGTTTCCAGTTTGACTCTTTTTTCATCACCTCCCTCAGTAATGCTGCCAGATCGTTTCGCAGGTTGTTCGCCATTCTGTTTCATCAGTTTTCTTCCAAACCTGATTGGCTCCAAGCACAATTTGATTTTGGCCGAGATGGTCTTGCTTTCTTCTTGGGACGGGTCCAGTGCTTCTTTTCGCACGACATCTGCACAATGTCGTATTATGACCATTAATTTGTTGTAGTGCTGTATTGCATCTTCGTCTTCCTGTTCGCTCTTCTTGACCAGCCCAAACTTCTTTGATAGATACTTTTCGACCAACACATCATCACACAACCACAAGCAGGCCAAAGCTATTTGCGGTGGGGTGTATAAAAATGGTAGATCGGTAAATAAGCTCTCGTTGACCAGTTCTCTCGCACCGTCATAATTTTTACCAAGTCTGTTGAAGTCTAGTTTTGGAAGAGTCTGTTGTATGTCAAGGAAAAAGCCATATAATGGCTGAAACGGATGGTGGCATTGGAGAGAAAATTTCATGGTCTCCAAAATAAGGTACTCGTTCTTCAATATGGCTTCCGGGGTCGTCTTGGGAATGTTCTTGCAAAAAGTGTTTATCCCTATAAAGTGGTTCTCAACCTTAGCAGATAAGAACAAACAAGTGAGCATGATGTTTCCCGGATGATATTCCATAACAGAATGATATAGGTAGAATTTGTATAGATACATGATGGCGGTCGATCTTACCTGAGCAGACAAGTGAAAAAATGCGGCAAGCTCTTTACATCGACGTGCGTAATAGCTTATGAGTCTCTTTTCTTCATCAAAATGGACGAATTGGAACTGGTCTTGATTCTCTCTCATTAGCTTCACTTCTGGTAGAGAATCATCCAATTCATTGATTCTTTCCTCGGTCTTTTGTATTCCCTTTTTGTTGGCAACAATACGCAGCTCCTCTAGCTGTGAGTGAGTGAAGGACCAAAACCTATATTGCGTAGAACGCCTGAAAAGATCATCGTTACTAACAACCATGATTTTAATTCAGTTACAATTTTTCCACCACTACTAACTACTATATTTTCGGAATATCTTTTCTCTTCTTTCTATTGATGTGTGCTATGTCAAAAGAAGATCCAAACATCATACATTCTTGGAGATAGAGGAAACTATGGAGCTCCTCTCTTCTAAAATGAGAGTCTCTAGTCGCTTAGAAGGTGGCGACAAAAGTCTCGGTGGCAGACTTAAGCTTGCCCAAGAGCTCGGAAGAAAGCTCACCCTTAGTTCTGATAGCCTCCAAAATGTCACCCTCGTTGGCCTTCAAGTACGCAACGAATTGCTCCTCAAATTCTTGGATTCTCTCGATTGGAATGTTGTCCAAGTAACCGTTGACACCAGCGTAAATGACTGGCACTTGCTCCTCAGAAGCTTGTGGAGAGTATTGCTTTTGCTTCAACAATTGGGTCAATCTCTCACCTCTAGACAAAGTTTGCTTGGTAGAGGCATCAAGATCGGAACCGAATTGAGCGAAAGCAGCAACTTCTCTGTATTGAGCCAAGAACAACTTCAAAGAACCAGCAACTTGCTTCATGGCCTTAACTTGAGCAGCAGAACCGACTCTGGACACAGACAAACCGACGTTGATAGCTGGTCTGATACCCTTGTAGAACAATTCGGCCTCCAAGAAGATCTGACCGTCGGTAATAGAAATGACATTGGTAGGAATGTAAGCAGAGACATCACCACCCTGGGTCTCAATGACTGGCAAAGCGGTCAAAGAACCACCTCCGTGAGCATCGGACATCTTAGCAGCTCTCTCCAACAATCTAGAGTGCAAGTAGAAAACATCACCTGGGTAGGCCTCTCTTCCTGGAGGTCTTCTCAGCAACAAGGACAATTGACGGTAAGCAACGGCTTGCTTAGACAAGTCGTCGTAGACAATCAATGCGTGCTTTCCATTGTCTCTGAACCACTCGGCAATGGCACAGGCAGTGAAAGGAGCCAGGTATTGCAATGGAGCGGCCTCAGAAGCAGTAGCGGCAACCACAATAGAGTACTTCATAGCATCGTTTTGCTCCAAAGTTTGGACCAATTGAGCAACAGTGGATCTCTTTTGACCAACGGCAACGTAAACACAGTAGAGTTTCTTGGACTCGTCATTGCCATCGTTCCATCTCTTCTGGTTCAAGATGGTGTCAAGGGCAACAGCAGTCTTACCAGTTTGTCTGTCACCAATAATCAACTCTCTCTGACCTCTTCCAATTGGGACCAAAGCGTCGACGGCCTTCAAACCCGTTTGCATTGGCTCGTAGACGGATCTTCTTGGCAAGATACCTGGGGCCTTCAATTGAGCGATAGCGTAACCAGTGGCCTCTATTGGTCCCTTACCATCAATTGGGTTACCAAGAGCGTCAACAACTCTTCCCAACATACCTGGTCCAATTGGAACATCAACAATCTTTCCGGTTCTCTTGACGATCTCACCCTCCTTGACTTCTCTGTCGGAACCGAACAACACAATACCAACCTGGCCAGGCTCCAAGTTCAAGGCCATACCCTTGACACCGGAGGCGAACTCAACCAATTCCTCAGCTTGACAGTTGTTCAAACCGAAAACTCTGGCGATACCGTCACTGATCTGGTTAGTAAACAATTTCGGGCTGTGCGGAGAGTAGCGAAAATCCAGACTGAGATTTGGAAAATTTTGAGGTTATGAGATTTCGTGGGCTATGATTGGCCAACAAAATAGTGAACACACCTTTAATTCCAGCGATCTGGCATGCAATTGACTATGCCAGACTAATCGTCTCGTGTGGTCTGCACTATTCCGTACTCTGCACAATGTAATGTACTTACCCAACGGAAAGAACTCTTCCGGTCTCGTCCAAGTTGGCCTCATCGGAAACACCTCTAATCTTGGACTCCAAGATCGAAGAGACCTCGGTTGGCGCAGCCTTGGCGGTGGCATACGATCTAGCGGATAACAGAGGTCTAGCCTGTAATATTTGCGACAAGGTCGCAATTGTGTTAGTATTCCAAAATGACAAGCTGTCCGCAAAAACCTCGTGGAGTTTCCCATTGAAAGACAAAAACAAGCTCAGTGGCTAAGACAACGGCGTTCCGTACGCCATTGGACACATTGGCACCGAGGAAATAGATGTCAGCCATTCAAGGGCACTTTCCATTGGCTGGCGGGCGACTGGATACTCACAATTCTTGGTGCAGCTCTAACAATGTTAGCAGCTAGAGCTGATCTAGCAGCTGCTCTGATGGCTGGTCTAGCAGAAAGCATTGTTATACGATGATTGATTCTTGGGAAAGAACAAATCTGGTTGTATAAAAAATGGAAACAAAAGTGGAAGAAAAATGAAAAAACGACACAACAACCACAGTGCACAGCACGGCCTGTGAGCGCGCGGTCGACTGGGGGAATTTTTTTTCTCCTGGTGGACACCACGGCACGCACATTATTGGTCGATTTGGAGAGTTACCCGGACACAGTATTTCCGATAAAGCAGGATCGGTCACGGTAGACATGCGGGCAGGGGGTGTCTTCGTTACACTTGAAACATCTCAACTGGAGAGCCACATTGGCGCGAGCCTGAGGCCGTTAGCTCAATTAATGAGCTGGAGAACATGCTGAGCTAGCTGGCTACTTCGCGATCCATCTGTGCACCAGCACTGCCCGAGGAAAATTTCAGTAGTAGACAGAAAGCTCTTGTTATCGTTAGTATGACAGCCACCGAGCCTCAATCTCCCCGATATTTCACCGAGTATTTGCCCCGACTGTGTTCTGTCTCTATATGTGTGGAAGTACAGAGACAAGGGCTTGAAGAGCTTCTCATTAAAGACAATCATTTGCTGGTCTCCACGAAGACGCAAACGATCTCCATCCCGCTGGCGGGAAAGACTGCAGACTACAATGAAATCCTGTCATTCGCGCGAGTTGAAAATGGCTTTATTACCTTAAAAGTTCCTGCTGTGGCTGACAAAGCCGCTAGTAGTACCGATCAGCTAACAAGCACTGACGACTTGATCTGGTCGATCAGAGACTTGAAACAGCACCCAAAAGGCGTCTTTGAGTGTGCCGCATGCTGCCAGCCAATTGCAGACCTCTCAAAAATACGAAAGCTCCATTCTATGCCATCGGAAATGTGGTATGAAATGATGGAGTTCTGGCACTGCCACAAACCAACGAACGGTAACTATACCAACGACAAAATCGCGAATCGGTTCAACAGTCTGAAGCCTGCCTCAGACACATTAATCGTGGGCGCTTACTACTTCCTGGCTCCTTCGCTGCCTTCAATATTCACGGAGAATCAATTTGTTAAGTGCGCTGGCTGCCACCAGATTCTCGGGGAGCAGGAAAATAATAACCACAAACTTCTTAAATGGAAGCTGGCACTGAGAGACAGGAACGCGCAACAATATTGTTCATGCCTGATCTATCTATATAGTTATTTGCTTGACTCGATTGCCTCAACCGCAGTGCGTTTTTTCCTTGTGAAAAGCCAATCGACAAGGGTTTTGCTATGGTGTTTCAATTTTGGAATAGACGTGACGTTTTCATCTTCATATTTGAAAAACTGCCTCAAAGTGATGTACATTGACGACGAGAGCAAAGTCTCCAAATTTTTGGAGCAAAATGACGGCGAGGGAACAAATCAAAGGTCACTGCATAACCGATATGAGGTGGTTGATTTGGAAGACGACATGATGACTGAAACTATCAATGAGCTTAACACGATCAACGAAAAGTTGCCAGAGTCGCAGCGACAATTCAATCAGTGGAAAGTGTCCTATCTAGGAAGAAGATTATAGTCCCTGAGCATCCAGCCATTTATCCACTAGTGGTGCGACCTGCTTTCTAGAGTTGACGGGTTCACGCTGTTCAAAGCTAAACGGATACTTGTTCAAAGGCAGAAGTCCCAGGGGTTCTTGTATCTGGTCTAAAAGGCTCCTAATCTTTGCATCGTCGCCTTGAAAAAGTATTTCCCTGTGGAACTTCTTGTCGCTGTAAGATGTCATAATGATTGCAATATCTAATTTTCTCTCTTTAATCCAGCTGTCCAAACCTGCCGCGAGATCGAACTGCAACAGATAATCTAAGTTAACAACCATTGAGCTGATACCAACGGTTCGATACTCTTTGTAGTCCTTGCGCAGCAAGTCTCGAAGTGACAGTCCTTCCACGTTCTGTTTGGCAGTGTTCAGTTCATCGGTCCAGGCTTGTAGGAAGGCCTGGTCTGCCTGCAACTTTGGGAGCAGCAGCTCAAGAGCATCCTTGTCAACCTGCTCCACCCTATGCTTCAGTCCCGAGGTATCGATCACCAGTGGACTGAGAAACAGCCTAACAAGTTTGGGATCGATTTGACCAACCTGCTCCTTGAAGTGATTGAGCACGAGGGAAATACAGGAGCCCGATTTTTGTATGATTCTGGGGCTGGCATCAGTGAAGAGTTTTTCGTCTTCGTGGTGGTCGATTATTCCCACGACCTTTGCTCCAAGTTTCTCCATGAGATTCTTGACAACATCGCCTTGAGGTTTATTATGATCCACCAGTATCAAATCGACTTTTGCTTTCGCCAGCTTGTCCCAGCAAGTCTCTATATCGTCCAGAAAAATCAGGTCTTTCACGTTGATGTCTGATTGTTTCATAACGTGCACGATGTCCCTTCTGAGATCAAAGTCTTGTCTAGGAATATTGATCAAGGGCAGAACAAGAGACTTGGATGAAAGCGTCGAGTACGCAATTGCAGAAACCACAGAGTCCATGTCGGCACTTTGGTTACCGGTAACTAAAGTGATTCGAGACTTTTCAGCGATGTTGCGTAGAAGACTGCCAAACTGCATCAGCATTGTTTTACGCGAATGTAAATTATCTTAACAAAGTAAAATAATTTTCTTGATTCTGCAGGGGAAATTTAGTGATTTGGTAATCCGGGGGGGCTTTTGACATTTGTCGAAAAAGCTTTCTCCATGGTGTCCATTCCACGGAAAATTGCCCGACTCTTGGCATTTGCGCTGATCGTTTCAACGATAATACTCGTGGGAGTCAACTCTGGAGGCTGGAATCTTCAAGCTGGCTCGAACTCGCGAGTCTCTGGAGACAGAAAACTGGTCTTCTCGCACAAGAGTGCCAAGACGCCCCAGCAGATAGTGGAAGAAAATTACAAAACGTTACAGGAGATATTGAAGAGACCGATCCACGAACCTAAGACAGGGAATCTTGTGCGACCCCCCTCTGATCCAGATCAGTACGATCGCGCCAATGCCACTATGCTGGTATTGGTGAGGAACCGAGAACTAGGCCAGGTTGTGCGAACAATCAAGCAAATAGAGGCAAAGTTCAACCGAAAGTTTCATTACCCTTACGTTTTCCTCAATGAAGAGCCATTTACGGAAAGATTCAAGGAAACTATCAAAAAGCATGTTTCAGGTAAAACGTACTTCGAAAGCATAGATAAAGCGATCTGGGAGCAACCAGAATCGATAAATGTACAGCGACAGGACGAGGCAATGCAGCAGCTGGAAGCCGAGAACGTTGGATATGCTAAATTGGTGTCCTATCACAACATGTGTCGATACTATAGTGTGAACTTCTATAACCATCCTCGATTACAACAGTTCCGCTACTATTGGCGTTTTGAGCCGGGCACCGATTATTACTGCGATCTTGACTACGATGTGTTCAAGTTTATGGAGATGAACAAGAAAACCTACGGTTTCGTGATAGCGTTATACGACGTTGAACAATCTGTCAAAACGCTGTGGCCAAGAACAATGGAATTCTTGGCTGAACATCCCGACTATCTACATCCAAACGGAGCCTACGATTTCCTGCTAGAAAACCTGCAAAATCCTCACAAGACGCTCATCGCCAATGGGTACTCTACGTGCCATTTTTGGTCCAATTTCGAGATAGCAGACATGGACTTCTACAGAAGTAAGCCGTACTCCGACTGGGTCAACTTTTTGGACTCCACAGGAGGCTTCTACTATGAGCGCTGGGGAGACGCCCCCGTCCATTCTGTGGGCATTGGCCTGTTTGAGGATCGCGACAAGATCCATTGGTTTAGAGACATAGGCTACAAGCATCAGCCGTACACTCTGTGCAGCAATTGTCCGTCGTGTAAAGGATGCAAGACTGCAGACTTTACCTACAAGCATCTGCGGGATCAAAACTGTCTGACCAACTGGTGGAACTACGAAATGTCTGAGGAGCAGAAGAATATATATTAAAAGCTGGAATTTTATTTTATTAGGTGTCGGCTGAAAAATTGTCCAATTTAATTTTGTCTCTGAACATGAAGTCTGTCAATGTTGCCGTTATTGGAGCAGGTGTCGTTGGCTCTGCATTCCTTCAGCAGCTTGCCGGCGCAAAGTCTGCCATCAGCTATAATCTAATTTACCTGTCGACCTCGAAAAAAGCAGTTTACAACAAGGACTACTCTCCATTTGAGCTGACCAAATGGTCGCAGCTGTTGCAGTCAACTGCTTCTAGCCCATTGTCCGTCGAGGATCTTGTTGATTACCTGAAGAAGTCTCCATTGCCTGCAATTCTTGTCGACAATACGTCGAACGAGACCTTGGCCAAGTCCTATCCACTTTTCCTGAAGAATGGTGTTTCTGTGGCCACTCCTAACAAGAAGGCCTTTTCCAGCTCGCTGTCTTTGTGGAACGACATCTTTTCTGCAGAAAATACCGGCTTGTGCTACCATGAGGCCTCTGTCGGCGCTGGATTGCCTCTGATCTCCCCTCTCAAAGAGATGATAGCCACTGGCGACGAAGTGGAGAAAATCGAGGGTATTCTGTCCGGCACGCTGTCCTACATTTTCAACGAGTACTCTACGATCTCGCCAAACACTTCGAAATTCAGCGACATTGTCAAAGTCGCCAAAGAGCTGGGCTACACCGAGCCAGACCCAAGAGACGACCTGAACGGTCTCGATGTCGCCAGAAAAGTTACCATTCTTGCCAGAATCGCCGGCTTGCAAATTGAGTCGCCAACTTCGTTCCCAGTGCAGTCCCTTATTCCAAAGCAGCTTGAAAGCGTCCAGTCTGCAGACGAGTACATGCAAAAATTACCAGATTTTGACCACGAGATGGAAAAGCTCAAGTCCGAGGCTGCCTCAGAGGGCAAGGTTCTGAGATTCATCGGAAAGGTCGACGTGGCCAACAAGAAGACCAGCGTCGAGATCGCCAAGTACGATGCGTCCCACCCTTTTGCGTCGCTCAAGGGTTCTGACAACGTCATCTCGATTCAGACCAAGCGTTATCCTAACCCGCTGATCATCCAAGGAGCAGGTGCCGGAGCCGAGGTCACGGCCATGGGAGTCCTTGGCGACGTGATCAAGATCGCCGAGAGAATTGCTGCTTGAAAACAATGGATAGTCGTATATTACAGTAAGCGTACATCATTTACTATTGAAGCTGTTGTGGCTGGACGTGTTCTCCAGATCGTCTTCGAAAAGCGCAATTTCCACGTCCTTGCTCACCTCGAATCTCCTCTTCGCCTCTCTGAAAAGCCTGCGAAGCTTGTTCTCGTCCTGGCAGATCGACATGAAGTCCAGCATCACACCCTGCGAGTCGAGGTACACAGCCTGGTTTTTCGCCTGCTGGCTAACAGAGAGGTTGACACGAGCCACGTGGGCGTTGTTTGGAGCTAGAAAGAACCCTCCGTTCTCCCGCAACTCGGCAATGTATGCGCCGGTCTTGTGAATGAACTGCGCGTACTTGAAAGATGGTTTTCCCCAGGAATATACCACGTCAAAGTCGTCGTCCCTGAAATACGTAGCTGTGCGGTTGTCTAACAGGAAACCGCACTTTTCAATGATGTAGAGGTGGTAGAAGTATTTGTTCTCCTTGAGGAGGTCTCCCGCAAACTCAGGATCTGTCCAGGGATCAAAAGCTAGCGAGATGTCCACCGTGGAATGCAGCGGGTTGCGCGTCGGCAACGTGCAAAGCTCCTGCCACGGAGCCTCGACAAGAGTCAGCCCGTACCGTTCGCAGTGCTTGGCCCAGCTGTTGACCGTGTCCTCCACCAGTTTGGAGGTGTTGTTGAGCCACTCCAGCCGCACATGGAAACAGTGCTCCGGGTTGTGCACAATATCGTAATGGACAGTGATAAGCTCCGGCTGCCACGAGACGCCGTTAGGGTCGAGGTCGCACGTGACCTTACGGCTCAGGACAACGCGCTTCTTGGACCCAGAGTCCTCTGTAGGGCTTGAAAAGACGGAGTTCTCGCTATTTTTCTCAGTCTCCGACTTGCGCAGCGAAGCAGGCGACTTGGCTGAGCCCGCAGCCGAGTCCTCGTTGATGAGCTGGTAGAAGTAATGGCCGTCCAGAAAACGGTGTCTGGACTCAACATGGCGGAACAGACCCTGCTCCATGAGCTTGTTACCGTACTCAACAGCCTGTTCTCTTGTATCGATGTCTTCGAAATTTTCTATCATCCAGCTGACCAGGTCCATTCCCAGGAAACAGTTGGGATGGGTTCGCAGATGCCATTTCCTGTCCACCACCTGGATGCCTTTGTCTCCCTCGATGGCCTTCTTGAGCTCAGATAGGTTGACTTTTTGGTTGAATCTGGCTGTCTGGAAAAGCGAGCTCGTCTTATTTTCTTCAGATAGTTGCGCAGACACCGCTCTCAGGTAGCTAAACAGGTTGCCTGTGTAAAAGTTGATTTCCGGGATAATCTCCAGCCTCTTGCGCTCCGTCTTCTCGCCAGCCGTGCGGTATTTCAGTCTGTTAATGATGGAAATCAAAGAGCGTATACCTTCCAGCCGGATTTCCTCTGGAGTGAGTTTTTCCGAGGCCAGATTGAAAGCGTTGGACGGAATCTCTGTAGGCAGAATGACGAATTTGATGCGGTGGCTGCGCCGTTGCGCAGGCTCCACCGTCTCCTCGTATCCTGCTAGCAGCTGGTCCAGCTGGTTCCAATTGTAGTTTCTCGGCTCTCCTTGCAACGCATGGATCACCATAGACTTGTACTCCTGGGAATACCGTGTGCGAACGTACGGCATGTAGTCCGACCGCGACGACCTCGTGAGCACGTCGTCCGGCCGGCTCATCCTTTTGTACACCTGGACGTTCACCAGTCCGTCGAAATCGCAGCTGATGCGGTGTATCTCGTTCGACAGACTTAAGTATATCCGAGACCCAAGATAATTTTTCTTGGTGAGATACCGAACCAGCAGCTTAGAGTCTCCGTTGGGTTTGCGCTGGTTTTCGACTTTGGCCACGTTTTCTGCCACACAGATCTGGAAGCCCAGAGTGAGCCGCAGTGATATCATTTTCCGCATCAGCGTCTCGCTGTTGCGTCCCTCGTTGACGTCTGCCTGGCTTAGAAACACGTCGTATATTCTGAAGGTGAAGTTCTGATTGAAATCAGAAACGCTCGGGAACACAGGAGTCATCAGCGGGAGCGAGGCTGGCGTGGAGATGGATTTCCATTTGATGCTTTTCCGCTTCACATTCTGCGGAAAAACAAACTGCCATCGTCCGTACGAAACCATGCCCAAAAGCTCACTGGTTTCCGCATTCGACGGATTTTCGACTTGGGTCCAGTAGCTGTTGAGAAGCGAGTTTTTTTCCTGGCGTTCGTGGCGCGACTTATCGCGCTCCTCGGCCGTGCTGCGAGCACGAGCCGGAGTTTTTCTTAGGGACGGATCCGAGCTCATTTTGCTCATCCGAGGACCGTGGTCGGTGACGGAGATCGTGTCGAGCTTCGGCACGTCGTCGTCGTTCTTTATCGGGATCGATTTCACGCCGGGCGACGAGATGATGCGCTTGACAAACTCAAAGGCCTTTGGCGACGTCTTTTTGGGTTCTGTCTTGGTGATGGATAGCAGTGACGAAAAGGCACTCACGTTGGACTTCGACGTCGTTGTCACACCGACAACGGTCGACGTCGTGGGCGACGACGCCTTGAACGTATTGAGGTCCGGCGGCTCCAGCCCGCTGCGCGCGCCAGCACTCACGGCCCTGACAGGCTGTTTCATACGGGCAACGGTTTTTTTTGGCAGGGAGGTGCTGGTCTTAGTCCCAAAAAGCTCGCTGTCATATTCGTCCATTGCTTCCTGCACAGAAGTGACGCCAGAGAACACCAGCTCCCTAACGTTGATTGCACTGAGGTCATTTTCCATAACTCCCATCATCTGGAGCTCGTATATTTTGCACCGTGGAAGCCATTGGTGCACCGCCTGTGTGGCATCGCTCCAGAAAGAAATGTCCATCCAGCTGGGTATGCAATGTTTCAGCTTCTTTTGGCTATCCAGATACCTCACCAGCGGAACAACATGGAGCGGCGGCTGCGAAAGACAGATGACATCGATCGTCGCGTCGATCGTCGTCATCAGCTTGCTCGTCTGCACAAGAATGTCGTATTCGGTGTCGAAGATGCCGGTTCCCGGAGAAATCACCAGAAAATGGTTGGTGGTGTGCCGCAGATCAGGGTCTCTAAAATCGTCACTCACCAAACTCATTCCCAAGTTGATGGCCTCAAGAAGATTACCCTTCACAGAGGGCAGAAACGAGCCCTCGATGATGTACTCTTCGGGATGCAGGTGCGTGCGACGGGGATTCTTGCGCAAGCGGATATCCTTGGAGAAGTTGGCAAACTCACGGCGAAGGGCAGCCATGATCTCGTTCCACAGCAAAATACTCACCTGGTCCACAACCACGCGGTAGTAGTCTTTCCGGTTGCTTGGCTGCTCCCCGGCACGATAGCGGTTGGTTTCTAGGTTCAGGTCGACACTGCTGAACAGAACGATGGTGATCAAGTGGTGGGTGCTCAAATCCTTCCAGCGCTGGAATATCCGCGGCAGCAGAGAATTAACCAGCTTGTGGAACATCTGCTGGCCGCTCTCTTCAAAATGCCACATCTCAGAGGATATCTGAATGAACACAATCAGGCGTGCCGACTCCGACCGAAACACTATCTTGGTGCTTGGGCCAACGTATCCGGAAAACACTTTGCGGCCATTTCTGTAGATCTTGCCTACGGTGGCCCGGATTGAGCTTTGCAGAAAAGATAGTCTTTGTGATCGATAAAGACACTTCTCTGTCAGAATGGACGACAAGTTCCACATGTCTCCGCGCGACAGGTGCATGTCCTTGACATACACCTCAATAACGTCGGCTTCCACCAGCTCAGGAGCCTTTATGCGGACCAATACCTGGCTCCGGAGCTTCAGGTCGAGCAGCTGTTGCAAAGGCCCTGATTGCAGCGAGATGTAGTTGTTGTTGCCCAATCCTCCCAGTGACACCTCTGACGGCTTGTAGGTAAAATAAAGTTTGCGGGCAGAGCCATCTAAACACTCCAACTCACAGACGGCGCCCTCCTTGATCCCCGGTATCACATTTGAGTCTAGCAAGACGTCCTCGGCAGACGTACGGCTTTCGTGGAACCGCACGCTCAGCTGAACCGGCTCTGTCAACAGCGGAGTTGGCGTCTCGGACACGGCGGCCGAGTGCTCTGAATCGCGTATGGTGGAGGCGGTTTCCATATTCCACTGGTCTGTTGTTCGTACGTTCAGAAGACTGCTGCTGGAGGAACTGCGGATCTCGTGTAGACTCCTAGACTTCCCCACCACCAGGCTGGCCTCATTGGTGCGCTGGCTCATGCGGTTCCTCGCACGGTTGAGGTCGAAATTGATCCGCTGTCGCTGCATGAATGGGAGTAATTTTACAATCGAATTTATTTTTCGTAATTATTTTATTTTTATAGCTCCACCGTGTGAGTCACCGATTTGCGGCCCTGCAAATACGTGCCCAGCTGTTCTTTGGCAGCAGTCTGCGAAACCAGCGACGCCACGCTCAGCTTGTCAAACTGCTGCAGCAGCTTCGTTACAGGCTTGTCTTTGGCTTTGTACTCGCTGATCTTCTCCTGTAAATACTTCAGCTGATCGTAGTATGTTCTCAATTTGGCATCAAGACCAGAAACAATCACCTCAAAATTGGTTGGCGAATCAAGGATGCGCTCAGGGAATAACCTCCCGTTCAGAACAAATAGCCGTGCATGCAAATCATTTTCCATATCGCGGAGCTTCTCGTATCCCTTGCGAATGGCATCCAGCTTTTGGGACGCGGCGGGAGACAGATTCTTTTCCAAGTGAGGGTGTTTCCTGTTTTGCTCCAACTCCCTGAGCATTGTGTGTATCTCATCACTTTGATTTGTTATAGCGTTCAACTTGGAAAGTAAAGAGCTCGTATCGTCAAATGTAGCACCCAAATCAGCTTTCAGCTTGGAGTAGTCTGCTACGTTTTGGTTCATGACCTCGGAAAGTTTTCCAACCTCAGACAGCCTCCAGGATGTAGGAAACAAACTGTGGTCTCTGAAATTGCGTGGATACTTCCCTGATGCGTGATCCTCCATAAACTCCTCAAACAACCGTATGTTTTCATGCAAAATGTTGAACTCTGCATCGGTGTGATAAACGATCTTCTCCATTTCACGTAACACCTCGTTGGAGCTCAGCTCTGGAACAGCCATGGACCCCAGCGAGACTAACTGGGGAACGGCTTTCGGTCCCTTATCTTTGTCAATCTCTCCAAAATCGACATTTTTTTCCACCACTTTTGATTCAGTCGTGGAGACAGACTTCTCAACAAGAGGCGATTTCGGTGGAGGAATGAGATCTGTCTTTCCTGCTTCTGGCTCGCTCTGAGCCGCTGTAGAAGGCACGGCTGCTGACCCAGAACTACTTTCAGATACTGACTGATCGGCGTTGGAGTCACTCTGCGGCGATTCGACAGTCGAGTCCTGTTCTGTCTCAGCAGCGTCATCTGAGGGCTTGAGTTCGGACGGTTTGGCGACTTCCTGCGGCTGCCCCGCGTCGGTTTCCTCAGTCCCTGATTGAGACACTTTGCGCTCTGCAGATGGGGGCACTGGCTGTTCTTCACTATCTTTTTCACTATCCTCTTCAGCCTTAGCTGCCACATGCAACTCCTGTGTTCTCTGAGCAGAAGCGTCCAAGCTCTCCGGCCTTTCGATTTCCTCAAAGCTTCCATCCAGCTCGGCTGAGTGTTCACTGAGGTCGGAATCTTCCAGAGAGGGAACTTCTTCTGGAGTTTTCACTTCAGCCTCACCCTCGTTCTCCTCAAGTACATCATCTTTCTCATCTTCATCAGAATCATCGCCGTCGAGGGTTTCGTCGCTTTGATTTTCAGAATCTTCAATAACTTCCTCAGCCTCTTTGTCAGCTTCCTGCTTTGATTGTGAGAAGTTGAATGCAGGAGACTTCAAGTTCGAAAAAGGTGTGCTCTCCTTGTTTCCCAAGGATGCAAACGGACTTTCTGATTTTTTATTCAGCGAGGAGAATGGACTTTCTGTATTCCCTGAGAGATTTGCAAATGGACTTGGAGATTGGGATTTGGAGCCAAGTTTCAGGTTGTCTAAACCAAGAGAGCTCTTGAAATTCAATCCAAAAGGACTTGAACCAGAGCTCAGCTGGCTGTCCTTCTTCTCCTCTTGGCTGACTGGCTTTGAGCTTAATTGTGCAAATGGACTGTCTTTGGAAACTTGATTGTTGGACCCGAACTTGAACGCTGAACCGCCCTGTCCGAATAAACTAGAGCTAGTATTTCCAAATGAGCTTTTGGTTTCCCCAAACGGTGAGCTGCCCTTTTTGTCAGCACTTGCAAATATGTCTTCTTTAGGCTGGATATTGAAAGGTGATGATGATTTAGAAGCAAAAGCATTCGTTCCCGAGCTGAAGGAGGAGAAAGCCCCAAAGCTTTTTGGCGCGTCGGCACTCTTTTGTGACGAGGCATTTGCTGTGGGGTTTGATCGCCCAAAAGAAAATCCAGAGGATCCAAAACCCGATTGCCCAAACCCAGAGGAGTTGGAAGATCCAGAAGCTGCAGAACCAAAAGCAGATTGACCGAAACCTGATTTCCCAAAAGCAGAGCCTCCTGTAGCTGTTGAGAAACCCGACTTTCCAAATGGAGACGATGTAGCTGTGGAAGATCCAAATGGACTCTGTACAGCTGGCTTTTCGGACTGTCCAAACAAGCTGGTCTTATTTTGGGAGAAGGAAGAAGCCAAGTCCTTGGGTAGCGTCTGTTCTGGCGCTGCTTGCTGACTTTCCGAAGACTCTAGCACCTCAATCTTTCCCGTCTCAGTCGAAGCCGCCTCTTTGGCAGCCCCGAGGTCAACCTTGCCAGCGTTGATGTCAGTGGATAGCCAAATGTTCCAGACCAGCAGCTGTCCTCTATTGGTAAGTGCAATCATCTTGGGCAAAGCACCACATTTCTCAACCTGTTGACAGGGTTCCAAAACTTCTGATTTTCCTGTTAGATCAAGCACTAGGCCAAGAGGTGTGTCGTCATCTCCCGAGTCAGGGTCCAGGGGCATTTGCGCTCTGTCGGAATCATTCAGCTGCAGTAACTGTTGTGTTTTCGTTAAGGTGTTGAACTCTGTCGATTTTGAGCTAGTGAGAAACACAAGATGCGGGTAGGTGGAGCTCCACTTGTGCAAATGGAGAGTGTAGAAGCTCAATTTTCGTGGAATTACACCAAATGGCATGCAAATGTCGTACGCTTCGCTTTTGTCCAAAGTGTCACCGTTTCTGGTAATGACGTATGATTTCGTGTCATCGTCGTCTGTCTCGCCACCAAGGACCACCAGCCAGCTGTCTCGTTCTAAGGCCGTCACAAAGACCGGCTTGCGATCTTCATCAAGGGAAATGGTCTCTGAGCTCCCAGAGTCGGTCTTGAGCAGCTCAACATGAGAATCCACGCCGATCAATAAAGTTTTGTTGTCTATCCAGTCAAAACAATTACACTCTTGACGAAGAATCTTGGTTCCAGTTATATCAAACAGCATCAGCCGGCCATCAGCTAACAGATAAGCAAAGGTGCCTAGCGCGCTTGAGGCAAGGTGAACAACCTCGCAGTCTACCGAGGTAAGAATCTCTGTAGCCCATGTGCCCTGTTTCAAATTGTCAAGGTTAGCCTGTTCTATGGTGTCTTGTTTCACAATGATCAGATGGGACTCGTCCGCGGATAGTACTATTTGAACAATTCCAGCTTGCTCAAACTCCTGCAAGCACGCGATAGAATAGCTATCACTATCTGGATCAGCAGACAGAAGCTTATCAAGCTCCTGTGAGTCGATTATCTTGAGATTGTTATTAAGGTAGGCAAACAGTAGATTGTGTTTATTTGAGATTGCCAGCAAGTTATAATGATGTGCGTCCAAACCTTGGACTTCAGCCGGATCGAACAGCTGAATGGCCGGTCTCAATTGGAAGCCGAACTCTTCCAGCTCCAGTTGTTCCAAAGATGACATTGAGAAATTATTGTGCACCAAAAAAATAAAATAAAATCAGAAAAAAAATCGAAAATACCCGTATTAATTATTCTTTTATTATGGTCACAGTAAAGGCACAAACGTACATAGATAAAAGACGCTCACATGATGATTTGAGGAGTCTCGACATTGTCCTTGATAGATTTGTGTGGCAAAACCTTACCACCGTTGACGTAAACCTCGTCCTTAACGGTGACGTCCTCTCCAAGAACAGTGACACCCTCGAGTCTGGCCCATTTACCAACAGTAGAGTTCCAGCCCACAATGGTAGATTTGACCCAAGCGTGGTCCTTGATTTGAGAGTTCTTCAAAATGGTGGATCTTTGGATTCTGACACCGTCACCAATGATACAGTTAGGGCCAATAACGACGTTAGGACCGATCTTACATCCCTTTCCGATCTTGGCAGATGGGTCGATCAGAACGTTGCCACCGTTAACGTACTCCTCAGAAGTAGACGTGAGCAGCTTGGAATTCTTCTTGGTCAAAGCGGACAGGTAGAGACACATACCGGAGAGGAAGTCCTTTGGTTGACCAACGTCCATCCAGTAGCCTGGTAGGTCAAACGAGTACAGCTTCTTTTGCTCGACCAAAATCGGGAAGGTCTCGTGCTCGATAGAAGTTGGTCTCATCTCGATCAGATCGATGACAGATGGGTTCAGAACGTAAATACCAGCGTTGATTCTGTTACCAACGAATTCGACTGGCTTCTCGACAAATCTCTCGATGAGGTTTGGAACGTCTCTGTCGTGGACAATGACACCATATTTGGATGGTTCATCCACCTTGGTAGCGACAATAGTGGCCTCACCACCGTGGGCCGTGTGGAAGTCAAGCAAGTCCCTCAGTGGGTACTCACAGATGACATCAGAGTTGAGAACGAAGATAGGAGTGTTGTCCTTCTTCAAGATCTTCTCAGCGAGCTTCAAAGGACCAGCAGTTCCCAAAGGCTCCTCCTCGACGGAGAAGGTGATGCTAACACCGTACTCCTTCTCGTATTGTTTGAGGGCACCAACCATGACTTCTGGCTTGTAGTTGACGGCCAGCACAATGTCGGTACAGCCAGCGTTGGCCAGAGCTTCGATCTGGTGCAAAATCATCGGTCTGTTACCAAACTCGACCAAAGGCTTAGGAAGCGACAGCGTCAGAGGTCTCAAACGAGTTCCGTAACCACCAACCAAGATTAATCCTTTCATTTTATTCTATCAACGAGTGTATTTCAAAAAAAAAATCGACACGTCTTCAATTTTTTAGGGGGATCGTGAACATTATTTATATGGCGTGTTATTTATACACAAATAAAGTGGTAGAACCACCAAAACGAACAGAAAACACGTAAGCCAATTTTTAAAAAAGAAACAACACAGAATAGATTATAGTTACATTTTTGAATCGCCGCACTGACGCGTCAGGCAGCCGCATGATAGTGCGCGACTAAATTTGGGGGGCACGAGGCTTGCCGGGTAATATATATCAGGATGAAATTCTTAGCTCTTTGTGTTCTTCTTTGTGTCGATGCACAGCTTGCAGTCACTTTAGGAAATCCACCACCAGCCTATTGAACTCAGCAGGTTTATCGAGATACATATTGTGACCTCCACCATTAACGATTTTCATTTCGGCCGACGTCCCCTGCATCTTATTCAAGGAATTGACAGCAGCACGACCAGCGTCCGAAAACATAAAATCGTGCTGGCCGTAGATCCACAAGCTTTTTGTTTTTAAATTTTCCAGCCTGTCCAATATTGGTACCTTGGCCATGGTGCTAGAGTCGAAAATGCGCATGATGGCTGTCTCCGACACCGACGCAGCCACGTTTGTGTGGTAGACGTACCTGGCGAACGCGTCCAACTCTGCTGCGTCGGAGAAATTTTTTGATCTCGTGAATTTTTCGATGTTCCGGCTCATTAAAAGCCGCACAGCCACAGGACCCAGCAGCCTCAATAGTAAAAACGTTGGCATTCTCATATACCACAGGGCCTGGAATCCAGGCTTGATGGAGGGATAGCGGCCGAGAAAGGAGTAATCGGCCGGCGAGTACGAGCAGGCCATCGTGATATCGCCGGTTATGTTCCTGTAAGCCGGGTTGGTTATGGCGAACGGTGATCTTTCCACACCTCCAGGACTAGCTAAAACCAGCCTTCGCACGGCCGCTGGATACTTGATGCAGTAGGCGACTCCAAGGTAGCCACCTAGGGAGTGAGCCACGAGATCGAATTGGGGTATGCTATTGTTGCGTCTCCATTCTTCTATTGCTTCGACGTAAAAATTCACCACATGTTCTACCACAGAGTGCTGGTTTTTCAGATAGTTTTTAAGGTTTCTTTCTTTCAGAGTGAAACTCTCTGGAACATACAACGATCTATGCAGATGTTTCAAATGCTGGACTTTTGATTCGTCAAAGATGATCTGAAGCCGCGTTCTATTATCAGGGAAGGACGGTCCGTGGCGGCTGGAGAGCCCAAACCCAGGAAGATCCAATGCATGCACAATTTTGTTCCCTGCCTTTGCGAGAGAGTCTATATTTTTGAACCACCATCCGGACGACGCGGCATAGCCGTGCAACATAACTACGTGATTCTTCGATTCTGCGTTCTGGACGAGCACCTCGGAAATGGACAAGTTCCTGCTCAGCGGGGTAAATACCGTAGAGGCCCGAACTCCATCGATTTCGCGGTCGTAGTAGGGCAAGGCCATGCTGAACAACTTGTCGTGGGATGCTCTGTCGACGCGCCTGTCGCTTACGTGATTGTACCAGAGCTTTAGGGAGTCCTTCCAGCCATACTTTCGAGCTGTGGATTTGAATCTGATAAAAGACATAAGAAAATTTCGTACATAATATCTTAGCTAATAGCCCTCACCGTTGAAGTTGGTGAAACCTGTGAGCAGGAACACTTTATAGTAATCCTTTTTCCAGATGTTGTTGCAGAATTCGCAGCTCGACGTCGACACGGCGTCGACACAGGAGCCGGCAAAGTAGAAGTTGTCTGCTCCGGACCCGTCGAAACCGTGTTTGAAATAGTCGCACAGAATCGTCTTTTTTAGGTCTTCCACGGTCTCAAACTGCGAGCAGAAATACTGTTCCAGATGTGGGTCTTGGGCCAGAACGTCGATTTCCTGGATACACCGGTCGATAGGGATCAGGATCGAGGGGATCTGGATGTACTTGTCCAAGAAGAACAGCGCGTTTGGAACAGCGTCGTCACCAAGATGGATCACAGGAGTGCCGACCCAGTAGTCAAACAACCGTTGCACTTCGTAGAGCAAGTTGTACATTTTTTTGTACAACACAGGACAGGCCTTGACCCTGTTGAGTCCTTGTCCCGTATTGGTGAGCTTGTATTGCTGGCCGTTGAATAGATCGTCGTCTGCTGCTGCCCAGAGCTCGATCATGTCGCGCATCACGTGAGACCACAGCTCCAGGGCCTGTTTCACATACAAGTACTGTTTTTCGTGGTTGTGAGTGAGTCTGGCTCCTGCTTGGCCGTATCTGATTCCCAGAGAATACTTTGTGGAGCCCGAGCTCTTGAAAAAGTCGTCCAGCCGCTTTATCATCCTCAGCACCGGCAATCTATTTTTATTAGTGTAGGCGTTGAAGTCTCCGATGGAGTAGAGAATTTGACGCACCTCCTCTTTGGTGAGTCCGTCGGGAGACGAGTATCTGGACGAAAGTCGCTCAATGGCAGCCTCCTTGTGCTTGATCTGTCGGTTAATGACCGACCTCGTCTTTTTTTCTGGTCGTATTTCTGCTGTGGCAGAGATAATCAGCGGGTCGTCAAACATTTTGGTAGCAGACTTGTCGTTCTTCGACTCAATCAGACCCAATACAGTCTTTATGGGCGCATACAAATCAAATTCCATATGCTCCCGCACTTCAGGCAGCATGGAGTCCATCACAACATAGCACAGCTTGCCAAACGTGTCTCGCATCCGCTCCGGGTTCATGATCTTGTATCGTCTTCCAATCTCAAAAACCGTCTTGTACCACTCCTGATTATCCGAGAAGGTCTTATCCTGAATCAGTTTCTGGCCAACCTTCATGTTGGATGAGACCACCAAGCCGGCCAAAATCGAGCAAATCTCTCTGAGTTGCTCGACTATCCGCTTGGTTCTTGATCGATAGGACAAAATATCAACTCTGTCTGTGTATTCCGAAACGCTGAGCGTGGCTTCCAGCAGCCTCAAAAGCTGTCTCTCTTCATAGGAGAGTCGAAGAGGAATGAAACGGGCGTTCCGACGAATACCAGCTAGTATCGTCTTTTCTATTTGCTCGTCTTTCTTTTCCTCGTCCAAAGCCCCCTCAGGGGTGTCCTCAGCGGCCTCTGGCTGTGTAATAGGCTCAGCCTTCAACGGAACTAGCTCCTTGAACTTGTGGCGTTTCCTGGTACCACCTCGGTGGACGAACTGGAAACACACTCGACAGAAGGGCTCATTACAGTCCAAGCACTGAATTTCTGTTGCTGTGTGCTTACAATCAATACAGAAATCTGGGTTCACAGTATCCTCTTCGTCCTGAGGTTCGTCTTGCACTTCAGGCTCCTCCACGTCGTCCACAACCTGGTCTTCGTCCAATAGTTCAGCAAGCGTGCGTTTTAATTCCATGAAAAAAAAAATACGCCCTTGCACCAGTCTTATCGATCTGTAGCACCAACAGGAAAAGCTGGCAAATAAGGTGCCATTTGGCCCAAATTCCACACATATCGTCCCAAAAAGGAGTTTTGTGTCCACTCAAGGGTAGATCCAACAAAATCTAGCAAGAATTAAAGTAGATATTTTATCTCAACCAATTGAACAGCTACGAACGCCAAACAAGATCAATCCCGTACAGAGAAAGCCTCAGAACAACATATCAGAAGACGGGAGAATGAAACCTCACTTCTAGCACTCAATGTCTATATTCTGTGGTCTACCCTTATCGTATCGAACAATAAAACGGATAAATTTTTTCTGAAATTTTTTTAAGCCTCAGACCGGAAACTCCACCAGAAAAGTGAGTCCAAAACCCCAAAACCCGATCTATTACGACTCATTTTCACCAGGAGCCAGAACTTTTCCGCATGTGCGAACTGCAGCTAAGCTGTATGGGAACACATACCGCTCGATACGGGCGATACATTAGGATCGCGAATTAGCCTATTTGAAGATCACCAAGCATTGTGATTGTTCCGATGACTCTTGCAAAATGTTGGAGATCATAATAATATACAGAATGCTAGAGAAGCTATAAGCAATCACATTTACACAGTTGAGAGATATTTGATAAGTAGTTGGGCAGTGGTCACATTTGCTTGATTATTATATGCGGGGACACCATTGGTTATTTGGGCTACATATTGCCTGCGAGAGTCACCCGTAATTTCAAGTGTTTGTGACTGGTTTAATTTATTTTTCTGGTCGTGCACAGAACTAAAATGTATGCACATTTTCCGATAGGAATGATAACCGGTTACGTCAAAAGAAACAAAAAGTATCACGATCGCCAACCTTCAAGACAAGTTCGCTTTCAATTGCAACATACAGCAGCCATTGAGCAACATCTCCAGGCATTGAACTACTACTGGCAGCATTGACAAGCTTGGAGCCAGATCATTAAATCAATTGCTTGCATGTCGGAAATGCTATCTTCATTTGCTGGAAACTTTTCTTTTTGTAAAAAAATAATTTTTTTTTTCCGCCATGTTTCCCTTTTTCTAATCTATATAAATACTCCCCAGTGGGTCTATCTTCACTTGTTTCCCTTTTTGCTAGACGTTTTCCCTTTTGCTAATTTTTGCAACAAAATCTTATCAATCAGTCACAATTGGGTTTCAAGATAGCTAACAAGAGCTTAGAGCGCGAATTGCAATGTCATCTCTTCTTTACCATTTGGCTAATGTGGGCTCCACCAGACAGGTGGATGGATGCTTGACACCAAATTCTATCGAGCCAGTGCGCAGACTGCAAAGCGCCAACAACAAGGAAAACGATATTTCTGATATCTCTGATATGGATCTAGTGAAAAAAACAGACACTACAACGTCGATTTCTGCCACAGGATCATCTGAACTGGCTTCCAGCACAATTCCTTCGCCACCTCTCTCGCCATACATGAGAGGTACAACTTTCGATGAGAGCGATGCTAGGTTTGCACAGCTGTTGTTCCCTAAGCCTGTGAAGAAACCTTTGGCAGCAGAGCTCCCCAAAGAGGAGCCGCAACAACAAAAACCAGTTCTGCGCGAGATTAATGTGAACTGGGAGAAAAAAAGGAGCTTCCCGGTCGAGGATCTGAACGATACCACATTGTATATCAATCCTTACGGGGACCTCAAGACGCCTGGCTACAAAAAGAGACAGCTTAGATTTTTGTGTCAGTACCAATTGAACGTCACGTCAAAGAAATCAGCGCCTGCTGTTTCCGCCATGAGCTACCGCTACAGAACAACACCACGTCTGAAGGACTACGTGTCGAGCGATACCGAGACCGACAGACCGCGGACTAGAAGACTGGTTCGAGAAAATTCTGTGGCATTGGAGTCTGACGATAGTGCCACATCGAGACCAATGACCCCACGCAAACGCAAGCAGGCAGTGAAACGGTTCGACTCGCCATCTACAGCGTCTCCTCCGCCATACAATTTCGACTACAAGGCCATTCCCGATTACTCGCCGCCGATCTCTAGCCTTCCGAATAATAGTCGCTGTTTGAAAACGGAATGGAAGGGACAGGCAATGGATCTAAGCGAAGATCCTTTGGTCGGGGAACTGCATCCTGCCGAGGTGCAACTGGCTTCTACGCTGAGACTGCCTCCAAACGTGTATTTGGACTCGAAAAGGCGGATCTTCTTCGAGAAGGTGAAGCGTCTCCGGGCCAACTTGCCTTTCCGACGTACTGACGCCCAAAAGGCTTGCAAGATCGATGTGAACAAGGCCAGTAGGCTTTACGCTGCATTTGAAAAGATTGGATGGTTGGACGACTACAGGTTTGATGAGTATCTACAGGAATAGAATGGGACTGGGACTGGGATAAATCAGGATGGGATATGCATATTATAGGTTTAGTGTTTATGGACTTGGTTTATAGAATTCAAAGACTTTAATTCTCTAGGTTGTGAATGTGGGAAGATTCGCAATGTTTCGCTTTTCCCTGATCCGGCGACGTTTCATGAAAAGCCCAGCCACTGCGGATTTTAGGTTGACAATTAGTGTTCCTAATGGGGACAAACATAAATACCTCAACAATAAAATAGGACAATCAAAAACAGAAAATCTAATGTTCTCAGGCTTAGATTTAGCAAACGCACGTATTTTTCGTTCCTTCGAAACTATTCGAGTAAATTTGGAATGCAATGGAGACGTAAGCTGGGGGCCAATTATTTATGTTCTGGGAGAAGACTGTCTTTGGTGAACCGAATTTTCCTGCAACTTCTTTTTTTATAAAAACCAGTCTTTCTCTTCTTACAGTTCGTTCGAATTCAGCTACTCTAAAATGCAGTTCAAGCTCGCTTTGTTAGCTCTGGCCGGCTGTGCCTTTGCCGCTGAAACCACTTCGTTGAGTAAGTATTGCGTTCCAGATCGAGCGGACGGGACAACGTGATCCCAAGCATTGATTTGTCGAGATTTCTGATCTGGACAATCAGGAGGTGAAATGGCGGCACTTAAAAGCTCGAGACGAGGCAAAGTTGTCACGACCAGCGCCTGTGTGCCAAAGGGACACTATTGAGCCTCGCCGGCCCCAGCGAGGCTGAGTTTCATGTCCCTGGTTCTGTCGTCGGCCTCGGGTTCTTTTTTTAGAAACCTGATTTTCCACCCCTTTCAAATGCTCCTCGCTCAATCTGTTTTGAAACCCGTGCACGACTAACACTTTTTAGATTCTACCTTGACCTCCACCACCTCGATCTCGGTGCCATCAGGATGCTCGTTCTCGAAGACCCTGACCGCCACCGCTCAATCCGACCTGGACGACCTGTCCTCCTGTTCGGCCATTGAGGGTGACATCTACATCACCGGTGATCTGAGCACTGCTTCCATCGCTAACGTCAAGGCCATCTACGGCTCGTTGTCTGCTTTTAACTGCTCCAACTTGCAGTCCCTGAGAGCCGACTCCCTGACCACCATCACCAAACAGCTGGAGCTGACCGATCTGTACGTTTTGGACACCCTTTCGTTTGGTTCTCTGGTCTCTGTTGGTTCCATCAACTGGGTCACCCTGCCGGCACTGACACAGGCTGGTCTGGCTGCTGGAGTTTCTGACTGTCAAAGCATCTACATCTCTGACACTCAACTGGAGTCTCTCGACGGTTTCAACCCAATCAACGTCGAGACCTTCAACATCAACAACAACAAGAACCTGGCCTCCATCAGCTCGGACATTCAGTCGATTTCCAACGCTCTTTCCGTCTCTTACAACGGTGACGACACCAACGTGACGTTCGACTCTCTTTCGTGGGCCAACAACATCACTTTCTACTCTGTCTCGTCCATCTCGATGTCCAACATCAGCACCGTCAACTCTTCCCTCGGTGTCTTCGAGTCCAACGTCGAGTCTCTTGCAATTCCTTCGTTGAAGAAGATTGGCGGTGACCTGTCGATCATCGACAACGACGACCTGACCGAGATCGACTTCTCTGATCTGACTTCCGTTGGCGGCGGTTTCGTCATTGCTAACAACTCGAACTTGGAGACCATCGACGGCTTTGACAGCCTCACAACCATTGGCGGTGCCGTCATCCTCAAGGGTGACTTCGACAACGCCACCTTCCCAAAACTTTCCACCGTTAGAGGTGGTTTCGACTTGGAGACCACTGGTGAGGCCGACTGTGACGAGTTCAACACTCTGGAGAAGAAGGGTGGTATCCAAGGTGACAAGTTCGTCTGCTCTGCTGCCACCGAGTCCTCGTCTTCTATCAACCACTCCAAGACCTCTGGCTCCTCTTCTGCCACGTCCTCGGGCTCTAGCGACGAGTCGACCTCTTCTGGAGCATCCTCTTCCTCCCAGGGCGGTGCCGCTGTCAACACTATCTCTGTCTTTGGTATTATGTCTGCCTTGCTCCTTGCATTGCTGTAAACCTAGAGAAGCCAAGATGTTTGCAGCGGACTCTCCTAATGTACGATTTTGAGTACTGTATGCTATTTTAAAAGATTTATCATTAATGTTAATACAATGTATGCTATAAATTCGAGCAGATTTCCAAAATTTACGAAAAGTACGAGATACAGTTCTTGCAGGTTGCTTATTCTATTATTGCCGACACTCACAGTCCCTTGCCGTAATTGCCCTTCTCGAAGAAGTCCATGATCAGGGTCACGATGTTCTCCAGGGCGCTCAGCCACGCCTCCAGCTGCTCGGCAACCTTCGCCTGGTCAGCACCCAGCTTGGCAAAGAAGTCTGCTCTGTAGGGACAAGCCTTCATTGCAAGCTTGAAAACAGGTCTAATGAGCATTGTGTGGTATTTCGTCAAGGTCTTGCCGTAGGCGTCGGTGAAAGTCTTGGACAGCTCGTCGTTTGGTCTCGAAACGGTCTCTCTCATGGCGACAGCCGTGAACTGCAGACCTCTGCACAGCCACAACAGGCCCTGCGTAGCGATCTTCTTTTTGTCGTTTGCCTCCGATAAAATCAGATCCTGCAAGGTGCCTGCCTTGTCAGGAGCAGCAAGGAGCTTGGCGCGCACCTTGTTAATATTTCCCGTCATGTCGTTCTGGACAACTGCAAAGGCAGACGATCCCAGCAGATCAAACAGCTTCACAAGAGACTCGGCGGCCTCCAAAAACTCAGAAGTGGCGATCTTGCCGTCCTCTACTGGGACGTCGACAAACGACCTTTTCATCTCATCGAAAAACGTGCTCATGGTGAGTGTTGTACAAGTATTTCAAAAATAGAATTTGAATATTTAACGTGTCGTTGTGTTCGCGGAAAAAATTAAAATTTTCGAGGCACACGACGCTCAACATTTATTTAATCTCCTTCTGTATGTATTTTTGCAAGTGTGCAGGAGGCACCGGTGGCCATTGTCCAGCTCTCTTCAGCTTGAGCTTGTCTGCATACTTCAGGTTGGTCATCTTGGCCTCCCACTCGGCAGCCTCCTTCTGCAAACGTTCTTCGGCCTGGGCCAACGACTTCTGCTGCTCTTCGAACTCAGCTTTCTTCTTAGCAATGAACTCGGCAATACGCTGTTTCTTGGCCGCCTCAAACTTCTCGTTGGCCTCGGCAGCCTTCTTCTCGTACTCCTCCCACAAAGCCTGCTCCTTTTGGCCAACAAACGCCTCGTAGTCTGGAATCAAACGAGCCAGTCGCTGCTTGATCTTGAGAGCCTCCTCGTGCTCCTTCTTGGCATTGGCAATCAACTTCTGCTTCATCTCCTCGTAAACCTCCATCTCGCGTCCCTTCTGCCCCTCGGCATCCTCTTGTAACATGGGAAGCTCGTACCTGCGCTGTGCTCTTTCGAGGTAGTCAAATCTCTTGGCAGTGGCTTCAATGCGCTCTTCGAGGACCCTTCTATCCTGCTCAAGCTTCTCGATTTGCATCTTTTGAAGCTTTCTTCCATCAAGGTTCTCGATGTCGTCCATGTCCACCTTAATGATACCCTTGGCGTTGATCTCGTTCAGCAGCTTCTTTCTCTCGGCCTTCTGAATGGCTTCCAGCTCCTTTCTGCGCTTCTCTTCCAGCCTCTTGGCAGTCTCCTGCTCAATTCTTTCCTGCTCGGCCTTCTTGACGGCAGCAAGCTTCTCGTATCTGGCCTTCGTGGCAGCCTCCTCATCACGACGCTTGATCTCGGCCACCTCCTTCATTCTGTTCTCCAGAAGAAGAGCACGGTCCAGCACCTCTTGTCTCTCCTCAGCGAACTCAGCATTTGCACGCACGCTGACTTTCTGTTTCAAAGTCTTCTCATTCTCAGAAGCCAACGGGTCAATGAGTCTGACAGACTCTCTCAGGGTATTAGCCAGAGAGGAAAGCTGTGTTCTAATGATCTCGGTAGGAGTGTACTGGATTCTGCTCGAGACATTGAGAGGAATTGAGCTGAGCAGAGAGTTCTCTAGAGTGTCTGTCTTGAACGAGACAACCTTGGCTTCGTGGTCAATTTTGACGGAGAGTAGGTTGTTGGAGGCTGCTGCAAGAAGACGGCTCTCGATCTCAATTGGAGTGAGCCTGAATTGGCCCTCAAATGTGGACAGCTTCACCAGGAAGTCCAGCTTGACCGTCTCGTAAACCTCTGAAATCTGCTCAAAAAGCTTATCCAGAATGACGCTTGTCAGCGGCTTGATATACATGTGGAACTCTTTGTTCGACTCGATGAAGGCAAAGATGTCTTTGGCTTGCGAAGCAAACGAGATAGGATGCAAGTCTTTCTCCATCAACTCGTACAACTTGGCCAGGGCAGGATCAACGATGCTCAGAACGTTTCTAGAAGCCACCTGGGTCAACAAAGACTCTCTGGTAGGCACCTTGGAGAGGTTGAGCAACATCGACAGCCTGTTGTCTTTTCTCTTGGCAAAGTCGTCAACTTTGGAGGACGAGGTCACTGGAACGGACAGAACAGACAGCAGCTGCATAGATGCATAGTGCTTGAGCTCCTCGTCGGTAGCTATTGGGGATTGCACAAACAGGGAGAAGAACTTCTGTCTAGCAGCAGCATGGAACAAGCGGTTGTCGCTCACGTTGAAGATTTTGGCCAGGTTGTCGTAGTAGTTCACCATCATGCTTGGTTTGGGCTGTCTTTTCGATATCGTCATCAGAGTGTGCACATCCTCGACCGTACGGAAAGACTCTTGCCAGAGCTCGAGACGGACAGAAACGTTCAACTGGTTGAATCTTGTCTCAAGATATCTCTGAAGAGTGTCTGGGTCAGACAGATCAATCGGGTTCTCGATCTGGTGTTTAACAGCAGGTTTCTGTGTCACTGTCTGCAAATGGGTCCTCAGCATCTCGCACAGACGTTTGAACTCGGTCTTTCTGTTGTACTTGACACAGAAACCGAATGCCTGCGAAACAACCGCAGCATAGCCAACTTCCAGCTTGGAATTGTTTCTCAGGATATCCAAAACAGTCCTGTACGCCTCCCATAGAAATTTCAGCCAAGGAACAACAAGCTCTCTATCGGAACGGTCTTTGGTATCATCCGTGGAAACACTGGACATCAGCACGTCTTCTGGAGAAACAACGATCTGTCTGTTTTCGTCGTCCTCGTCCTCGTCGTCCGCCTCCAGTTGAGCAGCCTCAGCCTCCAAGGTGGCCGCGACGTCGTTGGCTTTGAGCTGTGCATCGTTCAGTTTGGCTTCTGCTTTCTCCAAAAACTTCTTCACCACGGTCTCCACAGACTCCAAGCCAGAGTCGTTGCTTTGCACGTTTTTTTTGTACTGGTGCAATCCGTCCTTCACTAGCTTCCCGCTCCTCAGATCAACACCCAACTCAACAAACAACAATGCAATAGGTTCCAGGTCCAGTGGTGCAACGGATCTGATGCGCTTGGAGGTGATGAAGTCGTACAGAGTCTGCAGAGCTGCCTCTTTCTGGTCAACAGCAATGAGGTCCTCTGCACGCCGCAGCGTGTTTTCAGGCCGGATGTTGTACGACGGAGCCATCGAGCAGATTTAAAGGTATTGGTCCTTTTTTTTTTTGGAAAATTTTACAGGCTTTCAAGACACAGACGTTTACCCGGCCTGCATCAGCAAGTCTGTCTGGAATTTACGTATGGAGGCTCAATGCAGATATAAAACAGCTCGGTTGCGCTTTAGAAAACTACGCAAACTACCGCACTCAATCACTTGAATTATGAGTGGGTTTCTATACAAGGTGTTGTTAAAAAAGGTGAGCATTTTGTCTTTCTCAAAGTCACTAACTTCTAGACAGGATTATCAGACCTGGTTCATGTGGGGCCCTACGAGGACCCTTATAACGAAATAATCCCGCCCGACGAGCTAAAGTTCTGGCAGCGTAAGGGAGCTAAAAGACGAAAGAACATTCCATCGCAGTACACGCCCCGGGACCGCAAGACCCTCAAGTCGGTTAGAGATAGAGCATATCACCTGGACCAGTGCTTCAGCGTGGCAAGCATTAGATTCGGATACAGCGCAATCATAGGGTTCATACCAATGGCTGGCGACTTGATCAATGTGGCTTTTTCATTGGCTCTTATTCGGAAAGCAAAAGAAATCGAGGGCGGGTTGCCAGACACGGTAGCAATCAAAATGGCGTTCAACGTCCTGATAGACTTTTTGATAGGTCTGATTCCATTTGTCGGTGATTTCATCAATATCGCGTACAAAGCAAACACAAGAAACTTTCAGTTGCTAGACGAGCACCTGGTCAAGAAGTACAGTATTGCCTTGAGCCAAGTATCCGAGCACCAATGATAACCAAGTGGACGATGTAATATTATTTATGTCAGTTTTATGTTTCTGAGGAATTGCACACTCTTTTTCACGTCGAACACGGGCGGCTTATCATCGTAGTATTCTGGTTTAGGCAAATATCTGAGCAGATTGTAGATCTCGTCTCGCACGGCAAACGGCTCAATTTCAGGAATTTCAATCTCCTTCAGTTTAATCTCGGCAACCTTGTCCACTGCTTCTTCTTTTCCTTTCAATGTGTACTCGTCCAGCAACTTGATCGCATTGAATTCACCAAAAGATTTGGACAAAAACTGGAACTCATTGCTATCAGGGAAAGCTTCTCTATATCTTTTCTCGAGCGTACGGATCGAATCGGCGTCTCCGAACTCCAATTCAATCCGATAGAATCGCCTGTACACCTTCTCTAGGGTTGACCGTTTGTCTTTGAAATTCTCGATGGATTGTTCCAACAATTTCTTGGAGTTGCCCAAATCGTTCATTGAAAGCAGAAAGTTCAAGTACGTCTCGACAAAAGCATACTCCTGTCCAAAGTACTTCATGGCAAGCTCAAAACACCGCAAGGCAATCTTTAAATCACTATTCTGGTGCTCCATCATTGCGTAGTCGACAAAAATGTGCCATGTGACTCCTTTGAATTTCCGTGCAACGGAAAATATACTACGCGCTTCCTTCATGCCTGCTGCTCTGCGACACGCCTTCATGTGCAACGAATACACATAGGTGATGCACTGGCCAAGCGTTGCCTTTGTTTTCTCATTTTCCTCGCTGTCATAGCGTTTTGTCAGCCTGTCAATAAGTCTATTCCAGGACTCTTTGACTTTTTCGATCTCGCTAGAGCGTTCGTATTGGCCAGAGACCAAGAGCACCAAACTTATGCTTTCTGGGTTCAAGACTAAACCGTGGTCCAGCACCTCCATACCCTGCTGAGATTTGTCGCTCGCAAACAAGTAGACAGCGTAGTTGTACCAGACTTCTGGCTGGAAGCGCAGATATTGGGTAGACAGTCTATAGACAAAGTTGACTCTCTTGTCTAATGATTCTTGCGGTAAGTTGAGCTTGTTGCTGCGCTCCCACGCGATCCAGCGTTTCCAGTGTTCAAGCTGGTTGCGGCTATTTTTCGCCTCGTCCGATGGACGCAAATAAGCCGTGAGGTTTATAAGTTCTTGGTTCAAAGGACGCAGTTTCATGTATTCTTGCGATTTCTCGTTGATGTGACGCCTGGCATTTGCCTGGTCTGTTTCGTTTTCAAAGTCGAGGTACTTTCTCCAGTTTTGGTCCAATTGGCGAAGGGGAGTGCCGATGAGCTTTCTATATAATGATCTAAGGTGCGTAACTTTGGACGACTGTTCGATGCTCGAAACGGGGTTCCACTCGTTCAGAAAACGGAAGTACTCGTCCCATATTTCCTGGCCGTTGATGAAGTCCAATCCCACGTTGTCAATGGCAAAGTCGTAGGCTTTCATTACCACTGCCCGAGCCTGTTCTCCTCCAGTAACAATATCGTTCACTTTCCTCACATACTTCAAGTACACCTTCCACAACTCAACATCAAACACCTTGGTGAGACATCTGGCAAATAGCGCCTCCACCTTGGCGTCGTCGTTCTTGGCCATTTCGTGCTCAATGTACTCTTTCCAAACCTCTCCGTCGTTGAAGAACACTTTGAGATACGCTTCGAAGGTCTCGACTGTTGGCGATTCATGAACAAGCTTCAGCCAAAGGGCTCTATCCAACGAGCTAGCAAGAGACTCGATGGTCAGAGGCTCGTCAAGTTTGCGTCTCTTGGTGTCCATACTTGATAAATTTATTTAAAAAATTTAAACTCAGATTTAATGTCGCTTCATCTCTGGGGTGCACCATTCGACGCAGAATCTCTTGCGACGGCGATTTTTGTCGCTCGAAATTGCAAGGACAATGAAATCGAAGTGCTATACGACTCCAACTACTTTCTCTCCCCAAATGGCAAATTACCGGTCCTACTGGAGGGAGATCTTGTCCTAGAAGGCTACAAAGAGATCGTGAACCATCTGATGGACAAGTACAATCTGTTTTCCATCTCGGTGGAACAGAAACTGCTAGACCAAGGTCTCATTGAACATCTGCTCACTAAGCTCGAGGTTATCAGCTGCTACAATTACTTTCTTAATAAGGACAATTTCGAGGGCTACACTAGAGGAATCTTCAAAAATATACTGCCTATTCCATTCCAATATATACCACCCCTCAACCTCAAAGCCCGTGCTGCGGCAATTTGTGAAACCGCAGGAATATCCTCAACAGAAGAGTCAAACCAACTGCGTCAACTCAAGGAGCGAGAAAAAACCTTGAAGGAAACTCCAACTCTGTCAAACTTTGACCACTCCCAAAGAAATGCTTCTCTTAAAGTGGTACTTGACCAAATGGACATCCTCACCAACATGAGATGTGTATCACTGCTGGAAGAGACAATCAAGCTGGTTAAAGACCTTGGCCTACCAAAATCATATCCTTCGTCAATTCTCTTTGACGCTTACATCCAGTGCAACACCAATCCCAACCTGAAGACCGACTTTGTCCTCAAATACCTCAAATCCTCGCACTCAGACCTCCTGCAGTCCCGTCAAGATATACAGCCACAGCCAGTCTCTTTTGTCACTGCAGTTCAGTCCCTGGCACGAAACTACCTCTAGTTACTGCTCCGGCTTATGAATTCCCGCATATATGTTGTAGTACACAACAGTCCCGTCGCGGTCACAAATCCCCAGAATAATCTTTTCCACTCCCAGAGTCTCAAAAATATGGTCCAACCGTTGCATTGTCACGGTGTCATCGACTAGCACCGGAAATACGCATTCCCGAACGTTGTCCGGGGTTGTGGCAAAGAGAACCTCAAAACCGTTCCTTGAAACCTCCTCCACATTAGTCCAGAGATGGTAATGTACAAGGTTCAATTTGACTTTCTCCATCCAAGGAAAAAATTAAATTAAAAAAAATATCAAACAGCTAAAACAGCCCAGTGTCGATGAACTCTTGGAACCCTGTCCCGCGCGCGCTGGGACAAACCAAACAGCATCTGCTGCGACGACGGCAGATGCTGGGTTCATCTCAGCCGGTGCGGCCCATCCAGCAGCTGAAACTGCGTAAAGTGCGCCAGAAAAGCCGCGGTCTTCTTATCTGGCTCTACTCCATCTCGTTGCTGACGTTCGGCATCTCGTTTCTCCTTTTGAACTCGCTTGTGCCGATCGATGTCATTTTGCGCTCGCTCACCAGCTCCATCATCGCATTCAACACCCTCGTCATCGTCTGTGCTTGCGCGCTGTTTCTGCTGCTCAGTGCCATCATCTACATAGTTCGCATTCTCAACATCAAACGGCACCTGCAAGACATTCCGAAACCATACATGCCCATCACGGAGAAAGACATTGGCAAACGAGAAGCCAAGTACATTGCCCAGCAGATTGCACGGACAAAGGAGATTAAGAAATTGGCAGGCCCTCAGGGCCCGCTGGACCATGCTGGCCTGCACTGCGGCCAGGGCTCGGCAGACGTCCCGCTGCCGGACAACTTGATATACGAGAACGTGGTGTGTGCCATTGGCGAAGACATAAAGTACCGCCACGCGCTCCACCTGACCAGCACTTTCCAGATCAAAGTCGAGCCCAATAAGACGCTACGGGACATAATATCCGCTGCCGTACAGAAAACAGATCTTCCTGCCCGCGACTCCGATCTAGTGGCGGAATTTCTGGCGCACTACGAGAAACTAAGGTTCAGCGGGCAGCCGATCACCAAGACCGAGTTTCTCACGTTCCTTCGCCTATGGGACCACACAAGGACAATACTGAAAAGACAAGTGTAGCACTGGACACAGGTACATAGTTATAGATATTTCCCTAATTCGACATTCGGCTTTCATCTAGTCAAAAACCAAACTTCCTGACGGGAGTGTTATTCTGGGAGACGGTTCATATAGTATATGGCAACGGAAAGACGGGAAATCGTCTGTCTGTCGTGGCAATGTCTCCTGTATATATTTTTTGATTCAATTGTAAATTTTTCTCTGAATTTTTTTTATATACACAGTCTGCCAACACAGGAGAACGTGTCACTAAGCAAACACGTTCTCCTGGCCGGCTTCCAACGCCGTCTCTGTTCTGTCGAACAGGGTGAAGTGCAGCGGACGGTGGAGCTCGTGGTAGAAGGGAATCGGGTTATCGAGCTTGAGATCGAACTCAAAGTCCTCGGTCCAGGCATTTGCAATAAACGAGTAGTTCCAGGTATCGATGTCGGGCACCAGGAAGAATCCTTTTAATTTATCCGTCAAGATCAGCGGCGTCTGCTTTCTAAATTCCTCCGAGTAGCCAGGAGCAACCAGCATCGAACCAAGAGCGTCCAGGTGCGACTCGCCCCATTTGTAGCCATCTGGAGTCAGCGAGCGACTGGAGAGCGTGACCGAGCCGGGAGTGAACGCAACGTTGACGACGCTCGACATGGTGTTCCAATTGAACTGCGACGTGAGCTTGCAATGAGTCAGCAGCTCCATGCAATCGTCTCCGTCGCTCGACTTGCCCGCAGGAACGGTATGGATCCAGCCAAGCGGCTCGAGACCATCGAGATACGGCGAACTTGGTAGCGACGAGGGAAGCTCCACACGGTGGTTGTCGCCAACCTGCGGAACAACGACCAGGCTTATAATCTCCTTCACCTGTGGATTGTCGGCTGGAGAGCGGCCATACATGTACGCGGCAACCTGGGTGCGCACGTCTCCCATCTTGATGAACTTGGAGAGAATGTTTTTAGGCATGACATAAGCATAGCTGTCGGTGTCAGCAAAGTCGCCCGACGAGACGAAAACCTTCTTGGCACGGAGATGGAGACTGCCGCTGGAGATGGCACGGAGCCGCCAGTCCGCGCGCGACTCGAATTTTGCCTGCTCGTGGTTCGTGGTGGTGACCGTGGTGATTTTTTCGCCGTGAACATTGGTGGTTTCCGTCTTCACCGCAGTCAGCTGCGAAGCCGGCTCGGCGGTGCCCTCTATGTCTGCGACCGTCTGCTGCTTGGCAGAAGGCGCACGGATGTCCTGTCCGAGAATGATGTCTCTGATCTCTGTGTCGGTGAGCGAGTTTATGTCGACGTTATATTTGGAAGCATAATCGCTCAGAATCAGGTCTGCCAGCTGCGTTTCCACGTGGCGCCACTGTTCTTCGCTTAGTGACGGCCACAGATGATGAGGCTTGGTCTCGATCGAGGAATCCGGCCGCAGAATTAGCTTTGTGCGCTCCTTGTTTATTTCCAGACCACGCATGATCACAACGAGCCGGTTGAACGCCGTGAACGAGGAGCATGTTTTCATCCAGTCATCGTAGATGTTGAACAGCACCATCTGCGGCTCCTTGGCCATGTTGACGAGGTCCAGCAACTTGTCGATCTTGAGAGCTGCTCCGAACGGCAGATGCAGCTCCGACGGCCGGATTTGGATATTAGGAAAGTCCAGCATGTGCACCTCCAGTGGATCCTGGATGCCCTTTCTGGTAATGATGAGCTGTTTTGGCTGCTCTTCGCGCGGAAGCGACCGGACCAGAGCAGCAACCTCTTCCGCAGACTTCCACTTGGACAGCTGCGTCCGTCTCTTCTGGCCCTGGAACGCGGAGCTGTGGATGATCTTGAGGAAAAGCTGGCCTGTTCTAGGGTTCAGAATGAAAAGCGCTCCATTGAGACACTTGACGGCAGTGTTACCTTCAAACGTGCTATGGGTTACCACCCGGTACACGTTGACGTCGTCCACAAATAATTTGTTCTCGTTATTGAACAGCTCTGCGTAGTTGCTCGACGACAAGAACGCCTCCTGTGGCTGGGCCTGGTACAGTTGCAGTCCCTTGCGGATTCTCTCGCGAAGAACGTACAACGCCGGGTTCATCTTCATGATAGTCTTCATGGCGTTCTGGATCAGCGGCTTCAGCTCTGGGAACCAGTTTCCGTACGCATCGTACATGTTGTACGCCAGATCAACGGCAATAAGCAGTCCCGTAGGACTTGGATACGTACTGGTGGCGTCGCTCGTGTAGTCCAGGAACTTTGCTCGCGCGTACCTTGAGATATCGTGCGAGTCGTAGTCACCGTATCGCAGCTGCACATCGAGCCAGAACTTGTCCGACTTGACGGCGTTCATCTGGTCGTTTGTGTCAAACAGCAGCGACGGACGGCTGCATGGCCATTGGAAAGAGCTCGTGAGAAGAATATCGGCCGTCGACGAGTTCATCTTGTACGATTTTCTCGGATGGATGGCCATTTTCTCAACGCTGTCGATTTGCAACTCGTCGAGCTGCGAGTCCAGGACCTGACAAAGGTCCACGACAATGCTCTCGTGGATTTTCTGCCACAAATGCGCACGGAATATCTGAATCAGCGAGATTTTCAGCGTTGGAATTTTTCCATGGAGGAAGATACCTGTCAGGTCCAGCTGGACCAGGAAACCAACATACACGTTGGCTCTGTTGATGGTTGGCGACCACCACAGCGTGAACCGACGGTTTGGAATTTGGGACAACCCAGAACGCTGCGCATTGGTGAGCTTCTTGAACTTGAGTGTATCCTCGAACCCAGATGCTTTTTCCCAGAAAAGACCTTCCCAGGACTCAAATCCGGTACCTTTGAATAAGGTGTGCTCCAATATCGTTTCTATGCCTCCAAGAGCCTGTATAACGTCTGATCTGTAGGCATTCAAGTTCCACAGCTTGCCGTCGTGGCGGTCCGATATCCACCAGAACGGATTATTTCTCGAGACGGAAAACTGCTTGAACTCCTTTCTGACTCGGAACCCTTTATCAATGGCCAGTGTCTGCCGGTCTTTCTGGAACAGAGTGCTGATCCGTGGAATACCACGATCCCAGTTCTCTTCCAGGTCCTCGTAGGTGAGTCTGCGTCGCTGTTGCTCGGCCTCCGTCCGTTTGATCGCAAACTCTGACCACACCCTTTGCGAGTCCAGGAATTCATTCTCCCAGGTCGTGATGTATCTGTATATTGTCGGAATGAGACGGTCGTCGTCGTGGGTCAGTCCAGAACGGAAATGCGTGATCCCGGTGTCGGTCTGCTTGGACCAGCGCAGGTCGGAAGCAGGAATCAAAATGTGCGAAGCACTCAACATGCCCAGTCCACCCAGCTCTTTTGGCGTGTAGAACACGGCGGGCGGGAACCGGGACGGCATCTTGGAGTTGAGCCCGAGCTTGATCCGGGTCTGGATCCGGGTCTCGTTCTTGACAATCGCATTGAGAAGCGGCTCGGTCGAAATCACAGCCTCGCGGAAATAGGCGAACATCGAGAGCAGCGTCGTGTTCCATTTGCTGGCCACTTTCGTGAACGTGGCCGAGCCCGACGTCATTAAGATCTGCCGCACTCTGTTATTGAATTCCTCCACAGACTCCTGCGAAACTTGCAAATACGCCTTGGCCACACTTTCCTTGGTATTTTCATCGTACAGGTCCCACACGCCTTCCTTGGAGCTCGTGTCCTCTAGCATGCGCTCTTTGGGGATGATACGGACGTCAAAGCCGCACATCGTAAACAGAATATTGGCATTGTCCTTGGAATACACCGAAGCCAACGTGTCTTCCCAGTCGATCGAAACAATCGAGTCTGGAACACGGCCCTGCATCTCCCAGAAAACAGCACGTCCCAGATGGACGTCGTGCCGCATAAGCTTCATCCGCGAGTCGCGCGGCCAACACCGCCGGTTGTTGTAGCCAACAATGTGTTCAAAATTCGGGTCTGGGTTCTCGGCCAAAAATTCCTGGATCAGCTCATCCGCCTCTCTCTGCGAGAACCGGAAGAAGATGTGCACCTTGTCCACGTACCGCGAATAGATCCTGATCGGCGACTTGCACTGTGTCTGGACATCTGTGAACTCCAAGAAGTCGTTGGGACGCTGAGGCGGGCCAGCTATCTCCGACGCTCTTTCCAGACCCAAAAGCAAAAGATCCACCACCAGGCCGTAGTACTGGAAGATGAAGGACGAGAACTGCAGGCCACGGATCAGCCCGTACTGGTTCACGTGGTTCATGTCTTTGAAGGTGATTCCCACGTTGTTTTTGGCAGTCAGGTAGTCGGCAATGCTGGAGTCGACTATCAGTCTGAGAAGCTGGTTCAACAGCGTGAAGTCGACTTTCTCAGCGAGCTTGTTCAAATTTGTCTGTAAAAGCACGTTGCACTGGCCTTCAGAAACGTCCCAAACGTTCTGCAGATTGGCAATACCCTGACACCACTTGTACACCAATAGCGGCGGGATCTCGCTATCGCTGGGCTTGACCCAGTTCGGGAACAGGCCGCGCTTGTCTGCCTCGTACCAGAGGTATTGGTCAAGATAGGCGTCCACTATTTTTTCCAAAGGTTCAACATCATAAACAGGAACAATGTGGCTGTAGTAATCCATCATTTCCAAAGTGACCTCCTTAAAATTGCGCTGTGTCAATATAGTCTTTTTGATGTTGGCCAAAAATTCGTGCGGGTTGTCATATGCCTGCTCAATCAGCGCCAGCTCTTCTCTTTCCTGCGAATTGAGCCGGCCCTTCGCGTTGTAAGTCTCCTTCAGGTTTTCCAGCGCAAGAACAAGGATCTTGGTGTCGTGCTTGTAGTTGACCGGAGGAAACGGTATTGGGATGAACTTGCGGCTCTCAAGCCAATGGACCATCGTCATGTAGACGGACACTCCTTCCTGCGGCGTCACGTACGGCCCTTCCTTCTGGAAATTCTGCTGTCTTTCCTGTTCGTTCTTCACCCAGAGTCTTGTCAGTCTGCCCAGATTCTTTTTGGCAACAGCCTTGTCCACCGCAGCACCAGCCTTGATCCGCTGACGGTTGTAGTGAGCAACAGAGATCCAGCCGTCGGCCTTTGCTTTGACGTAGCGCTCAATGATTTTTTTGATGGGCTCTGGCATTCCCGGAACGTTCCACGGGATGTTCGCTTTCCAGCACCTCCAGGCCTCGCTCAAGTGCTGCAAAATCGCCTTGCTCTTATTTTGCTTGATTCCTTCGGGAATCATGTCCAGAATGTCGTGCAAAACGGCAGCACGCAACTCCAAGTCATAGTAGGAGTCCACACGCTGCTTCGTGATCGTCTTGGCCACCTCTTTGCTCTGTCTGCCCTCAAACTGCCGAGCAAGCAAATTGCCCAGCCATCTCTCTAGAAGCGGCACGATTCCACGCATGAAAAAGATCCAGACGCGCCACGCCGGCTGCCAAAATCCGCAACCTGGACCTTTACCAATGACAGCGTTGAAGCGGTAGTAAACCACATGTTTCAGGTCTTTACAGGCTCTGATCTGGTGCATCACCTTGTATTTGTATCTGTAAATTCCAGTCAGCTGGCCCAGATGGTTCAGCGCATAGTAGATTCCGTCAGCCAGTTGGAACGCGTCCACGTTGCCAAGCCTATATTGCACATGTGCGTCGACAATGAGCTTGACAACCCTAAGAATCTCTCTTATCAAATGGAAAGCGTTACCAAAACGAGACTTTTTGCGCTCCTTGGTGGTCAGCGTCTTGGTAGGCTTGAGGTTGAAATTGTAGTCTAAATGCAGATAGGTGAGTCCTCGACGGTGGATCATCAGATTGAGCATATTGTATCCCTGGCGACAGACCTGCAGTCCTGCCTCGACCCAGTCGATCGTGGTCTGGTGGAAAAACTTGGTGTTTTTCAGCTCTTTCAGCAACTTGGCCTTTCCCTGTGTACTTGGCACTGTCTTGTGCAATTCGTTGGCCACATGACTTTTCAGAAGCCTCTGATACGAAACACGCACCTTGACCGGCAGATCTCGTGGTGCGTGCTGCAAATACCAGCTTTTGACCAGTGCCACGTCTTCGGCTCGCACGGTGCGGCCGCTGCGCTTGTTGAACGGATACGGAGCCCATAAAAGCTCTATGGCCTCGTAGGTGTTGTCCGACTCCAGTTTCTGGTCCTCCATGAACGGCTGAACATCAATTTCAAATGCTCCATCGTCTCCAAAATCAGCATCATCAGTTTGTTCCTTCTTAGGAGTCATTGAGTTGTAATTAGCTTGAAACTGGAAAGCAGGCAGTTCGGGATCCTCCTTGCGACTGAATACAACGCTGTTGTGGTGGTACCAAGAAAGCTGGACAGCCCTGACGGAAGAGTTGTAGAGATGCGGGAATGCGACGCGATACTCGGACTTGATCGGGTTGCGGAAGATGATTCTGTCGAGACTGTTGAACTCGGTGAAATCCTCGTTATCAGGGTCAACGTCCTTTTGCAGCGGCTCAAATTTGGGTCCTCCTGGAAGAGCCACGTTCAATGCCTTGGCTGTGAAAAAAGACTCGTTGTCAAATAAATAGTGGAAGTTCGGGTCAAAAATATCGTCCACTAAGGGCGTCGCAAGTCGGTATAGAGTGGCCATGATATCCAAGTCCAGTCTCCAAGACCGGTACGAGGGCCCATTCACTCGCGATCTATCATCCACCAATGGTTTTTCGTCATAAATCCAGTCAGTAACAGGTAAATCCTCGACATCCTGGAGTTCCATCTGTATAGCGTCCAGAGGCTCCAAATCTTCGATGTTCTCGCTGAAATTAATGGGCGGCTCTTCGTCGTCAAACACAGGAAATCTGATTCGCTTGAAATGTCGTCTGTCCTTCTTCTCGCGACGCATCTGTAGCCACATGGTGGCCCATTGGGCAATGTAAACAGGCTCGATCACTCGCGGAATCTCGTCCACAAATGTGATGGCTCCACTCTGGTGGTAGATGACCCGCACCTCTTTCACTGCCTCCCAAGGCTGAGGCATGTTTTCCAGTAGCTTGAGAACCGCATGAGGCATGTATTTCAAAGAGCCAAGTATGGATCTCTTCTCCTGAGAGAACTTCTTTGACGATAAGTCTCCCTGGTCGTTCAAAATCTTCCGCAGATGCTCCTTCGGCATCTCGATTTTGCGCGTCTGGACAACGCCGTGCGATTTTAGGTTACTTTCCCTATACCGACGTTTCTGCAGTTGTAACCAGCTACGGGCCCTAGTCTCCAATTCCTTTTCACGGGACTCTTTCTTTGACCCTTTTAGAGTTCCCGGTGCGCCTGGAGGTGGAGGAGGGGGCGTGTTTGTGCTTTTAAGACCAGGAGGCGGTGGAGGGACCTTGGTTCCATTTTTGGGCTTCTTAGCAGGTGGCGCTCCTGAAGTCCCCCTCGAGAGCCCAGGAGGTGGCCCTGAGGGAGGTGGAGGCTGTGTCGCCTTGGTCGGTGCCGATGGCTTTTCGGATGTCCCTTTTGGCGGTTTCGGTGGCGGTTTAGGCGGCATAACAAAATGACAAAATATCGAAAATTGATTGATATGAAAAATAATACAAAAAAATAAAAAAATAATATTATGCACAGCCAGAGACGTAGATGGGTATATATAATTAAGTGAGCGGTGGTAGCCGGGTCACGCGTTCCTATTCAAATTGACTCGGGCTTCTCTTGCAATGGATCTGGCTTCCTCTATTTCATGCGAAGTACCGTGGGTCATTTCCGATGCATAGTCATAAGCAGCCTGCCAGTTCTGATGGTGTAGCTCGTATCTAGCTAGCCAGAGGCGAGCCTTGGTGGTCTCTGTAGTGACTCCCTCATTAACTTCCTCATCCAAGCAAAATTTCATATACACTGCAGCGTTCGAGCTGTCTTTGATGGACTGGTACAGATTTGCCAGTTTGTAGAATATCACAGGATCGTACTCGTTCGACACAGACAGGGCTTTTTTGTACGCCTTGATCGAATCCTCATACTCGCCCAATTTCTCGCTGCAGTTACCAACTGCTTGCCACATCCGCTTATCTAGCGGCTTGAGTGCACATGCTCGTTGATAGTAGTACAGGCTGTAAAGATGCATATCCAGCACCTCATAGGCCTGGCCCAGACCGTACCAAGCACGGAAATCTTTGTTGTTTGTGTCGACAGCACGTCTGTAACTCTCAATGGCTGCGTGGGAGTTCTTGAGCTCAACAAACTCGTGGCCCATGAGAGTCCAGGCACTCAAACAGTTTCTGTTCAAGGCCAGAGCTCGCTTATAGTACATGATGGCCTTTTGGTGATCAAACTTGAGCGAGTAGTAGTTGGCAAGAATGCAGCACGTCTCAGGCCTAAAGTTGTCGATCTGAGACGCAAACTGGGCCAGAAAGGCCAGCTTGGATTTTTTCTCCATCACGTACAGAATGTTGGAGTATGTGTCCATGTCGTCCAGTCTGAGCGGATCGTTTTCCAGCACGTCGTCGAGAATGTTCTCAGCAGCGATGTAGTCGAGCGCATTATAGGAAATGAGGGCTTTTTGGATCTTCAGGTAGCTGAATCTAGGAAATATGTCTAGCAAGTACGACAGGTCTTCGTACAGCTCATTGAATTGCTGGAAGAATTCCTGGCTGATGGTAATCTTGAAAAAGCGCAGCATAACGTGGTACAGCTTGTTGTTCATGAACTTGGCATTCTTGGAGAATCTATTGAGCACGTTCAACGCCTCTCCAAAGCTCGCAAGATTGGCAATCAGCTCGGACCAGCAGGACCAGTTGAAGGGGTATATGGTGAGAGACTTGTAGAAACATTCTTGGGCTGCTGCGTTGTCCTTCAGCTTGGCTGCAACAAGTCCATTGAGGAAAAGTAAAAAGGGGTCCTCCAATTGCCCCCTTGTGCTCTGCATGCCATAGTTTTCCAATTCTTTCGATATCTCGGTCAATTTTTGATTCTGAACCTTTCCGTCCTGCTGGCCAAGCACGCCTCCCGTTTCATCATACTTGGTCTTCTCCCCGCTCAAATACATGGCATAGAGCCTCAGAAACAAGCCTCGCGGACTGGCACAGTCTTTAAGCACATGAGCACACCGATCGAACTCCTTGAAACTAAAATACGACGTGGCCATCAGCAGTTTGTCTTGCTCAGTAAACTCCAGAAAGCCGTCGTGAGAGTGTTCAGGGAGGAACGAGATCGGGGGCCTTTGTTGTGATTGTTGAAACACGGCCATTTTCTGATCGTTTGAGAGCGGACTCAAGCCGTTCAGCGCCTCGCTCGACCACTTGGCGCCATGGTATAGATGCAGCGACTGCAGGACTTTGGAACTCTCGATGAGCGCGAATCGCAGCTGTAGCTGTTGATCAAAGTCCATAAACAAAACTGAGAAAATAGTTACTGGTGTAGGGGTGCATTTATTGTTGTGAAACCAACAACTCGGGTTCGTGCCGCTGGTGCAGCCAGTTCAAGGGCCATTTTTTCTTTACCCGAGACAACAATTGAACTCGGAAATAATGTGTGAAAAAGTTTCCACCTTTGCAGGGGTTGCGAAGGCTCTAGACAATTACCGCATCCCACATGGGGGGAAGTGGCAGCGACCGGAATTCAGCCTGCAGCGCTCGCCTACACACGTGCTCGGCCCAGAGCAACCAACCGTGGGCATGCTGCTTCTCTTGATGGGGGCTGAGCAACCGACGTTGCATGTGGGCCTGGGGTGGTAAGGACAGACGGGTGTCCTGGCTGTTCAAGGCTAGCGATAGCAGCCCCAAAGTGCCGATATGATTGTTGCACTGCCCCGTATGCATTATGCAACCCCTGGAAACAATGACAAATGATGCTTTCAGGTTCAAAGAATTGTGGTCTTATTTTCCTAATTGGCCCTCTTGACGCACAATATTGGTGCTGATTCTGCATATGTCGCGTGTGCGCTGGCAGGTGTGCTAAGCTCAGAGCCCATTCAACGGCCAGCCTCATACCATATAAAAAGGCACCATGCGCCGCCAGGAAAGCCCAAGCTCCCGGGATGTCGCAAGCTATGCCAGAGTTCACTTGGATGGACGACTTCCAGTACGATTTTGACTCGCACCGGAACTCGCTTAGCAGCGTCGGAAGCTACGAGCCTGATTTGTTCGAGGTTCCGGATGTGATGGACGTGGCCCCTTCCTCTTCGCCTACCACCTCGCCGGAAGAGGAAAAGCCAGAGCTTGCTACCACAACAAAAACCCGTCGCCGGAGAAAAAGCACAACTGCCCGGTCGAAAAAGCCAATGACAGTAACCCAGCGGAAGGCCCATAATAAAATCGAGCGCAAATACCGAATCAACATCAATTCCAAAATCGCAAACCTACAGAAACTGGTTCCCTGGATGAGCAACGAGATCGTAGCCTTTGAGATCGATGCCGCGGGTCCGGACCATCTCCAAAGCCACGGGCTCGGTGGGAGGAAACTGAACAAGTCGATGATCCTCGACATAGTCACCAAGTACGTTGAGCACCTCAAATCCGACAACGAGGTTCTCAGGAAGCGGGTCTCCGAGCTAGAAGGACGCAACAAAGACATTAATAACAACACATAGCCAAGATCGAGCTGCCTGGGTATGATACTGCCACACCTGACACCTCATATATAAAACCTATTTAAAACACACACATTCATAATCTTTATTGATACTGTATCCAACACTGTACATCCGGACACCAACAACCACCATTTTATTTCCAGATGGAATCAAGCAAGACGAAGTTTGGAAGTCTGACGTACATCCGGAAGCCCAGGAAGCTGAGCTCGCGGATCCCGTACGAGGACACGTTGCTGGGGCCGTCGTCGCGTTCTTCGAAACCTCGTCGAAAATCCAAACGCGATGTTTACATCGCGTGCGATGAGGTCCCTCCTTCAAAACGGCCACATACAAATTCTGCCGACGAGCTGCTCAAAGACTTTGACATCTCGCGCATAAAACAAGACACAGACAAGCTGCTGAACCAGCTCGACAGCATCAAGAAACCAGAAAAGGAGGAGTCCAAGTATATCAACAAGCTCCTATCCAAAGCGGACAAGGTGGAAACGGACGAAGTGGTGGCGGTGGCCGAGGCCCAGGGGCCGATGAAACATATCTACGACGATACAGAGGCTACAGAGCGGACGGCAAAGAAGTACAGGACGTTCCGGCCCAAAATATACACAAAAAAAGAACTGCTGGCTGCCACCGAAAAATTGCTCGCTGTTGCAAGAGATATTTTAAATGGAAAGACAGCCTCGTATTTTTACGAGATTGCACGGGAATATGCAGAGTCTTCGCCCCGCCTTTCCGTGACAGACTCTGAAATAATAAATTTGCCCAAACAGAGGTACCATGGGTATATTGGGTCTATGCGCGCGAACGCCATTACGCAGCATTTGCTAAGCCAATTGGACGAGCTCCTCACAGATAAGAAGGCGAACAAGGTGCTGCAATTTTGGGGGCGGAGCTATTTCACGCGGTTTGTGCTCACGCCAGAGATCATTGCGAGGATCGTGAAACAGGACGAGCAGGTGGACCTGGACAAAGCGTACGACATGATGGAGTCCACCGCCGATTACGGGCTCTACATCATGGATCAGAAGGAGCTTTGATAAGCTCGGAGCTGTTGCGTAAGCCGTTACGTCATGGCTGGTGGGAGGTGGCGCGATCTGAAAATTTTTATCGTCGGCAACACCTCCAGTCTTATTAGACCTGTGAAGGAGTTTAGTGTGATGTCTGTGGTGTTCCCAAGAACGTGTTACAAGTGTGGACAGGTCGGTCATTTTGCCGACGCTTGTCAAGAAACCGAGCGGTTGTGCTACAACTGCAAGCAGCCAGGACATGAGTCTGGCGAGTGCCCGGAACCAAAGCAGACCACGCAAAAGCAGTGCTACAACTGCAAGCAGACCGGCCATGTGCAGAGCGAGTGCTCGGAGCCACTCAGACCGGTTTCCAAGTGCTACAACTGTGGCAAAATCGGCCACCTGGCCAAAGGCTGCTCTGCTGCTAGGGGCGGACCAAAGGTCACGTGCCACAAATGTGGTGGCCTGAACCACTTTGCCAGAGACTGTCAGTCCGGCGTTGTCAAGTGCTATGCCTGCGGCAAGACGGGCCACATCTCCAAAGACTGCACCTCTGCCAGCGGCGGGTCCAACTTCAGCGCCAAAACCTGTTACAAATGTGGAGAGTCCGGCCACATTTCCAAGTTCTGCGAGATGGAATCGGAGTAAAGTACATAGTGGTTATAAGTGGTTATAATTATAACGCAAGAAATCACAACGCCCTGTAAATGCTGTCGGCCACGAGCGCGACATCTTTCATCGGCTCCAAGTCGTGAACGCGCACAATGTCTGCGCCGCTCGCAATGCATGCCGACACTGCTGCCGCTGTTCCGAAAACCCGCTCCTTTGGCGGCTTGCCTGTGATTCTGCCAATGAACTGCTTACGCGAAGGCCCCATCAGCACGGCCAGGTCGTCAAACGCAGTATACTCTCCATTTTCGAGCGACAGTTGACGGTACTGTCTGAGCTTTTTAAGGTCTCTTATCAGTTCCAAGCTCTGCTCCGCCTTTTTCGCAAACCCGAGCCCGGGGTCGATTACCACCTGCCACCGCCGCACTCCAGCTTCCTGCAACTTTTCGAAAGCAGCACCAAGTTCGCGGCACACGCCGCCCATGACAGGACTGTAATCGGAAAACTGCCTGACTCCCCCGGCCGCGACCTCGTCGTAGTTCGAGAGCGCGTTCATCGTCTCGATGTTCCCGCGCATGTGGCCCAGCACATAACCGACACCTAACTGCGCCACAGACTCGTACATTTTATCGTCAAGAAGCCCGCCACTCACGTCGTTGATAATATCGGCTCCAAGCCGCACACTCGCGCGCGCAACTTCCGCCCTGTACGTGTCAACGCTCAAGACAAGCTCTGGAAACTGCTTGCGGATCTGCTCCACCACAGGAAGCACTCGATCCAGCTCCTCGGCCTCGGAAACCTGCTCTGAGCCCGGCCGCGTCGAGCATCCGCCCAGATCGACAATGTCGACGCCGGCAGCCACCATCTGCTCCACCCGGGAAAGCGCGTGGTCAACCAGTAAATTCGCGGCCGCCCCGTCGCTGAACGAGTCCGGCGTCACGTTCAGAATGCTCATCAGCAGCGTCCTGCTGCCATATGGCAACATCCGTGCACCAGATAGGGGAATGACCGGTTGCAGTTCGTCTGATCTGGTCGTCTTGCGCAGCTGATGCCAGTGGCTGTGAATCGGCTCGGCGGTGACCGGGTGCAGCGTGTCTGGCGGCACGAGCTGGCACAACGGCGCGAGCACAAACGGCCGTTCCAGCATGCTTATGTGAGGAATGGTGAGGTCTGGAGAGTTGTAGATTGCCTCGTCGTAGAGAATGATGTCGAGGTCGATTGGCCGCGGGCCGTTGTCGAAATGTTTCACTCTGCCGAGCACCTCGTACTCGATCTCTTTAATTTGTTGCAGAAGGTCCTGAGGCTGTAATTCTGTCTCCACTTTGATACAGCCATTGACGAAATCAGGCTGGTTCAGATAATACATTGGGGCGGAGCGGAAGAGCGAGGACGTGGCTCGGACGTTTATGTTTCTCTTTGCGAGCTCGTCGAGAGCGGTGTTGATGTTAGTGAGCTGCGAGCCCTGGTTCGATCCGACAGCCAGGTACACGGTATGTGTTCCATTTTTGACAGTGGTTGTTTTGCTGAGATTTGGGACGTATTCCGACGACCGGAAATCTACGAGTGGCTGGGACTCCATCTCGGCCCTCGATCTGGTCACAGAGACGCCGACGCCGTCGGTCTCGCCGATAGCCTTTGGTTTGAGCACAGACACTGTGCAATGGTGAGCATTTTCGGCCGTTTGAAATACTAGCTTTGCCACATTCAACACGAGCGCCTCGACCGTTTTGAACTGGGACTTGGAAACGTAATTCTTTGTGCTCGAGACAATTTCGTCGACAGAAAACTCGCCGTCCAGGTCCACTACAAGATCCAGCACCACAGGCTGCTTTGCCAGTCTCTCCTCCTTAAACACCCCTATAATGGTGTCCACGCCGAGGTTCGCCAATCTCAGAATGACTTTTGGCGTGCTTGATCTGTCGCGGCTCATTTCGACGGCCACATCGCAGTCCTGGTGGTCTATGTTAAATGTCAGCGTAGCACGCTCGCAATTGTTGCTAAAAAGCACCTCGTTGAAAATACCCTCGCCAAGCTGCAAAAGCGAACGGAAGCTGTTGTGGCTATATTTCTTCTCAAAAGAGCGGAGATCGCGACTCAAAACGGCATAGTTGATGGAGTACCGCAGATCGTCGTCAGTGCTGGCCTGGCCAAAGTCTGTGATCAGGTCCGTCGACAGGCTAAGCGGTGTCTGGCGCCCGTTTATCAGGCCGCAGTACCGCAGATTTTTAATCGAGACGGTGTCGCCGGTATGAATTCGCCGCATAAACGGCAGCCCGCGTGATCTGACCAGAGCATTAAACATTTGATTTTTTTTTTAATACGAATTTTTTATTTTCCCATGTCTCTTCGCTTCCTGTCAACTGCACGGGCGCAATTGGCCGACATCGTGATTATTGGCGGCGGCCCCGCAGGACTCACGCTGGCGGCGGCCGTGAAAAACTCGCCGGTCTTGTCGTCGCTCAATTGCAAGCTCGTGGAAGGAGGGAACCTGATCGGACCACTTAATAGCTTCAGCCAGAATCCGCCCTCCAACTTCACCAACAGGGTCGTGTCGCTCACGCCTTCCACCATCTCCTATTTGTCAGACATTGGCGTCTGGAAACACATCAAAGAGGACCGTGTCGAGAGCTACGACAACATTGTTGCGTGGGACGGGGTCTCAGGAGCCCAGATCGACTTCAACGGCCCGTCGCTGGCCACCATGTGCGAGACTACAAACCTCCAGTCTGCCCTGCTTGCGCGGATTGAGGAATTGAACGAGGAGACTGGCATAATGGACAACACCAAGGTCGAAAACATCACGAGCGACGAAACTAACGGATGGCCTGTGTTGCAGCTGTCCAGCGGCGAGTCTCTTAAAACACGGCTGCTTGTGGGCTGCGACGGGTACAACTCGCCGGTGCGGAAGTTTGCGCAGATCGAGAGCCGCGGCTGGTCGTATAATCGTTGGGGTATTGTTGCTACGCTCAGATTTAAAAACGGCGAGTTCAGATACCCTACAGGGTGGCAGAGATTTTTACCAAGCGGTCCTGTGGCGCTCCTGCCGCTGCCAGATTACTGGACGAGCCTGGTGTGGTCGACAAAGCCGGAATACGCCGACATTCTGTTGAAACTCGACGACGACGCGTTTCTGGCCATGGTGAATGCTGCCGTGAAGCTGCCGGTCGAGGAGCTAGAATTTTTGTACAACCAGGCTCACGAGGACCCGGAAAACCTCGTCGGCGAGATCACGTGGAGACTGAACGTCTTCAACGACAAATTGTCGCCACAGGAGATGGAAACGTACCCTCTGGAGCTCGACACCATCGTGGCCAAGTCGCGCGCCAAGTTCCCGCTCAAAATGAGCCACGCAGACACGTACGTGGAGGACCGTGTTGCGCTTGTTGGAGACGCCGCGCACACGACCCACCCTCTTGCCGGCCAGGGTCTGAACATGGGCCAGGCCGACGTGAAAAGTCTGGTGGCAGTGCTGGAGAAGGCGATGGAACGCGGCCTGGACATTGGCACCAAATTGGCCCTGGAGCCGTATTTCAGCGAGCGGTATCCCGCCAACCACGTTCTTCTAGGCGTCGTCGACAAGCTGCACAAGATATACTCTACAGACATCGCTCCTATCGTGATGGCGCGGTCGTTTGGTGTGAACGTGCTCAACACCGTGCCGTTTGTCAAGGACTACATGGTGAGCAGGATGGGCGAGTAGTGTTCACGTGAATTCGTTTCTATTTCGTTTGCGCTTCGTGCTCTGCGAAAAGTCGACGTGGACTTTTCTGTCGTCGATAATAGCACCTTCCATTTTACGGTACGCCCGTTCCACAGCAGACTTGCTGGTGAACTCAATAAATCCGTAGCACAGCGAGTGGCCAGTGGCCCTGTCTCTGATGATCTCAACCGACGTTATGTCTCCAAAACGCTGAAAAATTAGGCGCAGGTCGTCCTCCGTGGTGACCGGGTTGAGCTTGCAAATAAATAGCACTTTCTCGCTGGGCTGGATTTTCGCTGAGGGCAGGTCGCCCAGCACTTCCAGCGTGAGGGCGTGCGACTCGGCCTTGATGTCTTCGAGAGCACTCTCGTCCAGAAGAAGTCTGAACGAGTCGATCTGTTTCTGTGTAGGGTACGGACTAGGGGGTGCTTCCAACAGCAGCGAGAACGGGTCGTCCAGCACAAAAGTGTGCAAAATCCGAATGTCTTTTAGTGGGCGGCCGGTCTCGTCGAGCACGCAGTCGCTGATGTACTCCAACGTGGTGAAACCCTCGCCAATGGCTCCAAAGACATGGCCGCGAATATCCGTCACAGGGCCAAGAGAGATGGAGAATTCGGGGCTAAACTTGTCCCCGTTGGAGGCGAATAGCACCTGGCCCACTTTTTCTGGATTGAGGCGAGATGACGGCGTATAGTCAATGTATTTATTTGGCTGCGGAGCAGCAATAGGGTCTGGAAAGCACGGGTTGCCAGAGTCCACGGCGACGTCTTTGCGCACGTTCACAAACGGCGAGTAGTGGTAGAATTTGCTCAGGCAGAGCGCAATAAATGTCCTGGACTCGGTGGGCGCGCTGTCCACGAGAAGGTCGATCACCAGATTGCCAGCATTGGTCTCCAACAGTACGCTCATAAAATGGAGATTAAAATTTTACTAAAAGTACACCCCACACCGTAGAAGACCATCTTGGGATAGGCGTGCCAGATGCAGCTCCCGGAGTGTCCTGTCGTGGAACCCCTCAGCAGGCCGTTCAAAATAGGGTGTCGATAATTTCACTGTACCTTATTCGCAGGTCAATCGAGCTGCTCCCAACTGATTTGTCAGACACCCTGGGCGGGCCGGAGCCACTCAAGGTGCACTGGCCAATTGCACTGGCGTGTTGCACGGCAATTTGTGCTCAGTCTCAGGACAAATAAGCCATGCTACAGAGGTCCAAATTTAGCAATCTGTTCGCTACTCCGAGAATTGCATAATAATATTATAAAATGGATGCAATGAAGAGCTATTTAGTCGCTCAGCGTCAATCTTTCCACTTCTCCACCAATCAGCATGCCCGGATGGGCTTTAGCTGTAATTACCAACACACAAGCGCGCTGCCAGCTGCCCAAATATGCGCCAAAGAAGGGTCGGCCGACCGTTGGGGATCTGTTTTCGAGAACTGGCAAATAATAATAGCTCTCTTATTAATTCCCGATTAGGCATGCAGGAGCCTTCTGTATCAAAAATTCGGAGACTATTTAAGAAACTGATCTCGCCTAAAATTTATCACTGCAAAATGTCTACTGTGGGAAAGACAATCACCTGTAAAGCCGCTGTTGCCTGGGAGGCAGGCAAGGACCTCACCATCGAGACCATTGAGGTTGCCCCTCCAAAGGCCCATGAGGTCAGAGTCAAGATTGCCTACACCGGTGTTTGTCACACTGACGGATACACCTTATCAGGTAACGATCCAGAGGGCCAATTCCCTGTCGTTTTCGGTCACGAGGGTGCCGGTGTCGTCGAGTCGGTTGGCGAAGGCGTCACCAGCGTGAAAGTCGGCGACCACGTTGTCTGTTTGTACACTCCGGAGTGCAAAGAGTGCAAGTTCTGCAAGTCGGGTAAAACCAACCTTTGCGGCAAAATCAGAGCAACCCAAGGTAAAGGTGTGATGCCGGACGGAACCTCGAGGTTCACCTGCAAGGGCAAGTCGCTGCTGCACTACATGGGTTGCTCCACCTTCTCTCAGTACACCGTTTTGGCCGACATCTCTGTCGTGGCTGTTGATCCAAAGGCTCCGATGGACAGAACCTGTCTGTTGGGCTGTGGTATCACTACTGGATACGGTGCTGCCACCAACACGGCCAAGATCACCGAGGGTAGCAACATTGGCGTGTTTGGTGCTGGATGTATTGGTCTATCTGTGATCCAGGGTGCTGTGCAGAAAAAGGCCGGCAAGATCATCGTGATCGACGTCAACGACGCCAAGAAGGACTGGGCTTTCAAGTTTGGCGCCACCGACTTTGTCAACCCAACCAAGCTCCCAGAAGGCCAGTCCATCGTGGACAAGCTCATCGAGATGACCGACGGAGGCTGCGACTACACGTTCGACTGTACTGGTAACGTCCAGGTGATGAGACACGCTCTCGAGGCCTGCCATAAGGGATGGGGAGAGTCCATCATCATTGGTGTCGCGCCGGCCGGCAAGGAGATCTCCACGAGACCGTTCCAGTTGGTCACTGGAAGGGTCTGGAGAGGCTGTGCTTTCGGAGGTATCAAGGGAAGAACCCAGATGCCGGGTCTTGTGCAGGACTACGTTGACGGCAAGATCAAGGTTGACGAGTTCATCACCCACAGACACCCACTGAAGGATATCAACCTAGCTTTCCATGACATGCACAGGGGAGACTGCATCCGTGCTGTGATTACTATGGATGAATAGTTTATAGAGGAATGCAGATACGAGGAGATGACATGGACAGAGTGCCGTAGTGATTGAAGAGCTGGATCGAGAGCTGGATCGAGAGGGTGCACATGAGCTTGTTTGCTGTCAAGCTTTTTGTCTCTACTTGTTGGATTGCAGCGGCTAAACTCATGTAATCCGCCGTTCTAGTATAGTGGTTAGTACTCTTGTTTGTGGCACAAGCGACCCAGGTTCGATTCCTGGGGACGGCATATTTTTGGACTAAATGTTTCTCGATTTTATTTTTTTGGCCAAATCTAATTACATGCAGCTTCCCATCATAGATAAATAGTATAAATTATGTATAAACCTCCTATTTCTTTCCGAATTTGAACGCTGGCAGTCTCCACTTGCGCACTCTCAACAGGTAGTACATGGCCAACATCGCAAACAGGTTGAAGCCAATGTAAACGCAGAAGAAGCCAATATTTCTCCATCTGTGGCTGTACTTCATGCCCACAGTATCCATCCATTGGTCACCAACTTTGTACATGCAAACACCGCAATTCGAGGTGGCATCTGGATTCTCGACGTATCCAGAGTAGTTCTCAAAGTACTCAGCAAGGTAACTTCCACAAGTTTCACCTTGAGGTGGATCCAAGTAATTAAGCTCTTTCTCGGCGCAGTGGACAGGTCTATCGTGCAGCAGGATTCCGACAAGGTTCTCAACCATGTAGGTGAAAGGCGACACCCTCCACATGAAGTGCCAGAATCCTGGCATAAGACTTGGACTTTGCACCACTCCACAGAAGGAGACGATGAAGTTGAACACCAAACCAATCAGCACGTTGGCAGAAGGCAGGTCTGGAGACGAGTAAACAACAGCCAATCCCAACGACACATAGTAGAGCTGGAAGAAGATAGACTGGCAGAACCACCAAAGTCCTGCTCTTGAAGGCTCGTTGTCAAGCTGGATAGGGAAGTACCAGCAGATAAAGTAGACGGTACTGAAAGCGATGGAGTATGGCAACTCCACAAGGTACTGAGAGAGCAACAGACAGGACCAGTGGAAAGTATTGGACTTGGACTCTCTGACTTCGAACAATTCTCTCGATTTGATGGCTCTTTCCTGGATCTGGTTGATCAGTGGAGCACAAACGACGAGAGCCATGAAGCAGGCAAACATGAGGTTCTGCATACCAATTGAGGTGTGCTTGACGTTCCAGAAAGAGAATCCAACGAGCAGACCGGCGAGAAGCATCAGCATGAACTTGGACATCACATAGTCGACGTCTCTGTAGAACTGCAACCATGTTCTCACAAGCACGTTCTTGAATTGCGTCCTGTAAGGAACAGCAAACCGAGATTGCAAGTGAGACTGGTCTGACGACTGCAAGCCCTTGGTGTCGTTGATCAGTTTCTCGACATCTGCGCACGTTTTTTCGTACAGGCTGCTGTTTTTCCAAATCTCGTACCAGTCCTGGTCAATAACGGCGGTGGCACCGGCTCCAATGACCTCCAATATGTACTCTGCAGGGTTTTCGCTGGCACTGCATTTTCTGGCGCCATTTGACTCAAAGTAGTCCAACATAGTGCGCGAGTTTGGTCCAATGTCGCCGAAGTAGACGGTTTGACCTCCTCTCTTCAAAAGAAGCAGACGGTCGAACTGCTCGAACAAAGTGGCCGAAGGCTGGTGAATAGTACACAGAATGGCCTGGCCGGCGGCGGCTAGCGATCTCAAAACTTGAACAATGGCCCACGAAGACTGGGAGTCTAGTCCAGAGGTAGGCTCGTCAAGGAACAGCAGCAACGAAGGCTTGGCAACAAGCTCGGTAGCAATCGACAGCTTCTTACGCTGCTCGACGTTCAAACCATAACCGATGTCTCCTGCAACGGAGTCGGCGTACTCTTCCATATTCAAGATATGCAGAATCTTGTCGACATATGCAATCTTCTCTTCGTCTGGAACGTCTGCTGGTCTTCTCAGTCTGGCAGCAAAAATCAACGACTCACGAACAGTCAGTTCTGCAATATGCAGATCTTGTTGCTGGACATAACCGGTTCTTCTCTCAAACGAGTTGTCGATCGGCTTACCGTTGATCAACATGTCGCCGGTGACAACACCAACATCGGTTCTTCTGGACAAAACATTAAGCAGTGTCGTCTTTCCGGCACCAGACTCGCCCATCAAAGCAGTCAACGTGCCTGGTAGCACATACCCTTGCACATCATCCAAAAGCTTACGGTTCTCTCCTTCATAAGGAACAACGTAGTTAACGTGCTGCCACATGAAAATATCGCTCGAACCCAGTCTTTCTCCGGTAGTATCTGCGGTGGAGTGTTGAGCCTCGTCAGTTTCGCTCTTAGTGTCAGTACGCGAACCTCCTGCGCTCTCCTCGTCGCTCTTTGGACGTGCTTGGCCAGTGGCTTCCAAAAGAGAGTCTGGCAATTTAGCTCCCTTCACAAACAAGAGCTGGTCAGAGCTAGGCACTATTGGATTGTACGCCTCGACAATGACCATGTTTATGAACAGAAATCCAAGGACAAATCCAATCAAGATTCCAAAGTTTCTCCAACAATGCGAAAAAGTGTACTGGAAACTGTAGCTGAGGTAGATATCTCCCGAGACGTAATCGCCAGAACCATAAAGAGCCTTGGAAGCACTGGCTCCCGTGAAGGCACACACTCTGTTATCTGCACTGATATTTTCGTAGCCAGGACCTCTTGGAACGATCTGAGAAGGTGCACAAGCCATCTTACGGCCTCTGAACTCCAAACTGATGAGGGCTTCGAAACCGTACAGAACTGGGTTCATGTACGAGAACCACTTGAACCACCAGTACATTGACGGCCGCTGGATCATATAGGAACTGTATAGAATGGTGGACATCATGATGATACCCACGAATCCATTGGCTGCGGATAGCGTTGGGGACAGAGAGGCAATCAGAATAAACAGACAGTTCACTGCCAAAACAGCAACGTTGATGAACAGAATGAATGCAAAAAATGGGCCGGCTTCTCGCTTCATGTTGGACAAGAAGTAGATAATTAGCGAGAACACAACAATAGCAACAGCTCTTACAGGTGTCTGGGTGAGGAAACTCGACACCAGATCAGCAGACGGATGGAAAAACGAGTATCCTCGTTGTTTGTTGGTGATTGGCTTGTTCTCGAAGAAAGCAGCAATTTCGGCCAAACTCATGATACAGAAGTAGAGGAAAGAAAAGAAGATCACACCTCCTCTAGGGAACGAGCCAATGGTGGACGATGGGGTATTATAATAGAGGGAACCGACAATTAAGGCCTGGATTGTGGCAGCAATCACCAGAGTGGCCGTGTAGGCGCTGTTGTTGGCGATGTTGTGGAATCCTCTCATGGTGCACAATTTGAGTTGCTCGAAGTAGTTCACCACGTATTTGGATTTGGCACTAGTGAGTTTCTGCTTCTCAAGAGTGTGCACGGAACGGAAATTATCATAGGTTGCACCAGGGTTGTATGTGGCCTTTTTCTCGGCAATCTTCTTCATCAGAGCGTCGAATTCGGGAGATGACCGCCAGCGGGCCTCAAACTCCTCTGCATTTCTAGGCACCTTGTGTTCGAATCCTGGAGCGACTTTTCTGGCAAGCGGATCGGTGACCGAAGTCAGGTACTCGGCACTGGTTTCTCTGGCACCTTTGACAAATCCGAGTCTCTGGAAGTAGTCAACTGCATCTTGGATAGGACCAAAGTAGATTTGTCTTCCGTAGTACAAAACAGTAACGTTGTCGAACAATTGGTAGATGTTTTCTGAGGCCTGGTAGATGGTCACAATGGAGGTCGAGTGGGTGATATTAGTCATAGTACGGAGAGACTCGACGAACTCCAAGGCAGTGGAGGCGTCCAAACCTCTAGTAGCGTTATCGAAACAGTAAACAGAAGCACGAGTAGCCATGGCCTCAGCAATGGAAACACGCTTTCTCTGTCCACCAGAAATACCTCTCACGAAATCGTTACCCACGAGCGTCTTTTCCACATGTTTCAGACCGTACAGTGTCAAGTAAAGGTCCTTAATGGTTCTGATGTACTCAGACCGGGAAAGGTTATCAATTCTGACCTTTGGGGTCTTGCAGCCGATGGCGAAGTTCATCGTCTGTTCCACAGTCAGATAAGGGTAGTGCACATCCAGCTCTGGATTGTAGATAACCTGGTTCTTGAACGACTTCATCATTTCTTTCTGGGGAATTCCATTATAGATAACCTCACCAGACGTACCAATATAAGTCTGAGTCTCACCGGCCAGGGCCTTCAAAAGCGACGAGCATCCGCTTCCCGGCCTGCCCAACGCAAGCGTCATAGTGCCTGCTTCGCAAATTCCGTTGAAATTCTGGAGGATTTTTCTTGTTTTATCAAGCTTGTTGAAATCGGCTTGCTGCTGCTGCTTGCTGGAAAACTTGTCGACTAGTTTCAGAATTGGACCGAAAAAAATGTCGCCTGCCGTGGGCACAATGGAGACAGTGGTGTTCTTACCCACAACCTCCAGGTCCTCGAAAATAAGGTCGGTGGTGCGGCCCCCAATACCCTGCTCATTGGACCTTCCCTTCATGTACTCGAGGATACGCTTGAGGTCGAAATCGTTGGGGTCAATTTGGAGCTTCTCCATTTGTTTCGCGTTCAGCTTGGATATGGTACGCGACAAGGTGGACAAACGGGTCAAAACATCACCCTGCTGCCCTTGTCCCGTGGACTGTTGTGTAAGGGACCGATGCAGCTCGGAAATCTCTTTTCCCTCGCCATCAACCTCAAAAGGTTTCACAGAATCGACGGTCTCTTCAGACCGCCTGCGCTCCATTTCAGCAGACATGGAGAGTAGCAGATGGATGGTGCGAAAAAAAACGGTAAAGAAGTGTTATTTATTGCTTAGCTCTGTCTGGCGTGCGCCAACCGTAAAAAATGTAGATTATTAATTTCAACAATAGGGGTGTAGTCAGTTTCTATCAGGAATCCGGATTTTATGCGAGTTACTAATAATTACCGAGACCCGTAAAGCGCTCTAGATTTGGCTCTCGGAATTAACATTTTGTCCCGAGCGCTTTGTTGATCTGTATAGCGTGCCATGAGGAGGTCAGAGATCATTCCTGTGCTGGGCCCATCCAAGCTCGCGAGCCCGCTGTTTTCCTGCGAAACATCTGCCTCTTCTCTTTCGCCATATTCGCCTGCCACCTTTGGATCTCCCATCGATGAGATAGCGATTAAATTTAGACACTCGAAATCGAGACTAAACCGCAAGCTCTCCAGACTTCTCTGCGCAGCGTGTCTGCTGGCAAGCACGCTGTGGATCCTGGCGCGGTCGCCAGCCCAATACACCAACTGGACGTACCTGCATTCGCGCCTCCCACTCGGCGATTACGATTATGTGCGACTTGAATCGTTACTGCCGGATTTAAAAGAAAAATTGCATCTAGAGCGTTCCTCGTTTCCGTCCCCAGACCACCCGTTCGACCCGCGCTTGGTGGCCGCGCTGTGGCTGTCCAAGCTACACGCACATTTCGAGTCCAAATCGCTGGATTTGGGACAGCCGTTTGCGATCCCGTTCCACTGGCGCGACTGGGTCGATATGGACGATCGACTCCGCCCGGCCCAGTCCTGGATGGTTGCAAACCGCGGCCGCAACCTCGACTGCAAAACGTTCAAGTCCCAAAACAGCCTCTCGCAGCTTTTGTGTGTAGACGCCGACGAGCCCCAGATGCTGTCGCTGCCGTCCTACTATCCGTCCATGAGGGTCGCTGCGCCGTACGTTCCGAAAATGGCAGTCGACGCGCGCATCGTCTACGGAGCAAGCTACCTGCTCGACGCCGCGCCGCCCCCAGAAAAAGTGGTGTTTATCCAGAAACACAACGCCGCAATCGTGCGCACAGAGCCGCATCCTCGCTCCACCCTGGGCCAGCTGATCACCGAGTACACTATCCGCAAAATGACAGGCCAGGGTCTGGTACAGCCGGACGTGCCATCGGAGATAAATATGAAAGCCGAGGCGCGGCGCTTATTCAGCTCAGCTCACTGCAGGGCCGGCATCATGCAGTCGCGGGCCCTGTGTGTGAGGACCGAGCACCCGGACGATGGCACCCCAGTGCCTATCTCCGAAGAGGAATTCTACTGGGACACTGCCAAAAACAAAATACATGAAAACCCGCCCAAATACTTCTACGAGGCAGACAACTACAACAGCAAGATCAACGGCGCGCACTTCGACTGGCGCTTCTTCAACGCACGCAATCTCTCGTCGATCGAGCGCAAAGCAGCGCTCCACAAGCTGGTCACCACCTGGCTCCGGTTCTCCAACATCGTCGGGCTGCATACCTGGCTCGCCCACGGAACGCTGCTTGGCTACCAGTTCAACGGCCTCGTCCTCGACTGGGACTTCGACCTCGACGTCCAGCTCACACAGACCGGTCTGCTGCGCCTGGCACGTGACTACAACCAGACGCTTGTCGTGGACGTCGACGGCACAGGGAGCTACCTGCTGGACGTGAGTCCGTACTTCCATGACCGGCGTCGCGGCAATGGCAACAACGCCATTGATGCGCGGCTCATCGACACCGCGACCGGTCTCTACATCGACATCACGAGCCTGGCCCATACTCCTAGCCAGCTGCCACCAACAAGGAAAAAACGGCTCGACGAGCTTCAACGGCTCTATCTGCAGAACGAGATCGACCAGCGCAACTTCTCGCAACTGTACAGCTGTCGCGACGAGCACTACTACGCGCACGACGAGATTTCTCCGCTCAGGCCTGTTTTATTCGAAGGTGTTTTGGCGTACGTTCCGCACAATGTGGACCAAATCCTGCTTCGGGAGTATCCAAAGTACCCCACACGCATGACACACGAGCACCACACGTTCAGGACGAGTCTGAACTCGTGGGTGTCGGACGAGGCGTGCGACAGACAGGACGTGCTGGGGCTGAGTTGCAAGGACCCAGTGACGCTGCTGGAGACGAAGCTCACGAAACAGTACACTACAGGACATCTGCTGCGCCAGGCCAGTCTGAGCAGCCGGGCGGACGAGCTCGAGGGCCTCCGTGTCGACAGCGTCATGGGGCCCATAATCCAGCACCGGCTCCAGACACTGGTGTGAGGAGTAGCTTATGTAAGTGGCATTTAGCCAGATGAAAAAGAACAGCTATAATATGGAGATTAGCATTGGAAACGAGCTCAAGGACGCGTTCAAGCCGACGGAGCGGTGGGTCAAGGCCGGGCTGGACTGGATCGGCGATCTGGAGGCGTTCTACCGCCAGCGGGCTGTCATTGAGGCCGAGTATGCCGAGAAGCTCAAGAGTCTGTGCTCGGAGACGTTCAAGAAGAAGGCCAAGGTTTCTGCCGCTGTGAGCGTCGGGCCGGACCCGCTGATTACGCCTGGGTCTTTGGAGAGCGCCAGTTTGGTTGCGTGGAACGAGATCATCTCGCAGACGGAGCAGCTGGCCAAGGAGCGCGGCGATCTGGCCAAGCATTTCGATAAGCGGGTCGTGGCGACTTTCTCGGATATCCAGGCGCGCTACGACGCGATACGGCAGAGGTGGAAGCAGACGGACGAGGACCTGCAGAGCGTGAGAAACAAGCACTTTGAGGAGGTCACCAAGGCGAAAAAGGAGTACGACAATGCGTGTCAGGCGATGGAGAACCAGCGGTCGAAAACAGAAAAAAGCAGCGGGGAGCGGGTGCAGCACAAGTACGAGAAGCGGGAGTTTGAGATGAACGTGGCGAAAAACAACTATCTGATCAAGATCAACGTCGCGAACCGGCTCAAGGACAAGTACTACTACCAGGACCTGCCCGAGGTTCTGGACGGGCTGCAGGCATTGAACGAGTCGCGGGTGAACCGTGTGAACGGCCTTTGGCTGACGGCGACTGCTCTGGAGCGGCAGAGTCTGGAATCCGGCCTCAAGTGTCTGGAGAGCATGGAGCGCATGGTGAAGCAGAACCTGCCGAAGCTGGACACGGTGATGTTTGTGAAGCACAACATGGGCAACTGGACGGAGCCGGCGGACTTCTACTACGTTCCGTCGAGCATCTGGCACGACGACGAGTCGATGATTACGACGGACCGCGAGCTGGAGGTGTTGAAGCAGAAACTGAGCGAGAGCTCGCGTTTGTACGACAGGTACGAGCGGATCTGCGCCGAGGAGAAGCAGCAGCTCGCGGAGAACGTGGAGGAGCGGCGGCAGCTGATGGAGGACGCGTTTTCGGAGGTGAAGGTCAAGTCGAAGGACGAGTATTACAAGTACGAGATACTATTGAGCAAGGGCCTGGCGGAGCTGCACAAGTTTGCGAACGACGACACGAGCCGGGTCACGGCCGAGGTCGAGATCGAGACGATCCAGTCGGCGGCCGAGGGCAAGGACCTGACGCTGACGCGGCCGGTCGAGAAGAAGAAGAAGCGCACGCTGGGCTTTTTGCGCAAGAAGACCGCCAACGAGCCCGAGCTCGACGACGTGCAGTCTGTCACCAGCGGGGTGAGCAGGCTGACCACGGCGACGCACGGCAGCACCAAGGGCCGGCTGTTTGGCCAGATCGGCAGCATGTTTTCTGGTGGTAGCAGCAGCGCGCCGTCGGCCAAGGCGCTGTATGCGTACACGGCGGGCGACGCGGACGAGGCCTCCATCATGCCGGGCGACGAGCTGCAGGTGCTGGAGGAGGACGCGGGTTCCGGCTGGACGCGCGTGCAGACGCCTGCTGGCGAGACGGGCCTGGTTCCGACGACGTACATCCAGGTGTCGCAGAGCAAGAAGCAGGGCCCAAAAGTGGCGCCGCGCAAGGGGGCCCGGCGCGTCAAGTATATGGAGATACTGTACGACTATGAGCCGCAGGGCGACGACGAGCTCGGCGTGGCTGTTGGCGACCGCGTCGCGGTGGTCACCGAGGACCCGGGCACCGGGTGGACAGAGGGCGAGATCGAAGGTGTCAAGGGCCTGTTTCCAACGAGCTACGGACGGCTCGTCGAGTGATCAGGCCGGCGGCAGGAACGTGGCAAATAGAGCTGTCTGTAGCAGCACCCAGAACAGCCAGAAGGCTGCTATTTTTTTATTTTCGGTAGCTGCCACGTACCAGAGGTGAGTCGGCAGAAACGTGACGACGCGGTTGACGATCTGGACGTGCATGGACGTAAGCTGGACGGCGAGGTAGACGAGCGACGTGAGCAGGATTGGACGCAGTCTGCGCTGGTTTCGGAGACGGTAGATCGCCGTCGCCAGGATCAGCAGGTTGGGTGCTGCAATGATGAACAGCGGGATGTTTGCTACCGTGAAGTATGCCAGAAAACCGTTGCCCCAGTAGTGCGACTGTGCGTACGAGACGAGCGAGCGCGTGGCCGAGCGGCACCATTCGCCCCTGTCGGGGCAGAACTCGCGGTATGGGACGTATATTGACACACAGAGCGCAAAAAATAGAGGCAGGCCAGAAACCAGCGACACTAGCGATTGCCCCGCCACGGTGTCGTACAAGTACAAGATGCCGTACAGCAGACAGTTGGAGCGGAATCCAAATGCAATGGCTATTAGAATGCCGGAAAGGAAGTATTTTGGCGATGTTCGGCCGTAGCTGCGCAGAAGCAGAGCCGTGTAGCACAGGAGCTGTGCGGTGGACTCTGCGTAGATGGTGGTGCTGAATATTCCCGACGGCTGGATCACCGCGAGATACGCGCTGTTGCGGGCCGTCCGCTCATCAAAGTAGCGTCTGGTGAGCTTGTAGAGCACCACACAGCTCAAATAATGACTAATGTTCGAGATCAGCAGGCCGCCCAGCAGCTTGTAGTAGACGTTTGTGGATGGGACCAGCGCGAGCAGACGCCACCACAGCGGGCCAAACACGTACTCGTGCTCAAAAGTGGGTCCCTCGGTGGCCAGTTTGAGAAAATAGATGGCATCCCAGGCCACAAGCTTCGATGCCACGTTCGAGACAAACCATTGCAGATTCTGGGGCAGTTCAGCATAGTCGGCGCTGTAGTCTGCCAAGAAGATGCCTGTGGAGGTGTCGAACGGCGACGGAGCAAAGTAAACTATGAGCAGTTGCGCCAGCTTGAGCAGCACAAAGGAGAGAAGCATTCAACTGAAAATAAATAATTTATATTATTTATATATTTAATAATTTTAAATTTATTAGTCTACACAATGCTCTCCATCTCCTTGGCGTAGGTTAGAGCGTTTTTCAGTATTTGCTTTTCGTCGTTGATCTCGTCATCTATCGCAGAGCTGCGCTTGTCAAAGTGGACCTCGTTGTTGTGCACAAACCAGCCCATCTGGTCGATGTAGGATTTGACGTCGTCAAGGTTGCTCAGGAAAAGCAGCAGTTTCAAGTTCTCCAGCGGCAGAGTGGTGTAGCTGGACTCGATGTTGGTGGCGATCGTGAGCCGGATGGAGTCCAGCAGCTCCTTCTCAAACAGGTTGAATTCCTTGCATGGGAAGCTGTGTTTGGAGCTCAGCAGCTCGTACACTTTGTAAAAGTCGCCGTCGATGATCCACTTCTCAAACTTGATTGGAATGGCAAAGTACTGGTCTTTTTCCAGCTCGTCCACCGAGAGACCGAAATTTGCCAGCCGCTCGAGCTCGATGTGGAATAGGGCAAGGTCTCCCTGTGTGAGAAGCAGCAAAAGGTACAAGCTGAGCAGCTTGTTTTTGTTGGGCGAGTCTGGCAGGCTGGTGAGGTCGTAGAATGGCTTGAGCAGCGTGATGTAGCTGGAGAACCCGCTGAGATCTTCGGAATTGATCGAGGCCAGCGCGCCGATCTCCAAAATGGAACGTGTGATGGCCAGATCGCTCGGGTTGGCGGCCGTCGTAAGCGACGGAACAAGCAGGTTCTGCTCTATGAGCTGCAGCTTGATCTGCGGAAGCAGCTTCAGACACTCTGCGTACTTGTTTGCCGCAAAGCTCTTGGATAATTGGGAGGTGAGTTGTTCCAACGACATTTGCCACAAATAAAATAAAGCTGGAAAAAAACTTGTGTATGGGTGTTAAATTTATTATTCACCTGTACTCTATACACTATCCCGTGCCTATGTTCACCGCATTCAGTTCTTCACGCCAAACTGTTCCTCCACGTTCTTGATGATGGTCTCAACAGACTGCGGGTTCGACAGCGTGCTCAGGTCGCCCAGACCCTTGGCCTCTCCGGAGCACACCTTACGGAGCACTCTTCTCATGATCTTGCCAGACCGGGTCTTTGGCAGGTCCGGAACGACAATGATGCTTTTTGGAGCAGCAAACGGCCCGATTATGCTTCTGACGTGCACCACGAGCGCTTTTCTCAGGGCAGTGAGCGCCTCCGCGTCGTCTGTCTCAGACTCGTTCTTCAGCTGCACAAATGCAATAACGGCCTGGCCGGTGATGTCGTCGTTGATTCCAACGACAGCGGCCTCGCTGACGTGGTTGTTCTCCAACAGAACCGACTCGATCTCCGACGTGGACAGCCTGTGGCCCGAGACATTGACAACGTCGTCGACTCTGCCCCTAATCCAGTAGTAGCCGTCGTGGTCTCTTCCAGCACCGTCTCCCGTGAAGTAGAACCCAGGGTACGGCTTGAGATAGGTTTCCACGTACCGGTGGTGGTTTTTGTAGACGGTTCTGGCGAGAGACGGCCAGCTGGATCTGACGGCCAGCACTCCCTCGACGTCGTTTCCTTCCAGGACCTTTCCGGTGACAGGGTCGATGATGACGGCGTCCACGCCGAAGAATGGCAAGGTGGCTGCGCCCGGCTTGGTAGGAACCGCGCCTGCCAACGGTGCGATCAAGTGAGATCCCGACTCGGTCTGCCAGTAGGTGTCAGAGATGTGGCACAGGCTCTTGCCGATTTTCTGGTCGTACCACTCCCAGATCTCTGCTGCGATCGGCTCTCCGACAGAGCCCAAAGTCCGCAAGGACGACAGGTCGTACTTCTCGATCTCGGCCTCGCCAGACTTCTTGAGCAGTCTCAGGGCAGTTGGAGCAACGTAGAAATGGGTAGCACGGTGTTTCTCGACAATCTTCCAGAACCGGCCGTAGTCTGGGTAGGCCGGAGTTCCTTCAAAGACAATGGTGGCTGCGCCGATGGAAAGTGGGCCGTACAACGCGTACGAGTGGCCGGTGATCCAGCCAACGTCACCGGCAGTGAAAAGAACGTCCTGCGATTGAACATCAAACACGTACTTGGTGGTCAGGAGAGCGCCCAGCAGGAACCCGCCCGTGCAGTGGACAACACCCTTTGGAGCACCAGTGGATCCAGAAGTATACAGCATGAACAGCGGGTCCTCAGAGTTCACCGGCACCGGAGGACAGTACTTGGGGAATTTGTCGCATTCCTCGTCCCAGAAAAAGTCTCTTCCTTCCTTCATTGGCACCTCGGAGCCCGTCCGCTTGTAGACAAGCACCTTTTCCACGGTTGGACAGTCTTTGAGCCCTTCGTCCACGATTTTCTTGGTGTTGATGATCTTGCCACCTCTTTTACCTTCGTCGCAGGTAATCACGGCCTTGCAGCCGGCGTCGCTGACTCTGTCTCTGATGGAGCCGGCAGAAAAACCGGCAAAGATGACCGAATGGATCGCTCCGAGACGCACAACAGCCAACATCGCAATCAATGCCTCGGGAGTCATTGGCAGGTAGATGGCCACAGTGTCGCCTTTCTTGATGCCCCAGCTCTTCAGAACGCCTGCAACCTGCGAGACCTGGTTCAGCAGCTCGCCGTACGTGAGCTTGCGGCTCTGCTCCTCGTTGTCGGCCTCGAAAATAATGGCAGTCTTGTTTGGATTGGCAAAAGCGTGTCTATCAACACAGTTGTAGCACGCGTTCAGCTCTCCGCCCAGAAACCACGCCACGTCGCCATTGGCGAGCGAGCCAGACTTAACGACCTTGAAATCCTTGTCCCAGTCAAGATACTGCTTGGCCAACGGCCCGAAAAAGCCCTCTGGATCTTCGATCGACTGCTTGTACATGGCCTTGTACTCCTCCAAAGAAGACAGAGACTTGGCCGGCTGCTTGTCAAAAAAGGCCTGCGGAGTGGCCCGCGCTTTGACATTGTTGGCCTCGTGAACCACTGAATGAACCTGTTCTTGGGTCATGCTTGTAATTAAGGTATAGGTCAAACGAGAAAAATTGAACCCAAACTGTCCCTCCGGAAAAAATCGACAATTGTTGGGGCCGCGAATTGGCAGAATTTTGCGAATGCCCGGGTTATATACCAACTCGCGAGTGTGACACGGGTCGGCAAAGAGGAATCACCCGGCATGTGCGCGCAGAAATTTTGACATCATATCTCTGATTAGCAATTTGTGGGGCCTGATTCGATAGCACGCCCGTGGGTGCCTGGCTCCATGCTCCCGGACATCCTCCGCCTAGCGAAGATGGTCCGACTTGTTGAGCCGGTGCAAGGATGTCGGCCTACCGGATCGGGGTCGTGGCAATGGGGGCGTCTGATGTGCCAGATGCGCTTTAAAACCCAGCTGTCCATCCCCACGGCGGCGTGCGCCTCTCTCACCACGCCAATCTCACCCACCCGGCCCAATCTCGCAACTCCCAGATCTGGCTGGAGTTACCCGGCCTTGTGGCGGTGCAGAGACGTGCCTTGAGGCCAGCCAGAACAAGAGATAAAAAAAACTCTGTAGGTGCGAAACAGGGCAATACTTAATTGCCATTCGAGTGCAAATCCGTCAAGTTCGAGCTGGAATCCTCTGCATTGTGCGCATTTTGCAAAAGTCGCCCACCATCCCGCTACGAAATTTACTAGGCGCAGTCACCGTCCGATTTCCGCTCTAAGCCCCCCACTTGATTTAAGGTTCTAGTAAAGCTTGTGTTCTAATTGGAGTAATTAATTCAATTGACTGCCGATATGTCTCAGAGGGATCCAAGCACCCCAGGCCAGCGACCTGACCGGTCCTGGCCGGAACAGGAGCAGCACACTATGGCGTTACCCAAGGTTAGACAGCAAGCTGTGTCTCGATCTGGATCTATTAAGAAGGAGAGTAATTATATTCCGAACGCCGCCCCCGCGACTCCTAGAATGTTGCGAAGCACCAGCAACACTGCTAATCTCGCAGACGATGCGCTCGACCCCTTTGCACAGACCAAGAACGTGGCTCGGAGACTCTCGTTGACAACACCGCAACAGCAAAATATGCCCGGCGCAGAAGGCGCAGAGCAGCAACCGAGGCTGATGCCAGGCATGGAATTTAATCCGTCGCCAACGGCAGCAGCACCGAGCACACCGAAAAGACAGTCCTCCAAGTCAGGCTCGAGACACACGTCGCAACAGCCACAGCCGCAGTTCCACCGCAAATCTATCGGTGACTGGGATTTCGCCAAAACAATCGGTGCCGGATCCATGGGAAAGGTGAAACTGGCCAGACATAGAGTCACTAATGAGATATGTGCCGTGAAAGTGGTGCCTCGGGCAGCAAAAATATGGCAGAGGCAACATATGAATGATCCACCAACTTCTGATCCAAATGAGTTGGCGAAACGACGCAAAGAATACGAAAAGGAACTGGCCAGAGATAGAAGAACGATCAAGGAGGGCGCGCTTGGTAGAATCATCTACCATCCTTACATTTGTCGACTCTACGAAATGTTTTCAATGACGAACCACTACTATATGCTTTTTGAGTACGTGTCAGGAGGACAGATGCTGGATTACATTGTGTCGCACGGCTCAATTAAAGAGAGACAGGCTAGAAAGTTTTGCCGGGGCATTGCATCGGCCTTGGATTACTGCCACTCTAATAACATTGTTCATAGAGATCTGAAGATCGAGAACATCATGATCAGCAAGAATGGAGATATCAAAATCATCGACTTTGGTCTTTCCAACATGTTTGACAACCGCAACCTTCTGAAAACGTATTGTGGCTCGCTCTACTTCGCTGCACCTGAACTTCTGTCTGCGCATCCATATATCGGCCCAGAAGTCGACGTGTGGTCATTTGGCGTTGTCCTTTACGTTCTTGTCTGCGGTAAGGTTCCATTTGATGACCAGAGCGTTAGTGCACTTCACGAAAAAATTAAACGTGGCAACGTTGAGTACCCTGACGGCTTATCTAAGGAATGCGTGTCGCTAATGTCTCGCATGCTGGTCGTTGATCCGACCAGAAGAGCAACATTAAAGGAGGTCATGAACCATCCATGGATGGTCAAGGGATTCGAGAGTGCGCCATCTAATTACCTTCCTCACAGAATTCCCATTGAGCTGCCTTTGGATCCAGAAGTGATCAACACCATCGTCAACTATGAGCTGGGAACGGAAGAAAAGGTCGTTAGAGAACTGACAGAGATACTGCAATCCGAGACATACCAATTGGCCACCAGGAACTGGTACATCAAAAATACCCAGGAGGACCTGTCGAAGTACGATCCTACACTTCCTGACCCGACCATTGCATACCACCCTTTAATTTCTATATATCATCTTGTTGACGAAATGCTGAGAAGAAAGAAGGTGAAGGAGGACAAATATGGAAGATTGGCCCAGCCTGTTACTTCGTCGGAAACCCAACAGCCACAGATGCTACCGCCTTCGCAGGAACCAAGTGCCACCACCCCAGTATTGACCTTTCCACAAGCAGCGTACACTTCTCCTCATCAGCAGTCGAGTGTCGGACCGGCTTCTCAAATCCAGCGGAATCGTGTTGTCAGTCACGAAGTGTCTGCGAATCCTGCATTCAGTCCTGTTCAGCAGCAAGGCGATTCTCAATCTGGATTCACCAACAACCTTTTCAGAAAGTTCAGCGGCAAGAAACCCAAGAACGAGCATGCTCCGGAAGAGCTGTCTCCTGTGGAGGACAACTCAGAGCTGCGAGTTTCTAAGTTTACTTCCAGACAGAACGATGTGGTGCGTAGGGTTGGAAGCTTGAAGATCACTAGCAAGGAGAAACAGCAGTCGCAGTTCCCTCCATTGCCATTATCGTCTAAGCAGCAAATACAACACCACCAAAGAGCTGCTTCTGCATACACCTCTTCAGACGTTAAGGCTGCGCAAATGGAGGCTGTTGATCAGGCTATGAGGCAAAAAATACCGTCTACGAATACATCCGCAGAACCAACGAGGTACCATCCTACAGCCAGGGCCAAGTCTCTGGGCCATGCGAGGAAGAACTCACTCAATATTCCAAAGAGCAACAACTACTCTATTGCTCCAGATGCACCACCAGTTCCACAGCTTGGACTGCCATCCAATATGGTTGACGATGGCTTCTTTGATCCTGTGGATATGGACGAAGTCACTTTTGAGGAAGACTATTCTAAACCGAACAGAAGGCTCTCGGACGACGCTATTATTTCTCAGTTTGAGCATGCTCCTCCAGGATCTATGCCGTCTATTGAGTACCCACGTACGCTGTTCCTAAAAGGGTTCTTTTCTGTTCAAACCACGTCCACCAAGCCATTGCCTATCATTAGGTACGATATCATCAGCGTTCTTCCGCAGCTTGGTGTGAAATATACTGAAGTGAAGGGAGGATTCGTCTGTGTCCACTATCCATCAATTGTGTCTCTTGGCGACCGAGCTAAGAAGGCTGAAAAAGAAGGAGACGAGAGCAGGGCCGACACAGCTGTCGAAGTTGAGGAGCTCAGCTCTGAAGACACTCCATCCAAACAATACATCAAAAGATCGTCACTATCGTCTTCGAGTTCGGGAGAGAAGCATCGGCAAACCCATGACGAGCAAGACATTGAAAACGTTGCTGAGCGCGCTGTCTCGGCAATTTCTAACGCTTCAGCCTCGTCGAAGAATGGCCACAGACGCAAATTCTCGCTGGGTAATGCTGTGTTGGGCAGCCATAAGAAGCAAAAAGAAAAACTCTCGGTCTCCACGAACGTCTCCAACAACCAGGACGTTACGTATCCTACGACTCCTGCACCCGCAAATGTTAATCGAAGGAGTTCGGTGGATAGTTCTGAGTCCATCACCTTTGAAGAGCCGTATGGAGGCTCCGACATGCTCATTTCGAGCCGGCTGGAACAACAGAACAAGCCACGGTCGCCCTCTGTTGCCAACGCTCCGGCAATGGATACGAACCGGCACTCTGAAAAGGTCTCTGCCAGCAAGAGTCCGCTGAAGTTTGAGATTCACATTGTCAAGGTTCCGCTGGTTGGCCTCTATGGTGTCCAGTTCAAGAAGATCTCGGGCAACACGTGGCTGTACAAGTCGCTTGCTGGGGAGATCCTTTCGAGGCTCAATCTATAGTTATGAAGATATTATTAGCTGCTCTAGGTTGTAATTTAATGAGGGTTTATGACAATAGGAAAAAAAATATGTGCATACAGCAGGGTTCGAACCTGCGTCCCATCACTGAGAATAGAACTTGAGTCTACCGCCTTGGACCACTCGGCCATGTATGCTTTTCCAGGGTCTTCTAAGCGGCGCACATACATAATGCACCGCTCGTCCCTGATTCTGGATTGCGCGATGCACGTTGAATATCATGGAACAATTTGCTTTATCTCCAGTTTGTTATCTATGTCCTTTTTGAACAGCACGGTAGAGCTTTTGTTCATAGACGGCACGCGAGTTGATCTTCTGCTGGACGACAAGTTCGCGGCCGCTTGTGGACTGGGAGGAGAGGCACAGGCACTTCGGGTCGGTGATCTCAGAGCGTATCTTTTCAGAAACTGGACCCGACTATCGAATTCTGGCACGAGGAGAGGCTTAGAGGCGGACAACGCTATCGAACCTCCGACAATAGAAGAACAAGTCCAACTATTGCATCTGGGCAGCCGATTGGATCCGAACGAGTATTTGAAGGCCCTCAAGCTGGAGCTTTCGCCGATAATACACCTTCTTGTGAAGCCGATGGACCAGCTGTGCCCCTCGTCAAAGGAGCGCAAGCTGGATTTGAAAATAGGCTCCAATGCGCGGAACGGTCAACGCAGCAGTAAGAGACGTGGATCGCACTCAAACACGCCTGTTCCCGCATTTGTGCCCCACGCAAGACCGTCCATCACCAGCACGGCCACAGAGGACGGCCCCGAGATGGTTGGCACGCCACGCGCCTCCGACGCGGCCAATACCGGAGCTCAAGAGCTACCGGATTTGTCGAAAACGCACACAAGTAACAATCCTGCGGAGGACATCGCTGCCAAACAACACACCCTCACTCAGACCGACGCTCGCCACGCAACCCGCCGCAACTCTCTCCCGCCAGCCTCGGTGGCCGAAACCTCGAAATCCGGTTGCTGTCTGATTGTGTAGCCCCACCCCTACACCAGATCATATATACCCCGTATTTCTCTGTATTTGGCACGAATAAATAACGATGGCTATTTCGCGGCAGGAGCTGGATTCCCGCCTGGAAAACGCCGTGTGCTACGTGCACGAGGCGGACGAAAGAGGAGCAGGCGCGGTGGCTCCGCTGGAGGTGAGTGGGCGGAGAAAAACGCGTGCTAACCGTAGTTTGTGGTATCGTACTATCTGGACCGGATAGCGCGTACGGGGTGCTCAGTTTTGCATCTGACGACGATCCACGCGTTTGACGTTGGCATCGTGGCCAAACGGCGGGGGCAATATGGCGATAGCGTGCTGTCAAAGGTGCGGATCGAGCGGTGTCTGAGTCTTGCTGCGCTGCTTGACCAATCACTGGCAGACGTGGATCTGGTTGTGATTGAAGACATTCGTGGACTGTTTAATCTCGAGTTCGCAAAAAACTACACGGGAGGTGCGTATTTTGTTTGACTTTACTGACTGGTAGCAAGTGCTAGTATGGTGAGGCTTATGAGGAAGCTACGCGAAAGGGCTTACAAGACTGGGTGTTCGACGGTGGTAAGTAAGTGGAAAAAAAAGGCTAACGCACAGTTTCTGGAGAGAGAGCGCGGGGCGCAGTTCCAGTCGCGGCCGATCGAGCAGTACGTGCGCACGCTGTACGACTGCGAGATAGAAGCGGGCGACAAAGGGGTGTAGGGATGTGTTTGCTAGGGCCACGAAAAACTTTGTGACTGCGCTGGTGTTGGGCGTGGTTTTGTAAGATGAAAAATAAAGATAAAAAATTAGTGTGAAAACTTCAAGAAAGCAAGATGAGCTCTTTTGAGAAGGTTGTTGTCATTGACGGAAAAGGACACTTGTTGGGAAGATTGGCCTCCACTATTGCCAAGGAGCTTCTCAACGGCCAGAAGATTGTCGTTGTGAGATGTGAGGCTCTCAACATCTCTGGTGAATTCTTCAGAAACAAATTGAAGTACCACGACTACCTGAGAAAGAGAACCAGATTCAACGCCAACAGAGGACCTTTCCACTTCAGAGCCCCATCCAGAATTCTCTACAAGGCTGTCAGAGGTATGATTTCCCACAAGACCGCCAGAGGTAAGGCTGCTCTGGAGAGATTAAAGGTGTTTGAAGGTGTTCCACCTCCATACGACAAGAAGAAGAGAGTTGTTGTTCCTCAGGCCCTGAGAGTCCTGAGATTGAAGCCAGGCAGAAAGTACACCACTTTGGGCAAGCTTTCTTCCTCTGTTGGATGGAAATACGAGTCCGTCGTCGATGCTCTGGAAGAGAAGCGTAAGGTTAGATCTGCTGAGTACTACGCCAAGAAGAAGGCTCAACTTAGAAAGGTCACTGCTGCCAAGTCTGCTGTTGCTACATCTGAGGCCTCTACCAAGCTTTCTGCTCTTGGTTACTGATTGTGTACAGCTAAATAATAAGGGTTTCATATGACGAGAGTAGAATTTTCACACCTTTACACCGTGTTGGTCGCCCTTGGTACTTTTTTCCACGCCGGGGCGGACCGGCCGCAACTTCGCGAAATAAAATTGTTAATTTTTTTCCTTGCGTTTCCGTTACCGCTCTAGTCCAGGTCTGAAAAAATGTATCCGCCGCAAACCGGATTGACTATGCACGAAAATCCACACCGAAACCTAACGGTTGTTATCAGGGGAGGGCCCGTTCACTGAGTTACTAGAGGTCGCACTAAAACTCGTCGTATAAGATCCTTCTTTGAGAAACATGGTGACGTTTTCCAAGCTGCCAATGAAGATTGCATTTGAGCAGCAAGCATTCGGGCCACAAACACTGTCGGTTCATTGCAACCACGCCGTGAATGTGATCATTGGTTTGGTAGTATAAAGGGCCAATTAGCCGAGGGCCCTGCCTAGGAACGGGACGGTCTCTGGCATAGCGCTTGGTCGCAGCCATCGACAGACTGGCCTTTGTTGCAATGAACCGGATCGCCAGTACGGTTGATTTAGCACGGTAATTCTGAAAAGTTCTTTTTTATTTTTCGGCGGTGAATAACTAACTGGAGAAAGCAGAATAGATGGTGGTGGAAAACGGGAAACTGGATTATTTTGAGTCTGGCAATGACAATTAAGAGCTTCAAAGCCTCAGGGAACGAAAGGACTCCTTTGGCACCGAAAGTTTGTAGGTTTGGGCACAGGACTTAGGTGCGACGCGGTCTGAAAAAGGAACGGGTTACCCTGCCTTTCCCTGTAGATTTCCGATACAAACCGGATTCACCAACCAATCAAACGATCTTTTTGCACCGAAAAAAAAAATGCGAAATTGATTTCGAAAAAATTGACAAGTATTTAAATTTGAACGAATCCTCTTTGCAACAGTTTTTCTTTTTAAGATTTCCGTAGAATCAATTAATTGAAAATGTCTGACCAATCCTCTTTCTTCGTCGACTTCATGATGGGTGGTGTCTCCGCCGCCGTCGCCAAGACCGGTGCCGCTCCAATCGAGAGAGTCAAGCTCTTGATCCAAAACCAGGACGAGATGATCAAGCAAGGTAGACTTGCCAGAAGATACACCGGTATTGGTGAATGTTTCAAGAGAACCTTGGCTGACGAGGGTCTTGCTTCGTTCTGGAAGGGTAACACCGCTAACGTTATCAGATACTTCCCAACTCAAGCTTTGAACTTCGCTTTCAAGGACAAATTCAAGAAGATGTTCGGTTTCAAGAAGGAGGAGGGCTACTGGAAATGGTTTGCCGGTAACCTTGCTTCCGGTGGTCTTGCTGGTGCTACCTCCTTGCTGTTCGTCTACTCTTTGGACTTCGCCAGAACCAGATTGGCCAACGACGCCAAGTCCGCTAAGGGAGGTGAGAGACAATTCAATGGTTTGATTGATGTCTACAGAAAGACTCTTGCTTCCGACGGTATTGCTGGTCTTTACAGAGGTTTCTTGCCATCCGTTGTTGGTATTGTTGTCTACAGAGGTCTCTACTTCGGTCTCTACGACTCTCTCAAGCCTGTTGTTTTGGTTGGTCCTCTTGAGGGTAACTTCCTTGCCTCTTTCCTGTTGGGTTGGACCGTCACCACCGGTGCCTCTACTGCTTCCTACCCATTGGACACTGTCAGAAGAAGAATGATGATGACCTCTGGTCAAGCCGTCAAGTACAAGGGTGCTTTCGATGCTTTCACCAAGATTGTTGCTGCTGAGGGTGTCAGATCTTTGTTCAAGGGTTGCGGTGCTAACATCTTGAGAGGTGTTGCCTCTGCTGGTGTTATCTCCATGTACGACCAACTGCAAATGATCTTGCTCGGTAAGAAGTTCAAATAAGTGCTGAGATGAGTGTTCTTTGCTTGTTTCTAGATGCTTTATTCTTACCTTTGTAAGTACGTACCAAAGTATTCAAATGTATCACTATCTGAGTAGAAGCGTGGTGTAAGGATGATCGAACATCCCTAAATTTCCCTTCCCCTTGAAGCCCCCGATTCCACTCAAAACCGCACATATTTATTATTTTCCCCTTTCGACCAAAGATAGCCACCCTAAATATAATTTCATTTCCCCTGATCTGTCACATCCTCCCGACCATGGTCGACAACAACACCTTTCTGTCCAAATTCCGCAAAAACCCCACCTCCCTCTCGTCCATCCCGCTACTGACCAGGATCCGCACGAACGACACGTCGAAATCGGACCAATCGACCATTTTCTCTGCAAACTCGGCAGACACCGCAGCCACCGATGTTTCAGTCCCCAAACGATTTTTCAGAGTGAGAACCAACTCGTCCACGAGCGAGCTGATGGTGCCGATTGTGCCGCCCTCGCCAAAGAAAGACCCCGAAAAACTGCGTGAGATCAAAGACATTGCATTTGAAGTGACGCCCCGGAAGCCACAGACAAAAAACGTCCATCCGCTGGACCAGCCGATTCTGGGCAGAAGACCGACAGAAACCACAGAAACAAATACAGACAACAACAACATACAGAACGCTGCAGATCTGCTTGTGACTCTCGTGAAAGTCCTCGTTCAAGCCGTGCAGGTGCTGTGGAACCTCGATCTATTTATCAACGTCGCGCTTACAAAGGAGACCACGACGCGCGTGCACGTGCCATCCCTGGCCATTGGTCTGCTGGCCGTGTACGTGCTCTGCTCGTCGTCGAGCCCTCGCTACTACCCACAAGCCGTGCAACCATCGGGAACGCCACGATGGTGGCAGTTTTTTTTCTTTGTGGCGGTGCTGGCCGTTGCGGTGATGAAACTAGGCCAGACACAGGAGTCCGAGGTGAAGCGCGGTGCACCGACGGCAAACGCCCTCACCGCAGCGCACAAGGACGACGAGGACGACGAGGACGACCTCACAAGAAGCGAGAGTTTCCGGTACGAAGGGTTCGTCCGGCGAGCAGCACGCTACGAGTAACGACTTACAACATGATCATAGAATTCTCATTTACCTTTATTAATTAACATTTATAAGGTCTCGGTTGGGATCTCGAAAGTGACTTGCTTTCCGGTCAACTTCTGGTAAATGGATTGGAAGGTGTCCAGCTTGTAGTCGATGTCAGAGGAGTCCTTGGAGTCCAAGAGAACCTTGGCGATTTTGTTACCACCAACAAGATATCTGACTCTCTTTCCAACGATCTCGGTTGGGAAAACCAAGTCTTCCAAGATCTTGTCGTGGACAGCGGTCAAGGTTCTGGATCTTGGTCTCTTCTGGGTCACTCTGGAAGTTCTTCCTGGCTTTGGCAAGATTCTTCTCTCGGCCAAAAACACAACGTGTCTGTCAGGGAACTTCTTTTCCAATTCTCTGGTCAAGGTGATTTGAACTTTGTGGAAAGCGGTGAGCAATGGGACTGGGACAAAAATGACAATAGCCTTTTTGTTACCCGAAACCTCAATCTCCTTGATGGACTTGAACTGGAGAGGTCTCAAGTCAGCCTTCAAATCTGGAGAGTTGGTTTCCAAGTCGACCAAAGCCTGTGCGACTTGCAATTCGAGCTCAGATGGTTCGCTGGCGAGCACTTTCGATGCGGCAGACATACTACGAGAAGTTGGTTGAAGATTTTTTTTGAGACTGAAAAATTTATGAACCGGAGGGGTGTGGCGGTCACGTGCCACAGAAGAGGTCTCGGTGCCCGCTTAGGTAAGCGGAACGGGTTTCTCCCGCGTAGCAGCCGGTGTTTGCAGTAGGCTACCGGGAGCCGTGGCTACCGCCCTCCGAATATAAGGCGCTCAGGCCCTCCCCTGTGTGCCATGTCAACCGAAGACGCAAAGAAAAACGCCAGCTACGCCGCGGTGGACCAGAACCTCGACCCCTCGCACCAGGTGGTTGGGATCGGGTCCGGCACCACAGTTGTGTATGTTGTAGAGCGGCTGGCGCAGCTGGACACAGAGCGCCGGCTGGTGTGTGTGCCGACGAGTTTCCAGGCGCGCGAGCTGATTCTCTCGCACGGGCTCCGTTTGGGCCGTGTGGACGAGTACGTGGATATAGACGTTGCTTTTGACGGGGCCGACGAAATTGACAGCGACATGAATTTGATCAAAGGAGGCGGCGCGTGCATGTTTCTGGAGAAACTAGTTGCCTCGTGTGCGCGCCGATTTATCGTGGTTGCCGACCATCGCAAGAGCAGCGTAGCACTGAGCAAGGGAGTGCCGATTGAGGTTGTTTCTGTTGCTCAGAAGCGGGTTTTCATGGAGCTGGAGCGGCTCGGTGGCCGGCCGCGGCTGCGGGACGCTGGCGGCCGCAAGGCAGGGCCCGTGGTGACAGACCACGGGAATTTGGTGGTTGACTGCGAGTTTGGCGAGATCCGGCCGGGGCGCGTGGCAGAACTGGACGTGAGCATCAAGGCGCTCGTCGGCGTCGTCGAGACAGGCTTTTTCCCCGGAATGGCTCACAAAGCCTACATCGGGCTCGCAGACGGCACGGTGCGTGTGCAGAAGCGGCGTGCTGCTCTGTAGAATTGTTTTTACCCCACACGTTTTTTACGATGACAGACAATGTTAAAAATTCGCCAAACAGCTTTTCTTTGTAAACGATTCAGCAGCATGGCAGACCTGGTGGAAAAATCGAAAAAGCTGTCTGCGTATGCGGCCGTCGACGACAACCTTCTGTCGTCGCACAGGGTGATCGGCATTGGGTCCGGCTCGACCGTTGTGTATGTTGCCGAGCGCGTGGGCCAGGCCAGCAACAAGAACGACCTGGTGTGTATTCCGACGGGCTTCCAGTCGCGGCAGCTCATAATTGACAACGGGCTGCGGCTCGGGTCGACCGAGGAGTACCCGGAGATCGACATTGCGTTTGACGGGGCCGACGAGATCGACACCAATTTGGGGCTGATCAAGGGCGGCGGCGCATGTCTGTTCCAGGAAAAGCTGGTGGCCGCGTGTTCGAAGCAGCTGGTCGTCGTGGCAGACTACCGCAAGGACACGGGCGTGCTGGGCAAGGGCTGGCGCAAAGGCGTGCCAATCGAGGTGGTTCCGGCCGCATACACAAAGGTGAGCCTGGACCTGGCGAAACTGGGCGGAAACCCTGTGGTGCGCTCTGGGCTGCCGGCCAAGGCGGGGCCTGTGGTGACGGACAACGGCAACTTCATCATTGACTGCGATTTCGGCGAGATCCCGCCCGCCAGAGTGGCCGAGCTCAACGCGAAAATCAAGGCGTTGGTCGGTGTTGTCGAGACGGGGCTGTTTGTGGGCCTGGCCTCGAAAGCGTACATCGGAAACGCCGACGGCACAATCACGAAAAAGACGGTGTAGAGTACAGCTATATAGTCAATTCAAGTTGTGCTGGATCCAGTTCAGCACCTGGTTCAGCCCCGTGCCGTCGGTGGCCACGGTCGGAATAATACACCAGTTGTGGTTCTTGATGGATTCCAGCTCCAAAAACTTCACCAGCTCCGCCTGCTCCATCTTGCCGGGCTTGTCCTGCTTGTTTGCGAGCACGCACAACAGACACCCCGTCAGCTCTCTGTCGCTGATCACCTTGTAGAGCTCCTTTTTCGCCTCCTCCAGCCTGGATCTATCGGCAGAGTCGATCACGAAAATTAACGCGTCCGTGCCGGAGAAATAGTGTCGCCAGAGCGCCCGGATGCGCTCCTGGCCGCCCACGTCCCACGTATTCATCACGAGGTTTCTGTATTTGATCGTCTCGACGTTGAACCCGACCGTAGGCACGGTCTGCTGACTGTGTCCGAGTTTCAGTTTGTACAGGATGGCTGCCGTTAGTTTTGGGGTGTTTAGCACTTACTGGTCTTTCCGGAGTTGTCCAGGCCCAGCATGACCATGCGGACCTCTTTGTTCCTGCGTCTCTGAGCGTTAGGCAGAGCAGGGAGTACTTACCAGCAGTCGGGAGAAGGAGTTGCCCATGGTTTAAGTATTAACTCAATCTGGAAAATTGTGCGGTCACGTGGAAAAAAAAACTTTATTTTATTTTGGTGCTCAGACGGGGGCCGTCCACGACTAGACACCGGGCCGGCCTGACCACCAAAATCGACTGCTACGGACGCTGGCACTGTACGGCCGCAGAACAGTCTACCCAGCACGCACAGGTCTTTTTGCACCGCCACGCCTTTCCATGGCCCGAGGTTCTGCTTTATCTGGGAAATTATTTCCTCTTTGGGCAACTGAGAGCATGGTATCACCTCGATATCTATTGCTGCCAGTATATAAACCACGCACTTTGCACTCCAATTCTCATGGCTGTCATCGTTGAAGGAATACGCTGTCTCTACAGTGCAGCACAGACACCGTCGTTCTGGGCACTAGCTGCTCTTGCGCTGGTTGCTGCTACTCTGGTCTACAAGTACCTTATCTCTGTTGAAACGGGCCCAATATATCAAAAGAAGTATAAGCCACTGCCGGTGGCCAAGGCGAACAACAAGAACAGAAAATTCGGCCACTGGACACCCGAGCAGTTCACGTATCCTCCCGTGAAACCGTACCCGGACTGGTCGATCGAGAAGACCAAGCCGATCGCGTACCGGGCGTTCAAACACACCTATTTCGTCACCATGGGCATCCGCAACATGGAGTGGGACAGCTGGATTGAGCTGGACAACGAGTGGCGCAAGTACCATGCCCGCAAGCTCCAGAGACTCGAAGAAAAAAATAGCGATCTGTACGGCACGTCGCCAGACGCCTGGGACGGCGTGCTTGAGCTGTTGGAGGAGTTCCGCAACTACCTGCCCCAGCGCTATCCAAGCTTATTCCGGGCAACGCCCAAGGGGATTGAGAACCTTGAAACGGGCGAGTCGTTCGAGTTCATAGGCGTTCCTAGATCGGAGTTCAAGATGGACCCGGTTCTGATGGCCTCGCTGCTGGTCCAGGACGATCTTGCGGTGATGGTTGAAAACGAAAAGGGCGAGTACGTTCTTCGCGCAGGCGCAATCATGCTGGCCGGATTCTGGAGACTCAAAGATAAACTGGGCATGCCGTTGAGCATGATCCATACCAGCGGAGACGTGCCTAAATATAACGAGAAGCTCAAGGCAGGCATGGAAAAATTCTTCATCAGACAGACGTGCGACAAGCCGGTCGTGCGAAACAACTACTTCCTCCAGGCAGACGACGATCTGGCATGGTCGTACTCGATCGGAGACGAGTCCAAAGAGGTGGTCGGCTGGTACACAGCGAGCCCTGCTACCGACATTAACAAGATTTATTTCAGGTCAGAAAGACAGTCGGTCAGAAGACTGCCCAAGACGGGAGTCACGATCTTCACGATCAGAACGTACTTTTTGCCAATCGTCAAGCTGTGCGAGGAACCGTTCGTCCCCTTGCGCCTGCTGAACGGAATAAAAAGCTGGGATAAAGACGTGCAGGAATACAGAGGCTATACGATCTTTAAAGACGTTCTCATGCCATACTTGGAGGAGAAGGCCAAAGAACAAGCCGAAATGGGCTACACCCCTGATAAAGAGCCCAACAGCTATCCGTACTGATGGAATATACTCACCTTTTTCTAGCTGTACTGATGAAATATTTATTCAACACTTATTTCATAAATAAATTTATTATGCTATGTATATGCTTCCGTTGCCCAGATCAGTTCTCGTAATACTCAACATGCTTCTTCGCATAATCCATGGCATCGTTGACCTGCTGGTTGTTCAGGCCGTGTCTGAACCGCAAATGTCTCGTGAGGGCATCGCACCGAGAAAACGTCTTGTTGCTCAGGAACTCGCCGTTGTCCATCGAAGACTTCACCTTCTTGGAGTTGTGCGAGTTCGCAACGTTCGCGTTCGAGTTTTCCACAGAGAACGAGGTGTTCCTGTAGTTCAGCTTCAACACGATCTCGTTGTTCGACTCCATGTTGTTGCGTCTTCTCAGATCGTCCTCGCAGAACATACACCGGTAGAATGACCGCTTGGGAGCATGGATTGTGTTTTGGTGTCTCACCAGATCGTACGGTCTCGAGAACTTCTTGTTACATGGCTTTCCCGTCTTTGGATTAGCAATGTAGCAAACGTGTTCCTCCTCCTCTGCTTCCTTGGCCTCCTCCACCGGAGGAGTGGCCGTCCGACGCGACGTTTTCAATTTTCTCAATGACGGAGCTGGAACCTTCTGGACCTCGGACTTGAGCACTGGCGGCCGGCGCTCGAAAAGCACGCTTTCGCGTCTCTGCTCGAATGCCGGAGTGTACAAGTCGTCACTGGCGTCCGAGTAGTTCTTTTCGTCATCGTCCATTTCGTCGTCATCGTCAAACACTGCTGCATTGTTATCCATCATATCGTCCTGTTGAACAAGTCTTGGATTGATCGTTTGTGGTGTCGTTAGCGAGTAGATAGAGCTGTCGGTGTTTTCTGGAGTGTGCGAGCCCCGGAACTCGTCGGATTTCATCACGTAGTTGTCGTTTTCCTCGTCCAAGCTGCTCTCACTGCTCAGGTCGTCCAGATCCATTTCCATGTCGTCCAGCTTGTTCTGGTCTTCTTCGTCCTCGTCATCGTCACTGAACTCTTCGTCTAAATACACGTCGTCGGTCTTGAATATGTTCAGCTCGTTGGACTGTGGGAACGACTTGTGGTTGAATTCCCACTGCAGGATTTCCGGCAAGAACTGCTGTTCCGTATGAGCGGGGTCATACACTATGTAGTCGTCTTGAGGTATCAGCATCACTTCCTGTTCAGGTTCCGATGGCTTCACATCCTGGTGCGGCGTGTTCATGGCTGCTTTCGGGTCGATATTTTCATGTTCGTTGTTGGAGTATTTGTAGTTGTCTTGTTGAGCGTAGTCGTATAATTCGTCAGGGAAGGTAACGTTGGCATAGAGGTTCGGATTTGCATAGGAGTTGTAGATGTTGTCGTAAACGGACTGGTGGTGGGGCGGTAAACCAAAGCCCGATACCTGATCCTGGACGCTGTGGGCTATGTTTTCGTCTTCGCCTTGTCTGAAAGACTCCTGTGATCCGTTCAACATGATGTACTCCGAAATGTCATCCTGGCCCTGTTGAGGCAGCGAGTAGAGCTCGTCCTCCATGATATCCGTAAGAGTGCGCTTTAGTGTAGAGGTCATAGTGAGCAATGAAAAGCTGAAACAGCAAAAAACTTATTTATTATTTCCGGTGGGTTCTGTTGAGTGTTTTGTGTATTATTAATCAGTGTGCGATTTTTGCAAATAAAACCTGTTGGCTCAGTTGTGAATTTCTATTAGGCTGGCAACTCTCAACTGGCTTGGTCAGTGTGGCTTGGATGTTGTGTAGTTGTCTTTTTTTTATTATCTTATAGCAACCCCTCAGATAGTTGTAACTGTTGCGGGATTCGGAACCTTCGATATGCTTCTAAACGTTGCTTTGAGTCACAGCGCAATACCGATAGGGCGTAAATGTGGTGTAGGAAAAAAGCGTAAGAAGAAGAACTTATCACTAAGTTTGAATCAAATTTATAAGCACTTAGGTCTTTTTGACTCACCGCTAAAATCACAGCCCCAACTTTGCTGCGCTAACTCCAGCATGGCTGCCTCTGTAAATCCGGCGCGATTTGTAAGCCGGCGTCGATCCTTCTAGAATTGTCTCGGTGCCAGGTGGGACTTCTCCGGGGTCGACGCGTCGATTCCGCAGAAGAAAAGAACCAAGTTTTTGAAAAAACCTCCTATTTATTTCGGCCTCCAAAATGCCTGTCCAGAGCACACACCCGGCCGAGAACTTGTCTGATTTGGTGGACGACGACGTGCGCGCAGTCCTGCTAAAAGCTCCGCCGGCTCTGCTTATAGAAGACCCCGTCTACCACAACCGACTGACCGAATTGCGCAACGACTACAGATACGCCTACGTGGTCCAATGGATCTATCTTTTGCGCCATCTGGTGAAGATCACAGAGAACTTCGATGTGGAGACTTTTGAGGAGGAGCTGCTAGGCATCGCGAGCCCCGTCTTTGTGAACGCGTTTATCACCCGGATGGTCCAGTATCTGGCCAATTTCAAGCTGGAGAATTTTGATTCGCAGGTCAACGACGCGCTGAACCAGGTTTCCGCACGCTACTACGAGGAGTACGACCCAGTAGATTTTTTTGCGCTTGATCTGATCGGCAAAACCGAGCTTTTTTACAACCTGATCCAGCTGGCCAACACCAAAAGCATAGACAATTTCCGCAAGAGTGTGGACCAGTATGCCAAGCCGCAGCACGATTTGCGGCTGGAGCCCGTGTACTCGTACACAGAGGACCGCGAGCTGAACGAGTGGTTTGTTCTGGAAGATTCGCGTGTTTATTATCGCAAAACAGAGTATCCGTTGATGGAGGTGCCCAGGAAACGGGCGGACGCGAAGAAGACGATTGGCAATCCTGCTGAGACGTTTGCCGAGACTGAGCCGGTTCTGGTGGAGTGGCGGTGCGAGACGGCCGGGATATATCAGTTTGATCAGTACTTGAAGGAGCTGAAACAGAAAGGCGGCAAAAAGACGTCGTCGCACGAGTACAAGCTGTACGGGAGTCTGAAGGTGTTTGTGGAGCAGGTGGCCCAGCACGACCTGAAGAAAAGACGACAGGCGTTGCAACGGAGACGCGAAATCCAGATGCAGGCGCTGCTGGCCAACAGAAAACGCTCCTCGCGGCTGGAAGCCAAGGAGAGACAGAAACAGGAGGAGGACGAAAAGAAACGGGAGGAAGAGGAGCGGCTGCGGGCACATGGTGCAGAGATGCGGGCGCAGAAGCGCATGAAGCTGAAAGAGGAGATGTACCAGGCGTCCAGGACAGAGAGGCTGCAACGGAGACACCGGGAAACTGAGTCATTAGAGCCGAAAGACGTGACTGAAGGTGATACGAAACAGAGTGCTGAGCCGAGTGTGCACGAGGCGCATGATAACGCTAGTGACGATACAATAGATGAGCAATCGGAAGGCCAAGAGTCAGCCGCACAATCGCCTATTGTGGAAAGAGCCACCATTGAAGCCCCCAGCAGTATCGACGCGGCACAACAAAGATAACAATATCGATTAATAATATCATGCGGCTATAACTGAGCGGTGGGAGGTGTGTCGCATATAACATTTACTTCCGGAAGTTAGCCCGACGGGTTCGGAGATAGGCCTCGGCACTCTACCTGTAATGTTTACGAGGTACCTAAGTTCCGAACAATGCATAGCGTAGATGATGGATTATAAATACAAGCTACATTCCAGTTGCTTCTGAATTTCCGTTCGATATGAAAAGGCGCTCCATCGAGGTGAAGAAGTCCGTCCCCGTCTCCTGTCTGGAGTGTCGGCGCCGCAAGATCAAATGCGACCGCGGGGTGGTTTGTAAGAGCTGCGAGCGCAAAAAGCTCACCTGCGAGTACCCAGAAACCTTTAGATCGATTAAAATTTCGCCACCGGAACCAAAATTGGGAATCGTGGAGGAGGAGGAAAAAGAGATGTCCGACGTGGAGAGGCTGCGCAAGCACAACAACAAGCTGGCCAGCCACATTTTCGAGCTCGAGAAGAAGGTTGTAGAGCGGGCCGATTCCGCACCCAGCTACATCTCGGTGCCTTGTTTCGACGAGAGTCACATGACACTGGTCACGAGCAGGCCCGTGGAGTTGCCGAAGTTACTAGACGACAGCGTGCTGAACGTGCATCTGTTGAACCACCTGGTGTCTTGTTTTTTCGACCTCAAGCAGCACGCGTATTTTGAGCTCGACAGGGACGAGCTGCTGGCGCAGCTGAAGAGCCTGGACGCGTCGTTCCAGAGCATGGAGGTGGTGATGCTGATCTGTGCTATAGGTCTGGTCACGCTGGACTACAGTTACGACCCCAAGCACAGGCGTCTTGTCGACTTCGACGCCACCGTCGACAGGCCCGTGATGGTGTCGTTGCTGCTCGCCAAGATCAGGGACTATCGCCAGCTAACGAAATACTCTCGCGGCAAAACCAAGTTCATGGCTCTGTGGCTGTACATGGAGACCCGATTTGCTGAGCGCGACGAGCGGCTCTCAATTTCCACCGAGGTGTTCACCACGTACTCGCACCACCCGGAGGTCGCTTCCTTGCTCCGGAAATTCGATAATCTCTACGTGCTAAAGTGTCTGGTGATGGACATGCATCCGATCATGTCGCAGTGTTTTGAGCAGATGAAGACGTTGGGCGAGAAATTCAGTCCGCAGACGTACATGGAGGCGGAGCAGACCAACCCGGCGGACGACTTCATGTCGCTTGTTGTGCGCGTTTTGGACTCCAGGCTCAGTTTGAGAAAGGACAACTACCTGATCATGGAGGTGCTATTCAAAATCCAGAAAAAAGAGTACGATATTCTGCACCTGAAAGAAAAAAGAAAATTCGACCTCGACAACTACGACCAGATCAACTCGATGCTGGTGTCGCAAATGAAGGTGTTGATGGTGCTGCACTACTGCGGCCTGAAACTCAGGTTTTTCCAGAAACCGTCCGATTACCAGCTGGAGTCGATGGTCAAGCTGCTCAACCACATACTGGAAATGACCATCTGGAGCGACCTCGAGTCGTGCACAAAGGAGTGTCTGCCTGTGCGCAACTACGTGGTGATGATTCTGGGCAGCATGCTCAGCATGTTCAACTCGATGTTGTACCACAGGAACATCAACACCAAAATGCTGAAGCTGATCCTGGCCAAATTCGAGGCCGTCTCGTGCTACCATTTTGTCGACACCGACTTGCTGGACATCGTGGCCGCCAAGGTCAACATGCTGGCCTCCGAGAAGAATGTCGACTCCAGCACACCGTTCCTGTACGGCTCGGAGGTTCTTCTCCGCGAAAAAATCGAGGTTTCCAAGTTGCAAGTCAGACCGGGCACTGGTGTTCTGCCGGTCGCCAATAATTTTGCGCTGGACTTTTCGCGGAACGAGACCACCACGTTCGCAAGGTTCCTGAGCGAGGACGAAAACGGCACCTACGAGGACCAGGCCGAGTCGCCGTCGTCGCTTGGGGACAACGGCGAGTTCACAGACACGGTCGAAAAAGAGTTTGCAACCATTTCAACTCAGGACCAAATCTACACGGACTACTGGCTGGGAACTCCTTCCGAAATCGGCAAGTCGCTGGACGTGACCGACCTGACGATGACGGCGCCGTCGTCCAGCAAAACGTCCAGCTTTTTCGCGTCGGAGCTGGAGCCCTTCCCCGTGAGCGAGTCGCTGAGAAAGCCGGTGATGGAGCTCAACGGCTACTATCAGTTTATGGATGTTGAGTGATTCGTGGATCGAAACCAGCTTGTACATACGCCGATGCCATGAGTCCCGTTTGCTTTGTTACGTTATGACTTATAATACCATTAATGATCTCTCTATTGCTTAAATCCTTTCACGAGATCCACATCCTTGAGGTCGCCGACCTGCGAATCGGCCTTTCTGTCTCGCAGGGGGCTTTCCAGTTCGATTTTGGCCGGCGACCGGTTGTTCGTGGTGCCTGACTGCATGCTGTTTTGTTGCTGGTTGCCGTTCGACGAGGGGCCGCCCAGCGGGGTGGAAAATTGCACGTAGTTCCACAGCGCCGGCGACGAGTTGACCGACGGGTGCGATTGCGACGACGAGGGCGGGTCCAGCTGGTGGCGCGACGTGCCCCTGTCGGGCGTGTAAGCCTCGAGCGCGCTAACCTGGTATTTTTTCGGACTTGCTGGCGGGAACAGCGCATTGCCCGACGAGGCAGATGCGTTGGTGGCAGGAGGCTTGATCGCAGAGCCGGGCGTTTCCTGCGACGCTGTTCTGCCGGCCAGAGGCGGCATCGACCCGTTGAAGTTGGGCCTGTACTCGGAAACACCCAGCTGCTTGATGGGCGACGAGAGTTCCGGCTTGGGCAGCGAATTAGGGGCGGTCGCCGCGCCCGACGTGGAGCCTGGAGTGCTGCCCGAGGGAAGACTGCTGTTGGACAAGCTTGCCGCCGCGGTGATGTAGTTCAGGGCCTCGTGGGGCTCGGGCTGCAGCGGCGCGGCAGACGCCAGCTTCGACTCGTAATACGGCTGGTCGGGCCGTTTGTACATGTTGAAGTCTGCGGTCGGGTTGGTGGCCGGCATGGCCGAGCGGCCGGAGTCGGGCAGGCCTCTGTTTTTGATGAGATGCATCTGGAGCTGTCTGGAAACGCTGCTTCCCCGTTTCACCTTGTTGAGAGTTCCTTCCTCCCATTTCTTGAGAAACTCTTTCCTGTAGCTCTCGCTGATCTGCCACTTCATGCCCTTGCCCGGCTCGTTGGGCTTTCTAGGCACTTTCTCAAACGCCTTGTTGAGCGACAGATTGTGTCTGATGGAGTTCTGCCACCCTTGCTTGCTGTGCCTGTAGTAAGCGTAATGGCTCGCTATCCAGTCGTAGATCTCCGAGAGCGACAGAATGCCCTGCGGGTTGGACAGGATCGCCTGCGTGATCATGGTGGCGTACGAGTACGGCGGCTTGAGGTCTTTGGCGTCGTCTTTGGAGTAGTCCTGCTCGGAGCCCTTGATGGTGTGGCCGGGCGACGAGAGGTCGTTGTGCGCAGGCGATTTCTCGTATATTTGGAAGCCCTTGACGTTGTTGTTGGCGTACACGTCGGTGGAGTAGAGCGACGCACTGGAGTTGCTGAAAACGTCCGACTTGGGCCGCTTGTTCTTGAGGTTGGAGAGGAAGTAGTTGGAGATCACGGGCACGGCGTCGGGCAGAATGAACATCATCTGGGTGCCGCCGATGTCGATGATGTTTCCCGAGTTGAGGAAGATGGGACCCGCGCCGTTCGACGTGGAGTTGATGCGCTGGGCGTCGATCTTGAGCCCGTTGCGCCCTAGAATCACGAGCTCCCAGCGTCTCTCCTCCAGATTGTACGCGATCGACGCGTGTTTTCGCGAAACCACCTTCGACGGCCCCAGGTCGATGTCGACCTTGTCCTCGGGCCGGTCCGTGGCGTGCGAGTCTGTGTTGCGGCCTATGAGCACTTTCAGGGATTTCACATAGAAGGTCCAGTCTCTGCCCGCAATCTTGGCGTACGCCTGGACCTCGTTGTTCAGATTCCGCTCGTTGTTGTACACGCGCGAGACCGTCGTGGGGATGTTGTCTGGGGGCACCGTGAGGTTTTTGATTACCTGATTAATGAGGTCGTTGGGGTCGTCAAATACCTGGGTTTGTTAGTGATTCCCTGTGCTGATACTCACCTCGTTATCCTCACTGATGAACCTTTTTCTTTCGCTCATGCTGCGCTTGCTGGGGGACACTTTTGGGCCAATCAGGAGCTGCGGACCAACAAATACGAGAGCTGTGGCAGTCGATTAATTTTTGTTTTTATTTACAATACTTTTTATTTTGTCAACAGTGCTGGAAAATTTTAGTCGCAAACTACTTTTTCTGCAAATCCAGAGGAGACTCGAACGGGTTTGACGCACTGTCCTTCACGTCCAGGTCCACCTCCAGGATCACCTCGTTGCTGTCGGTCCGGCCCAACGTCTCCAGCGGGATGTCCAGCGAGACCGTGTCGCCGCCGGTTTGCGCGTGGTGCTCCTGCTCCTTCCTGTGCTGCGTGGTGAGAAACTCGATGTTCTCCTCGTCTGAGTCGCCCAGATCCGAGTCGTCGCTGCTCCCGAGCACGTCGTCGTTGCTGCGCAGCAACAGCGGGCCGAACCCGAGATTGGTGCCTGCAGAGGTCCCCGTCCGGGACTCGGCCCTGGGCTCGTCCTCGTCCTCGTCCTCGCCCTCCTCGATCGTGTCCTCCAGCACAAACCGGCTCTTGGGCGGCTCGTAGTCGTACGCGTCCTCCTCGACGTTCACCAGCCGCGGCACGCCGCCTCTCGTGACCACGTTGCCTCCGTGGATCGAGGCGGCCTCCAGATCGCTGAAATACGTCTCCTTCGAGTATACGCTCAGGGCGCGGTTGCTGCCGTTCGAGGACCCGCCTGCACGGCTGTTTGTGAGCTTGGCGCTGCCGTTGCGGATCGTCACGCCCGGAATGTACGTCACGTTGATCACGTTCGACGCCTTGGTGAGCACCGAGTTGGTCATCGTCGTGAGCGTCGACTGCGAGTTTCGCCGCTGCCGCGGGCCTGCCGTGAGCTGCTCCTTGTCGTCGTCGTCCTCGTCGTCGTCCTCGTAGTAGTAGAAGAAGCCGTGCGGGTACCTTTTCTTGTACCACTTCTTGTAGAGCAGGTAAAACAGGCCGCACAGGATCAGGAAAACAAACGCAGCCACGCCGCCCGCGATGCCGCCCACCTTGGCCGAGCTCAGCCCTTTCGACACGGCCGGCGTGCTGGACGCAGAGGCCAGGCTCGACGTGATGTTGGCGCAGTACCGCGTGGGACAGGTGGTGCAGGATCCGGACGACTGCGCACACTGCTCGGTCGAGTCGCACGCGGGGCACGCGGGCAGCGACGGACACGAGACGCAGTCTGTGGAGTTGTCGGCGCGCTCTTCGAGATGCGGCAGCACCTCGTAGTAGATGCCGTCGTACGGGTTGTATACGTACTCCATGGCAGAGGCGAGAGAAAATAAAATTATTTTTAGCTGGCGAGGCCGCGCAGGGGCGGGTGCGCGCGACAAGGACGCGTTCGCGGCGTTTTTCGCCTGATACGCCGTTCTAGTATAGTGGTTAGTACTCTTGTTTGTGGCACAAGCGACCCAGGTTCGATTCCTGGGGACGGCACATTTTTTTTTTTCTAAAAAATCTATCTGTCTCTACTTGATGCTGCTCATGATTCCGTAGCCGACGGTGATGATCACGACAAACATAACGGCCGAGACCGGCAGCCCGCGCGAGATGAACAGGCCCGTCGAGAGATACCGCTTGCCGAGGTCGTCGGTCATGGAGATGGCGATCGAGTTCGGGAAGCCCGACATGGGCAGCGCCATGCCGACGCTCGCAATGAGCGTGATTCCGCACACGAGCAGGAACTCCTCGTCGAGCTCCTGGCCCACCGACTGGACGAGCGGGATCAGAATCAGCGCCGAGACGGTGTGCGACACAAAGGTGGCAAACACGACGCAGAGCACGCCGAAAATGGCCAGGATCGCGATCGGCGGGTAGGTGTGGATTCTGTCGGAGAGGGAGGTGGCGATGGTGTGGAGCAGGCCGGACGAGCTGACGGCCTTGCCGAGGGCGATGCCGCCCATCGCGAGCAGGACGATGGACCAGGGGTAGTTGTTGACGTCGGTGGTGGTGAGCAGGCCGGTGCCGTAGAACGCGATGATGGGCACGATGGAGATGATGCCGGAGGACCCGAGCCGGGACTCGAGCTGGGACTCGAGGCACCACAGCACGATGGTGAGCACGGACACGAAGCAGATGTAGTACTGCTTGAGGGTGAAGGCGGCCTTGATGGGCTTGATGGGCTTGATTTTCACGGTGTTGATTTTGAACGTGAGGATCATCTCCAGCCACACAACAAACAGCCCGATCACACACAGCGGGATCGAGAACGAGAACCAGTTGCCCCAGGACGGGTGCGGCTGGAGCGCCTCGATGGCGATGATGTTCTGGGGCGACGAGATCGGCGTGCTCATGCCACCCACGTCGGACACGAGCGCGATGCCGAGCACGAGCGCCCGCGCAAAGCCAGACTCGGTCGGGATGCTCTTGAGCAGCGGGGCGATGAGCGAGTACGCGAGCACGGGCGCCGCGACGTTCGAGATCCACATCGACAGGAACAGCGCCACCACCATGATGGCCAGCAGGATGCGGCGCGGCGACGTGCCGGCAAAAAACAAAATGTACGACGACGCGATCCGCGCAATGTTGTACTTGGACAGCGCGGCCGCGAGCGTGAACCCGCCGATCAGCAGCATGATGGTGGAGTTCCACATGGTGCCGAAGATGTAGGTGGCCGCGTCCGCGGCGCCCATCACGTCGCCCGTGTCGGCGTCCTTGAGCACGTTGCACGTGACCACGAGGAACGGCACGAGCAGCGACGTGGCGAACAGCGGGATGGCCTCAGTGGCCCACAGGATCGCGCAGACGGCCACCACGGCGAGACAGTTGCCCTGGGTGCGGTCGTTGAGCGTCTTGACGCCGAGCAGGACGCCGCCCGCGAGAATCGCGAGCGCGATCTTGAGCGCTGTCCAGCCAAACAGGAACCGCGGCACGCCCAGCCGGAACGGCAGCCACGAGACCTCGACGCTGTACATCTCGACCTGGAACATGCCCTTGAGCTCTGCCTCGTCGCCCGTCAGCACGCTCGAGCCCTTGGCGTTGTGCTTGTCCTTCTCGATGCCGATCATCTCTTTCCAGACGGTGCTGCGCTCGAAAACGATGTGCTCGCGCAGGTGGCTGCGCAGGAACGCCCGCGCCGCCTCGGCCGAGTCCCGCGTCACGCCCGCGTACACCTCGACCAGCTCGTCGAGGTAGTCGTCGATCTTGACGAGCGTGGCAGCACTGAACACCTCGGACCGGGAGCCGAGCGACTCGACAAAGCGCTCGCGGATGCGCTGCTCCAGGACCTTGTCGAACTTCTTGCACACCTTGCTGAAGCCGATCTTGTTGAGCTCGATGAACGACTTGAGCTCCGACAGCTCGATGAACGCCTGCACGATGCGCTTTTTGTAGCTCACCTCGTGCTGGAACGAGAGGTTGAGCTCGCGGTCGCCCAGCAGCGTCGAGAACGCCGTCGTGCTCTCGAGATCGTCGTCGTCGTCGTCGCCCGCGTCGCGCTCGACGTCCTTGCTGAACCGGTCGAGTCCGTCGTTGGTCTTCACCCTCTGCAGATCGTCCTGCGTCTCCTTGTAGTAGTGCAGGTCCCTGAGCAGCCGGTCGACCTCGCCGAAGATCACCTTCTCCTGCGCGGTGTAGAACGAGTCGATCTTGCGCAGCTCCTTCAGAAGAGCCGTCTCAAACACCTTTGGCGGCGAAACCTTGTCCAGATCGACCTTGGCCAGGTCGAGCGTCTCCTGCTCCGAGAGCGACTCGAGCTCCAGAGTCTCCGTCGTCGACTCCTCCTTCTTGCGCCTCAGAGAGCCCATCTTGTCCATGAGCGACACCTTCCACCTCGCAGCCCCAGAGAGCTCCAGGCCGGCGAGATTCGAGCGCACGTCGTTATCGGACGTGTGCGACGTGGCCAGCTTCGAGGACGCCGTGTTGGAGTTGTCGTACTCCAGCACGAGCTCCTGCAACTCGTAGATGAGCTTCTTGAGCGCCGAGTACGCCAGATAGTGCTCCTTCCACTCGGGAACGGCGTTGAACTGCAGCGAGTGCGAAAACTTCATGACGCAGGATCTTGGCACTAAAACTGAAATGGCAACTGGTCACACGAGCAGAAAAAAAAAACTGGCTGCCCACGTGGGTAATTAATTAGTCGAAAACGGTGTGCGTCGCTGGTCGATTCCGTTATATAAGCCGTTACGTAACAGGGGGGCGCCCCTAGTACTCGTAGTTGTCGCCCTTCTGCATCGGCATCGGCGAGTACACCTGCTGCATGTACTGCTGCTGGTAGCGCATCTGGTAGTCCGGGTCCATCGGGCTCTGCAGGTTCGCAAGGTGCTGCGAGTGCTTCTTGCGCGGCTTCTCCTCCTCGCGGGGCACTATGTCGATCAGAAAATCAAACATGTCGCTTTTCTGGAGCGCCGCCGCGATGTCGGACTTCTGTAGCGTTCTGCGCTTGTGCTCCTCGGCGTGGATCCACGCCCGCATCGTCAGCTCCGTGATGAAGATGTCGCAGCCCTTGGCAAACAGGATCGGCGCCTCCGCAGAGATCATCTTGACCTCCTCGTCGGTCTTCATCACCTTCTTGATCCGCGCCAGCGGGAGCTGGTGGTTCTTGAAGTCGTGGTTGTCGTGCTCGATCGAGTTGATGGTTTCCTGCCAGTACTGCATCATCATGTTCTTGTACTTGCCGCTCAGGCCCTGGCCGACGTTGCTGAACGCGCCCGACGGCCCTCCGAACTCGTCCGAGTCGTCTTCTGCGTCGTTTTCTTGCTCGTTGTCCACCTCGCCGTTCTCGGGCGAGAGCTCCTCTTCCAGGTCGTCCGAGACGCCGATGCCCTCCTCGTCCAGGTGCGTCGGCATCTCGCTGTAGCGGGCCATGGCGTACTGCTGGTCTCCAAATTCCTCGAACGCCATGATGAGGTGTCACTGGGTGTTGCGAATATTTACAATTATTTCAAATTATTGCAATTATTTATTTTGTCCCATGCCAAATCCGTTCCAGTCGTTTTCGTCCGTGCGCCCAAAACAGCACAAACAGACGTTCGACGAGCTCTACGGCGAGCCGGAGAACTTCCTGGAGCTCGAGGTCGTCAACCCGGTCACCCACGGCAACAAGTCGACCAACATGTACACCGACTACGAGATAGTGTGCCGCACCAACATCCCCGCGTTCAAGAAAAAGTACTCCCGGGTGCGCAGGCGGTTCAGCGAGTTCGACGCGTTCCGCAAGATCCTCCAGCAGGAGACCACCCGCGTGGTCATCCCGAAACTGCCGGACAAGTCGCTGCTCAACTACAACAACCGGTTCAACGACGACTTCATAGAGGAGCGCAGACAGGGGCTTGAGCGGTTTCTGAACATTGTGGCGGGCCACCCGCTGCTGCAGACGGGCAGTCCGACGCTCATCAGGTTTATCCAGGACGAGAAGTGGAGGTAGGGTGCGCGCTGACCCTGAGGCGGCCGCAACATAGTCTACATTACATAATAGCAACGGTGATCGCATAACGAGCTATCGAATAATACGTCGAATAATGAATGTATCGAGTAATACCCTGGGTGTCGAATAATACTCAGCATCGAATATTTTCTAAGAAATTCTTTATCCACTGCCCCTCAATTGCTATGGCCTCCCAATTAAAACTGGGACAATTAATTAATCGAAGCTCCAAACTCGTTTCTCTCAGATATTCTTCGTATCTTGCTCCCAAACCAACACTGAGCTACAGACCAGCACTCTGCCGTCCTATAATAAACAACAAAATGAGACTAGTCACAATCTCCAACTCCATCAAGGACGCCCTGACAAAGAGCGAGGTGGTCCCAACGGTGATCCACTCCGATTCCTTCACCCCCAAGGGCTTTCTGATCATCTCCTACGGCCAGGACAAGGAAGTCGCCATGGGAAACACTCTGGCGGTCAAGGACACCCAACAAAAGCCGGACTTCGCCTTTACGCTCAATCTGTCGAAAGACACAGACCCGGACTTTTCGATTTCAAGCTCCGACAGATTCACCTTGGTGCTCACTGATCCAGACGCACCAACAAAGGGCGACGAAAAGTGGTCCGAGTTCTGCCACTACGTCGTGAAGAATATCAAGCTCAACGACTTCGATCCCAACAAGTCGGTCGATGTGTCCCAAATAGAGGAGCAATTGACCACGACTAACCTCAATGGCGAGGCCCTCGTGCCATACATGGGGCCTGCTCCTCCACCAAAGACAGGCAAGCACAGATACGTGTTCTTGCTGTACAAGCAGAAACCTGGGGTCGAGCCAGAAGCGCCTGCAGACCGCCCTTGCTGGGGCACGGGCGTCCCGGGCTGGGGCGCCGAGGAGTGGAGCCAGAAAAACGAGCTGCAGTTGCTTGCTGTCAACTTCTTCTACGCGCAGAACGAGGAGCAGTGATTTACGTAAGCACAGGAGTGGTGTCTTTTATGTTGTTAGGCCTGGAAACGGGACTAATATATGGTATTTAGCATACAAGCGCAACCGTCAACGCCGTCCGGGATAGACGGCCGTAGTGCGTAGGGTGTCTGGGGGCGCCGTTTGGGAGAAGTGAGGGTGTCACAAGCAGTCTCCGAATCCGGGGTACTTACATAAAAGGCACCCCCACTCCCGTATTCCCCCGCCGGTTTGTGCCGTGTGCGAAATTAGCTAGGGTAGTAGAGGGGGGTCTCGCACCCCCTGGTGGCTGTAAAACGCACTCCGGAAAGAGAAGAAACAGAGCTACATGCGCTTCCGTTCGCTGGAATGCACAGGGGCAATGACGAGCTCGGAGTTGCCAGCTGCATACGACTGGCAACGGAGACGGAGTCCAGGTACGAAATTTTTTCGCGGCCAATCATGGCTCGGCAAAACAGCGGGGGTGCCGGTACAGGGAGTGGGGTGTCTAAAACGGGGTATCTCATGCAGGATGGAGCTTTTTAGCCCGTTGTGATTGGGTGTCCGAATATGCCGCAGACGTGTATCAACGTCCAACGCTCAGGAATTTATATCGCTGGAAATCCAGCTCGTCTGCAAAAACAGCGCCAACCATGATGTCAATTTCGAGAGTCGCTGCTTTGAGAAACCAAGTTGCTCGGCTAGCCAAGCCTGCCGTTGTCCAGCAGGTCTTCAGACACTCCACTGCGTCTGCTCCAACCATCCCTAAGACCCAGATGGGGTGTGTTTTCGAGACCAACGGCGGTCCAATCGAGTACAAGGAGATCCCTGTGCCAAAGCCAAAGCCCAACGAGATTCTGGTCCACGTCAAGTACTCTGGTGTGTGCCACACCGACTTGCACGCCTGGAAGGGTGACTGGCCATTGCCGGTGAAACTGCCGCTTGTGGGTGGTCACGAGGGTGCCGGTGTTGTCGTTGCCAAGGGTGAGAACGTCAGCAACTTCGAGATCGGCGACCTGGCCGGTATCAAGTGGCTGAACGGCTCGTGTATGGGCTGTGAGTTCTGCCAACAGGGTGCAGAGCCAAACTGTCCTGACGCTGACCTGTCCGGATACACGCACGACGGTTCTTTCCAACAATACGCCACTGCCGACGCTGTCCAGGCCGCCAAGCTGCCTCCTGGAACCGACCTCGCTGCTGTTGCTCCTATTCTGTGTGCTGGTGTCACTGTGTACAAGGCCTTGAAGACGGCTGCTCTGCGTCCAGGCCAGATCGTTGCCATTTCTGGCGCTGCCGGCGGACTGGGCTCTCTTGCCGTCCAGTACGCCGTTGCCATGGGTCTGAGAGTTCTGGGTATTGACGGTGGCGAGCAGAAGGGCGAGTTCATCAAGAAGCTCGGCGCCGAGTTCTACGTCGACTTCACCAAGGAAAAGGACATTGTTGCTGCCGTCCAGAAGGCCACCAACGGCGGTCCTCACGGTGTGATCAACGTTTCCGTGTCTCCAGCTGCCATCTCCCAGTCCTGTCAGTACGTGAGAACACTCGGCAAGGTTGTCCTTGTTGGATTGCCTGCCGGCGCGGTTTGCGAGTCTCCTGTGTTTGAGCACGTTGTCAAGTCCATCCAGATCAGGGGATCCTATGTTGGTAACAGACAAGACACCACCGAGGCCGTGGACTTCTTCACCAGAGGCCTCGTGAAGTCTCCATTCCAGCTTGCCGGTCTTTCGGAGCTGCCAGAGGTCTTCAAGAAGATGGAGGAGGGCAAGATCTTGGGCAGATACGTTCTTGACACTTCTAAATAAATTCAAGATTAATATTTCACAAGTACAGGCTGAAATTAAAGTAAAATAAAATAAAATAAAATAAAATAAAATATAATTCATAATTAATTCATCAAATAATTCACAATTCATACCATTCCCCATATCACAATTCCAATGAACACAGACGTGGAGTTTTGGGAGTTCCGCAAGCTGCACGACAAAGACGACACCCTGCTGGACAAGGTCGAAAAACAGTGTTTTCGATACGCCCTGCCCAACCTGCCGCTGTGGGGCCCTCTGGCGCCCGCGCACGATTGCACCACGCTGCGCGCGCTCATGGGGTTTGCGCAGTCGTACGTCGGCGCCGCGCTGATCATGCGCATACCCCGGCTCAGAGGCCTGCCTGCGCTCCGCCGTTACTCGTCGTCGTTCGCCCGCATTGTGCTCGGGTCCGCCTTCTTTCTCGGCGGCACGCACGAGCTCAGCTACGCGTGGAGACCCTACGAAAACCCGCTCTACGTGGAAACCTGTCTCGCGAGAGACAAGGCCATGCAGGACGGCGAGGAAAGCACGTACTGGCTGGGCCCGAAAAACTACATGCCCATGACCATCTCGCAGTACTTTGACCTGGTCTGGATGCAGTACCTGACGCGGACCGACGTCGAGAAGGCGATGCGGTCCAAAATCATGGCCAAGTTCAACCAGTGTAACGAGAAGTACGCCGAGTCACTCAGAGACACGGCCACGCTGGGCTCGCGCGTGCAGCGGGTGATCGACCAGCCGGCGCCGAAACACGCCATCAGCAAGGACGAGGTCAGCTCGATCATCGGGGCGTTCCACACGGACGAGGACCTCACGGACCCGGACGTGGTGGAAAAATACTGGTTCGAAAACCACCCCTGGATCAAGCTCCAGGTGCTCACCAACACCATGTACCTGGCCTCCAACATCCCGCGCGTGGCGCAGCCAAAAGACGAGCAGCCAGAAGAGCGGGAAAAACGTGATGAACCAGACGCAGATCTGCCTGCTCAAAATAACGAATAACTAACTGTATAACGGATCTATAATCTATTAGAACCTTCTGTTGCCCAGCGGCGCAGAGTTGCTGCCAGAAAAGCCCCTCGAGCCGCCTCTTCCGCCACGGCCGCCTCTGCCGTAGCCACCACGGCCTCTGCCGTATCCTCCGCGGCCTCTACCGTAGCCGTATCCGTTGCCTCTGTTACCCTTCTTGTCCAAAGCTTGCAATTGCGGAGGAATCTCCTGCTTGGCCTCTCTCAGAATGGTGATGAGGTCGTGGGCCTGGCCGGAGTTGCTCTCCGTGAACATCGTGATGGCCGTTCCCTTCTCGCCAGCACGGCCCGTTCTTCCAATACGGTGGACGTAGTCCTCGACGTTGCCCGGCATGTCGTGGTTGATCACCGTGGTGACTCCCTTGACGTCTGATACGTTAGTTTACGAATACCAAGTGCTTTCCGCCCAACTCGAATATATTTCTATACCAAAGTGTAGCCAAGCGAAAAGCGGCATGGGGCGCTTCCCATGCGAAAAACTTACCGATACCTCTGGCAGCCACGTCCGTGGCCACCATGACAGGCGACCGTCCGGACCTGAACTCGCTCAGAACCCAATCTCTCTCCCTTTGCTCCTTGTCGCCGTGAATAGCCAACGCTGGCCAGCCCTCGCTCCGCATGTACGCAGTGATCTCGTCGCACGCTCTCTTGGTCGAGGCAAAGACAATCACCTTGGCCTGGGGCTCCTGCATCGCAGTCTCCAGGTGCTTGGCAAGCTTGTCTCTCTTCTCGTACTCGGAACACACGTCGATGATCTGCTTGATGTTGTGCGAGGCAGCCAGGTCCAGCGAACCAATGTTGACCTGGATGTAGTCGTTCAGGTAGTCTCTGGCCAGGGTCTGGACGCTCTTCGGCCAGGTGGCAGACCACATCAGCGTCTGTCTGTCTGGACGGATCTGGTCGACAATCTTGCGGATCTGGGGCTCGAATCCCATGTCCAGCATTCTGTCGGCCTCGTCCAGAACCAGATAGGTCACACGCTTGAGGTTTGTCCGGCCGGAGTCCAGCATGTCCAGAAGACGACCAGGAGTGGCAATACAGATTTCAGCTCCTCTGGCAAGGTCTCTGATCTGCTGGCCCTTCGGCACTCCACCGTAGACGCAGGTGTTTCTGATTCTGGAGGAACGCCCGAACTTGGAGCATTCCTTCTGAATCTGCACAGCCAGCTCTCTCGTTGGGGCCAAAACCAAACAGATAGGACCGTCGCCAGGTTGCAAAAGGGGCTGGGCATTGATGTGCACGATAGCAGGCAGACAGTACGACAGGGTCTTTCCGGAACCCGTCGAAGCAATTCCCACCATGTCGCGTCCGGAAAGGGCCATTGGCCATCCCTGACACTGGATGGCGGTAGGACTAGGAAATCCCTGCGCCTTCACCTCCTTCAAAACGTAGTCTGGGAACCCAGCCTCGTCGAACGAAGTGATGGGTCTAGGGATGTCTCTTCCATACACCGTCATATCGTGCTCCTTTCTAAACGCAGCCACCTCATCATCCGACCGCGAAGCAACCGCCTCTGCCTCTTTGTAAAAATTCTTCTCGAACTTGGGCAAAGTCTCCAGATCGAAATTAGGCTTGGTCAAATTTGCACCAAGCTCGTAATCGTCTCTGCGTCCGTAGTTGCCATTGCGATCGTCTCTGCCAAACCTACTTCTATCTCCACCGCCATACGTCTGGTAGCTATTTCTATTGTTGTTAGTATACGACATGTTAAAAGGGATAATTTTGTTTTAGATAAAAATTTTGATAAAAAAAATTATTTCTTATTGTAAAAAAATTTTACTTACCCGGCACTGGAAAAGAAATAACAGCTACCATATCTAAGTCATCGATAAAAATACACGTTTGGCCTCTAATCCGCTATGTAGCCTCCGAAAGCACGTCCCTACGGCTCCTCGGTGCTGTAGTCTCTGGAACTGATTTTTTCCCCGAAAACGTCCTCCACATGGGTGCACAGATCCACCAGATCGTCCAGCCCCTTGTGCAGCGCCTCAACGGCACTCATGCCGCCGTACGTCTGAATTCGAATATTCATCTTGCTCTCTGCCGGGTGCGGAATCGAGTATCCGCAGAACTCAACCTCTGGATTCTTCATTATCATGTACCGCAGCGCATTCCCCAAAGTGTGGTCCTCGTCGCTGATCTGAAACGAGGCCGCCGTGCCATCGGGCGTGGAGCCAGGTAGCAGCTTGATCTTCTCGGTGTCCACCTCGTCCTGGCTCATCGTCTCGTCTGCCACGTCCTCCATCGGTGCGTCGTCTGACATGATGAAAATTCGAAAAAAATATTTACTCAGGAAAATATTATAGAAATCGGGCCCCGGCGCTGTTGCAGAATAGCGCCCCAGCTGGCCACGCGAAAACGCCGCTCCAGCCACCCACGCCCCCCACTTACGCAGTAGAACCAACGTCCCCTCCCCACAGCGCGAGCCGTGCCTCGCGCGCCCACCGCTCGATTTTCTGCTGACTAATCGCTTACCTCATCGTCCCTAGACTTGCTCCTGCAAGCCAAAACAAAACGTTTTACGTAAAATTGGCTTTGTGCAAGAATAATTGATACTAGCAAAGGGTCCCTGTTTATGCCGATGATCTACTCATCCCAGCAACCCGACCCTGGACACGGCACCCAGACAGACTCTCTAAACGGCAAGACCGGCAGCAAGCACAACCCTGCCCCCGATGAGGCCTCTTTCAACTTTGCCAATAGACGGGACTCCCTGTTGACGGGCTCGTCTGGCGTGCCTAACGACTACTACCAGCCCAGCAACCCTACCGTTGGGGCTGAGCAAATCCACAATAACTCGATTTCAGGTCTATTTCCGCGCCAGGACAGCATCTTTTTCCCCCGGTTTTCGTTCGACTCCAATGCCCCACCAGGCAGTTTCAGCGCGGCCTCCCAGCAGCAGCCGCCGGAGGGCTTTCCGTACAGCGACATCCAGCGGGAGTACTCGTTTGCGTATCCTCCGGGTAGCCACAACGGCTCGATGCAGAATTTCCTCCAGCCATACTCGTCGGAGCGCGCCATCAATCCTGGCTCTGCCGACAACGTCTACGGCAGACGGCCGAGCGAGCAGCTGGAGCCGTTCATAACTCCGCAGCAGCAACAGCAACAGCAACAGCAGGCCCAGCTTGCGTCCCACCAGGCCCAGTACCAGCTTCCGCAGGCAGGCGCGGCCTCCAGAAACAACAGCCATTTTTTCAGGCGATTCCCGTCGATAAGCCAGCCCAACAGCGAGCTTCCTGTTGGAGACGTGGACAGTTTTCTGAAACGGGACAGCGTGAACAAAATTTTCGACCAGAACAGCGATCTGCTGGACAGCATTCCGTACCAGGACCAGCAGCAGCAGCAGCCGTCGCAAGGCCAGCAACACTTCCAGCCTGGACACTCGAGGCCGGGAAGCATGTACTCGAGCGCGCCCGTGCTTCCAATTCCCACGCGCATGGTCACAGACCCTGCAAAGAGCGGCGCGCAGAGTTTCCAGAAAGCCCAGCACGTCGGCCAGTCTGTTCCGCCTGAGGAGGCCAGAAAAGACAGCGACGATGCCGCGGCAAGAAAGCGGCCGGAAACCTACCCTACAGAGTCGCCAAACACGGGCATGGCGATGGACGGCGCGGTGTCGCCTGCTAGCAAGAAAGCGCACATCCAGCCGTCGGCGAACCTGGTGCCAGTGGCTCCGCAGATGAAGCCGGAGTACGGCAGCATGGGCAACCTTGTTCCAGCAAATCAGGCGCTGCACACGGAAGACGGACGGCCGCTGATCGGGGCTACAAAGGTGGACCAATTGATGCTGGTTATCCAGGCGCGCAAGAAGGGACTAACCGGGGACATCAGACAGGCCGAGGACGGCACGATCTTGGAGGAGGTCGGGCCGCGGGCCACAAACAACTCTGTGCTGCCAAACCCGGTGGAGCTGGTGGGCGGCGTGGAAAAGCCCAACATCCGCGGCCACAAACAGCACCAGTGCCAGTACTGCTACAAGAAGTTCACGCAGTCGACGCATCTGGAGGTGCACATCCGGTCGCACATCGGGCTGAAGCCGTACGAGTGCTCGTTCTGCCACAAGCGGTTCACGCAGGGCGGAAACCTGAGGACGCATCTACGGCTGCACACGGGAGAAAAACCGTTCAAGTGCGAGGTGTGCGACAAGTCGTTCTCGAGAAAGGGGAATCTACAAGCACACATGCTGACTCACAACAACCTGCGGCCTTTTGTGTGCAAATTCGACAACTGCAACAAGAGTTTCACGCAGCTTGGGAACCTCAAGGCGCACCAGAACAGGTTCCACATGAAAACGCTGAACGAGCTGACCAACAAGCTGGCACACATCTCGTCCTCGGGAAACTCGATTGACGCGCTCCCGCCCAACGAAAGAGACCTGCTGTTGTATTTTGCTGATCTATACAAAAATCTCAACAGAGGCATCCGTGGCAGGGGCAGAGGCGTCAAGAACTCGGACTCGCTGCAGGGAACACAAGGAATTTAGGCAATGTCATGGGATATTAGCGGATGGTCACACATAGAGTGTTTTTGTATTGTAGTATAGGATTTGATTGGCAAGCTAGTTAGGTAGATCACCTAGTCAATATTAGGATTTTCGGTTGAAGTCGCCCGGTGGTGCAGTGGACCAGTCGCTGTAGAAGATGTCCTCAAAGTCGTAGCGTTTCGGGTTGGCCTGGTAGGTTGTCGGCATGCCGTTGAAGCCCCTATTAGAGTGTTGGGACTGAGACACTGTGGAGAGTCCAGACGGGATCGATCCAAAAAGATCGTTGCCTGGCTGCTCCGGCTCTGGCTCCTGGTACTGGTCCGGGTACGGCTCTGGCTCCGGCGTGGTGTCTGCCGACTGCTGGTTCGAGTTCAGCATGTACGGAGGCAGGAACCGGCCGAATATCTTCATGTCCAGCTGGTCCATCGGTCCCGGCACGTACCTGTACTTCGACTGTTCTGGCGGCGACATGGAGGACGGCGTAGGGTCGAGTTCCGGGTTTGAGGTTCTGTCGTTTGACGGGATGTTCAGGTTGATGCCCGTGGACACTCCATCGATGAAGTTGACCCCGTTGACGATGTTGTTGATCTCGGAATTTTCCATCTTGGAGTACCCGTTGAATGGCTGCGGCGCGTGCTCGGCAGGTCTCATGTTGGACGGAGGCAGAGGAATATACATCGGGTCTTTTTTCTGGTCGCGCTCGAACTGCGTCTTGCCGACCTGTGGTGTGAGGAACTGCGAATTAGGCGGCTCGTGGTTGATGCTTGCGTTCGCTGTCTTGCGGTTGAGTTCCTCGAACAGCGCGTTGAGGATGTTGTACGTCCTTCTGGCCGCCATGCTGCTGTCCTTGAGAATGTCCAGCACGCGTTTCCCGCTCTCTGCGTCTCTCTTGATGGCAATGTACTCCGGGTCAAAATCTCCGTTCGGGGTGATTGGCGGCGCAAAGTGAACATAGTACACCAGACACGCGACAGAGAAAAATATCGTGTAGATGGAAAACCAGTACGACCCGCTCAGCATGTTCTTGTTGATCATGTCCTCGGCAAGCTTGACGACGATTCTGGCGACGTTGATGCAGTTCTTCGCTTTCTCGATACACCTGAGGTCGTTCGACGACTTTGGTCTGTTCACGTGGTCCGACGATAGGTAATGGATGAACGGCCTGTATAGAATGATTTTGACGTGCAAGTACGAAATGTGCAGCAGTCGGTTGGCCTTCAGGTACTGGCTGGAAGGCTCGACTCCCGGCTTGAGCTCCAAGGGAAGACTGTTCATCCAGTCCTGCAGGTCAATCTCCAGCTGATAAACAATATCGTGGGTCATGAGATCTGGCCGCCGTCCGTTTTCCACCTTGCGCGGCTTGATCGGATACAACTTGGTGACAATCTTCTTCATGATGAAGATCAGTTGAGTGTGCGCGTTCGCTATGCCCGAACTGGACAGACGGTCGCCCTGTTTCTCGAATCGGTAGCCGTCAACGGTGATGTTCTCGTCGTCGAGCTCGATCGGCATGTCCTGGTCGAAATCGTCCTCGCTGATCGTCCGGGGCAGTCCCAGCATCGTGTTCACATAGATGTCCATCTTGTAGATTGTCCAGAAAAGACGCTTCCTGATTTCCAGCTCGATCGGATTGAAAGGATAGTCCAGTTTCCGGTGCAGACCTTCTCGCAGAGCAGCTCTCAGCGCTATGCCGATGTACGCGTAGCACGTGGACAGTCTAGCCGAGCACTGCAGAAAGATGATGAGCATCACGATCGTCTGGATACCGTACGTGTCGCGTGTGTCGGTGATGTCGATCAGCTTCCGCGCGGCAATGAAGTAGCGGTAGCCTTCGTCCTCGAAAAACTCGTTTTCGGGGCTAGGCTCGCCGTTCTTCGACCCAATGGTCTGCTCATCGCTCTTCAGGAACAACGCGCCGCACGCCATCACAGAGTACACCAGCGGCAAAAACCGCTGCTGCTTGTTGGTGTACTGGCCCGGGTCTGTGTCGTACAGCTCGTTTAGGTCCTCAATGAACGCGGGTCGGTGGTAGAACCGGAACAGGACACACGCGTTCTCCCAGGTCTTCGTGATGAGCCGCAGCGCCACCTCGCGCGACGGCAGAATGATTTTGATCTCCTTGCCCATGCTGGACTCGTACGAGCCGTCGATGCCCTGGTGGGGGCCGCAGAACTGCGACCGTTCGGATGGCGACTCGTGCGCCTTGACGGCCGTCACCGGCGGCGCCGGCTTCGACACGTTGGGCACCGGGGGCACGGGCACGTCGGGCAGGCTCTCGTACTCCTCGGCGATCGCCTTGCCCGACGCTTTCGAGTCGTCGTACGATTTTTCGCGCAACCTGTTCATCGCCGTGAGCAACTTCATCGGGTTGATGGGTTTCGGGTTGTCGTTCAGGTCGGTCAATTTGATGTCGGGCAGCAGTCTGTGCAGAATATCGTCGTACAATTTGAGTCTGTCGGTCAACCTGGCCATCATCTCCACATTATTGGCAGGCAGACTGGACTGCTGCGAGCCGGCAACCGTGCCTGGATGGTGCCCAGCGCTGCTGGCAGCGGCCTTCCGCTTGGTCCTGCTGGGCTGGTCGTACGTACACTCGTAGCTGTAAACGGTGCAATGAATACAGGGCTGATCGCCCGAGCATTTAATTTTCAATTTTCGACAACGGTCGCATGCACGCACCACACGGCGCTTCTTCTGCAGAACAACTCCGGACGAGCCGTCCGCGCCTTCCGAGCCTGCAGGCATGATGATTTTGGGAGGCACAGAGGCGCTGGGCTTCATGAGAATTTCCCTGCCAAACTCCCTGCTTGCTTGGGTGGAGGGCCTTGAGCCAGGCGACTGTGTTTGCGACGAGGTCTCGGACAGATCCGGATTGGTTAGCTTGTGCTTGGACATCTTTGCACCGGCTCTGAATTGGGTATACGCGAGATGTTAACGCCTTTTTACATGCACTTTAAACAACAAAAGGGCACAATTTTTTTTGACATACATAGGCTCCCCTCGTAAATAACGCGGCAGTGAAATGGTTCCAGACACCCGTACACGGGAGAAGATGACTCTTATTGTTTAAATTTTATATTATATACCTATATACCCATTGAAATCCTGGTGAGCGCGTGGCTGTGTATATTGTTTGAAAACGTTGCCCTCTCTTGTTAAATTGTGGTTGCATAAATAAGTTTTTCTCTTGAGATGTGGTTTCCTTATTCTGTTTCCGATCCGGAGTCAGGAGTATCTGAGGAGGAGTAACGGCGATGCCAGAACGCAGGTGGGGGTGGAGGAGGCGAGCGTGTGTGATAGCCGTGTCTGAAGTGGGGGGCCCTGCTTCTGCCTCTTCCCCATGGTCTGCCGTAGCCAAACCCGTAAGAGCCAAAGTAGGCGTGTGGGTGGTATGGAGGAGGTGGAGGATGGTGGTGGCCGTGCATTCCAAATGAACCTTCAGCAAATGGGTGTGCCGGAGGAGGAGGAGGAGGAATTGGTGGGAATCCGTACGGTCCAAATTCCTCGTGCCCGCCAAAAGGACTAAAGTCGCGCCCGAATTTTCTGAATTTCTTTTTCGAGTGATGGCGACGTTTCTCTTTATAGCCCTTCTTCCCGCGCTCGGCGTCTTTCTCGGACACACCAGCCGCCTCTCTTTTCTCCTCCAGGATGTCGGCCAGCTTGGCAATCACAGCAATGAGTTCCTCTTCTGAGGCCTTTTCCAGGTCAATGGTGACAATTTCTTTCTCGGTCATGATGAGTGACATTAGGGCAAAAACCGTCGGTATTTATACTTTGCAGGGCGACGCACGGGGATTGCTAATATGTAGGGGCTTAGCATATTTGGAATCCCGAAACAATAGCTTGATCACTCTTCTGAGCAAATCAGTCACCGAGGCGTATGCAGAGAGTGCATATTTTGAATCCCGTGTGAATTTCGCTGAATCCCGTGTTTCACACCGACATACAGCACACAACTCTGCACCAGAACGTGCAAAAAGTTCGGCTTTTTTTTGTGTCCTGTCCCACACCCTTGCACACCCTGCTTCGGACCGAAGATAACGGAGTTGCGGTAATTCCCAAAAAGCGAGTGCGGGACAGACCCCACCTGTGCGATCTATGACCAGCGGTTCACTACCCCTCTATTACACCCCTACGGAGCAACGGCGCCGCTAACTACGAGAAAGAAACTAAGAAATTTGAAGCTCAATTACACCAGGACTTCGGTCTTCTTCCCACGTCGCCATCTTGGTCCCTGCCAGCCCAAGCCGAAAGGTAGTTTGCATCTCCGTACCGGCATAGTCTACAAATTAAAACAGATTTTTTCGACGGCTCGTTTCTTTTTTGGAAATTTTTAGTGACCTTTCTAGATCTCGACCATTTTTGCAACGCCGTGCATCAACATAATAAATACAGACCGAATCTCTCCTGAAGTTCCGACTAGTTTCCTTAATTCTCATTCAACTATCGCTATGTTCGGCAAACAAGACCAACAAAACAGCACCGAGACTGATGACCTCAAAGCCAAGCTCAACTACGGAGCTGAGAAGGAGAAACAGATCATGAACGAGATTAGAAACGGCAACAAGGCCAAGAGCTTCAGCCAGTTGTTCGAGAGTAGTCTTGGAGGTGAATACTTCAGTATCAGCTACAAGAAGAACTAATAGTACTAATGGATTCGCAATGATATGATGATTCATGGTAGAATTACTGTAGAGCAGAGAAAGATAGATTCTAGCTAAAGCCAGGGCCTTTTTGAGCCACGGCAAAAAAGAGAATACTTCCGGGAAAGTAAAAAAAAAAAAAAAATTAAAAAATAAGCGACCTCGGTGAGGATCGAACTCACGATCTTGCGATTAACAGTCGCATGCCTTAAACCAGCTTGGCCACGAAGTCTTAATTGGTGACATTTCTGCTCGGCTAAGAACCATATGGGTTTCGGAAATCCTCTTTTGTCACTGGTGACGTTGAGGCAGCTGGCTTGATTACCAAATAGCTATGGTCATGTGCTGTCGCCTTTTCAAAGGCGAGAACCGTTTATTGCAGCCCCTGGAAAATCCCTACTATTATTAAAAACATCCAAAATAAAAAATAGCCACCAAATAGCGACCAGTAACAAGACCACCTTGGGTCCTACTTAAAACTACTTCCTTTTGTTCCGTCTAGTCCGTCTTTCCCAATTCCACAAATAGACAAAAGCTACCTGTTTCTGCACTAATACTCTCCAGCCACAGTCTGTAATAATACATATTAATTTTTATTTTCCCGTTGATTTTCCATGCTTTTTCTCTTCTTTCTCGTGCTACTGGCCAGTGGCCTCCCGGCGGACGAGATTTTCCGCGTGGACTGGCAGACTGTGCAAATAGGCAGGCCGTTTGCGTCTCTGTTCAAAAACGGCCGAATTCACTCGCTTACCGATCAGAACATATACTCTGTCTTGAACTCGTCAACGGGCGAAGTTTTGTACAGATATCAAAGCGAAACGCCCATCCAACACGACTCACTCCTGGCTCCTGCTTGGAACGAGCTTGTTGCCTGCGGACTCAACCATGAGGCAGCTTCCCGTGTTTTTTTCTGGACAACAGACGGACTCATTGAACACGAGCTTGATTTGGGAAGTTTGGCCGGAATCCACAACGTTCGCGACGAAGTGCTTTTGGCCGTGCAAAAGGACGGCTCCGTGCTGCAAATCGACCAAGAGTACGGCCAAAGTACCGTTGCTCAGGTCGGGCCTGTCGACGCCAGCAAACTGGCGTTCTTTGCTGACCAACTGGTGCTGGTCACTAAGAGCTCAGCGGGAACGGTCTACAAGATACTAGATGGACCGGAGGGCCGTCTGGGATGTCAGTTTGACGACGTTCTGGTCACAGACGAAGGACTTGTGTGCAACAAGGACATATACAAGCTGGAGAGCGGGAAATTGCAGAAATACAAAAACTCCCCGCTGGCTGCCGTTGCCGGGAAAACAGCACGCGTGGTCGATTCCCAGTATTTGGTGACTGTGGACGAAAACATTAACGTGTACGATCTGGACGAGCCCAGCAGACTTCTTGAGTCGCACGCGCTGAAGTCTCCAGCCGACCTGGTTGAGGCTGACACGGTGGATGGCTCGGTTGCCGTTTTTGTTGTTTCTGGTGACGATCTTCTGTTGCTTGTTGGAGGAGAGCTGGTATGGGCCAGAGACGAGTCTTTGGCGGAAATCAGCGACGTCGTTATCATCGACCGCCACGAAGAGCTAAGCGTGACGTTTGAGGACTTTGAGCACGAAAAGCACTGGTCCGGCTACATCGACAGACTCAAGCACAATTTGCAATTGCTCTTCCAGGAGCCACATAAAGACACCGACAAACACTTTGGATTCAACAAGACGATCATTGTGCTGACCGGAAACGGCAATCTTTACGGGTTTGACAGCTACGGCCATCTTGAATGGAGTATTAAGGAGCACGAATTTTCCCGGATTTTCAGGCTGGATAACCAGGCATATGCCGTTAGTGAAAAAGTATACGCAATACAGGACGGAAAGCTCCTGGAGACGGACGTGAAAGAGGAGCAGAAAGCACTGTATCCTCCAAATCTGGACGATTCGTACCGTCTCCTGACAACTGCTGCCAGAGGATACAATAACACGGAGGTGGCGTCTCCCGCCGTTGTTTTGGCAAGCCGCAGAGTTCTGTACAAGTTTCTGAACCCGCAGACCTCTGTTGGTGTGTTTTATAACGAAAACTCTGCTCTTCTCAAGTTTGTGGTCTACAACAAGGCCACAAACCAGACATACGCGTCGTTCGAACACTCCACAAAGAATCCAGACTCATTGAAATTGGTGTTTGAGGAGAACTTCATTGTATTCACCACGAGCGAGAAAAACGCAGAGACGAGCATCCTAGGCGTCATTGAGCTGTACGAGTCGCTCACTCCTGACCAGAGATCAAAGGTCCCTGAACACCAGGTGCGCACATACGTTTTTCCTGCGCCAGTGGCCGCCATGACCGTGACACGGACAAAATACAACATAGCCTCCAAATGGCTGATCGTGGCACTTGAATCCGGGGAGATTGTGGCCGTTCCTCGCACACTGGCCAACGCAAGACGGCCGTTTGTCGTGAGCAAAAAACAGTCCGAAGAAATGCTGATGAAGTACCAGCCCGTCCTGCCGGTGAACCCCAAACTCACGCTGTCTCATTATAGGAAAATCATCGGCACCAAAAAACTCGTTTCGGTGCCCACAGAGCTGGAGTCCACGACGCTCCTTGTTGGCGCGGGGATCGACCTGTTTGCGACGCTTGTGCGTCCATCGAGCTCTTTTGACTCCATGCGGGGCGACTTCAGCAAAACGACTCTCCTGGCAACGATTGCAGTTCTCGTTGTTTCGATTCTTGTTGTGCGGCCGCTTGTCAACCAGAAACGGGTCAAAGATGTGTGGCAGACGCGCATCTAGCGGTCACGCCGCCGCCGCTCGGTCTTGCGGCCCAGCTCCATGTCTTTGCGACAGTCCGGGCAGTACCATATTCCCTGTGGAGGCTCCTTGAGCCCCACACAGTCATAATGGAACCACTCGTATTTGCAGTCGGAGTTGTCGCACGCAATCATGTTCCCGTACGAGACCTGCTGGCAGAAACAGTACAGCTCGTCCTCCTCGTTGGAATTGTGGTTTGGGGCCTTTGGAATAGTCACTGTGCCGGACGCTCCATGCTCCAGCAAAGAGTTCTTCTTGCGCGGTGCTCGTATCATCATGTCTTCCATCTCAAAATCGCTTAATTCCTCGGATGTCATTCTGTTGCGTAGTCCCATCATCGAGCTCGAGTAGCTGCCCATGTAGACGTTCGACGGCGTAGAGTGTCTAGACTTGCGCGGAAGCCGGCCCTTGCGCGGCACAGACCCGAGAGAGTCGAGCGACGTGCTCGAGATCTGCGAGCTCAGCATGTCCAGCATACAGTTTTCGGCGTCCTCGTCGTCGGAAGACTCTTCGTTCAAAATCGGCGGCACCACTCCCTCTTGTTCGAGCTTCTCGATGTCGTTCTCCAGCTTGGTCAGGTGTTTTGCCAGGAGAAACAGCGCAGTGTTCGCCAAGACACACTTCTCCTCCTGTATCTTGCTACCCTTCTCGAAATCCTCTCTGTTCTTCTGATATATCTGGTCCTCCTTTGGATGCTTGACCAAAGAGCCCTGTTGTTTGATATGTTTGAACAGCTGGTTATCTCGCTGACTAATGCGTTTCTTGATATCGTACAGCTTCAGATCCTTCTCCCTCAGCTCCTCCAGCAGATACGCCAGCTCGGACGGCAGATTTGACAGGTCCTGCGTGTACTGTTCCAATAGCGTGGAGGCGTCCATAAATAAATAAAATAAAATAAAATAAAATAAAATTAAATTATTTTTTGCCATTACTACACCTGCTTGCTAGGTTTCCGGATATCTGTCTCTGCGTACAGCTCGTTGTATTTTCCCTGGTTGCCGTACCGGCTGCGTTTCGGCTTGCGCAGGTGCGACAGGTCTCTGTGCTTTCTGTTGATGTACAGGAACATGTACATTCCAAACACAGCGATGATCACCACCGTAGGCACAGACATGATCACGTAGTACACGTTGTCGTTGGAGCCCGTGCGGTCCTGCAGCTCCTTGTCGATCTTGCTGTTCTTGGCCACCACCGCACGCTTCTGGAAGTGCACCACCACGTGAGCAGAGTCTATCAGACTGAACTCCTCGTCGTCCACGGTGTCGGGCTGCACCGCGATGAGGACCGCCTTGCTCTGCTTATTTCCCAGCCAGGCGTCCAAAACCTCAATCGGGAAGAAACCGTCTCTGTTGAGGAACCAGTCGGACGAGAAGAAAGTGCCTGGAAGAGCACCTTCCTTGTGTTCCTGCGAGTGATCAACGTACTTCGACTTGGGCTTCACCGGAGGCCCCAGGTCGACCAGGTCTCTCTTGACCATTCCCTGCTCTTTGGCCGACTCCTTCAGGAATGCGTAGTGGATCCGCACGTTCGTGGCGTCCTCGAAGTAGCGCGTGAACCACGTGAGGAAATACGTCTTCCCCACGAACAACTTTTGGTTTTCGTGCGGCGAGCAGAACGGCTCCGAGCTCAGTTCTCGCGCGACTCCCTTCTTGTAGTAAAAATCAGGCGTGCACCTCATGAGCGGGTTCAGCGACACGTACGTGTCGTCTTCTGGCTGCCAGATCACCTCGGTAAACACCTCGTCTTCCGCCATATTATGTGCCTTGAGCTGCTCCTTGTTGTACGTCACCGTGGTGGCCGTCTGGAAATACGTTTTCAGGTTCGGACGCCCGTTCTGGATTTTTCCGTTCTTCATCTTCGGGTGTATCGTCTTGGGAGAGCCGTCTTTCTTGAGAGACACCCACGGCTCGAGCCCGTCTGTCGTGGCAGGAGGCTTTGCGCTGAACGTGATTCCGCCAATCACAGTCGGCGTGACAATCTCCGGAATGCTCCCGTATATTGTCCGCAGCCAGGGATCCGGCTTTTCGGTTGTGGTCGAGCTCAGACCCTTGCCCTGCATTCTCTCTGCGTATTCCTTGTTCACAATCGCCTTCTTGATCCGCTTCTCCAAAACAACTGGCGTCTGGGACGGGACGGCGTCGGTTAGAGACGTCTGCGACGGCAACACCGGGAGAGCCGCCAGCTGGCATGCCAGCATCAGGTACACTAGAACCTTCATTGGTGTTTTTATTTTTTTTCCAAATTAAATCAAAAATACTGGTTCTCTCCAACACACCCGTGCACCCCACTTCTCGGCAATTGGCGGAGAGCGGGTGCGAGGGCGTCAGGCAAGTTGCAGATGGCTGTGGCGATGCAGAGGGGGTGTATTGGCAGTGCAGTTATAGCCGAGCGTTTCCGGCACCAGTCTGATGCTGGCAGGCCTCCCCGTGGAGCCAGGCGCGTGAAAGAAATGCGACTATGGGACGGCATGGTTTGGGGCAGAGGGGTTAAGCAGGCAAAGTGCACAGTCGAGCCAAGGGAGCTCTGTGGAACCTTTCCCGCGACCAAAGGCTGCCTCTCATCGACCATGCTTCCACTACGATCAGGACCAAGTAACGCAGAGTTATCTATCGCACACCGCTTGTGGACCAAAACCCAGTTTGCTAGGGTGGTCTGCTTTTCCATGAGCGGTGGGGCTACAGCATATTTGCTGTATTTAATAACGCCCGCTAATACCGGGGATAACCGCAACGCAAATGCACTCAGTGACCGAGGTAAAAAGCTAGCACTAACACAGCACTACTGAATACGCCACAGCAGCCAGATCTGTAGAGCAATCAAAAAGCTCACTCCACCCAGCTGCGCACCAGGACTCCAGCCAGTGCACCTCACGTGTAATACAGGGCAAGGCAAGCACGCCTGTTTGCATAGTGCACAGGCGTGGCACAATCCGTCTGTCCCAGGGAGAAGTTGAACGTTTTTTTGCCCCCGCGACGATCGACTTGGAAATCTCGAGATTTTTCTGCAATCAAGCTCCCCCACATATGCAGCTTTTATTATCTTAGCTTTCTTTTGCATCTGGCTTAGTAATACTATAATATATAAGGTTGTGCAATTGGTAACTTGTCGTATCATGTCGCAAACTTCATCGCTAGCCAGCACCAATCTGTTCAAGCCAATTAAGGTCGGCAAGGTCGAGCTTAAGAACAGGCTTGTGTACGCTCCAACCACGAGATTCAGAGCCACAGAGGAATTCGTGCCTACGGACTCAATGCTCAAGTATTACGAGCAAAGAGCCGAGAACAACGGCGGATTGCTGATTGCCGAGGCCACTTTCGCCGACTACAGTTTTGGGCTCTACGAAAATGCCCCTATGGTCAAGACTCCGCAGCAGGTTGCCGGCTGGAAGAAGATCATTGAGGCTGTGCACAACAAGGGGTCTCATTTTGGCATCCAGCTGTGGCATCTGGGGAGAACAGCGGACCCGAAGCTGAACAAGGCTCGGGGCGTGCCATTGGTAGGCCCGTCTGCCCTCCACATAGACGAGACGGCAGAGAAAGCTGCCAAGGAGGCCGGCGTTGAGCTTCGGGCATTGACGATCCCGGAGATTGAGAACGTGGTGAAGGAATTCGCCGCAGCGGCCAAAAGGGCTATTCACGAAGCCAAGGCCGATTTCATCGAAATCCACGGCGCCCACGGGTATCTTCTGGACCAGTTCAACCACGTGAACATCAACAAGAGAACGGACAAGTACGGTGGCTCGATTGAGAACCGGGCCAGAATCACGCTGGAGGTGGTTGACGCGTGCATCGAGGCCGTCGGGGCCGAGCATGTGGGCATTAGGTTGTCGCCGTACGCCAAGTTCCAGGGTGCACAAGGTGTCGACTCCGAGATCCACCCGATCGCTCACTGGGGCTACATTTTGAGCGAGCTGGAGAGAAGAGGCAAGGAGGGCAAGAGACTGGCGTACGTGTCTGTGGTGGAGCCACGTGTGAGCGGCTCCGAGGACAGCCACGACACGCGCAAGTTCGACGTGTCGTGGATCGGCGAGATCTGGAAGGGCGTCCTGCTCAGATCGGGTGCCTACTTGAACGAGAATTACAAGTATATCTCCGCCGACGTCGACAAGGATGACAGAACTCTGATTGGCGTGTCGAGATACTACACCTCGAACCCAGATTTGGTGGAGAGACTGCAGAAGGGCATTCCTCTGACTCCGTACGACAGGTCCAGGTTCTACAAGAGGGGATCCAACGACGGGTACTTGACGTGGGCCAAACACGGCGAGGATCCGGAGAAACTCAAGGATCTGGCCGATGTTCCTCTGAAACCTTTGGCATAGATAGAATACGTCAAACAATTTTTTTTAGATTTTGTTCGCCGGCAATTTTTCGCCGAGCCGTGCAGAAAAACGTTATGCATGTAGCATCGGTGAAATCTATTTCATCTCGTGCTTAATAATACACGATATAAATAGTTGTAGTTCCTCGTGAGTGTTCAACATGTCTGAAATCAAGTCGCTTGCAGAAAGCAACCTGTTCAAACCAATCAAGGTCGGAAACGTCGAGCTGCAAAACAGACTCGCGTATCCGCCAACGACCCGGCAAAGAGCCACTGCCGACTTCGTGCCGACCGACTCGATGCTCAAGTACTACGAGCAGAGAGCAGAGAACAACGGCGGCCTGCTTGTGGCCGAGGCCACCTACCCCGACTACAGCTTCGGCCTATACCCAAACACGCCGATGATCAAGACGCCGCAGCAGGTGGAGGCCTGGAGACAGATTATCGAGGCTGTGCACAGCAAGGGCTCCTTTTTTTCCGTGCAGCTGTGGCATCTGGGCAGAACGGCCAGCGCCTTGTTCAACAAGTCCAAAGGTCTGCCGCTGGTGGGTCCGTCCGCGTTGTATATTGACGAGGCGTCGGAAAAGGCCGCCAAGGAGGCGGGCAACGAGCTGAGAGAGCTGACGATTCCTGAAATCGAGGGCATTGTGAAGGAATTCGCCGCTGCTGCCAAGAGAGCCGTCCACGAGGCCAAGGCGGACTTTATCGAGCTTCATGCTGCGCACGGTTATCTGCTCGACCAATTCAACCAGCCAAACGTCAACAGGCGCACCGACAAGTACGGCGGCTCGATCGAGAACCGTGCCCGGCTGATTTTGGAGGTGGTGGATGCCTGTGTAGAGGCCGTTGGGGCCGAGCACGTGGCCATCAGACTGTCGCCGTACGCGGCTGTCCAGGGAGTTGAGGGCGTGGATGCCGAGATCCACCCGATCTCGTACATTGGGTATGTGCTCAGCGAGCTGGAAAAAAGAGGAAAGCAAGGCAAAAGACTGGCGTACGTTTCCGTCGTGGAGCCAAGAGTGAATGGAATTTTCGACAGCAAGGACGAGAGAGAGTTTAACACCTCGTGGATCGGCGAGATCTGGAAGGGAGTGCTGTTGAGATCGGGTGCGTACCTGAACCAGAACTCCAAGTTCATTGAGCAGGACGTGAATGCGAACGACAGAACGCTGATCGGTGTTTCGAGATACTACACCTCGAACCCAGACCTTGCGGACAGACTGAAGAAGGGTCTTTCTCTGACCCCGTACGACAGATCGAAATTCTACAAGAGTCTTTCCAACGACGGATACCTCACTTTCACCAAGTACGGAGAGGACACGGAGAAATACAAGGACCTGGTGGACGTTGTTCCGGAGGCCCTGGCATGATAGATTCTATAGATTGGTGGCACTGCAAAATTGCTATTTGCGTAGCAGGGGCGGCAGATTTGCTAGATGCCAACCGTGCTAGTAATTGGCCGTGCCAAAAGCACTGATATTGATGCAAAGTGTCGCTCTTCAGCAAACGCACCCAGGCCAGTGGCCAGCTTCCAGGCAGATACAGAAACTGTGGTACTAAAATGGCACATAATCTTCCTACGTGCCGTGCTTCCAGAGCAGAACGACGACGGACACGGGCCTCCGAATACAGATCTACGAATACACCGCCTGTGTTGCACGAGGGCCTGCGGCAGGCTGCCAGAGCACACTGGAGCAGACGTCCGCCGTCGCGACTCGGCGCCGTGCCGTTTCAGGCAGGCCCCTTTTCGCAGCATTACATAATCCAGATATTTATGCAGCAGCACGGAAAATTAGATAACGTCTATGTCTGTTTCGAACCACTCGCCCTCTGCGAAAACGTCCAGCTACGGCGCGATCCCGATCCCGAACCGCGGCACCGTGCCTAGACGGTCGATGCTGTTCAATTCGCCGCTCGGGTCCTACAAGACGCCGAACTCGCTGTCCGGCTTTGCGTCGTCGTTCCACCGCGCGCAGTCGTTCCGGTCGGTCGAGCCGCGGTTCAGGGCCTCGCGCTCGTACTTCCAGGACGACGAGGAGCTGATCGACCCAGACACAATGGCCCCGTCCGCGCTCGGGCACAAGATCTCGACCGTGCTGCAGAACAGGCCGATCGCAGACTCGTCAGTCTTCGATGAGGCCGCCGTCGACGACGCCTCGTTTGCCGACCACAGCTACCTGGACCTGTCGCGGACCAACTCGCTGCACTCGTACGCGGCGTCGTTTCTCACCGCAGACGACTCGTTCGCATTCCGCCAGGTCGAGGACAGAGACGGCAAGATGGTGACGATGCTCGCGCCGCGGTCGACCGTTCCGCAGACCGTTTTCAACAGCATCAACGTGCTCATCGGCATCGGGCTGCTCGCGCTGTCCAAGGCCATGACGTACTCCGGCTGGTACTGCGGAGTCGCGCTTCTGGTGTTTTCTGCCTCCATTACGTACTGGACTGCCACGCTGCTCAGCAGATGCATGGACACAGACCCCACGCTGTGCACGTATGCCGACCTGGGCTACAAGGCGTTTGGAACGAAGGGCCGGCTCTTTATTTCGGTGCTTTTCTCCGTGGAACTGGTCGGCGTGGGCGTGTCGCTGATCGTGCTATTTGCAGACTCGCTGAACGCGCTGTTCCCGCACATCTCGGTCGTCCAGTTCAAGCTCCTTGCGTTCTGCGTGCTCACGCCGTTCTCGTTCCTCTCGCTGCGCGTGCTCAGCGGAATCAGCCTGCTGGGGATCACGTGCACCATCTCTCTGGTGATCACCATCGTTCTCATCGGGCTCACCAAACCGGACAGCCCGGGCTCCCTGCTCCACCCCATGCCGACGAGCCTGTACCCGGCCTCGCTGCACAACCTCCTCGTCTCGTTCGGCATCATTCTGGGCCCGTTCGGCTCGCACTCGCTGTTCCCTGCTCTCAAATCGGACCTCGCACAACCTGAAAAATTCCAAAAATGTCTCTCCATCACCTACACCGTCGGCTTTTTCGCCGACTCCACCATGGCCATCGCCGGCTTTGCCATGTTCGGCGCAGACATCCTCAACGAGATCACGCAGTCAGTCCTCGTCACAAAAGGCTATCCGAACTTTGTGTATCTGCTCGTGAGTGTCTGCGTCTCTATGGTCCCTATAGCCAAGACACCGCTCAATGCGATGCCGGTGATCAACATTCTGGAGTTTGTGCTGAACGTGTCGCCGCAGCAGATCGACTCGCCGTCGCTCTTCCAGAAAATCCTGCGCATAGCTGCCAAACTGCTCGTCAACATGCTGTTTGTACTGATCGCGATCGCGTACCCAGAATTTGACAAGATCATCGGGCTCAGCGGCGCGTCGCTTTGCACCATCATCTGCATCATCCTGCCCTGCGCGTTCTATCTCCGGCTGTGTCGCCCGGCCAACGCCTGGTTCTACCACGCGGTGATCGCGGCAGCCGCAGTCGTCGGCGTAGCTGCCACCGCCGCAGCCATTACAGATTAGTAGTAATCATGACACTGCCATTATATATTAGTTGATGCTATGACCATTACACCTGCTGGGCCTTCTCCACACGCTTCTTCTTGCTGTCCTCTCTGCGCTCGTTGTGCTGCTTCCGCTTCTTGGCCCTTCTCAGCCGCTGCTTCTCCTCTCTCGAGAGCTCCGCCTTCGACATCACCACTCCCGACTTCAGCAGCACCTCGTCCTTTCCGACCTTCGACACCGGCCTGTACACCTCCTGCGGAGCCAGCGTCTGCGCGTCAGACATCGTCAGCGGCTGCGCGTCCTCCATGGAGATCGTCGACGTCTGGACCTTGACCTCCAGCTGTCTCTCCTTAGGTTTTGGAATGAAGTGCGCGGAGCAAAGCGAGTCCAGCTGGTGGTTCAGTTTGTCAAAAAGCACGCTGATCTCGTCGTGCGCCTGTTTCAGCTCAGCGCTCGCAGCATCGTCCTGCTTGCCCAGATACTCCTCCTCGTACAGTTCTGCCAGAGACTTGCTCGACTTTTCCTCGCTGACTTCCACCTTTTTCGACGGACGGAAGTCGGCAAGCTCGGAGACAACCCGCTTGGGCAGCTCGTCGAACTTCTCGTCTCGGATGCGGCGTTTGATGATTTCCTCGATCGTCTCGGTCGTTTCCTGCGTGATCACAGGCACCGGCTTGGCGGCCCTGTCGAAGTCGAGCTCTTCGTCCAGAAGAGCGTCTGCGTCTCTCTGCTTGGCCTGCACCTCTCCCTTCATCTGCCATTGTTTTTCCCTGATCGCCTCGGCCTCCAGCTCCTGTATCTCGCGCTGCAACTTGAGCTGCTGTTTTTCAAAGGTGCTCAGCTGCTCGTTCGTATTGTTGAAATCGGCCACGACCGAGTCAAACGCCGCATCGTAGTCTTCCTCCTGGAGATCAAAAGAAACGGCCTTCTGTTTCGGCTTGGCGTTCTTCTGCTCCTTCTGCTGCTTCTGGTCCACCTGCGGTTTGAAAAAATCGTCATAGTGGTATATTTCCTCGTCAGAAGACTCTTCAGCGTCCAAATCGACCTCGCTCTGCTCCTCCTCCATAGCCATCACCTGCCTGTTGAAATCGTCGATCGAAAAAAACTGGTCGTTCAACCCAAACGCATCCTTGGGCGGAGCCACATCAACAGAAGTATCTGACTCGTGTCCGTCGTTCTCAGAAACGTTTCCAAAAAACTCCTCGTTAGAGCCAAGATCCTCGCCTTCCTGTGCACTTTCATAGACCTCGGACTCGTCACTCTCAGACTTGCTCTCGTCAGGCTCGCTCTCGCTCTCCGATGAATCTTCTTGTCTTTCTGTATCCGTAGCGCGCTCCTCATCCTCTTCCTCGTCACCCTCGCTCCGCACGTCTTCCCACTCGTCGCTCCAAACCCGCTCGTTCACTCCCTCTACAACAAGCTTGACCTGGCCCCAAACCTGGGACGGCGTGAGCCCCTCGACATATATCTCGTCTAGCACAGAGTGCTGTTTGGCGATCGGATCTATAAGTTGTTTTGCCTCGTTCAGCAGTTTTGTCTCGTCGAGCCCCGAAACAAGCGCGCTCTGAGGGTCTTCAGCCAGTTTTTCTAATAGACTCATATATTTAGCTTGAAAAATATTTTTAATATTTTTTTTATATTTTTGATAGCTTTCCATTCGCACCCGTGCACCACTTGACAGTTGAACCATGACGGCCAGAGGGGGTCCTCATAGGACCGGCTATATTATCGTAGAGCACTCTTAGCACAACTATTGCCCAGGAACATGATTTTTTGTCACTGGGCAAAACGCTTCAAAACATCTCACCAAATCCCGGCCCGTGCTATAGCTATAAATGCCACCAGTGACAGCTACCAGGCCCATTGGCTTTGCAGCACCTGAACAAAGCCAACTTTGAGATAAATACAAAACCCCGGCACCCTTCTGTTGACGGCCTGTACCATATCAACAGTATGTAAGATGTACACTCTCAAATTGATCAACTTGCTGCCAACCTTCCAGCCAACTGTTGCATCTGCCACCACTGGTCCATCTCTGACAACGGCAGGAGCTTTCGGCACACAAGGACCTACATGGTGTTTGAGGAATGCCATCAGTAAAAGAGAGCAGTCTTAAAGCTGCAGTATGTATGTAAAAATGCAATAGTTCCAACGAATAAAATGAGCCTCTAGCCGGGAGCTAGCTGGGCTGTACTTGCCGTCTCAAACTTGCTACCACATTATTTAGTGTGGACACGGTCTTGAGCGACGTCAAGCACTTGTCTCTTTACTAGTTAGGACACCTTTTCGTAGTCCAAAATCCAGCATTCTCTTTAGAAACCTCTCACGCAAGCTCCAGAAAGCTCACAGGGACTCTATCACGTTCATTCTCCAGCAGATTTAACATACATACTTCTTTTTCCTGGCGATGAAAATTGGCTACCAACATAAATCGCAAATTTACGACGTCCAAAAGACCTTGATCAAGCGTCAAACTGTCAGATGATGCGCGGACAATCTCTAGCAACTAGAAGACCCCAAGCGCGCACACAAGCTAGACAACCTCAACCCTGCTATTCCCCTGCTGCTCAGCCCCAATGCCTGCAAACCGCAATCACTTCAAACTGCCTCCAACCCAGGCTCCAGGTAAACACGCATGTAGCGTTGAGCTCTCTCTTGCGCTGTGCCTGAAGATTCACCGAATCTGCGCCCGGTAGACACCAGAACCGGGTGTTTCTACAGAGTCCGTCTTAGTGGTGCGAGGAGTGCACGTACTTTTCAGCTCAGACTAGAAATAAAACAGATTCCAAATCAGCTCGCCTCCGCGATGGACAACACAAACAAGTGCAAAAATTGCCAGGCCTCCATTACAGAGGGCCAGGCGTACGAGCTGGGCGGCGAGAGATGGCACGTCGAGTGTTTCCGGTGCTCGAAGTGCGACAAGGAGCTCGGAGTCAACTCGAACTTCCTGATGCTGGGAACGGGCTCGCTGGTGTGTTCGGAATGCTCGTACTCGTGTAAATCGTGCGGCAAGAAGATCTACGACATGGCAATTCTCACGGGCAACCAGGCGTACTGTGCCAGCTGCTTCAAATGCAAGGCCTGCAAGCGGCCTATCGAGGATCTGCGCTACGCGAGAACGTCCAAGGGCCTGTTTTGCATGCCGTGTCACCACAAGCTGGTGGAGCGGAAACGCAAGTACGAGGCGGTGAAGTCGCGCAACTTCGGTTCGTCGCTGGAACCGCAGTCTTCAGCAGACACCGTGCCGTCTGACGAGAAAAAACAGATGTACGACGATCTCGACGACAGCAAGCCGCTTTCTGCCACAGAAAAGGTGCAAGTGACGTCTCCGCCAAAAGTCACCAAAAGCCCGGCTTTACACAAGGTGGAGGGGTCTCCCATCGCGATCCAGAGAGAGCCGCAGGAGGAGCTGCTCACCATCCCGTTGCGGTCGCCAAACAGAAACCTGCGGTCTCCCAACATCCAGCCCGTGGCAGCGTTCACGTCGCCCAAAGTTGACGACTTCGCCGAAATCAACATGATGACGCCTACGCCGCTGAAAGCGGACCGGTCTCCGATCACCCTGACCGGCGTTGTCTCGCCTGGAAACAGAAATGCATTTATATTCGAGCAGGAGCCGGAACCCGAGTCGTTTGTCGATCTGAGCGACGACGACGACGATACCGACGAGTCGGACGAAAAGCCCAAAGAGGTCCCCAACCCGATGCGCTCGCCAAGCAAGAAACCTCCGAGCGGCACCATACCGCACACTCCCGAGAAACCGAGCTCGTCGCCGTACAAGGGACTCAACATCTCGGGTCTCCAGCTGGCCGGTGACGACCAGCTCACCGGAGAAGTTAGCAGGGACAAGGAGAACACAGGGTTTCATTCGCGGAAGTCGTCAGGTGGCTTCAGTCGGTCGTTGTCCATCAAAAACGTTTTTCATAGACACAAGAAGAGCAACAGCGGTGCCGGGCTGGACAAGTCCAAGATCCAGACTCTGCGCGACGCCAGCTCTCCGCCAGTGGACCAGGACGAGCTCCTCAAAACGCCGGACTTCGGCTCGCCCATGCTCAGCCACAAACGCACTCAATCGGATCTCACCACGAACTCGTTTCCTCTGCACCTGAGGTCTCGCTCCGACGTCGTTTACGAGGAAAGTCAGCCGGAGTCGCAGATACTCCAGGTCGACAAGCAGCTCAAACAGCTCAAGAGCGAGCTCGTATCTCTCACCAGCGCAAAGGCGAACTTGATGCGGGACATCCAGTCGCTGGCTGCTGAGAAGACCGGCCTGGAGGACGACATCGCTCTGTTGAGAGAGCAGAAAGAGAAACTGGAGACAGACACCGTGGCAGAGTCCAAGGAGTCGGAGTCTACCGACTCGCCGTCGTTTGCACAGTCAGACGACACGCTGCCCCAGCTGCCGTCCAAGATCGCTCTGCAGTCTAAGAAAATGGGCTCGACAGAGGAACTGGGCGACAAGCCGAGAAAGGGAGGCTTTATCCGGCGGATATTTGGCGCAAACGGCACGCAGACAGCGCAGCAGAACAACTACGTGATCGGGTCTCCGTCGGTCCAGGATATCGGGTCTCCAAAGAATTTCAGACAGATGGACGACTCCTTCAACACGTCGCAGGAGGATATCGAGGAGACCAAGCCTGCGAGCGGTCTTTCGGCGATGATCAAATCAAGATCGTCCAACTTCTTGCGCGGAAACGCGTATCCATTGGGCAAGTCGTTGTACCAGTGCACTCTACAGGAGCGTGCCGAGCTGGAGCTGCGGACGGTGCCGTTTGTCTTTTCGTGCTGTTTATCAGAGATCGAGGCTCGTGGAATACGTGAGGGAATCTACAGAGTTAGCGGATCGTCGCTGGCGATAGACAAGATTGAGAAGTATTTCGAGACCGTGGAAGTGTCCAACGAAAAGGACGTTGGGAAGGCACCATCTGTCCTCGAAGGCGACATCAATGCTGTTGCGGGAATGCTGAAGAGATACCTGAAGAAGATTCCGGATCCCGTGATACCGTTCAGGAACTATGAGCAATTCATCGAGATCTCCAAGATCCAAAACGAGGCAGGCAGGTTTGCAGGGCTGAAAACGCTGCTCAACGATCTGCCCGAGGCGAACTTTGTGGTGCTGTTCCAGCTGGCGAAACATATGGGCGTGGTGGTGCAAAACTCCAAAATCACAAAAATGACATACAGCTCGCTGGCCACGGTGTTTGCGCCAACGCTGGCTCGCGACAACACGTTCAATCCGCAGCGAGAGATCCTCGACAACGGCGCCAAGACCGCCGTGACCGAATTTCTGTTCCGCAACCACGAGGACCTCTTCAAACGCGCTGCGGCCTAGTTGACGTCTGTGATGCTCGTGCTGGAGTACATTTCCAGTCTTCTGTGGCCTATGCGGAGGAGATGCTCGATTGCTGCGAAGTTGCGTTTGGGGATGTCTCTGTAACGAGCAAACTCGGAATGGATAAAAACCACCCAGTGCGAACGTTTATCCTGCTGTTAGAACCAGAAGGGCAGGAGCACTTACTGCCGGCTTGGTCCGGGTCGCCCTTAGACAATTGCGATATAGAGAAAGTACTTCTTTCTGTAGACCTGAAAAACGCTTAGGCATGAAAAAATAAAAATGGAGAAATCAAATTAAATCATTAGGGTGTGCGAGTTACAGCAAAACTACAAATTCTAGCGTCGCTAGCAGTTTCATACTTCACCATTTATTACCTAATAGAAAGTGGTTGGACGCTTGGCCGAGTAAAGCTTGGCAGGCTTGGTGACTCTGTGAGGCAGTGGGAACTTGAGGTCCTTGGTCAAGAATTGTCTGATGTACTGCCTCTTGACATCGTCGGTCTTCTCAAGCTCGACAACCTTCAGGATGTGGATAGATCTAAATCTGGCTCTGTGTCTGGCAGCAAGGTCAGCGTACATGGTCTCGACAGCACCGACTCTGCTAACGTCTCTGTATTCCTTGTACATGTTGTGAGTTCCGGATCTGGAGTCGTATCTGATCCAGATTCCGAAGTTCTTGACCTTGGTTGGGTGGGTCTCGCTGATGACGTTGAGGGAAACGATTTCACCAGAGGCCTTCTTGACCTTGTGCAGTTTTTGCAAGAAGTACCAGTATCTCGACTTGGCAACAACGTCGTTAGGAGCGAAGATTCTCATTCTGTACAACTTTGGCTCCGGCACGGACTCGGTAGGCAGCTTTCTGCCGATGACCTGGTATTCGTAAAGACGGGACATGTTGGTCTTGATGAAATGTATAAAATTTTCAGCTCGAAAAAATTAATATTTTCAAGGGCCGCCAGCCCGGGTCTGAAGTCACGTGATACCAAAGAAAGACACTGCTTTTTAATTTTCTGCCTGGCCCCAGGCGTGGCCGGAGGCGGCGGTGCGGGGCGGAAACCGTATCTCTCCAGATCACACCACCAGACCCATTCGTCTCGTATCGGTCGTTTACTCCAGGAATAAATACCACCCACATGTAGCCCCCTCCTGGCAGCCATGAACTCGACACTTATTGGAACAGCCCGCGAGGTGTTTGAGCACTACCCGCACCTCACCGTGCTCGAGAAGCTATGGAAATCTTGGTACGATTATATGGATAACGATGTCCTTGCTACCGGCCTGCTTTTCTTCCTCACACACGAAATTGTCTACTTTGGAAGATGTCTACCGTGGATGGTGATTGATAGGATCCCGTTTTTCCGCCGCTGGAAGATCCAGCCAACCTATATTCCTTCTGAAAAGGAGCAATGGGAGTGTCTCAAGTCTGTGCTACGCTCCCATTTTTTGGTCGAGGCACTTCCAATCTGGACGTTCCATCCGATGTGTCAAAAACTGGGCATTAGCGTTGACGTCCCATTCCCGTCCTGGACGAAGATGTGCCTCGAGTTTTGTCTGTTCTTTGTGCTCGAGGATTTCTGGCATTACTGGGCTCACAGACTGTTCCATTATGGCCCATTTTACAAGTATGTTCACAAACAGCACCACAGATACTCTGCTCCGTTTGGTCTCACTGCTGAGTATGCTCACCCGATTGAGGTGATGTCGCTTGGCTTTGGAACCATCGGCTTCCCGATCATTTATGCATACTTCACAAGAAACCTTCATCTGTTCACCATTACCTGCTGGGTTTGCCTACGTTTATTCCAGGCGGTGGATGCACATTCCGGCTACGACTTCCCGTGGTCGCTGCACCATTTCGTCCCCTTCTGGGCTGGTGCAGAGCACCACGATCTCCACCACCACTACTTCATAGGCAACTACGCCTCATCTTTCCGGTGGTGGGACTACACGCTGGACACTGAGGCCGGCCCAGAGGCAAAGAAACAGCGCGAACAGAGATGGAAGGAGAAGGAGGAGAAAAAGCTCCGCGAGCAATTGCTGAAAGAGAAGCTCCAGTAGATATGGGTGTAGACAAAAAGTGTTCATGGCCATTGACTATGGAGGTAGGTTGTTTTATGACATAGGGGCGATCCTGGAGGCATGTAACACATTCTATAAACTATAATCAAAAGAGGACCCTGTACTGAGTCTCGAAACTAATCTGGCACAAAAACTTGATATTAATTTATTTATTCCCGATTTACGCTTAATGCCCCAGATAAACCGCGGACAGTTGCTACTGTTCATTATTTTTCTCACGTTCCTGCTGCCCAGCGCCCCGCCCGAAGAGGCTGGCTACCTCTCGCCGGAGGAGCGCAAGCGAATGCTGGGCGATTTGAAAGATACCATCAGGACAGCAAGGACCGCAATGACGACTAACGACTACGCCTCTGGGTACGGCAACGTTACAGGGTACAAATTGAGCTATGGAGACGCAGTGAAGGGCCGCAAGGCAGAGGACTGGCCGTTTCCGGACCACTCAGCCTTTTCAGAAGACGAAAACCACAGTATACTGCCTAATAAGATCAGCCAACAAGCACGGGAAATTTGGAGCCATCGCGATGCGGCTTCCGGAGCGTTTTGGCAAAACATCACCAGCACGCTACGTGGCGAGTACTCCTTGCAAGACTCGTTTGTGCGTATACCGATGCCCATACCCGAGTTCTACCAGAACTTGACGGAATACAGCGACATTACTAGCAACTCTACGATCCATCCTGGGAACGTCACAGATGAACAGGGGCTCATTGAAATCACTCTGCGCAACTTCAACTACACTCCCGAGAGCAAAGATTCCACGATCGTGAGCATGAGCGTGAAACTGAGCGATCTGAACGAACAACACGACCACCATCTGCGGCTCCAGGGGGCGTACCATCAAGAGACAGGAAATTTGGTCGCCGTCTCGAATTCAGGCAAATTCAACGGAATATATGGTCTGCCGCATCTGAATCTTGAGGACGGCCGCTACTTCAATCAGACGAGGGCGCTGATGGAGAGCAGTGTCAACCGCACAGATATCGACTCGCTGGACATGTCCTATCTAGAGGACCTTCTTGGGAAGAGCGCCAACTGCGAATACATCGCATACATGCATTTCGAGGCCACCAACCTGACTTCAGAGGAACTCGAGGTGATAGACACCGAGCTGGAGACCCCGTTGGGACGTCCACATAAACCCATTCCCAAGATCAATCTGGTTTCTGGCCTCTTGTACTCGCCAGACTGCGGTTTGTCGATCCAGGTGAACCAGGCCGTGGGACCGCGCGACGAGGTCCAACAGAACCAGATCAAGAACGTTCTTCTCTTTGGGATAGTGCTGATGAGCGCCCAGATCTGGCTGTTCATCAAGCAGATGGGCTCCACAAACACTCCGTCCACGATGTCATGCATTTCTTTCTGGTCTGTGGCCACCATCAACCTTGTCGACGGGTCCTTGTCGATGATCTCGCTTCTGTGCTCGCTCGTGATGGACTCGCTGTACATCCAGTTTGCCGTGTGTGCTTTTCTGGCCTTCACCTGTTCGTCTATTTTCGAGATGAGGTATATGATACTCATTTACGCAGCACAGATCAACGAAAGAAACATCAGCTGGAGAACCGCTTTCCAGGGCACCCCGATAGACGAGCGCGATAACAACACCGAGAACACGCAGCCCAACCAGCCCAACCAGCCCAATCCCGTGAACACCCAAGACGAACAGGCCATCAGCGGCCAGCTGTACATGCGCTTCTTTTTTTCGCTGATTGTGTTTTCCTTCCTGGTGCTAAACGTGACGCTGTGGCCGAAACCGCAGCGTGTCGGCTTTGAGTACCTGATTGGACTCCTGATGAACTCCTTTTGGATCCCACAAATTTATCGGAACGTGATTAGAGGCTCCAGACGCTCTTTCAGAAAAGATTTCATAATAGGCACCTCCATCATCAGACTTCTGCCAATCATGTACGTCACGATGTTCAAAAACCCGTTCTATCACCACAAGGATTACAAGCTCGTCGCATTACTGACTCTGTGGCTGGCATTGCAAATATTCATGCTGTACCTGCAGGAGCTACTGGGGCCTCGCTTTTTCCTCCCCGACAAATATCTGCCCAAGACTTATGATTACCATCCAGTTCTTTCGTTTGACGACCTCGAAAACTCGTTCAACGTCGATCACGAGGTTGTTGACTCGTCGCATTCACACTCGAGATGCAAGATAGACTGCACCATTTGTATGAACTCCTTCGAGGTTCCTGTTCTCCATAGCGGTCATGACAAGGAGGACAACAGCAGCATTGGTCTGATGGCTCGTCGCTCCTACATGGTGACGCCTTGCAGACACATTTTTCACACCGAATGTCTGGAAAATTGGATGAAGTACAAGCTACAGTGTCCCGTGTGCAGAAATAGTCTGCCACCCTTGTAAAAAATACATGAAATAAATAATTGTTTAAAAATTAGTCATTTCAAATGGGGCCTCCAAAACAGGTGAAAGCCTGTCTTTTTGACATGGACGGTCTTCTCATAGACTCCGAGGCCGTCTACACTGTGTCCATTTCCGACATACTGATCAACAGGTTCAACATACCGGGCGGTCTAACTTGGGACGTGAAGATGAAACTCCAGGGTCTTCCGGGTCCACAGGCATCTCAGACGGTGATCGACGAGTACAAGCTTGAAGGAATCACTGCCCAGGAGCTGTATGAGTGGACCTCAAAAAAACAGGCCGAGTTGTGGCCGAAAGTGCAGTTTCTACCAGGAGCTCTAGATCTGATCAAGAAGCTCGCAGCCAAGGGAATTCCCATGGTTGTGTGCACTTCCTCCCACAAAGACAAGTTTGATTTGAAGACTGCCCATTTGCAAGAGGGTTTCAAGCATTTTGAGCTCGTGATCACCGGCGACAACCCTGTGATAGCAGGCAAAGGCAAGCCTCTTCCGTTTATCTGGTGGTTGGGGCTGTCGGAGCTGAACGACAAGCTGCGCAGCGAGGGCCGTATACAGGAGGATATCAAAATCGAGGAGGTTCTAATTTTTGAGGACGCGGTTCCTGGCTTGATCTCCGGTAAGCGTGCTGGTGGCTACGTCATCTGGGTGCCTGATCCACATGTTCTCGAGATAACGAAGCCGGATGAGTTGCTGGAAAATGGTGCAAAGGGAGAGCTCTTGAGCAGCTTGGAGGAGTTCGACCTTGCCAAATATAATCTAGATTGATAGAGTCGGCTGATATTAATAAACAGCATAATTAAATACAAGCACGAGAATAATTTAACTTTATAATTCCAATCTAGTAGGGAGCATTGCGGAAAAGGAAAGATATACTCTCTCCATTATGCAAACGTCTGATGGCTTCGGCCAAGACACCAGACACATCGATGGTGTCAAGCTTTGGACAGAGCTTTAATTTTTCTTCAAACGGCACAGTGTTGGTACACACAACCCGCTCGAGCTTGGACTTGTTGATGTTCGCGATGGCATTTCCGCTCAGTATGCCGTGCGTCACAATGGCAATGACTTCCTTGGCCCCGTTTTCCAGCAGGACCTCAGCAGCCTTGGCCAGAGTCCCGCAGGTGTCGGCCATGTCGTCCACAATAATGCAGGTCTTACCAGTAACGTCTCCGACAAGGACCATGCGACTCACCTCGTTGGCTCTGGCGCGCTCCTTGTGGATGAGAGCGAAGTTCAGGTCCAGACGGTCGGCAAGACCAGCGGCCCGCTTGGCCCCCCCCGCATCGGGAGACACAATAATGGCGTTTTTGACATCCAGTTTCTCGCGAATATACCGAACAACAGAAGGCTCTGCGTACAAGTTGTCAACGGGCACGTCGAAGAAACCCTGAATCTGGGAAGCATGCAGGTCCATGGTGATCACGTGGTCACATCCGGCACTCGTAAGCATATCTGCCATCAACTTGGCCGTAATAGGCGCACGGCTCTTGTCTTTTCTGTCCTGTCTGGCGTAAGGGAAGTTTGGCAGAACAGCAGTGATTCTTCTTGCAGAGGCGGTTTTGCAGGCGTTGATCATGATCAGCAGCTCCAGAACCTTGTCATTGACAATTCCTGACCCGATTTGCATTATAATGTAGATGTCTTCATCTCTGATGGACTCTCCAATGGAGAAGGACACCTCCTTGTTGGAATCACGTTTGATGTCCACAGGGGTCAGCGAAAGCCCCAAGCTGACAGTTAGCTTGATATTTCAAACGGACAATACCTACCGCTTCGCCACGAGCTCCGCCAGATTTCTCTGGGTATCGCTGGCCAGCAATTTGATCGAATTAGAGGACATGGACAAGGACAAATGATTGATAGTATTAAAATTTTTTTTATGGTGCAAAGATGGAAGTTCCGGCGAAGCGAAAGTCTAGATAGATAAGGTGTTATCGTCATTTGGGCAATTGTTTGGGTCCGGTCCGTTTTGCGACTTTTCGCCTACATGGGCAGCCTTGCACACGGTTCTGGTGTGTCTGGGAGCACGTGACTTGCACGATGCCGACTCTGGAACCACTTTGTTTTACATAATCAGATCATGCGTCAAAAGGGATAACTAATTTATTCTCGAGCTACGAAAAATTAGCGATCTGACGTCCTGATGGAGTCTTCTGCCACTTTTATCCACGATATAGAGAAATTCGTCAAAGCGGGAGCGCTTCCGAAGCTCATAGACCCACGATTGCCTCCCGCTTTGATGCAACAGTACTCGATACCGCAGCTGAGATTGTCTGATCTAGAGTCGTCGCAGGCTAGCGATGTTCCGCCACGCAAAATAGTCAATTTCAGCTACGAAGCTTCCAAAATGACAGCCAACTCATCTTGAGTGTCCAGAGGCGCAGCGTACAAGTTACAGCTCAGATTGTCCAGTCAGGGCCGTCCCAGCCCAATCTATATTTGGCAACAATGTCAGTGTTTCAGCCAGATTATAAATTGAAAGTCTGCAACAAAATTGTGCTCCTACACTGAACTATAAATGGGTGTACACGACAGAAGCTAACGTCTATTCTGAATCCTATAGCGTAGATATAACTGAATCCGCTGTTTGCTTGACACTTTCACTGAGCCAGTGTGTCTGGGTAGAAGAAGAAGGAGATGGCGATGATCAGATAGGTGCTGACCAACATGACACCCTCAAGCCAGTTTGATTCGCCATCCAGAATCAGGTAGTTTGTGATCAGAACGGCGACAAACATGACTGCGGTCTCGTAGGTGGAGAAGTACAGCGACATCGGAACATCGAATATCCAGCCTATCAGCACCAGAAAGGGAGTGACAAACAGCGAGATCTGAATCGACGAGCCCACGGCAACGCCGACAGCAAGGTCCATTTTGTTTTTGTAAGCCACCACCACGGCAGTGACGTGCTCTGCCGCATTACCAACGATAGGAATGACGATCAGACCAATGAAAGTCTTGGAAAGACCGGAGCTCTCGACAATTTCGTCGATAGAAGACACAAGGGAGTCGGCGGAGAACGACACGAGAACGGTGGTGACGAGCAGCACGGCCACCGAGGCAACCGTGCCAATGTGTTTTGGCTGGGGTCCCGGGCCCACCTCTAACAGAGATTTTGGTCTGCTCACCAGAAATCCTCTTCTTGGGTGGGCAGTGTCCTGAGAGTCCAGCGTGGCATTACTGGTGGTCTCATCTATAGGGAGCTGTTGTTCCTCGTCACTTGGCTCCAGAACCTGCTCAAACAGAAATTTGTGAGTTTTCAGCTGGAAGTAAAGGTAGAAGCAGTACACGATAAGCAGAAGCACAGAGGTTCCTCTGGAGAATTCGAGAATTTTCGACTCTAGATCCTTTGTTTTGGACGGCAGTGACGCATGGAACGCTGCCGGAAGCAGCAGTCCGCTCATTGAGAGCGCCAGCAGCGAGCTCATGGTCTGAGCAACTGTCTGGTTGAAAGACTGCTGAGGATACCAGATGCCTCCTGCCACGAAGCAACAGCCCAGCACAAGGAGCAAGTTCGAGAGGATGGAGCCCAACATAGAGGCCTGGACCACTGTGATTTGGTTCTGGCTCAACGCGATAACACTGACAATGACTTCAACCGCGTTTCCGAACGTAGCGTTGAGCAGTCCTGCGATCGAGTCGTTGTGGATCGCTTCCCCCAATTCTTCCGTGGCGTAGGCCAGGACGGACGCCAACGGGATGATGGCCAGGAAGTTGAAGGAAAAGACCAGCGAGGCTTTCCACTGGAGCCAGTCTGCTAGATAACCCAGGGGAACGAAAAACAGAAGGAAGTTGATAGGGGAAGACCTCAAGGTCAGCTTGACGACATGGGGGAGTTTATTGGTCTGGTCGGTGATGGCTGCGGGAGCCACCAAGGGCGTATTTTCAGAGGACATAGTGTGCTAGCTAGCGGGACCCTTAAATTGAAACGAACAGACAGGAAAATCTAAAATATGGTTTCCTAAAACGCGGCACAGTAATCTTTTGCGTCGGTCGACGCAAGATTATTTCTACACTGGGTAGTCTGAAGAAGCCTGAATTTGCTGTATCCGAATGATAGAAATGGGGCGATGCTGGTGAAAGAGGCATGCTTTATTAATGAAGAGCAGGCGCTGCCATGTCTCTCCAGGGCCACTGGATTGATCACGGCAAGCGGGATTGTTTGGGTATTATGCAGACTGCACAGCTGAAGATATGCTTTTGTACGTACGCTGTAGCACGCAGGTCGTGAATCTGAGCTGGATTGCCCCTTTGGTGAGTGCGCATCTGCTATCTGACCGTGAAAAATGCCGTCTTGTCAAAACGGTGATAATTATTTTCGCGTCGCGTACTGACCCCTTTGAAGGCACTATGCATAAATATGGCCGATATACCTGGCTGAAAAATTTATACCTAGCTTGCTGGCTGGATCTTGCTACTCTTTGGCCGTTCACTCTTTTCTCGCCTTGCCATGTCGGACGTTCAAGCCCTGTACCACTTTCTCAGGAAGCCCGTGTCGCCAGACATGATCCAGTGCCTGGTCAACACCACGAGCTCGGTGATTGCAGTTCCTGACTACTCCAGCTCGTCGCTGCCATCTCCACCCGCCTCGCCAATGGAGACGCCTGTTCCTTCTCTCTACTGCTTCATTGAGGCGCTCATCGAACACTCCCACGTCCAGACACCAACTCTCATGTCGAGCCTGGTCTATCTGATCAGATTGCGCGAGATCCTGCCGCCAAACAGCACAGGAATGGAAACCACCAGACACAGAATCTTCCTGGGCTGTCTTATCCTGGCCGCGAAGAACCTCAACGACTCGTCTCCTCTGAACAAACACTGGTGCAAATACACCAACGGCCTGCTCTCCTTGAGAGACGTCAATACCCTCGAGATGGAACTGATAGGATACCTGGGCTGGGATAACATCAGAATCAGACAATCAGACCTCATTGCAACGTTCAGCCCCTTCCTGGAACCAATCAAGTCCAAGCTCAGACGGCAATCCGAGGCCAAGATCGCCAAACACAGGGACCTCACCAGAGACCTGACCAGATCTCACGCCTCGTCGCCTCTGCCTTCTCCAACACAGCCCCTGTACGCTAACTGGACTAAACAACCCTCGCTCTCACACCTGCCTTCTCCATCTCCACAAAGACCAAAGATGGCCATTAGAAGAACCTCTGGTTCCACCAACCTGAACGCTAAATACTCTGCATACAACCTGCAGAAACCATACTCATTCCAGTCGCTACCAACCACCGCCTCCATTCCTTCGCTCTCGACATCCTCCTCCATTCCCTCTCTCGCCTCCACAAATTCCACAACCTCAACGGTATTCGCAGTGGACGACTTCAACCCCAAACCGCTGAGGCTACCAAACTCGCAGTCACGTGACCTGGCCGAGAATAAAGAGAATCACATCATGGGCCCCTATCTCAGGGTCATCAACCCAGACATGATGTCTTCCGTACACTAGAGATACATATATGTTTACAGTTTTGAGCCGGACTCAATATCAATATATCTTAACAACTCAGTCAAGCATATACACCCCTCTTATGCCTAACTGTATAAATCGTCTTCTTCTTCTTCAACAGATCCAAACGCAGCCCCTGCACCATCTCCTCCAATGCCTCTGTCGGTCGATCCAGCTCCGTCTCCTCCTTGGCCGAAGGAGAAGTTCGAGAACTGACCTCTGGAGGACTGAAGTTGCTGCGCGTAAGCCTCGTAACGTCTCAGCTCAGTTGGGGAAACAGAGCGCTTAGCAGTCTTCATAGCTTCTTCGAAGTGAGCCTTTGTGATATATGGAACAGCATCTGGCACACTTTCCTCCTCACCATCTTCAACCTTCATCTCAACATCATCGGAGCCTTCAGCAGCCTTTCTTTCTGCCTTCTCTTGCTCGTATCTCTTTTGAGCTTCAATGGAGTCTTTGATAGCAAATTTGGCAGCTCTTTGGACAATGTACTGCAAGTCAGCACCAGTAAAGCCGTGCGTAGTTTTAGCAATCGCAGTCAGGTCCAGGTCTGGCTCCAATGGGGTGTTCCTCAGTTGAGCCTTCAAAATCGACAGTCTTCCGGCTTCGTCTGGCAATGGGACATAGATCAATTGGTCCAATCTACCTGGTCTCAAAATAGCAGGGTCAATTTGATCTGGTCTGTTCGTAGCACCAATGATGAAAACGTTCTTCTTGGCGTTCATACCATCCATTTCAGTGAGCAGTTGGTTAACAACTCTATCGGATGCTCCACCTGCATCTCCCATGCTGCCTCCTCTGGCCTTGGCAATAGAATCCAGCTCATCCAAGAAAACAACCGTAGGAGCTGCAGCTCTAGCCTTGTCGAAAATGTCTCTAATGTTGGACTCGGACTCACCATACCACATACTCAACAATTCAGGACCTTTAACGGAGATGAAGTTGGCAGACACCTCAGTGGCAACGGCCTTGGCCAAAAGGGTCTTACCAGTACCTGGAGGACCAAAGAATAAGACACCCTTCGAAGGCGAAAGGCCAAATTTGGTGTATTGGTCTGGGTGCAAAACCGGGTATTCCACAGTCTCCTTCAGCTCCTGCTTGATACCATCCAAACCTCCAATGTCATCCCAAGTGACGTTGACACTTTCAACGACAGTCTCACGCAATGCTGATGGGTTGGAGTTACCAAGAGCGAATCTGAAGTTGTCCATAGTGACTCCCAGAGAGTCGAGAACTTCTGCATCAATGTTCTCTTCTTCCAGATCGATCAAGTCCATCTTTTCTCTTATTTGTTGCATAGCAGCCTCGGAACAGAGGGATGCGATATCAGCACCAACGTAACCGTGAGTCTCAGCAGCCAAGGCCTCGAGGTCAACATCATCGGCCAACTTCATGTTTTTGGTGTGGATTCTCAGAACCTCAAGTCTTCCAGCGGCATCAGGAATACCGATGTCGACCTCTCTATCAAATCTGCCGAATCTTCTCAAAGCGGGATCGATGGAATTAGGCCTATTGGTAGCAGCAATGACAACAACGTTGGATCTAGCCTTCATACCATCCATCAAGGTCAAAAGCTGGGAAACAACTCTTCTCTCGACCTCACCATTAGTCTTGTCTCTCTTTGGAGCAATAGAGTCGATTTCATCGATGAATATGATAGAAGGAGAGTTTTTCTCGGCCTCTTCAAAAGCTTTCCTAAGGTTGCTTTCGGACTCACCGGCCATTTTCGACATGATTTCCGGACCATTGATTAAAAAGAAGAATGCACCAGTCTCATTGGCAACGGCTCTGGCCATCAAGGTCTTACCGGTACCAGGAGGGCCGTACATTAAGATTCCTTTAGGAGGCTTGATACCGATTGCCTTAAACAACTGTGGGTGTCTGAGCGGCAACTCAACGAGCTCTCTAATCTGGGCCATCTGTTTTCTGCATCCTCCAATGTCATCGTAACCGACTTCATTGAGGTTATTTTCTTCGTCCTCTCTATTGATAGGTTCGCCCTCGGAGTGTATTATGGTGTCCTGAGACACAATGGCGTGTTCTTCCGGCTCAACTTCCACAACCTTGAACTCGACTTGTCTCATACCTCCTCTGACAACAAAATGATCGCCCTTGCGGACTGGTCTGTAGGCGTCAACAAAGTATGGCTTCAGGAAGACATCGAACAGGGATCCGGTGATACCTTCAATGGTGTCTGCGATCGGCAAGACGGAGATTCTGGTGGCGAACTTGATTTCGGGACATGGGTGGATTGTCACGATGTCTCCAAGACGAACTCTCAAATTGTTTCTTGCCACTCTGTTGATTCTACAAACACCATCCTCGATATCATCGTCGGCCAACACGATCAAGACGGTGTCCTTCCTCTTCTTTCCTTTGATCAGGGCAGCATCGCCACGGAACAATTGCAAAAGCTCCATCGTGTTGGACGACATAGAAATGATGGAGTTGTCATCATTGGTGGCATCGTCGACAACCAAGGCATTATCCTTCTTTTTTCTTCTCAAAATGGCGGTAGCAGTCGAGTCTTCTGGAACGACTTCCCTGCCAGAGGCGTCTAATAGGGGCTTCTTCTCATCCACCATTCTATCTGATTGGATATCTTTCAATTGAACAACCAGAAAAACTAAAGATGTTAAATGATCAAGGGCAAATACAAAATATTTGGCTTTTGCCACTCAGACTGGGAGATCCAGGAATCGCAGAGACAACATCCTTACACCAAAAGAGCCAGAATTATCTCGCATTGCCACCATCGTTTACACAGATATCAGAGCTACATGAACTCTATACGTATGAAAGTGCGGTGGCCGACTCAGACTAGCTTTGCCGTGAGCTCCTTTGCAAACTCGGAAAGCTCGCCCATGTCTGCATTTTTCGCTGGCCAGCCGATAACTAGTCCCGTCTCTGGGTCCCGCTTTGGGATCAGGTGAAAGTGGACATGGTCGACCACTTGGTGAGCAATCCGGCCATTGTTCTGCAAAACATTGTAGCCATCCTCGTTAGGAGTGGTGACTTCCAGGCCAAGAGCTTTGACCAACTTTTTGGTCACTGGCAGGATGTCAGCGAGGTACTCGTCTGGAATGTTGTGCAGCATGGCTCCATGGTACTTTGGAATTACCAATAAGTGGCCTTTGGAAGTTGGTTGGATGTCCAAAAATGAGTAGGAGTATTTGGTCTCGAGGAGTTTAAACGATGGGATCTCACCTACATGGTTAGAGCTCGTATACCAGCCATTGGCCAGGCCTATACTACCTACCTTTGATGATTTTGCAGAAGATACAGGAGGCTTCGTGGGCAATTGACATGTTGCTTTGTAGGCTATGATAATAAATAAATCGTTAAATATTAATTGAGTATCTACTCCGTAATATACACCTAAAACCCGAAAACACTACTGAACTGTCGAAGTCCCATTGTGGCCACCATTTGGAATCCTTGTGCCCCGAACGGGAAGTAGCTCAGTGTGTAGTAGAGAACAGCAAAAATCTCAATGATTCCCGTGATGAGAGTGAGAATTGTCGACTTCAAGACCGCTGCACAGTACAACGTGCTCAACACACTGCCAAAAAACACCACTGTAAATGGCAGTCTTTCCTTGGATACGAGATGTTTGCAATAATCCACGGGTCCTTGCAAACACCCAAAGCTTAGCACAAACAGGATCGAGCCCAGAGTCCACAACATGGCGAATTTGCGAGGCTTTAATGTTAAAACAGGGAATAGCAATATTCCCAAACCAAAACACACTATCGAGCCCGCTATAAAACAGAAAAAGCACACCAAGCGCTCGAATCTCGAAAGCTTAAACCAAGAAGGCTCCTGCTGTGCATCAAGATCCTGATTATGCAACGGAAGGGCGCTGTATGCTGAATTATATCCCTCTTGCACTCTGTCCGTAAACGCGCTGAACACGCTTTTGACCTTGCTGGCTATTCCTTCGGAATCGTCGCCCACCTGGATGCCTCGTGTTGTGCGCCAATTCGATAGAAATTCAGCATTGCCTGACATATCGGAATAATTTAATTGCCACAATAAATCTCAGCGAATTCCAGTAGAAAAATTGGCTGGCTTATGTCATCCACGTTTGGCCGGCGGGCTCCTTCAACAACTCCTGGAAAAACGCTTCAGGGTCCTCCACTTTGAAATCCTGGAAGTCCGGTTTCGGCTCCTCAGAAGACCTCGCGTCTGAGGTGGAGTACGACTCGTCATACTCCGGCGACTGAGTTGGCTGAGTCTGGGGAACAGGCTGTGTTGGTGGCTGATAGGCAGGCGGCTCCGAGGTCGTTCCTGAAGACAGTTCGTCGATTCGTTGTCGCAATGAATTGAGTCTTTCGTCCTGGCTACCCGAAATCTCTCTCAGGTAACCTATGTACTCAATGGATTTTGTCAGTATGGTGCTTTTGTTGGCCTTTATCTCTTTGTTGGGGTTGTTCTTGGACTTGGTGAAATTATTCAGTAGCGAGGGTGGAATAAGAGTACCCAGCTCTTTTATTTTCTCCTTGATCAGGTCTCTGCGTCGTCTTTCCACAGCATTGTGTAGTTCTCGGCGGCGACTGAGCTTACTCTCTTTGCTTAAGGCGTTTTTTGGGTTCATGTGTGTGCCAATTGATGCGGGCGACCCAATCGATTTGTGAGACGGAGAATTAATCGGAGATTTCAGATAGGAGTCTGTAAAGCTCCCACCTTGGTACGAACCGTACGGGGAGTCTAGAAGTCCATCGTAGGTAGACGCTGGGGAAATAAGGTTGTTCAACGATGTGCCGAACTGGGAGCTGTAGCTGCGGCCCTGATTGCTGATACTGTTTGAGCGGCGGTTCATCGAAGTCGATAGCATCGGGTGCACCTGTGGAGACGAGTATTGATAGCTGTTACTGTGCACGCTGGCCCCTCCAATGCTTACCGACCTTTCCACGGGAGGAAGACCTTGCGGGCTCAAGGCCGCCTCGGAAAAATCATTAGCGCTAAAGGAGTGGCCGTTCTCCCACGGCTCGAAGTCCGCAGCATCTACGTTCAGAGCAGGGGCATTTTTGTACTCGTGGAACCCGAACGGTGACGGATGGTCCTGTGCTTGGTTATTTGGCAACCCCTGTGAGTTCAGGCTGTCAACAAACTGGTCCAGTTGCTCTAGCGTGTCCTGGTAATTCTGGTCGCCATTCGACGGAGGAAGAAATATCTCATTCTTGTCCATGCTGGCAAGCTTTAAGTCGTTAAGTAAATGTTTTGTAAAGATTAAATTGATACAGATATTTCTGTCAGCATTACATAATATCAAAAAAGGCCCAAGCTACATGTAGTAGTATTTGAGGTTTGGCCGGGCCCTCGTCGGCGTTGGTGTATCCGTACCCATGCTTTCAGACCGTGGACGGCTTGGGGGCCTTGGCGGAGTAATCTGTGGCCCCTCTGGAATATGTACCGGACGATTTGGCGAGGTCGGTAGCTGCTCGGAATGGCTTCTGAACGGAGACCGCAGAACCACTCTCTCGGGCAACTCTGTGGTCGACGAGGCAAGACGCGGGGTCGATATGGAGGAGGTCGCTATGGATGCTCGTTTAGAGCCTGGCTGGCTTGAGCGCGGACTATTTTTCGCCCGCTTGGAGATCGACAGACTTCGGAACGTCTCGACGATCCGTTTTCCGGAGTCGCGTCGTTCTGGCCCATCGGAGTCGCTCCAGTCAATAAAGCATTCGTTGTCGTCTTCCAGGGGCGGGGTGGCAAAACTGCTCACGGGGTGACTGCTGGACGAGACATCGCGGTGCAGTGATTGGGGCGTGGTGGGAACGGCAGCACCTCCACGCACTTGTTTAGGTGTATCTGTACTGGGCTCTATTTCGTGTTGTGCGTCGATCGACTCTCTCGATGCGTTGGCTCCCATCTCTCCAGCTGCGTAGTTCTGGTACAGATCGACTATTTCGCCTGTTTGGTCTCCTAGAGATAATCTGTCTGGCGACACGGAAGAGGACCAGGTTTCAAATGAAAAAGGGTTTTGCGTGTCGTTTTGCATATGTGGGATTTTTGGGGATCCTTCGCAATCGGGGCGATCGACAAGGATAATTTTTTGTGGCATTGGGGAATTGTTCCAGGGGCTGATGGGAGCCCCTTTTCCCGGAGAACGGGCAGGTACTGGAGGAACGCTGATGAGGGGCCGCTCTGGACTAGGAGATATGGCCGTGACCGGAAGGGCTTCTTCTATGTGGACACTTGACCCGAAGGAGGTGAGCGACGCTGAACGGTCTCTTAGTTCTTGATCCACAACGTTGGGAGGAACGTGGTCTGAAACGGTTTGCGATTGTCGTTCGGCCAGTCTCACAATCTGCGAATATTTTGACTCCTTTGACACCTGCGACTTGAACTCCTGGTAGCTACTGTCCACCTCCAAATTGCCCAGCTGGTATGGCACAAGGACATCTTTGAGTTTGAGCTTGGAGGTTCGCGGCGAAGAAGACAGTGAGCGCCGCCTGAACAGATGTGAAAACCGCCTTTTTGGTCTCTGTTTAGCGCTCTCAGCGACCGGGCGATTGGTATCTATATCCATAGCAAAGTTGACTACACCATAAGCTTTTTCATCAGGTGGTTGCAGAATACAGATAATCTCACATTCCCGAAATCGGGGCTGTCTCCAGATGGATGCAAGTCGGCCAAAGGTGACTAGTTGGTCGAATTTCACTCAGGGCTCGTCCTGTCTGTTTGCTGCAGGCACAACACTCGTTTAAAATCTGCACTAAAATAATAGCAAAATAATAACGCACACCGGCTAAATCTGAAGTATGGTCATGGTTGGGCTGCACGGTCACAGGATGAAACAGGAGAAAGGGATGCACAACGGTAAAGATAACCATGCCCTTGAGTTTGTCCCAAACCCGCCTTGGGGACCGCCTTTACTATTCCTGCCCCAATTTTAGTTCCTGGTGTAAAGATGTGAGACGCCCCAAAATATATCAACTTTTTTGTTTATGGCCATTCTGCGCGAACGCCCGTCTCCAATAGTCCGCAAGAGTCTTCGGCGGCGAAGACTTGCTTTACGTCTACTGGACAGCGACTCAGAGACGTCGCCGTCCAGAAAGTCACCCGCTCTGAGGAGCCCTCGACCCGTGGAGAGAGACGAGTACTTGGAGATGTCTAAACCGCGTGAGGAACAGAATTTCACAGACTACTACGAGGGTCTAGACGAGTTTGAGCCGCTGCCTGTGCTAGTGCGAGAAAGCAGAGCCGACGACGAGTATGAGGACTATAGGCTGAAAAGGAAGCGACAGGACCGGGAAATATTGACACGGCTGAAACGACCGTCTTTCAGGAAAATGCCAGATCTACATACAGAGGAGCCTCCAATTGCTCGAAATATGATCCAGTTTGGCTACAATAACAACAAGGCAGTGCAAAAACCGACCTTTTGGCGACCAACAGACCGAGGCGACGGTCTCATCACCGACGGCCTTACCCTGGACCAAAAAGTGCGTTCTCTGTATGATATGGACGAGCAGGACGCCACTTACCTTGAACATGTTAATGCGAGACTTGCCAAGGACAATAAGCATATCTCTTTGGAGCTTTTTGAGGTGATTATGACCTATTTCGAGATGGAGTGGTGTTTCATCGAGAAGCTGCTACCACCCAAAATAAAAAACGAGCATCAGAACGAAGAACAAGCTCAACTCCATGCCCAGCTGTATGGATCTGACGACGGGATAGGAGCTGCACCAGAGGAAGATCAGTGCTGTGCTGTTTGCAATAGGAACGAGTGCGACAACTCGAACGCTATCGTGTTCTGCGACGGTTGCGACATAGCTGTCCACCAGGAATGTTATGGCGTTGCATTTATTCCCGAGGGTCCGTGGCTGTGTCGGAAATGTCTTATTGCCCGAAACCAAAAGAACAGGTGTTTGTTTTGCCCTAGTGTCACAGGCGCGTTCAAGCAGACGGACAACGGGGGATGGGGCCATGTGATCTGTACCCTGTGGATCAATGAGCTATATTTTGCCAACCCTGTCTACATGGAGCCGATCGAGGGAATTGGCAATATTCCCAGGAGTCGCTGGAAGCTCACCTGTTATATTTGTCGTCAGAAAGTTGGAGCATGTATCCAGTGTTGCAAGCCCAGTTGTTCAGTTGCGTACCATGTTACATGTGCGCGACGCTCGGACTTCTATATGGAGATGAAACAAGGTGTTCAAGCAGGTATCCATGACAAGAGCACCGTTGTGTCCTACTGCGATAGACATTCTCCAAAAGAGTGGGACTTCTATCATGACACAAAGCTTGGGATGCAGAAAACCAAGCTTTATTACAGCACGGGAAAGAACCGAGACTCAGGAAACAAGATAGTAATTAGCAAAGCCGAGAAAAAGGAACTGAAGGACACGAAAAACCACTGGTTTAGATGGAAAACTGCGCGCGGGGCTCCTATCCTTCCTCTTGTTGTGATTAAGAAGCTGGACAAGATGCTTCAGAGCTACAGAATTCCCCAAGATATCAATTATTTATATGAGTTCGCAAAGTACTGGACTCTGAAGCGCGAAGCCACGGGAGGTTCCTTGATCAGACGTCCGGACACGGCGAATCTCGGTGTTCTCACGAACAAGGAAATTGATGAGCGTCTCCAGGCTCTAGACTTGATCAAGCAGGACATCCTCAAACTAGCAGATATATCCTCTCTGTCCCTGAAAAAGGCAAAGCTCGAGCTCAAATCCACTAATGAACTGCTTGACCAGATGGAGATTTATTACTTACCGATGCAGTATTTGATCAAGGAGTTATTGGACCAGTTCCTCAAACATGACAGGAACAATGCCATAATTTCCACAACATTCGAGGATTCCAATGTGCCCTCTATCAAGCAAATAGTGGAAAAGGTCGAGAATCAGGAGTACCAGCTAGTTAGCGAGCTTGTGGACGATCTCACCGCAGTGGACAATCATGTCATACAAAATCTCGACCCACACAGTGCTGTATACCGGCATATTCGGAATTACTGGAGAAGACTCAGGTCACAAGCGATAGACAGGGCCCTAACATCCGAGCGCGCGTTGCTAAAGGGAAACAGAAAATTGTTCACAGGTGTGAAGGCAGAAGGGCTTGATTTCCAAATCAAGGGGTGAAACTACTGTAATCATGGGAATTGTGTCTGATTAAATCCAAGTATATATCAAAAACATGTCGCTTACAACTTGTCGTAGTATTCTTCGTAACCTGGAACTTCCTCTTTCATACCTCTTCTCTTTCTGGTGTTGGTAACAATTTCACCTGGCTTCGAGTTCTTGTCGGTTGGGTCACCGTTCATGGTGGACCAGTGGTCGAAGATCATTTGTGGGAAGGCTTGACCACCGGTGGCTTGTCTCAATTCACCGGTGAAACCGAAAGACTCGTTGACAGGCAGGTAAGCCTTGACAGTGAACATTGGGGTACCTGGTCTTTGTTCCTCAGAAACAACTTGTCCTCTCTTCTTGTTCAGGACAGAGTAGATACCACCAATGGCGTTCTCTGGACATTGGACCTCAACCAGGAAGACAGGCTCCTGGATTCTTGGCTCAGCCAAAAGCATGGCAGCAAAGGTGGCTCTTCTCATCGTAGGCATGATTTGTCCGGCACCTCTGTGGATAGCATCGGCGTGCAAGGTCACATCCATGATGTTGAATCTGACACCTCTCAGGGTCTCACCAAGAATTGGACCCTCCTTAGTAGCCCATTGGAAACCGGCGTTGACGTGGTCCTTGATTTCAAGCAAGTATTGGACAGCCTTGGTCTGGTCGACAACGACGTTTGGACCAGAACCGTCTGGACCGAAACACCAGATCTTTCTGGCGTCGGTGACGTCCCAACCGTACTCGTCGGCCATAAGTCTGGCTCTCTGCTTGAAGTCGTCTCTGGCGTTGATCTTTCCGGACTCGATGGCCTGGTTGACCTCCTCGTCCATTGGCTCGGCTTTCAGGTAGATTCTGTTGTGCTTGTTTGGAGACTTGGACAGGGCAACAATTCTGGATTCAGCCTCAACGGTTTCTCTGTAGGAAACGACTGGTGGAGAGATCTTCAATGGAACACCAGCGTGGTCGTTCTCCAAGTCGGTCAGACAAATCTCCAAGTGCAACTCACCGGTGGCAGCAACAATGTGCTCACCAGATGGCGAGATAGAAGTCAAAACACATGGGTCAGACTTGGACAGTCTCTTGAGACCTTCGACCAGCTTTGGAAGATCGTTACCGTTCTTGACCTCAACGGCAACCTCGACGACCGGAGAGACAGAGAACTTCATGACCTTCATGTTGTGAGAAGCCTCGTTGGTGGTCAGAGTACCAGATTTGAGCAAGAACTGGTCAATACCAACCAAACCAACAATGTTACCGGCTGGACAGTCATCGATAGCCTCGACGAATCTTCCCATCATCAACACGGTTCTCTGGATAGCCTTGATGAACAGGTCATCCTTCTTACCTGGAACGTAGTTTGGACCCTGAATTCTGACCTTCATACCGGACTTGACGGTACCAGCGAAAACTCTACCGAAAGCGTAGAATCTACCCTTATCGGAGGTAGGAACCATCTTGGACACGTAGAGCATCAAGTCGGCCTTAGGGTCACAGTTCTTGATGGCCAGACAGGAAGCATCGTCGGCTGGACCTTCGTACAAGGTCTCAGCTCTGTAGAATTGGGCAGTGACTGGAGATGGCAAGTGGATGACGATCATCTCAAGCAGGGCGTCAGCAGCAGGCAAGAACTTTCTCATAACGACCTTCAGGAGAGCCTTACCCTCCAGCTCCTTCTCCTCACCCTTCAAAGTGATCTCGAGCTTCTCAAGCAAAACTGGGATCTCGTCCTTCTTGAAGTTCATGATAGCAGAGAAAAGTCTGAAAATTGGGTCCAGAACGAACATGTTGAAGGCTCTCTCCAATGGCTGTCCGGAAGCGTCTCTGTCCTTGTTAGACCATTTCTTGGTCTTTGGGTTGAAGTAGGAGTCACCCCACAATCTCTCCATCATCTTGGATCTGTCAACACCGAACTTCTTGGAGTATCTGACGGCGAATTGTCTGATGGTGAAGGCCCATCCGTGCAGACCGGAACCAAAGGCAACGGTACCCTTCTCTGGGTAGACTTGGACGTCACCCAAGACCGGCTCAACGTAGGTAGAGATGATGACGTTAACAGACTCAACGGTTCTGGAGAAAGACTGGTACAGCTCCTCCTTGGAGATTTGCAGCTCCAACATGGCTCTGTCGACCTTGTTGATGACAACGACCGGCTTGATTCTTTCACCAAGAGCCTGTCTCAGCACAGTTTCGGTCTGAACACACACACCCTCAACACAGTCAACGACGACCAAAGCACCGTCGGTAACTCTCAAGGCCGCAGTAACCTCGGAGGAGAAGTCGACGTGACCTGGCGAGTCAATCAAGTTGATCAGGAACTTGTTGCCGTCGGTCTTTTGCTTGATCTCCTTCACGTCCTCGTCGTCCATCTCGGAGTAAAGAGAGATGGCCGTGGACTTGATGGTGATACCTCTTTCCTGCTCGTCCTTTCTGGTATCGGTAAATCTGGCCTCACCAGCCTTGGCAGCAGAAATGATACCGGCTCTCTGGACAAGAGAGTCGGTGAGAGTCGATTTTCCGTGATCGACGTGAGCGATAACGGACATGTTACGAACATTCGTAACCTTGTCCATTAACTCTCTGATTTGTTCAACAGTGAAGTTAACTATAAATGTTAGTTTTCGGCATCCAGACGCTGCGGATCCAGCACAGTGCCATACGTACCCATTTTTGATGATTCAGTTGATTCTGCTAACGTTCACCAAACTTATCAAAAAGAATCAAGATTAATTATCTAGTTACAATTGGCAACCCTTACAAATCCCACCAGGCTGAAAAATTTTTTTAGGTGTACAAATACGGAAATGGTTACGGGGACTTACCCTGCCCTGCCGGGTAAAAGCCCGCATCCCATCCGTGCTGAGGCAGCAGCAGGCTCAGGCCATCACCCAGACCATGATCGCCTGCACCACAAACGAGTACACAAACAGGAACTGGGTGCGGATCCGTCTTGCTCCCGAGGACAGGCTGTTTGCGTCCAGGCCGCTCGGCAGAACGACGTATTTGAGAGACCTCATCAGAAAGAAGCCGAGCGAGAAGATGTTGGCCAGGAAGCCCGTGTAGATGAGGATCTTCGAGCTGAGCAGGTTCTTTATGAGCATCAGCACCAAGATGGAGATGAATTTGTAGCCACTGTAGCTGACGAGGTCCCAGAGCTTTCTATTTTTCTGGTTCACGCCCAGCACGTAGAACGAGATCTTGATCAGACAGATATCCATCAGATAGAAGGCCAGTGTTCTTGTTGTGGCGTAGCCGAGCAGCTGTGGATGGAACGTGCCGTTGATCCCGCTGAAGACGGCCCACAGCAGCACATACGACACAAACGACATCAGCGGGATGTACAGGTCGGGGGCGTTGACGTCTTCTATAGGGGTGGCGTACATCTCGACGCTCTGCGAGACGTCTGTCGACCGCAGCTGTCTTGTCCACGTTTTGTTCCTGAAGGGGAATAGAATGAGCAGTAGCTTGCTCAGCACGTACTGGTTGGACACTTTGAAGTAGTATTTGATATCCTGGTTGGCCACCAGCTGGCCGAAGTTCTGCTGCATGTACTGGTGCGAGGCATTGAAAGCCGACTGGCTAAACTGGAGGCCCATCTGTGCGGCCGGGTCGTTGAAGAAGGTATTAATGTTTGCTGCTTGCGCGCGCGGGGCGTGGTGGTTGGCGTTCATGTACGCCTGGGACTGGAACTGCTGGGCGTTCGACGCAGTCCCGAACGGCTCCTGCTTGGGCAACTCCTGGGGATTGGCGTATGGGTTGTACATGGAGAGATAAAATACGTTTGCAAGAATTTCAAAGTTGGCAGTGTATCAGGGGGGGGGGGTGAAGGAACACAATTTGGAAGGGGCCGGCCGGTCGGGAGAGCTGCCTACGGGTTTCAAAGCAGTCTGACGGAGGCGGTGCCTGCTCACCTTGGCCGCCGTGCGCTCGTGTGCGACAGTCTGAGCGCTGTGGCTGCCACCACTCCTGGTCGCTTTTGGGGACGATCGACGCCGACTTAATTACGCGTCTTCGCGTTTGAATATTTTCTCAACTTTATGTCGGTCACCACCATGAGGCCTCACAACTCTGTGAGATTTGTGAAGAACGAGCGCGGCGCGACGCGCCCAGGCGACAACCACACCCGCAATAGCGACGCTCGCGTGCGTCTGCGCCACGAGGCCGTCCAGGAGGTCGACAGGCTCGACTCCGTGTTTGGCTTTGATCGATACAGTTCTGGCGCAAAACGGGTCGGGTGGCTCGTCAACATGCATCCCACGACGCTGCCGACGACAGAGAACATAGCCGGCTGCTCGGGAGTCGACTACTACTTCCTGGACGAGGAGGGGGGCTCGTTCAAGGCGAGCGTGCAATACGACCCGTATTTCCTGCTCATGGTCGACGCAGACCGCGCCACAGAGGTCGAGGAGTACCTGCGGAAGTTCCTAGAGGGCACCCTGAAGAAGCTGTCGTGGGTCGAGAAGGAGGATCTTGCTCTGACGAACCATCTGGTCGGGCTGAAGCGGCAGCTGCTGCAGCTGAGTTTCCACAACGTTTCGGACCTTCTGGAGGCCAGGCGACAGCTGCAGCCCATCATCCAGCACAACAAGTCCACCAAAAATAGCAAGGACATCTACCAGTCGGTGAACCTGAACTACAGCACGTTCATGAGGCACGACGACGGCCAAGACGAGACCGAGCGCAAGGTCGGCAACATCACCGACCTGATCGAGGACATCCGCGAGTACGACGTGCCGTATCACGTGCGCGTGTCGATCGACTGCAACATCCGCGTCGGCAAGTGGTACACGGTCGAGGCGGACCAGGGCAAGGTGAGGCTCGAGGAGCGGGCCGACAAGCTCGCGTTTGCCGACCCTGTGGTGCTGGCGTTCGATATCGAGACCACCAAGGCGCCGCTCAAGTTCCCCGACAGCGCAGTGGACCAGATCATGATGATCTCGTACATGATCGACGGCGAGGGGTATCTGATCACCAACAGAGAGATCATCAGCGAGGACATCGAGGACTTCGAGTACACCCCGAAACCAGAGTACCCTGGCTACTTCAGCATTTTCAACGAGGCGGACGAGCGGCACGTGATCCAGAGGTTTTTCGAGCACGTGAGAGACGCGCGGCCGACGGTGATCGCCACGTTCAACGGAGACTTCTTCGACTGGCCGTTTGTCGAGGCGCGCGCCGCGTACCACGACATCGACATGTACAAGGAGATCGGGTTTGCCAAGGACAGCGAGGGCGAGTACAAGAGCACGTACTGCGTGCACATGGACTGTTTCCGGTGGGTCAAGCGCGACTCGTATCTGCCGCAGGGATCGCAGGGCCTGAAGGCCGTGACGACGGTGAAACTGGGCTACAACCCGACCGAGCTCGACCCGGAGCTCATGACGCCGTACGCGTACGAAAAACCGCAGCTGCTGGCCGAGTACTCTGTCTCCGACGCCGTGGCCACGTACTACCTCTACTACAAGTACGTGCACCCGTTCATTTTCTCGCTGTGCACCATCATCCCGCTGAACCCGGACGAGGTGCTGCGCAAGGGCACCGGCACGCTGTGCGAGATGCTGCTGATGGTGCAGGCGTACCAGAACGGGATTCTGCTGCCGAACAAGCACACCGACCCGCTGGAGCGGTTCTACGACGGCCATCTGCTCGAGTCGGAGACGTATGTGGGGGGCCACGTCGAGTCGCTGGAGGCGGGAGTTTTCCGCGCAGACCTGGCCACCGAGTTCAACGTCGACCCGGCCGCCGTGGACGAAATACTGAACGATCTCGACAACGCTCTCAAATTCTCCATCACCGTGGAGGAGAAAAAGAAGCTCGAGGATGTGACGAACTACAACGAGGTGTGCACCGAAATCCGCGCAAAATTGACAGAGCTCAAGACCAACAACAGACGCACAGAGACGCCGCTGATCTACCACGTCGACGTCGCGTCGATGTACCCGAACATCATGACGACCAACCGGCTGCAGCCAGACTCCATGAAAACGGAAAAAGACTGTGCCTCGTGCGACTTCAACCGGCCAGGGAAAACGTGCGACCGCCGGCTGCCGTGGGCCTGGCGTGGCGAGTTCTATCCCGCCGAGGCCAACGAGTACAACATGATCAAGAACGCACTGAAAAACGAGCAATTTGCTCCCAAATACCCGGGGCTCCCGCGGCGCACGTTCGAGGAGCTCAGCTACACGGAGCAGGTCGGCCACATCAAGAAGCGCGTCTCGGACTACTCCCGAAAAGTGTACCACCGCATCAAGGCCACCGAGACCGTCGAGCGCGAGGCCATCATCTGCCAGCGCGAAAACCCGTTCTACGTCAACACGGTGCGCGACTTCAGAGACAGACGGTACGAGTTCAAAGGCCTGGCTAAGGTCTGGAAGGCCAAGGTGGCCCAGATCGGCAGGGACGACAAACACGCCGTCGACGAGGCGCAAAAAATGGTCGTTCTGTACGACTCGCTGCAGCTCGCGCACAAGGTCATCCTCAACTCGTTCTACGGCTACGTCATGCGCAAGGGCTCGCGCTGGTACTCGATGGAGATGGCCGGGGTCACGTGTCTCACGGGGGCCACGATCATTCAGATGGCCCGGTCGTTGGTGGAGCGGCTGGGACGGCCGCTGGAGCTCGACACGGACGGAATCTGGTGCATCCTGCCGTCGAGCTTTCCCGAGGACTTCAAGTTCACGCTGAAAAACGGCAAGGCGTTCACCGTGTCGTACCCGTGCTCGATGCTCAACTATCTCGTGCACCAGCGGTTCACCAACCACCAGTACCAGATGCTGGTGGACCCCGTGCGGCTCAAGTACGAGACGATCTCGGACAACTCGATTTTCTTCGAGGTCGACGGCCCGTACAAGGCGATGGTGCTGCCGACGTCGAAGGAGGAGGGCAAGGGCCTGAAGAAGCGGTACGCGGTCTTCAATTTCGACGGGTCGCTGGCAGAGCTGAAAGGGTTTGAGCTGAAACGGCGCGGCGAGCTGCAGCTGATCAAAAACTTCCAGTCGGACATATTCAAGCTGTTTCTGGAGGGCGGCTCGCTAGAGGAGTGCTACCAGGCGGTGGCCAACATTGCCAACCGGTGGCTCGACGTGCTGGACAGCCGCGGCCAGATGCTGGAGGACGAGGACCTGATCGAGCTGATTTGCGAGAACCGCAGCATGTCGAAGACGCTGGAGGAGTACGGGGCCCAGAAGTCGACGTCGATCACGACGGCAAGACGTCTGGGCGAGTTTCTGGGCGAGGAGATGGTGAAGGACAAGGGTCTGGCGTGCAAGTATGTGATTGCCGACAGGCCGATCGACGCGCCGATTACCGAGCGCGCGATCCCGACGGCTATTTTCTCGTCCGACATCGCTGTCAAGCGCAAGTATCTGCGCCGCTGGCTGGTCGACCCGTCGCTCGAGGACCTCGACCCGCGCTCCATCATCGACTGGGACTACTACAAAGAGCGGCTCGCGTCGGTGATCCAGAAAATCATCACGATCCCGGCCGCGTTGCAGGGCGTCAGCAACCCTGTGCCGCGCGTGTCGCACCCGGACTGGCTGCAGAAACGCATCAACACGAAGGAGGACAAGATGAAACAGTCGTCGCTGAGCGCGTTCCTGAAAAAGGGCGTCATGTCCGACGTCACCAACAAGGTCCAGGACATCGAGGATCTCGGTGCAGGGGTGGCCAGGCCCAAAGTCGGCAAGGTCACGTGCCGCAAACGGAAACTGGCACGCGAAACGCTGGAGGAGTCGCAGCAGCAGCTCGCCAACCAGCCGTGTCCGGACCCGCTAGCGGACTACGCCGGGTTCGTGCGGTACCAGAAGATCAAATGGGAGGTGCAGGCCAGGGAGCGCGAGCGCAGAAAGCGGCTGTTTGGCGAGACCGCGCAGCTCGGTAGCCGGATGTCTGTGGCCAACATGGTGCGGAAGCAGGCCGAGAACTACGCCGATTCCACGTGGCAGGTGTTGCAGTACTGCGAGAGCGCCGAGAAGCCGGGCGATCTGAAGGCGTACGTGCTGATCAACGGCAAAATACACACGCTCACGCTGCACGTTCCGAAAAAGCTGTATTTGGAGTTCAAGTCAGAACCCTTCCCGGACACAGTTCTGGAGAGCTGCGAGGTCACGCGGGCGACAGAGCTGCTCCCGAGCGGCCAGAAAAGCGCCAATCTTTTCAAAATGGTGATATCTCACGACGTGTACAGCCGCGAGATCGCCAAGACCAACGGGCTGCTCAACAGTTCGCACGTTGCCGGAATCTACGAGTCCCAGATCGAGAGCACCGAACGAGCGATCATTGAGCTCGGCAGCTGTGTGAAGTTCGACAACACCAGGCCCGGAGCACTGGGCAGATCGCTCGATAAAGGGTTCGATCTCAAGCTGCTCCGTCCGGTGGCTCCAGAAACGTACCTCTCGGACTTCACCACCGGCGTGCTGTATCTGCTGCACGTGTCGTCCAACTCGTACGAGATCTTCACGCTGTTCCATCCGGCGGACTCGAGCGCCCATGCGTTTGTGCTCAAGCCGACCGCAACGGCCCAGCAGCTGCCTGCAAATGTCGAGTCTCTGTATGCAGACATATTTGCCAGCAAAAAAGACACGCTGCCGTCAGACCTGATCGAATACCAGGACCAGATGAAGTTCGAGACACAGTACTTCACCGACGCAGCCAAGCTGTACAAGAAACTCAACTCCAAGCTGCTCACGCTCGACGAGCACAGCGCGTCCAAGTCGCTGCTCGTGGTGCAGTCTCCGTACAGCTCCAAGATCACCCGACACCTTGCTGCGGCCGCACAGTTCCCCTGTGTGCGGATGGGCGCTGGCCAGATCCACATCAACTCGCTCTCGTGGCACTCGCTCATCATGAAGCGCATCATCAACCACTACCTCTCGCTGGCCGGGTGGTTGCAGAAAATCATCTCGCTCGCCAGATACAGCAACATCCCGCTGTGCAACCTCGAGATCGACAATCTCGGCTACATGATCGACATCGAGTACGCACGGAAGCTGTCGCAGGCCAACATTGTGCTGTGGTGGTCGCCAAGCCCGAACCCGGACCTGGGCGGCGTCGAGAAAGACGCCTTTGCCATGGACGAGTCGTTCGAGTTCCCGGTGATCAATCAGCCCGAGGTGTACGAGAGCGTGTGCCTGGAGCTGGAGCTGAAAAACCTCACGATCAACACGGTTCTGACGTCGTCGCTGATCAACGAGGCCGAAGGCGTGTTCAGCTCGACCGACGCGGCCGCAGAGGGCGCGTTTGCCGAGGACTCGTTTTCTGGGCCGGCGCTCGTCGTGCTGCGCAGCCTGGTGCGCACCTGGTGGGACGACGCCATCAAAAATAACTCCGAGGCAGACTCCATGGTGCACGGCTTTGTGTCGTGGTGCCAGAACCCGGCTTCCTTCCTGTACGACTCGTCGCTGCACTACCACGTGCACAACCTGACGAAAAAGTCGTTCATCCAGCTGCTCGGCGAGTTCAAGAAAATGGGCTCGGCAGTCGTCTTTGCAGACAGAAACAGGGTCGTTGTCGAGACGTCGAAGACGGCGGTCGAAAACTCGTACGCGTACAGCCAGTACATCCTCACCTCGGTCAGAGCCAGCCCGCTTTTCAACTATCTGGACCTCCAGGTCGTCAAGTACTGGGACCTGCTCGTCTGGATGGACAAGTACAACTACATGGGCCGGTTCTGCCACGAGGTGCAGGAGGCAGAGGTGCAGAAACTGGAGGCGGTCTCCAACTGGCAGCTGAAGTCCTACTTACCGCCGATTCTTCACAGCGAGTTTGAGGAGTGGACGTGGCTCATTCTCGACTCGCTCATCAAGCACAGAGATGGCCGGCTCAGAAACTTGTCGCAGAGCACCCAACTGACACCAGACAGAAAAGCTGCTCTGAAAAAAATTAAAGACCAAGACGACGACGACACGCTCGAAACCGTGGCCAACGGCGTGTGCGAGCTATTCAGGGCGCCGCTGCTGAAACGGCTGCACACGCTCATCAAGAAACAGAACGAGGTCGGCCTGGACCCGGGAATCATGGAGCAATACCAGTTCCCTGTGCTGCCCGGTTCGCATCTGGAGATGTCGAATCCGACGCTCGAGCTCACCAAATACCTGTGCCATATTTTGGGCCTGTCGAAAAAACGCAACATCGAGGTCCGTCTGCTGCGCAAGGAGATCCTGTCGCTGTTCGAGATCAAGGAGTTCAGCGACGAGGGCGTCTTCAAAAACCCGGCAGCCAGCCTCGTGCTCCCGCACGTGATCTGCAGCTACTGCAACTACATCAAGGACGTCGACGTTTGCAGAGACGAGCAGCACGTCCTGTGGCACTGCGAGGGATGCAGCAAGCCGTACAACAAGCTGCTGCTCGAGGAGCGGCTCATTTCGGAGTTCAACAGACTGCTGTTCAGGTTCCTGACCCAGGACCTCAAATGTGCCAAGTGCGGGAGAGTCAAAGACAGAGAAATCATGGCGCATTGCTCGTGCTCGGGGACGTGGTCTCAAACCATCAGCAGGAAGGACGTCGCTGCCCAGCTCAGACTGTACCGGAACGTGGCGCTGGCACACGACCTCAAGTTGCTACTGGAGATTGCAGAGGAGACTGTATAAATTATTTAGAACGCATTCAATTTGCTGCCGTCGTAGTAGGAGTCGAAGAAATTACGCAGAATCTGCTCGGACACAAGGTTGCGGCGCGTCCAGTTGCCCTTGGACCAGTCCTCCAGGAGCTGCTCGCTGATGCTGTTGCAGGACTCCACAGCTCCCGGGTCGGCCTTGAGGATGCCTTTCATGACGCCGCCGGAAAACTTGAAGTTCTGCTTCAGCGACACGGCCGGCGTGACGGTGTACTCCTGGGACGCGACCAGCTCGCCGAAACTCGTGTAGAAAAACTGCGGCAGGATGAACTTTGCGCTCGAGGACACGAAAATCGACCCCTGTTTCTTGCTCAGCTGCTTGCGTTGCTCGTACAGCTTGTTCACCACGATCTGGACGTTGGCGTCCTGGTAGTCCCGCAGCTTGAACACGTCGCTGTTGTACGACGACGCCTCCTCGTAGCTGAGCAGACAGGTGTCGCTGTAGAGCACACAGCAGTCCCGAAAAAATTTGAGGATCCAGAGGGTCTGGATATGGTAGCCACCATGCATCAGCACTCCCCAAATAATTTTGTCGTACAGCGTGACGATGCACGGGTCGTCTGGAAGCTTGAGGTTGAGTGCGCGGATGTAGTGGCTCAGCATACACTCCAGATGCGTGTCGTCCAGTTTCTTGAGGTCGTGGTGAGAGTTCGAGTCTCTTCTGAACTGGCGGCTTTTACAGATGGCCAGCCACTCGTTTAGCTTTCCGAGTGCCAGATGGATCCAGTCGTACTTGATGGGTAATCTGGAGTATCTTGCTGTCAGGTAGTACTTGTTGAGGTTTTGCAGGAGGGCCATCAGCTCGACACTTTTGGTGGCGAGGTCGTCAAACGACGAGTCTTGACGTCTAATAAAACTCTGCGCAGCGTGGAGAGACGAATAAATTCCGGAGATGGTGCTCACCTTGCGCAGTCTTTCGCGACACTCTTGGTCGAGCTCTGCCAGAGCGTGTTTGTCGGAGCCTTTGAAGCCCGTCATGCAACAGAGCTTAGACAATAGGTCGCACACAATCACCACTCTGGTGAAAGTCTCCTGAGAGGCCTCGTAATTTTTTTCCACATACTGTTTGCAACCTCGAAGCAGCGTTTTTTTGAGCTCAAACTCCAGACTTTCCATCACCTTCGACATTGGCTCCTTCACCTCGTAGCTGTCGCGTAGGATGGAGAGCAGGTGCTGGAAATTCGCCGGCAGCTCAAAATCCGGCGCCGCGAGCCCGAGATATGTCAAAACCTGCTCCAGCCGCGCCGAGCTAAAAATGTTTTTGTAGAGAGAAAGATCGGGGAATTTGAACAGCTCCAGCATCAAAAGATTTAGAAACTCGCCCATCGATGTGTCCTGACTCTCATTGAACTCAAACGCGTCTAGCTGCGACTCCAGCACGCTGGCCGCAGCAAAGTTCTCCACCAAGTTCTTCACAAAGGGACATCTCTGCTCCATACGCGGATCAGCCACCATCTGTGCGAGCTCGTCCACTTCCTGTCTGCATTTTTCGTGCACAGACAACTCAGAGATCAAAGACCGGAACGTTTTCTCTTTAGACCGGATGATCGACCCCACAGAGCTGGACGAGTCGGTGTGGTCGTTCTCAAAGTCGGCCATCTTCGATTTAAGGTACGTCACCAAAGTGATGTCAACGTCCTTGGAAATCTTGCTGTGGAGAAGGCCTTCTCTGTAACACTGGTACGCGGTCTCTGTTTCGCCAAAGTTCATGAAAATATCGCCAACCTGGCGCAGAAACTGGGACTTCTCCAAAACAGTCCCCAGCTTGACCACGTTTGCCAGTTCTCTGGCTGCTGCTTTTTTCCGTCCGAGAACCATAAACGAGAAGGCGATCTCCAGCCGTTTTTTGCTGTCAAACTCGGGATCCAGAAGCGAGCCGGTGCTGAACTCTGCGAGTCTTGAGTGTGCAAAGTCGTTTTCTACCATCGATTTGTGGTTGGGAAGAGCCTGGTTGGAGGCAGACAGCAAACTTGTTGCCGGGTGCACGTGTTGGTAAGAGCCAGTACTAGGTTCACTCATAGCAAAGGTAGCGCGATGCTAGCCAGTAGGTGTAGTTGTGCAAAGAAGCTTGTTGGTACTTCTCTAGCGCTGGCGTGCTACCTTAGTATTGTCACACCTGAGACCGGCCCCCATACACCAAGATAAACGGATATTTTGTTTTTTCAAATGCAAGTATTATATGGGTGACAGCCAAGACCGTAGCCGGGTGCGATCGCCCGGCCGAGGGGCGAGCGCAGCGCAGGGGCAGCATGGTGGGGCCCGACAGCACTATTCTGACGCTCCCAGCAAGGGGTTTGTGTCTGGAGACGCGCGCAGTGACGATTTCCAGCGTCCTCTGGGCATTACAGACTCGTACCCCACGCCACAGACCCACAAACACGTGTCGGCGCTTGCAGGCAAGACCGTCTCGACGCAGCCGCTTGAAGATCTGAAAATAAACGACACTCCTGCGTCTGTGCTCAAAAACCTGAAAGATCCGTTCGACGATTCGCCAGACTCGACCAGTACGCCGGCTCGGAGCAAGAACGGGCCTGCGAGCTCGACCAGGCCGTTTTTCCAGACACCGGCGAACGCCAGGCAGCCCAAAGACCCGGCGTCCATGTTCAAGAAAATGCGAGATCAGCTTCCAGAGGCTTTTGAGTACGACACGGAGGTTGGTCTTGTACTGGATGGCTACAGCGAGCCGGACGAGACGGCAGACCATTCTGGGGCTATGTTAAATCTGAATACGGGATATATCAACTTGCTGGGCAAGTTCAATGCTGACGTTACTGCAAACACGTCTCCAGATACCCAAATCGATGCCAACATCCACCAGGAAATCAACGACAAGCTGCGGCAGAAGGATCTGTTGCAGGACGAGGCAGACTATTCGTACCTGAGCAATTACCACAGACGACAGTCGCAGCCCAGTAGCAAGCCGTTTGGACTGCCGAGCTCTACAGAAAACACAGATCATCGAGACGTGCAAGTGCCAGGCACCATAGAAAAAAGTCGAGTAGGAATTGCCTCCAACAGCAGTCCATTGACAAACAAAACTCGCAGTGAGTCGCACCCGCCCAATAGAAACGGCCACGAGGAGCTGAACGACGAGATCATCAGCTCCCAAAGTGTCTTTTCCCAAATTACGCACCACAGACCCGCAGACTCGTATCGCACCCAAAAAGATCCAATCAGGGACTCCTCGCCAAACATAAACGAGCCGTCGTCGCAGGAGGTGAGCGATTTCGAGATAGACGATAAGGACAATATTAGCGAGACACTCAAGATCTCCAATTCGCAAAACGACCAACCAAACACCGCGTCCTCGATCTCCCAGAAGGAGCTGAAAAACTCCATCATACGGCTCTCCCAAAACTCGCAAAGCTCACAGAGGGAAACCGGCTACGAGTCGTCTCATCCTACCGTCCACATACCCTCACAGGACGAAGGCACACGAGAACTGACCGAGGAAATGGAGGATCCGAATTCAGATGCTGACGCGAACTCGACTCCCCTTTCCCAGGTCGCCTACACTTCCAGCTTGCTTCTGCGTCCGAAGCGCGTACTGAAGGGCAGTCCGAGAAAAGCGTCTCAGCGGAAACCTGTGAGACCTGCGCCGCCTGTGATTGAGCTAGATGATAGTTCGAGTAACTCCTCAGACCAGGAGAAGTCAAACCCAAAGTCGGACGAGCAAGAAGTCAAGGACAGTATGGATGAGACGCGGATCAATTCGGTGCTGGACAGAGACCAAATTGATCTGCTGCTCAGCACCAAAAGGAACTCTTCAGAACTTCCCTCGCCCGAATTTGAAAACGCTAACGATATACAAAGCCAAAAGCCGGATCTCAAAGGCGTGGACATTCTGCCCGAGTCGCCGACCCAGAACGAGGTCCTAAGAACAGACGAGACAGAAAAAGTGTTTTGCAAAGAAGACATTATCTTTCCACGCTCAGTATGGGTAACGTTCGACAATTTGAAACTGCCCTTCAGCATAAAAGACGTGACGAAATATTACGACGAGTCTCGCAACGCGCAGTTTTCTGTTTCAGTCGCCAATTCCCAGATGCTCGAAACGGTGGACCACGTCAAATTGTTTGCTCCTCTTTCTATCAGGGTTGGCGACCACGTCAAACTGTTTGCCAACAGAACCAAGGTGTACAAAGTCACAGGTTTGCAACACGATCCCAAGATACCCAACGCCGTGTGTTGCATTCGCGGTTTCAACCGCGTATACCTTTGCGAAAAGGGGTCTGTACTGAGTGACGAGTTCAGCGTCCCGTTGGAGGAAACGTATCTTACAGCAAATCTTTCTGGTAAGATAAAGTTCAAGATATTTGACGACGAGCAATACTTTCGTGAATTTTTGTCGGATTTGCAACAGCAAGACGGTCCAATAATCCAGAACACTCTTCAAAAAGATAAGCTGCCCTTTCATGGCTGTGTCTTCGTGTTCACCTCTGCGCCGCATCAGTCGGAAACCAACGATACAACCAAAGTGAAAGAAATGGTCAGGTTCATTGAAAAGCAGGGAGGACTAATAATCGAAGAGGGTTTTCCTAAACTCTTTCAAATCGGTGAAACAGAACTCAAGCCCGGAAAGATGCTTGAACAGCTCAAGTTTGCTGCGCTGCTGTCTCCCAAACACGTGCGAACCATGAAATATCTGCAGTCGCTGTCTCTGGGCTGGCCTATTTTATCAACTGTGTTTCTTGAAGACCTGATATCGAAGCCGGACCAGCTCAGCAGATGGCAGTCTACGTTCCACAATTACATGCTCCCCGCGGGACATAGCGTGATTCGCAACTGCATACTGAGCGCCAACGTGTTCCCTTTCCTACACAACTTCCACAGCGGGAAGCGACTCCACGAGCAGACGGGACTTGTCCGATTGTTGGATGGACTGACCGTTGTTGTGGATCGCAGCAGTTTGCCGGTCAGTGTCAGGGACATTGAATTTCTGCTCAAGGCGCTCGGCTGCCACAAAACCAGGGTCATTCCCGAGATCACCCTTCAAGAGGCCGCGAAACTTGACTGCGGGAGTCTGCTGCTCACAGACCTGGACAGAAAGTCTCTGGACGCCCAAGTGCACAAAAGACGGCCAAAAAAGCAGCGGCGGGAGAGTTCCGGCGGGGAGTTTGAGGTTTCTGTCGTGGACTGGGAGTGGCTCGTGCAGTGCATCATTGGTGGCACGCGGTTCGATCCCGTTTTCCGCTGGAAAGTGTCTTCCTTGCGCAAGTAACATTAAACCTATCTATCAATATATGCACTACTACTACAACGGATCAGAGAAGGTACACAAAGAGCACCAGGAGACCCAGCAGGGACGGCAGTACCGTGCTTGAGCGGTGGCTCGAAGCGGCGTTTCTGGCCGAGCTTGAATAGGAGCCGGAGGGAGATGGGCCTGCCGAGGTAGACGGCGAGTCGTCTGTGCCCGTCAGGTACACTTCGCCGTCGGAAACAAACGCCTCGGTGAATTTGGGCAGCTGCGAGGGTTTCAGAGCGTACGTGGTGACAGTCATGGTGATTTCCGAGTAGCTGGAAATATTATTATACTGAGCGAGAGGAATGGTTCCTGAGTCCATTGGATAGAAAACGTCTGCTTTCGAGTTCTTTTCGTCGTCGCGCACAATGTTGGAGATTGCCAGCGTTCTGTAATCGTTGTTGACGGCCAAATAGATGTTCTTGAGGAAAGGAATGCCGAGCAGAGAGTACCCGAAGGTGTTATCTGGAAGAAAAGCCAGGGCACAGGCTTTGTCGCCGCTCTGGAACACGAGATCCGAGCCGTCCTCGTTCTTCTGCTCGTACAGCACACTGCTGATCGGCATCTTCACCACAAGGTCTCCGAGATGGATGTCGATCGTGCCGACCGAGCCAATATCGCAGTCGACAAGCCAGACGTCCATGTCGCTAGCATAGTACGCATTGAGCTCCAGCGCCAGCTCGATGAGCGTCGAGTACGGAATGAAGTTGTACAGCGTCCGCGAGTCCAGGAGAGCAGGTTTCGGGTACGTTCCCGTGTCGTTTTCCTCGGTGAAGGTGTTGGGGAAGATAACTGTCTCGCCGTCGTTTGCCGTGACTCCGATGCCGGTTATAGGGATTATCGGCAGCGTATCGGTGTATCCGCCGTTGACGGTGACAAAACGCTGAGTGACATCAACCACGGGGATGAAGTCGTACTGGTAGAAGTTGCCGGAGATTCGCGTCGACGAAACCCCACCCAAAATCAGAACCGGGTCGCTGCTGTTTAGCGTGCTTGTGATCAGCGAGTAGGAACTGTTTTGAATGAAGTTTGCTTCTTTGAAGTAGTCAATGAAACTCACAGAGTAGTCGTGGCACGGGATTCCCAGCCCGAGCGCACCCGTGTTCACATTCGAGTCGTTGGCGTACAGGAACCTGACGTCCTGGAATGCCAGCGAGTGGTTGACAGAAGAGCCGTTTTCGTATGCGTCGTAGATCGGGAAGTCGAAATCGTCGACTGCCAGATACCCCGAAACTCCGATACCGTCGAGGTACGAGTAGTCGACTCCCGTGGCGTCGTCGACGCTCGCAACGGCGATGCCTTGTTCACCAGAAAAATACGTCCCGCTTGAAGAGCTGTTGAGGTCGTAGACACCCAGCGGAGCGCAAGGGGTTGTGTACGCGGACGCGGATTCCGTGGCAGAGGAGTCTGCTGTGGTGGAGGACGCGCGCGTGGTGGGGCACGCCGTGAAGCTGTCGGCGCCGGGCACCCACAGGTTCGCGTTTCCCACGTCCAGCCGTAACTCCAGTGATTGTTGAGGACTTCCTATTTCGACCGTGTAGTCGAAGGCTCTGTTGTCTCTGACCCTGAGCTCGAAAACCGGTAGCCAGTCGACGGTGGCAGAGGCCGAAGTCGTGTTTTTTGCCGTGGCGGTCGTGAGCAAGGCCAAGAACAGCACCTTCAGCTGGAACATGGTCGGAGCTAGTCTGGTCTTAAAAATAAATTTTCAGGTATTTATAACTATGACGCACGACTCTCGAAAACTGGGCTTCTTCTGCACAGGCGGTGGGAATCCACAAAAAAGTAGCCGCCGCAGACTTATGCACCTGCCGAAAATAATACTGAAAAGCAATTTAAACGGTGTCTATTGTAAAATTAGAATCTGGCAGCTGTTCCCCATCGGGAAATGCCTCCTTTTGGAAATCTCGAACCGTGTCCAGTGTATCCTAATCCTTATAGCTCGTTCAATATTCTACATAGCATATCCCGTAAAAGCGAAGGGGTGGTTTGGCGTGTACGATGAAGTCCACATCGGCTGCGGCTGCGTCCGGAACACATACGGCGAGTTCTCCGAGTCCAGAGAGATGTAATCGTCCTCGTCGTCCGAAACGGAGGGCGGGGACTGGGACGCAACATACCTGTTTTGCGCAGGAGGGGCAATTTGGAACGATCCGTATGTCGGCATCGCCGGCGCAGCCGATGTTGCGGCACTGTATCTAGGTCCCTGCGAAAAATGACCACTAATCTGCGGCGATGGAGTAGAGGTCAGTGACGTCGGAGAGTTGATCATCGCTATCGGCGTCTTGGTGTGCGCCTGCGCGGCCACGTCCAGAAGCTTCGAGTGCTTTCCGGTCTTCTTTCTTCCGAGCTTGAGTCGGTCGAGGTATTCGCTGGACAGACCAGGACACAAGCCCAGCTCCAGATGCCGCTCGACCCAGATTTCGTTGTTTAAAAACTCCTCGCCGCACGCCATACACCAGCCACTGACTCCCGTTCTATCACCAGAACGCACACCCTTGGGGTATTTGAAATGTCTTGCCTTTAAGTGTGTCTTGAATGTATCTCTGCGGGAAAATCCGCCGTTGACGTGACACCTCTGCGACGAGTTGCCATCGTAGAACGGACATGTGTACGCCTTCTTGGTGGAGTGTTTCTTGAGATGTCTTGTGAGGTAGCCCTTGATCTTGAACTTTGCGTCGCACTCTTTGCACTTGTAGAATTTGGGCGAGTCGGTGTTCCCCTGGTCAGCGTCGGGAGACGAGTCTGAGGTGGAAACTTCGCGCAAAGAGCTCGAATTCGAGTTGGACGACTTTACTGAGGAAACCGGCGACAGCGCAATGAACTCGTCTGTCTTGGCGACGCTCTCTCTGCTTCTCATGACGGGCGAGTCGTTCTCAGACAGCGGAGACAGCTGGTGCTGGTGTTTGTCGACCAGCTGAAACTTGACCTCCCCAGTACCATTTTTGAAGGAGACATATTGCGAGTCGGTGGTGCTGCACGGCTTCAAATCTTTGGTGGTGAGATTTTTAAATAGCTGGAAAGAAGGTGGGAAAAGCGTCTCCTTGACGTTGATGGGCGATTCCAAAAAAGGCTGCGTGGGTTTCTTCCTCTGCGGGATAACTGTCTGGACAATGCCCAGTATCAAAGTGAAAACAGCAGTTATGAACCCCTCAATATAGCCCACCATTCCAGGACTTTTGGAGTGTACATACATGGTTGTGCTTAGGAATCAAAGAAAGAGAATATGTGTTGTGCGGAACTGAGTTATCGTGATATTTTGCGTGTGTGTGAATCTTTGGGCAAACGATGGCTTGAATGGAGTAATTTTTTTTTCTTCGCAATTTTGTGCGGCCACAGCAAATATTGCACACCCGTGCACCCACCCGCTGTATGTTGAGCAGTTGCGAGGGGAACCGCAAGCCTAGCATGGCCACAGGGAGTGGGCACAGAGAGGCATGCATGTGACCAGATTGCTGCTGGTGATTCTCCTAGGCATAAAGCGGGGCTGGGCTCGTCGCAGAGCTGGTTTTCCAGCTCTGATTCGCAGCGTCCTACAAACTCGGGCTACCATATTCGCTTACCTCATCAAAACTTTCTTCACAGTTGGCATTTTGGGATCTGTTTTACATGTCTACGGAAGCAAACGACAGCCAGGACAGGTCCAGAGCAACGTCTGTACCGGAGACAGCGCCTTCCACGGCGGATTCCAGAAGACGCAAGAGCTCGCTCAGCGTGATCACCTCGAATTTGGACCCACCGAAGGAGGCGATCGAATCCGCGTTAGGCACAACACAGGCCCATCGACGCTCGCACTCTGTGCACTCGCCGCTGCACGCGCGCAGTGCACAGGGACTGGGATCCCCTCTGCCTGGCCAGGACTCGTTTAACATGGACTCCTTGGTCTCGCCCACACTGATGAGCTCGGGCAATTCGAGCTCTGGAGCCAGAGTCAACCATTTTGCCCGTCAAGATCCGCAAAACCTCGGCGACGCAACTGTCTCGCCTTCGCGCAGTTTCTGGTTTAACATAAGGAAAGCGTATCCTCACCTGGGCATCACGATGATGTCTATCATCAGCTGGTACGGGTTCTCGCTTAGTATTTCACTATACAACAGATGGATGTTTTCAAACAAGAATCTGGACTTTTCGTTCCCAATCATCATCACATCGTTCCACCAGTGCATTCTCTTTCTGCTAAGTATGCTCACACTGGCCATGATCCCGCGCTTTAGACTCAATTACCGCTCCCTTACACAGTACACCGGCGAGGCAGAGCATCTGATATCCGACAACGGGAACTCCAGCGACGAGCTCAACGAGCTTCTCGAGACGAAGAAACCCGAACAGCTCGATTACAGAATGCCGATCAGGGAGTATCTGACCAAGATCCTGCCCTGTTCCATGGCCTCGGCCGGAGATATAGGTCTCGGCAACACGGCGTTCCGGTTTATCTCGCTTTCGCTCTATACCATGATCAAGACGTCGTCGCTAGTGTTTGTGCTCCTGTGGGGCGTTTTGTTCAAACTCGAGAGAATGACCTGGAGAATCGTGTCGATCGTGCTCATCATGACGCTCGGAGTCATCATGATGGTCTGGGGCCAGCACGAGGACGATTCCGAGCCCACTCCTATTCCAGACACGCCTGCTGCTGGCCAGATTGTGGCAGATCCGGACGAAGACGTGACCTCCACAATTGTGCGCAGATTGCTGAGCAGAGAGACCAAAGCTGCACACTTGATTTTCCTCGGCTCCATTCTCGTCTTGGGATCGGCGTGCATGTCTGGTTTGAGATGGGCGCTCACGCAAATCATGCTCAAACGCAACTCACGAACAACCAACCCGATTCTCACAATCCTGTACCTGTCTCCGGCAATGAGCGTGGTGCTGCTGATCATGGGCTCTCTGATCGAGGGGCTGGGGTCTTTTACCAAAAGTCCGATCTGGGAGGAGAAAGGATTTGGTCTGACGTGCCTGCTGATTCTGATTCCAGGACTATTGGCATTTTTCATGACTCTGTCGGAATTCGTGCTGCTTCAGTACGCCTCGCTATTGACGCTTTCCATTGCTGGAATATTCAAGGAGCTGCTCACCATATTCACCTCATGGCTCCTGTTTGGCGACAAACTCACGTTCGTCAACCTTGTGGGGCTGGCCATCACTCTCGCAGATATCGTGTGGTACAATTTCTACCGGTTCGACGAAATCCAAAACGAAACCAACGCTAAAAATAAAGTCACGCCGTCACCCTCGTTTGACGTTCTAGAGCGCGGGAGACAAAGCAGGGACATCGAGCTCAACGAACTCCGTGAATAATACATAGTGCTTGACTTTGAATAGAACTTACACCGAATTAATTTATCTATGGAGGACACAGGATCACGCTTTTGTGTTCTTATGGAATCACTTGCGTCTGTCGATAGACTCAAGCTCGTGCTCCTCGGTGACAAACCTCTCTGTGTCCTCAGAAGACGCAGCAGAAGCCGGCTTGGCCGAAGATTGCTCCAGTCTGTAGAGATTGTACCATGCAATGTCTCCCAAGGTGATCAATATACCCAGCATATTGATCGCGTTCAGGTGGTCGCCGAAGATCAGCCATCCGAGGAATATAGTAATGAGCTCTCTGACAATACCGGCAATAGAGAGCGTGAGCAACGGAGCGTACTGCAGAATGATGAATTGAGACAGGGTCATGCAAAAGGCCAGGAAACCTGGGAACAAAAGCAGCAAACAGGTTCCCAAAATACCATACGTCTCCCAGACCTGCGATCCTAGAAAGTTGCCTAAGCCTTCGACCTGCGAGCCCATGACAATCAGCGAGACGCACATGGCGGGACTCAGATAGAAGATGGTCAAAATTGGGTTTTTGGTGTATCTGTTGCCACGCAAGACAATTTGAGTCAAAGCCCATCTAAGCCCAGACATGCAAGATGCAAGCAGAACCAGGATGCAGCCAATGATGATGGAGGATGCGGTGAGTGTGTCCAGGGCAGCAGAAGCTTTGGCCGTAGAACCTGTGAAGGAGGACGAGGAAACCAAGTCGTCGGATTCCTGCTCCTCGTCTCTGACACCGAGGTACAGAGAAGCTGCTCTTTTCACGAGGTGCTTGACGAATCTGAGCTTCATTTCTCCAGCCTCCTCCTCAACAGCGGAAGGACTGGTCTCAGCCGAGGTCTCTCCCTGTCCGTACACCATCATCATGACCGAACCAGTCATGATGAACGTAATCAGACAAAGCTTCAACGTAACTTTCTCCAGTCTGAGAAGGAAACCCCAGAAGAGCGTGAAGATGAGCACTGCAGAGGACTTGAGCATGGTGTATAGCGAGATGGTGATATACTTCAAAGAAGAGTTGCCCAAGCCAATATCACCGGCGGAAGCCAGCGCACACGGCAAGATCTTGGTAATGTACACTTTAGGGTTGATAAAGTAGCTGAGATTTTCGGAGGACGCAATGCCTTTGGAAGGATCGACATAGTTCAGTCTGAACTTGGGCCAAAAGGTGAGCGTCAAACAGCTGAGCCAAAATAACACGAATTGGTGACAGGCTGTAATTATCACGGGGAACTTGAAGTTCAAAGTAGGATCTGAAAACATCCATTTGTTGTAAAGCGAGATAAGTAAACTAAACGAAAACCACGAAGCTATTGCGGCAAAAATGATTCCAATGTTTGGAACCTTCTGCTTCAGTTCCGCGTACGATCTGGGGATTTGGACCATGAGGAAGAAGGATTGACAAAACTTTTGACCTAGCTGTTCGCTTATTTATTGTGAGACGCGCACGACTCTGGGTCGCGTCTTGTGCTTAGGTTTAGATTCGTGCGGGTTTCTAATTATCGCTACTACAAAAGCCCCACATTCAACAGCTACGGAACCTCAGGTAGTTACCGATGATGGCTGATTTGCGCTCTTTTATTTTGGGCATATAATAATACGATACCAAATCCCAGATTAATTACCCCTTTGCTCGGAGCATAAAAAAGGCCGATGTGCTAAAATTTTTACCATTATAAGACGCGCTGGAGGTGCGGATAGGGAAAAGGAAAGCAAAGGTTATTTATTATCGTGGAAAGAGGTCGCGTGTGTATGGATGTGGTGTATGGGTGTAGTGTCTGGATGTGCTGCAAAGGTCGTGTATGGATGTCGGGTCGCCTCGGTAAGAGTTTTCAAAATATTTCTCTTCTGGGCACGGGTGGCACAGAATCGGATGATTTTTAGGGATCGTACGATTTTTGGTCCCCCTTGATGAAGGTCTAATAATATGCCACATTCTATGACCCAAATTATCTGTTTACAGGGAAAAAACTTATAACCAGTTCCTTCTATCTGCGTGGTCTTCAAAATGTCACTTTTTGACTTCGACTCCTACAATGGTGCCATATCGTCACTGAACAAAAGAACATCTGTCTCGCGGTCCATGGATGAGGACTACCCCTACTCTGATCTCAATTTTGCCGACCTAAACGATGTGATGAGCAGCTACAACTCCAGCGGCATGTCCCCCTACTCCAGCGGTTCGTCTCCAGACAACGTGTATCCAATGACATTCGACCCTCACAGCTTTGATGAGAGCAATGACATGATGATGAAATCCGAATCCACCAGCACTGTGACTGCCAACTCTGGCGAACTTCCGTCGTTGTCCACAACAAGAACAGGCTCGACACAAAGCGACCCAGTGGTGAAGCTTGAAGATGAAGATATCGCTATGCTGAAGCGCAGGAAACAACCTAGCTCCAAGATAATCGACCATCCTATCTCAAAAGGCAAGAAGTTCAAATCGCCCCACAACCTGATTGAGAAAAAGTATAGAACCAACATCAACACGAAAATTGTTGAGCTGAGGAATTGTGTGCCGACACTGCGTATTCTTGTGGCGAAGGAGAATAACCACCATACAAATTCCACAGTGAAAGACGAAGAGTATGTTGATGATTACGAGGGAGACGGGTATACGGACGACGAAGAGAAGCTGGACGGGCTACAGCCGGCTAGGAAACTCAACAAGGCAACGATATTATCCAAGGCTGCTGAGTATATCAAACATCTTGAATGGAAGAACGAAATCCTGAAACGGAAGAACGAGCAACTGACACGTATGCTCAAGAACGCCAACGCGGAGATTGATTTGACTGAATCTCCCGAGGAGACATTCAACCCCTCGTACAGTGGCTCAAGTCACACTTCCTCGCCTTCACAATATTCAAACACCTCCCCAAATAGCAACTCTGAGGGCTCAATGTCCCTGTCGAACAAAGTTTTGCTGGGCGGAATGACATGCATGCTGGGTGCATCTGCCTTTGACGACATGTCAGGTGGCGTTGGAGATAGAAAAGGTCTTTTTTCCGTTCCTATCTTTGCATTTTCGACCGCCTCGTCGTCGACTTCGTTTAACCCATCTTTGTTAAGGCCTTTCTGGGGAGTGTCCAAACTGCTGCTCTGCATCGCCATGTTTTATCTTTACGTCGTTGTTCCGCTCTTGGGAACGGAGAAAAAACAGTTCCGTCCGGTCAAGACGTACACTCGTCTGACGAAGATGACCGTTGCGGATGTTGAGCATCTGCTGAAAACTGCGGATGCCTCCAAGCTTTACGTTGGACTACTTGGTTTGCTCCACATGGAGTCTAACGAGACCACTCTGTTCATGAAGTGCCTCTACCTGAAGAAGTGTGGCAAGCTTGCGGGCTCGGCTCTTTTTGGACGTCAGATATTCGACCGCTGGGGAATGCATTATTTCAACGAGTTAAAAAATTCAGCAAAGGATTCTAAGCTATGCCTGTTGTTGCAGAACACGACATACGAAGAGCTGCCTGTTATGCCTTTGAAACGTTACGAACAATTTGATTTTATCACGCAAATACTTCGCTCGCTTGCAGACTCCCTTTTTGAGGAGTCGCTCATGAAAATGGTTTGGTTCCATGCATTGAACCGCAAATACAAGGAAGAAAAACAAGACACCTTGGAGCTTGAGATCACAGCTACCAAGGTCGAGATCACACGCTTATTACAGCGCTGCTCCGATATCTCCAAGATCCTCGATCAACCAACGTCTCGGTGCTCCATCATCAAATTCTTGCTAAAGCCTACGGAAGACAACCTCAAGGAGGCTTTCGAGAACCCTCAGGCAGACCGCGGCGTTGTTGTTGGCCTTGTTTGTTGTGTGTTGAAGTACCAGCTGCTCAATTGCGCAGACCAGTACGAATTGCTGGCTGAGTGGTTTGGCAAACTGCAGCTCCCGAAGTTTAGCCAGGGAGTCTGTATGTCATTATTTGAGTTCGTGGCCGTTCTCAATGTTTTGGAGCTGACCACGCCAGACCTTCTCCACAAACTCAACGAACTGTACAACAACGAGGCGGAGAAGGAAAGCCATCTGGATGCAGACGCGGACCAGGCTCCTCGTCCGATCATCTCGAAACTGAATTTCAGACTACTCAATGTCGTGGCAAACATGCGCATATTTGCCGGAAGCGACAAGTTCGGTGCTTCAATCGAAGCCAAAGATCAATTGGTTGATTTTCTCGTTGGACTTATCGAAGAGCTTAACGGATGCTAACACTTTTTAATTTATAGCTTATACATATAACACACCTTCTGTCAGAAATCCGTACACCACGTATTTCCGGCACTTGAAAAGTTCGCGAATTTCTGGACAGCTAATAAATCGATCACCGCACAAGTTTGCACGAACCGAAGGCGGCGGAACACTCAAGCATCCAAAGTTGTATCATAGTTCCGTTTTCAGATTGTGCTAATCCAGTGATACGTTTTCCACAAGCCTAAAAGATGTATCCCTACGGCAACCAACAGTATGGTTCTGGATATCCGCAGGCCACCGGATACAACAACTGGTCTTCCCAGCAGCAGCCGACTGGGGCTCCCCAGCAGCAGCAGCAGCAGCAGCAGTACATGCAGCCGTCGTTGCAAACACAGCCTACGGGATTTGGGTTCCAGTCTCAGGCGACCGGCTGGAATCAACAACCACAGTGGAACAGCCAATTCCAACCCCAACAACAGCAGCAGACCCAGCAGAGCTGGCAGTTCCAGCAGCCCCAGCAGCCCCAGCAACAGGCTCAGCAGCAGCCGCAGCAGCAGTCGTACCAAAGACAGGATTTCCAACCGGGCTTCCAAGGCAGACTCCAGCCAATGGCCACCCAGGCAACGGGGTACCAGCCGTCGTTGGCGACACAGCAGACCGGGTTTCAGCCATTGACCGCGACCCAGACCGGGTTCCAGCCGCAGACGTCGTTTGGAGGCAGCCAGCAGATACAAAACAACTGGCAGTCGCAAACTGGCGCGTCCGCATTGCAGCCGCAGCAGACTGGTTTCACTTCTTCGTTGGTGACGAGCTCAGAAAATGAAAATAAGGATATCAAGATTCCAAACATCCGACTCTCGTTCATCACTGCAAAGGAACAGGAGCGGTTTGAGCATGTTTTCCGGGTGAATGTCCCCAAGGGAGAAAACTCAATCGACGGCCAGACTGCAAAGAAAATCATGATGCAGTCTGGTCTCAGTGCTACCAAGCTGGCTGATATTTGGGCATTGGCCGACACGACCCGCTCAGGAAGGCTGCTTTTTCCTGAGTTTGCATTGGCGCTCCATCTCTGCAACATTGCCGCAAAGGGAGAGCAGGTGCCATACGAGCTGCCACTAAAAATTAAAAACGAGGTCAGCAGCTTTGTCGACGCCATTAATTTTTCCGTCAACGACGCGGCTCCTCAGCAGTCGTTCAACCAGATGCTTTTCAGCCAGCCAACAGGTGTCCAGTCGTTCCCGCAGACCAGCTTCCAGTCGCAACCACTGCAGTCTCAGGCCACCGGTCTTAGACCGCAACAGACAGGCTTTGGGATGCAGGCTGGTATCCAGCCGCAGCAGACTCAAGGAACGTTTGGTCTACAGCCGCAGAGAACCGGCTTTACGCAACAGCAGACGGGGCTTCAGCCCCAACGCACTGGCTTCAACTTGCAATCGCAGCAAACCGGGTTCAACCTACAGCCCCAGCAGACGGGCTTTGGCATGCAACCACAGCAGACTGGAGCTCCCCTCCAGGCTCAAAAAACTGGCACTTTCATTCCATTGACTGCGCAGCAGACGAGTGGACTTGTGCCCGTCGGTCCGCAGAGTACTGGAGGACTTGTGCAGCAGAGAACAGGCGGCTTTGCTCCTTCGCAGACAGGCCTGCTACCGCAAACTACAGGAATCAATCCTCAACCAACGGGACTCATGCCGCAACCAACAGGCTTGACTGCCATGCCTACAGGAAAACCTGGCCAATGGGGTTTTGTTTCTGCGCCAACAGGTGGACTGCCGGGCTTGGACATGATGCAATCGCACTTCATGCCTAATGCCTCTTCCCAGACTCAACACTTGACGAACGCAATGGGCGGAAATGCTGCCTCCAACGTCACGTGGGCAATCACTAAACAGGAGAAGCTCATCTACGACAACATCTTCAAAAAATGGGACACCGACAGAAAAGGTTACGTCGAGGGAAGCACGGCCATCACTGTTTTCGGAAAGTCTGGCTTGAATAGACAGGAGTTGGAAAAAATCTGGACGCTTGCTGACTCTGGCAACAGAGGCAAGCTGAACAAGGACGAGTTTGCGGTGGCTATGCATTTGATCTACAGACGTCTGAACGGCTTTGACATTCCGGAAGTGTTGCCTCCTGAACTCGTTCCTCCTTCCTCGAAATTACTGCTCGAGAGCATGAATCAGATCAAGGGCAAGCTTATGGAAGACTCGATTTCGAGCAGACCAAAGCCTATCTCCTCGTCAAGCACATTTGACGGTACTAGGTACAAGAACAACGATGATGCCATTGGGTATGTTAGCAACGCAAGACACAGGAGCTCAAAGAAGAAGCCAGACGAAAAGACTGACAACCAGTTGACTATCGAAGATTTGAGAAAGAAAGTGCATGAGAAAAAGATCCTGCTCGATGCCATTGACGCAGCCGACGAGGATGTTGCCAATGACTACGGCAAGCAGAAAACTGTCAATGAGATTAATATGCTCAAGGTGAAAATTAGAGCAGCACAGGACAAACTGAACGCGGCAGGACAAGATGCCGGTTCTGCCATTCAGGAAAAACAGAGGCTGTCTAAGGAGCTGACCAGGTTGACTGACCGGGTTCCTAAGCTTGTTTCGGAGCTTGGCTCGATTGATGAGCAGATCAAGAATGCCAAAGTCGAAATCGCCAGACTCAAAATCCACAAGGAAAATCCTTCTGGTATCCAAATCAAGGGAACGGGCCGCAACGGCGAAGTCACCGAAGCGGACAAGCGCATCGCCAAGCAGAAAGCAGCGTTGCAAGCCAAGATGGCGGCCCTGACCGGAAAGCCTGCTCCGAACCTCGACCAATTTGAGGCCAATGAGGCTAGGCTTTCTCAGGACATAGACCGTATTTCAAATGAGACCCAACAACAGCAGACCATGATTAAGGACATTGCTGGCTCGATCAACGAGCTGGTGAACGACATTTCCGGCTCGCTGCGTCTGACAAACTCTGCTCAGGTTGGCTATTCAAAATGGGAGCTTGGCAACGACATTCAGAGTAGCGACGTGAAGGCGTTTATTAGCGAGTTGAACGCCTCAAAGCCAGCCCCTAAACCAAAGGAGCCTCAGCAGCCAGCGATGCACACTCCTTCTGTCGCGCCGGCCATGCAAGAGTCTGTTTCTCGCTCGTCCACCCCATCTCAGTCTGCGGATAGCCTTGAGGCCCGGGCTCAACAGTTCAAGGAGCAGGCTCGTCGCAAGATGGAGGAAAAACTGGCAAAGCTTGGAATCAAAGGGTCTTTGAAGAGAAGCGACGCGTCCGTGCCGGACCCTGCTTCTGCGGCTCCTGCTCCTGTTGAGACAAAACAAGAAACCCCGGCTGAACCAGCGAAGCCTAGTGCTCCCAAGCAAGCACCAGCTCCGCCGGCTCCCCGCCAGGTGTCCAACTCTCACCCAGCAAAGGAGGACGACTCGTCGGATGACGACGACGCTGAGGAGCAGGAACTGAAGAGGCTTATTGCTGAGAAGAAGGCAATGGAAGCCAAAGAGCGCGAGAGGAAGCTGAAAAAGAAGCAAGATAGAGAAGCTCGTCTGGCAAAGCTCAGAGCAGAAATGGAGGAGCTCAAGAAAAAAGAAGCGCACAGCGAGAGCAGCGACGAAGACGAGCTGGCGGATTCTCAGGCCGACCAGAAAGATGTTCCTCCGCCGGCTGCTGCAGAGCCATCAAAGGCCCCAGAGCCCGTGTCTGCAGCTTCCGTGTCGTCGGCGCACAGCAATAATCCGTTCTCGAAAATGACTGCCCCTGTGGAGGAGCCAAAGCCAAAGAGCAATAATCCGTTCTTCAAGCCGCAGCTCACCTCAGAGTCAAGTTACGATGCCGACAGACTCAAGGCCCAGAGAGAGGCGCAAAGAGGCAAGAGTTTGAGTGATGACGGATGGTCCGACTCGGACAAGGAGGACGAAGACGAGGACGAAATGCCTGCTGCCTCGAAACAGGCCGAGCTTGCCTCGATGCTTTTTGGCGGAGGAGTCAAGTCCTCGTCGTCGACCGTGAACGAATACTCCACGCCACAGCCTGAGCAACAGAAGCCTGATGAGCAGACAGAAGATACACAGAGCTCTTCTCCAACAACGGCAGAAACTGTCAAGGAAACGGTGCCCCCTGTTCCTGCAGCTCCGCCGGTGGAAAAGCCAATAGCTGCGGAAATGCCTCCCGTCCCGGCTGCTCCCCCTATTCCCGCTGCTCCGCCAGCTCCTCCTGCTCCAGTTTCTTCTGCTGAGTCAGACAGTTCCGAAAACGATAGCTTTGAGGAGGCTCCAGCTGCGCCAGATTCTCCTGACGGTTCTCTGGCTATGGAGGCCCCACCCGTGCCTTCTGCTCCTGCTCCCCCAGCACCTGTGGAAGCTCCGCCAATCCCTGCTGCAATTCCTCCGCCACCACCGCCAGCTCCCGCTCCGCCAGCTCCGCCAGCTCCTGCCCCAGCTAACGGCACAGCAAACGGCGCAGTTAGCGGAACAGCTCCCATCTCAGCGTTACTGGGCGAAATCACTCTCGGCAAACAGCTGCGCAAGGTCGACGACTCCCAGAAACACATTGTTGAAGGAGGCACTGTTGGAAAAGTACTAGACTGATCTATAAATGCATTTATATGACTGTAAACTAGCTCAGAAAATACCGAATCTACTGCCCAGCGAAACGGTATCCTTTTTATCAATCGCCGGAGCCGAAGAGCTCGTTTCGACTTTGCCCGTGATCTGTTTGTGGAGATGCTTCAGGAAATCAGAATACGACCACACCAGATCCCCCGACCGGTCCTCATAGAGAAGCTCCAAAAACTCGGCCTCGTTTGCGTCTGTTTTGAAGCGACAGATCTGAATAGGGAAGAAGTCCACATTCAGATAGTGCTTGCCCAGGAACTTCACCAGGTTGCGCACTTGCAACGAGATATGGGTATCCAGAACAGGCAATTGCGAGGCAAGAGGGTCCAGCTGGCTCAGCGAAGTGACATGCTCTCCAAAGAGATCTTGTAGCAAAAGAGGATTCACGTCGGTGTGGAACCAGAGGAAAAGCGACTTGCCGTTGAACACCAGATACGCTCCGCCCATCTCGAGGTTGGCCTGGCTCAATCCAATGGTCTTTGGAGTGGAGAAAAACCCTGTTTGCTCGTCAAATAGACATTCGGAGTCGTCTAAGTCGTGCAGACTGATCATCACCGGATAGAGGTAGACGGACAGTTTTTCAGGCGTGCTATTAGCCAGGTCAAACAGGCTCTCGACACGCAGATCAGGGTTGCCCGTGCGTTCTCTCAAAGCTTTGGTTTTCAGCGCAGAAAGCACAAACATCGGGAACGTGCGCAGTCCGTGAGGCAAAACCAGCTGTCCTGGAGATGAATTGTTCTTGGCAACGTACAGTTTGTACATTGCGTTGATGTCAGCCAGCTGGATGTTCAGGTAGCTGCGCAGCGCGGCAAAGCTGATATTCGGCAGTCTGCTCAGGCTCTCTCTGAGCACAAGGTTCAGCACGGCGTCTTGGTCCGAGAACGAGAAAACGTCGGCTACGCGTTCCGTCACCGACATGATGCAGTTGATGACACGCACTTTCCTCAGACCGTCTGCAGATGTGTAGAGCAGGGCAGCCTGGAAATGTGAGTCTTTTTTGGTGTCTAGCTTTCCATCGTAGACGAAATCGCACGCAATGCTAGTCTGGCTATTGCATATAGGCAGATACGGCACCTCTGGCTGTCCTGAGGTGTGGAATCCACCGTAGTATTTGTTCACCTGTAGTCCGTTTGAGCAGCGCACCTTTAGCTGACCCTGGTACCCACATGTGCCGGTCACCAGATGCTTGACGGTGTACATGAGGTCTGCCTCGTCGCGGTCGAGATTGAAGTTGTGCCAGGTCTTGACAGAGCCCCCGGTCCTCATAGGAATGAGTCCTGCGTTCGCAAGGTCTATCGGCGTGTGCGCGCCGTTCAGGAGATGCAGGCCGATGTTGAACTTCACGTACTCTTTCAGCAGGTCCTGATAAAATTTGCTACCTGCAGTGATCACCTCTTTATCGTAGTCGGCGGTCGTTTTTTGCGCAGGCAGCTTGACTGCAAGCGAGCCTGGTCCCCACGAGGGAAGGCCCGAGAGAAATGTGATCACCTGGCCGCCGTCGACTTCCTGGAGGATGGTTTTGGCAGCCAATAGTGCAGCGCCGTACGCTGGCTCTGGACCAGGGTAGTCGGTCAGCTGTTCGATGGTGCTCAAAGTGGCCTCGATGATGGCGTGGGAGTCCATTGGGTCGGCGAGAATGCCGTCGTGGAACGGCGCAAATGGGTCGTCCAGGTCACCGACCACCGATACTGTGGTCTGCTCCAAATTCGGACTCAGGTTGTAGAAAAACAGTTTATTGGCGAATCCGACTATCGAGACCTTGGAGCCCTTTGGCAGGTTGGACTCGCCGTTGTGGTACAGCGCCATTCTGATGGCAGAGCAGGCTGCCACATGGAGTTTGGTTCGAACAGCCTCGTAGCTGAGGTCGACAAGGAACACGTGGTGGAGCGGATGAGAGTCTTTTTCGTCGAAGTTATAGTCTTTGGGCACAATCAGGTCGTAAACGCCGGAGTGCAGCTCGGGGCGCACGTAGTAATCTGACCTGACGCCGTTCGCGTCGACCTGGCTGACGTATTCTTGTGGGACTGGGCTTGAAAACGTACAGATGTTGCAGACCATATTGTATCCGCCGTGCTGCATGGCCGGGTTGATGTAAGCTCTGCACCGTCTGCACCGAGGAACCGAGGAAATCTCGCGGAAGTCGACCTGCGGAACGGGCTTCTCGCCGGGCGCTACCTGTGCAAAGGGCGTGAGAACCAGGCCAAGCGGGATCTTAGTTTGTTGTCTCAGTTTCTCGGAGCTAGGAACACTGTAGAGCGTCATTCTCGCAAATTTGGGAGACGCGTTGCCCTGGTCGACGGCAGTGTACTGTGTTCCTGCGAGCGGAGGCGAAACGTTTTCGAAAGTCAAAAAATCAGAGTCTTTGTAAGTGTAGTCTAGCTGGTATCTGATGCTGGGGATTGAGAGATCGTCCGTGGCTGCTGGGTCCAGTGCGACGTCGGGCCTTTGCGGCTGGTATTGGCCGGTCTGAGGGTACTGCTGGGTTGGCACGGCCACCTCCTGGGGTGCCGTGGCAGGTGGCGCTCCGGGCTCTGCGGATTGGCCGTAGTAGTGAGGAGCCTGCATGCCAGGGCTCATTGCAGCCGCATTAGGGTCAAACCCAGGGTCCACATGGTCGTCTCTGATGTAGTCTGGGACAAGCTGGTGATGCACATGGCTGGTCTTTTTCTTCCTAGCGCCCTTCAAAGAAAGATTGTTGAGTTGGGTGACGGTTTCCTGATATTGGTTCATCACAAATATGGCATGAATTTTCTTCGTTGTTATTTTTTTTCTTGGATCGCGCTCGAGAGTAAACACATAAAAATGGGGGTCACTGGTTTACTGCCGGCGCTCAAATCCATCCAGGAAGCCAGCCATTTGGAGAAGTATAGAGGTAAAACACTTGCGATCGACACGTACGCGTGGCTGCACAAGGCGATCTACGGCTGTGCCATGGAGATTGTGCTTGAAAAACCTACAAGAGCGTACCTGAACTACATGAATAGACGACTAGACATGTTGACGCATTACGGCATTACTCCGTACATGGTTCTGGACGGAGACTACTTGCCAACAAAGGCGAACACGGAAAAAGAACGCGAGGAGCGCAGAAGGGAGTACAAACGACTGGGTCTCGAGGCCCTACGCGCAAACAGACGTTCCGAGGCATACAATTATTTTAACAAGGCGTGTGATATCACGCCGCAGATCGCTAAGTCGGTAATAGAGGCTCTGAAAAGCAGAAATATCCAGTACGTGGTCGCCCCCTACGAAGCAGACGCGCAGATGGTGTATCTGGAGAAACATGGCCTAGTGCAGGGGATAATCTCTGAGGACTCAGATCTCCTAATTTTTGGCTGCCAGAGGCTTATCACGAAATTGGACGACTCTGGATCGTGTATCGAGGTGCGGAGGGACAAATTCAAGGACTGTCGGGAGTCTGCAATTGGCCTGTTCTCCAATGAGCAGCTGAAGCTGATGGCCATTGTCAGCGGATGCGACTATACCAAGGGGATCCCGAATGTCGGAATGCAGCGTGCCATCAACCTTGTGAATAGGTACTCGACAATTGGAAGGCTGCTGCAGGCAGTCCGCTACGAGGGGAAGTTGAAGGTCCCTGTCGAGTTCGAAACGGAGTATTACCGTGCTATCACCGCATTTAATCATCAAGTTGTTTTCGACCCTCGAACACAGAAACCCGTGCATCTGAACCCGTTGTCACCAGAAGACGATATGCTAGAGGTGGAACGGTGCGCAGGGAAAATCCACGACGATGAGCTCCACAGAAAGATTGCCATTGGCGAGCTGGACCCAATCACGAAGCTTCCGTTGTCGGGCCGCGAAGCCTCTAGTGCACCGCCTAGCATCGCTCGGAGAGCGCCAATCACCACAAAGACGCAGCCAAGAACAATAGACGCCTTGCTCCAAGTCAAAAGCAAGCCGGTGGTGCGGTCTGCGTCAGAGCCAACGGCCCGCAAGTCTGCCATCAGAACCATCGACCATTTTATGTCAGTCCAGACATCCAATGTGAAGCGGCGCAAGCTGCTTTTTGGCTCGCAAGATTCTGCATCTGAAACCAGCACATATTTCACTCGATCCACTGCATCTACCTTTACGGAAGACACGCGGAGCGTGTTCAGCGAACAGAATTCCAGCGACTACAACATAACGGACCCAGACGAGGACGAGGAGCCGGTTTTCAAAGCTTCGGTCACACAAAAACAGAGTATCCGTATGCCGTTGCGGGACATGACAAACCAGGTCTCGCAAAAGCTGGAAGCCAAAAATGTTGCTGGCCGGATCCTCGATAGAAACTCATTGAGCTCGTTTAAATATAACGGTAAATAGATCTAAAAATAAGGCATTTAAATATTTTTTGTACGCGACTGTGGGGGGCGAATATTGATGGAGACAGAGCAAAAGTTAGATACGCTCCAATCTCAATTTCCAGAAGTTGATAAGGATGTGCTGCTGGAGCTCCTGATCACTTTTGACGGCTCTGTTGAACAGACAAAGCTGATGCTCGAGGAGCAATTTGGGCCCCGGGAGATCAAGCAAGAGATCAAGGGGGAATCTCCAACTGGAAAGCGAAAGGCGAACGACGAACCTTGCGTTTTGACAAAGAAGAAGGCCATTTCTCAAAGACAGACATCTTTCAAGGTGTCGAAGGCTAGTGCTAACATTTCCACCACTCTATATGATAAAGAGCAGATAGAGACGATGGTTCCGTATCTGAGATTCTATCCCAACTTTCTGCCAGAAAGTCTTGCAGACGACCTCCTGGATGAACTTCTGTCGAAAAGAGCCAAGTTCAAAGACAAAATGTTCCACATTGCTGGTAACGAATGCCATTCAAACCACCAATCGACGGTGTTCTACGACGGCGACATACCCGAACAGCGATACGACAACGGATTATACCGTAACTCAAAATGCATGGCTCAATCGTTCACAGGAAATATACGAACAGCCAAGTTCCTGATTGAAGACCAGGCAAACGAAGTGCTTGCAACCACCAAGAGACACCCGCTTCAGGTACAGTCCGAGTGGCGCGCATCCATGTGCGTGGGAAACTATTTTCATACGAACAAGAACAACCTCGACTGGCACTCAGACCGTCTAACCACCATTGGGCCCTTGCCGTTGATCTGTTCGCTAACTTTAGGGGCGACCCGAATATTCAGAATTAGAAAGCAGTATGGTGAAAGTCCGATCTACAACATCCCGCTTCCTCACAATTCCTTGTTGCTAATGCTTCCAGGCACACAGGAAGAGTTCAAACACTGTGTTCCATCGTTGGCGAACTCGCTTCTGGCCAAGCATCCTAGAGCCAACGAGACCAGAATCAACCTCACTCTCCGCATGAGTCGGCCTCACCTGCTCAGCAACACGCCGTCTTGCGCAGTATGCAGGTCTGCTATGACTTTGCGACGCATGTACAAAAAACCAGCCTCCAGAGGGTACTATTTCTGGCTTTGCGACGGAGGCTACCGTTCGGGCAAGGAATGTCCAGGTTTCTATTTTGCCGACCTATCCCAGATCGAAAAGCCGCGCGCAAAGCTGTACACGCGCGATGTAAAACAGGCCACTCGGTGGCTGGCGGAGGACGACCACGAGGCAAGAATAGCTACAGAGTTTCACATGGAAGATGTCAAAGATTAGGCAGTGCACAATTGAGGCAGTGCACCACATGAATTTCAGCGTTGCTAAAAATTGAGCCAGCAAGAAAGACGTGGCAATGAAAGCGGTGAACACATGGCTGTTCCATTCTACAGATGAGCGCCCGGCGACCCCAGAACCGGGACTGCTAAACGAGCACAAACTTGGGGGCCCCACTCCTTCCCCGACCCAGAGCGAGGCGTCTAGTCACATCTATACGGGGACCCTTGCAGAAGGCCTGGAGCTGCTGGCAGAGGCGCTGCAAGGAGACTCGGATCACCTAAGCGACGCGTTTGCCAAGATTTTGGACTCCATGGTCGATTCAGGGCTGGTGACGTCTACTCTGTACAGAATTGACGACGAGCTCAAATTCCTGATTATGGAGACGTTTTTGACCGACAGCAACCTAGTCGAGCGATTCAAAGTGCATCGCCAGCAAAATCGAGAGCGCGACGCGTTGCTGGCGATCGAGCGGGCAAAACGGGGGTTGGAGATGGCGAGCACGGCAGACAGGTCTGTGAGTCCCTCTGAGCATTTTTCGTCGGCGGACGAGAGTGCGGGATGGACACTCCGGTTTGCCGAGTTTGTCGATCTTCTTCTTACAATGTGGGAGTTGCTTTTCACCGGTATCATAAGTCCGATCGTCTCGTACATCTATGCTCGTCTTGGCGAACAGAGCACCAAGTACGACATTGGCAGGTATGTCGGAACAATACTCTTGTTCTGTAACATAATTCTCCGCCGCCTGGTTACCGTTTTAGGCCGTCTTGTTGGGCGCCGCGAAAACTCGCGCATCACGTCTTTGGGGCAAACGTGATGTTTATTTATTTTTTGACGCGTGGGTGCAGGAACACGCCTCAGACCACTCCTGTTTTTCTGTTTACCGGATGTTTCAAAGGAACACAAAAAAGTTTAAGGCAGGTGCGGAACCTGTTGTGTAAACTTGAAACAAAACGGTATCGCAGCAATAGCAGACCTTTTGCCAACACTTTGACCGCAATGGCGCCGTTGACTCCGCAACCGAAGCGGGAGCAGATCCACGAGCAGAGATCCAGAAACGACTATGGGGGCATGTCTCAGTTCACACCTCCAAAATCCTCAGAAAAAAGACATCCAGACGCCCTCAACGTTATCCATGAAGACGAGTCACTATTCTCAGAGCTCATGATTCCCATCAGCGGAAGCGACGACGAAGACCAAGAAGAATGGGTCGATAGAATCCTCAAACAGCAAACTCAGGAGATACCTTCGTGCGACTTGCTGGCAGACTCCCTCGTGAGCGGGAGCAGTCCCACTCTTCCAGAAGAGTCTCCGGTGGCTACCGTTGACATGAAAGACCTCGACCACCTGACTGCTGCTGTGGATCGCCAGGATGACATGCTGCGCATCTTTGGTGTCCTACGTGACGGACTTCGCGAATACAACTACCAGCTTGCTAACGCCGGGCCGGAAAGCGTTGTTATGGTGCGCTCTGATTTTCTTATCAACTATGGCAAGAACGTCGGATGCAGTCTGCGCACAAAGATGATCAATGATTACTTGACGATGGCTAGGAACGATGAAGAGCTCCTCAACTACGGACTATCGCATCAACTGGCAGACGTGACTATTTTGGAGGAAATTCGGAACCTGGTCCGCGAAAGCGACCGCAAGCGAAAGCTCTACAATAAAAGAAAGAACATGGCGATGGAGAGCAAACGTCCTGTATTGAGTTCTACTCCTGAACTCGGTGGCAGTCCGGCAGAAAGTGTGGATAAGAAAAAGAAGAGCCGGTCTGGAAAATCTAAAGGTTTGAGCGTCGAAAAAATCCAAATAGGATACTATGGCAATAATCATCTGAGCGCAGTTGCCGATTTGGACCAGATCCTGAAGGTCGAAGAAGACGAAAAGTATATCACGGACCTTCGCAACAAGAACAGCTTTTTGAGAGCATGCATTGATGGAATCTACTCGCCTGATTTAGTGGTTGACCATTCCTTACTGTACACTAAGGTGCCATTGAACTTGAACCCTGATATGAGCATTGATTTGGAATCTGACAGGGCCGTGGCTTACGCTGAAAACACACTTTGGGTGGCTTCCCATCTGGCTCCAAACGCAGTTTCGAGCGAGAAATTCTCCAGACTTTTACAAATGCGGGTCATTGTGAAAGTCTACGATTGTGACCAACTGGTCCTAAAGCGCACCGAGCCAGTCACTGGCCATTTGCTTTCCGACAACGCCCACATGAAAATCAACCTGCCTCTGAACGCCAGATACTGGTCCAGTCTGATCAACGAGTACTCGAACGGCTCTATCGACGGCTCTAAATTCGAGAATATCCATATCACCCACACGATGTACTTCGACGAGGAGCCAGACATTGTGAAAACTGGCAAAGACGTTCCTATTCATTCGCTGATTTGGGAGTTTTTGCGGAACAACCAGATCAACTATCTGCCACATTCCGTGAGTGTGCAGAAGAAAACGGATCCACGAAGGCCGCTCACAATCAACAGCGTGAGGTCCAACTCATTTTGCGAGCCTGGTCGGGTCGCAAACAGAGGCCATAAAAGAACCAGATCGAGATCACTCACCGATTTGACCACTCTTCGTCCACAAATGCAACCACCGCCAATGTTTCAACAGATTGTGCCAAAACCACAGCCGTTGCAAGACATCACTGTTAGTTCCGCTCCGGCTATCCAGACACGTTTTGCGATCAATGATCCAAAAAACATTCAACGGTATCATATGCATTTGCAAGCTGCACAGATCAGGGCGCATCAATCTCAGCAGATTGCATTGCAACAACAACAACAAATGTACAACAGTTTCTATGGCGTTGGGTCGGAGGTCCAGTTTGTTCCTCAAGAATTCCAGTACCCACAATCGCACAATAGCTCGGATGACTCGATTTCGTCCAACTCTTCCATCGATCACACGCATGCCTCGTTCTCGGGCTCGGCCCAAACTACGAAAAGCTCGGTGAGCGGCTCTACAGGCGTCACTCCACGATTGAAGGAGTTCCAATTCGAAGTCACCACTATACCTCCGCCCCAGGAGGCAGAATTTGGCTCTGGAAATCAAAGCTCACCTACTTCGTCGACCATCTCTGCCCATTCCAACGATGGACATGAGAGCTCGAAAAAGAAGGGCAACACCGCCACCCAGCCGTACTTGCCCGGCATGGGCTCCATCAACCTGAATGTTGGTGATGCCAGAGCCAGCGAGCTGGATTGGAAGTTTTACTACTACAACCCTTAAGGACAATATATATTCTGTACTCGTTACCCGGAATGTAATATTCAAAAAAATATTTGTTCATCGGTTTGTCCATGTCTGTGTCTAAAGGAGTGTGGTCAAAGTTTGTGAAGCGGTCGCCAACTTTGGCGTTGCGCAACAAGGCTCTTCGGACTGCCTTGCTGAGCCCAGATCTTCCGTCTGGCCCGGTCTCCTTGAAGTCTAAAGCCAGCAAAAGGAAATACCAATCGATCGAAGGTCTTGACCAAATCTACCCGCTAGCATACGAGGTTTTGGAGAAACGCAGCGAGGACATCTACTCCAAAATCGAAAGCCTCGACAAGAACAGTCCAACCTACGCCGAGCAAAAGGAGGAACTCGAAATCGCGGCTGAAAAATTCAATCCTGAAGTGGTGTATATGGCAGAGTACATGAAAAATAGCCTCGATAGAACCCAGCCCGTTTTCAGACACTACTTGAAAAAAACATGGGAGGGCTACTCCAAGATGCTGCTTATGCAGAGACTTGAGACTTTGGCTGTCATCCCAGACACGCTTCCTACTCTGGAGCCGAAAGTTGAGGTCAAGCTCAAGTTCCCACACAATAATCAGGATAGATGGATAGAACCGGGAACGTTACTTTCATCAAATGTTACCAAGATGCCACCTTCGCTCGAAGTCATTGAGTTCAAAGAGAGCACCGGTGACCTGTACACGGTCTTGATGGTCGATCCGGACACTCCAGACCTCGCTCAAGACAGCTACTCTACCACCCTTCTGTGGGGGGTGAAAGATGTCAAGCTTTCCAACACCGACTCCATGATTGACGCCAAGAAACTGATGCAAAACGAAGACTGCGAGTTTGTTGAGTACCTGCCCCCAGTTTGTGAGAAAAACACTGGAAAGCATAGAATTGCATTTTGGGTGTTCAGACAGGACGGCCCGCTAGAAAATGCTCCTAAAGGGCTCAGAAGAGAGTTTTTCAAGATCAGACAGTTTGTGGAGGACAACAAGCTCACGCCGGTTGGAGCGCATGTCATCCGTACGTTGTGGGACAGAAACACAGAAAACGTGAGAAAAATGTATGGTCTTCCTGAAGGACGTGTTTTCACTAGGGAGCGTGTGCCGTACTTGAAGAATTGATGGATCTGTATATACTAGCTTTATTTTACAAATAATGCACTCAAAGTAATTTTTCAGTAAATTTTCTTCGTCGCGTCGATGTCTGAGCCATGTGAACGTAGAAAGCAACTGCGCGACCTGAACCAGAAAGCATGGGGTGGCGAGCTGCTTGTCGTGGACTCCCCTGACACCTCTTTGAAAAGTAACATGGCTGTGCTCAAGAAACTAAGTTCGGCTATCACCACCGAAACACAGAATTCTTTAATAGACTCGATCAAGAGAGTTTCACTTGAGAAATACCTGGACGAGCTGATCCCTGCAACAGCAGACGGGCTTCTTTCTTTGAAAAAGAAGGACACGGCAGCTGCCGTAGAGGTGCTCTCCGTGCTGCATCAGCGATTTGGGTCTCGTTTTACTACAAAATTGGCACTATATTTTTTCCGTTCAGTTGAAGATTTCAAAGAGCCGGAGCATCTGCCCGTCTTGGGCACTCTGCTGAGATTGTATTGTGAGATGTACTTGGTTGATCTTATTCGCGTGGATGATAGTGTCGAAAAATGCAAGCTGCCACGGTATTTGGTGAAATCGGATAGGCCTCTTCTCCTAGCCTACATTTCACAGCTACTCTCTCGACACGCTAATAACACAAAACTACTCTCCATTGTATCAGGATTTGTCAAGAAGTTTGATGATGTGCTTCTTCGTGAGAACGAGTTCTTGAACTCGTCAGAAAGACTGTCATTGATCAAGCTTTTCACCAAATATAGTGAACATATATGCAAAGTGACCGAAAACACACATCAAGAGATCTCCAGTTTGGAGAACCAGGTCAATGAGATCTCGAGAAAAACCAGTAAAGTGCCTGAATCGCTCGAATTCGATCTCAAGGAGAAGAAAGACGAGTTTGTCAAACTGGAAGCTTACTCAGAGTTTGCACATGAAGTCTTTTCCATTGAAAAACCCTCGCTGGCTCGGGAGACGGAATCGACTGTCAAGATCACGGCTATCCCCGGACTTTCAGAGTCCAATCGCTGGGAGAGTGAGGAGCAACGCAAATTCTACGAGGAGGTACCGGATATCTCTGAAATGGTGGATCCGAGCCTGCTTTTGAGAAGGGAGCCGGACATAGAAGAAAACAGGGCTCCTAAAGATGCACTTTCCACGTTTGTCGAGGAGTTGGACGCTGCCACTACTGCAGAGGAGGTGGACGATAAAGCTCGTGAATTTTGGCAACAGGAAATGTACACTAAATCTGCCGAAAGTCGTCTGTATCGCCACGCGTGCTCTCAGGGCATCAACTCCAAAGCCTTTGCGAGGTTTCTGTGCATCAATCGCAATGTGCTCAACTCTTTAATTCAGAAAATAGAAAACAAAGCTGATGCGGCTTTGAAAGATCAGTCGATGATATCGCATAAAGATTACAACATGGTCAGGCTATATTGCGAAATGGCTAACTTCAACCTGGTTCCGGCTACCAAGTTTTTGCATGTGCTGAGATCACTCGTGGTAAATGTTGGGGAGGGAGCTGGTTTGGACTTGTTGACACTGTTCTTCGATTATTCCAAATTTACAATTCTCTATCGACCGGAGTTTTCCGTGGCCGTGAACAACATAATTCATCTTTTTCAAAGCGTCACAAGTAGATTACAAGGAGATCGACAAAAGGCCGCTCAGGCCTTTCTCTCGTCGCTTGCTGTTGCTGAAGAAAATGTGAAAGTCGAAACTGCGAGACCCAAACTGCAATTTCTCGATTATGTGCTGAAACGGGCTCTGCAAAATCAGGTCTTCTTTCCTGCGCTTCTCGAATTCGAGTGGGACGCGGAATCGTATTCCAAGATCGTGGACTTCTTTACCCATCCAGAAACGATAACCTACGACGAGGTCCCTGCTCTTGTCTCCATGCTTAAATATTTAGGCGAGCGTGATCCAGTTCTAGTTGCCGTTGTGGTCGACGGCCTGATTGAGGAGTTTCAGTCCGGATTCGAGCTAGACGATTTCCGTCAAAATAGAAAGAGAATGGCGGTAGCAAGCTACCTGGCGCAACTCGCCGTCAAAAGGCTGATAACGGCAGCACTCTTTCGCACTTTGGTCAAATACGCGATTTTCGAATCTGTCCACGGCGATCCATCAAACTGGTTCTGGGCAAAGATGGTGTGCCTGTTTTTCGAAATCTCAAAGAAACATATGTCGTTGGAGTTGATGCTTTTTGACTATCATCTATTGCTTCAAGGTGAACCGCCCCTTGACCTGCGCCTGCGAGTAATTAAGTGTTTTGAGTCACGCGGCGTAGCACGCGCAAACAGCGTTGCTGAGGCAGCTAAGAGGATCAGTGAAATCAGCAAGGCCGCCCGTCAAATGCCTGAATCTGAACCTGATGATGATGAAGAGACGGACCAGGGGGCTGATGAGGTCTCAGACTCAGAGGCTACAGAAGATACCGATGATTCTGAGACAGAAGACGAATCTGACGAAGACGATGACACTGAATCTGAGCTGGACGAGAACATGATCAACGTACAGCTCGAGAGGAGCATCCAATCAGAATTTGACAGTATGCTGGCCGCAAGTTTGAAGACCTCCAGCTCGACGAACGCAAGGCCTCGTGTACGCCAGCCAGTCGGCGCCGTTGTTCGTAAGGAACAGACGGAAAACGGAGCCAACAAGTTTACGTTTTTAACGAAATCGGGAAACAAGATCGCGGCCCGAAAGATCGAAGTTCCCGACCATGTGGACTTTGTTGCCGAGCAACTGTCCAACGCAGAGCTGTGGGAGCAAGAGCGCGACAGGATCAAGGACTTTGTGCTCAATCAGCACGAATAGATCTGTTCTGGTGTACGGGTGTATACTAGTTAAGAAAAAAGATATACAAAATTTAGCTTTTCTGCGGCACGGCAGGCAGCTCATAACCTTGGACAAGTTTTTCCAAAGTTTTATTGGTGAAATAATAGAGGGGAAAACAAATAGACCATGTCCACATTAAACGTGAGTATCGGTGCTCCGTCTGCGCAGCTAACCTTTAGGTCCTTAGATATTCCTCATTGGCCGCCGGCATTGTGTACGGAGCTTACCACACCTACACCTTGAAGATCGAAGGTGAGAAGAAACAAGAATTGTACGATTACCAGCAAAAGCTGAAATTGGTGGAGGCTGCCAAGGCCGAATATAGAAAGCTGAACCCACCTAAGCAAGCCGCTTCTACCGAGGCCGTGAACCTCGATGATCCAGAATTTGATTTCGGGAAATTTATTCTGGGTGCTGTTGAGAAACTAGGTAGCTGAAAAATATAGTATAAAAAGTGTACGAATTTTTTGAAAATCTTAGCATGTTGATCTATAATACTAAAGTGGCGTCCTACGGCCCCAGATTCGCCTCTAGGTTGACGGTATCCGCTCGTTTAGGAAGACGGTGTTTTACCAACGACTCGTATACGTTCAGAAACTTCCAAAGTGGGCACACGATTGCTAAACATTTTGAGACCGCTGGTCATGGATACCTGATGTCTGTGGCCTTTGAGCCGAAAGATCGCCTCAAAGACAAAAATCACCCTGACGACGGGCTCATTTCCAAGTACCGAAAGAAGGTCCAGACCAATACCGTGTACGATTCGCCCACGGGGGAAGATAATTATGTGATGGCATATAATGACTCCAAGGTGCTGGCTGGCGTTTTGGACGGGGTTGGTGGCTGGTCTGAACAAGGGTTCGATTCCAGTGCTATCAGCCGCGAGCTATCCACCCATGTGACAATGGAATTTTTGCATGAGGATCACCTGACTCCGCTCGAGATTCTGGACAAGGCATACATCAAAATGAAGCAGGACGGTTCTGTTGAGGTTGGCTCCACGACCATCTGTTTTGGCATCATCGATGCCGAAACAAATAAGCTACATGCTGTTAATTTGGGCGACTCCTGGTTTGGAGTCTTTAGGAAGCAAGACTCGCGATTCAAGTGCGTTTTGGAGTCCAAAGAGCAGACATATTCGTTCAACGCCCCCTACCAGTTATCTGTGATCCCGCAAGAGTTTTTGGACATTGCCAAACGGAAGGGCTCAAAATACTTAATGAACCTGCCCCAAGACGCAGACGAGTACGAGTTCCAGCTCGAGTCAGGAGACGTGGTGATGTTCACCACCGACGGTTTAATTGACAATGTCGTCATCAATGACGTGGCGCTGTATTTGGATGACTATTTCGCGGCAGATCAGATAGGGGAAATGAACACGAACCTTGTTCGGAACGTCAAAGAGCTGAGTCTGAATAGCAACTTCAAAAGCGTGTTTTCGCAGCGACTAAGCGATATTACTGGCCAAGATTACATTGGAGGCAAGCCAGATGACATCACCAGCGTGGTAGTCTATGTCCAGTAAGGAACACTCAGGCCCGTTTACGCACTAAATACTAATACAACACCGCGCGATCTTATTTATCAAACTTCATCGGGCTCAAAACAGCCAATTGGTGACTTGACCCTCAACGTGTACTCGCACTTCTCCGGCTCGGTAACGGCAACGATGGTGTCCTTTTCGCAGCATTCCAGCAGAACAGTGGCCTTTCTCACTGGACCGTTCCAGCATTTGTCTCCATGTTCGTAGATCAGCTTGAGCTGCTGCTTTTCTTCGTCAAACTCGGTTCGTTCAAAACGGCCGATTCTCACCGCATGGCCATTGCGGTCGATTTGCTCCACTTTTTCCACAAAGCACAGTCTATAATCATAATCGCCGATTTTGTCCACGATACAATCGTCCATAGCCATAAGAATCTGGTGTGGCCCATAATCTTTGTTCAGCCGCTCCTCCTTAGTCTGCTGATCCCTTCTTAGCCGTTTCAGCTCTTCCTCGATTTCCTTCTTCCGCTTTTCTGACTCTCTCGTTGACGGGATCTTTTGGTGTCTCTTTGACACGCCCAAGAATGAATTCACCATGGCCTTGAAAGTGGACTTGAAGTCAAAGAGCTCGTTTTCGTCCTCATCTTCACGGCCGGCCAGCTTCCGGATCTCTGCTTCTGAGTCTTTCAGCTGGCTCTGCAAATTTGCAAATAGAGTTTCCACCTCACTGGCCTGATCAGTACCCTTTTCGTCCTTGGTCAAACCTTGATTGACAGAATACTCCTGGAATGCTTGAGCTGCAGCTTTCACGGCAGGGTCATTGAAGTTGTGGTTGTACTCGTTGCTCATAGTTTCCAGAATCTCTTCCAAGTTTCTGAGATTGTGTCGTTTGCTGTTGAGTTGCTGGAGTTTTTCGGAGATCTGCAAAGATAGCCTCTCCAGACTTGAGTCCAGCTGCTCAAACACTGAAATAATGGCGCTTTCCTTTTCTGTAGGAGCCTGAAGTTGGTTGAGACCATAAAGTTCCTGCTCGAGTTTCTCGATCTCAGAAGACAGCTGTGTGATTTCGTACCTCAACTTGGTCTGCTGCTTGTGTGCTTTATGCTGAATTTTAGCCTTCTTGGCTAATCCCTTAGCAATCGCCGCGTTCCGTGCCGCTGTTTCTTCGTCCCACGCTTTCTTCATTTGTGCGCATCTTGAAGGACATTTTCCATCAGGCTCGTCTGAACCATCGCAACAGAGATCGTAGTCGCAGGTTCCATCATTCACTCTGTAAGAAGGTAGGTAATTTGGCTTGAACCCTTCGTTGGCGCAGTAGAACTGGCCTAGGCTGCAGGCAGAGGTCCCTGGCTCGTCGGAGCCATCTGGACAGTCACAGTAATCGTCATTAATTCTGTCGAAGGAGATCTTGATCTCTGGATTGCCCAGACATGCCCAAAGACCGTCATCGTCAGGCTGGTAAAGTGATTGTCTATCTGGCTCGACGCCGCGTATCCAATTTGCGGCAGCGCAGCAGCAGAGTAAAAAAAATGCAAGCATCACTAAAGAAGTGACCAAACAATTAATTCTGAACTATAAAGTGACTATTTTATTGAAAAAGAATAGAATTCAGCTCCTCATTAAAGGACAGCGAGATTTAGTCCGCGAAATTAGAGCTTCACTCTAGATATAAACAGTCGGTTGGTTACCGCTGAGGGTGCGTGAACCCGGGATGGCCTGAGTAGTGCGAGTATGCCAGGGACCGGGACATATAATGAGGCGCATACGGAGGAGGATTTCCAACGTATGGCTGATATAATAGTACAGGCGACCGCTGAACGTGCGGCGACGGGTGTGAGTGGTGTCTGACCATGGGGAACGCGGTCTGAGGTGGAGACCTGGGCATCATGGCAGCACTCAAAGGAGGAGGGGGCATCGGAGAGTTCATGACAGGGGGTAACGTGCCCGACGTCGGGGACCGCATGATCTCTCCATGCTCTATCTGGAGCTCTTGCGGCTTTGGCTGTGACATGTATCTGTACCGTCGGGCCCCGTACGGGACTTGTTCGTATCCTGCGCACACTTTTTTCGATTTCTCGCAATTGAAACAGAATGGCTTGCGCTCGTCACACTTAATCCGTCGCCTGCGGCATGTGAGACAGCCGGTCCTTGTCCGCTTGCGTACCACGCGTTTGCGTTTATCTCTGCTCTCTGATGAGCTATCAGGTGACTGTTCGCGCTTGTCTAACATTGGATCGTACCCCGACTGGCTCGTCTCAGGCGAATAGGTGGGAAAAGACTGATGCCGTTGCTGGGGTGCGGCGTAATAGGCGTTGAGCGGATCGTATTGCGGAGGGTAAACTTCTTGGCATGGTAAAGAAGCCGCATGGGGGCGTGGTTGAGGAGGCACGGGTGCACTCAATATAGACGATAGAGGCGGCAACTGGACTTCCGGCTTGATTTGTGAGTCGGGGATGGAAGGCTGGCGTGAATTGCGGCGACTGAAAGGGTCCTGGTACACAGTGTGTTCCAATGGATAGCGGCTTGAGAACGTTTGCGGCACTGGTGGTGGGAACGGCAACGAATCTTGACTGTTTCTGGAAGGACTGGTGATGGATGCCGTGAGGTTTGAAATTGAGGGTAGCTTAACGGATGATGTGCCTGAGGATTCAGGGGTCTGCCCTATACTCGAATTCTCTCGATTGAGTACGGAAGCCATAATTGACGGAGAGGGGCCAGAAACAATAACTGAGTTGAGAGCTGAAACTATCGTGGGTTCAATAAGACCGAAGTATGAGCATTAGCTGGTATAATCTATTCCTTGGTGTTATAAAGAGCAGAAGAGTATTAAAATCTACCCAAATCTCATTTCTCTTCCGGATTCTGACAGTAGACGCAAAAAGAAAAAAAGAACTACTGCAAAGTCCAAAATAATACAAGTACATCAGGAAACCCAGCCGCCTGGAAGTGCAGAAGTCCATATAGCAGTTTGCAGATTCCGCATATCGGGCCTACTGGATTTGGAACGGAGGTGCACCGATTGCAGATCCATTGCGTAAAAATGCAGGTGTATCAATCGGCAATTGTTTTACCGGTCGAATATTTCAAATTTGCGACAGAAAATTGCAAACAAACCTCTTCGCACCGCAACTTGGCACACATACAAGCCGAACTTCCGACGGGGCAATTTTGCAAGGGCGCAATGGCATTCATCTTTAAACGGAGACGAGCAAGGACCATTGTCTAGGTCCCCGAGGAAAATCCATGCGAGGTAGCCATCTAATTCTTTTGAGTTTATTATTGCACCATCTACACGCCTTAACGAGCTCTTGATGCCGTATTCGAAGGGTGTGAACATAAAATCTCCGACTTCTCATGCAGATACGGCGTGCAGTAATAGTTATCGTCTGTTGTATTTGTTCGCATGGCCCGAAAACACGCTGTCTTGTATTTGTGTGCATACTCTACAATATTACGTAAAGGGGAAGATCACCGCCCGCTGGCTACACTTGTGACATGGCTGCATCTTAGATTATACCTTTTGAAGAACGATCTGCGCTTATTCACATTTGATGCCATTTTTATTGTCTGAGCTCATCATGCATATTATTTTTAGGACACGCATGAACGCTTGCGATTGTCGGTTAACATTTAGGCCCCTGTTTGTAACTGTGTTACCGAGTATTTTCCGCGGCTTCTGTCATAGACAAGTCCCAAGTGTAAAATTGTTGGGGATTACGTGCAAATTGCATTTTCGAAGATCTTCCGGACAATGCGAATCCTTTGGAGGCGACACAGTTTAGTGTCAAATGTAGATGTCCGCCTTAATCGAAAATCCTAATTTGGGCACCAGTGCATCCAGCATCGATAAAGTTTGAATTGGCGCACTCTTTGACCATTTTTTATGAAAACGAAATTCGGGCTTGTCGCTAAAAGCTGAACACTTCTCAAGTCAAAACATTGAGACATTACACGAAAAAGAAATTCCGGTTTTTGAGAGGCTGCTTCACTTCGTATCACTTTTAGGTTTGACCGGATTCAAAATCCAGTCGCCAACAATTATTTCAGCGCATGCTATGCCTTATTCGCTGGCCTAGAAAATAATAGATTTCCAGCTTTTTCACAATAGAAGTGAGTGTTCTATTTTTTCCCGCATTTTTGACAAGAGAGTTACCCTTTTAACTTGCATTTGAATGCAAAAAAATTGCTCTCGGCGAGAATCGAACACGCGATCTTCAGATTATGAGACTGACGCCTTAACCGACTGGGCCACGAGAGCTTATTCGTAGTAGCTTTTACGGTTCGTGTATATATGTCTCAGGAGGGGGTCAGTGTTGAATATCCATATAAAATGGATAAATGCTTTCCCCATAGACACGTGTGTTTTACGATGCTGATATATGGTTTATAGTTGGAAGTAGGTATGGCTCACTAAATAACTGCTTATTTATTTTTGATAACCTCTCTCTCAACAAGTAAGGCGTCCTGGGTTGGTTGAACCGTGTCTGGGTTTTCTGGAGGATCTTGAGCGCCAGCGTTCCATTCTTCCAATTCAAGTTGATGCTCTCTCTCGATAGCATACTTCACAGCCTCCAGAACATTATCACAGGTGTACTTTGGCTGGTACTTTGGAACTGTTCCCTCCTGGTAGACACCGGTCTTGACCAAAATCGAGTGCCATGACTCGTCGTGAGAGTTTGCGAAACGAATGTCAGACTCTGGAGTGTCACCAACAAAGTACACAGTCGATGCTGGGGGCAAATCCAAGGTCAGTTGCGAAAGTTTTTGGATGGTCAATCCTTCATCCTCATCATCGGAATCGTCAGAGTCCGACTCGCTGAAAACTCCCCTCTTGGCTTCTGTTTTCTGCTTTCCGTCCTTTTGTTTCTCTTCCTTTTTCTTTTCATCTGCTTTCTGGGCAGGCGTTTTGAAGCTGAGAGCTTCTTCTTCATCTTCCTCTTCTTCTTCGCCATCCTCTCCCGAAAACTCAGAGGCGACGGCAGAAGTGATCTCTTCGACGTGCTCTTCTAACACGTCTTGTCTCCAGTTCTTCAAAACCTTTTCTGCAAATTTGAAGGTGCCACGTTGTGGTTTGCCGAATCTGGTGACTTTGAGCTCCTTTCCGGTATGTTCTCTATAAAGAGCGGCAATGGAAACTTGCAGCGCACCCATACCATACCGAGAAAGCTTATAGTTGGTTGCCCAGATGAAGTCTGAGTGAGCAAAGTAGATCGAAGGTCCCTCCTCAAACGTCTCACTGACCGTTCCCATGACTCCGTTCTTGGACATCAGAAGCTCCAGAATGATCTGCTGGTCAGCAGCCCAGTTTCTAGAGTCTGCAAAGACCAAAATCGCATCGATCTTGGTTTTCGAGAAATCGACATCTTTCTTGCACACTTTCTTGTCTTCTTCGGTCAATGTGTAATAAGGTGTCACGCTTGGATTCCAGTACATCACATCTAATGGGATGTACACGTTCTTGAAACCATAGCCCTCGGCAACTTTACGGCACTTGTCGCCGACACCACCAACCACAAGCACGTTGTTGTAAACGGCAACAAGGTCCTTCATTGGTGTGTGACCCTGAATGATCTGGTCCTCGGTGATCTCAACTCCCAATCTCTCGCTCAATTCCTTAGCACGCTCACTTTCTGGTCTTCCTCCACCATTGGTGACAAAAATGTAAGGAACTTTGATATTGTATTTGTTCTCACCGTTCAACATCTTTATAGCCTCTCTTGCATATGGGATGGTTTCGGGTCCTTTCACGATGACACCGTCAATATCAAATGCGAACGCATACGATGCAACACGGAAATGGTCCACGATGTGGGTTTTATACCGGACAGGGTGTCCGTCAGAGCCCAAAGACGACATAGATAGACGAGAATGCGATTTGCCCAAACTAACCTTCGAACCTGTCTTCTTGAGGCTGACGTTGCTGTTTCCGTTGTTCAGCTTCGACAGAGCGGCAAGAGAAGGCGACCTCATCGATCCTGCCCACTGATCTGACAAAGACAGCGAGGAGACCCTTTTTTTACGTGCCGCAGGCGTCATGCTATCGATTCCGTCGTTGTTCAGATACGACTGGAAAGAGGGACTAGCGACGTTGGCAGTCTTGGCAGTTTCTGCATTCGTAGGGGCGTTCTGTATATTCAAATTTTGCGATTCCATTATATTGATATCCTATAACTGGTAAATGGGGACTTTATATACTGGCAGTAACATGACAGAAGATTAATGACGTAACACACAACTTCCTTTTGTGTCGCGCACGACCCTCTATTGGCTGTTTCGTCCTTTAAAAACCCATCGCAATATTTTCCGGCACATTCTAAAGGACAATACACGGCTAAGTGGCGTAAGCAGGTGCTTGAACGTGCAAATTAGGAAGTTGATAATAGCAAGGTCCGGAACGCTCTGGACGTATTTTAGCTATCATACAGTAAACCTGCTCCATCGTTGCGCTGCTCTCCTCCCGGAACCATGAAGCGCAGATCGTTTGTGCATCTTTACAAACCTAGCAACTCGCTTAAGAAAATTAGTCCGATTGTTATGCTGCAATTAATAAAATGTAGAATTTAATTGTTGTCCTTATCAAAGAATTAAGTAACAGCTAGTCAGTGTGTTTCGCACTGATTGTCTTGTACATCTTCTAATAACAAGAAGTCGACCGCCTTGATTTCTTTGTGACCTCTTCCTTTAACCTGTTGCTAGGTTGTAGTCCCTCAGTTGCACTTCCCATGCGTCACGCCGGTTTTTAGAGCTCCCTCCCGAAACAACTCTGTACCACGATAGAGCAGCTCTTTCTGTTGGAGAAGCAGGCGGAAAGGATAATAGCACTGTGTTTTGTAGTTATAGAACTACAACCTCCCCTTCTACAGTTCAGTCATCCAATCACCCTGCGTAAATCAAATCGTCCTGCTAGATACTGGTGCATTTCTTACATCCGTTACAGATGTTTTGCTATTCTGACGTCATCACGACAATATGTCTACGCAACTAGATTTTTGGAGGTGCATCACAGGAGACGATTGGTGAAGACCCCGCCAGAAGTCCTGCATAACTGTATATTTCACTGCCTTTTGCTGAGATTCAAAGCTTCCAAGGAGCCTCAATAGAAGACTCGCAAACGGAGCAAATTTATCGTAGTGCTTCACTCGATTATGCCAAGCGTTTTGTCTGGTCCTATTACTAGCTCAGCCAGACAAGGAGCATCTTAGTCAATTCACAGATCTTGGGAGTCTGTGATCATTTTCAAAGACTCCACTTGTTCTAACGACCTAAAAACTCACATTCATCTGCCGTTCATCCTACTTGTGGCATCAATAATGCTGGCGCAAGGAACATGAAATGAAGTACATTTGACGACGAGTAATAATCTTTTTCTACACTTGCATCGCCGTGGTAGCAATACTTGTCCAAATCAACACCCCGTGCCCGGAAATCTCGCCCACTATTAACACCCCAAATAGAACACTATTGCGTGTCCACATGTCTTTTAATTAACTCATACCAGCCGACTTCAACCGCTGCAAGGACTTGATTGCTATTCTAAATTCACAAGCCCTAAAAATTCGGTTTTGACATTGACGTAATTTAAAAAATGCCGGAAATTATTAATCTGCGTAGCAAATAAACTACACAGGTATTGGCAAGATACCTTGAATTTGTCTTGCATGCTATTGTATTATTGAACTTAGCCCATCTATATGTAACCTACTCATTAATGTGTCATAAATAAGGACCAGATATGTTGACAATCTGGTCTGTTCCCACGGTGTTCTCACCCTGGAAATAAGTTTTGAAAGATTCCATCTTGCCGTTCACGCTCTCGCTCACTGCATTGATCATTCCCGTGGGTCCATCGTATATGATGGAATCTGCGTCATTGATCCAGTCCCGTGACTCCAGCAGATCCGTAGTACTGTCGTCCTGCAACATCTTGGCTCGCTCGCTCGAGATAATCCCGGAAACATTTTCCGTGTTCAAAGTAGGCTTGCTATATTCCTTCGCAGCCTGATCGTGCTGCTTACTCAGTATGTTGTCCAGCTTTTCGTCCTCATCCTCCTGATCGTCGTCCACTTCTGGATTAGGGTCCCATTTGTACTTGTAAAGGTCCTCACCAGCAACGCACGCCGAGGAGAAATGATTTTCCACTAGATGGTCTATAACTTGCCAGCCGTATGCGTTAGCAAAACGTCTCCGGACAACTATGTTGTTATGAGCATCTGGTTCCAGATTCACCAGCACTTTACGCCAAGTCATGCCGTTGTGCCATCTTCTTGCAATTTTTTCTTCTAACACTCGTTGTCGTTTCAGAGGATCTAGAGTCTGCAACAAGCTTGTAGTTCGCAGAGGTGTACGAGGTATAACGACTGGTGTGTACACTTTGTCATGAATTATGACGTCTGGACGCGAGTTGGGGTCGGTGAGGTATTTGAGTGGAGGCAGAGGGGGAAGCAGCACTTTTTTAATGCTCTCAATCACGGAGGACTTGGGCAGCGGATAAAATTGCTCCAAATCGTCGTGGACCGTGTCGCTCGGCACCGACGAGTCGCTAGTCTGATACCGCTGGTACCGTTTGGCTTTGTGTTGATGTTGCGAGCTGGGCGCACACAGCGAAATTAGCGTTTGAATTGGCGAAAGAAGCTTGGCCTTTACGGAAGTCATCATATCGCGGTCCTGCTGCTCGACGTTGTCTGGGATTTCCCCAACTTCTGAGTTGCCTGCGGTGTAGTTTTTGGTTGAACCTGACTGCGTTTCGTACACTTTGGATAGAGCCTTCCAGTCCAGATACAGCAAAGCAGAGGTCCGCAGCGGTACGATTCCATCGTGTATTGCGTTTGCGTAGAGCGTACGACGCTTGAAGCGACGAAGGATTTTCCGTGTAGATTCGGAAGGAAGTAACATCAAAAGAGGGTTTAAACCTTGCAACCCCAAATCCTGGCCTGTTTTCCCCACGATTCCAAAACTCAACGCCATCTTCACATATGCCGGATTTTCGTTGGAGATGCCAAGAAACGGAGACGCGAGTGCTATGAAATTCTCGGGCTGTATCTTTTGGAAGAACTCTGGATAATTATGGTCGAGGTAAGCTATGGCAAATGTCTGCACAAGGCCTCCTAACGAATGGCCGATAAATGAAATCCTGGCAATTTCGGCCGTCGGCGCAACCTCATGGACTAAATACTCGGCCAGTCGTCTTCCCAGATACTTGACACCTCGTTCTGTTTTGCACACGTTGCGGGTGTAGCCTCTGATTATAACCTTTTCTCCCGTTTTCTCGGCCTCTTTCTCGATCTGCTCCTTCAAATAGAACATGTCGGCGGAGACATTCGAGTGGAGTCCGTGTGTGAGAACCACCAGGTGCACATTTGGCTGCGATGTGTTTTTATTCCACAGCTGTTCTGTGTTGAAGTGTTCCACCTCCAGCTGCGGCGAGAACTTGCCAAACGCGTCTCCAAAGTTGTGTCTGTGTAGTCTGTCGCGGTCGAGACCGATCATAAGCTCGAAATGGACCTCTGAGCTTGAGCTGAAGATCATCTGGCTGATCACGTCTATAATCCACACGTACTCGTCCTTTATGGTATGCAGCGACAATTCGGCGGTTAGACTTTGTCCAGCAGACAAGTTGGGGTCGTAAACTGGCTGGTCCGCCGTGATGAAACACTGGCGACGGTGGGAGTATTCCTGGGGTCTAATGTCGCAATACAAAATATAGGGACCTGTGAGGTAGGCGGCACGCAAGGGAAGCATCTCGACATTCTTGATTTTGGCGTAGAGCGCAGCCGGCCGGTCCGTGCCCTCAGGGCAGTACCTGACAATGAAGCGATTGACCTCGCCGATCCGCACAGATTGGTGACTGCGGAACAGAAGAGAATCCAGCATTATTGTAGGAAGATTGCACGGCCACACGAAATGCGCAAAAATGTCAAACTGATTAGAGCGCACCGCCACACACCGCTACCGGCCCGATGTGTACAAAAAATTTTTCAAAATGACTAACCCGGGGAAAGAACTAAATATTTGAGCACGAATTTACAAAGCTTCCTTTAGTCATGTTGAGAACATCTTGTAAAAACACACCCGCGATCCGCATGATTGCGCTCAGAGGCGCCCGTGCAGCCCGTGCTGTGCGATACAAGTCCTCGTCTGCGTCCGTGTTTGTGGATTCACGGCCTACCCCTGCTCCTGCTTTCAACACTTCTGATCGAAAGGGCCCTTCGCCCCTCTCGTCCGCTCCCCAGATGGACGACTCTTTTATTGGGCTCACAGGCGGGCAGATCTTCCACGAGATGATGCAAAGACACAACGTGGACACTATTTTTGGATATCCAGGAGGTGCCATCTTGCCAGTGTACGATGCCATCTACAACTCTGATAAGTTCAACTTTGTTCTTCCGCGCCACGAGCAAGGCGCAGGGCACATGGCCGAGGGTTACGCCAGAGCCGTGGGGAAACCTGGTGTCGTCTTGGTGACATCTGGTCCTGGTGCCACTAATGTCATCACCCCTATGGCAGATGCTCTAGCAGACGGTGTGCCGATGGTGGTGTTCACCGGCCAGGTGCCTACGTCCGCTATCGGAACAGACGCTTTCCAGGAGGCCGACATTGTCGGTATCTCGAGATCCTGCACCAAGTGGAACGTTATGGTGAAGAACGTTGCGGAGCTGCCAAGACGTATTAATGAGGCGTTCGAGATCGCCACCAGCGGTCGTCCGGGCCCTGTTCTCGTGGACCTGCCCAAGGACGTGACCGCAGCCATCTTGAAGGAGGCCATCCCAATCAGCTCGACTCTTCCGTCCAGCACACTGAACAAGATCACACATGCTGCTGCCACCGAGTTCACCAACCAATGTATTCAGCGCGCTGCCGCTCTGGTTAACAAGGCCAAGAAACCTATTCTTTACGTCGGTGCGGGCATCCTCAACTCGGAGGATGGTCCAAAGAGGCTCAAGGAGCTTGCCGACAAAGCGCAAATTCCCGTGACCACCACCATCCAAGCCCTGGGAGCATTCGACCAGGAAGACGAAAAATCTCTCGACATGCTGGGCATGCACGGTTCCGCCGTCGCAAACAGCGCTATCCAAAAGGCCGACCTGATCATCGCTCTGGGAGCAAGGTTCGACGACAGAGTCACCGGAAACGTGGCCAAGTTCGCGCCAGAGGCCAGACTGGCTGCCCAGGAAAACCGTGGTGGTATCATCCATTTCGAGATCTCTCCAAAGAACATCAACAAGGTTGTCGAGGCTACGGAGGCCATCGAAGGCGACGTGACGGAGAACCTTGAGCTTTTCAATCAATTAGTGCATCCTGTGGCCTCTCGTCCGGAGTGGTTCGACCAGATCAGGGCATGGAAGGAAAAATACCCTTATGCCTACCAGACGGAGACCCCAGGCTCCAAAATCAAGCCACAGACTCTCATGAGAGAGATCTCGAAACAGGCCCATGCCACCGGCCGTGACATCGTCGTCACCACCGGTGTCGGCCAGCACCAGATGTGGGCCGCTCAACATTTCACGTGGAGGAAGCCTCGTTCCTTCATCACCTCTGGTGGTTTGGGAACCATGGGATACGGATTGCCTGCCGCTATCGGTGCACAGATCGCTAAGCCAGACTCTTTGGTTATCGACATCGACGGTGATGCATCGTTCAATATGACCCTTACCGAGCTTTCGTCGGCCGTGCAGGCCAACGCCCCAGTCAAGATTGTTGTCCTCAATAACGAAGAGCAAGGAATGGTGACCCAATGGCAATCGTTGTTCTACGACTACAGATACGCACACACACACCAGAGCAATCCCGACTTTGTGAAATTGGGCGAGGCTATGGGCGTGAAGTCCTTCAGAATCGAGGACCAGTCTGAGATGGTTGATGGCGTGAAGAAGATGATCGAATATAACGACGGTCCAATCCTCATGGAGGTCGTCGTCGAGAAAAAGGTGTCTGTTCTACCAATGGTGCCTGGAGGTTGCGCTTTGGACGAGTTTATTGTGTTCGACCCAGAAGTCGAGGCACAGAGAGACGAGCTCAGGAAGCAGAGAACTGGCGGAAAACATTGAGTATTTATAAGAGCATGTTACAAGTACTATATCGTAGGCCGTTTTTAGCTCTTCTTGAAGAACTTGCCAAAACTCTTAAGATTTTCGCCAATGTCTATCTTGTTGTCGTTCATGCTGAATGTCTTGGCAATGTTTTTCTCGAAATGATCGCGAGTGTTGAGAAGTGACTGTTTGTCGATTCTGAAATTCGAGTTCGGGCTGTTGAAAAACCCAGCCAGGGCCATGTTTGGCGACGAGACCACTCCCTCAGGAGCATCTTCGAGCTTCAGTGTCTCGAGGAAGCTGTTGCTCTCAGGCAACGTTTCTTCCGTTGTTTCATAGTGACGAAGCTGGGTCTTGAATTGGTCGAGATATCTGTGCCTGTCCTTATCATACGTTGCGTCGTTGGTCAGCAGGCCTTTGAGCTTGAGAACCTTGACAAAATTGTTGAAATTCGAATCAGCCACAATTGTGAAGTAGCTGGACATGAAGTCGCTCATGGGCGATGTAGAAACCATAAGAATCTTCAGGATGGTGTTGACGTTGGACACTTTGGTGTTGATGTTTTTTGAGAAGCTGTTTGAAGATATGATCTTGACTGGTTCTGGAGATAGGCTAGGCAGGTCGAGCAGAAAAGATTTCAGTGACTGGAGATCAAACACAAACTGCTCAGCCATAATTTCTGTGATTGGCCGCAGCTTCACAATATTAAGCCATAGCTCGCTTAAAACAAGCTCCACTGATTTATCCAGGTAGTTGCGGATGTACAAGACTCGGTTGAAGTTGGGGAATACTAAAGAACAGTTCTCTTTGATCACACTTTTCACGGAACTCATATAACGCGATTCCCCGGTAACTTCTGAGACGGTCTTCCAGTTATAGTTCAACATTTCACGCCAAGAGTGGTGAAGATCATTTTCCATCTTGACGAACAATAAATTGATACAATTGTTGATCAAATTGAGGTAACTGTTTCTTGCTTTCTCAAAATCCATTTTCTGAGCAAGCGTTGGTGGACTTACCAGCATTGCAAGCTTTTCTTCCAGCTGCGACACTGTGATAGAGCAATAGTCTGCAGTATTGAGTACCAGACATATAATAGCCGTGCCCTCAGCCTGTTCAGTCTCCGATCCTGACGATAACCGTTTAGAGTCAGGAACCAGCGGCTCCAAAATAGTCTGACGGTATTTTAGCAAATACTCGGAGAACACGGTGGAAAGTTTGACCAACGATTCGCCTTGGGAGAGCTTAGACAGCTGTGCAAGGATTTGTCTGTAAAGTCTAAACAGATCAGCAGCGGATTCTAACACGTTGACATTCGTACCACCTGTTTCCACTCCAGATTTCTTGAGCATTGACTCTGGGTTCATAAATTCAATAAACTTGTTATTGATCACAGTTCTCTGATGTTCTATCCATATATTCAGATAAGGCTCAAATACGTCGGAGATAGACCCTTCAAAGCTTTGTTTGAATTTCTTGCTAATGAAAGCTTCAAAATCAAGCGTTTCTCCTAGTGCGTTCAACAACAAATTGACATCCACTTTGCTTCCAGTGAGACGTGTTTCTTTCTCTGTCGTTTCATTCAGATCCTTGCGTGTGATTTTACAGAAGTGGCTTGTTAGCTCCTGAGGCATCTTCCAGCTTTCTGGGAATACGTTTGCGTGGTGTTTCTCAAAATTAGTGAGGATCTGTCTGAAAAACATGAATCTTCGTTTGAGGTTGTCTAAAGACCCTGCTTCCTCCGTGGCTTTGAAGATACTGGTGATCTCCTTGAGCGTTGTGACAGTATACCAGTTGGTCAATTTGTCGCGATATGGACGGCCTAAAAGCTCCAGCAGCTCACAGGCACTCACCAGTTGAGGATTATGTAGCTCTTCCATTATCTCGCGCTCGAAATCAGCAAAGATCTCGTCTATAATTCTATTTTTCAGAGAGCTGATCTTCTTGTTAAGCGTGTTGATCTCGTCAATGCTTTTGTATGACTGGAAGTGGTTCATTAGCTCCACTACCACGCTGAAAAGTTGTTTGATTTGTAGATAGTCCTTCACAGGATTTGTCGTATCGCTCAAGAAAGATTCGAGGTTTTCGTATGCGGTCACTAGCATCTGCAGTCGTTTCATTATCGTCATGGTGAGTGTCAAATTTTTCTTTGCGTTATCCAACGATTTGATACTCGCGGTCATCCTGTTGATAGTGCTTCCAGTGGCTTCTGCGGAGATTTTTGTATCCTTGACGTCTGCAATCAGGCTTGCCAATTCCTCATCCACTGCACCCAGCGCGTCCTGCCCGTCGCTGGCGTTCAGCATAGCCTCATTATATTGCGATTGACGCGCCTGGATGTCTTGATCAATCTGCAATTTGTACACATTGATATATGCTAGCAAGGTGTCCAGCTGAGCCAGGCTTGCTGGTGTTGGAAACAGCTCATAGATATCCAGCAGTGGATCGTAATTATCGGCCAGGATCGAGTTGTCCTCGCTCGCTCGGGTCGATCCGGCCTCAATTAGCCGATCTTTAAACGACTTGCCGGACATAATAATGAACTTTTTCCTTCTGAGTTTTTCTTGTTTTTTTTCCATTTTTTCATCATGTCGCTGAGAATGCCTAGCCAGCCTAACGCTGGCCTCTTCAAACAGGGATACCAGACACATGCCAGCACGGACGGTGCCATCAACAGAAACATTCAGGCCTGCAGAGAGCTCAGCAATATGATTTCCACGTCGATTGGACCTTGTGGCAAGAACAAAATTATCGTGAACAGACTCGAGAAGGTGTCGATCACAAACGATGCTGCCACTATGATCAGAGAGCTCGAAGTGGTGCATCCAGCAGTCAAAGTGATGATCATGTCCTCCGAACAACAAGAGGAAGAGATGGGTGACAACACAAACTACGTGTTGGTGTTGGCGGGCGAGTTATTACATCTGGCAGAAAAACTCGTGGTTTTGGGCTTGACACCAACGGAAATCATTCAAGGGTACAATCTTGCCAACAAGTTTGCCTTGAAAGAGTTGGAAAATTTGGTTATCGATCAAATTTCGGACCTGAACTCAAAAGATGAATTATTGAAGATCATCCAGCCAGTGATCGCGTCGAAGCAGTACGGAAATGAAAAGAAGATCAGCAATCTTGTTGCAGACGCAATCATCAATGTGATTCCAAAAAACAACCCAAGACTTTTCAACGTGGACTCGATTAGAGTGGTGAAGATTATGGGTGCTTCCTTGAACAGCTCTTTCGTCCTGAAAGGAATGGTTTTCCCAAGAGAACCAGAGTCTCAGGTGAAAAAGATTAGCACGCCATCCAAGGTTGCTATATACACGTGCCCAATAGACATATCGACAACAGAGACGAAGGGAACTGTGCTGCTGCACAACGCCGACGAGATGCTCGGTTTCAGCAAAGGTGAAGAAGACCAGCTAGATCAGCTAGTCAAGGAGATCTACAATTCAGGAGTTCGTGTTGTTGTTGCGGGCGCTGGAGTGGGAGAGCTTGCACTGCACTATTTGGACAGGTACGGAATTCTGGTGCTCAAAGTGCCGTCCAAGTTTGATTTGAGAAGAATTGCCAGAGTCTGCGGTGGAACTCCTTTGGCAAGATTAGGTGCTCCAATGCCAGAGGAAATGGGAACCGTGGATGTCGTGGAAACCAAAGAGATTGGTGGTGATAGGGTCACCATTTTCCGCCAGGATAAGGAATCGTCTCTCACGGCGTCGATCGTCGTTAGAGGTGCTACGAAAAACAACCTGGAAGATATCGAAAGGGCCATTGATGACGGTGTTGCTGTTGTCAAGGCAGTCTTGAAGGACCCCAGACTACTTCCAGGAGCAGGTTCTGTCGAGGCCGAGCTGGTGAAACGAATCACTACTTACGGAGAGAAGACCCCAGGATTGATGCAGCTTGGTATCAAGAAGTTTGCCGAGGCCTTTGAGTTCCTGCCACGTATCTTGTGCGAAACGTCTGGGCTTGATGCTTCTGAAGTTCTGCCAAGACTTTACGCTTCTCACGATGAAAACGATGCTAACTCGTTGAAGTACGGAATTGATATCGAGGCAGAATCTTCAGGAGAGTCTCTTTTGGACGTTAAAGAGCACAAGATATACGACTCTCTCATCTGCAAGAGAAACGCTATAAACTTGGCTACTGAGGCTGTGTGTACCGTTTTGAGTGTGGACCAGATCATTGTTGCTAAGCGGGCCGGAGGTCCTGCCATGCCTCAGCAACCAAAACCAGGTAATTGGGACCAGGCTGATTAGTACTATATACCTTAAATCTGAGAAAAAAAAAATAAAAAAAATATAATGATATGAAGGTGGGTAGTGAGTCAGTGAAATACTAACAATCAGGTGGAAGTTGCGCGAGAGAAACTTCTATCAAACTTTGAAGTCTACAATCATCTTGTAGATATACAGAAAGAAAACAACTGGAACTTTACGCTGGGTGAGGATAGCAATAAAAAACAACGAAGGAAGAGAGGAAACCATTTAATAGATCTAGAGATAATCACAAGAGAACTTTCAGGGTTCTTGGTCCGGACAGGTCAGTCAAACGAATACACTAGAGAAAATGTGGTAGAATTCATGAAAGGTTTGAATCAGTACAGTTTGATGAAAATAGAAAAACTTGAGATCTTGAACAGACTGCCAAGGACGATCGTCTCTTTATTTTCCGTGATCGAAGAGTGCGACCAGAGATTCAGCGACGAGCAATGTAATAACATGTTAGAACTCGTGCAAAGGTGTTTCCCTATTTCACAGGAAGCGGTTGAAGACGACGCCATGGAAGTGGAACAAGAAGAGGAGGAGGAGGAAGAGGAAGTAGTTGCAGAACAGTTTGAAATGGAAGAGCTTGAACATGAGACGTTTGCAAAAGCCGATGAAGCGGAGGAGCAAGAAGAATGATGTACCTTTTATCAGATTAAGATCGACGATATCCAATAGCTCTATATGTACCTAAAATAAGTCTAGAAGATCAGCAGTGGAAGTTTTTTGCTGTTGATTAGGTTGCTGGGACTGTTGATGTGATTCCGGCTCCTGGATCAAATCCTTAAATACGGAGGAGCCAGACGGCTGTGGTTGTGGTGCCTGCGAAGACAAATTAGTGAATAAATCGTTCAATTCATCCAAAATGTTTCCAGTCACCGGAGTGCTCGTACCAGATTGTCCACTTGAATTTTGAGCAGCGTCGTAATCATCCTCAAAGTCTAGCAAATTTTCCGCCTTGACAGTATTATTGACGATCTCAGACTTGGCCATTTGCTGCAGTTCCTCGAATTTCTTGGTCTGGAGTTGAGTGTTGATCAGTTCACCGTCCACTGACTTGATGAAACTAGAGGCAGGTTTATGGTAAACTGAACCCAAGTTGGAGATCTCATTGACAAGCTCATTGAGAAGAAGTGGCGGGAAATGGTCAATTGTAGATTCAAGCACGGGGAGCTTGTTCATGATAATTCTCTTTTGCAGCTCCGAATTCTCTGTTGATAAGATTCTCCAGTAAATGTAAGCCTTGTCTCTGACGTCTGGGTTTTCTATCTCTTTTGTGGCCTGATTGAGCGCCTGTTGCAATAAACTTTGTGTAACTGGTGTAGGTTTTGTGAGATTGATTTTCACAATCGTGGTCAAAAACGCTGATTGCACGGCTGGGTCCATGTCTTGGAATTGCGCCATCAGAGACCTGAGACGGTCTTCCAAATGAGGTATTTCCGAAGCGTACTGTCCGACAATCCACACGTAAGATGCAAGCGCATCACTAGATTTCAGAGAATCCAAATCCAGATCTCCAATGATGGTAATGACGGTTGTCAGGTACTCGTTGGAGTACCTTCTCAATATGTTTTGTAGGACAACGACTAGCTGATCAATGACGTACTCCGAACGTGAGATGAAGAGCTCATACAGCACATCAATTGCCTTCTTCGATATTTTCGGAATCTTGATAGCCAGCTGACCAAGAGCCATAACAGACTTGTCTACCACCTCAATTTCAATTTCCATAGCGTACTCACGGAGTTCTGCTAAAAGCAGCATTGCATTTGACTCGTCTGCTAATCTCACCATGATGTCTATTTTCTCCAGTTTGAGGTATAACGGATCGTTGTATTTGATGAAGAAAACACGGAGCTCTCTCGCCAAAACCACGGGATACTTCTCCAAAATGATACGAATGTTTCTAAGAGCAACATACTGAAGTTCTGGAGGAGTAGATAGCAACGAAACTAGAGGAGAGGAAAGCCGTTTCAGCAGCGAATTCTTTTGCTCCTCATCCACCTTGTCCAGTTGCTTGATGATGACTTTCACTGCACTAAGCACAACGGCTGGGTTTTCGTGCTGAAGCTGGGGTGAGACACGGTCGATAATGTGCTGCACCTCGCCAACTTCTTCTGCAGCGTAGTCCGCCAGTGCCGTGAGGATTGCAATACGACCCCATTCCGTGCACTCATTCAGTGTCATGAGCAACTTTTTGAGGATTTTTGAGTCAATCTTGAGAATGTTGGAATTAGTTGCCTTGGAAATCTCTATCAGCGCTGAGATCGAGTTTGCAACCACCATCTGGTTGGAGTCGTCCAACAGACTCATCAGCTCGTCCAAAAATCCCTGCTCGACGCACATACGGGAATTGAGGTCAAAAAGCTTCGCCACACAGATGGCCGCTGTCTTACGCACGTACGGATTGTCATCTTTGAGAGTGCGTTTCAGAGGGATTTCCATGTAATCGACCATTTTGTCCACACGAATGCAGCCCATGGTCCGAATTGCAAGTGCTCTAACCAGAGGATTTGGATCCTCGGTATCTTGAACAAAAGTGTTAACGGCCAGGATACAGAGTTCCGGGTTTGTTTTTGCGTAGTTCATCAAATAGAGGTACACCAGTTTCTTCTGCTCCAGGTCATGCGTGGCGATGTTCTTGAGAATATCCGGGAACAGCGAAGACACGTCTTTGCCCACTGTCATCGCAGCAATCACTCTTTGAATTGTATCCTTCCGCTCATCTGCATACTGCGAAACAAGTCCTTCCCTGAACTCAAACGTTTCACCTTTGCGAGGAACATTGAAAAGTTTCCGGAGTCTCGATTCCAGCCGTGACACAGACATGATAACAAAAGTGGCCAGCGAAAAACAATTAAATGTATTTTATTTATTTTTTATGGGAATTGATTTACAGCTCGCCAGGGTAAAGACATTACTTTCGAAGCTTGATTTTAGCCCGAAATTCAAAGCAATTCACATTGCAGGCACCAACGGAAAGGGATCAGTAAGCTCGTATGTGTCTCATGCGCTCACGGCGCAAGGAATCCGCAACGGCCGCCTTAACTCGCCGCACCTGCTATACAAATGGGATTCTGTCCAGATAAACGATAGAGCAGTATCGGAAGGAGACTTTGCTGCTGCAGAAGGCCATGTGCGTGAAATTGATCGCCAAGATAACATCAATTGCACAGAATTCGAACTACTCACCTGCACAGCCCTGAAGATGTTCAATGAAAGAGGAGTGCGGGTGGCAGTTCTTGAGACGGGCCTCGGGGGACGGTTGGACGCCACCAACGTGCTATCAGCAGCAGGAACACTGTGCACCGCCATAACAAAAATAGGATTGGACCACGAGCATTTACTGGGAAGCACACTTGAGAAGATAGCGTACGAAAAGGCGGGAATTATCAAAGAGGGTGTCCCATGTGTTGTTGATGGGTCCAACGAGAGCTCTGTTTTGCGCACAATTGAGGAAATAGCAAGAAAGAAGGGTTCAGAATATTTGCCCGTGAGCGACTCTCCGACCCAAAAATTTGACCGTTTGGGAGCATGTCTGGGGGATTTCCGTACCAATCTTCCCGGCGAGTACCAGCAGATGAACCTTTCAGTTGCCCTTGGGATCTTGAATGTCCTCTCACGTACGTTCCCGGTTCGGAAAGATGCCATAGAGCGAGGCATCAGAAACACGAGGTGGCCAGGCCGACTGCAGAAACTCGATCTTATGCTCCGCTCAGGTACAGTTCCAGTTTTGCTTGATGGAGCGCACAATAGTCAGGCAGCAGAGCAGCTTTCAAAATACCTGGGCACTTCTCGATCAACGGGGATCACCTTTATCATTGCAATGACGTCGGGGAAGGATGCTTCCGGACTGCTTCAGTCCCTTATCAAGCCCCAAGACGCGGTCATCTTCACACGATTCACGGAGCCCGTGGACGGGATGCCCTGGATTGAAAGTTATTCCCCGGAGGAACTATCTACCAAATCGCGACTCAACGTCAAATCCACTATCGAGCCAAACTTGGAAGCAGCATTATCAACGGCCCAGCATATCCAGAAGCCCATCGTCATTTGCGGCAGTCTCTACCTAGTGGCAGAAGTTTTGCGTCTGCATCTACGCAATGGAGGTGTCCAGACATGGTGAACACACTGCATTCAATCTAAAGTTATACATTAGTCCATAATTACTTGGTAGGTTTGCCTTTTTGGACGCGTCTGACGTTCTTGGCCCACTTCTTGATGTCCGAGCGATACTTGGCAGACACCTTCAGGCTATGTGGCTCGGGGAAGTCGGCTAGAAATTTGTGTTTGAGCAGCTCGTGTGGATCAGGCCTGTCCTTCTCCTTTCTCAAACACAGTTCAACAAACTCACAGAGTTCGGGAGTGTAGCCATCACTTTCTTTGAGAGAAGGCGGTCTTTCGTTGACAATGCGCTGCAGCAGATCCAGGATCGAGTCCGGAGTCTTAATCTGGGGATCCCCTTTGAGGCCAGAGACTCCCGGGGCCGCTCCGCCAGGGGCACCACCAAAAGCAAACTTTCCTGAGGCCAGCTCGTATAACATCAGACCCAGAGACCACACGTCTCCCTTGATGTTGTAGACACCTCCTTGAATACGCTCTGGTGACATGTATGTAGAGGTACCCACGAATGTGTCGGCCATGGAATTAATTAACTCTCTGCTCACGCCAAAATCACACAGCTTTATGTTTCCTTTTGAGTCCAGCAGCACGTTCGATGGCTTCACATCACGATGAATAATCCTGTGGTTGTCATAAAGGTACACCAGGCCACTCAGGACAGAGTAGGCGATGTGTTTGAGAATAAAGTCAGGGAATGGTCCGGTGAGTTTGAAAATTTTGTCCAATGAACCGCAGTCAACATACTCCATACAGATGACCACGTCTCCCTCGTGTAGGAAGGCTCCGTAGAAGCCAATGATGAACGGCGAGTCACACTCGTGCATGATACGGAGCTCACGGATGATCTGCGACTGTATCACCTCTTTGGCATCGATATGTATGGTTTTCCGCGCCATGGTTTTCTGTGTCGGTAAGTGTAGCACTTTAGAGACCGTTCCGGAGTTGCCAGAGCCCAGTTTCTTGAGCATAACAAGCTCCTCTGCCTTGATGGACAACTGGTATTCCAAGCCAAGCTCGAGTGTTTGGATGTTGGCAATCAATTCGTCGGTGGATGCCTTTTTGTCTGGGTCCTTAAATCCAGACTGCTCAAGGGACGAGGCTGACGAATTGGCGTTCCCAAGGCCGGAACTGCTTGGATGAGAGCCCAGAGACACCTGTGGAGTGGCCAGAGTCAGCTTCATGACGTTCTTCCGTTTCAATGATTTGCTTTCCAAAAACGGTGTAGGCGGTTTGTTTTGCATGTTGAGCGAAGAAACAAAAGGCGTCGACTCTTGTTGTTGAACCACCCGCGACGACTCTGGTAGTGATACATGGCTGAAGAGTGGCGGCGGACGCCGACTGGAGCTCGGAACGCCGCTGGAGTCGACGGTGTCAACACTCGAAGCTGATATTTGCGCACTGGTAACAGGACGTATGGGCAGCGTCAGCGCCGGTCGGCGAGTGGCATTGTCTGCTGAAGGCGACCTGCTCGATACATTCTCCTTTTCAAGACGGCGCGGAAGGGGAGGAAGGTCTTTATAGATGTTGGAGTGCGACATGTACACAGCTTATCAGCTTGAAAATTTATTAACTCCACGCGAATCTCAATAATATATATATAATGAATGGATATGTTATTATTTCTTACCTTTCTTACCTTTCTTCTTACGGGATTTTGACTTGGTAGCAACAGCTGCAACAGGAGAGTCAGTAGTGTCCTCGGCAACATCTTTCTCGGCGTCCTCTGTCTCGGACTTGGAATCCTCGGCATCTGCTTCGGTAAAGCCCTCTTCAGAGGCCTTGTTTCCCTCACTCTGTTCTTGAGCAGCAGGCTCGGTCTCAGCAGTACTTGCTTCAGGCTCAGTCGCGACAGAGTCAGCCGACTCAGGAGCAGGTCCTGTCTCTATTGCTGGTTGAGAGTCTTCAGGCTGTGACTCTTTAGGCTCCTTGACCTCTGGTTCCTCTGTTAGCTCAGGCTTAATTTCTGTTTCTTTCACGGCTTCAGTTTTCTCGCCCTCCTGGGCCAGATCGACCTCTTTCAGGTCATCAGCTAGGAGGTCGGGCTGTGTCTGGGGCTTGATAACATCTTCTGCTGGAATCACTGGATCCTCGTCCTCAACAACAAAACTATCATTCAGAGGTGGAGCATACTGTTTTGACAAATTGGTCTGGGAAATTCGCGGAGAAGCCACCAAAGACACGCTGGACCCGCTCTTTCCAACAGGGAGTCGCGATCCACCCATACTTTTTGCCAAAGCCAACGAGCGGAATTTCAGCACGTCAAAGTACGAGTACGTCTTGCCGTTTTCTGTATACACGAGATCCTCGTCCATCTCGTCGATGTAGAACTTGCCGTCCTCGAGATCATCGGCGAGGTTGAGCAGGAACTCAGTGAAGCACGAGGCGACAACGAATTTGGTGTCGAAATCGCGGCCAAAAAGAATGATCTGGCCCCATCTGCCTCTTGGTCCTGGAGCAAGATCCAAGGCAATATTGTTCCCCTCATTGTCTTTCACTAACGGAATCCATTGATTGTGGTAATACACCTCTTGCACGGCTCCCTTTGGAACCGACTTCTGAGAATCGAGAAAGCGGAAATGCTTGGTCTTTTGCTGTTGGAAATGGCTGCTGCCCTCCGACTTGTTTTGAGATTCGAGCAGTATTTGCTCACTGGTGAAATGCTCTGTAGTCCTCTGTAATCTATCGCCGACTTTCCTCCAGATGTTGACCTCTGCAGCAATGCTTTCCAGGTCAAGCAAAGGGTGTCCATAAATTAGGCCACGCTTTTTTCCTAGAGTTAGCTGGCCGTCGTGTATTTGATACGACTCTCTCACGTCGAACGGTAGAGAAATGTTCAGGTCTTTTTCAAAGGCGTTCAAGTCATTAACGGTCGCCCCGTTCTCCATGTCGTCTCCCAACTCCGGGAACTCCCTTTCCAACCACTTGTCCAACCTGTCCCACACAGAAGCAACCGATGGTAGAGGCGGTTGTCCTTCAATGTAGTCTTGCATCTGGATATCGTTACCGTTTAGCTGTGAACGCATTCCGGGACGGTACTGAACCGGCCTGTTGGTAGTCGAGTTTCTGGCTGATCTGCTGTTTTGGGCTAGAGACGTCGACGAAGTGTTGTCCAGCATCGAGATGGATTGCGACGATTCGTGTCCTGGAGCGGCCCCAAGATTGGCCGATTCCGATGCATCATACGAGGCGTAATGGTCATTCGTGGTGATAGAGTGAAAGAACCCCTGGATTTCCTTTAAAAACCCCATCTCAAGTCAAATCTATCGACCGTGTCGTTCGTTATTTTTCTATTACTATTTGGATGCGCTAAAATAAATAAATGCAATTCCACATCCGTACACCGACACGGTATATGTCTAGCGGCCAACTGCACCAAACAGACTGGTTGGTTTGGAAGCGGTTTTGCGCGGCTTTGTTGTCTTTTTGCGGGTGGTCTTTTTGGGCTCTTCGATTTGAATCAGACCATCGTCAGAAATGTCTGAATCAATCACCATCGGCTCACTAGGGTGCATGAATTGTGTGAGATCAGGCACAGGATCTTGCCTTTTCTTACGTCTGCCACGCGTCGATGGCTCCTCATCGGACTCCACAAACAGATCCGAGCTAACTCGGGGCTGCTCGTTCTGGTCTGAAGGTCGCTCACTGTATTTGGCTTTCGCACGTAGCTCCTTCACTATGTTCCTGAAACCTTTTTTTAGCTCATTCAAGGACTTGCCTTCGACGTTGTCTGTCTCGTCGACCCGGAGCTTCAGCAAAAGCTCCAGATCATTACCAAGCTCGTCATCAACAAATTTCTTAATCAAGTGTTTGTCGTCTTTCATCATGGCTTCTTCAATCACTTTCGACATGTCCGTCTTTTTGAGCAGCAAAAGGTCGTCTTCGCCCAGTTGTCGCTGCACAAAGTCACCGATGTCGAGAGTGCCTTCGCGAATTTCTAGTTCATGATCCTCGCTCTGTTGCTTCTGCGCCAACCTGGACACCTGTTTGTTGCCGACCGTCTTTTTCCTGTAGAATATGACAATGTCGTTGATATTTGCAACCTTGCCGACAAACCTGTTGGAAAACCTGCGAGGATTTCCCACCTCGTAGCCTCCACTGTACTCGACGCGGAGTCTGACAAGAGGAAGAGGTATCTCAATGTCCACAAGAGTTTCTAGCAAGTCCTGATTAACTTCTTTCCATTTGCAGGTTGCGGCTTCGATCAGTCCCTCCACCTCGTCTATAAGCAAATTAATGACCTCTTCTTTATTTCCAGATGTTGCAGGAATCCCGGTCTCGCTCAATACTATATCCTTCATCGCAAAAGGCCGCACAGACTTGAGCCTTATGGGCTCGAGACTATAGTCTTTTCCTTTAATTTTGAGCAAATAGACATGCTTGTCCGGCACTTCACCCTCGCTCAACGACGTTGCAACCGACGAGCCGCCCTGAAGAATGTCGAATCCCATGGCCATGTTGTGCATCGGACTAGGAATGCACTCGTGCTCATGGCCCCAAAACACGAAATCCAAAAAATGAGGAAGATGTGCCTCTTCGAGAACGCGCGTTCCCGGTCTGGGCACATGGTTCTGGTGAACACACATCAGACTGAACCAGTTTTCGCTATCTTCCGGCTGCAAAAACTCCACATTTCCCGAGGCCAAAGTCCGTTTCAGACGCTCTTCTCGTATGCTTTGGAGGCCATACAGCGCAAAATTAGTACTGCCTTTCTGGAAGAGCAATGGGCTAACTTTGATCTCGTCGTTATTTGTGATCCGTCCAAAATGATTCAGTAAACCACCAACAGAAAGGAGATCCAGGGGTGAGAGAAGGTCGTCTCCTGTCGCATCGTCGTGATTTCCGGAAATAGCATAGACAGGCATTCCAACATTCACGTTGGGATCATATTCACATGGGTAATTAAAATGTCGCGTGGACATCACGACCGACGGATCAGATACGAGCTTGTATTCACGAGGCCTGTCGATCCAGCAGAATTCGCGAAGAGTCCGGATCACATGGTAGTACGATTTCTTGCTGGGCTTGTTGACGTGAAATAAATCGCCTGCCTGGATAACCATATCGACGTCCCTGGATTTTGCAATGCTCATGATTTCAGAAAACGTTCTCCACGAGTCATTGCCTCTAATCGGATCCGTCTCCAGGTACCCGACATGGTTGTCTGTGGTGAGAAGAATCTCAAAAGTATCAGGCCCTGATTCTATGTCCGGCACATGCATTAAATTATTAAAATAAATATTTCCCTATTTTTCAACATACACAACATCACGACAGAGGATTGTGACGCGTTTGAAAACCCTTCTCCATTCTAGCGGGTCCGCCTTGATTTTCAAAAACTCCACCTTCCGTACGTCCAAGTTGTCGGCCATTCGACTCACCTTGATGTTTCCTACTATGGGTGCTTTGCTGGAGTCTCGGCCATTGATAGGGATAGTGATCACTCCGCTGAGAAGGTCGTTCTTGCGTAGATTCTCCACATAGAGCTCGCTGTCGTCTTCACCCAAATAACTGCGGAGTCCAAGCTTGCTCAATGCCTCCAGGATTGTGATCAGCAGCTGATCCAGGGCCACTGTACTGAAAAACCTGGTCAGACTCTCTGCGAAAAGGGCCGGGTATCTTTGCTGCTCTATTCGCAGATTGCTCATCTTGGCGTTGATCAGCCGCTCTCTATTAACCACCGAATTGGTGTTCAAGAATTGCAAGGATGCTGGGTCTTTGGAGATCGTGGCAAATATGAGATCGTCATCGCCCAGGTCTTCCTTCAGCTTGCGCCGTTTCGAATGCTCGGTGTAAACCTCCTGCGAAGCCGAAAAACCGCCAATTGGACGGAAATTCTCCTTGTAGATCTCGGCGGGCTGGGTATCATCCATAACGTATTTTGGCGGTTGCGTTCCTGCTGCCGACCTGCTGATTTGCGTGGACATCTGGCTAATCTTGTTAAATTCTGCGTCCGAAAGGTTGATGTAAAGGTTCACCAGCAAGCTGGTGGTGAGGCGCATTGGGTCTTTGCACATGCCATTTTGGTCCGCAAACTTGTTTTTCTTGGCCACCCAAGGATGTCGCTTAATGTCCTCAATGCCTAGTCTGTCCAGCGGCTCAAGGACCAATACTTTCCGCAGCAGAGAAAGAGCACCTAGAGGTATTTTGTTCCACGGAGAGATCAACACCTCTCCCTTCCTCTCCATATAGAAGCGAAAGTCTGCGTCTTCCTCGTGCGGCATCTCCCACGCTATTTGCCCAGTGAGAAGCACAAAGAGAACTATGCAGCAGGACCACACATCCGACGGCTCGGGATCGTACTTTTGAGAGACCACCTCCGGAGCAAGGTAAGGAGGTGATCCGCATGCTGTGGTGCACATTCTCTTGGAACCATTTTTCTTTTTGAATACGCTGGCGAGCCCAAAGTCCGTCAGTTTCAAGTTTCCGTTCTTGTCAATGACGAGGTTTTCTGGCTTGATATCCCGGTGTGCAACACCTTTGGAATGGATAAAGGAAACCGCGTTAATAAGCTGTTTGAAATAAAATTGCGCGACATCCTCGTCAACCCCCAGATCAGGCTCGATCTTGTCAAATAGCTCACCGTTGCTTCCTAGTTCCATGGCGAACCAGACCCAGTTGATATCTGCGCCAAAATCTATCAGCTGGATCACATTCGGATGCCTGCATTCCCTCTGAATGAATGCCTCCCGCGCAAGCATGTCTGTGGTGATATTCTGTTGGCGAGCCATATCGAGGTGAACAAACTTCACGGCTATGACTTTGGATACTCCGTTTTTTTCGAATACAGCAGACTTAACAACCCCAAAGCCTCCGTGACCAATGGTCTTTCCAATATGCACATGTTTCAGCTCAGGTAGGGGCGCGAGTTGAGAAAGCTTGTAAGACATAAATTAAATATATTTGTTTATATTTTGGTTTTTACTAAAGAGTCAATTCTTAGCCTTCGAGCCGCATCACCACATAGGAGATAGCTCAGAGATCCAGCTGCTACTGATCGGCCTATACACTTTGATCGTGCCTTCGACAAGTGTCTCCAGATCGATAGACTCCTCGATAACTAGCTTCTCGCCATTCACGTTCTGGTGCAACACTTGCAATCTAGGTAGCTCCGAGGACCCCGTCACGTGACTGACAACTGAAGTGTGGTCTGGTGAGCCATAAAATAGTGCCTTGTTTGGGTACCGGAAACAGCAGTTAGCAAACTGCAAGATGTCACCTCTCTTGATAGTGTCGGAGACTGGCTCTTTGCGAATTTCTGGTCCGCCTTGTTTTCCCGTGACGGTGGACAGAAGAGCACCGTGAACGAGCCCAGAAGAGACGAACGCGTGTTTGCCGCAGCCCCGTTGCAAGGCATCGTGCGCAAGAGTCCAGCACTCTCCGTCTCCCACTTTCTTACCTTTGTGAGCTTCTGTCCATCCTGCCACGTGATCGCCATACAACGAAGCTCCTTCTTCGAGCTGTGCTTTTGTAGCCTGTGGCGGGGGCACAAATTTAATTTCGTGCTCGACTGAGGCGCCCGGGTCTCCTGATTTTGGCCACGTAAATCTGAGTTTGGTGGTGGACAGGTCTCTGTTGCGGAACACCACGACTCTGAAAAATTCTTTTGAATTGTAGCCAAACGATGTAGCGTAGTCCAGGCCTTGCAGGTCGGCAGGTATATGATTTTCAAAGTCTTCTTTGGCGAACCACCCTGTTTGGAGTTCCAAGTTGAGATCAGGAGCCCTCCAGTTTGATTTTGACGCAGAGCGTGGTGGAGGAGCAGATGGCCTTATGCGAGGTTTTGGAGGAGACGGTGGTGTCGATGTCCCCGACGAGAGGGCAGAGGAACGAGATTTGGGTGGAGTTGGAGGAGACAGCGACGGTTTGGAGCCGGAAACCTTCAACTTCTCCAAATTGGACGACAGCGTTCTGGAGAACGAGTCTGTGGTCGTATTGAGATTGAGAGACGGTTTGGCAGGTCTTGGAGGTTTTGGTTTACCTGGAACCTCCGGAGATGGTTGTTTCTGGAACAGTTCGGACCTTAAAGGTGGAATCTTGGATTTTTTTTCGTCCAGAACGGCAGGCCTGGTTGAAGGGGAAGGCCGTCTAGGAAGCGGAGGAGCGTCTTCTTCTTCCACCGACGAGACGGACTCGCTACGCGACGGACGCGATGGAAGTGGGGGAGCGTCCTCGTCGTCAGAAGAGACTGGGCTCTGGGAAGAAACAGGAGACGCGGTTTCTTGCTCAGGGGTGGAAGCTGCCGGGGATGATCTGTCAATGGTAACCGACGCTTGCGACTTATTGCGGTGCACGTGGACAGGCGGCGGCGGAAACTTGGAGACAGTGGCAGTATAGAGCTCACTCGCTAAGCGCACAGGTTTTGAAGGCTGCGAAGACGTTGAATTTTCAGAGGTTTGAGACATCGTCTTTGTGAGATTACTTTTCAACGCTGCTGACGCGTTTACACCGGACTTCGACTCCAACAAAGCCGTTGCTGCCAGCTGCGGTTTCTTAGCCTTCACTGGAGGAGGAACCTTTGGTTTTGGCTTGAGTGCCGGTTTTTCAGAGGACATTGGCGAATCAATGGCAAATCAACAGAAGGCCTGAACAGCACAAGAATTTCGGCAGTTGAGCTTTTTGGCTGTGAAAAAAATCAATAGAGTCGTCGCACAGCCGTGTTTCGAAGTATATTAATCTTGGTATACAACAACGAAAAGACGATGGGCGACCTAGAGACTGTTGCAAATGAGGTGATCCAGAAGCACCTGAAGGATCCGTTTGACTATGAAAAAGTGCACTTCGAAGTTCTCTCCACCATCAGGTACGACCCTCTGCTGTATTCCGGAGGCTTGAGCTTACCAGAAGCTCTCGTTTGTTCTCCGCTCGACCAATCGTTCTTCTTGTTTCTGGGCTACCATGTTGACAGACTGAACGAGACTGCGGAGTTCTTTGAGCTCCCGGTCCGGAAGTTAGACTCATCGTTGCTGGTAGCTCAACTGTCTCAGGCACTCTACGATAAAGATGTGTACCAAGCCCACAAGATGCGGTATCTACTAGGCAAAGCTGGACAGGTTGAAATACAAGCTATTCCGATAGCCACTCCGTTGAACCTGGATATCAATTGTCCTCCGACCTGGACAGTGTACCTGGACTCTGAACCGACAATAATCTCTCCATTTACCTCCTTCAAATCCACTTACCGCAATCATTACGCGGAAGCCCGCAAGCGGAAAATCCCTCCTGATGTAGGAAATGCTGATGTGCTGCTATTTAACCACGCGAACCAGATCACCGAGACATCGATCTGCAACATAGCTGTGCTTCGCAACGATAAGAATCCATTGACAGGCGAGATCATTACCAAGTGGACTACACCTCCGCTTTCGTCAGGCTGTCTCTGTGGAGTTACAAGAAGATACCTGCTGGAGAAGGGCTTGATAGGCGAAGGGGTGGTCATGAAAAACAGCATAAAAGACGGCGAGCAGGTTTTGCTATTCAACGGCATCATGGGTGTAGTCAAAGCCGTGATTAAAATCTAATCAGCTCTATTATATATCTTCGTCTCTATATCCAAAAATGTACAGCACATCTCGCAAGGAGTCTGTGTTAAGTCGGCAGTCTGCCTCTAGTTGCACTTTTGGCTTGGCGTTCCAAGCTATACCGAGACCTGCTCTCGCCATCATCAGCAAGTCGTTGGCTCCGTCACCGATAGCAGCAGTGTAGGCCCTATCTATTTGATGTTTTTCAGCAAGAATCTCTAATACTGCTCTCTTTTTGAAACCGTCAACGATTTCGCCTTTTGGTTTTCCACTGAGGACTTCTTTGCCGTCCACAACCTCCGTTTCCAGCTGATTGGCAAAAGCGTAGTCCAAATCAAGCTGCTCCTTTATGTATTCAGCCAAAGGCAGAAAGCCACCGGAACAAACTGCCAATATACAGCCATTTTTCTTCAAGGTAGCACAAAGCTCCCTGGCTCCCTTAGTGATTTTGAGCTGGGGTTTAAGCTTGCCCCAGAGGTCTGCAGAGGGTATTCCCTTTAGCAATGCCACCCGTCTTCTGAGCGACTCTTTGAAGTCGATTTCGCCATTCATCGCCAGGTTTGTAATTCTGGCAACCTCGTCTTCCACTCCTGCCTGGGCCGCAATGAGTTCTATGACCTCCTGGTAGATCAGAGTGGAGTCCATATCAAACACAACAAGCTTCTTGTTCTTCCGAGCAGGGCCGTTTTTAAGCACTTCTAGATCCACATCTGGGATCTTGACCAACTTGAGCTTTTCTTTCACCTCGTCAAATTTGTCGCTTTCAAATGAAAAGTCTATAGCCTTGGTGGCAGCCAAAACAGTGCTCGTCACAATCTCGACGGGAAGTCCCTTCACAGCGTCCTCCACAAGCTGCTGAATATTTCCAGGGAGCGTCTTGCTGGCGATGGCAGTTATACTGTACGACATGAACAATTATCTAATTTTTTTTATTTTTCACGCTCCGCTCCATGGACGGCATTCCAGCAACGCAAGATAATACCGACCTCCTGACGGCTATGATAGCCGGCTCAGGTGCCGCAGTGGTACAGACTGTGGTGACGTATCCGTTTGAATACGTGAAAACCACATCCCAGATAACCAATAGCTCGCTACTCAAGACTCCCTACCATATTCCAACCAACAGCGTGCGCTCGTTGTTCATTGGCTGCAACGGCCTGGCATTGGGGAATGCGCTCAAGGCATCCTCTCGGTTTCTGATTTTCAACAGCATGACAAGGTTCATGGGCACCGATAACAGCAAAGCCAACGCCCCAAGAGTGGTGGTTGCTGGTTTGATGACCGGCTTTTTAGAGACACTGTGGGTGATACCCGTCGAGAACATAAAGACGCGAATGATTGAGAATGCAATGGACAAGCAGGGGTATCGGCTGCCGCTTCCGTCCTATGCAGCGGCCTCGGGAGAAGATGGGCTGGAAAAACCAAGACTTACCAAACGGCCCTTGGAAAGCAAACCATTCAACCCTCGCCAAAAATACATTGACTACTACCGCGCAAACCCGTCCACCACCTTTTTCAAGGCGATCAAAGAGATCTATGAGACAACGGGTCTTTCAGGATTCAAGAGAGGTTCTTTGATCACTATCTTCAGACAGACTATGAATAGCATGGTTTGGTTTTCGACATATAACTTCCTGCAGCAGTTTATTGATCCCACCAGAGACTCAATCACGGACCTGGAGCTGATGGGAATGGGCGTGGCCTCTTCATGCGCCGTTGTTGCGATCACACAGCCTATTGATGTGATGAAAACGAGAATGCAGACCAAAAACTACAAGCCCATTTACAGGGACATCATGACGCTTGTAGTGAAGACGTTCATGCAGGAGGGCGTGGCCAAGATGTGGAGTGGATGGCTTCCACGGTTGATGAAGGTGTCCTGCAGTTCGTCCATTACACTGGTGACTTACGAAATGCTCCAGAAGGGAGTGAACGGTTTGACAGATATTAAGCCGTTTGCGGCTTCATAAATATTTTTTAATGAATATTCTCGATTTACAGATTGATAGGGTTTCTGAAGATGAAAGCGAGAAGTCGAAACAGCTGATCTCCGAGTTGGAAGAGCTGTCCAAGAGCACGGCGAAGAGGGGCATAGTCAAAAAATTCACCAATACAATTGATGGTACAGACGTGGAGATATCCAGCTGGAGATTCAACGAATGGGACTATTCTTCCAAAAAGGTGAAGCTGCCAATCTATGCGAGAGGTCTGTTCACTGTTGGTGACCGTATTGTTTGTCGTGGATACGATAAGTTCTTCAATGTCGACGAGCTTGGCTCAGTCTCAAAAAAAGCGTTACAGGAAACCACCGCCGGACCATATACACTGACAGTCAAAGCAAATGGATGTATCGTTTTCATATCTGGCCTTGAGGATGGGACACTGGTCGTGTGCTCAAAACACTCGACCGGGTATCGTGAAGACCTAACTCGCAACCACGCACTGGCCGCACAGACTGCTCTGGAAAAACAGCTAGAGGACAGTGGCCTTAAGCCAAAGGAACTTGCAACCACTCTCTACCGGCTGGGAATGACTGCCGTGGCAGAGTATTGTGACGACTCTTTTGAAGAGCACATTTTAGAGTATGCGCAAGAAAAAGCAGGATTGTACCTACACGGTCTCAACTACAACACCTGCGATTTCAAAACCTGTTCCATGGCTGTGGTGACCAGTTTTGCCCAAGCATTTAGGTTCAAAACCATTGACTACTTTACGATTCCAACTTTCGAAGCAACCATGGAGTTTCTGGAACAGGCCAGCGAGACTGGACTCTACAAAGGAGAAGAGATAGAAGGTTTCGTTGTGAGGTGCCAAAAAGACAACTCTGATTTCTTTTTCAAGTACAAATTCGAAGAGCCATACTTACTCTACCGGGAGCTGCGTGAGGTTACCAAGCAGTTCTTGACAAAAGGACTCGACAATGTCAGCTTCAAAAACCACAAGCTGATTTGCATGGATTATCTAAAATTCGTAATCCCGTTGTTTGATGCTGATCCGTCACTCAAGGATGATTATTTGCAAGGCAAAGGTATTGTCAAACTGCGGAAGCTTTACATGGAGCATAAGCAAAAATCTGGTTCGGAAATCATCAAGGAAGAACAGTCCATGGCAAAACTAGAAGAAGAGCTAAAGTGTGCCGGCTACGGCCAAGACACTTGTAAGTATGTTTTAGTCACTGTGGCAACAATCGGCTGTGGCAAGACAACAACATCAATGACGTTGGCGAACCTGTTTCCTGATCTAATAGGCGTCGTTCAAAGTGACGACATTCCGTCCCCAATAAAAAACAAACAGGTAGCCAAATGTTTGGAAGTTTTGGTGGAGAAGCCAATTGTCATTCTTGACAGAAACAACCACAAATTCATTGAAAGACAACAAACGTTTGAGTACTTTGCAGATCTCAACAAACTGATCCCTGAGTCAAAGCTCAAATTTATCTGCTTGAACTTCCTAGGAAAGATCTCCAAGGATGATCCGAAACTCTGGGAAATTACCAGAGCGCGCGTTTTGGATAGAGGCGATAACCACCAGAGCATTAAGGTTGAACGCGACGGAACTTACAAAGCCGAAATGATAATGAAGGGCTTTCTAGGGAGATATCAACCTGTCGTAAGAGAAAAGTTTCCTGACTCAAGATTTGATCATATTATTGACCTCATAGTGGACAAGGATTCGTCACTGGAAAATGCTAAACTCATAACTCGCAGACTGCTCGAGATTGCAACCGACATTCAAATTCATCCTCCCAGCGAGGAGCAGTTCTTGGAAGCTTACAAAAAGGCTCTTGACTTCAAGCCCTTGGTGACAAAGAATTTCAAGACTAAAAAGGAAAAACCACAGTATTTTGGCATACAAGTCAACGATATTGACAAAGTAACTCAGATCCATGAGATCGACTTTTTCAAACAGCTACAGGAAGCCAATCGAGTTAAAAAAGAGTTCCACATCACACTGGTCCACGTTGGATCTACCAAAAAAAATCCTCCAGTGAAGACAATTTACCAGAACTATTGCGGACTAGTTAAAGATACGGAGAAAATAGACGACCAGATGGAATTGCCTTATAAAGCGGACGCGAAACTTGTCCGGGCATGCTGGAATTCCAGAGTAATGTGCATCGAGGCGGAAGTGAAGCGGATCTATGGAGAAGAAGGCGAGCGTTTGGAAAGTTTGGGCATAGGAAACAGATATCCACACATCACAGTGGGCACTATCTCAGAAAAGGTGCAAGCTGTGGAGTCGAACAAACTGCTTTCAGACTTGCATGAATTTGGGGATGAGAATATCCATACACTGGAGTTCAATATTGAGTTGCATCAGCTACCTGTTTTTGTCCACTATTGAGAAACAACAACCTGGAGGATGCTGTTAACCCTGTCCAAAATTTCCACCAGCGGGTCGAGCAGTTCGACGTTTTTAGAGATAGAATCTAGATGTTTATCCAATGTGTTCATCGACTCGTTGAAGTCCGGGTCTGTTGAGGGGTCGTAGCCGTTATACTCTGTGCTTGCCAGATTCAAATGTTCAGCGGACCTTGGCTCGGATATTTGTAAGTCGTCTGCCAAATCAGCGTAGGGGAGAATGTCCTTGGCCATGAGCTCTTCCTGGCGCTCCACTGATTTCTTGAACTGCTCAAAATACTTTTCCTCGCTATCAAGCAAAGCTTGTTCTTTCTGCTCTTGGACACGAAGCACTTCGAGCTGACGCAAGTTTGCACTAAAATTGGCTTCCAATCGCATATTCTCCTCATCCAATTGCTCTTGATCAAGGAGGCGCTCTTTGATTTCTCCAGGAAATCGGGCCACCCGCATTTTCCTAGCAAGAGGCTTTACAATCGTGTCCTTCACCAATGTCCTAAAAGCTAATCTTTCTTTGTTGCTTCTGAATGGAATCTGCGAAATGCTTTCCTCGACATAGAGGTTAAGAATAGTGTCCAGATAAGAAGACACGTTTGGCGGTAGCGGTGCCCATTTTGTCCTCATACTTTTTTTCGACACCATTTGCGTGAATGTGTGGATCTCGTCGATCCCGCGTTCTGATTCTGACCCAGAGTCGGCAGCCAAAGACTCTGAATTACGTTTCTGTCTTGCTATGCGCTGCTTGTGTCTTTGAGTTCGGGCAGGAGGCGCGTTCTCGTCGTCACTAAATATTGTTTGCGAGTCTTTGACCAACGTTCGTTCATCGTGAAGGACGCTAGAGGACACATTAGCAGCATTAGCCTGTTTTTTCTTGAAGATTGGCTTGTCCAAGTGCTTGAGCTTTTTGATCCGCGTTATGGCGGACGGACGCTTGGGGGTCTTCTTGACTGGGGGCATATGTTATATCAATACGTAAATATTATACGCGTTTTTTTGCTTACACCTAACTCCGTATACTTTTCTTGACCATTAACCATGGGCAATCTTTCAGAGTTTGAGAAGCAAAGGCAGCAGAACATCGCAAGGAACAAGGAATTGTTCAAGAAGCTCAATCTGGACAACATTGCGAGTGATTTCCAGCGCGAGCTGCCGCAGGAGCAGAAAAGACCGAAAAGCAAGGGTCCTCGATCGAAAAAGGTGAAGACGGAACAAGCAATTCCTACAAGGCGATCAAATAGACTTGCTGGCGTTCATGCAAACACAGACGAGGAAAAGAAGGCCAACGAGGAAGCAGAGTTGGCGAGACAGAAAAACGAGGAACTGGAGAGACTAAAGCGCATCAGGCTATCTGGTAACTTGAAGCTTATAGACATATTACCTGCTGACACGGAAGACAACAAGGATGTTCTTGACAAGTTGCTCAAACTGGGACAAGCAGTTTCGTTCGGTGACTTCTACGAGGACATCAAAGATCGGGACGCCCCGAAGGACGTGAAAGACGCAAGGGACAGCTTAAACTCTGTCAAACTTTACGACAAGATCCCTGCTCAGGACATAAAGCTCACTTCGTCCAGAATGACGGCCATTGCCTTTCATCCTTCTACAAGTAAGAAAGTCATTTTTGGAGGCGATACCAGCGGAGAAATGGGAATTTGGTCTGTCGACGACGACACAGACACACAGGCGGAAATCACCCATGTAAAATATCACGGAAGCAATATACCTCGCATTTTAATAAGGGAGCAAAAACCTAAGGAAATAATAACGTGCTCGTACGATGGATCCATCCGGTCGCTGGACTTGGACAAGAACGTGTCAAATTCTCTTCTCGAGTTTGACAACGAATACGGAGGAGCAGCCACCTTTTCTGACATGCATTTTCTAGACCCTAATGTCCTTGCGTTCAGTACCATGGAAGGAGAGCTCGGAACTTTTGATACCCGCGAGCCCAACAAGCCGCGCTCGGAGATCAATGTGCTGCGGCTGCATGACAAAAAGATCACCAATTTCGGCGTGAACCCGAAAATGACACACCAGCTTGTATCTGCCTCTCTTGACCGAACACTAAAGATTTGGGATCTACGTAAGGTTGGCAAGTCGAGCTGGTCACAGAACGAGAACGCCACTTCTCCTCACTGTCTAGGGTCATACAGAAGCAGACTGAGTATCAGCGCGGCGGATTGGAACAGTTCAGGCGACATCGTCTGCAATGGGTACGACAACACCATCAACATATTCCAGCTCGGAGACACATCCAAATTGAAGCCGGATCACGTCTTTGAGCCGATCATCGAGGAAGCAGAAGAAGGCGACATCCCTGTCAACTTGAAGCCACAGGCGACAATGACGCATAATTGCCAGTCTGGACGCTGGGTGACAGTGTTGAAGGCTAAATGGCAAAGCAATCCTCAGGATGGCGTTGAAAAATGTGTTATTGCTAACATGAAGAAAGCAATGGACATATTCGATCGCAACGGAAACCAGCTGGCCCATCTTGACGACGAGAGCATGTCCGCCGTGCCAGCTGTTGCCTGCTTCCACCCTACGCAGAACTGGATCGCAGGTGGTAACTCTAGCGGAAAAACATTCTTATTTTATTGATGCTCGCTGACTGTCTTTATCCCAAAGCCAGTGTTGGCCTGCGCGGTAAACCCCTAGCGCAAAAAGGGCGCCCCCGAAACCTTTCGTCGCAGATCTCCACCACACAGGGTTTTTCCTGAAATCAATGTCGCCTTTGAAGAGGTAGCCGGATCCGAGATAGACGCCAGCTCCCATAGCAGCCAAGGATCCCAGAACCTGACACGGGAAACAGTCTTGGTAGTCTTCCACTGCCGTAGACTCGGCAGGGGGATTGAACACTTTCAAAATGTTGGACATCTAATGGTACAAGTATATTTTTTCTACTAAATATTTTTCGCGTCGATCGTCTGTCTCTAGAATAGAACTAGACAGAGGACCGATGCCATCACGAGAAACTTGGCAGTGAAGTAATCGGTGCCTAGTCTGATGGACCCGCTCGTAGCGTTTGTCTCGTCAGAATTGGAGGTGAGCCCGCTGGCGGTGAAGTTGACGCCGATAGTGTCCTCATTAGTGTCAATGGTTCCGTCCCAACAGTACGTATCAAAACATTTTTGACACTGGTCTCCCAAAGAGTAGCCGAGCCTTTCTCTGGAGCGCTGCAAAACGGCACATCCAATACATGCGCGGAATTCCTCGTCGATGGTGAGATTATTTCTAGTGGTCACTTCAAAGCCGTTCTGTAAGAAGCCTAGTTTTTCGTCGTCCGTGTAGGACATCTGGTAAGTGGACGTGTTGGTGTAGTAGGAGTATGGTCTGTTGGCGATGTAGATGATCAATGGCGGAACGTAGTCCGATTCGACCTCGTCCATGAGATCGGTCAAGTTGGAAGCGTAGCAGCCAAAGAATGCTGGCTTGGCTGTCAAGTTCTGGTTCAAGAACGTTGCCTGGTCTGGAACGTATGGGAATGCCGTGTGGTTTGCCTGTGAGCCAAACTGACGCTCATAGGTGTACACGAGCGACGTTCCGTTGGGCCAGTGGGTGTCGGTGTCGTAGGAGTTGTCGAATGCAAAGATGGCATCAACCTGTCTTTCTGGTTGCAGCAGTGGATTCAGTGGAATGTTCTGGTAATCCTCACCGCCATCGACGAGATCCAACGTCTCAGAGCTGACGATCGAGTCGAGGGCTGCCCACTCCGAATTGTAAAATGGGTTCGGTCTATAGGTGGCGATGTCGTTCTCGTCGAAGCCGATATGGTCCAAAAAGTCTTCGAACAGAGAGGTCAGGAAGCTGGAAGTCGAGCTGCTATTTAGCTCCAGCAGAACCTCATTGAACAGCGACGAAGACGTTCCGAAAATGTAGCCCGTGTTGTCGAATCCCGCAATGCACGAGTCGACAGGCTTTCCGTTGGTGACGTTCGTTCCAATATACTTGAGGTCCGCAAACGTGTAGAGGGACGGATCCCAGGAGCCTATTTCGAATGGTGTAATTTCAAAAACAGTGGAGTTCAAACTGATAATTTCAGTCCCCGGGGCTCTTCCATCGGCGACGAGAATTGGGAACGGCATCTCGTAGTTCTTGAACACCGGGAAGTCTCTTAGAGAACTGAAGGTCATCGAGGCACCGTAGTCTTCGAGTGTGGGGAAGAATTGGTGAGACAGTGCTCTTCCCCAGGGATCTGTTAGAGTGATATCGAAGCCCGCATCCTCTTTGGCCTGAACGTCGTCACTGATACTATCCCAGTATCCTAGCGTGTGGAACAGTCCGCCATCAGACAGAATGGAGTCGGTGAGATCCCAAGTGGCGTTGTCCTGTCCAGTCTGATCTAAAATGTCCTGAACAGAAGTCCAGTTGTTGAAGGCCAGAGTAGACAAAAACCAGGAACCTCCGGAAAGACCCGCTATGTACGTAACGGCCGACAAGATAGGCACACCGTGCTCGTAGCAGCCGTCGGTACGGTTATCAAGGCCGGAAATCTGGCCGGCTGCGCCGAGCATCGCACGGTAGCCACCTCCACTGAAAGCAAGTCCGATTCTAGGGGTGGCCAGGATAGTGTCGTTGGTCTGGCTTTTTTCAGCAAGCTCATCCATGAAGTCGTCGGTGTCAAAATCCGTCATGTTTGCGAGATTCAGAAACCATCTGAGGTTGTCGTTAGTAATGTTTTCTCTGCCTGTGAGCCAATTTTGCTCCTCCTCGCTTAAACTGTTGGCAGCACGTATGAATCCTCTTCTGTCATCTGTGTTGTAGTCAGACTCGTTCAGATACGATGGACAATCGACCTCTCCTGGGGCATAGGAGTTGGTGGGTGACCAGGCTTCCGCCAAGCTCAAGAGGAGGAGGATAGATAAATGCATAACAAATTTCAGCTGTGCTAAACTAAAAATATTTTATATGCACCGGAAAAATCAAAGCCACCGAGATTGTTGATGCCCAAATTTTGAGTTACAAAGTGGGGGCTTGAGGGGTGGGGGTATTGAAAACATCTCATACCGCTCTGAACAATAGCATAAGCTGTCCAATCCAGTTGTGCTCGAAAGCCGCCGACGATGCACGTGCCAAGGCAATAAGTTCCAAGGTCACTTCCTATTGTTCAAGGGCACAATCGAGATATCCAACAGCTGAGCCTCGGGTTCGGAAAATAATAGTTCAGCATATATAGATGTGACCTAGACAATTGCCAAACGCCGGGCACATCAGGGTAACGCCTTCCCCTCAAGCGAAATTTGACAGATGATGCAGTCCCAAATGGGTTTTGCGCAGAAGCGTGTTGTGAATTGTGGTGGCTGTCTGCTCTGGAGCTCGATAGACAGGTAGTTTATTAGGCCATTCTCCCCTGGATGCTTGCTGCTACCCGGTTTTGATTACCGGCACCCTTGGTTGTACACCCCTAGTTGTAAACCCTTGCACGGAGCATTGAAAATTTTTCGTAAGCGACGCGCCCTGCCGCACCCACATCCGCTAAGATAAAAGAATAATGGCCGGGAAAAATTCCTAATGCAGAAGTTGTTATCTGAGTCGTATATAAGGACCAGCGTCCCCTTATATTTTTGCCATTACAAATGTCACTATTCGAGAAGATCACCACACCAAACGGCAAAGTTATTGAGCAGCCATTGGGATTGTTCATCAACAACGAATGGGTGAAAACCGATTCCACCATCGACACCATCGATCCTTCCACTGGTAAGAAGATCACTGCTGTCTACGCTGCCAGCGAGAAGGACATCGATGCAGCTGTTGCAGCCGCGGTCGAGGCTTTTGAGAACGAGTCCTGGACCAGCCTCACTGGCTCAGAGAGAGGTGACTACATCTTCAAGATCGCAGAGATCATCAAGAGGGACGCCGAGCTGCTGGCTTCCATTGAGTCCTACGACAACGGTAAGCCATACGAGGCTGAGGCCCTGGCTGGTGATCTTGTCGAGGCGTACGAGGTGTTCAAATACTACGCTGGGTTCGCTGACAAGATCCACGGTCAGTTCATTGGTGCTGAGATTCTAGGAAAAAATAAAATGTGCTTTACCGACCCTACTCCACTGGGAGCAGTTGCGTCAATTATCCCATGGAACTTTCCGTTCATGATGATGGCATGGAAAATTGCTCCTGCGCTTGCTACTGGCAACACTGTGGTGCTGAAGACCTCGGAGATCACTCCGCTGTCAGCCTTGCACCTGGGTAAAATTGTTTTGGAGGCTGGTCTTCCAAAAGGTGTTGTGAACATTGTGTCTGGATACGGCAAAGACGCCGGTCATCATCTGGCCTCCCACCCCGATATCAGCAAGGTCGCCTTTACTGGATCGACGGCTACTGGTCAGAAGATCATGGAAGCTGCTGCTAGGTCTAACCTTAAAAATGTCACTCTGGAGTGTGGAGGAAAATCGCCCTACATTGTGTTCGCAGACTCGGATCTGGACAAAGCCCTTGAGTGGGGATTCAGTGGTATTTTCTACAACAAGGGTGAGGTTTGTACCTCCACGTCCAGATTCTTTATCGAGGAGCCTATCTATGACGAGTTTGTCGAGAAGTTCGTGAAATTCACCAAGGAAAACTCCAAGGTGAGCCATCCGTTCGAGAAAGGCTGCACCATCGGCCCTCTCGTGTCATCTCTGCAATACGAAAAGGTGAAGAAGTATGTTGAGATTGGCAAAAAGGAGGGAGCCAAGCTTCTCTCGGGAAAATTCCACGAAGGAGACGGATACTTCTGTGATCCATTTATCTTTGCTGACTGTACTGATGACATGACCATTTGCAAAGAGGAAATCTTTGGTCCTGTCGTTTCCATTACGAAGTTCAAGGACGCTGCAGAGGTTATTAGGAGAGCCAACAACACCACCTATGGCCTTGCGGCTGCTCTGTTCACCAACAACATCACTAGGGCTCACAAGGTGGCCAACAAGCTCCAAGCCGGTATGGTGTTTATCAACTCGAACGGAGATTCAGACATTCACGTTCCGTTTGGGGGTGTTAAGATGAGTGGTATTGGAAGGGAGCTGGGCACCTACGCTCTTGAGCTTTACACCACCCACAAAGCCATACATGTGAACCTGGCTCTGGATGACTGAATGGACCGTCGGAATTCGTTGGTGAATTGCGGTAAATGGGATACTCTGAGAGTAAACTTTTTTTTATCTGTGATCTACATGAATTTTCAATTTTTTTGATTATATGCATTTCCTGGCTGTGCGCGTCTGGGGATCTAAGGCTTAAAAATAATTTGATCCAGCCGTAAATTATTCTCGATTTTTCTTTTAGTATGGCCGTTCAAAATCCTAACAACTGGCACTGGGTTGACAAGAATTGCATTGACTGGGCTGCGCAATGGTGCAAGAGAAAGCTCGTGGGAACCTCTGCGGGCTCCTCACCTAAGGTTACCGTGGTCGGGCTGAAAAAACTCGAAGGAGACGTGGAGGTCTGCCAGCGCAAGGGCAAGATTTTTTCCATATATGACCTGAAGCTGGAGCTTTCCTTTGAGAGCGACAACTCGGAGAAATCCAAGGGCACCATTAGCGTTCCTGAGCTAGCCTATGACACTGAACACGATGACTTCCAATTTGATATCACCTTTGACAAGCCAACGGGCTCCAACGAGGAGGATTCCATTCGCTCCTTGATCCGCTCAAAGCTAGTGGAGGAACTCAGAAAGAAGCTCTCTATTTTCACCAACGACCTGATCAGTGAGAATGCTTCTGACATCCAGGTGGACAGGTCTCAGGTGAATTCCACTTACACCGCAGCTAACCAAGAAAAGACACTGACCAAGACTGTGGTGAAGGAAAGCACGACCTTCAACAAGGGCAATTCCGTGCAAACTTCAAAGACAGCAACCAAGGCTACATCAGCTGAGTCGTCCCGTGTGCCAAAATACAACACGTCCGACCTTAATTTCTCTACCACCTTCAATACCTCGGCAGAGCAACTATACCTTACTCTTTTGGTTCCTGAGAGAGTTGCCGCCTGGACTCGCTCTGCTCCACAAATCGAACCAAAGGTGGGCAGCGAGTTTCAGCTGTTTGGTGGCAATATCCAGGGCAAAATTCTAGAATTGCAAGAGAATAAGAAAATCAAGATGCTTTGGAGGCTACGGGATTGGAAAGAAGGTCACTACACAGAACTGGAACTGACCTTCAATGAAGGAGCAGGCGAGACAGAAATGGCTGTTAGCTTCAAGGGCGTCCCAATTGGGGACGAGGAGTTGGTGCGCAACAACTTTGATAACTACTACATCACCTCGATAAAAGTCACTTTTGGTTTTGGTGCAGTTCTATAATAAAGAAAACTGGAATATATTCACCATAGAATTATTTAGGCAGCTGAGTATCTCTTGGAAGCCTCGGCCCAATTGATAACGTTCCAGATAGCCTTGAAGTAGTCTGCCTTGACGTTCTTGTATTGCAAGTAGTAAGCATGCTCCCAAGCGTCAATGGCAACCAATGGCTTGTATGGGCCAGCAGCAGTGTCCTGGTTGTAGGTCTGGATAACCTCCACGGCGCCGTTCTCGCTGTTCTTAACAATAAATGCCCATCCGGAACCCTGAATTCCGGCCAATTTGGTGTTGGTCAGAGCAATCAAGTTGTCGAAAGAGCCGTATTGCTCAGTAACCTTCTTGTAGAACTCAGAGTCAGCCGATGGCAGTTCACCACCACCCTGCTTGGCTGGAGCAAGGTTATCCCAGAAAAGACAGTGGTTCAGATATCCGCCTCCGTGGAACTTGATGTGCTGTTGCAACTCGTAGGTCTTCTTGACATCACCGGCAGCCTTGGCCTCTGCATGCTGCTCAATGGCAGTGTTGTAACCATTGACGTAGGTCTGGTGGTGCTTGGTGTAGTGCAACTCATTGATCTGGCCAGAAATGTATGGCTCCAGTGCTCCGAAGTCCCATTTCAAGTCTGGCAGGCTGACCTTGGTTCTGAGGCCGCCAATGGACATCTTGGCTATGCCTGAGTTTCTGGAAACGTTCAGTGCAGTTCTGACTGGAATTCTGGCAAACGACATGGCACTTGACTCAATCAATTGAATTGTTTAGTAGACTTTGCTATTTAACAATATCGATTCAAGTGATTGGTGCAGAATTTCACTACAATTTATAATCGGTCCGGTTCGCCTAAGCATGCGCCACATGGAAAATTTCCATGTACCTTGTGTGGCGCAACACTCTCCATCCACAGATCCTATTTTTTTACCCCTTTTATTTGTTTCAGAATCTTGCAAGACAAGGTGCTGTAAAATCAACCGCGTACCTCACATAATCTGTCATAAAGCCATGATATTCTCCCAAATCTGACTCATCGCAATGTCAAGACCTGTCTTGAGAGAAGTTGACCCCAACACCGTTTCTGCAGGCAAGGCCCAAAACAAGGATCCCAGATCCCAGAGCACCCTTTTTTTAAATAACAACCTCCGTATAAGTCAAACGCGTCCCGAATCCGAAGATGTCACTTTGGTGGAATGTGAAACCAGTGGCAATTTTGATTTCAGCTTCCTGGATAAGCAGGATCAGGACTCCAGGCCAGGAAGCACTGGCAGCAACTTTGACAGTTCTCTTAGCACCGATTACACAAACATAAATGAAGTGCTTAATCAGGTACTTGAAAGAAGCGACCTGTCTGACCTCGTCAGGAGAGAATTGTTCTTCTACACCCAAACCGGTTTGATGACATACGATAATTTTGACCAGCTTTACACCAAAGTCAATGCAAAGTCAGGGTCCCGCAATATCGAGATAAGGGGAATCTGTGCAACCAGCCAGCGCGTCTGGAATACATCGCAAAAGTCTAATTATAAGGTCGCAATCTGTTCCAGACGTTGCATTGCGTTTACAAAAGAGTACGCTGGCTACAACAGGTGTCCTTGCTGTAACTCCGAAAGAGATAACTGCTCCTATGTGATCTACAACTCTGTCAGACCGTTGATCGGCTCAATCATGAGTAACCCATTCGCCAGGGCTCAAATTGAAATGTCATCGGAGCACAACGAGAGCGAGTACAACTTGCATGTCACGCTTATGGTTGAACAAAAAGTCACGGTCAGTAACGTCGATTTCGATATTATTTCCATGTCCTTCGATAACTTAGAAAAAGAGCTCAGGTCACGTGAGGAATCGATAAACGTATGTCTTGCATACCCGTGTGTGGATTCGAAAGATAAGGTGCAGTATTTTCTTGCTCCTTTAATAGAAGACTTGCACGATCTATATCACCATGGTGTAAGAGTCCGTTTGTCAAATGGGAAATCCGGAATTTGCAAATGCACCGTTTCATCAATTCTTGGTGCTGACCTTGCTACCACGGCATCCATGATTAGTGCCATCAAAGGACCTGATGCTGGAACATGGGGAATACATAATGCAATCACCACCTTTGCTGAGATCCCTGGCGTGACTGCACCAGGGTCATTCCCTTCTGATCTTAAAGCTCTTCTCTATGAGACTATCTACGCAAAAGGGATACATCAAATTTTTTTTGCAGAGAACACCAGCTTTGCGCACGAGCTTGACATATTGAAACAATCTATCGTCAAGAATCTCTCTCTAATTCAGCCAAACTCAGTTCACAGTCTGCTGAAAAAAAGCAGTGCTCTGCAGGTCAAAGGTTCAAGCTGGCAGATTGGTCATAAATTATTCTATGCAATCTACTATGTCACGTATCTCAAGGCACGGCACAAGGGTGCAACGTCAGAAGCTACCATGTTTTTGGTTGAGCTGAATGCCTATCTTGAGGTATACTCTTGTGATGACTTGATTGAACATACGGAGGAGTTCAGAAATTTCATAAAGCAGCTTCTCGACAAGCTCAAAAGTCTTTGCTCCAAATATGGAAGCTTGAGGAAACTTCAGTCCGTACCATGCCACATGCTCACCAACGCTTGTGATACTCTTCGGAGTGCCAAAACTATTGAGAACACCCACTGCATGGCCCAGGACATGTCGCTTCCTTGGGTGAGGAACCTCAAAAGCAAGACCATGACTTCTGTCGGTGCACGCCTACTGATGAAAAGCATCCATGATTGTCTATGGTTTACAGAATTCAGGTACGATGCTGAACAAAATCATTGGAAAGTTCCTGGGAAATGGAGATTTGACAAGCACAACGATGGACATCGAAAATTGCTGTCTAAAATTCAAAAACGAATCATGTCCGTCAGGAAATTACGCAACTTGTACCTGCAGTCCTTAGAGGGAGGCGACTATTTCTTGGATAGTACCCGCATAACTAACTATGGCACTGCTATACTAGACGGAGAGGAATTCAAGATTGGCGGAAGCAAGACGTATGCCAAGATACAACCGCGATACAAAAACGGATCTGCCATATACGTCAAGATCCGTGAATTTGTTGAAATTGGCTTGGACGAGTTTCCTAGTAAATTCGCCATTGTCGAGAACCTTCAGGGGCTTATTTTCAAGCATAAGCTACCAATAGCCAACACAGACAAAGAGCTAGTTGTTGGCCGCACATATGATAAATCTTCTTTCGGTAGAACCGAGATAGTGGAGGTAGAGAAGTATACATGGAAACCGGTTTCTATGATACCTCTAGATGCCACCACATCATTTGTTTATGATCCGCACCTTTGCTACGACGATATAATTTCTAAATAAATAAAAAATCCCACCTTAGACCTGGCAAGTAAATCGATAAAAAACCAACACACTGACAAACGAAATGGTGAGTACTGAGCATGTTATTATTCTAACAGTTGAGTCCTTTGATAAGCCTGTTGGACTTTCAATGCTTCTGGCAGCTACCCTAATATTTGTCTACTACACGATTTGGACCTTTGTGCTTCCATTCCTAGAGCCAGACAACTTTCTACAGAACTTGTTTCTCCCAAGAGAATATGCCATTAAGATCCCCGTTTTGTTGCTATGCGTTGGTGTCACATTCGTTGGTGCATTTATTGGCAGCGTGCTGATCCGTTCATCCAAAAAAGGTAAGAAAGCATAGCTGTACCTTTCTCTAACATTCACAGTACGGATAGGATGAGTCTATGTATCGAAGAATCTAAAATTGCTATTTGCTGAGTTCCATAAGTCATCTGCCAGCTCTCTTCCCACCCCCTTCTGGAATTGCCCGTTAGAATCAAGGTACGAGGTTTCCCTTGGTGGTGATAGCGCCCGAGATCGCACTTTTGTATTAATATGTGTCTGTTTTTTGAACTCGAAATACCGTCCTATGCAATCCATCATGGGTTTCTTGTTGAATAATGCCAGTTTCCGAAGATCGTTGGAAATGTGCTCATACTTGTTTCTTTCATCGATACTGACGTTCGCCCAGACATTTTGGTTAATGAGCTCTACAGGCTCCGCAGAAACCTCTGTTTTGGAAGCGTCTTTAACTCCCAACTCAAACCAAGCACTCCCTGCAAGGCTATGATGCTGCATCAGGTCCTTAATGGCCAGCTGTCGTTGCTGCGTTCGCATGGGGGCTGTTTGCGTGGGCGTGGAGAACTCGGTCATCCCGATCCCGTGCGAATCAAAGGGATCCAAGTAAGGGTTGATTGTGTCGTCATTATCCTTCCCGCTACTCTGCGACTCTGAACGCGTCTCCTCATCAGTGGTCTCTCCTTTCTGATCTGTTTTTGTAGTATTGTCTGTGGAGCTCGGCCTGTGCTTGATGTCCGTCGAATTCGCCTCTCTCAAATCTCGTCTTTTCACTTGCTCTATATAGCGTGAGCCTTGCAAGTCGCTCTGATAGTAATTTATCTTTGAGATTGACGAATTGAATGACGGTACCTCATTAGGCGGCGGCCTGTTGATTAGTATGCTTTTTTTCCCAGTTTCGTCTGGAGCTGGAGGCATGTACTGTGCATCCTGATTCGACCGCGTGTCAAGAATATAATTGACAGAGTTTGTTCGTCTTGGAGCAACAGTCTCAAAAACTTTCGAGTCATTATATGCGTTGATTATATGGTTTCTGTACCCTGGGCCACCTCCGGAGGCAGCTGATAAACTATGGCGTTTCACCTCCGCCATATGGTCATGTTTGGAGCCAAGAAACGGAGACTGCGTTCGCTTGAGCGACGTCTGCAACGACTGCGTCGAGTGCTCGCGTCGAAGTTTATTAAGCGTAAAATTCGGTTTGAAAATAGACGTATGCGCGGAGGAATCACGACTTGTTGGTATGCTTTTCTGGAACTCATATCTTTTGGGCACCTGGTACTGGCGGCCTCGTTTTTCTCCGGGCCGCTGACTATCCACTGCACTCTCCATGATGGAAAAAACCCTTCCCTCGTAATCTTTGAAAAGGCAATTCTTTTATCTTATCAGTAGTGTGCCGCGTGAATACCTCCCGTATTTTTTTCTGATCTAGCAATGCCTTACAAGATTACGTCAATTATAGATTTGGACGGGAGGAAGCTTATCCGCCGTGTAAAACCAGTTCGACGACTCAACCTCCTTCTGGAGCCACTTGGTAGGGAAGATAACCAAATGGCCCGTGATAAGCTTCAGTAGCTTCTCGGCAGACTCGTAGTCGTACACGGAAGGAACCCCCATCAACGGATTGGCTTTGGATCTGTTGTAAGTGTTGGATATTCCCGAACGAGTATATCTTTCGAGCTCGGCAATTTTGGACCGACGAATGGCATACCGCAAACTGTCGATCTGAGCTTCGTCTGTCTCGGAGCTCAGCGGTGGCTGTGTCTGAATGCCTGTCGAGCTTGCCACACTCTCGTTCGATCCGTGGTTGTCGTTCGCTGTCTCCGGGCTCAGTTGCTGAGACATCAATTCTGTGCCACCATGCTCTCCGTCAGCCGCAGTTGCACCTCCGTGACTGGCCCTTTGATGCAAAAGGAACGACTCCTTGAGTTCCTGGAACATCTTGTAGTCGCTCCATGTCTGAACGCTGTCGTCGGGTTGAACATGGAAGACCATTTGGTATATCATCGTGTTGCGCAGAGCTTGCGGCATCCATAAGCCTTCGTAGAAATCAATATCCAAAGGGTCCTCAAAAGAATAAGGGTCCACAAAAATCTGTGAGACTCTAGGAAGACAGTTCGCACTCAAATCTTCAACATCTGCGTCCGAAAGCGAAGTGGCTGGAAAGCGAGGCAACTTCACGAGTGAGCTTTCGGCATATCCATTTTCCGTTCCTGAAGAGAAGTTTCCAGCATCTTCCTTGTTATTGGCAGATGCATTCTCGGACTCCCGCTTTCGTTTGTTGAAAAGCTTTTGTAAATAGTGCAATCTCTTGAGCATATCCCACCTTTGATGGTTGAGAACATCTGCTGGTAGATTCTTATCATCGTTACTGATGAAATCTAACACATCCTCAATGCACGGAAGAGTCTGATGAATATCAGAAGAAGACGAACTTGCCCACTCTGCAAGAAGCTTAGTATTTTTTGACTTGGAGTTCACATGAGTTGCTGACTGATACTTGTCCGGCCCAAACCCTTTGACTTCGCTTCTATGGGCTTTGTCTGTGACCCGCGAATCGCTCGAAAATGCCTTTTTCTCTCTAATACCAGGATTCTCTTCACCTGCTCGATGGTTGAAGGAGTAAACGTATGGAATCTGGTCCAAGTTATCCGAAAGGGCATCATCATAATCGTTGTGGAATGAATCTATTAGCTTCTTGGTCAGCTCGCCACCAGCAGTCCTGTGAGTAGTCAACTCCGATTTGAAGCGAGGTGTTCCGTCAGGTAGATCTAAAACATACCGAGCAGCGAGCTCGACCATTGCCGACAATTTTTTGTCTCCCGTTTTCGATGTAGCACTGGTCAGACCTTCGGGAGTACATGCAAACTTCTCTATCTGAGAGAATCTTCGTTCCACAAGCTCTAGCAGATCCACGTCAACGCCTAGGTGTTCTCTCATCTGCCGCATTCGCAAAGTGTGAGCAAATTTGGCAACCTTATATGGTTTTCCGTCCATGAAGGTGTCGATCATTTCTTTGTCACGAACAATCGTGCAAATCTCCGAGTCTCTAGTACCTCTCATCGATCTCTCGTTTATATTTGCAGACCCAATTATCGCAATGCGGTCGTCCACAACCATCGTTTTTGCATGAACATACAATTGCTCTGTGGTCAAGGACTTCTTTCTTCCAATGTATCCCCATTTTCTCAACGAGTAAAATTGAATATAGTCTTCAGGTCTGATACCAGCCCTTCTCAGTCTAGCGAAAATGGATGTCTCTCCCATGGAAATAGACATATATTGACACTGCATGATCACTCTTATCGACGATGCTTCTTTGCTATCAACCTGGCTCTTGAAACCAGGCATCAAGGGTATGATAATGACTGCTTTCCATGACTCTCTGTTTGCATGCGCACGAATAATCCTCTCAACTAGCGCATCGCCAATCTTGTTTTTAATCACCACACCATCATGTTCGTGGCTGCTGACAAAGAATTGGTTTTCGATGTAAATAAAATGCTCACTCGTTTCTATGAGTCTCAGATAAGCATTGTGGATACTTTGCTCGGGCTCTTGGAGCCCAAGGGACCAAGAACAAGATGAACGCAAAACTTGGACTTCGCAAGTACCAGTGAGTCCTAGATCCTCAATTTCTTGCTCAGTAAAGTCTCTTGGGGGCAAGAGCAAAGGTGTAAGTCTTGACGGGCGCTTTTGGCGTAATAAGAAATTCCAACGCTGAACAAAATGTCTTGATAGATCTCTTGCAATATGGCCGCAGGTCATCATGTGGACATCATGCCATGGCATACGAGGGACTGACTGCCTGTCGATCATGTCCTGGAATGGCTGGTTGAGCTCAAAAAAGTCGCAAATGCGTGGGTTTGAGTAATCTTTTCCAGGATAGATCTGGTAGCTGTGAGCGTTTCCGGTGGAACTTGAACTATTTGGAGGGATAGGATCAAATGCACATGGAGCATCGTCAACCACCGAGTGATCCGGAGTATCGTATCTTCCATAGCAAAGGTCAATTCCTCCGACAAAGCATACAGTGTGATCAATGATAACCAGTTTCTCGTGATGAGCCCAAAAGTAGACATTCTGCATAAGCTGATTTGGGGATCTCAGGACATAAACATTTGGATGAAGATCCAGTAGCGAGTGTTTAGTCCAAAGGGAATCTGTCTGGACGGTGTTTGCGACATTTCGGTACACGATGACAAAAATTTTGATACCCTGTTCCGCCTTTCGCTTGAGCAGCCTATCCAGTCTCCATTCCTGATTACCATTTGCAGGACGCCTGAGGTATATTTCTGGGGAAAGCCACCAGTCGTGGATATAGACCACATCCTTTGCCATTTCTATTGCTGCGGAAACAGCCCACATGTAGTCTCTAGCATCCACAAACCATTTTGCAAACACATTATCACGGACAGGTGCAAAGCTCTCAAACCGATGTTTCTTGGACCAGATGGTCTCTTTTGCCATTTCATGAATCGCAACACACCATCTTTTCATCTGATTTGCAGACTTGCCCACGACACTCAACTTCCTTTCCGAATTTTCAAGAGTTAATGACAGATAAGATTTGTGCACCGGCGCGGGATCTTCCACAAAGCCGTCTTCATCATCATCGTCTTCCTCCTCCTCGGCTTTGAGCTGTTGTTTCACAAACTCCGATAAGTTGTGCAATGTGACAGGAGCATCCCCAAAGCCTGAAAGGGTAAATTTGAAACTGCTGTCGATGAGGAAAACATCAAGCGGAGTGGTGGAGTTTATGTCAGCAACGTACATGATATAGCTGTGTCCCAGTATGAACCATTTTGCAATGTGACGCTCAACCATGGCTTTCAGCTCCCTGGCTTTCAAATGCCCGACCCTCCATCCTTGAGCTTTCGCTGTCGTCTTGATCAGCAAGTAGCCCTCTTTGCGCTTTCGTCCTGTCTCGTATGATAGAAGCATTCCGATAGGCGACAGTTCAAAAAATTGGAATATACGGTTGGCTTGAGGGCGCAAGTTGAATGCACGAATCAGATTATCCAGATATTCTTGCATCGCGTCCCTGAAATGCTCGTTGGTGAGAATATCGTTGGGCTTACGCTTGAAAAAGCCATGCCTTCTTAGGCTTGAGCGAACGGAGAACATGCTGGTGTTATCATCATCGTCACTGGATTGCGAAGAGTTCACTGGATTGTATGCGGTTGGGTTATCATCATTGGGCGACACTATTGATGATGCGTTGGTTTCTGCTCTATTGACACCTTGCTTTAGCTTCGAGTATGCGGTTTGGTTTTTGTATTTAGGAAATTTCGGAAGCTCAATCTCCTTGTGGCCTTTCTGTAGCACGTTCTCTTGCAAAATCATGAGTCTCAATCGGTTGTGCAAGACTGCCAGATCCCTGGAAGTCTTTTCTAAGGACCATCTTAAATATTGGCTCCCCACTGCATAATCAAGGTCTATTCTGAATTTTCGTTTTTTAGTGTGCACATTAGTACTGACATCAGTCAGCGTCAAGCTGAGCATTTGAAGCAAAAGTGGCACTCTTCGTGTGCCGTGCTCATCAGACATAAAATATGTGGCAATGATTAACGCGGCTGGGTATCCTAGAATGTTGGCGTCCACCAACCATCTTGTTTTCATGTGGCTTTTGTACTCAAGTTCATGGGAATGGTCTATCTGCCCATAGGCAGTGGAACTTCTCACGGGATCTCCCCGGGTAGTCACTCGTTTTATTCCTTTCAGGATCTTCTTTTGAAATGGCTCTTTTTCCTCGCTCGGCTGCTCTGAAGCTTGCTCATTGTGCGTCCCCTTGAAAGAGAAAAGTGAGAGTCGACCTGTCCTTCTAGCAGTAGGCGTAGGCACTGCTCTCGAATCTTCGTCTCTCCAATACTCAGTTGTATTGCGGGGGTCCTCGTCTTGGAGAGGCTGGCTCTTGTCATGGCCATTTTCCTTCCCGGAGAACGTCTCTAAACTGGCATCCTGATGCTTTCCTTCTCCGTTAACGGCACTTACTTGGTTGAACCGGTCGTGGAGATGCTCGACATTGACCGCAGATGCCGAATTAGCAGATTGTACAGACGACATTTATGGATTAATACAGTCGTTACCGCAAATATGAGACCGCGGATCTGGACTAGTGCTGATAACGATGTGAACGATATATTTTAGTGTTTTGTTCCCCTTCGTGTTATGCAGAGCTTAGCGTGATATTTACGTAAGCACAAACACATCAAGTCAATTTACGTATGTTCGGGTCTATGTACACTAGAAGGTTTCGTTCAAGTACTTCTTCAGAGGTTTGGAGACGTCACCTTTAATCCGGAGCGTCATGCTTTGCATGATACAGGTGAAGTCGCTTTTTGGTTTCTCTGGGAAGAGCTTCTGGACGTCGTCCCTAAACTTAGTCAAGCTTCCATCGATTCTTCGCACTTCGGTGACGACAGCCTGGCTTTTGTAGGTTCTGTAAACGGGTATGTTTCCTTTGTGAGTTCTTGAAATGTAGTAAGCGTTCTTGAATGGTTTTCCGTACAAGTTGTCGGCGTTGACTTCCTCTACTTTGGGAAAAACTTTGGTCAGTCTTGAAATAGTAGTGGGAGCCAAAGGTTTCTGTGGCAACGAGAGCGACACTGGCGCGAGAGTCGACTGTGGTCTGGCAATTATCTGTTTCCACATGGTCGTATTGGTGTCGACGAAAAATTTATTAAGGAAAATAGCGGTCGTGCACTGATTACTTTAATAAGAGCTGAAGCTGATCTAAATTGTGAGAATCGATCAGCATTGGGGTTGAATGAGCCGGCAGACATAGTGGGAAGAATGTTGGGTGCCTTAGTAGTCCAAAATAGGGCCTTCTGTATTTTTAAATCATGTCCATCTAGTGCTAGGTAATGTAGGGTGTTCTTTGTGATCAGAGTCGAAGGCTCAGTGGTCGAATGACGCCCCAGAGAGCGCCGGAAATGTACAAAAGTACTTTGATCTTGTGACATTCACTTCTGTTAACTTACTCTATCAGCCCAGTACCATCAGTTCAATTTCATCACCTATTTCTGTCACCTAAGTCTAGCACCTTTATCTGTTGGGCTTCAGCTCGGCAGTTGCTTGATGCGTGCCTCAACACCTTCCAAATGATGACCTTCACAGGAGTGAGAAGACTTAACTTCTTTCTGTCTCATTCGCCAATCACATCCTCCGACCATTGTTGAGCTGTATGTTATCTGATACAGTGTTCAACAAAAGTATGACTGACACGATTGTCCCATGCAGGGCCTCAACAGGCGATGGAAACGTCCTCCAACAATCCCAACGAACAATAGATCAGCGTTTTAGTCACACGGCCCTATACACGATTTCCCAAACAGGACAGGAAGCCCAAATCTTGACTGCATTTTCCAACGTTGTATGCACGGCAGCCCGGCTGTGCAGGTGATTCCGGTGATTCATTCTGCACAAAAAATTTATGACTTTGACAATTTTTTTATCAATATAAATAGGCCGGCTGAAGAATTGAAATGGCATAGCAAAATGGACGTTGAATCGAGCACCAAAACTGAGGCTTCGCAGGAAGTCGAGAACCTCACCCCCGTCGAAGACAAGAGGCTGGACCGGATCTACCGGCACCTGGACTTCCGGATTATCCCTGCTCTGTGGTGTCTGTATTTCCTCACCTCTTTTGGAGGTTCTGCATACGGAAACACTTTGACTATGAATTTTGAGACTGGGCACTCGCTCAAGCAAACTTTGAACCTGACTGCCCACGACACGTCTGTTGCCTCTGCGCTGGAATACGTGGGTTTTATCCTGTTTGATCTGCCAATGAACCTGGCCATGACCAAAATGTCTCCTCAAGTCTGGCTCAGCAGAATGGTGGTTAGCGTTGGTTTGCTCTACATCTGTTACGCTGCGTTGAAGAACGCAGAGGGCCTTATTGCCATCCGTTTCTTCTCCGGTGTGGCAGGAGCGGGCGTGTGGCCTGGTATGACGTACTACATTTCTCTGTGGTATCCAGAACACCGGACTGCTCGCAGAATTGGCTACTATTTCACTGCTGCCCAGCTGAGTGCCTCTGCTGCTGGTCTGGTTGCCGCAGGATTCCAGAAGATGAACATGACCAGAAACATGGAGGGCTGGAAGTGGCTTTTCATCATCTACGGGGCCATTACCATGTTTGTTGGTTTCACTTTAATTTGGTGGCTTCCTGATAGACCATCGCACCTGGCCAGCCCTAAGAAATCTTTCTTGCCAAAGAAGGTGGCTACTTTCTTCCGCTCGCCTCAGCCTCTGACCGGCGAAAATCGCCTCATCCACGAGCAGGACATGAAGGCAAGATACACCAAGATTACCTGGGGCTGGAAAGACGTGCTAAAGGTCATCTCTGACCTGCGGACTTGGCCTCTGATTATCATGTACTTTGGAGTCGTCGGCACCGGATTTGGTCTTGCTGTGTTCGGTACCACGCTCATCAGTGCCCTGAACACAAATCTCTCTGGTATCGATGTTTCGCTGCTGTATGCTCCGATCTGGCTTTTCGATCTCGGAGGCATCTTGCTGGTCACGCCGTTTGCGGACAAGTTCAAGGGCTTGCGGCCGGTTCTCTTCAGCGCAAGCACCCTGATAATCATCGTGGGATTGATTGTCACCACCTATGCCCACGGTTTCTGGCACAGATACGCCGGCCTGCTCATCTGCGGTTTTGGCCTTGGACCAACCGTGCCGATCACTATGACCATGTCGTCCGAGATCATGCTGCCTGCTTACGGAGACGTCGGCACGGCCGTGGCCGCTGCACTGGTGTCCGGTCTCGGAAACCTTGGCTCTGTCACTGCCACCTACGCTCTGTATTCGGGCTGGCCGGCTGACGCAGCTAGATTGTACCAATACTCCAACATGATGCTGGTTCTGATGCTGGGCGTCAGTATTGTGAGCTGTGCTGTTTTGCAGTTCATGAGATGGAAATGGTACCAATAATTCAATATATAGTCACTAATCTACGGCTTAATAACCTCCACTGGCGAACCGTTATTTTTGCTGCTTCTCAGGATTGCATCCACGATGCTCAGATGGTGGAAACACACCTCTGGGGTCGTGATGACCTTGGACTTGTCCTTCGAAGTGAGCGCCTCGCCCAAAACCTCAAACTCTCTGTCTGTGCTCAAAAACTCGTCCTGGATGGTAATAGTCTCGGTATTTTTCGGAGTGTCCGCAGTGAGCCCGCCAGTTTTGAGCGTGATCACTCTGTCCTTGCCCGGACTGAAGTCGAAGTGCACGGACCCGTTATCGCCGAGAATCTCGAAGAAACAGCTCTTGTCTGTATTGCCGAACGCAGATCCGTAGGTGAATGTGCCGATCTGGCCGGCCTCGGTCTCCAGAAGCGCGTACGCAATGTCGTCGGCCCCGCTCTGCTCGCGGATCTGTCTCGTGTGAGCAGAAACCGTCCTCACCTCGCCGAGCACGCCGGTCAGAAGAGCGAGCTGGTGCACACCACCATCAGAAAGAAATCCACCAATGTGTTCTGGCTTCTGTCTCCAGGAGGTGGACAGATAAGCATTGTCAAAGTTGAAAGGTCCTGTCGAATGGTACGTAAAGGAGTACACTTTCCCAATCTTGGAAACGGCCTGTTTGAGTTGCTCGACGGCCTTGAAGTAGGACCAGTGCTCCAAGATGAATACGGTAATGTCGGGGTTCTCTCTTGCAATCTTGACGAATTCCTTGGCCTGCTCGATATTCGCAGCCAAAGGTTTCTCCAGCGCAATGTTCTTCTTGTGCTTGACTGCCAGCTTCAATGCGTCGACAGTGAACTGGGCAGGCAGCAAGGCGTCCACGAGGTCGACGTCCGGGTCTTCAAAGACCTCCTCGAGACTGTTGTACACCTTTTGGATGCTGGAGTCTCTTTTGGCAAACTCTTCTGCCTTGGCCTTCGTTCTGTTGAAACACGAGTGTGGAGTGAAGTACTCCGACTTTTGAAGGGTAGGCAGATGGGCCTTGGTGGCAAATATACCAGTGCCAACAATTGCAACGTTAAGCTTCGCCATGGTAATTAATGGATAAACTAATTATTTGGCCAAGAAGCGCACTTATAAGGCCAGCATGACTAATACGTGCATACACCGCGACGCTGCCACAGCGAAATTTTTCGGACTGATGCCCTGTGCTACCAGCAGGGCAGGTCGTCCCGAGCACTCGTTAAACGGGCCCTGGCCAGGCTTTGTGCCCCACATCGTCTCTCGGACATCGCTCGGGACTTGCCCCAAGTACGGTCGTGTGGCGCTCAATCTCGAGATTTGCTAAAACACATCGCTAAATAAAAAAACTCGTCGTCAATGAATCAACTACAGGGGCCATCCGAAACACAAAAGCTCACGCCTCCGGCTGTGAAGGACCCCGTGGCGGTCACTGTGGCTACGTATCTGCGCCATCACAAGATCTTGAAACAGAGACAGGGATTCAACATCAACACAAAGGAAAAACAGGACTTCTTCAGGTACAAGAGATGTATAAGGGCATTGCTGAGCGACGAGTACAAGAAACAACAGGCCAAACAGCCCTCGCTCCCTGCTATTGCTGACAACGCGCAGGCACAGAGAATGTTCATTTTGATGATCCAGAACCAGCTCATCCAGCCGGTCAAGAAGCTCAAGACACAGGAAGCAAAACAAAAGAAGGCCAAGCTCGAAAAGGGCGTTCCGTGTCTCGAGTCGACCACAAAGGCTGTTTTGCAGCCAGACGAATATTTCGTGTGGACCTTCACTCCTCCAAACCCGTACCTTGTCGTGTACTCTCTACTAGGGCTTGTGGCCATATTCACGGTGATCCTGTTCCCCTTGTGGCCATTTTGGATGAGAAAGGGTGTTTGGTACCTAAGTACGTGCCTGCTGGGTCTGATCGGTCTGTTCTTCGCGCTCGCCATAGTCCGACTAATCATCTACGTGTTCACGCTGGTGTTTCTTCCTTCGCAGTTCTGGCTCTTCCCGCGACTATTCGACGATTGCGGCTTCTTTGACAGTTTTGTGCCGCTCTACGCATGGGAAGACCCTAAGGGGAAGGGAAAGAAGAAGAAAACCCGGACCGCGTCCGAACAAAAACAAGCACCGGCTGTTTCGTCGCAGTCAGAAAAATATACTACAACGGCCACCAAACGGGCCACAGTCGAGGAAATCGAATAGCACGTATAATAATTCCATTAAATTTTCCTATAAAAACCATCTAACCTTCATTAACCAACCTCGTCATGAATCGTTCAGTCCACCTCTTCGACGGAAGGACCCTGGTCAGCGCCCGGAGCGGCTCCGCCAGCACCTGGGAAGCCGCCTGGAGCAGCGCCGCCCGGAGCACCACCGGCTGCGTACAAGTCCTTCAGTGCGTCGTTAGCAATACCTTCAAGCTCCTTACGCTTGTCGTCGTACTCGTCAGTAGTGGCGGACTGGTTGTTGTCGAGCCACGAGATCGTCTCCTCGATAGCCTTGTTGAGAGACTCTCTCTTGGAAGCGTCCACTTTCTCCTCGAATTGCTTCTCGGAAGCAGTTTGCTTCAATGAGTAAGCATAAGACTCCAAGCCGTTCTTAGCAGCGATTCTGGCAGCCTCCTTTTCGTCCTCCTCTTTGAACTTCTCGGCCTCAGCAACCATTCTATCAATCTCCTCCTTGGACAGTCTGCCTTTGTCGTTGGTGATGGTGATCTTCTGGGACTTTCCGGTACCCTTCTCAACAGCGGACACGTTCAGAATACCGTTGGCGTCGATATCGAAGGTGACCTCAATTTGAGGAACACCTCTTGGAGCTGGTGGAATGCCAGAAAGCTCGAACTTACCAAGCAAGTTGTTGTCCTTGGTCTTGGCTCTCTCACCCTCGTACACTTGGATCAGCACACCTGGCTGGTTGTCCGAGTAAGTGGAGAAGATCTCAGACTTCTTGGTTGGAATGGTGGTGTTTCTTGGGATCAGCTTCGTCATGACACCTCCAGCGGTCTCAATTCCGAGAGACAGAGGAGCAACATCCAACAGAAGCAAGTCTTGAGTCTTCGAAGAGGTGTCACCGGTCAGAATGGCGGCCTGGACAGCTGCACCGTAGGCAACGGCCTCATCTGGGTTGATGGACTTGTTTGGCTCCTTGCCGTTAAAGAAGTCCGAAACGAGTTTCTGGATCTTTGGGATTCTGGTGGAACCACCAACCAGCACAATCTCGGCAACCTGCGACTTGTCGAGCTTGGCGTCTCTCATGACTTTCTCAACAGGGTCCAAAGTGGATCTGAACAGGTCCTGACACAGCTCCTCGAATCTGGCTCTGGTGATCGAGGTGTAGAAGTCAATACCCTCGTACAGCGAGTCGATCTCGACAGAAGTCTGGGCCGAGGACGAAAGAGTTCTCTTGGCTCTCTCGCAGGCGGTTCTCAATCTTCTCAGAGCCCTCTGGTTGCTCGTCAGATCCTTCTTGTACTTTCTCTTGAACTCGTTGGCAAAGTGGTTGACCAGTCTATTATCGAAGTCCTCACCACCCAAGTGGGTATCACCGGCCGTGGCCTTGACCTCAAAGATACCCTCGTCAATGGACAACAGCGAAACATCGAACGTACCACCTCCAAGGTCGAAGATCAAAATATTTTGCTCACCCTTACCTTGCTCTTTTTTATCGAGACCGTAGGCGATGGCAGCGGCGGTTGGCTCGTTGATGATTCTGAGCACGTTCAGACCGGCAATAAGTCCGGCATCCTTGGTTGCCTGTCTTTGCGAATCGTTGAAGTAGGCAGGAACTGTGATGACGGCGTCGGTCACCTTGCCACCCATGTACGACTCTGCAGTCTCTTTCATCTTGGTTAGCACCATGGACGAGATTTCCTCAGGCGTGAACACCTTGGTCTCACCCTTGAACTCGACCTGAATGTGAGGCTTGCCACTCTTCTCGACGACCTTGAATGGGAAATGCTTTATATCAGTTTGCACCTCTGGATCATCAAACTTTCTACCAATCAGTCTCTTGGCATCAAAGACTGTGTTGGCTGGGTTCATGGCCGCCTGGTTCTTGGCAGCATCACCGATCAACCGCTCAGTATCGGTGAAGGCCACGAACGAAGGCGTGGTTCTGTTACCTTGGTCATTGGCAATGATCTCGACTCTGTCGTTGACAAAGTGGGCCACGCAAGAATACGTTGTTCCTAAATCAATTCCGACTGCTTTAGACATCTTGATTTAATACTGAGGAAAATAGCGTGGTACGAGGCCCGCCTTATATACACAAAAAATGCTACATCCGATGGAAACATATGGAAACTCTGCTGTCAACTGACGGTTGCTCGTACCTTCTCCATACTAAGGCAATTTCTGGAAAATTCCAGCACTACTCACGCTAGTTTTTGTGGGGTAACTGGTGCACGGATGTTTGTGCTGCGCTGATTCCGCTACTCGTGTTTCCGCCCTGAGTGTGCAAATTTCTTGTATGCTAGAAGCATCATCTTGGAGAACCAGTGGATATTGAGCACATTGAGGCCGATGTTCAGCCCTATGGCGATGGGCAGGACGCCCGTTGGTAGCTGGTCACGCACTTTCAAGCAGATATCGAAAGTTCTGAAGGCGGCGTAGATGCCCCAGACGATCCGGCACGAAAAGAACGAGACAATCAGCAGGATCCCGTTCACCATGAACAGTGTCTCGTTGACCGCTCCCTTTGGCAGCCTCGACGCGAACCAGTAAAAGTTGACGAAGGGCGTACTAGCCTCGAAGATCAGGAACGAAGGAATAGTCGGCTGGCAGAACCCTGCAAAGGTCATACCGAACACGGTTAGTGCCGCGGCGGCGTGGAACAGGTACGGCAGGCCAAACATGTCAAAGTGGAACAAGCAGCAGTACAGCAGGTCCCACACGAAATAGCCGCAGGTGAGCGCGGCCGTCAGTCCGGCAAAGTCGTAGGATCCAAACACGGGATCGGATTTGAAATTTGGGTGGAAGAACATGGGGATGCATAGGGCAACCGAAATGATTGACTGCACGAACGCAGAGATGTGGATGTCAAAGTTCAGTTTGCGTCTTTTATTAGTGATGCTCGTGTAGTGCTCGCGGAAGATCGCGGTGTTGATCAACGGAGCAGCCATGGTGATTGCGTGGTAGAACAAGGCGCTGGCCAGCATCTCGTGCCAGTGTTTTTGGAACGGCGTCTTTGCCGACTCCAGGTACGGATTGTATTTCAGAAATGGGTCCTGGTCAATATAGAGCATGAGTTCAAACGGGTTTGGCCCAACAAATAAAATGTGAACTGGGTGCTTATGTAAAAAAATATAAATCTATACGAAGGATTTTGGAACGTGCGAAAAGAAAAACTTTACTGTGCTACAATGGCTTTCGATCTTGTTTGTTTGGGGAACCCACTGCTCGATTTGCAGGTGAATGTTGAGAAAGCGTACCTCGACAGGTACGGTCTCAAGGAAAATGACGCTATTTTGGCCGAGGAAAAGCACATGCCAATCTTCGACGAGGCCCTTGCCCGTCCCGATGTGCGTCTGATCGCTGGAGGTGCCGCCCAGAACACCGCCAGAGGCGCCCAGTACATTCTGCCAGCCAACTCTGTGCTCTACTTTGGCTCTGTTGGAAAGGACAAGTACGCCGACAAACTCATCGAGGCCAACAAATCCGTTGGGCTCACCACCGCCTACATGGTGCAAGACGACGTCGCCACCGGCAAGTGTGCTGCTTTGATCAATGGCACCAACAGATCGCTGGTCACCGATCTAGGTGCTGCTAACCATTTCAAGCCATCGCATCTGGAGAAGCCAGAAAACTGGGAGCACGTGAAAAAGGCAAAGGCTTTCTACGTCGGCGGCTTCCACCTGACTGTTTCTCCAGAGGCCATCGAGCTGCTTGGAAAACACGCTGCCGAGGAGAACAAGCCGTTCGTGCTCAACTTCTCTGCTCCGTTCATTCCCCAGTTCTTCAAAGACCCACTGGCTCGCGTCCTGCCGTACGTTGATTACGTCATCTGCAACGAGTCGGAGGCCGCTGCGTTTGCGGAAGCCAACGGTCTTGACGCCTCTGATCTGGTCTCTGTTGCCAAGTGGATTGCCAAATCGGCCAAACTCAACGTCAAGAGGCCGCGCACCGTTGTCTTCACGCAGGGAACCGACCCCACCTTGGTCGTCGTCCACGAGAACGGCGACTTTGCCGTGAAGGAGTACCCGGTGCATGCGTTGGAGGCCTCGAAAGTGACCGACACCAACGGCGCAGGTGATGCGTTTGCTGCTGGTTTTGTCGCTGGCTTGGTCCAGGGCAAGGATCTTGCTACCTCCGTTGACATGGGGCACTGGCTGGCTAAGCTGTCGATCCAGGAGATTGGTCCATCTTTCCCATTTCCTAAGCAAACGTACGGTAATTAGATGTATAAGTAAAGGAAGACCTATAAACTACGTCACAGTGACTGGTACGCGTCAAGGTGTCGCCGGTGAGTTGGGGCTGTGTTTTGGCCTCGGTTTCCCGGTGAATGGGGATCGGTGATTACGGACTATTGTCTGCCAGTTTAGCGAGTTTAGCGTGCTGCCTGTTTGGGAAACCCGAGCAAGGCTTTGAACGCCGACAAAGCCACCCGAGTAAGATGTTTCTTGCTATTTTCTTGTCTGTGAGGTACACCGGTAGGCATGCAGATACAGGCGCAATTTGCTTCGTCAAGTGGGTCTTGTCGGTGGAGTGTTTCTATTGTTCTCATTGGTTCCGTTTCGGTGTTCCCTTTCCGGAACCTGCAAAATTTTCTATTGGCTGGCAAACACCGAGGGATTGCATATATCAGTGCCTAGACTAGATGTCGGCTGAGTGCAGCCACAAGACGTTTCATTGCGTGCGCAATCTCAAATACCGAGCTGACCTATTCAGCATGGCCTCACAAGCGCGTACTTGGCACTCCAAGACCGGGACCTGCAGTATTCAGCTTGGCTCTTCTGCCCCCTCAGCGCTTAAGCCTCCTCCCGCTCGGTGATCTTTTATTCCAGAACCAAAATATTCCGCCTCACTCTTGCATGATGCATTTGAGACGCATGACAATAAAATCGAGCTATCTTGGAAATCTCTTCCACCTACATCTGTTTATATAAACCTGGGATATCCTCGAGGGCCCCCAAATTCGGCATCGCTCTTCATGTTGAAGTTCGGAATGGCATCAACTCCCCCAGGATTTTCTAATATGCAACAGATGTCGACGGATCATTTAAATGCTCGCTTTACGCAAAACCAGTACAACAAACTCCCCACCCTCTCGGCGGTGAACCCACTCCAAACGCAGCAGCAGCCACCCCTGGTGCCTCCCTCGTACCTGTATGAGCACCAGGATTTCATGCTGTCTGATCCGGCGGACTACATCGGCCTCTCCCCGCCTATCTACTATAATACACAGTCGCTTGGAACGCCGAACCGGTACAGCAAGCCGGGCGATATGTTTTACCAGTTTCCGCAGCAGAGGGCCCAGGCCGCGCCCCGCGTACCATCTCTGGGCATGCCACAGACGTATATGCCGGTACTTGGCGACCACAGAGCAACCGCGTCCACGAAAACGTCCAAGTCGGGAGCAGTGTACCCATGCCGGATATGTGGTAAAGTGTTCCCCAAACCGTACAACCTGAAATCGCACCAGAAGACGCATTCCAACGAGAAACCGTTCCCTTGCAAGTACTGCTCGAAACCGTTCGCCAGGTCGCACGACAGACGTCGACACGAGAAACTGCACGAGAACGACAAGAAGCTCAAATGTGGAGGCCTTTTGAGCGACGGGAAAACCACCTGGGGGTGCAACCGGAAGTTTGCGCGCCCGGACGCGCTCCGCAGACACTTCCGGACAGACACCGGCGTGGCATGCATCCGTCCGCTAATGCTCGATTTCCGCAATTCGAAGCAAGTCTACGAAGAGCCCACCGAGGAAGACACAGAGCAGGTGATCAACGATATAGCGCGCGAGGCCGCCATTGAGGCACTCAGCGTCAACAATAACCGTGCGGGTGACCACGACACCAGCTCTCCAAATTAGATATATTCATATATATTTTTTTACACATATCCTGTTTCGCTCCAAAATATTTTTAATCCATTTTTTTCTTCATGGAAGAACAAACCTGTCGAATCTGCCGGTGCGAGGGAACTCCCGAAGACCCGCTGTTCCATCCGTGCAAGTGTCGCGGGTCGATCAAGTACATACACCAGGATTGTCTGATGTCGTGGCTTGAGCACTCGCACAAGCAGACCTGCGATATTTGCCATACAAAGTACGCCTTCCAGACGATCTATGATTCTGACACCCCGGAGCGACCACCGATTTACATAATTTTGCACACGCTTCAGACGGTTTGCCAGAGTGTTCTGTACTACGCACTCGTTGTGGTGATTGGCGTGGTATTCATTCTGTTGCAACTGCCGATTTCCACGTCGTTCCTAGCCCGCCTCTACACATATCTCCTGGGCTGCTACATGCCCCACCAAACGATCCGGGAGTCCACGCTTTTTGGCAAACAGGCGCCAGACCCAAAAGGCTGGCTCACCTCGGCGAGTCTCAAGACGCTTTTGTTCAGCTCTTACTTCAAAGGCCTGCGCATCCTCATTTTTGGGGCCACTCTGATCATCGTGACGGTTGCCGTTCACGAGTGGGTCACCAAGGACGAAGGGTTCTCAAAAATTATTGAACACAACATTGGGCCCGAATTCACAGCGCAAAAGATTCTCCAGATGCTCCAGCAGCCAAGAAATGAGATCCCAAGACGGCCCGAGACACATCTTCCGCGTGCCCTTGATCCTGCCGTGCAGGACGAGCAGGACGAAAGAGTCGACGAAAACGATGAAGCCGACCGGCTCGCTCGCGACGAGTTGCTCAGACAGCTCCGTATCGACAGAGCAAGAAACCAGAGAGAGCAACGGCGCATCCGGCAAATGCAAGAATGGCAGGAGGAGCAGCGCAGACAGCAGCTTGGAGGCGGCGAGAACGTGTTTGTAGAGTTCTCGCTTACTCCGTTGTTTCTCATCAAGGTGGCATGGTTTCTCGAGCTCATGGTGGTCGTGGTGCTGGGTGTTTTTTACTTCCTTCCCTCGCTGCTGGGAATGATTTCTCTCACCGCGATTCACTCCCTGGTCGCGCTGTCCTACAGGCTGGTGTTGCACATAGTCCAAATGGCTGGCATCAAGTTTACATTTGAGTACAGCAGTCCTCTCACCTACCTGCCTTCTGTTGATCTCTCCTCGCTCCAACAAATCTATTCTAATATCGTCAACTGGACTCCCGAAGCAGAAGTGTTGGAAAGGACGCTGGTCTTGGCTGCGGGCTATTTCACGGTGGGGTCCGCAATCGCCGCAATTATGCACCTGCTGGAGTCCGGATGCTCGCCCGTGAACCCGCTCTCTCGTGGATACCGGGCCATATACATCGCGCTACTAGAAGTTGTTTGCACTTTGAAGGTGCTCTCCATTTTCTGCATTGAGCTGTTGATCTTCCCTATTTTCTGTGGATTGCAACTGGACTTTGTGCTCGCTCCCGTCCTGACAGAAAACAGCTTCTTTGCCATGTTCGACATCAACTCGCCATACAAGAGCGCGCTGCTTGTGCTTGGACTCGGAACTTACTTCATGTACGTTTTTGCGTCCTTTGTCAGCATGGCACGCAGCGATATCCTCAGAAAGGGCGTTCTATTTTTCATCCGGTCTCCAGACGACCCAAACGTCCGGCTTATCCACGACGCCCTGATGAAGCCGTTTGGGTTGCAAATCTCCAGAATTGCGCTTTCGGGGCTCGTTTATACAATCTACATCGCCGTCGAGTTTGCCGCGGTCACCTGGGGTCTCAAGTACCTCGTTCCTTACAAGATATTCCCTATTCGATACACAATATCCGGCATTTGGTCGGTCATCCCTCCTCTGGTCAGATCCATCGCGACACAACCGTCGTTCGCGAAACTTTTCCGTGCATACTGGCAAATGGCTTTCAGACAGTCGTGCTCGCTGCTTAGACTTTCGTCGTTCATTCTGGGAGCTGATGTGCCTGAGGAACGCGGCCACGTCGTGTATAGGTCTTTGGTGTACCGTCTACTGGGCCACAAGCCGGAGTATAACTCGCCAGTGCCGGAAACAGAGACCGCAGCTTACTTCCAAGAACACCCAGAGGCCACCTGCTGCTTTGTCCCTGACGGAACGTTTGTTCGCGCTCCTGACGACGACAACGTCTCTCGTTCCTTCATCAGAAAGCTGTTTGTTCCTGTGACCAAGAACGATGTGCCGTTGGCCCCTGTTCCCGACGACGAGGATGAGACTGAGGCCAAAAACAACCCCTACGGAGACGAGGAGCTGGTCTCGATCACCTCGTACACAATCGTTTACCGGCCTCCTAATTTCAAGCCGCGTATATTTGCGCTTTTGGGCTGTCTATGGGCATACTCATTGGCGCTCGGCGCTCTTGTTTTCGGGGCAACCCTGTTGTTCGCCAGAGTGGTTTTGAGACCGGTGAAAAACACCATGCTTCACAGACTATTTTTCCATCACGACGCAGAAACTCTGGACGCAAACGAGCTGTTTGTTGGCTTTGTCGCATTGGCAGCAGCGGTTCGGTGTTTGATCTATTTTGCTGATTACAAGTCCAGCGAAGAGCAGCAGGACCTCACTTCCTACATAAAAAAAGGGCTCGACTCTGTTGTCCGTTTCGTGCGCTTCCACGTGCTGCCGACCTCCCGAAAGTTCGCTGCTCTTGTCCTGACGCCCTCTGTGTGCATGCTTTCGACGGTGTTGCCCGTTGTTGCCTGCGCACCTGCCCTGACAGCCTTCGAATCACGTGTCTACGATATCGGACCTCTGTGCGCTGCTTGGATATCCGAAAAGACACCACTGTACAGTGTTTCTCTCTTCCTGGCCTCTGTGGTCCATGCTTACACACGTGCCGGAGGTGCGCTCGTCCAGACATGGCATGAGTTTATGTTCAGGAGCCCTGGCTATTTCAGCGTGCTGGCTGTGCAGCTGCTGGCCGTTGTGGCGTATTATGTGCTGGCGTACAGTTTCTGGGGCAACAAGAGCGTGCTGGAGTCATTCGAGCTGGTTTACAAAGTCATCTACACGCCAGACTATGAGCCTGTGGAGGCATGGACCATTGTGTATTTTACGTGGCTGCCATGGAGTCTTTACACCTGGAGCAAGATCGTTCGAGACTTCTGGAACTGGCTGATCATCACAGCGAAAAACCAGCATTACGGGAAAAGAGTGTTCCTGACCAATAACGAAGAGGAGGACCTCGATTAATGTATAATGACCTTATCAATCAACTCTGTGCAAACGTCAAGTAGACAATGCATCCGTACGTGGCAAGCAGCAAAACTCCATGGAGCACGTTTACACCGTAGATCAGCCCGTGAACCAGGGACGAAATGCACACCACAGAGCTGCAAAAGATGTACGCGGCCACGTAGGGCTCGATGTAGAGCGAAAAGCCGGTCGACGGGTAGTGGGACGAGATGAACTGGATGATTGGAAGAACCATGCCAAGCACCTGGTTTGAGGAGCCTATTGCCAGCGAGACGGACAGTGCCATATTGTTGTGGTGGGCGCTGATTAGGGATGAGATGTGTTCTGGAAGCGAGCCTGCCAAGGGGAGAATCACCATACCGATAAACACCTTGGATATTGGTTTATCGTCGGTGAGTGTTTTCAGAGCCTCGACGAAAAAGTTCGACGTGGGGCCCAGCCCTGCCACCGAAACGAGCAATGCAATAAAGCAGACTCTCAGCGGGAAAATATCTTCTTCGTCGTCAGTATCAGAGTCGCTTTCGGAGTCGCTGTCTAGCTCTGAGTCGGTGTCCACTGGCTGGCTCTCCAGGGCCTCTTTTTCCTGCTTGCTCTTCATTTTTATTTTCTTCATCGACTTGAACTCCTCGTTTGTGGAAACCACCAGATAAGTGGCGTACACAACGAAGATGAACGCGGCGCCGATCTGGGATGTATTCATCTTGAACTCGATGCTCTTGCCCGGGTCAATCACCGAAATCACAGACATCATGGATAATATCACCGTGATGCACGCCAAGAAAAACATGTGGTTGGCGATTCCCTTCACTGCAGAGCTGGCAAACTGCATGCCCTCCAAGCCGCCAAAGAAGAAGCAAGAGCCAATGACAAGCAGGTTGTTCGAGATGATCGATCCCACCAGCGAAGTAATGGTCAACGTGGCGTCGTCTTTCGACACAGTGGTTCCGGAAATGATCAGCTCCACAAGGTTTCCGAAGGTGGCGTTCAACAGCGCACCCAAGGCTGGCCCCACATGGTGTTCTGCGTGCTCGGTAACGTTCGACAGAATTTTGGCAAAATACATGAGGGCCAGCACCAACGTGACAACTGCGCCAATGTCCGACTTCTTGGCATAGAGCACGATTCCAACAGGAAACAGAGGAAGAAAGATAACTGTTCTGGTGTTTAGGAGCAGCTTGATTACCTGCAGCAGAGTGCCGACATACCTTCTGTCTTTGTTTGCGTCATATTTTTGCATCAAACACACCATCACAGACCACTTCCAGAAACGGGCGTAGCAACCATCAATGAAGTCAAGCACGTCGTCAAACATGAAGTGCTTGATCTCCTTCATGAAAGCCACAAACCTGTAGAACCAGCTGGCTTCGGACTTCACGGTGGGGTACTTTTTGATCAGCCGTTCGTCTATTTTGATTTCAGTCTGGAAACGGCCAGGCGTCGTAACGGTTCTCTTCACGTGTTTCCGCCCCGACACAGAATATCGTCTCCTGCTGTCCTCGGGGACCGCAGCTATGTCATTACTTTTCAGGGGTGCCACCGCGGGCGCCGTCTGCGCTGACACAGATCTGTCCAGTGACTCGCTAGACATAAATTTCGACTGCTTGTTTTTCAGTTACGGATTTTTTTAGACCCTGAATTTATTGCACAGCCGTGAAGCTATAGCGAGGCTGAAACAAAAGCAAGCCTTACGGAAAAAAAGCCGTCCGTTGATGAAGGATCTAGCGGGTTCTCTATGGGGAGGTAAGATACGATTTAGCAGTAATGTCAGGTTTTAGGGTAAGGAAGGACCTGTAATTTATTATGGAAGAATATTAATTTTATGATAAGTACTTGTAAGTGGTTGCAGTCCATTGACAGATTAAGCTTTAAAGTTTTCGGAGAAAGCTCAACCTTCTTGGAGCCTGTCCATTGCTTATGCCCTACCACCTCGCCATTCAAGTCCAAAGAGCCCTGTACTGCGTTTCTGCTCTACTTCGATAATAAGAAGCTATATATTCAGGGCACCTAACCACCGACAAAAACAGAAACATTTCGACACGTCGAAAATATTTGTTCCTATTCATGTCTGATTTTGCAACTAAGGAGGAGATCAAGGCCATTTTTGCCAAACTTCAGAAGCATCCTGCGAATAAACAGTGCTTTGACTGTGCGACAAAGAACCCTACATGGACCTCGATTCCCTTCGGAATATTTGTCTGTCTACAATGTAGCGCAAACCACAGAAGTTTAGGGGTGCATATATCGTTTGTGAAATCATCGGTGCTGGACACTAAATGGACAGACAAGCAGCTACGTTTGATGAAGTGCGGTGGTAACAACAACTTCAAGGATTTCCTAATAAAAAATGGCGGATCAGCGTACCTAACCAAGACTCCCCAGGAAAAGTATTCATCTCAGATCGCCCAAAACTATAAAGAGAAGTTGGAGAAAAAGGCCGAGCTGGATGCCAAGAACCACCCCAATGTGCTCGAGTGGGACGACGGAGCCACTGAGCTTGAGACTGAGGACAGCGCTGACTCCGATTCCAACAACTTCTTCAGTAAATGGGAGAAGCCATCTTCCACCCCTTCGCCGCTGGGATCCAGACCAATCACACCATCTAACAAACCTGCAGCCGACAAGCCTGCCGCGTCATTGCTTGGGTCCAAACCGAGACTGGTCCAGAAAACAGGACTTGGTGCTAAAAAGAACATCCTCGGAGGCTCTTCTGCCAATAGAAGCAAGGCCAAGCTGGGCGTCAAGAAGGTCTCGACGGACATCGACTTTGACGATTTCGAGAAAAAAGCACAGCAGGAGGAAGAGCAGGCCAAATCGTTGGGATACGATCCTAAGGAGGCCGAGCCCGTGGCAGAGACCGCAACGAGAAAAATGTCCGCTAGCGCCGGGTCCCTTGCCATGCCGAAGCCAACTACGCCGTCTACAGAGAAAGTCACGCAGTCTTTTGCGAGACTTGGTTTTGGTATGGTGAACGCTGCCCCTGCTCCAGAAGCCACGCAGAAGAAGTACAAAGACGTGGAATACTCAGGTGAGGTGGCTGCCAGATTTGGAAACCAAAAGGCCATTTCCTCGGATCAGTTCTACGGGATTGGCTCTTACGACGAGGCGAAAGCGCAAGAGGCCAGAACCAAGCTTCAGGCATACAACGGAGCCACCTCTATTTCGTCGTCCCAATATTACGGCGAGCCAGAAGGCGTGAACCATCAAAGATCGACCTCGTTTGATGGTGACGACATCGAGCAGAAACTGACCGAATTCGCAGAAAAGTACATTGGCGAGGACATTGCTGCCATCAAGGACGCCTTGGAGACCGGCGCCGGCAAGCTGTCGGGTTATCTGAGAGATGTTTTGAGAAACTAGAGGGTGTAAATATAGTATAAATCAACGATTCAGGCAGTGTAATAGAAAATAAAAGTGGTTTTATAATTATCTGACAGTCAATGGTGGATTCCAAAGAGTCTGTGGGGGTTATTGGAGCCGGGCTGGTTGGTGCGTTGGTAGCACTTGGTCTTGCCAAGCAAGGATACGCGGTTACAGTCTATGATCTCCGTCCTGATCCGAGAAATGCCCAGGAAACAAGTCTGCGCTCAATCAATTTGGCCGTTAGTGAGCGAGGTATCCGCGCATTGAGATACGTGGACCAGGAAATGGCCGAGAGAGTTCTAGAGGGAATCATTCCCATGCATGGCCGGATGATCCACGATTTGGACGGCAACCAGGAATCTCAGCTGTATGGTCTTTTTGGGGAGGCTATCAACTCCATTGACCGCAAGAAACTGAACCAGAACCTGATTGAGGAGATTGAGCGGTTCAATGCAACTGCAAAATTCAAGATCGAGCTGATTTTTGGGGCCAAGGTCACCAGCGTGCAGGTGAATGGCGGTGTGACCATCGATTACATTCGTGCTGGCGAGCCTCGAAGAGACCACAGAGATTTCGTGGTTGGTGCGGACGGCACTTACTCGGTGGTGAGACAGAGTCTGCAGAAGCTGATTAGGATGAACTACAGCCAGGAGTATATTGACATGTGCTACTTGGAAATGTACATTCCTCCAGGTCCAAATGGTAGCTTCCAGATCGACCCGAACAGACTGCATATCTGGCCACGCAAGACGTTCATGCTGATTGCCCTGGCCAACCAGGATGGGTCGTTTACGTCTACGTTTTTTGGTCCATGGAAGTTGGTGGAGTCGCTCACGTCGCCCAAGACCATTGAGTTCTTCTTCAAGAAACACTTCAAGGATGCTATTCCGCTGATCGGCCTCGATAAAATAATCGAGTGCTTCACCACGTATCCACGGGGTGCGCTCATGCAGGTGAACTGCAACAAATACAATTTCGAGGATAAGTGTATTATCATTGGCGACGCAGCTCATTCGATGGTGCCGTTCTACGGCCAAGGAATGAACTGTGGGTTTGAGGATGTACGGATCCTGCTGGAGCTGCTTGAAAAAAATAGTCACGATAGACGCACTGCCTTTGAGACGTACTCGGAATCGAGGGCTGAAGACCTTAAGGCAATCCTAAAGCTCGCGCTGAGAAACTACCACGAGATGTCGAGCGATGTGACCTCTTCCATTTATTTGTTTAGAAAGAAGCTGGACGGAATTCTGGGCAGATTGATGCCGCAGCGCTGGATTCCGCTCTACACTATGGTGTCCTTCAGATCGGACATCAGCTACTCGGATGCTGTCAGGCTCAGTCAGAAGCAGCAGCGGATTCTCAGATGGGCCGAATGTGGCGCGGTGACCTCAATTCTGGCAGGGACTGCATTGTATCTAGCCAGAAGAAGTAAGTAGATAACAGTCAGACTCCTGACAAATTCTCGTGCTGCGATTGGGCCGAAAAAAAATAAAATAAAAAAACGGCCCGGTACCGGCCGCCATATGCATGGTGTCCGGAGCCGGCGTGACTCAGCAGGGGAGTATAAAAAACTCTTCGTATCTTTGTTCTTGTAAAATAATGCCTTCAGATACCAACACATCAACTCCGGAAACCCTTTACGACAAGGTGTTTGAGGACCACATCGTCCACAAAGACGATTCCGGCTCGTATTTGATTTATATTGACAGACACTTGATCCACGAGGTGACCAGTCCGCAGGCCTTTGAAGGTCTCAAGACAGCAGGCAGAACTGTTAGAAGACCAGACTGCACGCTTGCCACGGTCGACCACAACATTCCAACCGACTCTAGAAAGAACTTCAAGAACCTGGATAGTTTCATTAAACAAGATGACTCCAGGGTGCAGGTGCAAACTCTGGAAGACAACGTCAGAGACTTTGGCCTGACCTATTTTGGAATGACCGATTCCAGACAGGGTATCGTCCACGTTGTTGGTCCCGAACAAGGTTTCACGCTTCCTGGTACTACTGTCGTGTGTGGTGACTCGCATACCTCGACCCACGGTGCCTTTGGTGCCCTGGCCTTCGGTATTGGTACCTCGGAGGTGGAGCACGTTTTAGCCACCCAGACCTTGATCCAGGCCAAGTCGAAAAACATGAGAATCACCATCGAGGGCAAGCTTTCGCCAGGCGTCACTTCGAAGGACTTGGTTCTTCATGTGATTGGTGTGATTGGTACCGCAGGAGGTACTGGCTGTGTGATTGAGTTTGCTGGTGAAAGTATCAGAGACCTTTCCATGGAGGCCAGAATGTCGATCTGCAACATGGCCATCGAGGCCGGTGCAAGAGCTGGTATGATCCAGCCTGACGAGACCACTTTCAACTACATCAAGGGCCGTCCGTTGGCTCCCAAGGGCGAAGAATGGGAGAAAGCCGTGAGATACTGGAAGACTCTCAAGACAGACGAGGGGGCAAAGTTCGACTACGACATCAAAATCAAAGCTTCTGACATCGTTCCCACTATCACCTGGGGTAATTCTCCTCAGGATGCGCTCCCAATCACAGGCAAGGTGCCGGACCCAGCAAACTTCACTGACCCCATCACCAAAAAGGGTGTTGAGGCTGCTCTGAAATACATGGGTCTCGAACCTAACACTCCATTGCAGGACATCACTGTCGACAAGGTGTTTATTGGTTCCTGTACGAACTCGCGTATCGAGGACTTGAGAGCCGCCGCCAAGGTGGTGAGAGGCCACAAGAAGGCAGACAACGTGAAGATGGCCATGGTGGTGCCGGGATCCGGATTGGTGAAAAAACAAGCCGAGAGCGAAGGGCTGGACAAGATCTTCGAGGCAGCTGGATTTGTCTGGAGAGAAGCTGGTTGTTCCATGTGTCTTGGTATGAACCCAGACATTTTGGCACCATACGAAAGATGCGCCTCCACCTCCAATAGAAACTTTGTTGGAAGACAAGGTGCTTTGTCCAGAACACACCTGATGTCACCAGCTATGGCCGCAGCGGCTGGTATCACCGGTAAGTTCACAGACATCAGAAACTTTGTGTACAACGAGGACCCTGCACAGCCAAAGATCAAGCTCGATTCCGAGGACGAGAGCTCTGCTCTCCAGAACGCCGTTTACGATCACGAAAAAGAGCCTCTCGCCCCAGGAGAGTCGGAAGACGAGGCTATCGACGACCAGATCAACGATGTGCCTCCTTCGGATCATGTGACTAAGAAGACCGTCGACACAAAGGAAGAGCCACCGGCAAAGGCTATCGCTATGCAGAAATTCCTTACTTTGACTTCGATCGCTGCTCCTCTTGACAGAGCCAATGTGGACACCGACGCTATCATTCCTAAACAGTTCCTGAAAACGATCAAGAGAACTGGTTTGAGAGCAGGTTTGTTTTACGAGTCTAGATTCGTTAAGGATGAGAACGGAAACGATGTGCCGACCGACTTCGTGCTCAACGTGGAGCCTTACACCAAAGCCCAGATATTGTGTGTGACAGGAGACAATTTCGGATGCGGTTCTTCAAGAGAACACGCTCCATGGGCTCTCAAGGACTTTGGCATCAGATCGATCATTGCTCCATCGTTTGGTGACATTTTCTACAACAACTCGTTTAAGAACGGTCTCTTACCAATCAGAATCCCACAAGACGTGATAAAGGAGAAAATATACCCCTTCGCTGTTGAAAAGAAGGAGATCACCATCGACCTGCCTAATCAGCAAATATTGGGACCTAACAAGGAGGTTCTCGTGGAAAAGTTTGACATTGAGGACTTCAGAAAGCACTGTTTGGTGAACGGTTTAGACGATATTGGTATCACCCTAGAGAAAGAAAAGTACATCACTGCTTTTGAGGAGAAGAGAAGAAAAGTGTTCTCTTTCTTGGAAGGCGGATCCAAACTCATTGTTCCTGTGAAGGGTACCAAAAAATCCAAGTACGGAGTTAAGGCCCAGGAATGGTGATTGTATTTATTATTAATTAGGAATATATCCTCATCTTTTAATCAACAAATCCGTGTAGTCTGGAGTATTTTCGATGGTGAAATTGTTTTCGTTGGCAAGGTGCAGAAGACAGATGAAACAGAAACTGGTGGACAGCTCAGACTTCTCTTCTGACGAGTACTTGCTCGACAACTTGCTGACAACTTCGGTGAACTTGAGCGCGTTCTCCTCTTTCTCGCTTCGCTGTTTGTCGTTCTCTTCCTGTGGAGGTCCGTTTTCCTTATCGTCTTCCAAGACTGAAGAGTCTCTCTTGGCTTTTCGCGTTTCAGCCTCCAGTGAATCCCACAGATTGTCTTTCAGTAGCTTCACATTCACTTTCTTAGCAACTCTAGCATACCCTAACGCTCCAGGTCGTTTCTGTGATTGCGAAAACAAAGGCTGCGAACTTGTAGGCAGGTCAGGGATGTCACCTTCGTCGTCGTCGTCATCGTCAGGATGGTCATTGTAGTCTGCATTGAAGAACGTGTCGTCGAATCCTTGCCCCTCAGCGTTTGAATCACCACCCTGCTCTTTGTACGTATCGGCAAAGAAATTCTCATCAGCTATTCTTTCGTCATCGTATCCTAATCGTTGTGCAACTCTCTTCTTCTTCTTTGTGAGAATTGTATTTATTTTCTGATTTGGCTTGATGTTCAGACAAATCAATCGCTTTGTGGTGAACTGTAAATCTTCAGGCAGTTTGTTGGCCGTAGGGTGGGGCACCCTCTCTTTTTCCGGAATAAGAAGTTTGGAAGCATTTGCAGGCGCTGCAAAGAGCTCTTTATCGTCCAAGTCATCGTCATCGTTCATGAAGTTTATGGTGAAGACAGCCTTACGCTTGGCAGTGGCTTTTTGTACGAAATCCTCCTGCCCCTCGTCGCCAGCCATATTTGTTGCTTCAGCAGGAGCGACTTCCGGAGTCGAACTCTTTTGGTGCGCTTGCTTCACCATGGCAATTTTCCAGTGTTCGGGACCACGCCAGTTTTGTCTTGATATCGTATCGAAATATTCGGCCATACTCCTTCCACCTTCTTCATCACCGTCATCGTCAAATTGCGCAGTTTGGTTCTCGTCAAACAACCTTGTCAGCGTGATATTTGGTCCTGAACGATCGCTATCGTTGACACCATCGATAAATAAAGAGTATTGATTTCTGTGAGTATTTTCCGGGCCATTGCCGTCATCGTCGTCATCGTCGTCAAAGTGATCACCTCCTCCAAAGTCGAGATTATCATCTTCTTGGAACACCGGTTGCTCTTCAGGGAATTCAAGCTGCCCAATTTGCTCAAGAAGCTCTGCAGCACTGGCTCCCTCTTTAGTTATACGTTCCAACTGCTCGAGGGAAGGACAAACTTTAGTTTCTGCGGCCGTGTCAGGGAAAAAGCGAGCTAGTTTTGAAATGTCGATGTTTGAGCGAGTATGCTGAGGGACCTCTTCTTCTTCGTCACTCTCGTTCATTATCAATTCATTGGACTTTTCGCTAGTGTCAAAAACGACTCGTCCTTCGGAATTGATTTTCAGCATGTTCGTGAGCAGACTTTTGGCTCCTCCTTCATCGAAATCAGATAACGCTTTCTTGAAGATCGGGTCCACAAACAATTCTTTCTCAACTTCTTTCAACTTTATCGTCTGGAACTTCTTTGCCAGTGTCGACTCGGCACGATGCTTTTTCGATTTCGGTTTTGTCGTGCCGCCTTCTTGCTCATCGTTCTCGTCTTCCTCCTCATCGATGCCTTCCAAATTGTTGGACGTCAAGCCAGATAGCAGTTTCCCTGTTTCAGATGCCGCCGAGTCAATTCTTGAGGCATAAATCTTGACACAGCCGTCCAGAGTGGTAGAGGCCTTTTGGAAGTTTATGCTGTCGCCATCTTTAAAAAGGGAGAGCTCGTGGAAATAATCAATGAGCGCAAAGTTCCAGCTGTTTGTCGAGTTGATTTTCTAGAGGTTAGTGAGAGACGCGTTGGAAATTATACGTACGTTGTCGGTGGCCATGCGAATCCATAGCTCATAGTTCTCGTTTGTCAACGGGGCCGAGAACACCCCTGAAACATCTGCCATGATCAGTCAGATCTGTACACTTGGAAACGCGCACTGTTGGAATCTATAGCAGGAACCTGTTCCGCAGATAATCTCAGAAATGCTAATAATACACTTGAAGTAAAAGAAAGACCAGTTGAGTGCTGCAGCGTTCTTGTTGTTTCAAGGCTCACAGTTTTGTTATGGTTTTATTTTGTAAACACTCGATCTCGGTGCGAGGTGTATTTGAATTCGAAATTATTTACTCAGCAGTCGTTACAGGCTGAGAAAAACACCACCAGGTGTCGGTGATAGAAAGGGTCGAGAATTTCGGGTCTGCGACGCCAAAGTTCCTTCAGGTAGTCTTTAATTCCCTGGGCGAGAAAGGATGAGGTTTCGTCGAAATCGGCCAGCTCAGATTCCTGGCTGCTACCATGTAGCCTGCTGCTGGAAGTAACACGGAAGTCTGTATAGGCGTGCGGCAATTCACGTTTGAACGTGACAATCGGAACACCGACATGCCTATAGAGTGAGTACGGCAGAATGCGCGGAACAAGATCGTAGAAGTGGTAAACTCGTAGAGCTGCAGAATTAGGAGACTGGTCAACTAGACTGGTGTAGGCCGCTGCCAATGTGTGAGAAAACACAGAGGGGGCGTTGAAGCTGACCATGAAATTGTCTATTCCAAGAATATGCAAGTCCAAAGACGTCAGCTGAGCCAGAGCTCCTCCCATGGAATGTCCCGTGACTAGCACTTTGTAATCTGGATACTCTTGCAACCATTTGAAGAGCTCATTATGAACCTGCAAGGCCATTCCACGCGCAACATAGGTAAATCCTGCATGGGCGTAGGAGAGAGAACAGTCAAAGTAGTTGTGATCGTTCATATTTCGTACCATATTTTCCTGTAGCACTTTATTGTGGCGATAATTGATCTGGTCCCAATATTCAGAACTGTTCATAACGGGCCGGTATCTGCCAGGCTTGAAATGGAGGTTGGTATACCATTGTGAAAATTCTCGCGTGCCTCGGAAGACGATATTGATGGTACGTAGCTTATGGTCCAGCAGCATGTAGCCTTCACCCCCACCATGGGTGATAATTCTGCCAGGTTCCTCCACGTTGTCAAAGAGCTTTGTGAGATTGTACCGAATATTTGTGTGTCCCGAACTATCCACGTATACTTCCTTGTAATCAATTGGTGTGTAGGGAACCAGCTTATCTGGAAAGACTAGCTCATTGTGCTTAAGCTCAGCAAGTCCTCCTTCGTCGTTCAGACAGTACGAAATTTGACAGTAGCCGGCAAGCTGTTTTATATAGTTGTCATATAGCTCCTCGTCGTCCAATGTGTTTCCGGAAGGCAGTTTCTCCAATGAAGCATCCAGCTGGTTCTTGTACTCCTTGTACAGCGAGCGTCTACTATTTGCCAGGGCCTGTGATTCTGCAGTGGCGCTCGCATAGCCTAGAACATAGACCAGAGCTACAACTATCGGTATAATCATACCTCAGTTGTCCATTACCAGGATCCGTTGAAATATATATGCTGTAGATTTCATGTTCTGTTGTTTTGAAAAAGCCTGCAATGCAAAAAATGACAAATGGGATGGCATAATCTTTTGATAAACACCAACTTACAGCATATATGTGGCCCTTTGATATTCCGTGGTTATGGCGTCCTTTATATCTTACCCGTCACTTTTGACAGTCGTGTTGAAAAATAAATCAATCCCTAAATTTATAAAGAAGGGCTGACCCTCGAAAGAAAATTGTCGAAATGGACAAGAAAACAAACGAGGTGCTCAAATTTCTGATCGACTGGAATTATCTCCTCATTGAGCCTCCAGTCGAGGGATCTATTGCCGAGATATACTTCTGCTTCATTGCGTCGTGCCAGGTGAAAGGCAAGGATAAAGTGTCGTGGTTGCAATTTGTCAAATGTCTGCAAAAACTGAATGAGATATGTATTCACAACGCCTTCACCTGCTTGCCTGCAAACGCACTGTCACTGGCATATGAGGACCCCTTCAAATGCTTCAGTAAGATCACACACATGGATCGACTGGCCCTGAATTTGATATACAAACAAGTGAAATTGTCGTCGAATCCGCCTATTGAGCCACCAAAGACACCTCCTCTACCCTTGTCAAGACTAAGATTGGCAGCACAGAGAGAAGTTCCCAAAGATAAAGAGGAAAGACTAGACTTGCTGATGGAACTCGTGGACCGTCCACCTGTCAAGTCAAAAAGAGCCGCGAGCGACCTGTACGCAGGATTGAGTCCACTCGACATCGAAGACGTGTATACAACCACGTCGAGATCCAAAAGACTGGATCAACTGACTCTGCTGCTTTCTGTTCCAGCCGGATCGCACATATTGGCAAAGGAAAGGGCAAAGCTGAGAACTCCGATCAAGCCGTTCTTTGACTGCTGCGATGACTCCAGACACGCACAACTCTTGATCCCTCTAACATCGTTTGACAGAACAACCAATTACTGCAAGCTCAATTCGACAAGGCTGAACGATCGTCTCAAGCTGGAAACTGGGTCCAGCGACACGTACACCGAACTAGCCAGATGCGTCAGCCAGAAAATCCATTTCATCCCCATCATACAGTCACAGACAGACATCAAACTAGGAGACTGCTCATACCTAGATACCTGCCACAAGATGTCGTCGTGCCGGTACGTTCATTACGGGCAACTGATGCCTCAAGATGACAGTGCCTCCAAAAAAGCTGCTCAACACAATAAAAATATCAGCAAATCGATGCAGATCTCCGATTTTACCAGGGGGGAAGCCATTTCTCCTGCCACGAGGCCGGAACTACCAGCCCAGTGGATCAACTGCGACGTCACGAAGCTGGACTTCAGTATTTTGGGAGATGACTTTGCTCTTATCATTGCAGATCCCAGCTGGACGATCCATATGAACCTGAACTACTCCAGCTTGACAGACTCGGATTTGCTTCAAATAAGAATGGACAAACTGCAAAAGGAAGGCCTATTTCTTCTTTGGGTGACAGGAAGAACTATTGAGACCGGCCGCGACTTTTTGAAAAAATGGGGGTACCAAGTGGTCAATCAGATCACATGGGTGAAAACAAACCAGCTGGTCAGAACCATCAGTACGGGAAGAACCGGGCATTGGCTCAATCACTCAAAGGAGCACTTGCTTGTAGGCCTCAAAGGAAATCCGAAATGGATCAACAAATGCATAGACCCGCAAATTTTGATTTCTTCCACCAGGGAGACCTCCAGGAAGCCAGATGAAGTATACGGAATGGTAGAGCGCATGGTGGGGCCTGGCACGAGAAAGTTGGAGATTTTTGGACGGCAGCACAATACTAGGCCCGGGTGGTTGACAATCGGCAATCAGTTAAATGGGACTCATTTGGTTGAAAAGGAAATTGCAGAGAGGTACTACAGTGCTTCCGCAACTGAGGCCTGATTACATAGCTGTAAAAAAACATACATCTTTACACCCGATCTGTTTTATTTATTTACTAAACATGTCTATACAAGTGGGTCATCGAGTTGTCATCCCAGGGGGAGGCGAAGCGTACGTCAGATACGTGGGGAGGGTACGTAATAAGAGTGGCACGTTTGCTGGTGTCGAACTTATTGGGGAGAGCGTCAGTAAAGGCAAGAACTCTGGGGATGTGGATGGTGTTTTCTATTTCAAGACCAAGATTCCCAAGAGCGGTTTATTTCTACCGTACCACAAGCTGGTGCAGGTGAATACGTCTCCATTGAAGCCTGTTTCTCAGGCGTCTGTGCTGAATACTCCAAATAAGGCTCCACATGATCTTGATCAAAGGATCAACGAGCTTACGGAGCAGAACAAGCTGTACAAGCAGCAGCTACAAGAACGAAATCGAATTTTGGAGGAGCTGCAAACGACAGTGGACACATTTGAAGCCATTCTCACCGAGAACCAGAATGAGCTCAAGATGAAAGACGCGAGATTTGAGCGATTTAAGACTAATACGGATACTCAGATCAAGGAATTGATCGAGGCGGTGGAGACGCTAGAGCAGCAGGCAACAGAAAATGAGGAGATATATCTGCAACGCCTGCGCGAGTTAGAAACGAAAAAAGACATACAGCCCGAAAGTGGTGACTATGAGACGCTTAAGAGGAAATACGATGAGATGGACACAAAGTATCGAACGCTGGAGGCCGAACAGGTCACCCTAAGAGAGGAGAACGCAAAGGTGCGAAGGGAGCGTGACGAGGCAAGGGAAGAGGTTGATAAGTTGAAGCATGAGAAAGCAGAGACGGCCAAAGCCTTGGAGGATCTGAGGAAGGCGTACGACGAGCTACAGAAGGGCCACGAGACGCTCATGAGCGAGAAGTCGCAGTTTGTCTCGACCAATGACTCGTCCAAAGAGAGATACGAAAGGCTTGAAAGCGAGCTCAATGAGCTGCAAGCCAAGTATTCTCTCTTGAAAGAGCAGAGCGAGAAAAAAAGAAGCACTGTGTCCGAGCCGCTCGTCAAGGACGGGGAGCTGATTGCCACGCCTGCAGTGCACAACGATCCCGCGGCAGGGCGGGCCAAATGGTGCGGGCTATGCGAGCGCGAGGGCCACGAGAGTGTTGAATGTCCGTACGAAACCGTCATGTTCTAATATATTACTATGTACATCAAACTTTGTATCTTTGCGATGGGTCCACATGGAATGGGGACCAGATGCCTCTGACAGACTTGTTGAGCGACTTGACAAACTGTTTAGGCTTGCTCAATTTTCTTCCGCTGGAGTTGATTAACAGCTTCAGCTTGTTTTCGACAACGTCGACGTTCCACTTGCGGGTGCATATTTGTTTCTCCAGTCCGTCAGTATACTGTGCTCGCAGCACAGGGTGGAATCCTGGTTTCTGCAAAATATGGAATTGGATCTGTGGGTACTGTTGGGCGAATGTTTTGAGTCTCATTCTGAGGAAGTCTCTGGTGCCTTTCGAGGAGCCGCCAAAGTTGCAATAGGTAATGATAATTTTACGGCATGGATGGACAAAGGCACCCACACCGTTTCTGGCCTTAGACACCTGCTGGAGTATGTTGATTCCGGCCATAGAGGTCAAAAATTAAAAAATAATCAAGAATTTTCAACTCAGATAATTTTAAGTCGGGTAACGCGAAATAGAGGGGAATATCTGATAATCATGAAGCTGGCTACCGTGAGGCCTCTGGCGCTGCGACTGCAAAGAATCTCTGCGAGGGCACGCTCTTCGTTTGGTCCAGCCAATGTGGGCAGCAATCTGGCTAACCTGGACGTTCTGGGCTCTTCTGCGGTCCCCGCGAACAACATCGAGATGATCTCTAAGGATTCGATCATTTTCTCCAACATGAAGGTTGTGCGATCGCCCAACCAGCAGGGTGCTCTTGTTGCTGCCCTGTTGCTGGATAACCAGATATTCGAGCTCAACACGAATTCCATCAGCAAAAAAGGCCCATTGGATCTGACTACCACGGAGCTTTTCCCATTGCTGGAGGCGCTCTACCCAAAACCCGAGCTGTTTGTGCTGGGTCTAGGGGGCAGCAGCCGGATGCTGGGCCCCGACACGAAAAAACGGTTTGCCGAGCTGGGGATAATGCTGGAAATGGGCGACACAAAGAGCGCGGTGCTCAGCTACGATCTTCTGGCTACAGAACGTTCTCCAAAACAGGTGGGGGCACTCATATTTCCATCGGTGTTCTGAACGACGCGCAAAACAACTATTTAAGGGTTCTGACCAGGAATTGCGTGCTGAACACATAGGAGTAAGCAGCAAGGGTAAGGACGCTCAGGGTGTTGAACACGAGGCTGATTCCGTGGTACTTGCCGAACTGTTTGGTCAGAGCAGCGATTTTGTCGTTTGTCTCGGGAGTTCTCTCACTCTCCGGCAGGTCCTCGAGCGCAAACCGTTCCGTTTTCAGCCTATTGCACACCGGCAACAGCCAGAAGTAATTGGTGAGGCCGGAGAGCGAAGAGGCGGCCAGCAAGGCAATTCCGACGGTTGGAATTGCGTATGGGGCAGAGAGACCGACCACGACGGGCCCGATCGACTGGGTCAGGAAATGGATGGGGAACAGCTTGGATTGTAGGAGGCCAAACTCCTTGCGGGGCAGGACCTTGAACGCCCTGACCGAGGACACGAATGAGTGGAACGAGGTGGCTCCGAAAACATACGAATAGGCTAGCAGGTGGACAGCAGTCAGCATGGTGTTAAAAATTAGTTGCACTGATTTATTTTGGTCGTGGCTTTATTTAATTTGTGATCATTCTCACCCTATATGTATCCAAGTTTTTCCATTCTAATCTTGACGGCGTTGCGGTGCGCGTCGAGGCCCTCGACGGCCGCCAGGTCCATCACGGCCTTGCCAATGCTCTTGAGACCCTCCTTGGTGACCACCTGCGACGTGATGAATTTCTGGAACGTCGTGGTGTTAACTCCCGAGTACATTCTGGCGTAGCCGTAGGTAGGCAGCGTGTGGTTGGTTCCAGAAGAGTAGTCGCCGCAGCTTTCGGGCGAGTAGGCCCCCACAAACACAGAGCCGGCGTTGTCGACCTTGTCGACCCATTTTTCGGCGTCCTGGATCTGCAGAATAAGGTGCTCCGGAGCGTATCTGTTGCTCATCTCGAACGCCTCGTCGTAGCTGTTCACAATTATAGTGGTGGAGTGGGCGATGCACTGGCGCACGATCTCGACACGCGGCAGCTGCAGCGCCTGGCGGTGGACGGCCTCGTCGATATGGTCGATCTCGGCAGACGTCATGTCCACGGCGATCAAAATCACCTGCGAGTCCACGCCGTGCTCTGCCTGCGAAAGCAGGTCCGAGGCCACAAAGTCTGGGTCGGCGTATTTGTCGGCGATCACCAGCACCTCGGACGGCCCGGCAGGCATGTCAATGGCACACATGGCATTGGAGTCGTTGGAAACGAGCATCTTGGCTGCCGTCACAAACTGGTTTCCGGGTCCCATGATCTTGTCACACTTTGGCACAGACTCGGTACCGTACGCCATCGCAGCGACCGCCTGCGCGCCTCCGGCAAGCACAATGCACTTGGCACCCACCTTGTGCGCCACATAGACCACCTCTGGCGTCAGACGGCCGTCTTTGCCCGGAGGAGAGGCAAACACGATGTCTTTGCAACCGGCAACGAGAGCCGGCACAGACAGCATAAGCGACGTGGACGGCAGCACGGCAGTTCCGCCGGGGATGTAGCAGCCAACGCGCTCGATCGGACGCGCAAACCGCGAGCACACGACGCCGGGACACGTTTCCACGCGCAGGGTCTCTGCCTGGTTCTGGGCCTCGTGGAAGGTCTTGATGTTGGCGAACGAGATGTCAATGGCCTTGCGCACGTCCTCGCTGATGTGCATCATTTCTGCTGGGAACGGAGCGTTCAGTACAGGAGAGCTGAGCTGCACCTTGTCGAACTTGGCCGTGAGCTCCACCAGCGCAGCGTCTCCTTCTTTTCTCACTTTCTCGACGATCGGCGTCACCAGGTTCATGATATCTGCTGACTTCTGGATCGGTCTCTGAAGACATTTTTCAATATCCTCTTTCGAGGCAGAGGTGGCATCCACACGGTTCATCACGATGCGGCCGTCTCCATTCACAGACGCCTTTGGCTTTTCCGTGGCCTTCTGCTCAACGTACTTTGGCTTTGCGTCGCCCTTACGTCTCGTCACCTTCAGGGCCTTGATGTCCAGGTTCCGCTCAATGTCCGCAAGCGTGACACCGTATTTCGCACATCTGGCAAGCGCAAAGTACACCAGGTCGGCGGCCTCCCACGCAATCTCCTCCTTCGAGGCGGCCTCCACGAGCTCGTCGGCTTCTTCTTTAATTTTGGCATTTAGCAGCTTCTCATCCTCAAACAGTCTCTTGGTGTACGAGCCTTCCGGAGCATTCTCTTTGCGGTCCCACAAAGTGGCCTCTAGAGCTGCCAGTCCTTTGGACGAGCCAAAACAGGAAACCGTGTCAAGGTGGCAGAAACCCGCACCGGCCTGCTCCACAACAAACTTCAGACAGTCGCTGTCGCAGTCGAGCTCCAGCTGGAGCAGTTTTTGCGTAGCTCCCGATGTCTGGCCTTTGTACCACAAGCCGTGTTTTCTGGACTGGTATACACCGGTGCCGGTCCTGATGGCCTCGGCAATGGACTTCTTGGACGAGTAGACCAGGCCAAGAGCCTGGTTTCTGCTGTCGGTGACAAGAGTCGTGTACAAACCATCAGGTCTGTCGGTGTTCATGGCGGCGACATAGCACTCCACGAACGGCGTCTTGGTGCCCGGGTCTTCGTACTCCTTTGTCAGCTGGTCGAGCTCCATAACAGCAGTGTAGCCCTTGGCGATCTGTTGGAGTGGTTCATCGAAGAATCCAAACACTCTTCTCTTTCCAATTTTCACCTGTGTCTCGCCAGAAACACAAATATTCTCGGCAGCATCTTTTCCATCCTTGATGACCAGTCTGGCGTTGGGCACACGGGCTCTGATCTGCTCTGCAACAGCAGAAGTAACAAAAAGACCAGACACGCCGTTGTTCAAAAGAGCCAGAACAGTGTCTATTTCGCTATCATCAACCGCAGATCCCAAAGCCCAGTCGACATAGATCTGGCCTAGATACTCTTTAGCCAGCGCAACAATTTCCTGCACAGCGGCGGCCGTCTTGAGCGAAACAAGAACCTCGCTCACAAACGGCACAATCAAAACGTCCCTTGCTCGAGCAACGCTCACAAGGATTGGAGAAACCATTGATAAAATTACGGTAAGATGTGAGTCAGGCTGAAAAATATCTTGATTTTTTTTTTTCGTACATGCCACGACTTTGGTAGCATGGGACGATATCACTATATACATTGCTGAGTCAATTATTAAACAAAAACTGCATGTCGGCAGCCGAAAGCCTGCTCGCAGCGTTCTGGTCCTGATCCAGTGTAGCCTTGACCATGTCTGCCTTCTTCTGTTGCAGCTCAATGATCCGCGACTCGATGCTGTCCTCGATGACCAGCTTCACGATTCTGATAGGCCGGTGCTGTCCAATCCGGTGGATTCTATCTGCAGCCTGCCCGGTGTCCAGAGCAGGGTTCCACCAGCTGTCTAGGATGAACACTTGACTGGCCTCGACGAGATTCAGTGCCACACCTCCGGCCTTCAAAGACACCAAAAACACCTCCACCGACGGGTTGGTCATGAAGTGCTGGATCACAGAGTCACGCTGGATCGGCGTCATGGATCCCTGCAGTTTCGCAATAGAAAAGCCCGCCCTTTTCAGCCGCCACTCCACCAGGTCCAGCATGGACGTGAACTGCGAGAAGACTATACTTTTCACGGTCTGTCTGTCGGAACGAGACTTGTACAACTCTTCCATCAACGCCTCGATTTTGGTGGAAGACTTCCACTCTCCTCCCATGTCGATCCTGTTCACAATAGAACCCTTCTCGACAACCTCCTGGTTCATCTCCAGCGCTGGCGCCTCCAGATCGATACTCAGCCCGATGTGGCACACCGGACACTCGAGACGCTTGTTGTCGCCATTGAACGACTCCACGTACTCTGTGATGCAGATTCGGCAGAACTTGTGGTGGCACTTGGACTCGATCGGCTCCTCTGCCTCGTCGTCACACAGCTGACACACAATGGCACCGCTGTTGAGGAGATCCTTTGGTGCTTTCTTGAATCGTTTGAGAACCAGGTCTGGATGATCTGCAAGCTGTCTCATCCGCGTGATTAGGGTGAAGATGTTGGCGTAGTTGTTCAGAACCACACCCTGCGCAACGTAGTCGTTGAACTGCCGTTTCGAGTCTGAGTAGAGCGACTGGTACAGGTCCTTTTCTTCTGGGTTGAAATAGTCGCGTCGAATCTCGACGATTTTTGGAGGCAGCCCCAGGTCGTCGGCCCGCTCCACCTTCGTTCGTCTCAGCATGATCTGGCGAAGAAGCAACTGGATCCGCTCAAAGGACTCCTCGCCCTCCTGCTGCAGACCGTATTTCTGAATATTTTTCAGCATGAAGTGGTTGAAAAAGTTCATGTGGAGCATGCCATGGTGGCCACAGAAGTAGCAGTTTCTGTTGTCGGGAAATATCCATTCTTTCGAACGACACGGACACTTGGTACAGAAATATTCGCAGAACGGGGAAATGTCCAGAAACCGGATTAAAGAGTACAGCTCGCCGATTCTGTTCTGCAACGGCGTGCCCGAAAGACACCATCGTTTATCGCAACTCAGGTTGTTCGCCGCGCGCGCCGTCGAGCTCTGACGGTCCTTAATATTATGAGCCTCGTCCAGAATGACCCGGTAGAAATGTTTCGAGTGCAACAGGCTCTTCTCCTTGACTGTTCGGCCGTTCCGCTTCACCCCGTACTTGTGCTTCCTGTAGCAAGACTCAAGAACTGCGTATGTGGTCATCACCACGTCGTACTCCTCGAGCTCGTCAAGGGACTTTGCACGGCTCTGGCCGTGGAAAAGCCCAACTTTGAGAGCGCCGCCAGCATGGTTCTCGATCTCGGTCTTCCACTGGATCAACGCCACCGTCGGCGCAACAACCAGCGTCGGACGCTTGCTGCGATCGTGCATCATCAACGAAATCATCTGGATTGTTTTTCCCATACCCATCTCGTCAGCAAGAATGCCTCCGTGGTACTCGCCTTCCTCTTGCTTGATCATCCAAGCCAGACCTTCGAGCTGGAATGGAAGCAGCGTGATGGTCATGCCCTCCGGATGCTCTGCCTTCTCAACAGGCCGTCGGCTCAGCAAGGAAAGCTGCGAGAACGTGTCTGCCACGTCCGGGTTGAACTCGAACAACTTCATGGTCCGTCGCTGGTGGGCCGTGAGCTTGGGCCCGTCGTTCTTCTCCTTTTTCGATTTCGACCCTGCAGGCGCCCGTTTCCGCTTTTTGGGCACCTCTGCCAACGGGGTATCGCTATCGACTGGGTTCTGGTCCCCATCGCCGTTGGTGGCACTCGTACCCTCGATAACAATAATCTCGTCGTCATTTTCCTCGTTTTTCGCGGGCTCGGGCACCTCCTCAGCCTCCTCTTCGTCCTTGACATCAAACACAAACTCTTCGTCCCCGTCGCTGTCGTCGGGAACAAAATCGACATCGCCATCATCGTCACTTGAATCAGACTCTATCTTCAAATTTCTGGCCCTCGTGCTCCGCCGTGCTCTCCCAGAAGTGCCATTAGCACCTGATCGACGGCCTCTCGCGCCCGCCCGAGACGCCCTTCTGGTCTCGGGCTCTCTTATAAACCCTCCGTCCTCCATCTCGATTGCTCTTATCTATGCAAATCAGATATTTTTCACTAAATAATTATTGCCTCGCGAAAACGTCTGAAAAAGAAATCGCAAATCTACTAAATCAGATCTTTCTTTTTTTTACCACCCATCAAAGTTCCACAAATTGTCGAGGTCGTCCAGGTCGTTAGGACCGTCGCCAACTTTGACCTTCTTTCTCTCAACCTCAACATCCTCGATCTTGCGCTTGCCTTGAGTCTCCTCGTCAGGAGGCGTAGGATAGACAGAAGAGCTCAGGTCGCCAAGAAGCCCGGTGCCCAGATTGTTGCGGCTGCTCTCGCGTCTTTCCTTAGGAATCATCGAGAAAACCTCTTTGAAGACCCCAGCAATCACGGTGGCATTAACCTTGCCCCGCCAATGTCCTCCTTTGTAGCCAGCCGGAGTGATGGCTGAGCCGTAGTACTTGAACGACGTCGGAGTCTTCACGTTGAATGGAAGAGGTGTAGTCAGAATGGCAGATGGAGTAAGCACCTTGTTACCCTGCGCCGTATTACTGCTCAATGTACGGCTCTTCATCGACGACGACTTGGCCATCTCAAATATCTTGCTCTCCTCCTCAGGCAAATTAAGTGTATCGGCAAGAACAGCAAGCACGTACCGCGCAGGATCCACGCTTGCTAGCTCACGACGCCTGTTCCTTTGCTGGTCAATGACACGCAGCTTGGACTCTTCCTTGCCAATCATCTCTGTAGCCTCCTTCATTATCGTCTGCACCTCAGGGGACAGAACCCCATTTGCGGCAGAACTGGACGTAGCTGAGCTCAGACCTATCGACGCAGGAACAGCGCCCGGCTGCGTAAGAGGATTGGTCTTACTCTTTGGTGTAGGAGCAGAGCTGGTCACGGGCTTCGCAGGCTTCTTCCGAATAGGCTGTTTCTTAGCAGCTGCCGCAACCGGGGCAGACGTCGGCTGTTGGCCAGGCATCATGCCCCCAGGAGGCCCAGGAATAAACTGCGGTGGAATCTTGCCAGCTACAGCACCCTGCCCCATCATAGGCATCTGCCGTTGATCAGAAAACTGCTGGAACTGTTGCGGAACTGCGCCGGCATTCATGTTCATTGGTGGGTGCTGCATGAACTGCTGCTGAGGTGTACCAACACGCGGGATGACAGGCGAAGTAGAGGTGGATATATTCATTCCAGGCTGCTGCTGCATCATATACCGATTCTGAGGAGGTACCATTCCTGGCTGTGACATGGCGTTTTGGACGGGAACAGAGTGCTGCTGCTGCTGGCCCTTGAGCATTTTGGAGTTTTGCTCCTTCACATACGCAAGGAACCTAGTGATTTGCGTTTGCACCTTGGTGAGAAGATCAAAATTAGCATAGAAACGTCCGCCATTCTTCAGTCGTTCCAAAACCTGTTTGATCATCAATTGACTGTACATCAATTTTTTAGTACCCTCATAACTCTTGGTCATCATGTAGAAATTAGGAATGATAATTGTCTCTGATATAAGAACAAGCTGTTGTGACTGCTTGATGGTCTTGATAATCTGCTGCTTCTCCTGCTCAGATATCTCGTCCGTCAGGTCTTTGAGATTAATAGGTGTGGCTGCAACCTCCTGGTATATAGCCTTGAGCCGTCTCCAGTCCTCTTCCGTGGCTTGCACACCAGTGAATAAACGAGGACCAGTATTTCCCGGCTGCATTGCCGGTTTCTGACCCTGAGTTAGAGGTTGGCCAGGCAACCGGTTCCCAAACTGCTGTCCGCTTTGGCTCGTGCGGCCGTTCTGATTCTGATTGGTTGGCAGTTGTTGAGGCTGCGTTTGAGGCATGTTCGGCAGCGCAGGCTGCGCTTGCGCGGACATGGGATTGAACTGCGCCTGGGAGGCCGCCTTCATATGGTTTTGTTGCATCTGCATCATCATATTTTGTTGTTGCTGAATCGGAATCTGCTGCTTGTTTATCGGAACATTCTGCTGTGGTCGGCTTTGAGGCACCACTTGGCTCTGAACTGGCATGCCATTTTGAGCAACAGGGACTTTAGGCTGCTGTCTCGCATTATTGAGCAGATGGAACAGATACCTCTTGACGTATGTATTCTCTTGCTCGGGTGTGAGATTGGGAGGCAGCTTGTTAGATGCCTGAAGATTTTTGATTACCTGCAATGCCTGGTTTTTGTAGCTTTCCAGCTGTTCCGGAGTGATAGCCGGACGCATGCCAGACGGCTGATGCGGTTGTTGAGGTTGTTGCGGTTGTTGGGGCTGTTGCTGTGACTGCTGCTGTGCAACCATGGGCTGCTGCTGCTGCATCATGGACTGTTTCATCTGCTGTTGTCTCTGCAACATCAGAACCTGCTGCGGGTTTGGAGCGTTCTGTTTGCCGGCAGACATGCCTTGGTTGGCTTGGGCACCTGGCATGCCGTTGTGCATCTGCGAGAACTCCTGCTGCTGCTTCGCACGGATCAATTGCGTGTGCATGGTATACACCTCTTTGATCAGTTGCATGTCATGCGGCGACATTTGCTTTTGCCTGAAAAAAGGCATGATCATGGCCCAAGTGTTATACCCTTGCGGAAATAGTGGTGGGAGCTTGGCGAGCAGCGATGGCGGGATGGGAATGTTCTGAATATCAATTTTTTGCGGTTGTGAGGTGGGCCGGGCCATCTGGGGCTGAGCCTGTTGCGGCTGCTGGGTCTGTTGGGTCTGCTGCTGTTGCTGTTGCTGTTGTCTCTGCATGGCGTTCTGGCGAGACTGGTTGATGCTGGCGATCTTGCTTTTCAAATAGTCAACATACTCCCTCTTGGTGGAGGAGTTGCTGAACGCAAACTTCTCGTACTCTTCCGCGACAGGCTTTGTTCGCTGGAGCGAGAAATTCGTGCCCTGTATTTTGGCGATGGACGCAACGATGAAGTTCACAAATTGGGCTCGGTCCTGCTGTGTGATCTGATTAGCGCCAGCAGACGCACCCATCGGCGGCCTGGAGTTAGGCACAAACCCCTGGTTATTCATGGGGAAAACGAATACTTCTATCAATTTTTTCCCATTCTCGCCGCTCTTAGGTAATCGCAATGCGGCCTTTAAGGCCGACAGAAGAGCCTAGAATTAGGCTAAAATACACCATCTCACATGTAGATACTTGTAGTTATGTACGTAACTAATATCCGGCCGCCCCTGGAACGTCCTCCTTGCCTTTCAACGACATCAGTAAGTCTCTGAACTTGGACTTGTCTCTGTAGCCCGCAAGATCCGAAGCGTTGGAGTTCTTCGTCAGGCTCAGCAGCTCCACCACACGGTCCCAGACCGTTCCTCTCTCGAGGAATCTGTCCCTTTTCTCCAGAAACTCGGCCTCCTCTCTGCGAGTGGCCTCCACGGCCTCGTCCTTTTTGTTGTTGTAGTTCTCGTAGAAGTCGTCAATGGCCTTTTCGGCCTCCTTCTTGATCTCCTCCAGTTTCTTTGCGGCCAGTTCGTCTCTCTTGGCGATCTCCAGCTCTCTGGCCTTGCGCCACTCTTGGATGTGGGTGCTCTCTTCCAGGTTGAGATTTGCAAACTTGTTTGTCACCGGCTCCTCGAAAATGGCCTCCTTCGGTTCCTCCTCGCTCTCTGCCTCAGGAGCAACGTCATTGGCATTTGTCGACACCTCAGGGAACTGGCTCTTGAAATCGTCGAAATCGTCGTCATCCTCTGCGATCTTGTCCTGTTCGGTTGCGAATTCGTTGCCCAGAAGTTCCTTTTCGCGCTTCAAGAAGTCTCCGCTGTCGGCCACATCGGTGCTGTCAACGCCTTCTAATTCGGGGAACTTGTCAGCCATGGTTGTGCACTTGTTTTCTCTGTGTTGTTCAAAGTCAGCAAGAGTTTATTTGAGCCTATTCTGGTGCACAGGTGTAGATAAACATTTGGTAGCATGGTTGGGCAAGAAGTGGGGCTGGAATGAGCCGTAGGCGGGCGGAAAGTGGAGAGACAACAGACAGAGAAATACCGGTTTGAGCTTACCGGTGTCGTATATTTACTACTGGACCACGTGAGCTTGAACCTAATGGTAGGGTTTATACTACTGTACTATGTGAGCTCAAATTCTATAATATCTACACTACATTGTGAGCTGCTATCGTGGCACATGAGGTGTCAATCATGTAGCACGCTAAAGGCGCACCTCTGGTGAATTCCTGGCACCTCTCTTTGCAATGTCCTTACCTTACCAAGGACACCATATTTTGCTACCGCGTCTTATATTTAGGGCTCAGAACCAAAAAAATATTCAGCATTTATTTATGAGCTTTTCCGTGGATCGTGCCAAAGTCAAGCTTGCAGCGCTGGTTCCCACGCAGCAAAGCATCCAGACGACCTCACAATGGATTATGTTCCACTACAGGGAGGCGTCCACCATCGTGGATCTATGGGTCAAGGAAATCACGTCCCAGCCAAACAAACTAACTTTATTCTACCTGGCCAACGACATCGTCCAATTGAGCCGCAAGGACCCCAGAAACGCGGGATTCACTGAGGGATTCAAGAAAGTGCTTCCACAAGTGCTCCAACAGATTAATCCGGGTGCAGACAGGCCCAAGTTTGTCAAAGTTCTCCAGGTCTGGAAAGATAGAAATATCTATCCCAGCGATTATGTGAATAAACTTATGAATTTAGTAGGACAGCAGCCGGCACAGACGCTCGCACAGCACAAAACTCACCAGACAGAGCCTGCTGCGTACCAGAAATGTCCTTCAGAACTGATTGAGGCGGCTCTTCAGTATGACCATCTGAAACAGATATCCTCTGCCACAAGCACAAAATTTGCCAGTCTCTCGGAAACGTACCAAAGCACCTTAAAGGCGGAAAATCTCCCTGAACCGCATATCCTGGTTGGCCAGCTGGAAGGCCTTGTGAAAGGCAGCGAAGCGTTGGAAACCAGCATCAAAAACCAGACAGAGTTGAGAGAAAAACTGATTGGTAGTCTGGAATCTCTTATTCAGGTCCAGCGAGACTGGATAAACCTCGATAAGACGAAGTTGGAAAAATTGGACTCAATCAAAACTTCTGCCCATGAGCGCAAGACAGAGATCGAAAGCACCCTCAATAACGTCGACGACGACGAAGACCTCCCCACGTATAAAGGTGACGAGGACGACGAGAGCGTGCCTGGCTACAACAATGGGGATGAGGTTCCTAGTTACGGCAACGGAGACGAGGCGCAGGACAACGACGTTCCTGCCTACGAGAGCCCTTCGGATTTCATCTCCAGTTTCGCAGCCGAAAGCAAGCGGCCTACTCCAGAGGACGCAGAAGAGCCGTCTGCCAAACGCCAGGAGATTCCTGTCAATGTAGATCTCAATGCTCTGCTGAGCAAATTGCAATAAATACGACGCGTCGATCGACTGGTAATTTTAACTAAATTAACTTTACATGAAGGTGGCCTTCGTGTGCACAGGAAACATGTAAGTACGCTTTCTTGGCCGACTAACAGGCAGATGTCGCTCGCCTATGGCGGAGGCTGTTTTTTCGCAGCTCGCAGAGCAGAAAGGGCTCAGCTCGGACATCACCAAAGTGGACTCCTTTGGCACACACTCTTATCATCTCGGAGAAACTCCGGACCAGAGAACCGTGGCTACGTGTCAAGCGCACAACGTTCCGATCGACCACCGTGCCCAGCAGATTAAAGCGCAGCATTTCAACGAGTTCGACTACATTCTTTGTATGGACAACTACAACCTTCGTTCTCTGGAGCACAAGCGTCCTTCGGGCAGCAAGGCCAAGGTGTGTCTTTTCGGCGACTGGAAGGAGGACCCCAAACTCGAAAAAATCGTGGACGATCCGTATTACGGCGGCCGCGACGGCTTTGAGGAGTGCTATAGACAGTGTAAACATTTCAGTGAGGTTTTTCTCAAAAGAGAATGCTCTTAATAGACTTATAGAATAATGGTACATCTGGTATATTACAGAGTCTGCTCCTGCTGGGGGTCGAAGACGAACCCGGGCTGGCTTTTCACCGACCAGGAATCCTTATAGTCGAATATTTTCCACTCGTCGCCGTCTTCGAGGAACCATGTCTTCAGTTCTTTGTGATATTTCCAGCCGCGACGGATGAACTCGTTGGCAGCAATGTACTGGAGATAGTCGTCGCCTGAGCTGTTGAGGTTGTTGATTGTTGTGAACGGAGACTTGTATCTGATGTTGTGGTAGTAGAAGCAGTAGGCCAGAGTATCGATCTTGAGCTTCTGCAAGAGCTTGGTCGAGCCCGTGATCTCGACGGCCGGCTCCTGTGGAAAACATGTCTGGGTGGTGAACTGGTTGGTTGGCTGGTAGTTGCGAGGTTTGTCGGAGTCATACGAGTCGGGACAATTGAGCAGCGACGACTCCAGCTGCGGGAAGATGGTTTCCAGACTGCGTTTCTCGGCACTTTCGTGGCGCGTCTTAGCTGCCTCCAGACAGCTCACGTAGTCTCTTATTCCTTCAGGCAGATGCGTGTAGTTGGATTCGTCGAGGAAGGAGAACTGCTGTGGAGAAGCAGTGCTTTCTCTGGTGCTGTCTGCAGGACGCGGAAGTCCCGTGGAGACCGATGGAGAAGCGCGGCCTTTGTCTGCAGCCGGCAGTCCTGTGCTCACCACAGAGGCGTATTTTAGCTTTGGCGTCGTCGAGCTGGACGCCGCAGGCGTCAGGTTCGCAGCCCGCAAAAGAGGAGAGCTGGTCTGGCTGTTTTGGGACAGCAGTGGTAGCTGGTGGCTGGCAGACGCTATGCGACTAGACGGCGCTGCGGTGGCAGCGGAAGGGGGAACATGGTGCAAATGGTCGGAGGCAGGGCCCTGGCTCGTTGAGGAGGTTGCTGGGAGAATGCTCTGTGTGCTGGTGCTGGACTTTCTGGTGGTGGATTTGGACTCCTTGTCGTCGCGCTCTTCTTCGTCTTCGTCATCGTGTGCGGCCTGAACAACACGAAACCCTTCTTCCAGCTCGTCAAGTCCGAGCTCGTCGTAGAACGTGTCGTCCTCAACAAAAGAGCTGTCCTGGTTCGACTGCACGTAATATTCGATGTCCTCTTTGATGTCGTTGATCTGGTCGACCTCGAGGTTGTCGTTCTCGAGCAGCCGCAGAATCGTCTCCAGTTTCCCCACGTGCCACTTGTGGCGCTCGAGCTGCTCGCTGAGCGCGTCGATCTGTGTCTGCTTGGAGGCGTCGGACTTTTTCTTCTTGAGCGAGCTCGTGATCTGGTCGATCTGGGCCTCGATGCTCTCATCCTGGCGGTCGAGCTCCTCGATCATCGACTGGATGAACTCTGCACACTCCAGCTTCTCGCGCTGTCTTGGGTCCAGCGTGACGTCTGTGGACGCGAGAGCCTCGTTCGAAAACGCCTTGGTCTTCATGATTTTCTCCACCTCCTTGAACCTCTCCATCTCGTGTTCTATGAGCCGGCGGTGCTCTATCAGCTGTTTTTTGTCTTTCACCTCGTTTCCAGACATCCAAGTCTTGATCTGCTCTCTGTGTCGCTGAAGTTTCTTGATCTCCTTCTTCAGATCGTTCTCCAACTTCTCCTTCTGCGACTGCTGGTCGCAACTCTGGAGCTTGTCGTAGATGAAGTCGAACTCCTCGAGCCCTTCCTTCACCTTCTTGAAAACTCTGTCTATCTCTCTAATTGGTTAGTCCAGCGCGGTGCCAGCTACTTACTGTTGCAATTTCCGCTGCGACATGACAATTATTCACCGATGTTGGCTGGTAATTCTTTTTGGATGTGTTTTTCCACCCGCGTTTTCCTGTGGCAGAGCGAATTTGTGCATTAAAATTCATCCGGTTTTTTTTTCATTCAAACAGTCATGGACTACTGGACAACCAAGCTCGACACCCCAACGCTCAATGTTGTGCCGCTGGACTTCAATAGACCCACCTCCGGCAAGATCGTGGAGTCCAGACTGTCTGTGCCCGTGAACACCGCCGCCTCGTTCCAGGAGCTCCTGGCTACTTGGATGGTTTTGGTGTACAGACTCACCGGCGACGACGACATCGTCGTGGCCACAAACACGCCCAACGGCGAGGCCTTTATTGTCAGACTCTCTATTGATCCGGCCGTCTCGTTCAAGGAGTTTTCGCGCCAGGTCGCAGAGACCTACGATATCGGCACTAAGAATCTTGTGCCGCTCGAAGACATCGCTGCTTACTTTCAAAAATCCAAAGGCCTAGACTCTCCTCCGGCGCTGTTCACTCTCTCTTTCCAGCACGCTCACGACAACGAACAGCTCTCGACTTCAGTTCCGGGCTCTGTGAGAGACATTGCCGTGTTTCTGCACAGCTCCAAGGAAGAGCTCTCTCTGAGCTTCTACTACAACTCTCTTCTGTACTCGCAGCGCAGAATTGAAATCATGGGCGACCAGTTCAACCAGTTTTTGCAGAGCGTGTCTGCGCACCCGGAAACGGCCATCTCGAAGGTCAGTCTGGTCACAGAGTCGCAGAAGCCGGTGCTTCCAGACCCAACCGTCGATCTCGACTGGAGCAATTACAGAGGAGCCATCCAGGACATTTTCAGTGACAACGCCGACAGACATCCGGACAGAACGTGTGTGGTGGAGACGGCGTCGTTTTTGCAGCCTGGAGCCAAAGACCGTGTGTTCACGTACAGACAGATCAACGAGGCCTCCAATGTTGTCGGGCACTACTTGGTGAAAACAGGCATCAAGAGGGGCGACGTCGTGATGATCTACGCGTACAGAGGCGTCGACCTGATGGTCGCCGTCATGGGCGTGCTCAAGGCGGGAGCCACTTTCTCCGTGATAGACCCTGCCTATCCGCCAGCCAGACAGACAATCTATTTGCAGGTCGCCAATCCTCAGGGTATTATAGGAATCAAGAAAGCGGGCGAGATTTCGCAGCTTGTCGAGGACTACATCGAGAAGGAGCTCAAGGTCGTGACCCGTATTCCGGCTCTGGAGATCCTCGACGACGGAATAGTCATTGGTGGCCAGCCAGACGTCCTCAGGGACTACCAACAGTACAAATCCCAAAGAACGGGCGTCGTTGTCGGGCCAGACTCAAACCCTACGCTCTCGTTCACCTCTGGGTCCGAAGGCATCCCAAAGGGTGTTCTGGGAAGACACTTCTCGCTGGCATACTATTTCCCGTGGATGGCTGAAACTTTCCATCTTAGCGAAAAGGACAAGTTCACAATGCTCTCGGGCATTGCGCACGACCCGATCCAGAGAGACATGTTCACGCCACTGTTTCTGGGCGCCACGCTGCTCGTGCCGACGGCAGACGACATCGGAACGCCAGGAAAGCTGGCCGAGTGGATGGCCAAACACGGTGCTACCGTGACACACCTCACACCAGCCATGGGCCAGCTGCTGACTGCGCAGGCGGTTGCCGAGTTCCCTACTTTGCACCACGCGTTCTTTGTCGGCGACATTCTCACCAAGCGCGACTGTCTGCGGCTGCAGACGCTGGCCCGAAACTGTGCCATTGTCAACATGTACGGCACCACCGAGACACAGCGTGCGGTGTCGTACTTTGAGGTTCCGTCCCGGGAGCAGGACTCGTTGTTTCTGGCCAACCAGAAGGACGTCATGCCTGCCGGCAAGGGTATGTTGAACGTGCAGCTGCTGGTGGTGAACAGAAACGACAGAACACAGACCTGTGGTGTCGGTGAGGTTGGCGAGATATACGTCCGTGCTGCTGGTCTGGCCGAAGGCTACAGGAACAACGACGAGCTCAACAAACAGAAGTTTGTCACCAACTGGTACACTTCGCCAGACAAGTTCATTGCCAGGGACAAGGAGCTCGACCGGGGCGAGCCTTGGAGAGAGGTCTGGTTTGGCCCTAGAGACAGACTGTATCGGACAGGCGATCTGGGAAGATATCTGCCGGACGGGAACTGCGAATGTTGTGGCCGTGCTGACGATCAGGTGAAGATCAGAGGTTTCAGAATCGAGCTGGGCGAGATCGACACGCATATTTCGCAGCATCCGCTGGTGAGACAGAACGTGACTCTTGTCAGAAGAGACAAAAACGAGGAGCCGACGCTGGTGTCGTACATTGTTCCTAGAACGTCGCCGGAGCTCGAGAAGTTCAAGAGCGCGTCGCAGGACGTGGACGACCTGGACGATCCGATTGTCAAGGGTCTGATAGTCTACCGCGAGCTGATTAAGGATTTGAAGGCACACTTGAAGAAGAGACTCGCCAATTATGCCATTCCGTCGCTGGTGGTGCCAATGGCCAAGCTGCCGCTGAATCCTAACGGCAAGGTCGACAAGCCTAAGCTGCCGTTCCCCGACACAGCACAGCTGGCCGCTGTTGCTCGGCTGTCGTCAAAAGATGTAGCCGACGTCGAGTTTACCGAGACAGAGGCCAAAATCAGAGATGTGTGGCTCTCGGTGCTGCCAAACAAGCCTGCTACCGTCCAGCCGGACGACTCGTTCTTCGATCTGGGCGGCCACTCGATTCTGGCCACGCGGATGATTTTTGAGCTGAGAAAACAGCTTGCCGTCGATATCCCGCTCGGAGCCATTTTCAAACATCCAACACTGGCTGCGTTCGCTGCGGAAATCGATAGTCTGAAGAAGGACGACGGTTTCGAGCTGGCTGATGGCAAGAACAATGCCGTTCCAGAGGCCAAGGACGAGACTGTCGACTACTTCGAAGACGCAAAGACATTGTCCCAAAGCCTCAAGAGCTATCCTACCAGAAACGCTCTCAACTTCTCGCAGCCTTTGAACGTTTTCGTGACCGGATGCACAGGTTTCCTGGGATCGTTCATTCTGCGCGACCTGCTCAGCAGAAACCTCAATATCACGGTCTGGGCTCACGTGCGTGCCCAAAACGAGACGGCTGCTATGCAAAGACTCGTCAAAGCCGGAAAGACCTATGGCATCTGGAACGACAAGTGGACACAGAACGTCAAGGTGGTTCTGGGCAACCTCGACAAACCTCACTTCGGCAACGAGGAGCAGTGGAAGCGGCTTGTGTCCGACGTTGACGTGATAATCCACAATGGAGCTCTCGTCCACTGGGTGTACCCATACTCCAAGCTCCGCGACGCCAATGTCGTTTCCACGCTGAACGTGATGGACCTTTGTGCAGAGGGCAAACCAAAGGTGTTCACGTTTGTGTCGTCGACGTCCACGATCGACGTGCCTCACTACGTCTCTCTTTCGGACAAACTGGTGGACGAAGGAAAAAGCGGCATCCCAGAGGACGACGACCTGATGGGAGCAGCCAAGGGACTCGGCACGGGATACGGCCAGTCCAAATGGGCCGCAGAATATATCATCAGAAAGGCCGGCGAGAAGGGACTCAGAGGCGCGGTCATCAGACCAGGCTATGTTCAAGGGTTCTCCCAGACCGGTGCTGCCAACACGGACGACTTCCTGCTGAGAATGCTCAAGGGTTGTGTCGAGGTCGGCGAGTACCCAGATATCTCCAACAACGTCAACACCGTTCCTGTGGACCACGTTGCGCGCGTTGTCGTGGCTGCTGCCTTGCACCCGCCAGCGGCTGCTACGCTTCCTGTTGTTCACGTGACCGGGCATCCGCGTATCAGGTTCAACGAGATGCTGGGAGCTTTGCAGAAGTTTGGCTACGACGTCAGGCGGGCCGACTACTTGCAATGGACCAAGTCGCTGGAACGGTACGTGGTCGACGAGGGAAAGGACAACGCTCTGTATCCGCTGCTGCACTTTGTCCTGGACAACTTGCCTCAGGACACCAAGGCCCCAGAACTGTGTGACAAGAACGCTGTGGAGAGCCTAGTTGCCGACGCTAAAATTACTGGCGAGGACCGGTCTGCCGGTGCCGGTGTCACGATGGACGTGTTGGCCAAGTACGTGAGCTATCTGGTCAAGATCGGATTCCTGCCACCTCCACACAAGGGCGAGATCGCTCTTCCAGAGGTGGACATCTCCAAGGAGACCCTGGAGCTGATTAAGTCTGGTTCCGGAGCTAGAACCAGTGCGAACTAATTAATAGAACTATTTACCCCATAACCTGATCCACCGTCTCCTTCTCCTCTTCTATTATGCAATGGAGCCCGGTAAAAGCGTCATTAAGCGACTTGTGGAAGTAGAAGTCGATCTTGTACCCCCCAGCCTTGTACTGTACATCGTCCACGATTTTAAGCAGGAACGGGTCCTTGTAGTCTCCATACTCATACGGAGGAGATACCACACGGTCGCCGTTGAAGGGCGTGAAGGGCACCTTGGGCTTCTCCTCCTCTTTGATCTCGTCTAGACCGCTGATGATTTTTTCTCGCTGCTCCTGGTAATTTTTTTCCAGCTCCTCAAGCTGCTCCTTGTAATTACTGGTTTTACTGATCATCGAGTCGCGCACGTTGGCAATGATCTTGTCGGCATCCTTCTCGCCCGACGCCGTCTGGAGCTGGTTAATAACCTCCAGCTTGCCCAGATTCTTAAGGTTCTGCTCCTCCTTAATGATCTCTCTATTGATTTTATTTTTCTCTGCTTTGTACCGTTTCTCCAAGTTCTGGAGCTTGAGGAATTTCTCGTATTCCTGATCGCGCTGGTTGTTGCTCATTTCAATGTCATCTTTGTGCGCCTGCTGGTACTCCTTCAGTTTCTGTTCCGTCTGCTCAACGTCGATCTTGTTGACCAGCTTGTAGACGTATTCTTCTATCTCCTCGAGGTACGCATTATACTCGTCCAGCGTTTTAAAATCCTCCTGTGTCTTATTGTACACCGCCACCACTCTCTTCCGCACATCGCATTCGCGCTCAACTTCGACGTCGTCAAAGATCTGTGTCTTGAACCTGTTTTTTCGCAGGATTTTGCCACAGTTGGGGTATGGGCATGGCGACGGCCCAAGCGAGAATATCCGGTCCACGCACGAGTCGCATATCTTGTGATAGCATTCGGGATTGATTTTGAACTGTAGTGTGGGCGAGAGATACTTGTCGGTCTTGCAGACCGGACAAAGATCCTTGGGAATATTGTTCCAGTCTAGTTCAACCATGAGAAATAAGTGAAATAATTTTTGTATTTTTTCCACACGCGTGCGCCATGTTCGATGAGATCAACACACATTTGTTTTTGGAAAAAAAACCTATAACCTACAAGTATCTAGCACGATGGAAGGATTTATCGTCGAGCAAGGCCAAACAGGTACTTCAGGAGTTCTATGATCAGTTCAAACACGAAAAGCCAGACTTGAGCAGCTACTACACGGTGACGGGCCGTGCTGGAAACTCGCGCTATGTCAAGGTTGTTTCTGAGCAGGACATCGAAATTGGCAAAGCAGAGCTTGAAAAGATAGACTCTGTCTCGATTTACAGTCTCAATATGGGAAAAGTCGCGCTGGACACCGTGGTTGCAATCAATACAACAATAGATAAAGAGTATACGCCAGAGAATTGCGCTAAATGGGGCGTGATCCAGACACGCACAGCACAGAAAATTGCAAAGAAGCAGGAACGCGAGGCAGCAGCCCGCCCTGCAGAGCGCAATGCCATGAGTGAACCTCTGAAGACGGAAGCCAAGCCGCAGGAAGCCAAACCAGCGGCCAAGGATATCAGCACCAGCAGGTTGAGCTCGCTCTATACCTCGAGAAAGAAGGCTCCGGAGACAAAGCGGGAAGCGAAACGGACTCTGGGCGAACCGAAACAGTCCACAGAGCCGCCGAAGAAGAAGACCAAGAATGAAGTCAAGTCGAAGCTCACTAAGCTGTTCGAAAACAGCGACGACGATATGGCATTCTCTGATGAGGAACCAAACGACGAGCCCGTGGACATTGACAACTTTGCAGAGATAGAATCTGAGGAGCAGCCGAAACCGGCGAAAAAGGCGGACAAATCAGCTGATAAAGAGAGATCAGAACCGGTTACAGAGAACGCTGAGGAGAACGCTGCTCCGTCAGAACCAGTCTACGATGAGGACGGATATTTGGTGACCACCAAACAACAGCCAGCGAAACGGTCTGCCACGCACCCGCCTGCAAAGAAAGGACACACCATTTCGAAAAACACGGACAAGGGAGACACCAAGAAGCAGGTTTCGCTAATGTCATTTTTTGGCAAGAAAAAATAATTTTATTTAATATAAATAAATATATGCTCACCGTGGCCGTTGAAGGGTGCTGTCACGGGCAGCTGAATGCAATTTATAGGTCCCTGCCAAAGCCGGTCGACCTTCTGATAATCTGTGGAGATTTTCAGAGTATACGGAACCGCGCAGACCTGGAGTGTCTGGCTGTTCCCCAGAAATATCGACAAATGGGCGATTTTCAAGATTACTACACTGGTCGCCGAATCGCGCCTGTGATGACCATTTTTGTGGGGGGCAACCACGAGGCCTCAAACTATCTCAGCGAATTGCGCTATGGTGGTTTCGTGGCCCCAAACATATATTATTTGGGACGATATGGAGTGATATGGTATAAAGGCCTGAGAATAGCAGGAATATCAGGAATTTACAACGAGACGAATTTCCTTAAACCGCGCAAAGAAACACTTCCTTACGATAGATCTACCATTAGATCCGTGTACCATTATAGAAATACCGAGGTGACGGCACTCAAGCTCCTACAACCCTCAAACGAAACAATCATGGTGTCGCACGACTGGCCTGAAGGAATATACGAGTACGGCAGAAAAGATCAGCTTTTGCGATGCAAACCATTCTTCAAAAGCGACATGGAAAAACACCAGCTGGGATCGCCTCCTTTGATGGCTCTGCTCCGTCATTTGCGACCTAGTCACTGGTTCAGCGCCCATATGCATGTTAAATTTGAGGCCACTGTTTCCTGGAAACCCAGCCAGGAAAACGAGAAAATAAACAAGGAGGAGATTGAGCTTGAGCTCAACGATGCATCTGAGGAGACGGCTGATCTTCCAACCAGGTTCCTTGCCCTGGACAAATGTTTACCGCGACGCAAGTTCATGGAGGTTTTCCGTCTAGCCCAGCTCGATGTACCAACCAAGCTTGCGGGACTGGATTTTTTCTACGATCCCGAATACATTAGCATACTAAGAACTGTTGAACTTTACCGAAAAGACATAGAATCAGCTGGATTGGATCTCCCGGAGGAGCTCATCACTACATTGCATAGAGAGTGTGATCGTCAACGCATACTTTTGGAGGATCTTGAGACCAACAGATACCGTGAGCTGCTGCAGATCAACAGCCAGTTTTCAGTGACCGCAGACGCCTCTGCAAAAGAGGTGCAAGAATATACTAATCCCCAGACTGTGCAATTTATTGAAAAATTCCTTGCACAGCCGTAGGAAATAAAAAAATTTTAATCTGAAAAATAAATCTAATTCCGCATGGTGAAGAAAAGAGTTGCAGAGGAAACAGTTGTCAAGGCCAAGAAAGCCAAGATCGATCCAGAACATTCTGAGGATGAATCTGAAGATCAGCTGGACGAGCTTGATTCCAACGACGAACACAACGACGAACAAAGTGAATCCACCAGCAATAAAGAAAACGGTGATGATAATAGACCATCCAGGCAGGAACAGAAGAAGCTTCTCTCTGAGAGGAAACTCAAACGTAAGTCTGGTACTCAAGTGGAGAACATCAAGCGTCTTTGGGAGAAATTGAGGGTGAAAAATCCTCCAATGCCAAAGGAGATCAGAGACAAGCTCTGTGACGAGACGTGGGAGCTGTCCAAAGATGTGATTGGCGATCTTGTTCTAAAGCACGATGCCTCACGTGTGGTCCAGACGCTTGTGAAGTACTGTTCCAAAGAGCGTCGGGAGATCATTACGAGAGCTCTCAAAGGCAACTTCTACAATCTTGCTACCTCAGCTTACGGAAAGTATCTGTTGATCAAGCTGCTGCATTATGGCTCCAAAGATTCAAGAGAGCTTATTCTGTCCGAGCTCCACGGAAAGCTCCGCAAATTAATTCGTCATAGAGAAGGTGCGTACGTCGTGGAGGACCTGTATGTGCTATATGCTACCGCGAAACAGAAGTCTCAAATGATCCGGGAGTTTTGGGGTTCAGAGTATGCTGTATTCCGTGACCCTAATGACACGCGTACGATCAAGGAGGTTTGTGCTGAGTCAGCCGAGAAAAGAGCCCTGATCGCCAACAATCTCATCACCACCATCCGTGGCTCTGTGGAGAAAGGATCCACCGGTTTCCAGATTCTCCATGCTGTCATGCGCGAGTATGTGCAGATTTTCGAAAACGACGAAGTGCGCGCGTTTATTGAGCTGTTACAGGATCAGGTGGCCGAACTGGTGCACACTCCCGAAGGTTGCGAGGTGGCTTGTACGCTGGTTGCGAAGGCCAATGCTAAGGAGAGAAAGGCCATTTTGAAAGGTTTGAAAAGCCATGCAGAGGCATTAGCCACCAACGAGCACGGTCAGTTTGTGTTGCAGATCATTTTCATGACCGTTGACGACACCGTTCTCGTCAACAGAACGTTTTCGGGCGCTTTGAAAGACAGCTTCGACAAAATCATGGTTGGCAAGTTTTCGAGAAGACCGTTTGTGTATTTGCTCAACGGACTGGACCGTTCTTATTTCTCGCCGCTGGTCCTGAAAGACGTTGAAAAGTTCACAGAAATGGCTGCCGAGACCTCCAAGAAGCCGCAGGACCAACGTCGCAAAGAATTGCTGAAGAACTTCCTTCCTATTTTCTACGAGACATTTTTGCACAAGCCGGTCATCTTGCACGAGAATCTGGGTTCTCAATTTGTTCTGGAGCTTATTCTGAACAACGAGTTCCCTGAGGAGGCACAGGAATATAGACAGCAAGCTCTGGACATAATAGTCAGCGAGATGAAGGAGGAGCTTGGAGAAGAGCATCTATTGAACAAACCATTCACTCCTAGACTGGTCAAGACGCTAATTCAGGGCGGAAAATGGAACAACAAGGAGAAAAAAGTTGACGTGGTGGATGGCATTGGCATTGGTAAGGAGTTTGCATCCGGCTTTGTCGAGAGAGTGTTTGAGAACGGAGAAAATGAAGACGTTCTCAAAGCATGGATCGACGACAATCAGGGCTGTTTTGTTCTTGTTGCTCTGTTCGAATGTCTGAAGGATGTCAAGAAACACTCGTTTCCAAAGAAACTGAAGAAGATGGACAAGCTGATCAAGAAACAGGACGACACCAACAAGGGAGCACAGCTGCTGCTCAAGGTGTTTTGAGGTGTAAAGGTGTTTAGAAAAAAATAAATAATTAACTTCGATGGCAAAAAACTAACAAGTTTAAACCAAGCATGGCCGCCAAAGAAGACTGGGAAAAGTACAAAAAGCCCGTGGACGATCCCGAGGAAGAGAAGAAAGAGGAGAAAATCACTCCATTGAGTGAAGGCGATATCCAGGTGCTGAAGACTTACGGTGCCGCCCCATACAGTCAGTCGATCCGTGAGATTGAAAAGGACCTCAAGGAGTTGGAGACACGCATCAAGGAGAAAATCGGCGTCGAGGAGTCTGACACTGGGCTCGCCAGCCCCAACCTATGGGATGTGGCCGCTGACCGCAAAAGAATGAGCGAAGAACAGCCGTTGCAAGTTGCAAGGTGTACAAAGATGATCGAGCCTTCCGCAGAGGAGGAGGCCGACGGAAAGACCAAATACGTGATAAACATCAAACAGATTGCCAAATTCGTGGTTGGTCTTGGTGAAAGAGTCTCACCAACAGACATCGAGGAAGGAATGAGAGTCGGTGTGGATAGAACAAAGTACGAGATTCAACTGCCACTTCCTCCTAGAATTGACCCTAGCGTGACGATGATGACAGTGGAAGAGAAGCCGGACGTGACGTACAGCGACGTCGGAGGCTGCAAAGAACAAATCGAAAAGCTCAGAGAAGTTGTGGAGCTTCCATTGTTGTCTCCTGAGCGGTTCGTCAAGTTGGGAATTGACCCTCCAAAAGGTATTTTGCTCTACGGCCCGCCAGGAACGGGAAAGACCTTGTGTGCTCGTGCCGTGGCGAACAGAACAGATGCCACGTTCATCAGAGTTATTGGATCCGAACTCGTTCAGAAGTATGTTGGTGAAGGTGCAAGAATGGTGAGAGAATTGTTTGAAATGGCCAGAACAAAGAAAGCATGCATCATCTTTTTCGATGAGGTTGATGCCATTGGGGGAGCCAGATTTGACGATGGTGCCGGTGGAGATAACGAAGTCCAAAGAACCATGTTAGAGTTGATTACACAGCTAGATGGATTTGACCCTAGAGGAAACATCAAGGTGATGTTTGCCACGAATAGACCGAACACATTGGATCCTGCATTGTTGAGACCAGGAAGAATTGATAGAAAGGTCGAATTCTCGCTGCCTGACCTTGAAGGCCGTGCCAATATTTTCCGTATCCACTCCAAATCGATGTCCTGTGAGCGTGACATCCGTTGGGAGTTGATTTCTAGACTCTGTCCAAACGCCACCGGAGCTGAGCTGCGGTCGGTGTGTACAGAGGCTGGTATGTTCGCAATTCGTTCCAGAAGAAAGGTTGCCACTGAGAAAGATTTCCTACAAGCTGTTGAGAAGGTGATTAAGGGAAACATGAAGTTCAGTTCGACGTCGAGATACATGCAATACAATTAATCGTGAAGAATATCCATCACTCCCACCAGCTGACACAACCCATGCCATCGGTCTGGCAGCTGGCTATGAGCGCGTAAGGCGGCACTTTGCGGTCTTCGGTGTCGGCTCCGTTGGTTTGGTCATCTGCGGTTATAGAAGTGAGCGAGTTGTCTGGTCCCTTTGGTCGCACGTCATTGAAAACCTCTTTTTCAATGCGGAAATTGATTTTTTCGTTGATGTCTAGATACAGCTTTGTCTCCTCGTCCATTTGCCAGATCCATGCGTTATCGTCGGCGGAATAGTACGAGCCTTCAAACATGTAATTTTTCGGAATGAAAATGTCGTTAAAGAAATTCATATTGACCTTTATTCCCTCGTCGCTGCAGCTCTCAATCCATCCGGTGAGGACTTCTCCCACCACTGGCTTGAAGACAACAACGCGAAATCGCACGTGGATGAACACTGCGCCGTCTCCCGGTTTGAGTAGACCGTCATCCACTTGCAGAAGATCCCAAACTGCAACCACCAATCCCAGCTTGTGGATCACTTTGTTAGCGTATTTGATGTTCAGCTCATTCTGTACTGCCTCCTCGGTTGGAAGATGGAACAAATGAGGCGATATTCGGATGAGATCAGAAATCACAGAGAGTTGGAACATTCAAACAATCAATATAAATTTTCGATCTTTTTTTTTCTAGGTGATGGATTATTTAAGCAAAAGTAGTTTGCATGAATATTTTTTGGATTCACATATTCTTTATAATAAATACCTAGTAAACTCTCTTCGCAGGAGGAACTGGTTTACATTCAGCTTCATTAAGAGTTGTAGCAATGACAGCTCTGTATCCAAGCTTAACGTCCTTTCCATGGCCATCCTGCCACGAAAGAGTGTGTTTACGCCAGTTCTCGTCGTCTCTCTCTGGGTAATCATCTCTGGCGTGGGCACCTCTACTCTCCTTTCTTGCGGCAGCTGCAGTGGCAGTCTGTCTGGCACAGGTAAGCAGATTTTGCAATTCCAAAGTCTCGACCAGATCTGAGTTCCAGATCATCGATCTGTCGGTGGTTTTGATTCTGTCAAACTTGGCATCGATCTTGCTCATTTGTTCCACACCCTCGTCCAGAGTCTTTTGCTCTCTGAACACGGCAACGTGCTTTTGCATGCTCTTTTGCATTTCGAGTCTCAATTCGGCAGTGGTGACATCTCCGTCAGCATTTCTCAGCCTATCGAGGTTGGCAACGGACTCGTGGCCAATGTCGTTTGGTAGTTCTGGCAATGGCGCCCCAGGGCTGAACTTATCTCTGATAGTGTGCGAAACGGCTCTTCCGAAGACGACCAGGTCCAACAAGGAGTTGGCTCCCAAACGGTTGGCTCCATGCACAGAGGCACAGGCAGCCTCACCACATGCGAACAGACCTGGAACGACAACGTCCTCACCCTTCTCGTTCTGGGTCAGGACCTCTCCAGTGTACTTGGTTGGAATACCACCCATGTTGTAGTGCACAGTAGGCAAAATAGGAATTGGCTCTTTGGTGACGTCGACACCGGCGAAAATGTGGGCAGTCTCAGAAATACCTGGGAGTCTCTCCTTCAGCACGGATGGAGGCAGGTGGGACAGTTGGAGGAACATGTGGTCCTTGTGAGGACCAACACCTCTTCCAGCGTTGATCTCCATGGTAATGGCTCTCGAAACAACGTCTCTGGAAGCAAGATCCTTGGCGGTTGGAGCGTATCTTTCCATGAATCTCTCACCCTCGCTGTTCACCAAGAATCCACCCTCACCTCTGGCACCCTCGGTGATCAGACATCCAGAACCGTAGATACCAGATGGGTGGAACTGCACAAACTCCAGATCCTCCAATGGCAGGCCAGCTCTGCTGACCATGGCGTAACCATCACCAGTACAGGTGTGGGCAGAGGTACAGGAGAAGTAGGCTCTACCGTATCCACCAGTGGCAATGACAGTGTTGTTGGCCTTGAATCTGTGCAAAGTACCGTCCTCCTCGTTGTAAGCGATGCATCCCACACATCTTCCGTCGTGCATCAGCAGGTCCATGGCAAAGAACTCGATGAAGTAGTGCGTGTCGTATCTGAGCGATTGACCGTACAATGTGTGCAGCAGTGCATGTCCGGTTCTGTCTGCGACGGCGCATGTTCTGTAAGCCTGTCCTCCCTTACCGTACTCCTTGGATTGACCACCAAAAGCTCTCTGGTAGATCTTTCCCTCCTTGTTTCTGGAAAATGGCAGACCGTAGTGTTCGAGTTCGATGATCGAGTCGGGAGCCTCTCTGGTCATATAGTGGATGGCGTCCTGGTCTCCCAGCCAATCAGAACCTTTCACCGTGTCGTACATGTGCCATCTCCATTCGTCGGGGTGCATATTTCCTAGGGCAGCGTTGATACCACCTTGTGCAGCGACGGTGTGCGATCTTGTTGGGAAAAGCTTCGAGATACAAGCCACCTTGAAACCTTCCTGGACGAGACCAAAGGCTGCACGGAGACCGGCACCACCGGCACCAATCACCACGGCATCGTACTCGTGATCGATGATGTGATATTCCTTGGCCATGACAGAGGAGGCCGTTTTGCCATTGAGATTATTGTACTTAGTGATCACCTGAGCAGTCGATCTCGAGGACGAGAACAACCGGCGTCCAGCGATGCGTGATTTCAGGGAAAGCATGGTAAATTAACAAGGTGAGTTTTTCGTGAGGACTTTTTTCTTTGGGGTTTTTACATAATCAGCTCGTTCGGAGAACTTACGGAGGAGAAAAACGGGCCAATGGAATTTTGCGAATTTGTAACTTCGGATATGGGGTGTCTACAGCCGGTAGCCAACCGGGGTGGGACCCCAGCAGGTCATGACAGCTATGTTCAATTGGATTGAATAAGCGCTGAGCACGACAGGCCGGTCAGATCGCCCGATACTCACATCCGTGCACGCCAGTCTTTTCTCGTGTCTGTACCCGGCCAGTTTACGCAGCCCCAAATAAATAAAATTATAGGTATTTTTGACATTTTTAATAAACTGCATATAATTAATTACAAAGTCTCGTAAAATTTTCGTACATTATTCCGACCGCCATCCCCAGAACCGACTTTCCCATCTGAGCGCCAGACTGCTGAACAACACACTCACACTCGAACAAGCCATGGCCAGACTCGACCACGTAGGGCTCAGACGCGAGTTTTGGTATGGATAAATGACTCCCGCAGCGATTGGGATTCCAATGACATTGTAGACCAACGCCCAGCCAAAGTTGAACTTCACACGGTTAATCACCTTGCGCGACAGCTGGAGCAGGATCTGCAGCTGTCTGAGTGGCTGTTTCTGCGACAGAAGGACAAAATCGCACGAGCTCAGAGCCAGATCCGACCCCGAGCCCATGGCAACACCAATGTCCGCCGTCGCAAGTGCAGGCGCGTCGTTGATGCCGTCGCCGACCATGGCCACCACCGCCGGCTTGGTGGGCTTGTTCGGCACGCTGTGGTGCGTCTGCTGCAACCACTTGATCTTGTCGGACTTGCCCTGCGGTAGCACATTCGCGATCACGTGATCCGCAGGGATGCCGACCTCGTGTGCTATTGCTTCGGCGGTGACGTGGTTGTCGCCGCTGATCATGTACACCGCGACGCCGCGCCGGCCAAGGTCTGTGATGACGGCCTTCGCCTCGGGCCGCACCTCATCGCGGGCCCCAAGCAGCATCAAAAGCTGTTTGTCGACAGCCACGCAAACGACGCTCTTGCCCTGCTGCTTCCACTCCTCCAGGAGCTGCGTCTCCTCGTCCGTAAAAGACACGCCATGCTCGGCCATCATCTTCTCGTTGCCCAGAAGCGCACGCTTGTTTCCGTAGTCGCCGAATACGCCGCGGCCGCTCTCTTCCTCGACCTTGGGGACAAGCGTGGTAGCCAGCTCAATGCCCTGGCTGCTGGCGCTTTCCACGGCGAATTTGCGCACGGCGGCCGCTAGTGGGTGTTTCGAGCCGAGTTCGAGGTCCCTGGCGAGCTGGATAGCGAGCGCAAAGTCTCCAGTGACGTGGTGGTCAATGACTTTGATTTCTGCCTTGGTGAGCGTTCCAGTCTTGTCAAAGCACACCACTTCGACGTTGGCGGCCTGCTGAAACGAGGCGCCGCCGCCACGGACCAAGATGCCGTTCTTGGCGGCCAGTCCGGAACCGACAAACAACGCGGTCGGTGCAGCCAGCCCCAGACCACACGGACACGCAATGACAAACACAGCGATAGAAAACTGCAGCGACCACACCGCCCAGCCACCGACGTCGATATCCAGATAGCTTGACGGCAGGACAGTGTATCCAAGAACAAGCCAGATAAGCCAGACGATCAGCGAGATTAGACACACGACAGGAACGAAGTAGCTGGTGAGTTTGTCGGCGAGTTTTTCGATCGGCGACTTATTGAGCTGGCCGTTGCGGACAATGTCGACAATCTGGTCCAGAAGCGAGTTGCCCTGCAGAGCAGAGATCTGCGCACGCACGGTCCCGGGGCCCTGGCTCACAGTTCCGGCAAAAATCTGATCGCCCTTGACGTGGTGGATCGCGTGCGACTCGCCGGTCAGCATGCTCTCGTCGAAATCGGCCTCTCCGTCGACAATGATGCAGTCCACGGGCGGCGAGTCGCCCGGCTTCAATGCGATGATGTCGCCGAGCTCAAGGTAGTCGACGCCGATTTCGCGCTCAGCACCGTCCTCCACAAGCGTCGCCTCGGTGACTCTGAACCCGCTGAGCTGGCTGACAGCGTTGGCCGTCTTGGACTTGGACCAGCTCTCGAGCAGCTTGCCGATGCTCAGGAAAAATGTCAGAAAAACGACCGAGTCGAAATACGTCGTTGTGAACCCGTCGCTGCCCCGTGGCGCGTGCGCGGACAACGCCAGCATCGCTATGCTGGCGACATAGGCAATCGTCGTGCCCAAAGACATGAGCAGGTTCATCGACCCGAAACGCAGCAGCCGCCGGCTCCACGGCACGCTGCGCTTCCACAGCGCACGCACCTCCCGCAGCGCCTTGAGATGGAACATGCTGGCTCCGAAGAAGTACACCGGCGTGGCCAGAATGAAGAGGATCCATACCACTCGCGAGACGTTGCCGCGCCACACGGGCTGCATCAGCCACATCCGGAAGGCGTTGTGTTCTGGCAGCAGCGACATGCCCACGATGCCAAACACAAACGTCGGCACCGCGACGACCGTCGACAGCACGAGCTTGCGCACGATGCGCCACAGCTCCTGCCGCGCCAGCTGCGTCAGGTGCTCCTCCACGGACGCCACGCGGACAATCTCGAGCTGGAACTTGTCGCTCAGCGCATTAATCTCGTCCACAATCTTGCGGATCGTCAGCCGCGGCGGGCTCGGCACGTACGTGAACTTGACATACGGGTGGTTCAAGCTGATCGGGTCGTTCACCACAATCACGTCGCCGTACTCGTTCAGCTTGCTGTTGATGATCTCCGGACAGTGCTCGCAGTACATGCCGCTGACTTTGAGGTTGACGGTGCGCGAGCGGGTCCTGGTGGCCGCGTGGCTGATTTCCCGCACGCTCAGCACCTCAAACTCGTACCCAACGTCCTCCACACACTGCCGCAGCCGCAGCAGGTCTGCGTCGCTCGCCGACTCCAGAATAAACAGGCCCTGCTTGTTGACGATGTTGATGTTGCTCTCCAGCACAAACGGACAGCTCTCGTCGACCGCCTGGCTGATCGTCTGCGCGCACGCGCTGCACGTCATCCCGCCAATCAGCGTCACCACCTCGTATTTCTGTGACCGCTCGATCGGCAGCATCTCCAGCAGGTTGCACTCGAACCCGGCCTCACGCACGGCCTTGATCACGTTATTCACATACTGGCGCTCTGGCAGCAACACGGTGCACACGCTGTCCACCAGCGACACGCTGAAGACAGGCTTGTCGTTCTCCATAAGCGGCACACCCAGACTTTCCAGACACTGGCCGATGGCGGCCCCAATGCTCTCGACGCACGACGCACAGGTCATTCCCTGGACGCTGAGCAGCGCACGATACTCCTTTAGCGGCTCTGTCTTCACCTCCACGTCCACAACGGTGCTGTCCTCTGAATCAGACTGTGTTCTGCGTTTCAGCCGTTTCAGCAGGTCGGGCTCCTTGTGCTGCTCGTACTCCTCGCGACACTTTTTGCAGTGTTCCCGGTGGTGTTTCTCGCGTTTGCCGGTGGCCAAAAGTCGTTTTGCCTTGAGCAAAACCAGACTGGCCGGCTCTGTCCACGAGGGCCTGGATTGATCGCTGGAGATGTCCCAAGAAATGACATCAAAGCCGCAACTTTCGAGCTTGCGCAGCACGCGGGACTCGTTCGCGGCAAGATCGGCGCCTGGGCCAAGAATCACGAGCTCGCCGTCGCTCAGAAATACAATAACTGGGGGCTTTCTCCTACCGGCTGTGCTATCATGGCACACAATTCTGTTGAACTCAGTGACGTCAAAGACGTCCTTAAGAGCGCGGTGGATGCTGATTGAGCACTCGTCACAATGGACATTTGCGAGCTGAACCGTGAAACGCTCCATGAATTGTGATTTTAGAAGACAAGGTGCAGAAGGCCGTTCATTTATTCATAATTATTTTTTCTACGCGAAATTATCTCAGGCGCGAGCAACGGCGAAAATCACTCTGCTGTGCGGCGGTGTGGCTCCGTATAGGCAAACACCCTGGTGTCGAACCGCACCACCATGGCCGTCACGTTGTCGGTGCTCATCTTGCTGATGGCAAGCTTGCACAGCGTGTCGCTTGCCTTGTACGGGTCCATCTCGTCCTTGATCAGGTCCACGGCGTCCTGGTCCGAGCAGACGTCCCACAATCCGTCGCAGGCCAGTATTAAGAAGTCGTCCTGGTCGGTCAGCTCCGTGCATGTCGTGAAGGGCGCCCCTATCACGAGGCTTTTCATGTAGACGTCGCCGAGCGAGCGCGTCACCGCCAAAACGCCGTTCACGCGGTTCTTGAGCATTATTCCGCCGCTGTTCACGATCCGCTGCTGCTCCAGCTTGTCGGAAGACTTGTGGTCGTACGAGAGCCGCACGGCTCGCCCCCCGCGACACAGCACGATCCGCGAGTCCCCCACGTTGGCCGTGTACAGCATTCGTTTGTGTTTTTTGGTGGGCACGAAGTCGAACGGCGTCGTTTTTGGGTCGATCTCGTCCTCGCTCTCTGAATCGTCAATCTCCTCCTCCCATCGCAGCACCGCCACCGCGGCAGTGCACCCGCTCGAGCCTTGTATCTCGCGCTCCATCTGCACGTCTGCCTCCAGAAAACTGTTGTTCAGGTTCTCGCGCAGGTCCACGTTGTCATCATCCATTATCTTCTCCACAAGGATGTTGTGCAGGTTTGAACCGCACCATCTAGCAGCATTTTTGCCCGCGTGGCCGTCAAACACCGCAAAATACCCCCAGTCCAGCCTCTCGGCAAAGTTCGCCACATACGTGTGAACGTCCTCCATGCTCGGTCTATACCTTGAATTTCGATTTTCGCAGACACCAACGTCAAAAGAAAGTCTGGTACAAGGCCCCGACTTCGCGTCCGCGTGTTCCTCCGCCGGTTTCATGCCACTGTCGCTGTGCAAATGCAAAAGGTCACCAGATCTTCTTTTCAAGTATTTCACCACGTCCTTTGGCGACGTGGAGGGCTTAGACATGCCAAATCAATCCTTGAATACCAAACAAACGTATGAACAGCAGCAATTATGTCTATGCGGCCAGATTATCGGTCGTTCCTGAGATCAACGGGTAGTAGAGGAGAACAAAGATGTGGAAGAAATAAAAATAGTCGTGCGCGTCAGCCAAGAAGGCCCTACAAGAATTTCTCAGCTTGCTATATTAAGCTACAAATACAAGCCTTCGAGGTTCTCCTCGATCTTGTTCTTCAGAACACGCTCCTTGGCCTGCTTGAAGTCCTCGGCTATCACCTGCATCCGTCTTTCACGCAAAGCCAGCAACCCGGCCTCCGTACAGATGGCTTTGATGTCTGCACCGGAAAAGTCTTCTTTGGTGTTGATCAGTGTGTCTAGGTCCACGTCGGGCGCGATGTTCATCTTGGAGGTGTGGATGGTCAGGATCTTCTTTTTCGTAGCAGGGTCCGGGTTCTCGAACAGTATCTTCCTGTCGATTCTGCCCGGCCTGATCAGCGCAGGGTCCAGACTCTCGATTTTGTTTGTAGCCATGATCACCTTGACGTCGCCCCGGTCGTCGAACCCGTCCAGCTGGTTCAGAAGCTCCAGCATCGTACGCTGGACCTCTCTCTCGCCTCCCGACGAGGACTCGTATCTCTTTGAGCCGATCGCGTCGATCTCGTCGATGAACACAATAGAAGGAGCGTTCTCGCTCGCCACTTTGAACAGCTGTCTGCACATGCGCGGGCCGTCTCCCAGATACTTCTGGATCAGCTCGGAACCAACGATTCTGAGGAACGACGCACTCGTCTGGTTCGCCACTGCCTTGGCCAGCAACGTTTTTCCTGTACCTGGCGCACCGTACAATATCACGCCCTTTGGCGGCTTGATACCCATTTCCTCGTACAATTCTGGATGTGTAAGCGGCAGCTCGACGGCCTCCTTGATCTCCTGGATCTGCGACTCTAATCCTCCAATGTCTGCATACGACTCGGTCGGCGACTTGTCCATCTTCATCACGTGCACCATAGGATCTGCCTCATCTTGCAAGACTCCCACGATGGAGACGGTCTTGTGATGCAAAAGCACTTGACATCCTGGCTCTAGAAGTCCCTTGTCCACAAACGAGAGGATCGACACGTAGTACTCGGGACCGCTGGAAGACGACACGATGGCGTGGTCATCGTCAATGATCTCCTCAAGCGTTCCAATCGACATTGGCGTTCCTCTGATGTCGTCAATCTTTTCTCTCTCCTCTGCTTGTTTCTGTTCCGTAGGCTGCAAAATCTCCTGGTTGGTGACGAACTCTTCCTCAAGCAACAGGTGGTCCTTGATCCGCTCGAGCTTGAGCAATTTGAGCTTGCACCGCGTGTTCGGCAGCACAGAGGGTAACTTGGCGATGTTGTCTGATCCCTTGCGTTTCTTTCTTCCAAAGGTCTTTGTCTGGACAGGAGGCTCGTACTTAGGCTTCTCCTTCTTCTTGTCCTGGTCCTTCTTCTTGCCGCTAGGCATCGATGCGTCTTGTCCCTATACTGTTAGCTAGCGTGGACGTGCTCATACTCACCATTTTGTCGGTTTGCCACTGAAGAAACGAAAATAAGAAAATGAAAATATATCGACGGGTCGATCATTTTTTTTCCAGCTCTATACAGATTACCTAGATTAATTTCAGCTCGCCCAGAACTGTCTCAATCAACTGGCTGGCCTTGGCGTCGAACGCGACAAAGACATCTCTGGCGCCGTTTATACGCTTCAACGCAGTGGCGTTGCTGTTCAGCAGTGAGTAGAACTTCTCCTTGTCGTTGATGAAAGACAACTCTGCACCAGCTTCTTCCGGAGTGTAAGTCTGCTTGAGAACAGGACCCTTGTAATCGGCCGGCAGCGGCGAGTTGAGGATCTTGTTCAAGGTTGGCGGCGGCAAAGTCATCTCGTCAACACCAGCCAGAGCCAGAGTTGGCGTGATGCCAATTTGGGCAGCAACACAGTTGACAGTCTTGATTTGATAAGCTCTGTAGTACTTGTGGATAGCGACGGCAAGATTGTAGCCATAGTGCTTGTTCAATGGCTCGTCCTTGTACGATGATGGGTCAACATTGTAGCTCAAATCGTCCACGTACGGCGAAATGGCAACACAGTCGGCCTCAGCAGCAAGAATAGCCTGTTCTAAGGAGTGGATCATGGTTCCCAGAATTTGGATCTTGTCCTCATTGAACAGCCTTTTGGCAGCCTGCATGGTCTCATAGGAGGTACCGAGCTTGACGATGACTTTGGAACGGTCGACACCAATATCCTCGTAGGCCTCAATCAGCTTCTTGACGCCGGAGTAGGTAGCTTCCTCGTCATATAAATGTTCAGGGGTTATCTGAGACAAAACACAGCCCTTGAGGCCTTTCAATTGGTTTCTGCCACTAATAGCAGTGCCGTAGTACTTGATTGCCTGGATATACTCCTTGAAGTTGGCCGCAGAAGCGGATTTTGGGACAGAGTCCCCGAATTTTTTGTTGACTAATTTGATGGCCTCGTAAACAACCTCCTGGTGATGCTGCCAGTTAACAAAGCAGATAACTTGATTACTGGTGGCATTTAGGAACTCTATGTTGTACTTCCTCATCAAGAACTCCTTGTCCTCCTGGGACATGGTGTCTATAGAGATAAGCGTGTGCTTAGAGACTTCATCAAAAACAGTAGGCATTCTTTACGAGGAAAAAAACTTAAATTTAGGCAGGTATGCTCCAAAGCTGCGACACGGGACAAATTTATATTGTTGGATATGTGGGAGAACCGCGTGGAGGGTCGTCTGGAGCGGCGAAATCGGGTATCTAGCCGCAATAAAAAAAATTGCGGGGAATCGGCACTGATCATGTACCCCGGGTCGGATCTTTACTCCGACACCTCGCACCAAACCGTAGACCAAAAATCGTTTTCAAAAAAAACTTAGTCCTAAATAATCAATTTTCGCTCTTTAGCATGTCTCTCTCTCCTGACGCCTCTGGCGATTTCGTCGGGGTGATTCAGCTTTCCAAGCCTTATTTGAGCAAGGAAGAGATAACCCATCTTTTCAAGAACAGCTTGATGGACGACAGCTTGGCCAGAGCCTACAAAGTCAAAAAAAGAGAGGTTTTCCAGTTTCTGTGCAAACTGATCAAGGTGCTCCAATTCCCCACCAAAATTCTCCAAGGCTGTTTCTACTATTACCAGCGGTTTTACATGTTCAACAGCTTTGCCAAGTACGGCAACGCGCACTACGACGTCGGCATCACCGCCCTCTTCATTTCGCTCAAACAAAACGACTACATCAAGAAACTTTCTCTGGTTATTTCTGAGGCATACAAATTACGCGGCATTGCGGCCACGCCCCAGGAGCAAGACGAGCACCGCAAACGGCTTCTCAGCATGGAGAAGAAGTTTATGGAACTTGAGGCTTTTGATTTCCGTTACTTCCTCATTGAGGAGCTGCTTATAAAGTACGCTAAGTACTTCAGAGTTCCCAGAGAGGTCTGTTTTCTGAGCTGGTCGATGCTGAACGACTTGTATGCGACGGAATTGCCGCTGCAATGGCCCTCGAACTTCAACGCAATCGTCGTTTTGCGCACAAGCTTGCTTGTCTGGAACGAGCTTAATTTGGAAAGAAAAGTCGAGCGTCTGCTCAATGAGCGCGAGGTAGCTGTGCATGCGCGCAAGGACGAGGTCAACAACGCAGTGAACGAATTTCTGGAATACTATTTGGACAGTTACGAAACCTCCTTCATGAGAGACGCGCTGGAACAGCTGAAATTGAGAACCGACAGCAAACATATCATAAACGACGTGATTCTCAACATCAAAATCGGATTGCATCAGGACGACAGACCCAACGGCTCGCAGACGCCTCGGAATCTGGACGAAGACCTTTTCTTCAAATTGCGCGACTACGACGTGGGCAAGACTGGCTCGGTCAGGTTTCTGTACAGCAAAAAAAAGTACTTGGACGAAGTGAGCCAGTACGCAAGCGAAAAGGAGAGGTATTCCCAGCAAAAGGCTGCGGCGCCCAGACAGGCTCCGACACAGCCCGCTTGGAAGAATTACAGAGCGCCGCCGCCTGCCCATGGAGTGCCAAACAACCACTCTCCACGTCCGCATCCCAACTCCTCCTACCAATCCAATAACCGTGCAGCCCCGCGAAAAACTTTCAAAAAAAACTATCAGCCCAGCTACAACCCGAATCGCAAACACAAGCCGGAAAGACCGTTTGACAAATGATCAATCCATGGAGTTTTCATATCTTTTAATTCTCATGGGATCTTGCTCAATTAGTTTTTTCAGAATGGCATTTTTCTGCCCCTTTTTCACGCCTGTGAGTTTTGAGAGCTGCTGTTCAAGGAAAACGAGCGATTTCAAACACCATTGGTTATCCACCCCGTTGTCGTCGAGCTCGAGCTCGTTCAGCTCGTTGATGTCGGCGATCGCAGTCTCCACTACCTGACGGGCCTGCTCCTTGCTGATGCTATCAATAAAGTAGTCTCCAAGCAGCCACTTGAGATATATCCACACGGAGGAATCGTCGGGATCCGTATAGAATGCCGTTTTCACCATCTGGAGCTCCTGGACAAGGAACTCATACTTATTTTTCGTATGGAACACTGTCGCAGACTCGGGGGAGTTCTCAAAGAGCATTTTCACCAGCCGGGACCGGTTGTGCAGCGCAGAATAGTTGGAGATGTCTCTGTTGATCATTTTTGTTGTGTAATTGAATTCTTGCAGATCTGTGTCCAGTTGCTCTTGGCTCGTTTGCCCCAGTTTCATGCGGTCCACCACGTACCGTCGGTATTGCCACACGTGGTAATTCCGCGAATCTGCTTTCAGAAACGTGTCAATCATCGCCATCTCGGCGTTCCAGTTGGTCAGGGAGTCGTACTCCAAGCACCATTTCCGGTGGTTCCAAATCCAGTAGCATTTGGGGAACCGTCTCAGATGCTCAACACTCAACGCCAGCTCGTTCTTTATTATGTCATGAATCGCATCCGCATCGCATGTTTTAAACCGCTCTAATAGAATATCTCTCCTATAATTCCACACAGTGTATAGTTCAGGGTTTATGTCCAGTAGCTGTTCTGTCTGGGCTAGCGTTTTGTCGTTGTACACACGGTTCTGCTTATTGGCCAGCACGCGGTCAGTGAGAGAGCAGTACCTTGCTATTCGCACCGCGTCCTTCTTGATTTTCTGCAGACGCGCGTCCTTGGTGAGCCTTGTTCGTTTTACTCCGTGCTGCGGTTAGAAAATGTGCTAGCGAAACTTACCATAAGAAAGGAAAATACGAATGTAGATTTATTTATTTATTTATTTTATGTCAGATTCAGTGCCCACCCGGTCCAAGCTCGCCCTGAAAGGATCGTCACGAATTGTGTCGGACTTTTTTGAATACAGCATCCATAGCATTCTGTACCAGCGCGGGATCTACCCGCCCGAAGACTTCCAGACCGTGAGAAAGTATGGCCTCAACATGCTTGTTCCCACAGACGACGAATTGCAGTCGTACGTGAAGCAGATTATGAAACAGCTGCACAAGTGGGTGTACGGAGGCCTGATTTCGCGGCTGGTGGTGGCGATTGTGTCGAAAGAGACCGGCGAGACGGTCGAGAAGTGGCAGTTCAACCTGGAAATACAGAAGCCAGACACCGAAGAGACAGAAGGCAAGCCTAACGAGCAAATTCAGCGGGAGATCCAAGCGATTATTCGCCAGATCACCGCGTCGGTGACGTTTCTGCCCGAGCTGGAGGACGAGTGCACATTCAACGTTCTTGTGTATGCCGACCCGAATTGTCGCGTTCCTGAAGAGTGGGGGGACTCGCGCACGCACGAGATCACGGGTGTGACAGAGAGCGTCAAGTTCCGCAGCTTCAGCACGACCAGCCACCGCGTCGACGCCCTTGTCGAGTACAAGCACGGATGAACTGCGTCGATCGACGCAGCGTTCCGAAAGAAGCAACTAAATGCATTCTCCCCAAAAAAAAATCTCTCTCCACAAATAATCATCACCATGAGCTTCAGCAACGCCTTTGGGGATTCCTGCGGGGCGAACAACGCGCTCAGCAAATTCACGCAGCGGGCCAACGTGGACAACTCGCTCACGAGCCAGCTCAGGGCGAACAGCGACAGCCAGCGTCTGCTGACTCCGCCCCACCAGACAGTGGATCAACAACTCGAGTCTGAGTACCGCGCTTTCCAACAACAAACCCCTTCGCTCCAGCCGTCATTCCAGGCCCCGCTTCCGCCTGCCGCTATAGAGCAGAACCAGTGGGTCGACCACTTTCGCGACATGAACCTCCACGACACGCCAGAGGCCCAGAATTATCAGCACGTGCAAAATCGGTCTGTGCACTCCACGCAGTGGCGACACGAGTTTGCGCAAAGCCAGCAGCAGCAGCAGCAGCGGGAGGCGGGCGACACATACGGTACTGCCTTCCGAATGCTCACGGGGGCACCGCAGCTTGCCACGCCGATCGCACCGCAGGTCGTCCCTGCTACGACAGGCCAGCAGGACTTTTCCGCTTTTGACGCTGCTTTCGACGAGCTGGAACACGAGATGCACGACGAGGCGATGGACGAGCAGCAGGCCGAGCAGGTCAAGCCGCAGAACGAGGACGACAAGATCAAGTTTGCCCAGCTGGCGCGATCTGTCTTCCTGACGATGTCGCAGCCCCCGGCAGACGTCTCGAAACAAACCAGCGACAAATTCCAGAAATCCAATTTCCTCAAGCTTATGAACAGGATCTCCACAAGAGAGGTGGAGATAAACGAGAACAGAGACAAGTTTGTGGACGCTCAAGGCCGGGATATTCGCGACATGCTTCCGGACCCGTTGAAGGACATCAAGGAGGAGGGGCTTGCCGGATTGGGGCCTTTTGCGTCAGCGCAGCAGGTGTATTCGCAGATGGGCGACGAGCTGAGGCCCAGCATGTGGCAGTGAGCTGACAGGCCGCCTCATTTTCGCTAATATACCTGTATATATGCACAAGCTATTGCGCTGTTGTAGATGGGGAGGGGGTGTCAGGATGCACTTTCTGGGCCCGCTTAGCTAAGCGTCCCCAGATCTGATATTTCCCACTTTGCGAAAAACCCCTTTTTTCCCACACAATGTTTACTTGCAATCAGTGTTCGAAGGCGTTTAAGCGCAAGGACCATTTGAAACGGCACATGGTGAACCATAGCGACACCAAACATGTTTGTCCTCGCTGTGGTGCGCCTTTTCGCCGCTCAGATTGCTTGAGTGAGTAGATAATATGGTGTACTAATTCCTAGATCGTCATCTGAAAAGACACAAAGAAAAAGATATCGAGGCTGGCGGAGAGGGGCTCGGGGAGCTCGTGACCAGACGCAAATTCTGGAGTCCTCAAGAAGGGTACACCAAAAAGGTCAAAGGAGAAGACGGTGGCAGCTCGCCGGACTCGACAGATACACGGCTGTTTTCGAAAAATGACAGTGACACGTTCACTGAGAACCACAATTTTGAGGCTGCGCTGGAGCCGGAGCTGCTCAAGCTCAGCCGCAGGTCCAGCACTGTGTGGAATAAGTATAACTTTGAGTACCCCAGTGTGGACTGCTCTATGCCCACTCTGGACCAGCCAACTATGGAACGTGTACAGCGGTTTGTTCGAGGCTTGTGCGAGACAGAGAAAGTTGTGCTTGAAACAGTCAACTCCTGTGGGATGTTGGAATCGTCTTCTGTGCAGAGGTCGCTCGGGAACTTTTTCTCTGGCTTCAATCTCACGTATCCCTTGGTTCATCTGCAAACTTTCGGCACAGAAAGTATTTATCTGTTGGCAAGTCTCGTTCTGGCAGGGTCCTGCACAGAGTACCTTGTGGCTACTAAGCTTGTTGCGATGCTAGAGAAACGGCTTTTGGAGTTGCCAGGACTGCTGGGCGGCAACTTGCAGCTGGTCCAAGCCTTGATTGTGTGCCAGTTTGTGAATTTCTTTTTTGGCGACAAGATGCAGCACGAGCATGGGCTCGCCTTCAGCGGGGTGCTTACTCACATTTTGCGGCAGAACGGATACTTTAAGCAAACTTCTGAGCCGGGGAGCTGGCACGAATGGGTCGTAAGCGAGAGTCGAATTAGGGCTGCGTTCCTTGCCCTCCGACTGGACGTCGAGAAGAGCGTGCTCTTTGGTTGCGAAAATACATTGTCGGCTTACGAGCTCCATTGTAACATGCCATGTTCGCTCCAACTGTGGATGGCGTCGGCTGAAGAATGGCAAACTCTCAGGCGCCGCTCAAGGCCAGTGAGTTTTCCTGCGGCGCTGCAAGGCTACTTGAGCTCGAAGCATGGTATCATAGCTACGGACGGTCACCAAAAACAGGTCTTGCTGCATGGAATATTGAGTGTATTTTTGGACCGCCGAAAATTGGGACCTGGCTTTAGCGATAACAATTGGAAATTGCAAGTTTTGACGGCACTCGAGAATTGGAGCGACGACTTCAGTCGGTGGCAGATTTCCGTAAAGGAGAGCGTCAGAAATGATCCGATATTCATGCAGTTCACAACCTCGGTCGGAGCACTATACCGTCACGCACATTTGCTACTTTCGACAAATTTCGCATCCCCCAAGAAGCTCTTGGCCATGGCAGATTGTACCTTTGCAGACACCAGAACAGCAGTCTGGCATGCCTCCCAGATGATTATTGAGGGATATTTGAATTTGGATTACTGGCAAGCCGACGGCAGCTTCCACTACGATTGGTGTCTTTACACGGCCGCTATGGTGATATGGAAACACTTCAAAGGTTCAGGGTCGACAGATATGGCCAAGGTGCTCCTCAATCTCTCGCGAAGGACACCCCAGGACATCATGGCCCCACCCATCGATGCCAGACCAATCGTCGAGCACTTGCAAAAAAAATTCGCACAAAATCCTAGTCTTGTCTTAAAGAGTTTGGCAAAAGACATGTCCCAATAACCTAGTAGAGTCACGATTGCCACACAGAAGAATTTCGTCCATTTTGAACCCTTTTTGGTTCTCCGCGTTAAATCCTGATGGAATGGAGTTTGTTCGGACAAGGCAGGCAAGTCACGTGCTTTGACATTTCTGCGGTGATGCAGAGAAGCTAATATGATTCAAGGAGCCAATGTGAGCGCGCGCTCGAAATCGCCGATCTGCACGCTGACAAAGAATTCCATACAGATTTTTTCCTCGGTATCAAATCGGAAGCAAAAAAAAGGGTCGTGCTTCCGGACTTAGTCCAATGACGTTTGTAACTCCGGCTATGTCCAGAAAGCTCTTTGCCATATAAAAGCAAACTCGGAAGGCAAGCTCTGAAGCACCAAAACAAAATGTCTTCCATCAACGAGATCAGAGCAGTGGGAATCGTCAACAGCCTCAAAGACTGGCCACAAACTCAGCAGTTCACTTACAAGCCTCATAAGGCGAGACCTCAGGACGTGGACATCAAAATCCTTGCCTGTGGTATCTGCGGCTCTGATATTCACGCCAGTAAGGGTGAATGGGGCGATCTTCCACTTCCAAGAGCCTTTGGCCATGAAATCATCGGTGAGATTGTTGCTATTGGTGAGGGAGTTGATAGTTCCAAGTACAAAATTGGTGACAGAGTCGGCGTGGGCGCACAGTGCGACAGCTGCGGAAAATGCTGGAGATGTGACCACGACCATGAGAACACTTGCAGAGACTCGAAGAGCTTGTACTTGGGCACCTACGAAGATGGAACCCTTATCCAAGGTGGATATGCTTCCCATATCAGGGTGAACAGCAAGTTTGCAATCCACATTCCAGACAAGCTGGAGACTAAGTACGTGGCTCCTTTGATGTGTGGAGGCGTCACTGGTTTCCGTCCACTTCTTTCCTACGGGGTTACAAAAGGCACAAAGGTTGGTGTTTACGGATTTGGAGGCATTGGTCACATGAGCGTTATGTTTGCTAAAGCTATGGGAGCAGAGGTGACTGTGATCTCGAGAGGAACCAGCAAGAAGGAGCTGGCTAAGAAACTTGGCGCCGACCACTACATCGCCACTAGTGAAGAAGGATTTGAGGCTAAGAACTACGACACTCTGGACCTGATTGTCAACACTGGTTCCGACTTCGAACCTGAGTCTCTCACCAAAGTGATCTCCATGCTCAAGCCAGACGGCCGCTTCACGTTCATTACGGCGCCTCCTGCTGGTGTCAAACTGGAGCTGGTTCCAATGTTCTACCTCATGAACTGTATTCACATCGGTGGTTCTGGCATTGGCTCGCCTAAGGAGATTGAGTACATGCTCCAGGTTGCTGCTGAACACGATATCAAGCCTATGATTGAGACCTTCGACATCTCTGAGGAGAATGTGAGGAAGGCATGGGAGAAGGTGGACAGCGGTGACATTAGGTTCAGAGCTGTTCTGACTGGCTACGACAAGTTTTTTAAATAGGCGATCTAATTTAGCTGTACAATAAAACCCTGCACCGGTTTCCTTTACGTTGAGTAAATTTTTTTTAGGCGAGCCAACCGACGCATCCCTGCTGCATGGAATAGCCCTCAATTTTATTAGCCCACGTTACTATGCGAATGTGTGAGACCTTTGAGATCAAATTAGGCGGCGCTGGACTCATTTATGTCTCGTCGGTGAAACTTTGATCACAGGAGTCGGTAATTTCAAGCGAGCTCTAGCCTCCCTGCCGACCAAAATTTATAATCCAGGCTCGGACTTCTACGCATGCAAGATGCATGTTAGCTGCGGGTGTCTTGTCAATAAAATTCTCGGTAATTCAAAGTGATTGTCAGCTTAATAGCAGCATGGTAGAAACATATTCAAGATTTTGAAACCTGTATCGGAGCATGTATTTGCAGGAAATGGTTTAATGGGTCTACACTTCGCATACAAAGTAGGCAGAATGTTTGGTCTGGAAGATAGTATTATTCTCCTGCCAATGTGTGTGGATAATACTGGATGTGGCAGATGATTACAAGGCTTTGCTATTCAGGACTAACTCTCACGGGAAGCGGGAGTCAGCTCATGACACTATGGACTGATTCGGCCTGCACTCGGACTCTATATTATTTAATCCGTCACTCAAAAGCTGGCCAGCTATTTGAGCTGAATACGCACAACTCCATCAAGTCGAACCATTTTCTACTGCTTACTGCTAGTTGGCTGGGTGTTGTTCAGAGCTCTGCAGAATTTTCTCAAGCTGCTTCACATTTCAGCCTTGGAAAAATCAGTCAACTTAGCGTATCAAATAAAAATGAATTCAATATTTAACTTGGACGCTTTCTCACCACCTCACCCAGCTCCTGAGGCTCACCGTCCATCCGCGGCGCAGAGCCGTTGTCGCTGGTGATCTGCAATTTTTCTGCAAACGACCACATCTCCTTCAAAGTTGGATCCAGAGTTCCCTCCATGTAGTCCACCACCTTGTCGCCCAAAATAGGGACGAATTTCCACGCGTGCGCAGAGCCACCGGTGGCTACAAGAACACCCTCCAGATCCGGATGGTAGTCAATCACAAAGTTCGCCGACGGGGTCTGAGTGAGCCAGCACAGTTTGGTGCGGTCAAACGGTCTCTGGGCCAGCGCCGGCATTATCTCTGCCAGGTTGTCGCGGAGCACGTCCTCGGCGTCCTGCGGGATCCAGTCTGTCGGATGGTCAACGACAGTCCGCGGATAGGAGATCTTCACGGGCTCCTGCATTGTTGGGTCGGGGTTTGGCACCTGCAACGTGTTTTTATACCCTGGAGACCGTCTGAGACATTTGATCTCGCCGTTGTACGGTGGAAAAAGGTTGATTCCTGTGGACAGATTTGTGGTGATGGCCATCTTGTTCCACTGCTCCTCCTCCTCCTTGGTCACCTTGTACCAGGCAACCTCGATTGCTGAGGATTTGCAGATCCCGTCGAGATTGACCAATTTGCAGCTCCAGGCCCCAGCAGCCACAATGACGAGATCTGTTGCAACTATCGACCCATCGACGAGCTTGACGCCCCGCGCCTTGCGCGAACCCGGACCGTACACAATGGAGTCCACCTCTTTGAAAATAAAGCTCACACTGTCGAACGTCTTGGCACGCTCGTAATATGCTTTCATGCTTTTTTCAGCGTCGATAAAGCCGTTCAGATAATTGGTGTACCCTTTGTTCCAGCGGGTACCTTTAGCAACTGGCTTGGAGTCGACGCCATGGATGCTCTTGTAAACCTCCTGCGGCGAGTTATAGTACCGCATTCTGTCGGGATATCCCTCGTTGGCCTTCTCGGCAGCTACCTTACCATTAATCCAGATGTCGGCCCATTTGTCGTTTCCGCCGTCGTAGACAAACGACATGCCACACCGGTGGAAGAAGGGCGACACGTCGGGATCCTTAGTAATGATCTCCATCGACTCACGCGCCAGCTCGGCGTATATAGGGTCTTTGTAGTCGACCCTGATACATCTCGTGGTATCGACGCTGGTACCGTCTAAAACAGGCGGCTCTAACCGGTCAATGACAGTGACCTTGGTCTGAGGATACCGTCTACCTAGCCCTATGGCCGTGGAAAGACCGAAAACTCCTGCTCCGATAATACACACAGAGTCTGGTACCATATCTGACTAAGTTATTTTTTTACATTTTATTTCTTATCAGTGTTCCCTATTGGGTAATTCCGACACTAGCGTCCGATGAAAATTCTAGATTTTATAATTTGAAGACAGCCCCAGAATCAAGCTATCTGTGCGTCGTGGGTAGCGGTGATGAGGCACGCCTCATATCTGCCTTTTTGTTGGCATTGGAGGTCTCAGCCTTGTACAGGACGTCCTGCTGCAAAAAACAATAAACAGTGCCCAAAAGATGAGCCAGGCATTGAACATGTATGCCGAGTTGGGCGTAAATCCGTTCCTGCCAGACGTGTAGCGCGTATATTGGCAGGTCAAAGGATTATAATAGTTTTGATGCCGTAGTAAAAAAAGGCACTGCACGGGACTGGACTACCGGAAATAAAGTCTGGTAGCAAGAGCCATTTCCGGTCTTTGTTTAAGAATATCCATTGGGTCGAAAATGTTGTTGACATGGTAAAGAGCGCTCAGAGACCCCAGCTCAGGAAGCGTAGCGTGCTCGTTGCACTGCTGCTTTGCCTCACCGCCCTTTTTAGCTCGTTTGCCACTAAACTGTACCTAACAAGGGCTCCAGAGTCTCACGAGCTCTCCCAGACGTATCTCTACCGCCTGCAATTTGAAGCGTCGCCAAAATACAAAGCTAACCCCTACTACGAGGGAGCCAACCCGTGGGATGTAATGACCACCTATAGACGGCTCACGCGTATGTTTCCCTACACGAAGAGCCCTGGAGGTATACCCAAAAAGATTTTCCAGATGTGGATCACCCCTGGCGAGCTGGATGAAAATACTATTCCTTATCCCGAGTACAGGCAGACGTGGCGGGACAAGAACCCAGACCACGAGTACAAGGTTCTTTCTGGCGAGGACCTGAAGAGCGCTGTGAAAAGTGCGTTTGAGCACACTGTTCCCGAAGTCTGGGAAGCCATGGACACCATGCCATTAATGATACTGCAGTCTGATTTTTCGCGTTATTTGATGTTGTTTCTAGAGGGCGGCGTCTGGGCAGACCTCGACACCACTTGCGACCGCCCTATCAGCAAGTGGTATCACAACCTCGTTGACTACAATATCCGGTTCGTGGGCTCTGTGGAGCACGACGTCAATGACGACTCGTGGCCAAGCTTGACAAGCAGACGGTTGCAGTTCGAAAACTGGGCTTTTACGAGCGACAGGTTCCATCCCGTTTTGGCCATGGTGATTGCACATGTCATCAGAATGCACTTCACAGTCATGTACGAGGGAAACCTCAACATGTATAGCGATGGCAGCGACGCTAAGGCTTGCAACCGTCTGTCGGTTATCGATTGGACAGGACCCGGCGTGTTCACAGACGGAATCTACAGATACATGAACAAGGCTGAAGAGCGGGAATTCGTGGACATTGATCTCAGGAGGTACAACGCTGAGGAAGAATTGTATGGCCCAGGCACAGGCGACAAAATAAACTGGCGCGGTTTCTCTGGGCTGAATGCACCTGTTATTTTCAACAACGACGTGTGCATTTTGCCCAAGTCAGGATTCCGCTGCACCAGCGACTTTGACGAGTCTGTCGAGGAGTACTGCTACCTGACGCACCATTTTGCCAGATCGTGGTTCTCCGAGGTGGAGTGAATATATTTTTTCCCAAGCTTTATTATAAAAATGTTTTCGCTGCGTTGTTTATTCTCATCTTTGCTTGGCATCGTTTTTCGCATCATCGTCCTGCAGGTAGCTTTCGTAATTTTTTGGTTCCTTGGTCAGTTCTTCAAGGACACGCACGCCCAGTTCGTTCTTGTCACCGCCGGTAGGATAGTCGTTGACATGGAGTCGATAAGGGCTGCGCGGATTGTGTGCCATTGTCTGTACGGTTTTCCTTATATGTCCGAATACCTGACTGCTGGAAGACATCTGTACCACAGAAAAGCCGACAATGAGCAGTAGGACGGTAGTGAGAACTAGTAGATACTGTCTGAAGGAGCGGTCCAGTCTCATGGGTAAAGAAACATTCGCAAACAACTTTTATGGGCGCGGTGCTCGGTCTTATTTGGCGTATGGGCTGGTTTCCGGTTTCCGTGAAGTTTTCCGGCCCATGCGCGTTTCGGACAAAACGGTGGCATAACTGAACTATATATAGCTCAAGAGTGCTGCTCGAAATCCATAAATAGACCTCTCGCGCGTAGCCGGCACCAAAAAGACCCAATCCATGAAGCGAAAACTAATCAGAGGTAAATATGTGTGGTTGATGGCCATAGGTATTTTCCTCTTTTTCGAGGTAGCCTTCCAGACGTCGTACTCCACCTTGAAACTTGCTGCCAACTCTCCCACCTTCCATCAACTAAGTTTCCTAACCAGCTTGAAGTCCACCGACGGCTTGTCTGCTATCGAAAGAAAACTGCTAGCTGCATTCCCGTTTGAAGAGACCGAGCCCGAGAAAAACCTTTTTCAGCTCTGGGGCGCAGAACCTCAGACAGGCGACCTCCCCGCGGAAGTGACCCAGATGGTGCTTGAGTGGAGCTCTGAAAACCCATCCCATGTGCACAATGTCCTTGAGGTTCCTCAAGCGGAAGCCAAGGTGGAGGAAGTGCTCACAGCCACCGTTCCAGAGGTCTGGGATGCATACAAACGACTGCCCCACGCTCGCCACAAGTACGAGTTCCTCAAGTACCTGCTGATATATCTGTTTGGGGGAACTTACGCCGACATTTATGTTAAGCTACATAAGCCTATTGACAAATGGTACCGTCCACGAATGATGTTCGGGCGTGTCTACGTTGGGATTCTGGGCGACTTAAACGAGCCAGACTACGACCAGCATCTCAACAGACGTCTCACGTTCTCCACCAGCGTGTTCCAGGCCAGGTCTCGGCACCCATTTTTGGCAAAATTGATTGGCCGTATATCGCAAATTTCGTTGCAACAGAGCAAGCAACTAAAAAAGATCGATTGGGAAACAGCTTCCCAAAAATGTGACTCTACCGGGGAGCCCACCGTCTCGTTCACAGGACCGTCAGTCTTTACAGACGCCCTCATGGACTACCTAAACAGTATTCCAAAGGCCGTTCATGCCAGTGTCGCAAAACCATTGCACAACTTGATAGTCGGACCCCCGGTGCCCCAATCGCAACGGTTTTCGTACAAAAAGTTTACACAGATCCAGGCACCCTCGCAGGTCGAGGATGTGGTGATCTACCCACAGGTGTCGTTCCAAGGCCCGCTCGATAGCCAAGAGTACGACTACTCAGACTATTTCTACGCGCAACCCAGCAATTTTTCAAAGTGGGGGTACAGATCAAATTTGGGCTTGAAAACTCCGAAATCTGGCTGATTTTTCAAATATAGCGCAGCTGCGTCAGCACTATTTAAGTTGCTACTCCCTAATTATATTTGCTACCTTAAAATGTATCCAGACTCTTTCGAAGGATTTGCCGTCACAGACACCAAGAAGTGGTCCACCGTGTCCAAGATCGAATTCAAGCCAAAACCGTTTGGCGAGTACGACATCGACATCCGCATCCACGCATGTGGCATCTGCGGTTCAGACGTTCATACGGTTTCCGGGGGATGGGGGCAGCCTGACCTGCCGGTCATTGCTGGCCACGAAATCATCGGAGAGGCCGTCAGGGTCGGCGACAAGGTCACCACCGTCAAGAAGGGGCAGCGTGTGGGGGTCGGAGCCCAGATTTGGTCCTGCTTGAAGTGCGATGCCTGCAAAGCCAACCAGGAAAACTACTGTCCCCACATGGTCGACACGTACAATTCCAACTATCCAGACGGCTCCAAGTCGTGGGGAGGCTACTCGTCGCACATTCGTGCCCACGAGTACTTCGTGTACCCGATTCCTGATGCTCTAAAGACAGAGGAGGTCGCCCCAATGCTTTGCGCGGGCACCACTACGTACTCGCCACTCGTCGACAACGGCTGCGGCCCGGGCAAAAAGGTGGGGGTCATTGGAATCGGCGGACTGGGCCACTTTGCTATCATGTTTGCCAAAGCTCTTGGTGCAGAGGTTTGTGCGTTTTCCCGGAGTAGCAAGAAAGCAGAGGACGCCAAGAAACTTGGTGCGTCCGAGTTTGTTGCTACGGGCGAGGACCCCGACTGGCCGACCAAGCACCAGCGGGAGTTTGACCTGATTATTTCGTCGTCGAGCTCGGTCGAAAACTTCAATCTTGAGGGCTACCTGGGCTGTCTCAAAGTCAAGGGTAAGTTTGTGTTTGTTGGTATGCCTGAGGACCCGGTGGAGGTGAAACTGCCTTCTCTCAGCCAGTCTGCCATCTCGTTCAGCTCTACCCACCTGGGCAACAGACAGCAGATCTTGAGCATGTTAAAGCTGGCGGCCGAGAAGGGTGTCAAGGCCTGGACTGAGTGTCTGCCTATCTCCGAGGAGAACATCAAGCAGGCTCTGGAGAGAACACACTCTCACGACGTCAGGTTCCGGTTTGTTCTGACCGATTACGACAAGAAGTTTGGCCGAGACTAGGTGAATTATCTAATTAGCTGATAAGGCCCTTGGCTCTGTACTCCTGCACGATTTTCCAGTAGCGGGTTTTGGTTCTGTTTCTCCAGTAGCGGCCGGTGAAGATCATCACAATAAACGTGCCGATGCAGAAGAAACAGATGAACGCCGAGGCAACAAAACAGTTCTGGACGCCGACGTTGGTGTAGAACGGCGTGATTCCGTAGTCCATCGCGAAGTTCATGGTGTTTCTGATCAGAATAGCCACGGTAATTGCTGGAGCACTCATGTGCTCGTACGAGTCCAAGATGTACGTCACCGCGGAGACACAGCCGATGGTGCAGAGACCAGCCATGAGGCCGAGCCCAAACACGACGCCAAACCAGTGCACGCCCTTGGCTGCTCCCACGCCCCATAAAATTAGAGCCATCGGGCCGAGAATCATGTACACTGGCAGCACCCAGAAACGGTCCTCGGCCTCGGAAAGACCCTTGTGACGTTTGGCAATTTTGATCTTCACCCAGTCAGTGGACCAGCCGGCAAATGGATATATCAGGAGACAGAAAATCACAGGAGATAGGTAGGCCAGTCCGCACATGGATGACGAGAAATTATAAGGCTCGCTGCTCAGAACCAGAGCCTCTGTGCCGTTAAGCACAGAGTACCAGAAGAGCGAGGAGCCGTACAGAAAGCCGGCGTATAGAACACCAGGGAACTGGGCCATGAGAACAATGGCCTTGAACTCGTCCAGCAGGTGGTTCTCCTTGCGAACTCCGCTGGTCAGCGACAGTTTCTGCCAGAACGTCTTTGGCGGCGGATACGTGATATCCTCGTCGATGAGCGCTGCCTGGTTGCCGAGCTCGTTGCTCGTGACGACCAGCATCGTGTCTGGGTTCTTCTCGTCGGTCTTCTGCTCGCCGCGGCTCGTGATGGCGGCAATAATGTTTCCGTCGTCGTCCTTTCTCACTCTGAGTCTTCTGGTGTAGTTGGTCTCCTCCATGAAAAATAGCAGGAAAAACCAGCACACGGCGCCGAAAATGCAAGCGATCCAGATCGTCCATTTCCATCCAAGGCCGTCTCTCACAAACCCAGCAAGCATAGGTGCCATGTAATTGGAGCCAAAGAGTGCAACACTGTAAATACCCATGTACGTTGCTCTTTCGTGCTCGAAAAACAAGTCGCCCACGGTGATTTCCGGCAGTGACTCGACGGGAGCGTAGAAGAACCCGTTCAGAATGCGCGAGGCAATCCACTCACCGTTCGAGTGCGTGTACGGCTGCCACAGATTGAACATGATGTTTCCGAGCAACGAGATCAGGTAAACCGGTCTTTTTCCGTATTGTTGGGCCAGAGGCATCATCAGCAGATTACCGATCCCTAGAAACAGAAACATGTATCCTGTCCCCTCGTTGAGCTGTCCAACGGTCACGTGGACGTCTGGATCCTCAGCGATATCTGTCAAAATCGAGTATATGCAGCAGCCAGGAACACTTCCGCCGAAGATAAACACGACGGTGCAGAAGATGGCAAGCCATTTGCGGCCACGAGACCAGTTGAGCGGGTCGTTAGGGTCGTCCGACGGAGTCGGGATCAGCACAATGCCTGACTCCGTCTCGGCGGTCTCCCTAGTGCGGTCGAGGTCGACTAAATGAGAAGTGCCAGGAACGGCAGAGAAATCGATTTCGGTGTGCATCTCAGAGCTGGTCCACCAAAGGTTGGGACTGGGCACTCTTTATAGTGCACGGCTGCTTATCTGGATCCCCACTGCTGCTTATCGGGACATACCAATAAAAAGCCATCTGGCAGTGCACGGTGCAGATGATAAGCATTGCATTTCCCAAAAAGGAAGAAGTCCTCGGAATTGTCCATCAGAAACGAAAAGATCTTATTAATTTTTCTCATGACAGAATTCACGCCCACCTACCACGGAAACTACACCAGCAACACCGAAGACCCGGCTCTCTTCGAGACGTTCAAGCCCAAAATAGCCGCGTACCGTGCCAAGCTCGAGGCCGGCATTCTGGATAAATATGCTCTTCCCAAGGACGCATTACCGCAAGATCCCGGCAGCGACGTGGCCCGTGTCGCCGAAAAAGTGCTTACGCCAGACGAGCTGGCCATTGTGGACACGCCGGCGCACCAGCTCGTGAAGCAAATTGCCTCCGGCCGGCTGTCGGCCGTGCAAGTGTTTGAGGCCTTTGCCAAGACGGCCACTGTAGCTCACCAGGCTACCAATTGTGCAATGGAATTGTTCCCGGACGAGGGGCTCAAGCGGGCGCAGGAATTGGACGACCACTATAGAAAAACCGGCAAGACGGTTGGTCCCCTGCACGGCCTGCCAATCTCGCTAAAAGAGCACTATGAATTTAAGGGCAGAGTCACACACTGTGCCACGGTCGCCAATATCGAGTCTGTCTCGCAAGAGTGGTGCTCGCTGGTCAAAATCCTGCTTGACGCAGGAGCAGTGTTTTACGTCCGCACCACAGAGCCCCAGAGCCTGATGCATCTGTGCTCCAACAACAACATCACCGGAAAATGCTGCAACCCGCACAATACGCGGCTGACCCCTGGCGGGTCTAGTTCCGGCGAAGGAGCCATTGTGGCCATGAAAGGTTCTGCCATCGGCGTTGGATCAGACATCGGCGGGTCTATCAGAGCTCCAGCAGCGTTCTGCGGCGTATTCGGCCTCAGACCCACTCAGAAGCGGCTCACCATGCAACATTGCAAATCAAACAGCCTGGGAGTCGGGGAGGCCGTTGTTCCTGTTTTGGGTCCCTTGGCCCGGCACGCCGAAGACCTGGACCTGTTCATGAAAGTCCAGATCGGCGCTAAGCCCTGGGAAACCGATCCTTCCATTATTCCTTTACCGTGGAGAGACGTTTCTGCTCCTGCTTCGAGAGATATTAAAGTGGCCGTTATCTACGACGACGGTGTCGTCAAGCCAACTCCACCAGTCCTCAGAGGCCTCAGACATGCAGCAGACGAGCTCAAGGCCGCAGGAGCAAAGGTTGTTGATTGGAAATCTTTTGGTGTTGAAGAGCTCGTCACCGCTGTCAATTGCATGTACAACGCTGACGGCAATAAGGGCCAGAAAGCCGCCTTTGCTGCATCAGGCGAGCCGATTTTTGCCCTCACCAAGAACGCCCTGAGTTTTGGAAAGGCCGACGAGCCGCTGTTGGCCCTGGAAGAGCATCTACTTGTCCAGACTAGGGAATTCTACCGCGAACGCTACCTCCAAAAAATGCTGGAGTTGGACGTGGACTACATTCTTTCTCCAGCCTACTCTTCTGTTGCTCCTAAGCTAGAAACGGCGCGGTATTGGGGCTACACAAGTCTGTGGAATATTCTGGATTTTCCAAACGTTGTGTTCCCGACCGGTCTGAAGTGCGATCCTGCTCTGGACGCTCCAGACACGTCGTACAAGCCAAGAAACGACATTGAGGCCTACGAGTACGCTCTGTACGACACCGCAGAAGACTTTGCAAATGCTCCGATTTCTCTCCAGCTGACGGGAAAAAGATGGTTCGACGAGGAACTGGTCAAGGCCGCTGGGGTTGTGCATCATATTATCTCGGCATAAATATATTTTTATCGCTTATCAAGGTAAAAAAAGACGGTGCGGCCGTTTATCAAAAAAAGATTATGAAAAATACGAGATCGAAAAGTACACACGGGTGTCTATGCTGTAAGTTCCAAATCCCTTACTCTAACCGTCAGGTCGCAAACGCAAGGTCAAGTGCTCTGAAACGCTGCCAGAGTGCGCCCAATGCGTCCGTAACTCGTATATCTGTGTATGGGCAGAAGGAGTGATGCCGAAGTCCTCTCTGGCCGAGTTCCAGCTCCAAAAAAAGCGGACAAGCCCATTTGTGTTTGTGTATGGGAACAAGCGTCAGAAACGGGAGACGCAGACTACCAAGCGCACAAAAAGTCAACCAATAATCAGCAAGTCCGTAGACTGCACACGTCGCCCGGACCAGCTTGACGACGCCATTTTCCGCAAATACCTTGCGAGCTTGTGCTCGCAAAGCGCTCTACTTGGTTTTGGTCTGGGTTTTCCAGGGCTCGTCTCTCCGAATGATGCATATATTTACGACGCGTTCGTCAACGGGTTCATGGTTGCTGTGTCCACTCAGCTCACGCACGAAAGACTACAACCGGGCGCAGTTTTCATTCCTCATGGGGCTGCAAATCCGTGGCTTTTGGACGTTTTCTACGCCTGCGGAGCAGCTTTTTTGGCAGCCAATCGTAAAGACATGCGTGAGCTGGCTGAATCCAGAATGGCGAAGGTTATGGGCCAATTCCAGCAAATAGCAGCCCGCGCTTCTTCGGATACTGACAGTAAGTGGCTGGTTGTTGCTCTTTTGTCGCTTTCGCTGCGAGAAAAGTTCTACGGTCTGGACGGCCACCGCACAGTGCTGTTCTTGAGAATGGCGTTCCAGCTCATCCGCAACTGGCCAAAGACACGGCTGGCAAACCGGAGACATCTAGAGGTCCTTCCTGAGGATATTCGGCCTGTTGTTAGTGACCAGCACTGGCTTCTCACGCCAATTGAGCGCACCTTGGTGGAGAGCTTTGCGTACAATTACTCTGTTATAGGATTGGTTCTGGACCAGAAATCGCAGATCCTGCTGGACTCGCCCTTTGAGGTGTTTGACGAGCTCCAGCCGTTGCTGGATCAGCAGCTATACAAATGCCCTGCTCCTTGGATGAACAACCCGGTTATGGGAGCCGCTCTTCCAGCGTTCGAGCTTGCATCAAAGGCCGGATGGTTGCAACTGCAGTATCCGTTCAATGAGAGTATGCGAAACCAGGCAATCGCGTTGTTTAGGCTGGCGAAATACTTTGTTCCTCCTGTCCTGCCCGCTGACGTGCGATTTAGTCAGCCCAAACACGTCTGCAAACGGCTCTTGGATAGCTGTCTCGCCGCGCGCATAGTGGCCCAGGGAGCGTACATTCTTCTGTACAAAATGCTCTATCCTGTGACTTTGGAGATAGATAGTGATATCCAGCGCCGCATAAGCGACTTCATCAGCGATCTGGAGCAGCTGAGTTTCCACTCAAGCATATCGGCAATCCTAACATGGCCATTCTCTATTATTGGCACGGCCATTGTGGAAAAGGACCAGCGTGATTACATGCTTTGGCGACTACGAAATTTTGGCTACGCGACCAAGAACTCGTGTTTTGAGAGCATCGTTGAGTTTTTGAACCGGATTTGGGATGCCGGTCTGGGTTGGCAGGCTTTACTCGACAAAACTAATTTTGATAAATTATTTATTTGAGCGAAATAGTTTTCTAATTCAGGCCCTGGGCGTGATTTTTCACAGTCAAACAATCAATACAGAGCCCAATGCACAGGAGAAAAAAGGGTGAAACGAGTAGAGGGCAGGCTCCCTCATTTGTAATGAGTGACTGAGTCATTTCATATTCATGGTAGTTCCTTTTCCATTGCTCATAACCACGTACCAATGAATGTATATGCTTTGGTAGCCGATTGACTCCCAATATGAGGATTGTAGAGTACCGGCTACGCTCGCAACACTTAGAATCTGTCCCCGCGTGCAAATCACTGTGCTGGCTAGTTTGATCGTCCAAACAGCTGGCCGCAATGAATCGGTCGAGGCTACGCGAGATCCGGCTGCTAAGGAACATGCTGCCACATGAAGGAAAAAAAGTAAAGCACATTTATAATAGTATTATCTAATAGCATCAAAGGCCGAAAAAGAAAAACAACCTAGGTAGTAAATCCTATAGGAACCTAGGAAACTGAGCCATAAAAATCTGATTGGACTCTCCCGCAGACAAACCCTCAAAACTCTTAGTGTCGCAAGAGACGCATAATGCCTAAACCAGAGTACACGAATTAATTGGATCTACCCAAAAAAACACCCACGGGAATCCATTGTTACTTACATCGACTCTCCAACAAGCCGAGAGGATTGCTGCTTACGATCATCCTGTTGACTTCAACAGCCAATCAAGAACTCTCTCGCACACATGTTACCCCAAGCAGCATGTAAGAGTGTTTTTCATTCGCGGATCTTATCAAAAAATAGATAAAGGTGAAACTATTTCCCTATTAGGCAATGAGCTCGGCTGCACTCCAATTTATATAAGCACCAGGGTCAAAATGAATTTAGCATGTTTGGGCCCTACACTAATAACACTGAAAATAAAGAGCTCTACGCTACATTCGTTCCCAAGATCGAGGCGTACAGGGCAAAGTTGCAAGCTGGTATTCTTGAGGAATACAAGCTGAGTGACCAGATCATTCCTCAAGAGACCGGGGTAGACGTCACTGGGATTCCGGAAAAAATACTCACAGAGGAACAACTGGCAATAGTCAACACTCCTGGCTACGAACTGGTCAAGAAGATTGCTTCCGGCGAGCTGACGGCCGTCAAAGTCTTCAAGGCCTATGCCAAAACGGCTACCGCGGCGCACCAGGTCACCAACTGCGCCATGGAGCTGTTTCTAGACGAGGGACTCAAGAGAGCGGAAGAACTGGACACTTACTACAAAAAGACAGGACAAACAGTCGGCCCTCTGCATGGCCTGCCGGTGTCCCTAAAAGAGCACTACAATTACAAAGGAAAGGTCACTCACGGAGCCTGTGTCTCTAAGATTGAGAATGTCACAGATAACTGGTGTCTGACAGTCGAGGTTCTGCTTGAGGCCGGTGCTGTCTTCTACATTCGAACCACCGAGCCTCAGACACTAATGCATCTCTGCTCCAACAACAATATCACCGGGCTGTGCAGAAATCCCAACAACACGGCTCTGACCACTGGCGGGTCCAGTTCCGGCGAAGGCGCTCTCGTTGCCATGCGCGGGTCTGTGTTTGGTCTCGGCTCGGACATTGGCGGCTCTATTCGGTGTCCAGCAGCGTTCTGCGGAGTGTTTGGTCTCAGACCAACTCAGAAAAGATTGTCCATGAAAAACGTGACTTTCTGCGGCACCGGAGTTGGCGAGGGTGTTGTTTGCGTTTTGGGGCCCCTTGCAAGAAGCGCACAGGACATTGATCTTTTTATGAAAGCCTCGTTGGATGGGAAGCCGTGGCAGAGAGACGCCACGATCCTGCCACTGCCGTGGAGAGATGTTCCCGTGCCTGCTGCAAAAGATCTGAAGGTGGCCATTATGTACGACGACGGCGTTGTCAAGCCCACGCCGCCAATCATCAGGGGACTCAAACACGCGGCCGAAAAGTTAGAGGCAGCAGGAGTCAAAGTGGTCGAATGGGACCCATTTGGAGTGCTTGAGCTGGCCGAGATTTGTGGCTCTTTTTACAACGCCGATGGCAACAAAGCACAGAAGGCCGGTCAGGCTGCCTCTGGCGAGCCCACATGCGAGCTGTCCAAGATCGCTCTCTCGTTTGGCTGCGGAGACAAAGGATTGTCTGCGGCCGAGGAGCACATTGGCCAGGGTATCCGGGACAAATATAGAAACGAGTATCAGGACAAAATGGCCGAACTTGGTGCAGACTTTATTTTGTCACCAACTTACGTTTCCGTTGCAACCAAGCCGGAAAAAATTCACTATTGGGGCTACACCAGCCTGTGGAACGTGCTGGACTTCCCAAATGTGGTGTTTCCTACGGGGCTTAGGTGCGACTCAGCTTTGGATGCCCCAGATACATCCTATAAGCCAAGAAGCGAGCTAGAGGCGTACGAGTACGGTCTGTATGATAACGCTGAAGACTTCAAGGGTGCACCGATCTCCTTGCAGCTGACGGGCAGAAGATGGCTCGACGAGGAGCTCGTGAAGGCTGCCCAGATAGTTCACGAGATCGTTGCAGTCTGATACAATGAGGTATATATAATATATAAAGGCCTTCGACCGTGTTCACTACTAGGATAAATGACCAGACTGAGCCTATCGCAAATGAGAATACGAGTAGTAACTGGTCCCAGCTGGTTGCTCACCTTTGAAGTAAACAATGGACAACGCGGTTGCAGTATGGCTAAATCTCGAGCCCGTGCTCTTCCAGTGCGTTTCATTCAGCCCCACTGTATACAGACTTCCGGAGTTGTTGCAGGATCGTGGACATGCTTCAATTTTGATGCTCACCAGACTATTTCGCCCAGGAATGGACCACCGAGTTGTCATGGCTACCATTGACCAGCTTGTAGCGGCATACATAGCTCAGTATCCAGACGTCATTCATAGGGACCCCGCTGAGAGTAGGCCCTGGGTTCAGCGATCCATGGACTCCGTCCAAAGGAGCAATTTCGGGTCTCCTTCAAATTGCCATCATGTACTTTCTGCGCACATTTAAGGACGCCTGACTAGGCCGGAACATTTTGAAGAAAAAAAGCTACTAAAAGCTAAAGTCTTTGTGAATTATGACTTATCGCTAAAACTGCGCGACACACTAATCAATCAGCTGCTTTCGAGCAGCTTGCTGGCGCTCTCGAGGTGCGAGATCTCGGCCTTCTCGTCGAAGTTGGCCACCGGTCTGTCCAAGTGACTGATTCCGTAGAACAGAGTGTTCTGGCTCAGGAAAATGGTCTCGATGTCTTCCAGCGTCCTGTTACCGGTTTCCGGACAGAACAGGTAGAACATGACTGCAGCGACACCGTTGGTTAGCGTGAAGATGATGTAGGTTTTCCAGCCCAGCTTCTCGGTGACGATTGGCGTGATCATGGCAATCACGAAATTTATGATCCAGTTCGACGAGATACCAATGGCGTTGCCCTTGGATCTGAGCTGCAGCGGGAGAATCTCCGAGACATACACCCACGGCACACAGTTCATGGCGGCCCCAAAGAATGCCATAAACGTGAAGAAGAAGGCGACCGCGGCAGCAGAGGTGCTCTTGGACCCAACTCTCAGCAGAATGGTGATCATCATCATGGACACCATCTGTCCCAGAGAGCCGCCAATCAGAGCGAATCTCCGTCCGATTCGGTCCAGCCACAGAGACGGGATGAACCCAAAAACAAAGAAAGTCACCATGATGCAGCCTCCGAGAATCGTCGACATGTTGGTGTTCATTCCCACGTTAGTCTCAAGCACCAACGGCACATAGTACACCACAAGATTCACACCTCCAAACTGGTTCCAGAATTGCACCATCACACACAGGAAAAGCCTGTATCTGCCGTGCATGGCGTCCTTGCCACGCAGGATGTCCCACCAGCTGAGCTTGTCTCCCTCACCTTCAACCTCTTGCAGGTACAGGATGTCGTCAATACATTTGTTCACGAGCGGATCGTCTTTCGGCACGTCGTTGATCCGCGCAAGGCAGTTTCTGGCGTCGTCGACGCGTCCTTTCTTCATCAGCCATCTAGGCGACTCGGGACACAGGAACAACAGGAACCAGGAAAACACCGCAAACAGCATCTGGATTCCAACTGGCAGTCTCCACGAGGTCTCGTCGTTTCTTTTGCTGCAGCCGTATCCGATCCAGTACGAGATGGTGATACCAAGGGCCACCCCCTGAGGCTCGGCTGCCACGAGACCACCGCGATTGTGGGCGCTAGCCACCTCAGCCTGGAACATAGGCACAGTACTGGTCTCCATTCCGGTTCCTAGACCAGAAATGAATCTTCCGAAAAATAGCTGAACGACGCTGTAACTGCTGGTCTGCAAGATGATTCCGATGATAACGAGGGTAAATCCGGCCCAGACGGTTTTTCTTCTTCCCAGCTTGTCGCCAATAAAGAAGTTGATCATACAACCAAAGAAACTTCCAAGGTTGTACACAGAGACAATGATTCCCAAGTAGTTACCCGAAGGATGGCCAAACTGGTTTTGAAACACGGGGTGGTTCTGGATGTTGGCTAGGGCACCTTGCTCGAATCCATACAGAATGAAGGAAAACAAACAGGTCAGTGTCAACACGGTTCTGGTGGGTTTTCCAGGCCCAAGTAGCTCGTAGTACGACTTCATGGCTAGACTCTCGGTTCTCTCTGCTGTGTGGGTGCCATTGTCTATTTATACATGCGTGAGTGTTGGTTTTTTTTTTTGTTTCAAGCAATTTACAGTTCGGTAGCGATGTGCACGATGACTCTGAGAATAATAGGATGACGTCATTTGTAGGAGAGAATTCTTGCGGGGTGGGCAAGATCTATTGTTGGCTCTGCTCTCTGGGAGTTCGCGCATTGTTGTTCCCCGCGTGATCGAAAGCCTAATTATTCAAACGCGTATTACGGACGTCTAAAATCTGTTTGTTGAACCAAGCGCCGCGAGCTATCTCGGCCAGATCGGTTGTGCGGCTCCTGCTTCCCTTTAATTTCGGCAATTTCAGCCCGCCAAAATTGCCATTTGACCCCTCGTTTGCCGCATAGACGAGTAATATGCCTTGAAAAGGAATTTCAGCCGCAATGGGCCGGCTCTAGCCTAGGCCTGGATCTAACCAGCCATACACTGCAAAAACAGTGACTCCGATAATTTCAGAGCAGCGCATGTTGGAGATCGTTCCATTGTTTTGACAACATTCTCGTCCGCAGCGGAGAAGTTATATGCTTATTAGTACTCGTTTGCATCACGCATTAGAGGACGAGCTTGAGACATGCTGAAATGATGAAAATCAGACAGGTTGGATTTTTGCGTGACAATTTTTGTGCTAAGGAAAGTACCCCACGTCATGGGAGCCTCGACTCCGTTCGGCAACTTTTGGCGACCATAGAGCTACTCTGCTGACTACAGTGCTGCTTCTCCTTACCTGATTTGATCAGCTCCGCCCCACTCAATGTGGACGTGACCGGCCGAATAGGAGCTCTGAAGTGTTTTTTATCTGCTCTTCCAATAGCCTGTTAGCCATGAAGACTTCAGTTTACAGCGAAGAGCATTTTTTGCCATACGACTAGGTTCTTCCTATCCTGATCTGGCTGCCACTCTTTTTCCATTAGTCTTGGGCTGAATCGCAATCGTTCTAGCGGTTTGGACATGATCGCACCAATTCACGCTTTAGATTCGTGTCTCATACTCACAAACCCCGGTCTTTTAGGCGAATAGCCCAGACAAAATCCAAGAGGAATGTCTCAATGCAATTGTGAGTCTTTCCTGTGCTGTTTGTGTTTGAGCGGATAATATCCAGCGCGCTTGTAGTCAATCATGCTCAGGTTCTCTCAAGTTATGCGTCTCTGAAGTAGCTTGCATTGTTGCGCTCGTAGAGCACCCTCCGAAACGGACGACATAGTAACAGTTTCTAAGCACTGCTTTGCAGCTGGAGAATAGCAGTGACATGATAACTACTGGTGTCAAATGCATTAGGCAAGTCTGCCACAAGCAGTAGCTATATGTCAATGACTGGGAAGCGGTCGGTTATCTGTAAGACCCATGTCGTAGGTCACCCGAGTAAATGCCCCACAGGCTAATTTAAGGCAAAAACTTTGCGTGTTTGGTATTCAAACAGCGCCTGATCGGCACTTGAAACCATCATTCGTCTGCTCTAGTACCCGAGTACCCCGAACTCAAAAACCCAAGAGCTGCCTAGGCTCTCAAATGCCAAACCACCATGTATCGTGAATATTATGCTGCAATTCCTCAGAGTAAACTGAACTTCAAGCTAGATTCCCAAAATCAGTCGGCTCTGCTGCTGTGCAGCACCTACCACACCACTATGCTTGACACTTCTATCCACAATCCCTTCGAAAGTTGTCTGAAACACGCTAAATATGTATTCCGTGTGGTAGCCGGCTGATTGTTGGTCTTTGGACATCTCTGCAAGAAAGACCACAATTCTATAGATATGATTCTAGATATGCCACACGCTCAATGTGTCCGCCGGGAGTCTGAGGTGTAGTAGCAGTGGACCATTGATCACGTTTGCGGCTGCACTCGAAAATGGATATGATTCCTGAAAAATCAGAATGGCCAACAATTCGATATAATGGTCAAAAGTTGGTGGGCGCTTTCATGCCCGAATGAAAGCGCACTTCTCGTCAGAAGTGTATCACCGCAATGCCTGTTTGATGTATCCATTTCTATGACATCTGGTCCACGCATTGCAGACGAAAGCATATATAGGGTCATCTGGAGCAAAGGGGAAGCCAAGAGATCCTGCTTTGACTTTTCTGCAATCTAAGTACTAGAAAATGAATCTAAGTACTAAAAAATGCAAATACCTAATTGAATCCACTCTCCAATAAAAGTTACTGTTTTTGGTCCCCATTTGCAACCATCATTTGGTACGCAATGAATATGTCGATGTTTGACCCAGGAGACACCCGTCCATTGCGTTTTTTGAGTGGCATATAACCCATGAGAGAAAGTGGCGCAGGAACTGTATCTGAGGGTAGCTAGGCTGAATAGTTGGGATGACGTATAGTCAGTCCATCTTGATATGTTTGCGAGAGTATTTCATATGGCCCTGTTCTCGAGCCACCATCTCGCTTTTCCTGATTCGCTACACGCTATAGCTCGACAGATGTACAGCTACTCGCATCATCATACATAATCATAGAGACAAGGCACACAGGCGGACCTAAGTTCCAAAGTCGGTTCGGGCAAGAAAAATCATTTAGGCATTTCGGTCGGAAACTTGCCCGGTTTTTTGCCGGTTTTCGTCGTACGATTGCCCGCTGTCGGAATAAATGAAAAAAAATAAAAATGAATCTTATCTAATCTTCTCTATTAATCATGACTAAATCTATAGTAGTTGTCGGTGCCGGCGTTGTTGGCCTGACCTGCGCTTACCAGTTGGCCGAAGAAGGGTACAATGTCACAGTTGTTGCCAAACACTTGCCCTCAACGTCGATAGCAGACTCGCAGTATACTTCTCCATGGGCAGGTGCTCACTTTAGACCGTTTCCAGCCAAGACACCAGAAGAATATAGGGACTCTAAGCTTACCAGATCCACGTTTCAGGCTTTCAAAAATTTCTCTGCCGAATTCCCCGAAAGTTCCATCCGGTTTATGCCAGGAACCGATTTTATAGAACGCCACGATCCGCTCTACGAAAATGTCAGCGCAGGATATGCCGAAGGCATCGAAAATTTCAGAGTTCTCCCGAAGGCGGCCTTGCCTAATGGAATCAAGTTTGGTGCCACATACGACGCGTGGTGCATGAACTCTCCGGTGTACATCCAATTTCTTGAGCGTAGACTCGAGATGTACTATAAGGTGAAAATCGTGCAAGAAAGCCTTGGTTCTTTGCAGCAGGTCGCGCAGTTGTTTCCAGGTGCCACCATTGTGAACTGTTCCGGACGAGGTTTGGCTTATTCTGGAGGCTACGATCCAGCTACGTATCCGATCAGAGGGCAAACGTTGTTGGTGAAAAGCCCAAAGGACTGTCCTTACAACCGTGAAACGGTGACCTATCAATTGGAAGATGGTTCTTTCTGCTTTGTCATTCCTCGTCCATTGGACGGGGGAGTGATTTTGGGAGGCACAAAACAGGTCGGAGATATGTATCCACAGGTTAGAGATGCAGACACCCAAAAGCTAATCGCTAATGGTAAGAGATGGTTTCCCGAGCTTTTGATCGACGGTGAGTTCCAAATCAAGCGTATAAACGTTGGATTCAGACCTGCCAGACATGGAGGTGTGAGGATCGAACGAGAAGTGGTTGACGGCACTGAAATTGTCCACTGTTATGGGTTTGGCGGCTCTGGCTATGAGATGAGCTGGGGTGCTGGCCAAAAAGTTGTAGAACTGGTCAAGTCAGTCAAAGGTAAGCTCTAGAAATTTAGGGATTGATAATAAAAAAATTATGATTTGAAAAAAGTGGGTAAAAGTGGGAAGAAAATGGGATCAGATCCAAGACCGTACAAATCGAGAAAAATTAGGCCTTGTGACAGGTGTCGTAAGCGCAAGTCAAGATGTATAATTGAGCATAGTGGGCCTTGTCAGCTGTGTGCACGAATGAACGTGAACTGTGAGTTCACCGACAAGGTGCCCCCAATGAATAGACATAAGGCGAAACAAATACCAGAGGGCCCAGAGACTGTCTGTTTTGTGGACTTTGAGGATCCAGTCGTACACAGCAAAGCAGAAGACAAAAATGATGATATGAACTCCTCAAGGGAGTTCTCTTCCAACGCTTCAGAATTGTCAAGCTACACTAGTTTTTCTACTTCTTTATCCGAAATTGTCCCAACTCAGATAGAGAAAGATGCAATTCAAATCTCCATTGAGGGTACGGAAGGTAATCATGACCTGGAAATTGCTGGCAAGAGCCTTGGTGCCGTGCCCATACAGGGGCACACTGCGATGACGGATCCAACTGAAGACGAAATTGAAAGCGACGAACATGAATGCCAATTTGTGTATCTATATCATAGTGGCTACCTGGATCCATTTTTGCTACAAAATAGTGCAGCCTTGCATTTAAAGTATGGAAAATCGCATCTTAAAACTCTTGACAGTTCCTGCCAACCCCAGATGCAGATAATGATTGAAAACGGAAACGAGTCAAACAATACTGGACTGGAAACATCGACTTTTCATCCTCACACGTCTAATCTATTTGAGATATTTTTGAAGCACGTCAACACACACTTTCCAGTCGTATCTGCAGCCGGCTTTCAAAAGCTTATCAACCAAAATAAAGCTTGCTTTCTGCTCTTGACAGCTCTAATTCTAGCAACTGACAGCTGGCAAAAAGACCCACAACTGACTCTTATGGAGCGGCCCGATGTGGATTTGGTGGTCAGGCAAGTCACACAGTCAATACTATCCGAAGCGTCTAACCCGTCTCTTGCAGTTATGCAATCCAGTCTGCTTCTGTCTCAAAAACTATTTCTGAATGGGTTCGGCATTGATGGCACACCCGAGCTTGCCATTTTGAGTGTAGCGTACACGCTGGCACAGACTATGGGGATTAACATTGACTGCACACAGTGGAACATTTCTTCTTGGGAGAAGAAAATCAGAAGGCGTCTCTGGTGGACACTGTATATTCAAGAAAAATGGTTTTCTTTTTCCCTTGGCCGCAGAAGTCATATATCCAAAACAGACTGGAATGTATGCCCGCTCACTGAATTCGACTTCGAAAACAATTCTCCTTCTGACAGCAACGAACAAGCGCGTCATAGTAACAGGTTGTTCTGCTTGATGGCAGAAATGACAGAACTCATAGACGGTATTGCGAGTGAATTCGACAAACACATCTCTCTCGATGCAGCGTATAAAGCAGCTGATCTTCACTTGACAAGAATCGCAGAATTCGAAACTAAACACTCTGATTATTTCAGATTGGAGAACAGTAAATACCCTGACTCCCCTATCGCTGCACTAGTAATAGCTAGCGTTACTGCCAAGGCGACAATACACAAAACAGTGCTTCATCGAATACTGTCACAGAAGCAGGAGAAATCGAGTGATTTGGACGACGACTGCAAACACCGAACAATATCACAAGAGGCTATACGACGGAGCATTCAACTTTGTGCGGAGATATTAGATATACTTGGACGGCTCCGGCCATACCATTTTGATTCCTTCTGGTACTCCTGGGCCAGATTCAACTTTGCTACCATTTCGAGCTTTTTCTTACTTTTGAACCAGGTGACATCCAAACACCAGGAGGAGCAGGTAATCAAACTGCAAATGACAAAGCTCCAGTACTTCATCCAGTCCAGGCTGCCGATTTTCAGCCACCTGGGACTAGCATCCCGAGTTCTAGAGTTGAAAAGAACTTGACGAGGCAAATGCGCCACATTTAAGAAAGACTCATTATCACAGGAAGTCCGCGAGAAAGTGTAAGTAAGAAGCTTTTATTCAAATCCCTACCCGCGGAATTCTATGTAGGACCTTATTTTTTAAGATGCAAATTCTGAAACTCCGAAACTACTCCGAATTCGGCAATTTCTTGATTTGGTACAAATTTGCACTCGACGATAAGTATATCAATAATACCTAAAATAATATTTACCATCAAATTATGTATCCGGAGACTTTTGAAGGATTCGCTGTGACCGATACTTCGAAGTGGTCTACAGTGTCCAAGATTGAATTCAAGCCTAAGCCGTTTGAGGACTACGATGTCGACGTTCGAATTCTTGCATGCGGAGTCTGCGGATCCGATGTCCACACAGTCAAGGGAGGCTGGAGCCAGCCTATGCTGCCAGTCATTCCCGGTCATGAAATTATTGGTGAAGTTATTAAGGTGGGAGATAAGGTCAGCACCGTCAAGGTTGGTGATCGGGTCGGTGTGGGTGCTCAGATATATTCCTGCCTAGATTGCGAGACGTGTAAGGAAGATCACGAGAACTACTGCCCAAAGAGGGTCGGTACTTACAACTCGCTATACGCTGATGGTACTGTGACCTATGGTGGCTACTCGTCGCATATTCGTGCCCATGAGTACTTTGTTTTCCCAATTCCTGATGGTCTCAAAACGGAAGACGCAGCACCTATGCTTTGCGCGGGCATCACCACGTATGCTCCTCTGGTTGAAAATGGTTGCGGTCCTGGAAAAAAGGTCGGAATCGTTGGAATTGGTGGGCTGGGTCATTTCGCCATTATGTTTGCAAAGGCCCTAGGAGCCGAGGTGTACACATTCTCAAGGACCAGTAAGAAAGCAGAGGATGCCAAAAAGCTAGGAAGCGATCATTATATTGCAACCTATGAGGAAAAGGACTGGGCACAGAAGTATGCGAAAAAACTTGATCTGATTGTTTCTTGCGGCAATTCGGCTCAGAACTTTGATCTGGCTGGGTATCTATCTTGTCTGAAAGTTCATGGAAAAATGATTTCTGTTGGACTGCCTGAGGAACCATTCACTGTCAGTGCTATGCCATTCATGAGAGGAGGAGTCTTTTTCGGCTCATCTCATCTGGGAAACAGACCGCAGATGTTGGACATGCTGAAGCTTGCGGCTGAAAAGAACCTTGTTGCCTGGACGGAACGTCTACCAGTTTCAGAGAGTGGCATCAAGGAAGCTCTTGAGAGATGCCACTCAGGAGACGTTAGATACAGATTTGTTTTGACTGACTATGACAAGTTCCACGCTTGAAATTTGCAAAGTATATAAAGATAATTAAAGTTTTGGTCTCCTTGAAAAAGAGTCTCCAAATCTAAGATCTGTCTCCGTAGAGAGCTCCTGCTGATTGTAGTTCCTGTTCGTGGCCAGACCTTCTCTCAGTCCGTTAGGATCCTTCTCGGTTCCCGAAAGTGACCTCCATTTAAACAGTTCAGTGTAGAAGTTTTCACGGCCTTCGACCTTGTCAACCAAAAATTGTCCCAGAACAGGCAGCATCTTGAATGCGTGTCCTGATCCTCCACAGGCAACAAAAAGTCCCTTTTTTCCTGGAACAAAATCGTAGATGTAGTCGTTGTCTATAGTGTCGGTATACCAGAGCAGTCTGCTTTCATATTCCAACTTTGCCTCATACAAGTCAGGGAAGAACAGCTTGAGCCATTCGTCAACCTGGCGGACGATGTGGCGCGTGAGCATTTTGGTTGGAGGATCGCTGTTGGAGGTTCTGGGAATCGAAACGACTCTGCCGTTTTCCAGCTTAACAGGGTTGGTATACTTGGTTTGTCTAACAATCATCTCCATGTACCCTTCTGGCTCCATCATTGGGAACATGAACATACCCCCCATATACTCTTTTTCTCTCGAATGGCCGGTTTTCCAGCCCACCATTGGGAAGACCTTGCTGTTATACTTGGCCTTGAGATCAACGCGTTCCTCAGGGATCTTGAAAATGATGACGTTACCTGAAGCAGCCTCATTCATGCCGTCGAGCTCTGGAACGAGCAGAGTGGACCATGGACCACAATTGATAACTGTCAAGTCAGCATAGTGTTTCTTTCCGTCGTTGGTGATGATTCCGCCATGAACGGTTTTTTCGTCGTCCTTGTAGATGTATTCCTTGAAAGTACCAGCTTTCTCTCCGAAAACAAATTTGACCCCTAGCTGGGTACACAAGTACTTGGCATACTGACAGGCCCTCGAGGCATACAGCACGCCAGAGGTGGCATCCAATGCGCCCTCTAGAGTTGGGATTTTTTCTTTCAAATCATGGGCAAATTTCACCTTCGATCCAAATCCTGCAGCTTTGGCTCTCTTCACATCTATAGGATCGTTGATGTCGTATCTGAGAGGAGCAATACCTTCCTTTTCGAAATTCGTTCTGCTGGCCTTTTCCTCCCAGCCAACAATATCATCAAGCCTCAACATGCCGCATAAATCGAGAATTTGAAGATCGGTATACTTCTTTGCTTCTTCATGAGGGATGAACCTGATCTCGTTATTCCACTTCTGCCAGATCTCGAACGCCTGGAACGCAAGATCTTGGTAGTGTTTCTTTTCCGCATACTGAGCTCTAAACACCTTGTTTATGTCTGCCGAGGCCGTATCGGCTCCTTTGAGCAAAGTGTAAGCGTTGGCGTCGAAGTCTAATCTGTCGAACACGGTAATATTTTTGTATCCATTGCTGGCAAGATGGAGCGCATTAGAAAGGCCAAACACACCAGCGCCAACAACCACAATCGGGGAGTCCTTTTCAACCATTACGAGTTTTGTATTTCTTGCAAATGTGCGTACCTGTATACTTTAAAATATATACAATATCGCATTACCGAATTTGGTCAATGCTCCGAAAATCCATATCAGGTGACTTGGCTTTCCAAATCTGGAGAATATCCGCCAAAAGATTGCATCGGAATATGCGAGATAAGTTATCGCTGCCAATACATAGATTTGAAACTAGGTCTATTTAGGGGGTATGAAGGGCAATTAGTCTGCAGTCTCTTCTTTAGATTGTTCTTTACCATGGTTTCTGAGAAAGCTGGCGAGTCGTCCAAGAACCTGGTTGTTACCACAGTTCTTTCCCCGGAAGAGCTGCAGGATGTCGACCAGGGATTTGGGTATGCACTGGAGACAGACGGCGTCGTTTTAGATCCAGAGTTTGAGAAGAAAGTTGTGAGAAAAATCGACTGGTACATTTTGCCTATGATGTGTATTCTCATGTCCTGTCAGTTGATGGACAAATCCACAAACTCGTATGCCTCCATTACTGGCCTCCGGACAGACCTCAATATGAGTTCCCGAACATACTCGTGGGTGGGCAGCAGCTTCTACCTGGGCTATCTGGGCTTCTGCTATCCGGCAAGTATGCTGCTTCAGAGGTTTCCGCTGTCCAAGACTCTGGGATGCGCAGTCATAGCGTGGGGTGTCGTGATCTGCTGTCACGGTGCTACCCAATCCAGCTCGACGTTTCTCCTCTGCAGAACGCTTCTCGGCGTCTGTGAGTCGTTCATGGATCCCGCGTACATGATTATGACCAGTCAGTGGTATAAGAAAGATGAGCAGTATAGACGCTGTGGCTATTGGCTTGGGTTCCAAGGATTTGGCACAATGCTTGGATCTCTGATTGCGTACGGTTTCTATACCCACAAAAGCGAGTTCTCAACGTCCCCATGGAGGTACCTGTACGTCGTCACGGGTGTGATTACTATATTCTTTGGCATTTTGTCCATCATCCATATCCCAGATATTCCCGTCAAGGCGTGGTTTCTGAACGATGAAGAAAAAAAGTATGTGGTTGAGAGAATCAGAGGCAACAGAACGGGATTCGGTAACCAGCACTTTAAATTGGCTCAGCTTAAGGAGGCTGCATCCGACATCACCACCTATCTGTTTTTCTTCTACATGTTTGGATACGGTATTCCTAACGGCTCCATTGGAAACTTTAGCTCCATCCTGTTGAGCACAGGGTTCGGATTTTCGACTGAGCAGTCTCTGCTGCTTAATATGGTTGGAAGTGGAATTGATATCATTTTCCCGTTGGCTTTTGCCTATGTCAATCTGTATTTGATCAAGAGCAGGTTACTGGTGTGCTTCTGCATCAACTCCCTGGTGTTCACCGGCCTGTGTCTGCTTGCGTTTGCGCCGTCCAAAGGAGCACAGCTGGCCGGATTCTTCTTGTCGTACCTGACTACCGCTAGCTGGGCATGTATGAGCTCTGTGGTTTCTTCGAATGTTGCTGGTCACACGAAGAAGATCACAGCAAACACATTGTTCCTTATTGGGTTCTCCACGGGCAATATCATTGGTCCACAGGCCTTCCTTGGTTCCGAAGCACCGGTGTACATCACAGCTAAGAGGACTATGGTGGGTACTTACGTTATCTCCGCCACTGTCCCTCTGATCCTCTATGTCATCTACCACTTCAGGAACAAAAAGGAGAACAAAGTGCTGGTGGATGATACGCTCCTCGCTTTTGGAGATCTCACTGACAAAACCAATCCGGTTTTCAAGTACGTTCTATAGATTAGGAACCTCCGAATCCTCGTACACTGCCTCCGCTTTGCTTGCTCCAGCAAGAATCCGCTGTTGCCACTGTGGGTTCTGATTTTCTACCAGTTTCAGGGAACAGAATTTTACAGCTGGGCATTAGCAGATTCAGGGCTGCAAAAATCAAAGTGAAGCTCTTGATGCTAGCAGCAATACCTTCTCATCTGTCCTCTGCTCAAGCTAAGACCTATACCGAGCGTTTGCCGGCCCGGGGGACGTGGGGCTGGCGGGTGGGTGTTTTCTGTGGGCGCAAAAACGCGGAGCGTTCTGCGGGTGTTTTCTGCGGCGGGTTTTCACGGCGGGCGCGCCGCTGGCGGGTTTGGTGGCGGGTCTTAACTATGAGAGCGGTGGGTGTTTTCGCCGGGAGCAGAGGTGGCGGGTTTGGTGGGTGTTGTTTACATGGCGGGTCCGGTGGCGGGTCACCCCATACAAAGTAGTGGGTGTTGTTTACATGGCGGGTTTGGTGGCGGGTTTCTATTGTTCGCACGTGGTGTTTACATGGCGGGTCCAGCGGGGGGTATGAACGGCGGGTATGAACGGCGGGTTTTGATGGCGGGTTTCAGTGGCGGGTTTTAGTGGCGGGTTTTCATGGCGGGTTTTCATGGCGGGTTTTCACGGCGGGTCTGATGGTGGCGGGTGTCATATCTCAGCAACCAGTGGTCGTAGCGCAATAAGAAGTACACATCCAGAAAGCTCTTCGTCGAGACAACCCACACCACACAAAAAAAGAACTACCTAAGCAAAAGTGTATATAGGTAATTACTAAAGGCATATATTTAAAAAGGTAACTGGATACAACCCACCAGTAATTACCAAAGCGTAAATCTAACTCTGCAACACCCGGGAGCACACAGGACCCTGTAGTAACCCCCTATCTACACAAACCAAGTGGAACTCGATGTAATGGGTACCGTAGGGCAGTAGGTGTTAGTAGCCAGCACTTAGTCAACCCTCGCCTCTGATTGGCCAGAAAACCCGCCACCCCCTGGACTCCCACCCGCCATCACCAGACCCGCTACCCCCAGACCCGCTACCCCTGGACTCCACGTCTCCCACATCTCATCCCCTCGTCCCTTCTCCCTTACCTTCCTCTCTTCCCATACTCGCCACGACAGACTATTTGTGGTATTTGCAGCTGGTGTAGGGATGCGGAGGCAGCGGGACGCAGAGACAGCGGAGGCAGCGGCACGTGACCAGGCATGCGGCTGCGGTCTGGGGAGTAGGTGGCGGGGTGGCGGGGTGGCGGGGTGGCGGGGTGGCGGGGTGGCGGGGTGGCGGGGTGGCGGGGTGGCGGGGTGGCGGGGTGG